GAAGATACTACCCTTTAAACTACTATATAGTAAGATAGGAAAAGAACTCTATAAAAAATATAAATTTATTAAGATACACCTAGTAAAGAGATATATTAGACTATTAAAGTTACTAGTAGTAAGCCCCTTTATATTTATTAAAAAGAAGGATAGATTAAATAGACTATATAAGAGGCTAAGAGCCTCCTTAAGTACTTAGTTATCTAAACCTTAGAAGCTTAATAGGGGTAACTAAGCTTATTAAACCTTAAAAGCTTAATAGGGGTAACTAAGCTTATTAAACCTTAGAAGCTTAATAGGGGTAACTAAGCTTATATTAAAGTATAAAACCTAAGCTAGAATATAGATAGAAACCTTATTAATCTATAAAAAGTTTTACTCTAGCTATTTTAGCTTACTAAGCACCTAGCCCCTTATAGTGTTCTATATAGCCTTACTAGAAAAGGCACTATAGAATATAGAACCTATAGTTTATAAAGTAGATATATATAGGGAATAGTAAGAAGAGTAGAAAGTAGTAAGTATTAATAGGTACTAACTAGTAAATAGTTAGAGCTACGATAAAGTTAAATAGCTAGAATATAATAAGAAAGGGAACCTATAAAATAATACCTAGAAACTAGAAAGTAATTTTAACTATCTTAAGAAGTTAGAAGAATTTTAGTTAAAATAATCTTTTAAAGGAAGCCTAGAGATATTAAACTAAGAGTTAGACTACCTTATAGTAAATTATAAAGATTACTACTATTAGAGAAGGTATAAGTAGTATTTTAAAAAACTACTTTATCCTCCTTAGAACTATTTTATAGACTAGTAGCTTTTAGCTTTATTTTTTTCTAATCTAGCTTAGCCTCTAAAAATACTAACTAATAATTCTTTTATTTATTAAGAAGCTCCTTCTATTTTTATAACTATAATACCTTTACCTAGGTAGTAGTAAGGGTATCTAAAATCTCTTTCTAGGCTTTTTTAGCCTTAATAAGTTTAGCTTAAATTTTAGCTTAGAAATAACTAGTGCTATACACTATAGATAATTAATATAGATAGAACTATAATAGTAGATAATATACTTTTAGCTACTAAAATACTATTAATATTATAAAAACTATAAATATTAGAACTAATATAAGCTTTATAGGTAAGGCGCCTAGGTATATTATATAGTAAAATCTTATATAGAATCTTTAACTAATTATAGTAAGAATAAGGTATAGTAAGGAATCTATAATAACTAATTTTATTAGTAAGTATAAGTTATTTATTAGTTTTATAAGAAGGTATAAAGGGTAATAATAACCTAACTTATAATAGGGCTTACCCTACTAATATAGTACTACCTCTATAATAGATTAATCTTTAGGCTAAAAACTTAAAAGGGGGAGATAGTATTATAGCTACTATACTAATAATAGTAGTAACTAATTAGATTATATAGGGGAAGAATATAATTATAGGTTAGATACTAAGTATAATATAAATATATAAGAAAGTTACGTAATTAGATCTATAAATCTATAGAATAGAGCTATAGAGCCTAGATCTATAAAATCTATAGATAGAGCCTATAGAGCTATTATTAGATAGTAGTATATAGAGATAATAGATTACTACTAGGTAAGCCTTTATTATTAATCTATAATATAGTTCTCTATATCTAGTTTTCTTATAGAAGATTACTATTAAGTCTTTAGTAATATATTTTTATAGTAGTAATTAATTAATATTTATACTATATATAATCTATATAACCCTATATACTACTTATCTCTTACTAGAACCCTAATAGGGCTATAGCTAGTAATAGAGTCCTAGAGGCCCTATTATAGGCGCTTATTAAAATAAAAAGAAAACTATTAACGGCGTATTATTTATAAATAGATAGATAAATAGAATATATAAACTAGATAATAAAAACGTACCTACGTATCTACTATAATAGTTAGAAGAATAACTAGGTTTCTTTACTACTAATAGTATAGTTAGCCTATAATAATAAAATATTAGTAATATTAGGATTTACACTATTCTATATAAACTATAGGAGATACCTATATCTATTTAACTAAATATTCTATATAATAATTAACGTAAAAGAAGCCATAGATATAGTAAAAAAAATAAAAAAATATACTAAGAACTCTAAAGATACCTTAAGAAAGCTTAATAGTAAGTAATTTTATACTTAAACTAAAAATAAAAAATAGTACCTTAGCTAAAGAAGGGGATAAAGTATATCTACTTATAAAGAATCTTTAAACCTAGAAGAAAAAATATAAAAAACTAGATTATATTAAAATTAGACTATTTTATATTTCTAAATAAATATTACTAGTAAACTATAAGCTAGAATTACCACTAGATATAAAAATATACCTAGTATTCTATATATTACTATTAGAGCTATTAGATTCTAAAATACTAGTTAAGATAACCTTCTACTATTAGCTAGAGAAAGAAAATAAGTATAAAATTAAAGTAATTCTAGACTATAATTATATTATAAGGGGTTTCTATATACCTAATCTAGGCCGGTCTTATAGATATTTAGTAGTTAGGAATAGATAGATAATAATAGATATTAGAATATTTTAACCTTACTATAGTAGGTAAGGTAATAATTATATAAGAAGGCTAATAGATCTTATATAGAAGATATACTTTAATTTTAACTATAAAAGTTAACTATAAAAAATAGAAAAGATACTAAAGTCCCTTTAGACTATATACTATTCTTTATTATTTTAGAGATTCTACCTAGACTCTAAGGTTCTAGGGCCCCCTAAGGTCCCTAGGGTCTTTAAGGTCCCTAGGGTCTCCTACTTATACTAGACCTTCTTATATAATAAATAATATAAGCTACCTATTTAGCTAGCCTATAGGGCTTAATCTAGCTTACCTTTAATACTTAGAATATTAGTAATATTCTCCCTACTCGCCTTACTTAGTCCTACCGTGATTATAATAAATTAGTAATAAGGGTAATACCTTATTAAATAGAAAGGATACCTATATAGTAAAAATATATAAAAACCTATTAGCTATCTATAAAACTATTAGTAAAAGATCTAGAAATACTATAGATAAATACGTACTAAAAGCTAGAAATAGGTAAAGTAGCTATACTATTAATAAGGTCTATTATTAACTATATAGTAGGAGAAAATCTAACTAAGGTATTAGTAATAATATAGTTAGAGAATACTATATTTATCTCTTTACTATTCTTAGCTAGCTTATTTATAAAATATAAGGCCTTCTTATATATATACTCTTTAGCCTATACTAAAATTCTCTTATTCTATAATAACTAAGTAATTATAATTACTAGTTCTTTCTTATCTTCTTTAACCTTCTTCTTATACTCTTTATAAGTTTTATCTAAAGAGGACTAAGATATATCTATATATAGCTTTCTAATATAAATATACTTAGTATACTTTAAACTAGAATTAGGTATAATATAATATAGAATATATTTTATAGTACACTTAATATAGAGGGTTTCTATAGTTATATTAGCTCTAAGAATTTTGTTATATAAATAGAGTTAGTAAAAATAGGAGTTAGAAGGCATTATAGGTACCTACTAGATTAATAGATATAGGGCTTATACTTATATAATAGTAACTAAGGGATACGTAATTTAAGAATAAATCTAAAAAAAAGGGGGATAATATTAGAATCTAGACCTAAGTAAGGGTTAGGACCTTATTTTATATTATAATACTACTTACTATTAGCTTACCTAAGTAGAGTATATATTTTAACTATACTACTAGGCGCTAAAAGGATATTACGTAACTAATAGTTAATAAGTAATAATTAACTACTAGATATATAACTAATAGTTAATAAGTAATAATTAACTACTAGATATATAACTAATAGTTAATAAGTAATAGTTAATAAGTAATAGTTAACTACTACTTAAGCTAAGTATATAGGAGTATAAAGTATAGGGACCTTATACTTATATTTAACCTAAGTTTTAATCTATTATTTAGATTTACTTTAGCCTCCTTATTAACTTATTATACTTTATAAAATACTTTTATATTAATAAGAACCCCTTCTTCCTTCCCTCTATAAGTCTTATCTAAGAACTAACCCTAACCTATTTAGGACTAGCTACCCTTTCTAGATTTAATAAATAATAACTTTTAATAATCTATATAGTAGTCTAGGAGAGGTCTAGTACCTATAGTATACTATATAGTAACTCTCTAGTCTACCTATTATTATTCTAATAGTTTTTTTACATAATCTCTTATATATATAGTAACTAATTATAAGTAATAACTATAATCTAAAATAAGGTTCTAACTCCCTCTTAGGTATTAAATCTAATAAAATCATAGATTATAATACACATAATAGTACTAGTACCTTATAAAATAAGATAATTATAATGCCAACTTAATAGTATATGGAAGTAGTTACTAATATAGTAAGAATAACTCTTAGATTTTATAAGAAATAAATAAACCTTTTAACTACTAGAATGAAAGTTAAAATCTAGAGGTTAAATATTATAGTCTAACGTAATAATAAGCTTAAATCCTTATAAGCCTACGACATTAAATATCTCCCTATTACGCTCTTAAGCTACTGGAAAGGCGTTATGGCGACCCATATAGGATAACTACCCCTATAACCATGAAACATTAGGTTTGGTTCAACCTAAAGCTAACGTCCAGGGTGCTTATCAACCATTTAAGAATAGAGTATGCTTGTCCGGCTCGGCCCGTCCCATCAACCGGACATTCATATGCCTTCGCCTCCATCTAGCTGCGTACCCAGAGCTGACACTTTTCGTTAATCAATCAGTATTAATGCCTCAAAGGCTTCGTTTTGCCTGCGATTTCTGTCATCACTCTAAGATCAAGTGTTCTGGAGGCACTTCCTGCGCTAGGTGCGAAGCTATCAACATACCATGCGTTCGTAGTGTTTCAAACCATACAGGTCGCCCTCGAGGAGCGAGAAACAAAAAAACTTTAAACATGATTCAACAATTTCGTCCAGAGAGATCGGAAACCCAGACGACCAGCACTCTTCTAGAGGCCTCACAAGCACATGCAGCTACGCTCATGCAAAACCAGGACAGTCGGCCCAATTCGCCTGAGCTCTTGGATAGCATACAGGGGCCACCCTTGGGGGACTTCGGGTTTGGCCTTGACATGAATGAGATCCTCATGAGTGGTGTCATAACTCAGGAAACCGATGGCAACTTCGAAGGAGGTGGGGATACCTCGCAATCATCGCAAATCACCTCTGAAAATCCGGAGTTGGGGCCTTCTACACCGGCTACAGAATGTAGGTTTCGATGAATCCCTTTACCTCCATCGAACTAATCGAACGCTCAGCCTGGTTCGCAAATTTGGCCGGTCCGATGGCCCCTATCAGCATCGCGTGGTTCAACGACAAACAAATGAATGCTTCAACATCACCGCAATTACGAGAGACGAGCCCGAAAAGCAAGTTGTCACCTCGCAACGATCCCGGCATGGCACGGTTCCCGACGCATCGCGGTAGTTTTGACCCACAATCTTCCTCGCAGACGTGTAGCTGTCTGAGCAGACAGCCTCGTGCCCTCTCTCGTCTAGTCATCGATACCCATAGAACAAGGGCCCAGCTTCAGGACGCTATAGTAGCTGCGGAAGACGCCTTCGAAACTTGGGGTGAATTCTTTAATTGTTACCGCCACATGACCACCGCCGACCCTGATATTTATCTCGTAATTGCAGCCAACATCCGTTCCGTGGCCAACATCATTAACGAGCAGCACGACATCGTCTCCAGAAATACCTCGAGCGCCTCAGTCGGAAATGAATCCATCCGCTCATTACCATCGGACCGGTTACCCTCTCCCCAATACCAATGGGCCCTGGCCATCCAACCCCGGCCAGGTAGCATTGAGCAGCATTTTGTCTCTTCGTCCCTCCTCTTCGACGTCATGAGCTCGACGGCTACCGCGAGTCACCGGCTACAAACGCTCGCAACCCAGCATAAGACGAAACTGCAGTCGACACCCCAAAGCACTAGCCACACAGATGTTCAGCGTGGCAATGCCGCTCATGGAAATGTGATGGCAACGATTCAATCCCTAGATTATGTTTTGGAGGTCCTTGATGGGACGACGATGGAGATGAAGGATCGCATGGCGCAACTTTCGGCTAGATTCACGGACAGCCCTCGAGATGAATCTCCGGTCCGTGGCATGGAAAGAGTTTAGTTGAAGTCCTTTCAAGTTGTGCTTCTTTCAGTGTGGTCTGATAACAAGTGTTACAAACTGTTCATAACGCAGCCTGTCATTTTTCTGTACTCAAGTCGTGTTCATGTATTCCGTGAGGTTTTACTCCCTTTACAATAATCTAGTTACTCAGATAACGCCGAGCATGTTCTACTAGGCATGGAGGTACTATATAATTCTTAGTCTTATGATTATATTTGTTAGACCTGGCGGTTATATATGCACATTTGCTGCACCTTAGCAAGCAATGTGCGCTGGCAGGCAAAGCGCACCTTTACACTCGGTGGATTTAGAGAAACAAGTGTCGACTCGACAAGCCACACCTGACCCAGCAAAACCCACCATGAAACGAATGAGCGAGTTCGTAGTAGCAACTACGACATGAAACTGAAGTCCAATCGAAGAATTTTCGTCCTATCCGAACTGGCTATTGTGAGCGGAGCAATACAAAAGATGCTTATTAAGCCCAGCGCATTCAGGGAGACTACTTAATGTCTTCGGCTTCGCGTTTGAACTAAGCTGGCCCCACATCGTATGCAGTCTTTGATCGATGCACTCGCCGGCACTTCTGGGTGCAGCGACGCTCGGCCTTATGGCGGCCGTGGGGCAAGTGGAAGGGTGGCTGTGGATGAAGCTGAACTCGGGGCTGCTCTCGCTTAGCCCTACACTGCGGCGCGTCGCGTTAGGGAGTTACCGGTACGGGCCGCTGTGGCCCAAATCTAGAAGACGCACAACCAGTAAACAGTCGCTAGTGCAGTGGAGCACATGGTTCGGCCGAGGATGTAGGGCGGCGGCCCGACTTCTTCTCCCCTGCCATGCGCGGCGAGGCAAGTTGCATATGGAACACAGTTAGGCTGTGCTTATTACTGACCTCGCATGCAGCTGTTCGGCTTTAATATAGGCGGTGATGACACCATGAGCACAATCGTCGAACGGGGCGTTAAGTATCTCACCGACCATGGCCCGATACAGGAATGACTGCGGCTGCAAGCTGCCTGTCCCCTAGGTAGCCAAGACTCAGGTTTTCCGTCCGTCCGTCGGGGAGGCCCTCCGGGCGCCATACCTTAATGCCGTCGTTGAGGAGATTCTACGGTGCGGGGGACCGACGCCGGCACTTGATCGCGAGGCTATGGTGACACGCAATTCTTCGGCCATGCTATCCCCAAAGGCTCTATGCTGCTGCTAATGACTTCGAGCCTGAGTATCCGCAGCCCGTCCTTCCACATTGACGACTATCTTCGCAATGTGGTCTATTTCTTCACAGATAAGGGTGCAGTCCATGGTCGCTCGTGGGCGAACCATAATCGCCAAGCCTTCTATCCAGATGGATGGCTGGTTCGCTCAAGACGGTAATAGACAAGCTTTTGACCAACACTTGTTTGGCCCCATAGCTGACCCAACGCCTGCTTTGGGTCTTAGAGCTAGAGGCTACTAGGGAAGGAGACTTGCTTATATGGAACTCGAATACATCACTTTAAACTAGAACTATATAAGCCAAAATGCACCTTCCGCACGGAGCTCGTGATATGTCTTTATAAAACGTGTTGATATACCTGGAACTAAGATAGATATAGAAGGATAGATATAGAATATTGATATAAGGTAGGTAATATAGAGTTTAACTATAGTAAGTAATTACTTAGTGCTATTAAGTAGCTGTATCATATACTATAGGTCTATGCTAAGTATTACTACTTGATAGAACACTCATAAGTTCTACTAAAGCTATTCCTACAAACGTCACCTAAAAGCACGTAATTAAATTGCCGAAAGAAGGACCATGACAGGATGGAAATCCCGCTTCGCATTCCTGGGGTAGCCGAAGTTCCCTCTAACAACGGCACCAATAGCACTCAAAGCCAAAGCCCCATCGGTGCATCCTCTCGATCGGTCCCTCAATTGAGTGCTAGGTCTCGCCTCGCCGTTAGGGCCGATTGCGAAACCACCGTCGTGGAGGCTGGGGATGGTTGCGCAGCTATCGCCTCTAGATGCGGCATCTCTTCGACTCAGCTGAAGGAATATAACCGCGACGATCTTTGCACAACAATGGCCAAAGATGAAACAATTTGTGACAGTTCGGGAACCTTGCCTAGTACCCTGCCGCCCGGTAATGCTGACGGGATGTGCAAGCTCAGGACCGTCGTAGCTGGAGACGATTGCAATACGCTCCCATTGAAATGCGCTATAGGTTGACAGGACTTTTTGAAAGCCAACACCAAGGAAAGCCTTTGCTCTTCCTTCATGGAAGGTCAACGGGTCTGTTGCACCGCCGGGGAACGACCTGACCTAAAACTAAAGCCGGATGCCGATGGCAATTGCGCGACTCACCTCACATAGACAGACAAAGGTTGTGCTAGCATCGCTGTTGCTCACGACCGCGAACGTGAAGATTCTGAAGAATTTGACAAGAACAACTGGGGCTGGAACGGCTGTGATCCGGAGAAATTCTTCCGCGACTTCCTCATGTGCGTCAGCGAGGGAAATGCGCCTATGCCTGCCACCGTACCGAACGCTGTATGTGGACCTATGATGCCAGACACTGTCAAAACCGCCTTCAGCACGAACATGAGCGAGCTCAACCCGTGCCCTCTAAACCTCTACTACAACATATGGGGTCAGTGCGGAACCACGGATGACTATTGTACTATGAGAGAGTCCGAATCTGGTGCACCTGGTACTTCTGGTCACCAAAGCGGATGCATCAGCAATTGCGGTAGAGACACCATTGAGGGCCTACAGCTGGGAGCAAGATCACGGTCGCTTATTTCGAATCATGGAACTTTCAATCGCAAATGACACGTTACTTGTCCGCAAAGTTGATGCCCTGTCCTATAGCACACTGCGCATGCTCTGTCCAACGTACTGGCTATGTGGATGCCTCAAGTCGTCGCGAACAAGATTAGAGCAAGAGCCGGGGCCAGACACTCAGGCTCCCATGAATCAGATTCTTCTATTAGGGAGCAGAGTTGCTGACTTCATTTTCTTTTTGTAGCTTCACAATGTCGGTCGAACAGGACCCCAGGACCTACACGCATATCCACTTCGCCTTTGCCAACATTACACAAGGCACATTCGTACCTGAAATCACTGGCGAGACCGTTAGAGAGCAATTCGAGATATTAAATCAGATGAAAGATGCCAAGAGGATCATGCCCTTTGACAGATGGGATTTCGGCAAGATGCCAGGCACATACTTCATCTTGCGCCAGGGTGTACAGCCTGCCAATCGCGAGCTATTCACGAAGAACATTGTTGCATTCATTGAAGAACACGAACTGGATGGTGTAGATATAGACTGGGAATATCTTGGGGTAAGTGCGCACGAGACACATTGAGGACGTATGTTTGACACATGCCCAGGCTCCTGATATTCCAGATTCTCCGTGCGACGATGCTCAAAATGGCGTGAATTTACCGACTTCTCTCGCGACTCAGGACGGCTATTGGATCCTCCAAAACTGTTTCTTTCGCAGCACCCGCATCCTTCATTCGACAGGAGGATCACATCCGCACCAACAATTCCTTCTGAACTCAGATATGCGTCGTACGTGGTTGGTTCTCTCAAGGCTTTTATCACGACCGAGCCTACTTCATTTAGGTCTCTGTGCATGGCAGACATTGACGTAGAGTTTCTCGATGAGACCTTCAGCTTCGGGCCGCCCGCCACTGTGACCGGTAGAGTAATGTAAGCTATGGGAGATGATCCAGAACGTCAGCTCGTGGAGAAGTTGTCCAACCGGGACCCCTTTCCTCCAGAAGGCGCGCAAAGGCGTAACATCATTGCCGAGAAGCCAACGCCTGCAGGACCGTCGGGGCCCGTACCTAAAAATCAGGACCCGGTGACACATAGCAGTGATATCACATGGCAAACTTGGAAACTCACTATTTGCACCGTTTCGAATGGCGGCATGTCCACAAGTGATATCCAGCTCCAAGCTGGTGCCATCTTCATTTGAGTGAGTATTCTCCTATGCACCTTTCAGACAATGTGTCTAATTCATAGTCTCAAGGATGCCTTAGGCGGTCTGCTCGAGTAGCCTCCTAGTGCATACGATAGATGCTCAAACCTGTCACTACGGAAGGAGATCTCACAGATGGCAATGGAACTGGAGTAGCACGCTTTGTTTGGGATTGCTATAGTCAACGCATAGTAATGGCCCATGACCTTTAGGGCGCATGGCCATAATAGAACACACACTGTGGATGTTTCGAATTGCATAGATTATGGGAGAGTAGAGAGGTACATGTGGCGCAGCTTAAAAGATCGCCACTTGATAGAGCCACAAGTACCACCCTCGTTCAACATTTAGCTCAGTTTGCTAAGGCGGCTGCTAAGAGTGGTGCAAGGAGATTTTCGCAGCGCGCTGGGAGGGAAAGCTGGTTTTGCAAGCGACGTGTAACTTGGAGCGGGTGCAGCTCCGCTTCACCGGAAGACTTGCCTGCCACGTCAACAAGGCAGACAGACGTGGGCTGGTCCCGAAAGTGCTGAAAATGGTTAGTAGTGACAAGTTAGAGAACACTGTTCACTGGGATCATCGATTATGCGTAATTAGTTGTGGCTTTCATTTCAGTTACGTCGAGCTTAACTTAAGACATCTAATAGGTCAAGGACTTCTCATCGAAGCGCTTTATCGGAGGTGGGCATTCATTCGACCCTGAAAAGGAAAGGAAAGAGCCTCATAAATTGTATGCTAGCTAAGGGAGCCTCCCATTGGCACCGTCCCGGTCTCAAAAAGAACGCATCCCACGCGTGCATGTAGCAGTCTATCCCATGGCGTTTTCCGATATGCAAACCCCGCTTTTTCGACAAATCATGGAATGACTTTGAGACAAGCATTCGGTCCCATGCCGCGCAAGCAGGGTAGAGAGCTAACATGGCGGGTGGAGCCGCGCAATAATTGGTTAATGTGCGCCGTCCACAAGGCTCCGAGCTTCCCTTCATTTGTCTTCTTGAGCCTCACCGTTAGCCATTATGTACGACAACCATTCATCCATCAGTACAGAATGGTGCGATATTACGAGCAAATTGCTTTTTCGCCTATGATGGGCCTGACTTGTCCCATCCTTGCCACGCGCGCCCTGCGCAATGGCTTCATGCGCCTGTCTGTATTTTCCATGGCTGCAGTCTGGGAAGATCATCTCAGCAAGGCTACCCAGTTCGACAAACCATTGAGTGATCGGCAGTCCAGGCTTGAGGGCCCCTCTTATTTTAAGTATAAGAAACTGCTTGTCCTAGTCGTTGCTTGTCCCGCCAAAGATTACCATACCCAACAAGAACATAAACACAGTCCCTGCCCTTTCACACCCACCTCAGCTTAAGAACAGTTCGTCTGTCAACTTAGTCGTCTTGATGTGCACGTCCTAACATCCGCAGGAACCCGCCTATCGAGACAACATGCCTTCAACCACGCAACAAGAACAGCCTTGGAAGCCCATGCTGGCGAATTTGCGAGGCAGCGGCAACGACATCAAAGCGAAGCCCGACAGTGACGGTTTCGAAAAAGGAAAGCCGATCATTCTCGGTGGCCAAGGCGCTTGGGGCAAGTGGAAGGAGGAAACCCAGAGCCCGAAAGCCAAGGGACTCTGGTACGACACGGCTGAGGGCGGGGAATAGAGCGATGCGTCGCCCGTCATGTACGGTATTTCTTGGTCACAGCGATTTTGATAACAGGTTGGACCGGTGCCAGGACAAATTGAGATGCTTTATTACTCCTGTAAATCCAATTGGAATAAGCTCGTTCATCCTCCAACAGTCGTTCTTATGTACATGCAATTTGACTCGGTTATGGTAGCTGCACTCTCTCAATTATCCTCCTTAATCCTTGTAGTAGACAAGGGCTCGACTTTCAATGCTCTCCCGGCCTCCAGTCTCGCCTGCCGCCCACGGATTCGGGAAAGCGGTGTGCGGCACCCCTTTCACGGGCTGTGAGCGAGGACTGTAAGTATGGAAAGGAGGAAACCTACCGGTAAGCCCTGCAGAATCCGACTGTGGCATGACCATCGTTTCGTCGGTCTGCTGCTGTGACAAGTAGTAGAACTTATACGCGGATGAAGGGTGGACCTGGAAAGTCTCCAGCGCTCCGTCGGGAAAGACGATATCACGGGCTTGCAAATCTTTTGCGGCATTGACTGTCGAAGAATCGCAAACAGCGAGGGGCCAGCTCCGGACGGGGCCAGTCAGAGGCTTCCAGACGCTGCCCAGCATGTGAGGACACACGGTAAATGGGCTTGATCTGAGCTCACTTTACATATTGATACCGTCTGGTGAGCAGTTCCGGGGACTCTGGATTAAACCGAGAGACGAGTTCAGTAGTCGTCGCCGGGCTCGTATCTTCAAGATACGTCAGTAGATGCGTCGCGCAACGCGACATGAATCCCAACATACCAATATGGAGGAGGGTAGCAGGCTGCGAGAATTCGTAGTTCTCGCCCGTTGAAATGGGAAAGTCGGGGTGGCTCTTGCGGACCTACGGGAAATGCAAGTCAGAGAACGAAGAGCGCGTCTTAGGAAAGAAGAACAATATCACCTTGAAATCGATGATTTGGATTCTATCAGCACGAAGAAACGCCTTCAATGTATCCGCGAGGGGCTTGAAGTACCGCTTCGCCAGCTCGTCGCCGTCACATCGTACGAAATCTTGCACCGTGATATCAGAGTCCACACCCATAATCGCAAAACCATTCTTCTCAATAGAGAAGTCGGCCTCCCTTCCCCGGATATCTTTCACTACTATTCCATCATTTTTGCGCGGTACGGCGTTGGATTTAGGAAATCCCGGTGGAGGGTCGAACTTGAGCTCGTATGGCTTCAGGGTGCTCCATAATGGATCTCTGTCCAAGAGGTACATTGAGGTGTTGTCCACATGTTGCAGCATAATGCAAAGGACGCTCGAAACGGGCTGGAGTGGTTCAACATGCGTTGTCGCCTGCTATATACCGTTTAATAAGGTGTCCAGTCAGCCTTCCTGCATGGCAACTGCTCATCAGGCTGCTTGATCGACGATCTCTGATTGCGGTTATGGGCAGCCAGGTAGTACGCGCTAGCAAGCCCACCTGGAGTGGCCTGGGTGACAATCCCTGCACTACTCGCACCTTAACATGGCGGCCAATGGGACCCTTGGAACCCTTGAGAGTGCTAGAAGGCGTCTCTGGTCAGCCGCTACTGCCGGCAGTATGCTTGATTACACACGTGCAACTACCCTCGGCTAATCCGCTACTTTACGACTGGTCCCTCGACTTTCGTCGTTAGTCGTGCTCCTAAACCCTGAGATGTACGATAGAGAGTACATATATATGAGGCCGTCAAACATCGCGAGAGTCGTACAAAGCTCAGTTCCATAACTCCTATAAGTAGAATCCAAGAACAGGGCATCATCTTCGCGCAAGTGAATCATCGAATAGAACAAAGGAAGGGAACACATCTTGTGAAGGAAAATGGACTGTCATCGAAGATGCTCACTGGAACTTTTAATACGATGGTAACAGTTCATCCACAATACTGATTCACACCGGTATGTTAGAGTATGGGAAATTCCCCTTTGGTGCATCCGCTTTGTGTTCGAACGAGTGGCCGCTCTTGTCCACCCTGGAGGCGTTATCGACTGAGGGGACCCTTGCAGGAACATGAGGGTCTAACATATTCGTGTCCATAGAGGAAACAGGGTGGATGGGAAGGACGTTAGCGTTGCTGTGCGCAGGTGAAACCACAATGTCCAACAAACCATCGGCGCTTGTAAAGCTTGGAATGTGCTGGAGATCGCTTCTGTGCTCTTCATCGATCGGCTGCACAATCATAGAGGAAGACCTGGACGGAACGACGGATGGAGATATTGATCGGACCTTGGACCTGCTGCTCCTGATACTCGGCGTTGCATTCGAGATCGAAATTCTACTCGAGTACACCCTAGCCAATTTGGGGGCGGGCAAGGTATCGTCGATGTTTTCGAAGCCTGGGCGTCCAAAGACGCCAGCGCGGAAGTGGTCTCGGTCTTCGAACTTGATCTCTTCGATCGCCTCATCTTCAAGCCGAACCTCCGAACTTTTCGCTGCATGTATCATCCACTCGATCTTGCCGTCTGGGACGTACATTCTCGCAATTTGAGTCTTGTTCCGCCCTAAGAAGAAGAAGTGCCGGCCGGCGCCCCCAAAAGTCATCAGAGACAGGAGAAGGAGAAAGATGAGGAAGACCACTGATAGCTGGACGGTGTCAACCCAGACGCTCACCTTCCTAGGCGTAGGAACGCTATGATTGGTGTTCGCAGCAACCACATAGGCTTGATAGAACCTGAATATATCTCGAGGTGAAGGTGTTGTGACAGCTGCGCCTCTTCCAGCAGCCTTTTCTAGGTCATATTCCCAGTAAGCTCTGTAGCCCATGGCGATCGAGTCCGTGTCATTTAGCCAAACCCAGGGTATAGAATTTTCGTCTAGAACTTTAAATTTACGAGTGATTGTGCACTCTACTCGCGCATAGGATGCCTTTTGAATCGGACCAAACGGCATCCATGTTTCCTCCCCTGTCATTCCTTTGTCTGTGGCCTTCGCTGAAAAGTTTTGGGCGTGAAACACAGTAAGGGACAGCTCAAGCGTATCTCTGTTGGTGTACATTCGGTCCTCCACTTCAGGGTCTGATTGGATGATGACAAACCAGAGTACATGCTTCAGCTGTTTCTGCGGGTCCGTCCACGTTGCCCAGCTGTCGAAGTTGTCGGTTATCTTATATCTCGATTTATCCAGCCAAGCCGAACTGAAAGTCTGTCGGAATGCGCTGTAGAGTTGGAGCGGTTCGTAGATGCTATGATTCCCGGCTGCCACAACGTTGGGTAATATTGTTTCGTGAGTTTCGTTGCAGGCCACGCTCCATGTTGGATCCCATTCATTTGCTACGTATGTCCAGGGTTCGGTAGAAGGCGGCAGATAATCGAGCATTTGAGTTGTCGGAAAATTGGCGCGATCCAAGCTCTGAATCGTATCGTTCCATAACACATTGGCATATAGCAGATTCGAGAAACCTCCAGCGCCTTTCATCGTCTGCATCACCTTGAGGTCCCTTTGTTGGATGGTCTGACCATTTCGAAGTGAAATTTTGGCGATTGGGCCAGAGAACATGCATGTAGCCGTAATAGTCAGTACCACAATGAGTTGTGCAAGCAGATGCCAATTCTCCTTTTCGAAGACCCGGGTACGTAGGATGGCGACAAGGTCCCAGGCATCCCCAGGGCCTGTGAAGGTATATAGCGCACGCAGTGGAATGCTACCTTTTTCACGGAGCAACGTTGCGCTTCCTCGACGCCACCAGAAGCGGGAAAATGACCGTAGTCCGACAGTGCCGAGGACAGAGATGAAGACGTTCAAAGCAGCTTGCACACTCGACAAGCTCCAACGGGTGGAGAGAAGGATCCACAAGATAGCCATGGTGGCAGGGGTGATTGAGCAAGTACCTGGTGTTCGAGTTACGGCTGTTGGCAAGATTGACGCGAAGTAAAAGACAGCTTAGGCGATACCATGGACTTGGGAGTAGGAAGTGGGGCGAAGAGAGCTCTTGATCCATGGATCAATGCTTAAGAAGGAGTGATCACCCTACAATTCTGCCTCATAGTGATGTGAAAGGGACCAGGGTTACGTGTTGGCCCTCATAGTGGTCAAGGATGATATGGTGATGGCCCAGTCGCGAAGCTCCCATCCACTTTCCCATTCCGAATCACCGGTAGTGCGAGTCGCATAGCCACGCATTTCCTCGTTTTGACGTAGAAGGTAGCACGAAGGCAGAGAATTTGAGCCCAACAAATATCAGACGCATGCCCAAAAAGGGACGGGGTCGGGATCAACAATGATGAGCACTGCAGATCCATAAGTAAGAAAGGCCGGTGGTTGGTTCTGGTGGCCCTGTCGTGTCCCCTGTGCCCCTGTTTCAAGATAAGACGGAAGGGACCCGCACCGCCCCAGCGCAGCGGGCGGGCCGTGGCCGTGCCCCCCACGACGTCTACTAGCGCCTTTGCCTTTTCACTCCCATCTCCGACACCCAGTATCCAGCAACAAGGGCAGATGCGAATGCATCGATCCGCGGCCTCATAAGGAGGCGCAGTCCTGCATCCTAAGTGCGACTGGGTTGCGCAGCCCACGTATGCCGCAGTCCTCCACTCGAATATGGAGTTTGAGCCATTTCTCCAGGAGGGCCGTCGCTCGAGCGAAACGCCATCTCCAGAAGGAGAGCCATCACCGAGCGCTTTCAATTTCACTCACCATCCCCGTTTCTTCGCATGCGTGTTCTCTCTCAAGGTTCTCTTCCAATTCTCGGCCAGCCTCCTTGAGTTGCCGATGGTCCAACTCATAGAACGTGCCGCCTGTCGAGACAACGGCTTCGACGTCGGTCAGCCTGGCGATGTTGCTTGCAAGTATCCCGCCGTGCAAGACAAGCTTGCTATTGTGATGGGGTACAAGTGGACTTTTGACTCTCTGCCGTGTGAGTGCCTTGCCAGCTTACGCAACGAGTCTTGCACTAACCCGCCAAGGCCTTCTCACGGCCTTGTCTTATGGGGCACTGGCAAATTCACGCGGTAGACGCTTCGTAATGACCCTAAGCATCATAGGGCAGCTGCTTTCATTATGCTGGGTTATGCTTGTCTGTATGTATGCCTCTGGATCATTTCAACTTGTCATTCACCAATTTTAGGCCTCTCCCCCACGGGAATTCCCGTTGAAGGCATCTGGCTTTCGTCCGTATTCCTATTCCTCGGAGGGGGTGGAAGTGTAGAGCTTTCCATGATCTTCACGACTTTTTCCGACATGGTACCTTGGAACGAAAGGTGAGGCAGTGGGTATAGTATACCTACCATGAACTAATGAATGGTACAGGGCGCGAGCTCTGTTGTATCTGCACGCACTCACACACGCCAGCCGCCTAATAGGTCCTCCCGTTGGATCTCTTCTAATGGAAAACCATCTATGGGCACCCTTTGCAATAGCAATCGTAGCTCTATGTGTGAGGCTCAAACTGGCTCGACTCCTGCCAGAGACTTCGCCTTTTTTACGGCGGCCGGATGCAGGTCATTCAAGCTCTGAAGCGGACGATGCGCGCTCTTTATCGAGCAGCCCCACGAGAAGCTCACGAATGGAGACTTCTCCAATCTCACTTCATTACGTATTTCACCTGATACGCAGCAGCAAGGTATGGAGATACTTGGAACATCCAGCGCTGGTGGCTGTATTCGCCTGTTTCGTTGTCAAAAAAATCGGATTCGCAAGTGAAGGGATGGCGTTCCAATACGCCTCTGAAATCTTCAACAAGCGGCTTTACCAGACAGTGTGGCTTCGTATTTACAACGCAATCAGTGCTACATTTGCGCTTACCGTCCTCATTCCAGTCATCACGCGACAATTTTGCCTCGTGAGCCCGGCTAAGGATATCTGGGTGATACGAGTTAGCCTGATCGACATTGTCGTCGGCTTTCTCCTGCAATGGCAAAGTAGAACTTTCGCCGTGCTTTGCATAGGTAATTTCCATCCTCGCTACCAAAGATCAGTCTTCATTTGACGGCACGACAGGTATGACGGTTGGAGGCCTTGGTGAAGGCCTCGAGGCTTCGCTTCAGTTGCTCGGCTCGTACATCGTCGGCAAAGCCAATCACGCCAGTTTCTTTTCTTTTGTGAGCATGCTTGATGTCGTGGGCGATCTGCTTGGAGGACCAATCATGGCCTGGACATACACAGTGCGAGGGGCAAACCAGTTGCCTGCTGGATACTGTTTCCTTCTGTCAGCCGTACGTATAATGTCCCTCTCGCGATCAAAGGCAGGGCTAATCCGCGGCCTAGGTTTTATTTGGCTGCCTATTGGCCCTGGTCTGCTATCTTGTCAGACCTACACGGGTGTGACCGTCAGCAAAAGTCAATGTGGGGTGGCTGGGTGCATTCCGAAGCTCGTATATTATTCACGCGTGGTGACCCGAATCGGATGCTTATTCGTGCCTTGTCCGGTTTGCGCTTCACTTTGTGCGGTCTCTAAGCCACTGGCGAGATTAGGCCTATCGCGAGCCACGATAAATGCGCTGCGATTCGGCCTTGCTCGAATAGCCGGGTCAGCGCCTTCCCGTTAGAAACGGCTCAGTCGTCCCCACTTTCGTTGCCTTTCCAGACAGTAGCTTGTTGGATCTTCGATTGGCTCGGTTCGTGGGTGTTGCACTTCGCTTGGCAACCCTCACTTCGCGCAAGGTGAGGGATTTCCCGACAAGGCCGCTGCTCAGTCCCCACCTTATCATGCGCTTCTCCCCGTCTGCACTAAATATTACGAAGATACACGGCGATCATGGAAGGTCCGCCCCATGTTGACGTGCATTTGATCCTCGATAAGCCTGGGTTAACCACGGAGTCGGGGAACAACACTACTGGAACTCGAGGTGTGCTGAGCCTCAATACTGACGAGTCGATCATCTCGCTATCGAAGTTCTTCTGATCAATATAACAGTCCATTATAGAATCAGCGAGGCATGCAAATGGCTACGGGCAAATGTGCGTCGAGCGTTCGCGGATATATTATAGGTTATACGTCATTTATAGAGAAGACATATTGTTGTACGTGGATCAAAAATACCCCCACCAGGCGCGCGTCCGGTCGACTCTTTATCGTTTAGCGAGGGCGAGCGGGCGTGATACCCCCAGAGAGCGAAAGTGCACGTTTAGCCTTCAAGCATTGCAGGATCAGCTCAAAGCAGGATCGTGCTCCTCGACCTTTTTTACTACATGTTATGTGCGCTGCTCCCCGCAGGGTCCGTGTGACTTGTGGCGGTATTTAGTAGCCCACGATGGTGGCGAGCTCAGTAGTCGGGGCGATGTAAGGCTGTATCTGGTCCCTCACCTTGGTCCGCTGTTCAAAAGCGTAAGCAAGCCCAATGAGAGTGCTTTCCGTGAACTTTGAGCCCAGGAAGCTGATTCCAAAACTATGGAAGACACGTCAGACCGGGTGAACTTTCAAGGAAGCCTGCTGCTCACAAGACTCACGGAAGATTTGGTGCCAGCTCAACCAATCCCCAGTCATTCTTCACGATCGGGGTATCCGCCGGGTACGAGCCCAAGGGCACCGTGATCGCGGGCGTCCCTACAACTGCTGCGAAACTGTGTCCGAATTTCGTTGGGAGAACCACGGCGTCAAGAACGTTGCGTTCAATCGCGCCGAGCAAACCACCTTCTCCACCATAATACATGTTCTTCTGATATGCCGGCCAGAAGCGAGGATCTGTGTTGTTCCAGTTCGCTAGCGCTTGGTCCCAGACCCCCGTATCTCTGGTGGGATAATCTTCGAGCGGAAAAGATTGTGTGAAATTCCTCAGGCTCTCCAACGAAGTAATATTAGAAGGGTTTTCTATTAGCAGGTCAAGATAACCCTCCAAATTCACGACAAAGTCAGCATTGAGGATTTCAGTGGGTAAGGTCGAGTTCTTGAACTCTTCTGCAGCGGTAAAATTGCTATTATCGACGATGATAGCTCCCGCTTCTTGAAGAATTAGTAATGCTCGCTCGAAGGCGTCAGTTAATGGACCCGTCGTATTGTCAGAGTAGAGCGAGAGAACGTTGCGAGGAACTCCGATTCGGGCACCGGATAGAGCAGAGATGTTGCAGGCGGCAATGTAGTCGGGGATGCTTCCATTGCCCGGTATGGCCGAGGTGTAATTATCGTATGGATCAACGCCAGCAATGGCTTGCAGGATGTGAGCCGCGTCCTTCACCGTTTTTGTCATAGGCCCAACGCTGTCTTGATGCTCACTTATTGGTATAACCAAGTGTCTCGACGTTAGACCAACGCCCACAATTCGTATCAGTATCGTGGGAGTGCATGTTGCCCGCGAAGAGTTACTTACTTGGTTTGATTCCGACGAGATTCTCAAGCGAAGCTGGCGACATGATGGAACCATCTGTTTCGGTGCCCAGGCAGCCCAATGCCAGCCCAAGAGCGGCCGCTACCGCACTGCCACTCGAGCTCCCGTTCGGATCTTCGGCGGGCCAGTAAGGGCCGTACACTTGGCCGCCGATGGCTGACCAGCCATTACTAGAGTTTCGCGATCGCCAATCGGCCCATTGGCTGAGGTTTGCCTTTCCAAGAATGATAGCTCCTACAGCTCGCAGCTTCTCCACAACCGTCGAGTCTCTGGGGACCATGGCTCCAAGAAGAGCCCATGAACCAGCTTCTGGAGTATCAGTGGAAACCCTCTCCCCGCAATCTAGAGATCTTACAAACTGACCGGTAGTATTCATCTTATCAAATGTCGCTATGTTATCCTTGATGATGATGGGGATCCCATGGAGGGGCCTGCGGGGTTCAGCGGGATGGTAATGTTGCTGACATTGGAGTTACTCGCCCACGAATGCACCCGGATAGCCGTTCAGAGTCCAACGCGGCGGCAATTGCTATAGCATCGGGATTTACTTCATTGACAACATGCAGCTTATCGTTCACTTCTGCGATCCGGCGAAGGTACGCCTGTAGAATTCGTTAATGGGATGGCTGAGAAAGCCATACAATCCAACGGGTAAGTGGAACAAATGCTCTAGTCGTAAGGCTTGATTGCATGTCGGCTTGATGTTCCCGGGACTATAGGGACCTTGTCGTGGCCATTGACGATTCTCCCAAAGAATAGTCATTCGCACCTTGACCAGGTCCACACTAGTGAACTGTTCGTTATTCAGCCCTGCCATAAGTGTCTCAACGGTCGCTTCCATTAGCGGCGGGAACGATCCTTCTCGCGCTAGACAAGACAGTTAGTCAAATACTGTTTACGTATCGGTGAACGTACCCGCCGAAAGCCCGGAACTCTGAATTGGCGTCGAGCTGACATAATGGACAAACAGGGGACCCAGGCTCAAGGCCAGCTGCACAGAGATCTTCATAATGCACGAAGCTCTTGTGATGTTGGCGGAGGAGCTCAATAGTTCTTGTGCATCTCCTCGCAGTGTGTAGCCGCACTTTTGAAGTCCCACGTCGCGCCGCCGTTCACGCCAAGGCACTAGGAGAGTCACGCGTGCCCCTGCGTGCAAGGCTCATCACACCTGCGCACATGCGGTGCGACCGGCGCCACCAATAAACGTTCCTCCATCCAGTTTCCTAGATTGGCGAAGATCACTGCACGGAAGTACACATGCTGCGGTACACCCGGCCAATGAGCTTGGGCCCCAACACTGAGAGAGATTCCGGCGAAACCCTGAAATCGTCCCACAAGTTGGAATGACAATTTTCGATCGCGTGTAATGGGAGTTATATCACGATAGAATAGAAATTCAATAGATCAGGGGTACTAATCTACCTATGGTTTCTAAGCTACGTAACATGCTCAACATTACTCAATATTATTTTACAATTGATAGCAGTAAGGTTATCTATGATGAACATCATCACCATTAAAGTCTCCGTACAGTTTTCTAAGTATAGCTAAGTGCATCTCAACACAGTTATTCGGAACCAGTATTGTGAGCTGCATGGAGGATAATTACCCGCCTTGAGTGTACGCCTGTGAGAACTCTCTGTGCCACCGCGCTGGTGGTGGAACGGTGGTCTATTGTATGTCCTGGATTGCGGGTTGTAGGTTGCATCTCGCGGCCATTTGTGGTTGACTTCCTCACATCAACTAATAGTGACCTGAAACATTCATACGCGGCATGTGATAGATGTCGCAACAGTAAAAATAGCGAAGTTAAGCTTCGCCAGGGTTCCAGTACAATTGCGTGGTAGCTCGCATCACTAACAGCCGCAGCAAGGCACCCTGTATCGCTAACAGTACTAACAGACAGCTTGGGTGGAACACGTGACAGTAGTACCGAGATGTCCTAGGTGCAGGCTATCAAGTCGATCAAACTCCGTCACTTGGGTGATAGGTGACATGTAATGCAATCTTACATCCGGCCTCAACACTTCTGTAACAGCTCTGGCTTGGGAAGTTACCTAAGGAAAGCAAAAGAACTTCAAGCACCCGGTACCTCTGCCGATTTTGCCTCGGCCTTTCCCTTCACACTGTCTTCGCCCTTTCCGTCACTTGAAGAAGTCTCCGCATCAACCTCTACGCCGTGAACATACTCGAATCCTGTAATGACCTTGGGTATCAATGAGGGTTTGTCGGGAAAGAACAAGTTCAAAGTGTAATATAAAAAGATAGACAGGAAGAACCCATAGAGCCAGTTGATGGTAAAAAGATTTTTGAGACCTTGCTGGAGACGGATGTTGGGATTGACCTTGTTGGCTAAGGCAGGAAGCAGTGGAATGATCGTAATGAAAATCGCCGCGACGGCCCGCCAGTTACTGCCGTACTTCCCGTACCGATAGATTCCCCGTGGGTCGTAGAGCGCAGGGACGTCATATTTCCTGTGTTTTACCAACCAGTAGTCAGCAAATAATATTCCGGCCATCGGAGCCATAAAGATTGCGTATGCGCTCATGAAGTTGAGAAAGGTTTTGCCCGAGGAGACAATAATCCATGGACATAATGCCCAGCTGCCGACTATGGAGACGAGTATGGTTCCGCGTCGGACGTTGAACCATTTGGGAGCTATGGTCGTGACATCATTGGCGAAGGAGACGGCGTTCGCGCTGACATTCACGCTGACCTGACTGAGAAGCCAGATAGCTGCGCAGAAGAATGCTGCAGCACGACCGCCTGGAGTGCCTTGCCACTTGTCGATTATCTGTATTGGTGTCCAATATGGTGTACCCCATATCTGCTGTGCGGCAGACGCGGAGATGATGCCCATGAGGGCTGTCAAGGTTTTCAAAAGCGGTATCGTCGGTATCTGCCAGTAATGGGCATGTCGGTCTTTGCTGAAGCGTGAGAAGTCCGAGATGTTTACTGCGAGAGTGCTATATCCACCAGTAACACTAGTCATACTCGAGAGCCACAGCCATACGCGCTCACTTCCATGAACCTTGGGCTGTTGGTTAAAGAAAGCTCCGTTGCCACCTGCTTTCAGCGCCACCCAGATAGTCTACCGCATATCGTTAGCATGGAATAAATTAGGTCAGGTATAGTAATTAGACAAGCGGCAGCTTACCATACCGATGGCGACTGGCGGCATCAAAACAGTCTTGACCCAGAACAGATACTGCAGCTTATGAGTAGGTATGAGGAGCATTGGAGCTTGAATCAGCCAATATAAGAAGTACGATATCATTCCAGCGGTGCTGAGACCTGCAGATGCGGGCAAGTGATTCGGTAGAGTCTTGAAACTGGGCCAGATAGCAGTGAGCATCTTGATTTCAAGTTAGCACAGCACTCTGTGGCGAAGGGAAGCAACGCACGGCCGAGACACAAGTACCCCCATATCCAGTATGAACACCGAACCAAAACATAGCCAAGATGCCTCTGCTTACAACAGCAAAGTAACTGAACCAGTATCCGTGGCTCGCTCTAGAAGCGATCGGAAAGGGGACATGCAGATCGGCACCGATGGCACCGTTGAAGACCGTTGGCACGGCATTGCAGATGCCAGCGACCAAAGTGATGAGCACGGCATCGGTAGCAGAGAGGCCTATGATACCCAGTCAGCATTATCGCATGTTGTGCAAGACCTGTTCAGGCATACCTAAGGTAACGATGGCCGAACCGGTGCTCCACGTCGAAATGGTGACCAGGTCCGAAACCCAGTAAGCAACGAAGGCGCCTCTCCCCCAGGTTCTCCTCTCCGGAGGCACGGGATCCATGTCCGCATTGGTCCAGACATCGTGTGGTGCAATACTACTCGACTGCTTCGGTAGCTTCCAGCTGGACGGTTGTGTGACACGCAAGCGAACTTTTCGGGCCGCTGCATGTCCTCGTTCTTTGATCTTCAAGCGGTCCATTAGAATGCCCAGCAACAATACCGCTGCTTGTTGCCATTCCGCTGGTCAGCGAAGCTGTATTTGATGCCGCAGTTGTGAATGACTTGATGGTAAGTATGCGCTAGGCTCTTATCTCGACTTTATCCGGGGTGATGCGTTATCAGTAGCTCGGCCCAGATACCATTATCACAGTAGACTGCGAGCGATGCTAAGATGAACGATTGTTCATGGCGCGCATTCGACGGCATCATCGGACACTCATAGCTCGGGCGAACTGCACCTGAACATTGTTATCGCAGCAGTAATAGGGAGGGAGTGGAAGCTTTGGCTGTGGGCTTTCTCGGCTTCATCGGCTGTATCTTGATTGGCCGAGATCGTCCGTCTAGCTTTCTCGCCCCCACCCCCGCAAAATGGCCACGACAGCACCTCGGGCGAGGCTTGCGTGCATCGCATGCACGCGGAGGAAGGTGAAATGCAGTTCTCGGGAAACAGGACATGTGCCATGCACGAATTGTGCGCGAAGGTACGTCATAGGTGTTCACCAGGCCTTGGGACGTTCATTAATTCGCTGAGCTGCAGGGGTGAGCAAGCAACATGCGGTATCAACATCGGCAATGACACTTTGCCATCACCGTCAAGTGCCAATTCACGAGATCTCGAGCTTGAGTACTTGCGGCGTAAAGTGAGCGACCTCGAAAATGGTATTCGGGTAGAGTCGCCCACCATCGATGTCGGAACGCCACATGATCGTCGCCACAAAGAAATCGTCGAAGGCTACGACGCCGCCACAGGACCGCATCTTGACGGAATCGAAAGTCCTCCAGAACGAAGCGGACATGACTCTGTCGCTCAAGATGCAGCGTCTATTCTGGAATTCCTGGCCTGGGGTAGAAGGAAAGACCCAGGTTTACCAGCCGTTGCATCGCCAGAAGTGGACAGGAACGACTGCCATGAGAACGAGCCAGATATCTTTGAGGATTGCTCATCGCTTGCCGTCATTCAACTCTTGCTACCGAGTGAGGTCCAAGTGCGGCAGCTTGTCAACTATCACTGCAATGCTTTACTTTGGTATCATGGGTCGTTCTACGCTCCAACTTTCATGGACCAACTACAAACCTTTTGGGGTCGCCTTGGTGGCCAGCTCACCGGATCAGAGGTGGACTTGCAATGGGTAGCATTGTTGTTTTCAGTCATGACTGGGAGCTTGACATGTGCGCCGCCAGCGCAAGTGCAGTCGTGGGGATTCCGTGATGCGGAACAAACCACATTGTCAAGACGCTGGTTCCAAGCAATTACCACCTGTCTCAACCGTGGCGACTACACCTCCAATCTCAGCATATTCTCATGCCAGGCAATTGCCACCGCCACTATTGCAGCACATCTGCTCGGTTTTAGCAGTTCGCAAAGCATACACCTTGCTGCTGCCGTGCGAGTCGCCCAATCCCTGGGACTTCATCGACTTGGCCCAGAAATAACAGGTAGCAAGACAGAGAAAGAGATAAGTCGACGAGTTTGGACACAACTGTGCAGTCAAGACTGGTTCGGCATCCCTTTCTCTGAAAGCTATCTTGTTAATCCTCTCTATACGACCTCCGAGCCTCCAATGAATTGCCATGACCATGACCTTGTCTCTTTGCCAACATCGGAACCCACTATCACTTCCTACTGTCGGTTCCTCTACGATATCGCCGCGATCATGCCTCAACTACAAGACGCGCTAATGTCATGCAACACACCATACACGAAGTATGAGCAAGTCTTGAAGTGGGATGCGCGACTTCGAACTTTGGCAATCAACAAACGACCTGCCTTTCTGAGTGCCGTCCCGTTGGAGTCGAATTGGCCGGACTGGATACCGTGGGCGCGACGAGCTTTGGCAATAAGCTCCAGCCACAAGATCATCATGATTCATCGATCCTTCTTGTCTGCCAGCTTCACGAACCCAGCCTTTGCTTTCACGCGGCGCACGTGCATTGCTGCGTCCAAAACCATCGTCAGGGAGTATAAACTGGTAGTCAAAGAAGATGGGCCGATATTGTGGATTCATCAAGCTTTTGCAGTAGCCGCTGGTATCATTCTTTCACTGGATATACTTCACCAAGATCAGAGGTCGCAAGAATACGACGAACACTGTGATTTGGTGGGCACGATGGTCAGCATGTTGCACTCTTGCAGCAATAGTACGATTGCCTCACGGGGAACAAAGCTATTGGAAGCTCTCCAGGTGGAGATTTCGAAGAATGCTCTAGCTTTCCAGGGTACTAAACGGCGTCGAGATGGTACTGCCATCAAAGGTTTCAGCGTACCAGCGTTCGTTAAACAGTTCCATGAACAAGGTTCACTTCAGCGCCATGATCTAGGGACAGTAGCTTCGCAGGAGCCTCCTTCGATTCATACTCAGAATCAACCGTCGCAAACCTACAATACCGACTTAACACTCCTCAACTACAATTTCTCTTTTGTAGCCCCAGGGTTCAATGAAGATAATGGATTTGAAAACCTTCTATACCTAGCCAATCACGAATTCACAGGTCCCTAAACAGGTGGGGCGTAGATTGAGAATTTAGGAGCATGGCGCAAATGTCGACTTGGTGCGCAATACAACGGAAAGACTCATTTAGAGAAGACAAAGGACTGCTTCATGGATCTCTCAACGCCCTCGCCGCAGAACACAATGCAACACTGCTCAAAAGCTTATCAATCGCCTGCTTGACACCCTGCAAATCTTCAAGGATAGGCTGGTGCCCACTTCGGACAACCTTGATCCAGCTGGTACCGCCCAGTAGCACGCTGATGTCCTGCGAACGCTGTACTGGACTGATCATATCGCGATCTCCTGCAACAAAAACAACTGGTGAGACGATCTTCCCATATTGTGGATCTTTATGTTCTAGATCAACGATCGCTTCGCATGTTTGTGCATATGCTTCTGGGTCAGCGGCGAGCACCGCACGTCTCACTTCCTCTCGCGTGGACGGATCCACTATTCGTTCAAGCCTATATCCTAAGTTATTGCCCTCTCTAAAACGATGATTGGAGGCTTTACGCACGTATCCTCGTAGAAGTTCGACTTGGTAGCAATATCAGCTGCAAATGCAATGCCTTTTGATCTCACTGCCGTCGCAAGATCGCACATGCGCTGCCGGGCTGCTGGGATGTGTCCTGCCGCCACACCAACTCCGAGGAGCGCTAATCCACCAATTGCCTCCGGATATTTCGCTGCGTACTGTAGAGCAACGATCGCACCCAGAGAATGTCCAATGATGACGGTATCTCGCGACATTTCCGGAGCTCCTTGTAAAGCCGCGATGAGCTCGCCCACGTCTGCGACATAACTGGCCACAGAAATTCTACCTGCCGATAGTTTGAGAAGGGAACCTCCAAAGCCCGGAAAGTCGAGTAGGATTATGTTACGATTTGAGGGGAGATGTGGCAGGAGAGGAGTGAATGTATCGCTGGAACCACCGAGTCCGTGGAGGCAGAGTAGCAGAGGTCCCGAGAGGCTTCCGGTTTGGAAATAGTGCAGAATGGTGCCTTCCCTAGTTGTGTAGTACTTCGATTCGAGTGCTCGTAAGGTCATCGTCGGTATATTGCGCCTCTTTCGAAAGCAAACCTTATTTTCACTCTCAGGTAAGAATTCCTTCTCTCATCGTAACACACGTAACTAATAATCGAATCGATCAGGGTCGGGTAAATCCGCTACGCTGCCGTGCAAGGATGCTCGGCCGAGAAATGGGTGCGCTATCTTCGCGTGTAAATCCATGGAGCACGCTTCCTCGATAGTCGGACGCAGCTCGATCGCATCAATCGGTCTTAACGACTGATGCTTGAGACGAGTTTCTTATCTGCTTCCTTTCGATGCTGATGGAATACTTCCGAGGCATGTAGCTAAGCCCGAATTGGTCACTTGTGGTCATAGCCACGACAACATATGAAATAGAACTTCTACTCCAGGCCATCTGGAGCTACGAAAACAGTTACCCGTCGTTCTTCAATACAAAGTAACATCATGGTCATCACTGCTACTGTTACCGAGGATGAAGTCACCAAGATCCGCATCACGCCGCCAAAACAGCAGATTAGTCTTCCCCATTCTGATACAACGGCTGGACGCGTTGTGCCTATAGTGCACGCGGAATCTAGCGGGGTTGATTTTGGAGCTGAAGTCTATGGCATCGACCTGAACAGATTTACCGATGCTGACTTTGACTTGATTTCCGATGCGCTTCATAAGCACAAATTGCTCGTTTTCAAGGAGCAACCCGCTATGCTGAGGCCACAACAACAGTACATATTGACAGCAAAGTAAGTATACGCCGACTCTATAATCTATCTACGCTAATCCATATCGACAGTTTCGATCCCAAAGAAACGACCGGCGGCTTCGCTCATGGTCACGACCCATTTCTCACGAGTCACGATGGTGTTGACTTCTACGGTATTCCAAAGCGACCTGCGCTACCAGAACAACCGCAAGTACACATTCTTGGTCGTGGCGCTCTTCCCGATGGACACTTCGGTTTCCCTCCCGGGTTCGAAGTACAAGGAATAGACCACGAAGAATTCCATCTACCGCCGCATATTCCCGCAGAGGAACGCGAGGCTGGTGCATCGCGTTTCTACCAATGGCATTTTGACGGCTCGCTGTACAACATCCCACCGCCGCGTGTTGGTTGTCTTCTTGCTGTGCGAACTCCCAAGGGTCCTGATGTCACTGTGCGCTGGGAAGACGAAGCGGGAACCGAGATGAAGATGGCACCTGGTGCGACGGCCATGGTAGCTGGTAGCCGAGCATTGGCGCTTCTGGATGAAGAAACGCGGCAGATTATTCTCAACAGTAAGATCGAGTATGCGCCACACGCTTTTGCATGGATGTCGACAGCGCACAGCACACGACTCGGACATTCGATTGAGACTGAGGGTCTTGAAAAGCCACTTGAAGAATTACCAAAGTGGGACAAGAGCAAGATTTGTGTGTACCCGATGGTATGGACGAATCCTAAGACGGGCGAAAAGTCATTACAGGTGCATGGACAGGGCGCATATAAGCTGTATCTCAAGAACAGCCCTGATGGAGGGGAGACTGTGGTTGAGAACCTCGCAGAGGTGCGTGCTTTCATGGACAAGTAAGTTCTAGTTATTTCAATGAACCCTCTACTTCATGGTACTAACATGTCTGGAGAATTATGCGACCGGTCTTGCGACCGGAGAACATCTATGCGCATCCGCATCAGGAGCAAGATGTGATCTTGTGGTACAATAGGGCCTTATGGCATAGCATCGTACGTCAAATTATCCAAATCTACATCCAAAACCTGTGAAGTGATTACTGATTTCCCTGCGTAGACCGAGTTTCCGAAGTCGTACGGGCCTAGAGTTATGCACCAATGCAATGTCGCGGCGAGCGATCACCCTTCCGGATAAATGAATACAAGCCAGCGCAACTGTATATTTTAGCTCGTGAATCTATGCAGCCCAGATGTCATAACGTGTAGACCCTTATATCGTGCACGTTCTATATGCAGATGAAACGCGTTGAACTGATAAGTCAGGATAGAGATGGCGATGTGAATCAATCCTAGCCAATCCCATGTTGCTGTAATTCGCAATATTAGATTGGGAGCAAGGGAAGGAATAATGCCCGCACAAAGAAATCGAATGATGCGCGAGGCTGGGATCGCTTTTTCAGCTAAGGGACGCGCGGGGACGCGAGGCTCGGAAAACGGCATGAATCATATGTACATCAACAAATTCACTCCATCTCAAAACGCAGTGTCCATATACATGATCCCTGGTGCCGAAAGTTGACCTTTTTGTAAGATGATGGTCCATTAAATTTGGCATGAAATTGAATTGGGCTTTTAGAAAATCATGCGACAGCCTCTACAGGCAGGACCTTCATTTCTGCCACCTTTGTATTCTCCTTCGCCTTCAATTTCTCCTTCAAGGCTCCGTAATATTTTTCCATGGCTGCTCTATTGAACTCCTCTCCGGTTACAGCGGGATACTTCTTTTTGGGTCCCTGGATAATCGCATCCTTGACTGGCTGGTTAAAGAACGCAATGCTGTATCTCTCCCCAAAGTAATCACCTTCCTCAGATGGTGCCTTCACCCGGTGATACGTACTCTTAAAGCGATCGTCGCTCCAGCTCATCAGTAGATCGCCGATATTGCAGACAATGAGACCAGGTTGAAATTCGACCTTGGTCCACTCATCACCGAGAGCGTATTCGGTGACCACTTCGCGACCTGGACAAATCTCGAGCCCAGATTGACCAGACTGCTGGAAAAGAAGAGTTAAAAAGCCCCAATCAGCATGCGCTCCTGCACGGTGTCGGATTATGCCGTCGTTGGTCTTGGGAGTCTCGTAGTAATGGAGCAAGCGAAGCGTCGACTGCGAGTCCGGCCGACTGACGTCGTGATACCTGACGAAGTAATCGTCGTCGAAGCCCAGCCCCCGCGCAAGGCACAACATGAGCTTTTCCGAGACTCCTTGCACGCGATGCATAAACTTCAAGCTATTCTCCTTAAAGTCAGGTAACTCATGTTCTGTAATTCACGACTGTGCCATGTTCTCGCCAAATTGGAGCTGGTATGATTCTTTAGTGTCGGCTGCGCCGGTCGAGGGCCGTACCTGCGACATCTTCTCCCAGCCCACATTTTGCGGACTCCACGGTACTGTCGCTTTCGTGGTATCGGGCAGGCTGAAGAACGATTCCGAGACGGAGAACATGGATTGTACTTCGTCTTCGGAAAGGCCATGGTCTTTCACGGCGAAGAAGCCAACGCTCTCTGCGGCAGCGCACATTTCTGCAGAGATGTCATCGATGCGATGCTCGAAATCGTGAAGAGAAATCTATACAACTAGTTAATGATCGCCTCAGGCCACACTTGGACACAGCCTACCTACCTGGGGAATCTCGCGCTCCACGTATTTTGTCTTGGAAGCCATTGTAGCGTTGGCTGAATGGGGATTGTTCGCTGTTTTGGCAAGATCGAATCTTGTTGTCTTGCTGACATCCCCCCCTACATTCTGGCAACTACGTAAGCTGCTTCAGTGTTGCATGGCTAAATCCGAGTGGCTCGCTTGCTTTACCCCAATTCCTGATGACAACCCGAGTGCCATCCGAGGCTACGCCGATTTGGACGTAGCCTCGGCCGTTCACATTGATATCGATAAGACACCCAAACCTAACCCTCGGCCGAGGCTACTACCTCAGTCCTATCTTCGCATTCACGGCGAATGGTGCATGTCAGGGAAGGACTGGTCATGCTCGTTGAACTCTGTGAATATGTATAGGCAATGATTGATTAGAGCAGCTGTATGAGGTTTATACGAGTGATATCATTAGCTTCGATCTCAAGCCAAGTCCACAACTTTTTGCTTCGCAATCATGACTCCATTGATTATGGCTCCTAAGCCTACGTTCATCGCGACACCCATGAAGAAGACATCGATCGAGAAGCACAACTTTGGCGCTGTAATCGATGGACTTGATCTTGAAGACATCAGCGGTCAGCACTTGACGCCTTCTTGTCCCATTCGTGCTGAATATGACCATAGATTCCGACGTGAAAGCACTGGCAGACGCTATCTGGACATACAAGTTGGTGGTCGTTAAGGGCCAGAAGCATGTTCGACCCATCAAGCAATGGGAGCTAGTTACCCGATTTGATCCAAAAGCACCACTGGTACACTCTCACGGCGATCTTAAGACTTTCAACAAGCAAGGCGGTCTTCTCTCGGTAAATTTGATACTCCTTAATTTGCGCGTGTTTTATAGCTAACATCGAGCGCAGAAGGGACGTGACGTGTATAGTGTGCCAGGAGCCGAGAACGTTCGAATAATTGGAAAAGGCTACCAGGGTCCTGATCACTTCGGCCTCAAAGAAACCACGATCCGCAAAGAAGTCTTACACGCTTGGCACAACGACAAGGTTTCAGACGAAATATATGCTCAGGGTCACACACGGTTTCAAAGATGGCACTTAGACGCGCCACTATACGCGCGTGACCCAGCCTTGTTCACAACTCTGCGCTGTTTCAAGCGACCCACTCAGCCTAATGTCACCATTCATTGGGACGACGCGAGCGGGCACAGTATGACAACCGAGCCCGGGCTCACTGCCTTTTTCAGCAATGTACAGACGTACGATCTCATGACAGACGACGAGAAAATGATCGCAGACCACTCGTGGGTAGAGTACGCGCCGCATCCGTACCAATGGATGAGCGATTGTAAGAGCCAAAGCACTGGCCTCGGACTTGTAAGTCAGGGAAGGGAGAAGAAACTTGAGGAGCTATCTCCTTATGAAGAGAAGGACATCAAGCGATATCCGATGGTGTGGGTCAACCCTGTCACTGGCGAGCGCGCATTCATGGTCCACGGTATATGTGTACGGCGGGCGTTCATGCGGTCATCAGTTGATGAAGATCCGAGAGTCATTGACGATGTTGTTGAGATTCGAGAGTGGTTGGCGAACATTCAGCAACGCGTGTTGAAGCCGGAATACATCATGAATCCGAAGGTAGAAGAGGGCGACATTATCATGTGGGCAAATTGGCAGGTGTTCCACTCAGCGGTGGATTACCCAGACCATTGGGGAGCAAGGACTATGCATCAAGCTAATATTGGATCAAGTCGACAGCCTGTTGGTCCAACACCAATTCCCGTATTGGTGTGAGCAACGCACAGTGCCGTTGAAATAACGGTATGACGAAAGTTGACGAATTCGAACCCTATTCTTCGGGAATAGTATTGCAATGTAACAAACGTCAACACTGGAATTGTAGCGGGAAAAGACGTGTTCATCAGCTAACATATCTTAATGATCGAAGAGAAACGTCACACTTGCTACATGGATGTCCTTGATATCGACAATAGTCGTTTTGGACGTCCTTGCAGAAGTCTTTCCTGTCAGCCTTAAACTCTCTATTCGCGGCAATAATCTCGCCCACCTTCGTGCCCACCGTGTTCAACCTCGCCTGCTGGTCAAGCTGCGCCGCCCACCGAATGCCAAGATACTTGTCCGACGCGGGGTTGCAATTGCTTCTTTTCTACGTAGCACCGAGAGCGGGGCAATACAGGTCTTTGGTGTACGTTTCTGCGATATCGGCTAATGCAGACTCATTCCCGACGATTTTGATGCGAGACACGTTCCCTATGGCTGCTGATCGTGCGAGTGCATTGTGGACATGAGCGAGGAAGCGGATCCCGCCACTGAAGAGATTTCCGATGTTTTTCTGTCGCTTAATGGATGGAAGTGGCGGTGCTGCGAAGAAGGAACTCAATGATAGAGTGGGTGTAGATGTGAGCTCGTTCGGAGCCAAGATGTTGGGCGATGTTTTTGTAGAAGGCTTGGGAAATCCACTGGCTTCGGGGTCGCCTCTATCAAGTTTAGGAGTTTGACCGGTAAGTCCACTATAACATAGAGCCGAAACACGTCGTGGAAAATATGAAATAATTGTCTGACTACATATGTGTGCTGTGCTGAAGACCCACCACTTGACATGTTCATTCTGCCCAAACGCCTTGCTTCAGCGCTAGGAGAGCACCAATCCTGCTTCCAAATATACAACCTGTTCTGCCAACTAACCTGAGAGTCAAACTAACCTGAGAAGCTTGCCCCATAATGTCGCACGTGGTCTTTGATGCTGACAAGAGACCGTCAAACCGTCTGCCAGTAGAGTTTCGTTCCTTGATACGGACCGAAGATGACTTAGGAACGAGCCTGCCACTCTTCGGCGTCCAAGCCATCCCGGCGTGTCTGTGAGTATCCGAGGGCCTTCACACCAGAGTACAAAGCGGCGGCAAGTCCAGCTCCGAATAGCGGCCCAACCCAATAGATCCAGTGATAGCCATCGAATCCTTCAATGACCGCTGGGCCCAAGCTACGAGCGGGGTTGAGACTGCCGCCTGTGTAGTAGACAGTGCCTAGCTCGGAAACGAATAGGGCTAGGCCGATGGCGAAAGGAGCAAGAAGCGGCTCAGCATTCCTCTCGATAGCGACCATGAAGATCACAATGACAAGCTGGAATGTGGCAAAGACCTCGAGGAACAGGCCCTGGGGGATCGATGTCGTAGGCTCGAGATGTGTGGAGACGGTCGAAGCGCCGGGCAGTAGGCCAGCGACAACAGCTGCAGCGCAAATACCTGCAAGCAACTGGGCGACGATGACGTGGGCAGCGCGCGCGATGGGGACCACCTTGGTCAGAGTCAAGGCGAAAGTGACCTGCAAAGGTTAGTTCATGTCCTTGTCTATAGAAGTTGACTTGATAACAGAGGGGACTCACAGCTGGATTGAACATGGCACCGCTGACGTGCGCCCATGTCCAGACGTTGATAGCGAGGGCCATCCCGAAAGCGAACGATATGTAGAGCAACTTCGATGCGTCCGGTGGTGTGCCACCTCCTGTTTTAAGGTTCGTAGCAAGTGAAGCACTGCTCCCGCCAATCTGACAGCCGGCGAAGGCCATGAACAGAAACATGAAAGTGCCGAAGAATTCACCAATGAAGTGAAGAAGTTCAATGCGGAGTCCGGCTTTCGACACCTGCGGAATACTGCTTTGAGCGGTGGCGCTGCGGCGGAACTGAGGAGGAGCCTCCTTCTTGGTCGTTTCCATAGACATCTTGCGTGATGAATGCTTTGGATACGAAGGATAAGGGTGCAAGTGGGATGATGTGTGTGTCGGGTTCGATGAGGAGGCTGTGGAACGAGGAAGTTAATCAACATTGTGAGGGTGAAGGCGTCTTTTATGTGAGAGGGGACACACCCAGCGATGTTACACATCCCAAGGAGCAAAGAAGCCCGACCAAAGTCGCATACCCTTGCGTAACAAAGGTGAAGCGACCATAGAATCAAGTCTCACTGTAGGAGTGGATGGTCTCCACTGCTCGTGGCAAGATGTACAGCCAATGCAACATTACGGGACGTCACAAGAATGGGGCGCGCAGCGCTTACGGCGAGAGACCTGCTCAGCTGCCCGACGCAATAGGGTTGTTCCCAGCCATTTTCTGAAGGACAAGCAATATGGTCTATCACGGAGTCGCGGTTGGGCGAAACGAACGGAGGTATGGGTTGAAGTGTGGGTACACTTGGTCACTACCTCACCCCCCTTCACAATGCCACGGCATCACGTAGAGATTATGCTCCAGTATTCCATGCAGGCCTACACAATCCTACGGGATGTTGGAGTCGTACATACACCCCGTTGGTTCTTACGTGCAGCCGGTAAAGGTATCTTGGCTCAATGATCGTAGTTATCATCATTCCTACCGGTAACTGTTTTTGACACCGGGTGCACATACTGTAAGGCCACCAATGTACGAGGCTCTGGATTGAAGTGTTCCGCAGCGATATCCTATGTTAGATCATGCCGTGCTGGTACGTTTCTAGACTATCTCTGCCGAAAGTACAAAACATTTTGAATAAACTATCGAAATTTTCCTTTCACGCACGACCTACAAAGAACCACCGTGATGATTTCGAAATACATCTTGGGGGCGATTGGATAGCCGATCCAGCCGTTGGTTTCAAGCGCTGTGTAGAAGCCGAGATTGATAGTGCACCTGCGGGAATGGTTCGCATCGGCCCGGAATCGGGACCCACCCTTCCCGAGCAATCGGGTTCAGACTAAGTTCGGTCTAGAAAGCACGACCTGGGAAGCTCCTTGTAGGTGCGGGGAAAACAAGCTCATCTAAACATTGCGCAATAGTATCCTAGTAGAAACGGGAATTAATCCTTCTGTCATCTACTGTGCAATTATGGGTCCAACGACTCCACGTCCTCTGCGCCGTTTCTCAAGGTTGACAGGAATACTAAATTGGAATTCGTTGCTATCGTCTCTCAGCTACTCAAACCATGCACAATGTTCTTTTCGTATCCGGATTACGATTACTTGGATATTCTGGATACATGCTTGTAGAAAAGTAAAAGAAAAGTTGGGGGCTGGCTTATCCCCGAGCTTTGCTGTGGTCATGCTGTCCGACATCGTCGATCTTGCTCAAAAAGGACACCGAAACGCTATTTTCATTTTCGTGGCACAACATACGAGCGTGCGTTCCCGCTCCAGATGGCAAACTTCAGAGACATCAGACCATCCATGATAAGTGCAGCATCACTGCATGGACACGTCGTAAGAAACGTCATGGTAATTCAGGAAGAACGCTGAGACCTACCGTTACCAAGATACCGGGGATGGACACCTTCCCCTTGCGGACACTGCGGAAATTTCGATACGAGGGAGTGCAGTGGAGCGGCAAGCGAAACGTAGTCAGTGCGGATTATATTGCGGGGTATTTTAAGTCGCTGCGTTACTAGGATCGTCCTCGGAACGGGCCGCACGTCACCATGCTAGGATGTTGCGCGAGGGTCCTGTTTCACGCTCGTTGCTCGCTCCTGGTCACGACGTTCAACTACGCGCACGTAATACACTGGCCCAGAGCCGCAAGAAAGCGGCTACCATTGTACTGTTGAAGCAAGCGCCCCCAGGAGCAGTATTTTACAATGGGATGGATTGATTTAACTGTCTGAGGCAGCCATTGGTGTAGGATATGGTGGCTATCTCGTAACGTGTGGAACTAGCGGGATTTTAACATGTACCACCATCGATGACAGGCGCCTTACGTGCGAATAGGTTCGTTTAACATATGGTTTATCAGGTGGCGTGGCCCTCTTCGCTGCCGAATATTGAATTCACAGGATGAGTTCTCGCGATCGGCCCAGTTCCGCGGGATGCAACAGATGGAAAGGTACAATTCAGTCCATAGCTGTTGTGGCGAGGGGAGGAGGTGGGGATTGAGGTTGGGTTGGGAGAAGCGCTATGCGATTGCCCAAGGAAATGACGAAGATCAGCTTCGAATTCGGCAAGTTGATTGATTAGCACAGCTTGCCGACGTGTAAAACATGGGACTTCGCATGAGACCCCGCGGAACATTTGTCTTACATACACATGTTGTGCAGACCTAGTGTCCTTGCGTTTCTTCTACCCTCTATGGAATGATACGTGAAAGCTCGCATATGCAAGTCGCCGCTTCAAGCGATGCCATAGCCGCGGCCCGGTTAACACGGATGGCGCAGTCAGGGAACAAGGTTGTGATACTGAAACTGGGTGGGGATAATGCAAAGGATCGTTAGTAGGTAGACATACCATGCGCTGTGGCCAAGGAGTGGTCGACGAATGGACTGAGACATGGAGGGATTGAGCATTGGTGCAGCGGGAAAGGACGCAGGGAAGTAGTCTTTAGCGGGCCGCTGTGTTGGCAGGAGATTGGGTATCCATGGGTTTCTCACTGATGGTCTATCGAGGGAGCTCGCGTTCGGTCCTCACCTCTCCATGCTTCCGGCCTAGCGTTGGTAATAAGGCCAAAGGCTGACAAGTCCGCCTATAGCAACAACAGATCATCAGTCAGGTGACTTCAGTCACACCTCAAACAGTCTTCCAGGACGTTGTGTTCTAGGGAAGCATTGGCAAAGCATTACGACATAGAGAGACGTTATTGGATAGCTTCCGGCCTCCGCGGTCATAAGCAGATCCTGATTCTTGCGGATCACGTGATTTAGAAGCGTTACAGCACGTGACAATGAGCAGGCAAGGTGTTGCATGTGTTTTTAGCGAAAGCACTGTGTTCGCAAGACCTGACCCTCGGTCAATCTACCGATCTTTTTAAACTTTATCTGGGCCGCTGGGACGCAAATTCTTGAAATCCAGATTCTTCACGACTCCGGCAACTGCAATACTGAAGTTGTCGGCGGTGACGTCCGAAATGTCCTGATCGATCTTTGACTCTTCTCCAGAGGTGTTGATGAAACCCGTGATAGTCGAGCTGTTGTTTGTCGCTCTGACACCCTTGAGTTTCTCCCCTGTTCGCTGGTAGTGGGTTTGGGAAAGCGCTTCCTCGCACATCTTTATGAAGGATTGATTGGCGGTATGCCGTTTCCCAAGCTCGTGAAGAAGCTCCCCTCTACTCGGTTCACATTCTCTGAGTTGTGGTGTTGTAGTTGCCAATTCGTTGTCATTGCCTGCGGGGAGTTGCTGCATTCTGAGCTGTATCTCCCTCGTTTCAACATCTGCCCGGGCGATCTGCTGCTGAATAACAAGTTCGTTTTGTTGGAGCATCATGTCTTTCATTTCTTGCATCAAATGCTCTTGACGGGATGTTGTAATGCTGGAAGGTGTCAGAGCAGAACACACCGACTTGCAAAACATGCAGCTGTTACATTGTGGCTGTAGAGAGGGCGATGCTAAGGGTGCCTTTGCAGTCACTTAACTGCGCTCTAAATGTCTTGATCCGCTCGAGCCCGAACAGTCCAACTCTCCACCTGTCAATCCAGAAAATCTTGTCTTCCGTGGAACGTTCTAGCCAGTGCTGGATTTGCAATCGGAATGTCCCGCATGCTCTTTCGCACTTTTCAACAGCGTGTGTGATCTGTTCGCTGAGAATGATTGGCGAAGAATTGTCTTGCGCCAATTTGACCAGATTTTGCAAAACAGGCTGAATTACGTGAAGATCTGTGCTAACACCTTTGATAGTGTCGGGATCATCTTTGATCTTGTCGATAGTCTGAATGAGGAACTGAATACTCTGAAGGGCCGCCGTGGTGATGCCTACAACGGAGACAGTGATGCTGAGAGGATCCACCATTATAACGAGAGAAGACTTGGAGCAGCGGGACAGTGATTCCGAGTAGCATTAGGATAGCCAGTTATCGCAATTTATGGACTGTAGCGTTGGGGAGACATCTATAGCGACTAAGGCTACAGCTTTAGCTGAGGCGCAGCTGCACCGTTGCTGAGGGGTCGCAGCCAATCGTCGTGCATATCTTGGCGCTGTACTTGCGATCAGCCTGATGAGAAACGAGTACTCAGCTGGTTCTACATTGCAAGGCAGGGCCATCGATATGGCTTGAAAAACGTATCCTGCACACATCTCATCAGCGCAGAGACGCTGCTGTTGTGCGATGGCTAGCGGCTCTCTACCGCAGTCTCTATCCGTTCAAGGCACGGCCGCAACCAATGGCGGCCAGAGCTTCGGCGGTCTCAACCTTGGAACCATCAACTATGCCAGCAACGGAAACAGATTTGGTAAAGCGCACTGGTCTGCTTGCGTTGTGCTGGCAATTGCTAACACAGCTATTAGGGTTGGACCCGACAGAACAAGCGGCCATCGCGTGTCGCGACGCGCTCTTCCTCACCGATCCTTACGTCGACCGTGAGAGCGTGATCAGCGCGAAAGGTACGAGAGTCGCCGGCACCTGCGAGTGGATTACACGCAACGAGCGTTACCGGGCCTAGCTGAACGGCGATGGCGATGGCAATGGTAATGAGAGTGACGACACGCGTCTCCTGTAGATCTCGGGCGGCCCAGGCAAAGGCAAGACGATGATTTCCGTGTTTTAACAGAGGAGCTAGAGAAGCACACTGCGCGAAAAGCTAACGCAGAGCTGGTATTCTTCTTCTGCAACGCCTAGGATAAGAAGCGCAACATGGCTGTTACTGTGCTACGGAGCCTGGTGCGCTAGATTATAATTAAGCGTCCGCAGCTAGTTAAGCACGCACTGCCCTATTTCAAGACGCCTGAAAGGGAACAGCAAACAATGTCTTCCTTAGAGACGCTATGGCTTATCTTCAGCAAGCTTATTGCCAACGTTAATCTTAAGATGATGTTCTGCGTGCTTAATGGGCTTAACGAGTGCGAGGAAAGCACGCTAAGATTGTTCTTGCCACGGCTTGTAAGTCTGCTCACTGGTAAGACCCCGTTAACTAGAGATAGGTTTAAGCTAGCGATAGTTAGCTGAGACGTGCCTGGCCTGCGAGGCTGCCCAAGAGTAAGGCTAGACCCCAACAATAATAAGAAGGTAGCGGGTAATATCAAACTATTTATCTCTGCCTAAGTCGAGGAGCTATCCAGAATTAAAGGCTTCGACGATAGCTTTTAATCCTAGACATAGACAGCTCTCCTTAAACGCGCTAAAGGGACGTTTCTTTAGGTGGGCTTTGCGGTTCACAAGCTATCGCAGAAGCAGACGTGCTCCAAAATCTAGAAAGTTCTTAAAGACATACCAAGTGGTCTTCCAGCAATATACAGCCGCATGCTGCTGCGGATCCCTAATAAGCAGAGAGAATTAAGCCGATTAATTTTATAGTAGGTGACGCTGGCCGCTCGCCCTCTATAGCTACACGAGCTAGCAGCGGCGGTAGGCGTCTAAGCCACTTTACCTTAAATAACTGTAGAGCAAGCGTTCCGTAACGCTGTTGCTCTATACAGGCTGCTGCTGAAGGTACAAAAGCGGTGGGTTAGCTTTATCCACCAGTCAGCGTGAGATTACCTGCTGTGGAAAGAGCGCGACAGTGACACAGTTCTGGAATCATTTTAACTTATCGTAGAACCCTCGCACCTCGAGCTCACGCGAAAATGCATTAACTGCATAGCACAGAGCGGCTTATAGCATATAGCCATCGACCTAGACACTAAGCCAGGCCATTAAGAGTCTCCGCTGTTGCGGTATGCAACGCTCAGCTGGCCTTGGCATGCAAGAAGATATTCTGCGCTCGCTGCAAAGCTCTTTAATCCATATGGTATTTTCTTAGAAAAGGATTCTTCTTTGCGCGTACACTGGTGGGAGACCTACGATGAGATAAAAGGATTCGGCGACGACTATCATATCCCGTTGCTGCATATGGCGTGTCATTTGGAGGCCATACCATGGGTAGAAGCGTTACTGGCAAAGCAGAGCTGGTGGCCTAGGTACCACCGGCGTGTGAACAAGAAAGACCACACCGGGAAAACGGCACTGCACTGTGTAGTTATTCAAGGGAATCTGGCGATAGTGCGGCTACTAGTAGACCATGGAGCGGACGTTAACGCAAAGGATAATTATGGAGTGACGGCGCTGAGCTATGCAGCTTGCGACGAAAATCACGCGTTAATACGGCTATTAGTAGACATTGGAGCAGACCTTGAGGCGAAGGAAAAGATTGGGTCGACGGTGCCACACCAGGCAACCTCAGCTTGGGAAATGGACAAGGCAGCGGTGCAGCTACTAGTAGACCTTGGAGCAGACCTTGAGGCAACGGATAACTATGGGAACACAGTGCTGCACTTAGCAGTCTTATCTAAGAAAGTGCACAAGGCAGTGGTGCAGCTACTGGTTAACCTTGGAGCAGACCTTGAGGCGAAAGACAATGATGGGAATACAGTGCTGCACCGGGTAGTCTTTTCTTTAGGCCGAGACCGAGTTAAGGCAGTAGTTCAGCTGCTAATAGATCGTGGAGCAGACCTTGCGACAAAAAACAACAACGGGGAGACATTGCTGCACTCGGCAAAAGCGTGTGGACAAAGTAAGGAGGTAATACAGTTGCTAGGAGGCATAGAAGCGGACGTTGAGGCGAAGAACAAATATCGGAAGAAGGTGCTCAAAACAATGCCTTGGAACAACTGGAGACTTAAGTAACGCGGGAATAGTAAGTTGATCTCCAATTAAGGCGCGTAGTTGTCTTTGCCACTGTCCTTGCCGTTGTCCTTATGCCAACGCCACCCGCGCAAGAATAGGGAGCCGCAACACCATACGATGCGCGTATGCTAAAGCCTCAATCGACGGTAATTCGCAATGGGATCGAAGGCATAATTATTCACCTCGCTGAGGGTGCTGACGCCCTCACCATTGTGATCATCTGGAACGAGTGGCCATGTGAAGATATTAACGATTTGGACGCGATTGTATTGGTGGATGCCTTCAAGATATGATACAAAGCCAGGACTCATGTGTCTTTTTATTTGAGAGGACTAACGAATGTGCAACTTCACGCGATTCCAATCGCTCGTACATATCGACACTAACAGTGGAGCCAGATCATGAAGCTTAGCCATTTAACATCCTGTAGCTGAGTACGCCACGTACAAGTCCGGCGCCTCAAGACACACATCTACCGCTGCGTAAGCATAAAGCTCGCTGTCATCCACAGTGAAATTCACTTACCCGTTTGTGTGTCTCCGTTCAAGAAGTTCTGGACCGAATTGCCCATGCAGGACTCATCGTTGAAGAGATTAATCAAGCAGTTGCCGTCTGGGATGTCCGTTCTAAGGATCAAGCCAGAGACAGTCTCTGGAAGAGTGGTGCATCCAATTTCGGAAGGCGTGTCAATACTATAGCTGAAGATGCCACATCCTCTGTTGGCGTAGAAGTCGATGGCGACCGCAGTGGCGATGGTGCTCACGGAGCCCAAAGTGAGGAGAGTAGAAGTGAATGTTTTCATGATAATGATATCCCGATTGATGGTCGTAATCAGTGGTGCGGAAGGCTTGCAACACTTTGTACTGTTGTCGTCTGAGAATGTCAAATTGTGGAGAGTGCTGGAGCTTTGTTATATACCTTACCGACTGCCATGCAATCGAGCAAGCATTACAGTGTGTACTTACTTCGTGTCGCGGACCAGCGTACTCCTACCCTGGCAAACCCACTGTTTGTGTCAGTCTTGTTAGCCCATGCAAGCTGTGGGTAACATTAGTGGCATGTTGGCCATCGCGATATGCGCATCGTGGCGAGCTGACGAATTGTATGTCTCTTGGTTGGTCGATCAAGCATCGCAGTGAAACAGTTCTCCTCGTCCGCTTACATACGAGAGAAAGGATCTAGCGCCTACTCCACTGTAGCGTTGATCATGGCTTCATGCGGGAAGACGTGGTCGCAATCGGGAACCAAATCAAGCATCACATATATATCGACCATCCTAATCACAAAGAACCAAACCTTATCCATGCTTGTGGCTTGTTTGAACCACAAGCACGTACCCGAACGCATTCCTTTTAACCATAGCGTTGAGCCCCCAAACCAGTCAATCCGTCATCAGCCCTCGTGATGTCGCATGTGACAGCTATTGGAGACGCAGATCTATAGGAAGGAGCATAAGATACAGTCAGATGCTACTATATACTGTATATGACTAGCGGGACGTTCTGTGTACACAGTAAGTTGAAGCGCCAAGGCGTTCAAGAACAGGGTATCCATTCCTGTCGCCTCCTACATGCAATAGTCTCCGACGGTGCCGGCCAGTGCACTTAGATCATTCATGCGCACCCTTTCGCGGTCTTTCTACGTAGTACTAGCTTATCTTACTTAATTAATAAATAATACAAACAGCTCCATTTTCTTACCTATTCAGCCATAGTGCATAGGAACTATAGCTAGATAGGCAATATACAGTAAAAACAAGATCCTCTGCCACGCATGAATGATCTCAGCGCACTGACATGCACTGACCTGCACCGTTGGAGACTATTGCATGTAGTATTCTGGCCTCCACGTTTCTGCCATTTCGATCACGTAACGTTTCCTAGGTTTCACGGGCATCACGCAATTTTTATAGAGAGGCGTACATCATACTCAAGGAGCTGAGCGCATGGCCAGGAGTGGCACGCTTTTCGTGAATCACATAGTCGTACGGTACAGCCTATTGCTGTTGCAGTTGTGGCTGCTACCATACTGGTGGGGACAGGTGAAGCTCAGTCGGTTCTTACTAATTCGTCCGCTCGGGTCCTAAATAACATTACGGTTGACCTCCGTGTTACCAAGCATGGTACTCAGCAAACGAATGCCCGTCCCCATTCTAATAGCGATTAGGTATGGTGGTGAGTTGCTGTGCTCTTACTCTGGTGTTAGTCGTAAGTAGTGTCGGTGGCCCGCGCACAACAGGGAGGCCGATCCTTCGTAAATAACGCGCTCCTGCTGACCAAGATACGGTAGGCGAGACGTCGCTTCGGCTAGATCTCTTTCCACTGGCTACACCGGACCATCCTGATGCCGCGCCGTGGGTTATATTCTGGGGTATCCTGCTACTTACCTAGCTCGGCACATTGCTGCCGGGCCACGAATATCGGCCGCCTCGTACGAGCGCTCGACCGACCTTTACCCTAAACCTTTCGTGGCACTGAACAGCGTCTAGCGTAGACAAGTAACTCACCCATAACAAGCCATCATTATCGTAGACTGTTGTATTCCTACTGGCTTTCGATCTCCCCACCCTCTTCTATGAATCCTGTATGCATCTTGTGCAATCTTGATGGCTTGATGAACCTTTCGCGAGTTACCTTCATGGGCAAGACCACGATTGTGCTCAGCAATGACCACAATCCTGTATTAACTAATGGTATGTTTACGCGACCTTCATTCTTTACCTGTATCTTTTAGCACCATCGCCCAGACGATAAGACTATTGACCGGTGCCCGAGAAAAGGTGAAATTAATGAAAGGCTGCTGGCTGTCTTGGTCGCTCACTCGCATCACAAATATGTTATGGACTCTGCAATAACTTAGTATGACAGCGTACAGGAGCCCAGCTTGTAGGATCGGAGTCCTCCAGAATGGTGGGAATAGGCCACGGGTTTTTGGATGAGAGCATCGTCATTGCGAAAGATGGAGACATATTCTCGTATCGTAATTTCCGTGTTGCCTTCTTCGAAAGCATTCATTCCCCCAAAGACGTGTCACCTAGCAAGATCATACCCGTGGTGGTTCGTCGCGCCTGTATCCTTCTTCTTCTACCAAAGGAACTGTCAAGAGTGTAGTTCTAGTATCGTACTATAGCTCAGTTTCTCCGTCTCAAAGAGCTCATCTCTTGCCTCATCTCTCAGTCGAAATACGAGATTTGGGCCTCTGTGAACAGAGGCAAACTGATCTAAGGCCTCCAATTCTGGCTTTCCGCTATATTGCGTGATCTCGCCCACCCGATCTGCCTTCATGTCATGCGCCGGACGCTCAAAGTCCAAGTACCAGAAGGTCTTCGCAATAGCAATACTCGCTTCCTGGTACGCCATTGCTTTGCCACCACAACCGCGTGATCCGATCGAGAACGGCGTAAAGGCATCGTGCATAAGTTTCTTCCTCCCCAGTGACTCATCCAGCCAACGCTCAGGCTTGAAGCAATACGAATCTGGGAAATATTCTTCATTATGGTGCATGGTGTAGATGTTCACGCCGACTTCAGTGCCAGGAGGTATGACTTGGCCTTCGACAACGAAAAGCTGCTCATTATCGGACTCAGGAAGCTGGCGCCAGAGCGTGGTGGCTATGGGTGGGGTGATTCGCATCGCCTCGTCGATACAGGCGCGGAGGTAGGTGCAGCCAGAAAGCTTCGTGCCGTGGCGGATTTCTACGCCCGATGTGAATGCATTGCGAATCTCGTTGGCGAGGCGCTTGTAGCATTCTGGGTAGCGCGAGAGATAGAACAATGCGGCTGTCAAGGCTGTAGAAGTCGTGTCGCCACCTATGTATATAATCAAATCAGATTCATGTGCGCGGATGGCTTGGAGTTCAAAACATGATACATACCCGCTGGTACAAAGAAGGCCGCTTCGGACCATATGTCGCGCAACCGCAATCCTTCTCCTGTCTCAGGGTCCTTGATGTCCACCACAAACGAGTATAGATCTCTCCTCGCATGCTTTCCCTCCGCACGACGTGCAACAATGAAATCGCGGACCTTTTTGTAGTACGCCATCTGGCTAGTCAGTATGAATGGGTACAGAAGCAACTCCATACCAGCTCTTTTCAACATCGGGAATTGCATGTCGAGGTTGGACGTGAAGTTCGACGTGTCCATGCCTGCAAACATGATCGGTTTTCAGACGATGTTTGCAGATCGAGAGCGGTGCCGAAGCCGAGTTGACCGATGATGTGAAGACCGAGGTATCTGCATCGATCTGTCATGTCAACAATGGTACTCTCGCCCTCGCACGACTTCGCTAGCTCCCTCACGAACGTATCAATGTGGCCGAGCATGAGAGGTTCAAATTCTCGCATGGCCCGATCATTTATGCCCTGCCCGACCAACCGTCGCTTGATTCGATGGAACCGTTTGTCGATGACGTTGAACAGATTGAATACGTCTGGAAAGGGCTGCGTCACAAGATACGCGCGGCTCTTGAGCAAGCGGTCTCTTTGATATATTTCTGTGATGTTGCTATCAGTGAGCGGGCTCGAAAGACGCGGGTTACAATTTACCATGCAGGGCCTTCGCTGAATTGAAGAGGATCTTGTTCGGTCCGTGGCGATATACCGGTCCTAGTTGCAACTCAGTCATGCTCGCTTGAAAGTCGTCTTGGCCGCATACCATATCTCTGGTGGTTGCGGTAAATCTGCAGCTTCGATCTCCGGCGAATGGCAAAGTATGCCCCATACCAATCCGTAAAGGCTGTCACTAAAGGTCCAGGCAAGGAGTGCAGTGGGTGAAGAAAGGTGCGATATCCGTATACAATGACGGCCTAGCAGAATACTTAGCACGTGTGTTAGATACTGAATAACGGTCCTACCCGGGCGCAGACCGCGTAGAGAACACAGCGGAAGATAGCTGTCAGTGTCTCGGTGACCTGTATGGTGGATTGAAGTGAAGTGCGCAATTGTTGCTCGGAGGCAGCAACGCGATCCTGACCTGAAGAGATTTTGGAGGTAGAGCCTACAGACAGTCGTAAATAGGGTGGTGGCGGTTGTCCTGTCTCAGATGCTTTGCCGCAAAATACAAAGAACGAGGAACACTGCGTTGTGACTCAGCCTAGACACAGCCGGGGGCCCAAAACAGGAGCGCTAATCTTCCAAGATCATATCTGCAGGCGCGGTGGTAGACTTTTCTTTGAAAACTGGGCTTCATCCTGGAGATGGCACACAGCAGAATCTTGTCATGCTAGTACCAAGGCAACGGCACGGTCTGCTAGGAAAGACATCGCGGTAAGACGTGCATAAGTTCAAGAGGCACAGCCACTTGGCACCAACGAGCGACATATTCTCTGCCGAATCACAGACATCGATCCTAGTAGAGAGCGGAAAAGCAATACGAGCACATAAATTACGCGCGATGCGCCACTACTTTACGCTACAAAGCTCAAACAGCCTGGAATCTGCATCATCTCGAACCAATTGGGCCCATCAACCCGAGTTTTGAAAATCGCCTCTAGATTAGTGTCAGCACTTAAGCAAGAAAACAAGCATGCATACTTTCAAAACCTGTATCCAATCCCAACAGATCCCTACAAAGTGGCTCAGCCGTCTATTGCGCGTAAGCACCGACAGGCAGGTATGGGACAGTGCCGCATGTCCAATTTCTCTTAGTGTTACAGGTGCCAACTATCCAATCAATATATCGAATTCGCCTTCCAGGCAAATGTCTCTGTTGGACCGGTACTTATGAAGATGATGCAGCGTGTTACATAAATCTTCCTAATCGCCAACATTTTCATCCCCTCCCACAGCCAAGCAATCATGGACTCCTCATCCTCACAGCCCAACACATCTCGTAATGCCACAAGTGTTTGTTGCAAGTTCTCTGTAGTGCTTCCAGGCAAAGTTTTCTTGCCTGGGAGCTCCGAATACGATTCCAGCGTGGGGTCTTACTTCTTTCGAACCGCAAGGCAGACCCCAGCATGTATCCTCGAGCCGAACAGTGCTGAAGATATAGAAGCAATTGTAAACGTTCTCGCGTCAGACACAGGTGTAAAATTTGCGATTCGCAGTGGTGGGCATACACCTAACCCGCATCAATCGAACGTCGACGACGGCATCACAATCGACCTACGTGGTCTCAACAAAATTGAGCGAGTAGAGGGTCACAGTAATATTTTAGCCGTCGGTACTGGGGCCAAGTGGGGTGACGTTTATGACTATTTGGAAAAGACAGGAAGAGCTGCGGTGGGGTCGCGTGAATCATCAGTCGGGGTCGGTGGCTTCATCACCGGTGGTAGGTAGATTGCGAACACGCTCCTCATTCACTAATTTGCTATAGGTGGTCTATCCTTTTTCGCTCCTGAGCTGGGCTTCGCATCCGAAAATGTCGTGAATATGGAGATCGTCACACCCAGAGGAATTCTTTGCGCAAACGCAAATGAAAATGCGGACTTGTTCCGTGCCGTTCGCGGCGGTCAAGGCAACTTTGGTATCGTAACGCGCTTTGACATCAAGACGCATGAAAGAAGCACTTACTGGGGTGGCGGTATTCTTTACCCTGAGTCTAGCGAGGATGCTCAGCTGCAGGCATGGTCTGATCTCAAGAACGGCAAATACGATCCTCATGCGGCAATCGTGCAGAGCTACCTATTCTTTGGAGCTCAAAAGAGCTTTATGATCAGCAATAACATGGTGTATCTACAGGAGGCAGAACATCCAGTCGGTTTGGCAGGTTTCGAGAATATCCAACCACAGGTAGAGGGTACCAACACAATGAGACTGGACACCACGAAGAACTTTGCTCTCGAGCTGCAAGGCTGGCAACCGCTAGACCAATAGTAAGCCTGACCTCGTGCTAGCCTTATTCGTTTGCTTAACGAATTTCTTAGCGCCGTCTACGTGACTACCACCATCAAGTTCTCGCCCTCGGTTGGTAAAAAGATTAACAGCATCTGGCGTGAAGCCACGCTCTTGATCTCTGACTCCCCGAATGTCACCTCGGTCTTGACGTACCAGCAATTCCCTCCCCAGAGTAAGGACAATCCCAACGGCATGGGACTCCAAGTGGATGATGAGCTACACAAAGATCATCTCATTGTCATTATCTCTATCTACTGGCATGAGACTAACGATAGTGAGCGGATCACCAACGTTGCTAAGGATACTATGGATAGGATGGAAGCTGCGGCCGCTGGAGAAAATGCACTGCATACATTTAAGTACATCAACTACGCAGCATACTGGCAGCAGCCTGCGCGGAGCTACGGCGAAGCGGCCAATGAAGCAGCTAGGGGGGTCTCGGCCAAGTACGATCCCCAAGGTGTCTTCCGCAAACAAGCTGTTGGCTTCAAGTTTCAGTAGTCTGGAGAACTCGGTAGCAGCTGCATATGTAGCATAGACAGACTGTCTCGACAATGGGAGCAAGGGTTACAGCATGGCTGCGCGTTGTCGGCATTGAACTACACGGCAATAAACAAGACGTCATCCTCGCTGTGATCGTTTTCTTCGCGCGTACACAGAGGCGGGAATACAGTACCTGTATATAATCACATTTACACTCCTTACACCCTATCCAAAGGATCTAAAGAGTTCCGTAGCACTCTTTCGTGTGCCTTGTGTAAATTCCCAGGCTCTTCCGAGGCTGACAACGTTAAGGCTGTTGTTACTGGTCGTGACCGTGCGAAGCGGGACTAGGCCTCGGGCCATTAATGGAGCCAAATGCAATCGGATTCTTCGAAATGCTAATATCTATGCTCTTAGGAGTGACCCACAGATTGTCAACAGGGCAAAAAGTTGGAAGTCAAGAGCGGCCTGTTGAATCGTTCTTCATGTTTCCACAACGGTAATCGTCATTCTAGACTATTCTCGTAGCCTTTAAAGTCGGAAGCACACCCACTCATTCCTTATATAAAGTCGATATAGGATTTTTGGTTCAGGGACCAGTTACGTCCACGCTGTTCGCATTTGCACTTCATCTGCCCAACTCAGACTTCTTCAGACGGCAAATTTCAAGCGTTCGCATAGGGTCATTAATCCCTGTGTGGCATACCTCTTGGAATGGGATCGTCGATCGCTCCTTAGTACATTTTGGAGTCTTCGCGTGCGATTCGTCGCGCGCATATGTTGTCTTACAAGGTTTATGTGTCGCGCGAGTGCCGCAAGCGAATCATGGCGACATGCAGCCTGATACGGTCAATCCCACATGTGCAGGACCGCACACGATACCATGACGAGTCCAGTAATAATCGCTGTGTCCGCATTAACTCTCGTGCATGCTGCATCTGAATCTCCAGTCCGCAGTAGCGCTTATGTAGCCTAGAATACCTATGAGCTTGATCATTCCACACATTCCCGCAACTCACTACCCTAGGATAGCACTCTTTTCGCTATGTCTGCAAATCAACCCTCTCACAGTGTTTCAACACCTCAAGACGAAACCTCAGAGTTGTCAAACAACCAACAAGTGTCTGAATCTCCAGCGCAGCAGCAAAATACTTCCCCACACCCTTCGCAGCATTCTGATATAAACGGTTACGGCTTGGTTCATCAGAATCACATCTACGCTATCTACATCGACTCTGATCTAGGTCGCGAGTATGAGAAACTGGAGACTAAAGAAGAAAGGCGAAGATTTATAATTGAAAAGGGAGAGAAGAGAGGAGAGGTAATGCTGGATACGAGACGCAAGGCGCCAGACGAAACACATGGATGAACCAATATTGTACTTGGGCCATATGGAAAGACTGAAACGGGCTCGTTGCAAGGCTCTGTGACTTTGTCTCATCTATTGACGATAATCCTCTGTTCAAACTCTTTCGCTATGTAGCCTTCATGTTTGCTCCTGCTCATAGCCTATCGATCATTCTACGTTACTATGTTGATGCATCTTACGCGCAAGTCGCAGCAGCACTCTCTAGGATTATATAATCAACCGTGGCTTGGCCCCCTGGCGTATACAACACCTGTGACTTATTAATAGCGACCAAAAACTTGAAGCGGAAGCCGCCAGATAGCTTTCCTGAAGGCTTGGTCTATTCGTGACCTTTCCCCAATCAGGTCATCGATTACATAGAGAAGAACGCCTTGAGTTATTACAGCAAATCCATTCGGTGAGGAACCAGGCTGATGATTTATGGGTGACATTGCATAGCCTTCCATGTACAACGTAATATCCAGGTTCTGAAGGGTGTACATCGATCGACTTGCATATAGATGCGATTGGCCACTCAGGTGACCCCGCACCTCGTTAAATCTAGACCTCATCTCTCGCAGATTCTGCCAAGCCTGCTGGATAAAGTCCAATCGTGATGAAAAGGGGCTATCTGATTCGAATGTGCGTTACTAATAGTATCTTCAGCAGGATACCTCAATCGCGACACGCAAGAAAAAAAAGGCTTAGCGGCCTATACTACTTGCCACTCTATCCTCACAATAGTCTTCCAATACTTAGTTAGGTACCGGTGCCGACATCCAGTGCCACTGATTCTGCCCATGGGAAGACGATAAAGTGCACACATGGGTTCTATTCACAATCCGAGTGTGGAGTTCCATGGATGGCCGTACCTCGAAAATCTCAACCCGGGGCAAGTGCGTATCTTATATGGTTTAGAAATAAGAAGATCGCACTATGGACTAGCAGGCCATTCTAGCTCAATGCCCCTTCGCACGCTTGCCCAACGCAAACCCGCCCACGCCTATTCTGAGGTAGTTATCATCTTCCTCGATTAGCTTCCTCACATCGCCGCGAGCCCACTCTTCCACATCCCAGGCTGCCCATACGATCCGGTTATGCACAAAAGCAGCCTCTTCCGATGCGGCCCAGACCGCAAATGCACCCGGAAGATCAGCTGTGTGTGTGTTGGTCACTAAGCTCCTATAAGATCTGGTACACACTTACGTTGATCAAATGGTAACATATCTTCTGTTATCCCTGCGCTTTTGAAGCCGTCTGCAAAGATAGTTCCCGGATGCATGCTGACAACCTGTAGCTGTTCCCGTGGGGTTTGGTTTGCAAGAAGCTGTACAAAATGTGTGCCCGCAGACTTGCTGAGGACGTAAGGCGCCAAGTGTTTTGCTAACGGATGATGCTCTTGATGGATAGCGGCAGTGGTGACGTTGACGAGATACTATCGGAAGCATTAGCAGGAGTAGCTCGTCAAGTATTGGAACATGCCTTCTTCTTTTTCGGATTCTGTTTGAGAAACCGTTCAGCCAGGATCATTGGGGCTTTGACGTTCGTTTCAATAAACGTCCAGAGCTCGTCCATACCAAGCTCCATCAAGGGGGTGAAATCCCCAATTTTGGCGGCATTCATGACCAGTACATCGACAGCTAGCCTTTTTGATGCGAGATCATCGAATATTGAATTGACGTCGGACTTGCTCGTTATGTCGCCCTGGTACGTCAGCATCTCACACGAGCTACCTGCTGCCGCTGCGCTGTTTTTGAGCTCTGCAGCGGTGGCTTGCAGGACCTCCAAGCGCCTTCCAACTATAGCGACATGAGAGGCAGAAGCAAGCACGAAATTCTCAGCGATCGCCTTTCCGACACCACTGCCGCCTCCGGTGATCAGTACAACTCGCCCAGACTGACTCAGTTCAGGCCGTGTGGGCGAGATGGCTGGGTAAACGCTTGTGTGGACTGTTGGGGTGAAGTCTGTCTCCATCAGCTCCATAAATGCAGCTTTCATCTTGGATGGATCCATTTCGATGGGGCTGCAGGGCGACCTATGGGAATAGAAAGACAATCGAAACGGACAAAGCGATGATTGAGATACAGGAACAATGCTGCACTTCCTGAGATCCGGACATGATCCCTTCAATATTTATAGGTCTGCCCTGAGCCTAGACATTCAAAAAGATGCATTGCTTCGGCGGTACATTGCGGCCCGTCGAACTGCGGGTGCGTTGCGGACGCTAGTCGCTTTAGGTTAGTGCCCGCAGGGTAAGCTTGACAAATCACCCTTCACCGCAGCACACCTGGGCACTGTCTCCAAATGTTCCTCCATCATCAACGCTCTTGTCAATAGCCTTGATGCCCACAACCGGCACCGGCAGGTCTTGCATCCGGTGCAACGAGGCCAAGCGCAAATGCGACCAGAACCCGCGAGCATGCCGGCTTTGCCGGAGGAAGAAGCTGGCATGCGTGTATCCACCTCGGAAGCCTTCCAGTTTCGTACCAATCTTGACGAGTGAGGAAGAGTGTACTACCATCGCTCCCAACATGCTTGAGTTGGTGTATTTCGGTAATGACACACCACTTGCTGAAGCTCTACCGGACCCGGCGCTGGATGTTGCCGATACGACGCACTTGTCTCTGGCCTCTGATCCCCGCGCAGAGTGGTTCACAGCACCGGAGACGTTCCTGATCGACCACACCCCCATGCCCTTACCGCCGAACTTCGATGTCCTCGATCTGAAAACATTTGTACGACTAATTGAAAGTTGGATGAGAGACTGGGTCACTACTGGCAACAACATGTTCATCCATGCACAGTTGTATGGAGATCACCTCCCTTCATGCCTTGAAGTTGCATTCACGACGTTCTCTGCATACATCAACAAGACTGCGGCGACCACGGAAATAGTGCTACGGGCGGTGAATGACCAAGCAACTGCTCTAGTATCCAAAGCTGATGAAAGCAACACGTCAAGCAATGTGCTGAGGAACCTTGCTTGCATTCATGCACTGCTTGCATACCAGATAATTGGCTTGTTTGATGGTGACATACGTTCCCGCCATCTTGCTGAGGAGCGAGCCCCGATACTAGCGGCCCTGCTGGATCGCATCTTCGAGAAGGCAAGCGCAGCATTGGTAGAGCAGGTCTCGCCGAACGAATCGTCTACTCTCCTGGAATCAGTCTCTTTCGATGAGCGGCTGTGGCGGTCTTGGATCATCTCGGAAAGTCTAAGAAGAACATGGCTCGTCGCTCGAGGTATCGGTGCGTCCTACGATGGGTTCAAACAAGGTTGGGCATTGTGCTATGGTGATGTCATGATCACGACTCGTGAAGGGCTTTGGTCAGCCAATTCAGCGACGCTCTGGATGGAGATGTGTATGGAACGAGATGTGCGCTTTATCGGACGAATTGATGCAGAGTCGTTATTGAAAGTCCCGCCGGAAGAAGTTGATGAATTCGCGAAGGCAGTATTAGAGACCAGATTTGGGAAGGAGGGCTTCATGCGATGGACTTCCGGCTCGTTTCTCGTTTCCTAATGTAAGGGTCTATAGGAAATTGTAACCTAGGTAAACTTTTCATTTGCCTCAAAAGTAATACTTAGTCATAAATTCAATTAAGACGATGTAGATTCAATGATTACATAGAAGGAATACAATGAGATTCATAATCTCTTCGCAGTGTAGGTCCAAGAGAATACCGTGGAATCAGCTACATAAGACTGTATTCACCACCTCTACACGCCCTTGCCGCCGAAGTCCTTAGGCACTTCAGGACCCCACACAGAGAAAGGCCCTACGACATCCCTCGACGTCTTAGTATGAGTGTTCACGAGGTCACCATCTGCGTAGTGCTCTATCTTAAAGCCGCTAGGATCGCCCCAGTAGTCGAAGATTTGACTGCCCAAGACGTGCCGACCGACGCCCCACACGCTCTTCCAGCCTTTTTTCGCCAGCCAGTCGTGGGCGATGAGTTGAGTATCAAAATCAGCGACTTCGAACGATGTGTGATGAACGTAGGTCTTCTTAACGTTCGGTTCGGCTCGCTGCATGAAGAAGCAGTGGTGGTCCGAGTACTCCTCGCCCAGGTCCAGGTGCATGAATGTTAGAACATCCATGTTCGAGAAGTCCCAGTGGTATAAGACGTCGGAGGGGACGAAGTTGAAGTTTTCGGTGTACCATGCAAACTCAGTGTCGAAGGAAGGACAGGCGTAGCCGAAATGACCTAGCTTGTGTACAAGAGCTGGGCCAGGATGGTATCGCTGAAATCGGCCTGTGGCATAGCATTAGCTGCGAATGGGTGACGCGAGGATGAATCGGATATGCTCACCTAGTCTTGGCTTTTCAAACGGTTTGTTAAAGGGGCCCTGTTGCTCATGGGTGGCTGTAGGTTCCGTAGGTCCCGTCTCGCGCTCCGTCTGGCCGAAAACGACATGGAAGTATGTATCATCGACTCGTCGAAAAGTTACAATTTCACCACCGCCCGGGGTATCCTTTAACGAGCCACGAGTCGCACCGTCTATCCGTGCTGCTTTCTCGAACTCGGCAGAGGAAGCGGCAACGAAGGCTGGACCGAGGAATCGCGGCACGCCGTCCTTGCTCTGTGAGGCGACATACACATAAGGATCCTTCCCATAGCCACGAAAGTAGACCCTGTCGCTAGTCCTTCGCTCTTCCACAAAACCAAAGTCGTAGGCGAATTTACAGAATCGATCAAGGTCCGGATGCTCGAAATGTACGTACGCGATGCGGGCGAGTTGAACCTTCCTTGGGTCGTTCTTGACTTCTGGAAGACGCATGTTGGGTATGAGGGCTTCGCGTATAAATCGGGGAAGCCGTGTGAATAATTTGAGAATGATTTCCAGGAGGGACGGCATTCTCTCTGGAAGTGAAAATTCCAACGTGATAATGTCAACGGGGCTCTATATACGGGTGGTGGCTAACCGCACACTCCACGCCCCGAGCCATCCCGGACGAAGGCAACGGAAAATACGCCATAAATTCTGCCTACGTGCTTCAGAAGGCTGGTCCACTTGTTTTCGTTGCCAACTACCTTTCCATTAGTGGGTCTATCGCGGGCGCACTTAGGGATCTGCAAGGTGCAGATCTTCCCCGCTCAGGCTAATGTAGCGAAAGTTCCTCCGACCGGAGCATCTTTGGGAACTTGCCCCACCGACGCACCGACCGTATACATACCAGGCGATTCTTCGACACCGAGCCGCATCGCAGCCGATTGGCAGCCGAAGCGGAGAATTGATCGATGACATTGTCGCGAGATGATTGGGGGGAGCTGTGGACATCAAAAAATCGACGCCGAGTCTTGGGGATCCCAGGCACAGAACCAGAATCAGTAGGATCGGAGCAGAGGCCACGAGAGGTGTAACCTATTCCGAAGGAGAAATTGCTATCAGGGTGATCATTGCGTTCATATTCACAACTCACATGCATAATTGTTTCGGTAGCACAAGTCTCTAGGTGAGGCGAAAGTTCTCCCGACAGCTGCTTCTCGCCACGTCCGCGCCACCTCCCTCACCACGTCACGCTTCCGAAAGACAGGACTAGGACTGTGCTTCAAACACGAAAGTGGAGGCCGAACCGACGGCGACTGAATGTCGCTCATGACTGAGGAAAGCATGCTCTCTAGACTGTCTTTCTCGGAACGAAGTCTTTGCGGCCGACTGTGCTTCATTACGATGGGTTTTAAATTGCCCTTGTAGTGCCTTTCAACTCTTCTATATCATCTTCTTACTACCTGTACGCAATTACCTACTCAAACCACCTCATCTTGACCTAACACTGCGCCTGTATAAGCTCGAAGTCATATCGCGCTGCCCATCAGACAGTCACTATGGAGGACACTCAAGTTGTCATTGTCGGTGCTGGCCCATCGGGTCTAGTTCTTGGCCTGACGCTGGCCATGTTAAAGATTCGTGTGAGTCAACTTCAATCCTTTGTAGAGTGGCGCAAGAGGATGAAAAATGACACTGGACTAAACTAATCTATGAACAGGTTGTCATACTCGAGAAAACAAAGGGCATCACGGAAGATCCACGAGGTGTCTACCTCACTGGTGATGCTGTGCGCATCCTGCAAGACCTTGGGATCGAAGATGACATGCACAAGATTGGCCACGGTACGCTCAGGACAAGCGTGCCTCGGAACGCGCAAACCACAAGCTGGAGCACATGAACGCTGACAATCGTGAACGACAGTGGTCGACCAAATCATCTTTCACCAGGGTTCGATAACCGATTCTCCCTTTTATGCTATCGACGTTGGCATTAAGAACACGTTGGAGCAAGTGGCCGCTCAGGGCATGCTGCAGAGTCAGCCAAAGCTTGGTACGTGATGTGAATGGATAAATTTCTCTTACTCACCTCTCACAGAGAGCGCCCTTCGAAACGCAGTCCAACGCATACCTCAATGGTGCAGCCTACGCGAAGGGTGTACCGTCGTTGGTCGGTCAAGCGAGGATCCACCGATCGTTGAGTACGAGGACGACAACGCGCAAGGCGAGAAACGCCAGATCCAATGTCAATGGCTCGTCGGCGCTGATGGAAAGACGGGCATCGTCCGAAAGCACTTCCTAGAGCCGCGGGCCGGTATCCGGCAGGAAGAGGGTACCTACACGTACAGCGGCACGTGGGTGGCAGCGAACCTCCATTTGACCCTGCCCACGCCCGAAACGCACCCCGAATTTCCCCTCTGGAAGCTCAACTACTCTTCGGACGAGGTCTATGATCTGTTCTGGCCTAAATCATGGCATTTTTGCCGCCTGAATGATAGAGCGACGGCTACAGGCCGCTTCGGGCCGCACGGCGATCGGACATGGCGCCATGAGTTTTGTCTTGAGGACGAGGACGAGGGCAAAGATTCTGAGGCTCTGCTTTGGGATTGCATATTCCCCATGGTCACGCGCTCTGTCGGGCGACGTGGGGAAGCCTTTGACAAACCCATCACCTATCCGAGTGACTGCATCCGAGTAATGCGCTGTCGACCGTTCAAGTTCGTCCACAAGACTGTGAACCGCTGGTTCGACAAACGAACCATCCTCATTGGAGATGCGGCTCATGTGTTTCCTCCGTTCGCTGGACAAGGCATCGCCAGTGGCGTGCGTGATGCTCACCAGCTGGCTTGGAGGCTTGCTTTGCTATTAAGAAGCAGTGATTCAGCCAGCGACAGATTGCTCCAGGCATGGGCTCTGGAGAGGCGAAGTAGCGTAGACAATGCCGCTATGTTCTCTATATTCAACGGCCACCTGGTCAACAAGCTTCCCAACATCTGGATACGCTCGGTGCTCCGGCTCCATCGAAGCATCGACGCGATGCCTCTGATGCCCAAGCTGCCCGATCCGCAGCGTTACAAGGAGGTGGAAGGATTTAGCAAGGTCTCGGAAGGTTTTCATACGGCGGAACTGCGCGGCGGCTCGCGCTTAGCCCAGATCTACCTTCAGTCATCCATCAATGAGGCGCCGGTACAGTCGGACGAAATCGTCCGTCCGCATCACTCCATTCTAACCCTCATCATTATGTCCACAAAAGCCGACCCCTCTGGCTCTCAGCTTGTCCAAGGCGCTCAAAAGGCATTGGATGTGGCGGGCATCGACCCAATCATCATTTCGAGACAATCCATTGTCGTCTTCTCGCCTTCTCGCCCCGAGGCGATGACCTTCGGAAAGCCGGCAGATGAACTTTGCGCGAATACTCCGCCTATCTTCTGGCCTGCCACCAACGTTCGGCTACCGCGGCGACCTCCCGTGGGGTATGATCCGGATGCCTTTGCCCGTCGCCTAGGCTCTGCCACGAGATATGCTATAGTGCGGCCGGATTTCTTCTGCTTCGCCTGCGTGCCCGACGCGAACACTCTCGGAAAGGCTCTGGAGCAGCTTAGGCAGCGAACTGAGTAATGAACAGGATTTATGCAATTAGATTTTCGACGCAATGCTCGGCAGGTAGCTTTAAGTAGTAATATGAATTGTTGTCGGAGAAGAGCAGGGACAACCTCGATTTCTACGCTCTGTATGTAATCGACCTACCGTCTGCCAGATATGATGCGCAGCAAAAGATGCGTTCATGTAAGAACACTAAAGCTGAGTGCAGTGTGTGTCGAGCCGGCGAAACCTTCTTCTTATGTACCTAGCCAAAGATTGCACAACGAATATCATGGCTCTATGCGATATGGGGCCATAATAGTATTCGTGCCATTTCCCATACGGCATTCTTTCGTTGGTATTATCTATCCTTTTAGTACGTGTCGTCACTTGTTGATGCGAGTAGCGTAATTACGTATATGTCTTCACTGACCCTTCCTCGTCATAAACCAGGTGATCTATTTCTATGCCTACACTAAGGTATCGCAGAAGTCATTGCTAGTCCTACAAAGCCGTCGTGGCCTTTGGGTCTATCTTCCTCTAATAACGCCCGACGAGTCAATCATGTTACCATCTCGTGGCCAGCCTAATAACTATATTCTGGATAAAGACAATAATCCGTGTGAGATGTGTGATCCTTTTAGTCGGGGGTAATCCGTCAGCAGTGCAAACACAGACTACAAAGGCAAAGAACATAGGGCAAGCTGCCGAGCGTTCGTGGTGCGACGGGAGATCAAGCGCTTACTCAAATTGGAGCTTGTTTCTAAGGGTACCAACGCCTTCCATATGCACCTCCATCACGTCGCCGTCTTGTAGGAAAGTCTTCGGTTTGCGGAATGCCCCGACCCCTGCGCCCGTGCCTGTCATTACGGCTGTTCCTGCCGGTATGGTGGTACCTGGTACAGCAGATTCGTCAGCCAATGTCTTTCTGGCTTATTCCAACCAAATATTTGGGGACGGATCAGTTGGTCTCTCAGGGCTGGACTTACCCTGGCTCATATGGCTGAGGATCTTCTCCGGAGAGAAAATCATGTCCTCAGCAAGGTCAACATCTTGCCGCACTTCGCCGTTGACCTTAACAACTAGCTTGTGGCTCAGGGTTTTGGCATACATCTCCGGGCTGATCAATGTAGGGCCCAGAGGAGCGAATTTATCAAAAGCCTTAGCGAAGAAGAATTGCCCGGCGCAGTTCTTCTGGAGCTGGAACATGCGGCACGATAGGTCGTTGCCTACAGTGTAGCCTAGGATATAGCTCCCGGCCTCGCTGGGCTTCACGTCGCGGCAGTCCTTTGAGGTGACGAAGACCATTTCGCCCTACGGTGATTCGCCACGCGGTCAGCTTTGTTGCTCTCGAAAATGCAGAGGAGAGGCGGCCTGACGAACCTCATAGTCTAACAAGCTCTTGGCGCAGAAGTCATTGATCGGAATGGTCTCGTCGGGTGCAGCAATGGACTTGGCCGGCTTCGTCCAAAGAGGCGGGTAGGATGGAATGGCCAGCTGCGCGTGGTTCAGCTGTTTGCGTGACGAATATCGAATCTACTGTCCAAATGCTCGGGGTACGTACATCTGCTTCTTTGGCATGTGTGCGAAAGTTGAGGCCCACGCAGTAGACCGGAATGCCATCCTTTGGAAGTGGCGCAAGGATCTATGTAGCTTAAGTTAGCAGGCTACTCTCTGTCCTCTCGTAGGCATTAGAATAATGATGCATTAGGGAAAGTCTACCTTGCCCAATCCTACGATCTGTGGCTCCGCCTTTCCAGCAACAAGGTCCTCGATGGAGCGAAACGCAGACAGTTGCATTCCAGGCCTCGGGATCGCGGTGTCCGGGTCAGAGCCAAGGTCGGCGAAGAAAGGCCCAACGTCAGACCCTTCGCCTTCAAAGCGGATGAGTCTGCTGAACTGGGACATATTAATGTACAGAAGCTGTCCCCGTCCCCGTTGTGTCAATTGATGTTGGGCGTGGTCTCTGTACGATGAATGCGGTGGGTACACGAAGTGGGAATAGTCGAGCGCAATATGACAGGACAAGCCCAAACCTAAGCAGACTATGGGACATATTTATTTGTGCCAGCTGAAGAACGGAGCAGCTAGAGCCGTGGCCTTGGCACATTACTTCTACAGCATTCTTGTGTGCCTGCTCCAGCGGAAGACTCGGTTCAGGACAGATTTGCGGCTGGGTGAACGCGCGGAACCTGAATACCCCGAATATGGAGTAGACGATCTACGGGAGGCTCGGTGGCGCTAGTGACGCTCTCCCTAGAGTTCGGAGCAACATGCTCACTCGGAGGAACTTTTAGTGAGCTAAGACACATACAGGCTAGCGTCGCAAGAGTGTCTGATTGGTCGGTCCGTCTAGATGTAGCACGCATTACTGTTGCTGTCTGCCTTAGCATAATGTCACGTTGATTCTAGATCTCTTACAGAAAAATGCGTTCTCCCAACCTAAACCTGTGCTGACGAGAGGAATTGTAGCCATCTGGGATGTAGCGGCGCTTCGAATCGGCGAAGGACAGCCTGGACCTCGGAATATGAGAATGCGCTTGGCATGATTTCGCTGAAGCTCTTGAATGACACTGTGATCACAGTGAGCCTTCAAAGAACCCCAAACTCGGTGACAAGCAAGGTTTGCTTGGGGAAACAATGCTGGAACTTACAGACAAGAAGCCTTGGTAAAGCCCATTTCGTGGCAAACTGCTCCAGTAGCAGAAGTAGTATCTTTTCGCACTGCACGATGTTCGAGAGGAAACCGGGTTCTGCTGCTGTTCCTGCATACTTCTTATGCAAGTCAAGGAAGATAAGCGCTGTGAAGCAGATCAAGGTCACGGCAGGATCCGCGCTGAGAATGAAGACGCTGTCCCACTTCTCGGATACGTGGGCAATGTCCTGGCCCGCCTCAAGCACCTGCTGCCAACTTGAGAGCCACTCAGGTCCCTCGGCCAGGCAGGAGCACTTGGCGATGGAAACGAGAAGTCGCGCGACCAGCTGATGTAAAACGGTGACCAATCGCGCGTGATGTTCTGCCCTTGTTTCGTTCTGGAAGACATTGCGTGTCGGATTGAAATAGTTGATAGGCAGCGATAAACGGAGTGTGTAAAGCTGTTGCTCCAATGCATTGAGCTCGTCCTGCGTGACCGAGGTTGGATCCAGCATTCGAACCTGTAGTGCGCGCCCAACCTGACGCAGGATAGTTGTCGAAATCACGTGCAGATTCATGAGCACCGTGTAGCTTGCATCGGTCCCGCGGCTTACTTTTGATGCGAGAATGTCGAGAGTGTCAGCCTTACGAGGCAAAAACAGCCGCGAATGAAATTCCCTCACAGGGCACATGTTCAGCTGTCGAGAATCCGAAAGTAGTGATGTCCGGACGAGAGTCTCATCGATGAGATACGGAGTTCCCGATGACAGACTTGCGTACGAATCGAGCCGATAAATGAACCACCACACGGAGCGCCAATCCTCCATCTCGAGCTGATTCATGCTTTCAAACCCACTCGGTAACCCAGCTGACGAGCCTCTGTCGTTGTCCAAGCGATCGAGACCGATCCAGAAGGCCATACGTGCTAAGTTGCCGATTCTCATCCAAGCTTGGTGGCCGGGATACTGGTGGAATTCATAGAAAGATAGTAAACAGCCAATTCGGAAATTATCAAGGCTTGCCGAGTCAAGTGTAGCATCCTCTTGGATAAGCGTAGACCTCAGTATGAAGTCAATCTGAGCGTCGATGTCCACATGCTCGGCTGCGAAACGGAAGCCCGTGAGTTTGGCGGTGATGAATAATAATGCATTGACAAGGTCGCGCCCAAATAAGGACGCATGTAGATCAGGGAGGAAGCGAGTGCGAGAAAATATCGGTACCGCGTCTAGGATGCTGTCCAGGAAGACTTGAGCCCTATTTGGCAGCGCCCGACAGTTAGCCGTTTCCCAGAATGTTACACGCATACAGGACTGAGAGATAACTTACAGCCTGCCCTCTTCCTCTCCAGTGATATCGACACGGCTTGCTTCTTCTAATTCATTGTTGCGGGAGCAGTGACCACGCCCTGGGTTACTCAAGGCCGCCAACGGTGGAGAGATAAAGGTTTCTTGGAGAAATGCAGCATCTGTAGTGGAAGAATAACCTCCTGTAGAGGAACAGCGCAGGCTTCTTCCAATTAAAGAGTATCCACCAGAAATATCTTCGCGTGGCTGTGGTGAGAAGGCAGTGTTGCAGCTAAGATGTGCTGTGTCTGAGCCTTCAGTACCTTCCAAGGGCTGTGTTTGCCTTGGTCCATAGCGAGAGCCTAGAGGTGGACCAGGTCTTCGCTTCACCGCAGAGTACATGCAAGTGAGCCCGCCTTTAGCGCAACGAGAGCAGACAGGACGTTTACGATCACCTAATCCAGCGGAGATGCGCTCGTCAGCGTCCGTCTACGCCATTATAGATAGGTTCGATGATGGCGTGCACTAGACATACATTTTACTTTCTTGCTGGGCCAACATTAGTTGATTCACTTGCTCAGTGCACGCCTCGTGGGGTCTTACGAGATACACGTGTCGCATACTCTTGGCTCTAGCGTTGCCGGAGCTTGGCTTGCATCGGATTGCTCGGACATGGGGATAGTAGAAGTGTGTGCTTTTTTCTAATGTGCGTCGTGTAGTGCAGGTGCCCCTGAGTATGAGTATCCCTTCGTTCGCAATGAACAGCAACGTAGAGATTGGTAATGTGCGTAGAGGGGTCAAAAGAGCGGCTCCATCACCGGCCCATCGAAAATCGAAGTCACGGTCGTAGCTCGACTGCTTGAAAGAATATCGCAGACATGTTGTCTGGCAGATATCGTGAAATTCCTAAAAAGGGGACTGCACGGATCTCGGTAAGTGGGTCCGCTTGCGGAAGCTTAAGTGCGGGGTATGCCGACGCGGCTACTTGAGGCGCACACGCGTGTCACGAGACTGATTGATTCCTACCTAGGTACCGTCAGAGGGAGCCCAATAGAGCGATCAGTTGTGCGGAGCATTCCATCTCCAACCATAATTGTTGCTTCAGCCGGGATTGTGGACGCAAAACGGATAAGATGGACAAGAAAGCTGTCTGCGTGATAGGGTAAGCCTCCGATACCAACTACCTGTGCATCTGTAAATGACGATGATGGATGGTTCACAGCGCTGGTGTCGCTGGCCTAACAACAGCATTGCTTCTGTCCAAGAGCTCGCGGTACAGGATCGTGGTGGCTGCGAAGCACATGCCTGGTGATTATGACATAGAATACGCTTCGCCTTGGGCTGGAGCAAATTACATGCCGTACGTTGTCATCCTGCTGTGTATTACACCCGGTTTTGACACGCTCTGACAGTGTGTCGATGGGAGGTACGAAGAGTGCGCAGTGGGACGAGGCAACCTGGGGACCGCTGGCCGATCTCGCGCAAAACCATCCAGGTGCTGGAGTGCATTTTCAAGGTATTATTACCCATGCCACAACATATAATACTTAGCTTTCGGGGAACCTAATAACATTGCAGAATGCGAAATCCACAGCCGGGCGAAGGACGTTGGATCTGCAACGGCAGATTGGTTTGCTGAGCTCCTGTCTCCCAATCCGTGGTTCAAAGATGTTGTCCCAAATGTCAGTACACATTGGATGACTATTAGAGCTATCAATTGCTGATAGAGCCTGACAGTTTCGTGTGCTTCCCAAGGATAGCCTCGCACCGGGAATTGACTCAGCCACATCCTTTACATCGGTTTGCATCAACACGGCCATCTACCTCCCCTGGCTGGTGTCGCAGTGTCTCAATAACGGTGTGATTTTCAAGCGAGCAACGTTCAAGCATATCCGCGAAGCTGCGCACTTCGCTCCTTTGGGGAAGGCCAATATTGTGATCAATTGCACTGGCCTCGGGGCGTCCCTACTGGGTGGCGTTGAAGACAAGACCGTTGTTCCAGCGCGCGGACAGATAGTCGTTGTACGAAATGATGCCGGCAAGATGATGGATTTCTCCGGAACGGATGATGGCGACGGCGATGCATGCTACATAATGACTCGAGCCGCTGGTGGGGGCACTATCCTGGGCGGTTGTTACCAGAAAGGCAATTGGGAATCCCAAGTCGATCCGAACTTAGCCGTGCGTATCATGAAGAGAGCGGTCGCGGCGTGCCCTACACTCACAGGAGGGAAGGGGATTGAGAATCTGGATATCATTCGGCATGGCGTGGGCTTGAGACCGGTACGAGAGGGAGGTACGAGAGTGGAAAAAGAACGCATTGAGGGCATGTGGGTGGTGCACAATTACGGCGCAGGTGGTGCTGGATACCAGTCCTCCTACGGATGTGCGTCAAATGCGGTGGACCTAGTCGAAGAGATCCTGGCGCCAGTTTCTAGGCTTTAGGCTGTACACATGAGTCCGGCCAAATGTCTTGCCTACTACTCCCGTATTGCGTGCCACGAGGTGACTGCATCGAATGTGGCGGAGATAGCGATAAAGGGTTCTGGCGCCAGCCTCCGAGCTGTGGAAACATAGATGCAAACCGGTTCATATGTAAGGTAGAGGTTATCAAATACTGCCTGTCATCCATTTACCAATGTTCCTCCTGTACGTTCTTGCTTAACGCCACTGTTGTCAACCTAGCAATACCTCTTCCAATCTTGCGATAGGCTCAAAGGCATCAACGTGAATCTTCCCAACGCCTAATCGCTCAACAACGCCGTCCTTCTCCTGCGAGAGCAACAACACATGAACTGCCGGCCAATAAACCTTGTCACTGAAATACCTGTTGTCAAAGAAGTCATCGTTTGGTGGAATGAAATTTCTCTTGAACGCTTCGTCGTCATCTTCATCATCTCCTCTCGACCAATCGAACTTTGAGCCTGGCTCGGGTATTGCCGAGACGGCGATCGTTTCTTCTAATTTGCGCGATCGGGACTCAGGGTTTTGCTCTGTCCATAATTTGAACCTTTCAGTCTCGGCATCCCACGATGGGTCGTCATCCATGCGAGATAGCGTCGATCGCGCGATGGCGACGAATTTGTGGGTTCTGTTCACAAGCTGCGGGAGAAGATCTCCGCCTACAATGATCGTGCCTGCTGTATGTTCCTCTTGGTCTAAGATGGCGAGATAGCAGAGTTCGTGACATCCCTCTTTGCAGGGTGTTTTCAGGCGCGTATGAACGTCCCTCATGTGCGAGTGCTTTTCTGTCAAGGTAAATGTAGCTGTTTTGGCAGTAACACGCAACATCGGCGAGCGCAACGATGCGAATTGAGTAAACTGTGTTTCAGGCACACGTCGCATAGGTCGGGGGTATTGGTAGTGTGCGAAGTCAGGATCGGTGTTTGTATAATGAATCGCAAGTGAATCGTCGTCAAATTGGCGATGCCAACCAAGGAAGATCTGCGGTTGCAGTGTTGTGCAGGACATAAGTTCGAGATTTGTTTTCGGTATTGTTATAGTAGCTTGGCTAATCAAGCATTCGCATACGTTACTCATAGAGTCTGTCAGCTCGTAGACTACCTCGGCATCCCAGCCGGCCCAAGACCAACTGGGGAAGCCAAGAGCAGTACGGCTGCAAGGTCCACGAGGTTTCCAAAGTAATGCAACTTCGAACAGATTTGTGGGTAACCCAAAGAAGAAGGGTGCTCCAAAAGGTCCTTCAAGGAATTTCAAAATTCCGTTGAAAGCGCGCACCTTGTCCAAGGGGTTCGACATCGCTCGTGTAGTGTACTCTGATACAGCAATGGCGTACAGCTCCCACAAATCGCGGTTTTCGAAATCGAACGAGGCTTGAGGATCCGTCAATGTATATGTGGCAGTCAAGCCAGGGATGAAATGATACTGTTCCTGAAAATTGCATCCTTTGGAGCAGTTGAAGAAGACTTGGGAGTCTGTAAAACTGAGAAGCCGATTTGAGAGAAGACGTTCTTGATCTATGCCGGTATTCTTGTCGTTAGTTTTTCACCTTGAGATGACTTGATATGAATAACTTATGGCGCGGTTGTTTTCCATAATCGTGTCGGGACTATGACTGGATATCTGACAAAGCACTTACTTTAGGATCATTAGGGAAGAACAACAAATTGCTGCTAATAGGGTTGCTTACCAAGTCCAGGCCCTAGTAATCCACCTTGAGAAATCGATGGCACCCTGCCCAGTCTCTAACATACTCGACACCAGTGTGCCATTGATGGTAGCTTTGAGTTGTCCCTCTGCTCTGGGTCTTGTGGAGACTCCTGGAAGACCGTAATACGCATCCTTGCCTGCAGCAGCTATGACGGTGAGGTGTGCTCCTCGATAGATCTGATCCATCTGATCGACGTTCAAGGTCACATTGTCGACATCGTCTTGCTAGCACAAAAGTTAGCGTCCTGTTCTGCGACAAATCGAGGGGAAGAGAGTTACCACAATGCAAAGTGCGTCAACCCAGGCGTATTTGTAACCAAGCTTACGGACGGTCATTATAGCGTCCTCAATGGTTTGCGCAGGTTGGCCTTCCGGACTGTCAAAGAAGCCTGGAGCTTCTAGCTGAGAGATGTTGTTCTTCTTCAACTTTAGGTTTTGGTCTGAGCCCCATTGATAGCTAAGTGCGACATAAGGAGCATTAGGTGGGCAATGCATAATACAGGCTCTTTCAACATCAATAACTCTCATCCGGGAGCGGTAGTCGGAGTCCGAACTGCACAGTTGCTGATCCCCATGCTTTCGAGTTCCCACGCCATGATGTAAGCATGCAGCGTCCCACCGTCTGAGGAAGGCCCAATCTATCTTCTTCTGGTCCACAAGGCGACCAGGTTGTTCGATAGGAATGCCTTCTAAATTTCCACCAGCGTAGTCAATTTGATGTTTGACAGCAAATATAGAAGGCATCACCCAGTCTCTAGTCTTGTCATCATCTCGTCTCCTGTCCTCGCGACGGAAATGGGCCGCTAGATTGCCTCGAAAAGCGTCTGGAGTATAGCAGTCGATCTGAATACAGAAGGACATCTCTTTCTCGGCGTGATCACGTATACCGTACGTGTGGAAAGATAGGTCAAGTGGGTCTCGATACAGACAGAGTTCTTGGTCGTATCCTTGCGCAAGCTTCGCATCAATGTACTGCTTTCCGTAGTGACTCGCGAGAAGTTCTTTGACTAAGAGACAGAACTGACACATCCGCATAGTCCAGACTTCATGAAGCATACGAAAAAAGGTTTCGGCGAGTTTCGCATCGTAAGGACCGTAAAGTAATTTGTCCAAAGGAAGTTTTTGACAGCGAGGACATAACGCTTCAGTGCGCATCTTTAGCGCCGGACCTTGTCTCATAGATTCAAGAAGAATTACCTGTGATCTGATGTGATTCCATTATCCGATTATGTTCTTTATAGGGACAGCAAAACTTACCTGGACTGCTGAGAAAAGCTCCTGGAGATGAATCGTGAAACACCACTTTCTTGAGTTTGATCTTGTGACTCATATGCGAATGTTGAGAGCTGTAATAAGGCCGAGCGGCCGAAGTACGCTTGTGTTGAGTTGTGAAGCGACGCATGCGTGGGTCGGTGGATCGGTGAATCAGTGACGTGGCTAAAATCATATCAATCCCTGTTACCTCCAGCCAATGAAAGTCGATCTCGCTGCAACGAGAAAACTGCAAGAAACTTCGCCCACCAAGGTATAGCGACTTTCATGTGTGGAACCCTTCATAAGGCCCTTGAGGAAGCTGCTCGTTGATCATGCAAACATGAAGTCTACCGCTCCTGGAATCCGTGGGCACGGATCAAAGCAAGAGCGGTACCATGTGGATAGCCATGGCATACTGGATTTTCCTGCGCAAGGCTGAGGATTTAGGCAACAGAGCCAAGAAGGATGAGGCTGGCGGGCCGATATAAGATCCCTGATACTGTCCAGTGTCGGAACTTAGTCGCTGTCCAATCTCCACCGGTATTCCCGTCCTTTGTACCCTTACAAAACACTCGCGAGTTTTCATAATGGCATGCCTCGCATACGGAAATAGCATTGATGGTCCTGGTGTTACGACAGAGAACCAAATTAAGACAAATCCAGCGACGCAATCGACGTACAACAACTATGTCCTTAAAGTAGGCAACATCAGATGGAACGACGGAGAAACCCTCCATGTGGGGTTCCGGGGAGGGACCCCCTGGCAGAGACAGACAGTTGCATCGATCGCGGTGCAATGGACGTATCACGCCAACATATCGTTCCGATTCGACACAGACGGTAAAGGTCAAGAACGATACGATATTTTGGTCAGCTTCGATACAACCAATAAAGCCTCGTGGTCAAAGATCGGAAATACATCTCGAGATTCTGCCGCAGCCGGGTCGCCTTCTATGAACCTGGGGGACCTCAATCAGTTCAACAATGATGCGTACAATCAACGTACCATCTTGCATGAATTCGGTCATGCCCTTGGTCGCAAACATATGCACCAGAGTCCATGGCGCGAAGAGCATCCCAGTGTCGCTTTCGATCGCGAAAAGGTCTATGCTCATTACTATCAGAACCAAGGCTGGGATCGAAACAAGGTAGATTTGAATATCCTTGCCGAGGCCGACCTGGACTGGACACAGATCACAGAGCGTATGCGCATGAGAATGATGGACCTAGTCATGCCGAAGTTCGACATGCAATCTATCATGATGTATCCCTTCGACGCGAGCCTGATGTTAGGTGGACAGGGGGGCACGCAAAGAAACTTTGAGCTGTCAGCCTGGGACAAATATGCTATCTCGAAAGCATACCCGTACCACCCCTAGGGAGAGGGTGCATGTCCAGGGACGCCAGGATATGTTGGATGAAATGTGCCACTTCATTAGATTGGCAGATATACTTGATAGTCGACCTTATCACTCTAAGCACTTCTGCGCATTGCCGGGCTTTGTGTAGTCACTAATTTCATTGACCAAAAGTCTCTTGGTAATCTTTGTAATGTCACCTCACACTCCCTGTCTGCCCAAACAGCCCACTCTTCGCGAACGGCCACCCCACCATCCCCATAGTAAACAAGCCCTCTTTCGCGAATTCCTCGGCCTTTGCAGCCAGCTCGTCAACATCCCAATTAGCCCACACCATCTTCCCGCTGAGATATCTCCTCTCCTGTATAACACTCAGCCACAGCATGAAGTGCGCTGGTAATTCCACTATCTCCTCATCAGATCATCATGGTCCTATGCATGCACGAGAAGGAAGAAATTACCGGTGTCCTGCGACAGCTTACTCGCCTGCATCTCCGCCTCTCTTAGCAGCTTCGTATCAATAACGCCAGGATGCACGCTTGCGACAAACAGTTCCGGATGCTCGTGCGCTATGTACTCCATCAGCTTCGCCTGCGCGATCTTACTGCTCATGTAGCCGGTCAGACCAGCGCCTATCTCCGCAGGGAGAACGGCGCCTGCAGCGTTCACACTGAGGAATGTGGCGTTGGCGTTAGCGAGTGGAAGGAAGGCTTGCGCGAAGATATAGACGGATTTCACGTTCGTCTAAGCAAAGGCGTTAGTAGCCTAGCTAGACTCAATAGTAATCACCGTGGAAGGGGTGAGACGCACTTCATAACTTGTCCAGAAGTCACTCAATGGGATGTTGAGGACGGTGTTTGGCGGCGAGAGATGCGCAGCATTGAGGATGAGGACATCCCAGGCGCCGACCTCCCGTGCGATGTTCTGGACAGCGGATTCGTCGGCGACTGAGGCGGCGAAGATGCTTGTTTTGGTCTTTTCACTGCTTTCCCCTATGGCTGCTGCGGTTTCTTCTAGGGTTGCGGATGTTCGGCCGACTAGCACGACGTGCTTTGCGCCTGCTTGGGCGAAGGCTAGGGCTGTGGCTCGTCCGACGCCGCTGCCCTAGTGGGTGTAAGCGAAAAAGAGGAATTTTCTGGGAAGTATGTGGCAATACCGCTCCGGTGACTATTATGGTTTTCCCTTCTTGAGTGAGGTTTGGGTTGGTGGGGCTTATGGCTGGGTACGTATCATTGTGCCAGGTAGGGATTGGCGACGGGTACGGAGGCTGCATTGTGCAAGCGTCACAATTCGGGAGGATGAATGTGTACAGAATCTTAGGACGAGCAGACTTATCCTTTGGGGCCTCTTATATCAAATACGCTTTGAAGCATGCGACGGGGGCTCGGACGTTGAGATTCGTTCTGACAGGCGTCCAAGCTTACTGGCATGAGCCCCGCAGTTTTACACCAATTACACATGGTAGGTATTTCTGAAGCTTACGCAGATCGTCGCATTATGCAGTAGCAACCTTTTCAAGGAGCCATTGTGACTTCTTTCGATGTGCGCGAACGGTGATGATGCTGTACGATAAAGTGCCCACCTCCGAGACAGCCGGTGCTATTCGTTTACTCGCCTATTCACACCTGGGCAGTGGCCGACACAAAACCTTGGACCAATTAGCGTTGACCCCTTCCAAGATCAATCTCTCCTACTATGTTAAGGCTAGCTATACGTGTCTAAGCTGAGACCTGTTTAGCTGCTTCGCAAGATGTTTTGCCATAGCTTCTCGGAGATTGCTGCCAGTATGCTGCATGGTCGTTGTACATGAGAGTGTGCAGTGCATTCCCTCCAGCGACCGCAGCTGTGGCGCATACTGGTAGCTTCCTCGAAGTTTCTATCAGGTGCAGCGATCAAGTGCTTTTACAAAATATTGCGGTTCCGTCAGTGGCATTCAACTCGCCCGCTCGTGCACCTGCGCAACTTGACATAGAGCTTCTCCGCCTTTTTATAGACACTCAGCCGAGTATATTTCCATTATATGACTGTTATGAACCGCCTGTAATAGTTTCCTCACGGTCGTTGACCGTGTTAAGTGTCGCTACGTGCTCTGGCCCCAATGCCTTCTCTCTGCCCTGCAGCACCCGCTGGTACATCCTCTCTGCCTCCTCAAGCCGGCCAAGTTTCTTGTAGAGGTTACCCAAATGATCAACTGTGACGAGTGTTTCTGTGTGCTCTAGCCCTAATGCCTTCTCTCTGCCCTGCAACGCCCGCTGGTACATCCTCTCCGCCTCGTCAAGCCGTCCAAAGTCCTCGTACAGGATGCCTAAGTCACTGACTATGTGAATGGTTGATGTGTGCTCTGGTCCAAGTACCTTCTCTCTGCCCTGCAGCACCCGCTGGTACATCCTCTCTGCCTCCTCAAGCCGGCCAAGTTTCCTGTAGAGGTCACCCAAATGATTAACTGTGTCGAGTGTTGATATGTGCTCTGGCCCTAATGCCTTCTCTTTGCCCTGTAGCGCCCGCTGGTACATCATCTCCGCCTCGTTAAACTGTCCCTGGTTCAGGCAGAGGTTGCCCAAATTGTTAACGCTCATCATCGTGTTTGGATGCTCAGGCCCAAACACCTTCTCGCATGTCGTTAGCTCCTGAGCTTGCCAAGCAATAGCCTCTTCATCCTTGCCCTGCAAACTCAGTACTCTTGCTAAATCGGACAAGATCATCAGCGCTGGAGGGTGCGCACTCCCAAGCTTCACCGTCTTATATACCTTAATAGTCTCCATATACATCACTTCCGCTTCTGCATACTTATCTTGTATCTCTAGCGCACGTGCCAAGTTGTACATGCTCGCTAGCGTGTCTGGATGCTCAGGCCCGAGCACTTGCTTGCTCTTCTCGAACACTTGCACCTCCAGTTTTTCTGCATCTTGCCATTGACCTGCGTCCCGGAGCGTTTCTGATAGTACAGCCATTCTCGCCAGATAGCTTGGTTGGTCGGCTCCGTCCTGATCTCCTAGCTTACTGGGTTCTGAGGGCGGAGAACCCGGTGCGTCATTTTCAGGCCCTGCTATGATTTGAGTATCCTCTATATCGGCGTGTAAGACCTTGCTCTTGGATGGATCCGGCTCTGGGCCCGTGTCGTCTGTATCACCTCGGGAGCTTGCGAAGATCAAAGTCGATCGTTGTGACGGGTCCGTGCGCTTGCTCTTCGTCTCCTCAATGGCCGCATTTGAAGTTTTATCGTCATCAGTCGCAGCACCAATAGGTATAGCGAAAAGTGCGAGCTGCTCGAGATGGCCAGCGAGGTGGCGTTTAAATACCGTCGGAACGACAGCCAAAATATCGTTCGGCAATGATCCCCCTGTTTGGATTGCTTGCTCCTTCAAACGATCAGCCCAATCTGAACAGCAAGGGCAATCATCTACTGGAATCTGAGCGAGGGGCTTTCGAGCGAGATCTCTTCCTGGCTGCTCTTCGCCATCAAATAGCATCTTCGCATGTTTCCGCTTTACATGAGAAAGGTATTTCTCCTCCTGATAGAAGACCGTGCTCGGGCAGAGAAAGCACTGGTAGGAGACACGGTGAACCATCATCTCATGCTGAAACCATTCGTTAATGTCCCCAAAATATGGTGCATCGCAGTCCGGAAATGTGCATACATAAGCACGGAGATCGGAAAATACATGTTTTCTCCAGGTGCGCTCCCTTTTAAACTTTTTGATTCGAAAGCAGAAAGGGCATTCGAACTCTTTCTTGCCACCGATGCGCAGGTCGTCCAGCTTCGGGCTGCGGACGGTGGTATGTGACTCATGATCGCCGTCGATCGAGCGGGAGATTGTTGTATACGAACGGGCATCTTCCTCCGAGTCTGAACCTTCTGCAACAAGTAGTTGAGGTGTGATTCGTTCGGGAGCAATAGTGGTGGCTTTGGTGATGAAGGAAGGACGGCTCACCGAATCAAACATCGTCTTTGAAGCCGGCGGCTGCTTGATATCAGGGGCTTGAGACCTGGCGGCCGAACTATCTGCCTTGTCGTGGTCAATGAGCCTGCCACCTAATTTTCCATGGTGATCCTGTATATAATTGAGGTAATGCCGTCTTTGAGTGATAGCTCGCCCGAGACGTTGGCGAAGCCAGGCGCAGTTATCTGTACCAAGCTTGCGATACTTCTCACCAACGTGAGCTATGTCGAATTGATCATTGAAGCAATATCGGTTGCGGCTCAAAGCTTTGGCGAAGAGGTCGGTGGGTGCTGCCTGTCGGATAAGGATTGATACTCTGAAGAGGCGGGTGATGGCCCCACTGATCTCCTCTCGAAGCTCGTTCACTTCGCTGATCTCCTCGCTGATCTGTCCATCAATAAAGACCGAGCCTTCTCTTTTACCAGAAACGATCTCGAGTAGCTCTGCAGCAACTTCGTTCAAGTCGGCTAAAAGGTCTAAGATGTGAGTGAGCACGTCGTTGGCTTTGTGTAGTCGTGACTCGATGGACATGGACGACTCGGGTCGGTGGAGAGCTCCGATGTTTCCAACAAAGAGGCTGAATCTGTCCAGCTCCTCATTGATTTGGGCATGCTTGACATGGCCGTTGGTATTACCCGGCTTGGACAGAACCGAGATGACTTCTTGTAGAGTGACGAGACAAGAGCGACATTGCTCTGATACTGACAGCGTCATCTCTCGTTATCCGGTGTTTCAAATTCTGTATCAGAGCAAAGGCGTTCTGGCGCTCGGATTCTAGGAAATCGCGTTGAAGGAGAAATGGGAAAACGACAACAGGAATAGTCGATAGAATTATGGTGCGAAGGACCTTGAAAGCCTGGTGGTTGTCGGCGTGCTGGAGGAGGTGTCGAAAGGTGCCGCAAGTTGGGCAGCAGGTGCGGGGAATCAAACACGTGTAATACCTTATGTCTCAGCCTTCTGACTCTTAAGAATTATTCTGACTCCTCTTGAACCATCCGTCTTGCTGAGTCCATCTCCATATCCCCACGAGCGGGCTAGAAGTAGCAGGTATCGTTCATGGGTCTGGCGCTCGTATTTTCGAAAACCACATTCAAGGATAACAAAAAAACAGGAAATGTCGGTAGGATCTAGATACGAATGTCCTGGATAGCCTGGTGGCTGTCGGCGTGGTGGAAGTGTCGCAATGCGGCGGAAGTTGCGTTTGGGGGCGCCCAGTGCGGGGGATCGACCACGTGTGATGTCGTATACCTAGGTACGTCTCAGCCTTCCGACTCCTGACATCTTTCCAATGTTCTCTTTCTCCACTTGCATCATCCGTCTTGATGGTGTTATCTCCATATCCCTATGAACGGTCTAGAAGTAGCAGGTGTCGTTCTTGGCGCTTTTCCACTGCTCATAAGCGGCATCGAGCATTGGCGCGATGTTGCGAAAGTCGGCGGCTTTTATTGGTGGATACGGAAAGAACACACCAGATGTCAGCGCGACTGCCAGTTTCACGAGATTTTATACAAGAATAACCTCCGAGAACTTCTGTTACCACTCATCCCACATGCGAATCAAGTTGCGGAGCTCATTGCAGATCCAGGCGGCCAAAGATGGGGTGACATGGCACTGCAGGAACGACTAGAAGGCAGGCTACATGAGTCGTATCAATTGTACCAGAGTATTATCGCTGAGATGAACGAGATCACCGAAGACCTGAAGAAAGAGTTATGTCTTGATAAAGAGATTGTGCAGAACAGGCTCCTGCCGCCGGATGCGAAACGACAGAACTCCAACCAATCGCCAAACCCTCAGGCATCTGCGCGGCTTTGGAAGCTTTCCGTTGCCAAGGGCAGGTTGGACTATGAGTGGTTTCGAACAAGGTTCAGCCTCGGGGAAAAGAACAGAAATGACCTCTTCAATCGACTCAAAGAATGCAACGAGCGTCTAGAGAAGCTCTTGAGCTCTAACGACAGAGTCTCTGCACTCCAAAATGCCGCACCTGGGTACACCAAGCAGACTTGCGTGCTGGAGTCAGCATTCAAGATGGTTTCTAAGAAATCAGATCTGCTGTTCAAGGCGCTGCAAAACGCCTGGCAGTGTTCGTGTCAGCAGTACCACTTCGCGAACTTACGATTGGAGCATCGGACACTCACAGAAATATGCTTTGAAATCGTCCTCATATTCGCCGCTCCCTTGGAATACGAGAGTAAGCCATGGTGCTGGAGAGAGATTCGCTGCGGGCATATGCTAGGTTGTGCTTCCTCTCAAAAAGTCATGAATGCTGCGACATCCTCGCCGCTTCATGGCCAGCCACCAACCTTACCAATACCAGCAGCTGTTCCTTCACTGCGAACTGCGACACGGAAGAGAGTGGGTTTCGTTGCATCTGCGCCCACTGTACCGAACATCAAAGTAGACCCGGCCATTGATCACGACATCCATTTATGTCAGCGCTTAGGCGGTGAAGACCGCGGAGAATGCATGGGCATCATCGGTCATGAAGATGAGATCTTCCATCTTCATCCAATCATCCCAGAAGCGCATATGGCCGGAACCGCTCCCATCACCCTTGATCGCATCCTCTCCCACGACTTTGAAGGCCAGCTTTCGCGGCGCCAACGCTACGCAATTGCGCTTCTTGTTGCTTCATCGGTGGGACAACTCCAATCTACGCCCTGGCTACGGGCTAGTCTCTGCAAAGAGGACATCGTTTTCTTCCCACCCAACGACGATAACCTCATGACCCCGTACAGCAAGCCTTTCATCCGCCAAGGATTCTCGCACAGTCAGACGGAACTTCACCCCACTGACTTCCTCACGAACGACTGCAATTTTTACTCCCTCGGTATACTTTTGCTAGAACTCTGCTTTGGATGTCGGTTAGAAGACTATCATCTACGCAAGACGCGCCCAGCAACCACCGATGCCGCAGCCAAACAGGCCTTCGACGTGTTAGCTGCGCTAAAGTGGTCCGACAGTGTGAGCGACGAGGGTGGAGACGATTATGCGAAAGCTGTGAAGTGGTGCTTCATGGGCGTAACAGACAGGGAGAAAAATTGGAGAGGCGAGATTATTAGGAACGTGGTACAACCGTTGGAGACATGTATGAAGCATTTCCAGAATGTCGCTAGCTACGGATTAGGAGGTGGAGTTTATCGCGAAATCGTTTAGTTTAGTAAATTTACGCACGTGTATTATCGGTGCTTTGCAAAAAGAATGTGCCACCTTCCACGGCGCTAAAATAAGAAATTCGTAAGTTTTTAGCCAATGTAGTTACTATAAGGAGTAAATCTTTAGCTTATTTACTATAGTACACTTATTTCTATAGTTTAATACCCTATTTTAGGCTCTACCGTGCCTAAAAGATAAGTTTAATAAGATTTAGCCAATGCTTTACTCCTTATAGTCACTATATTAGTTGAACTTCTGATTCCAGCGCCGTGGGAGGTGGCACATTCTTTTTGCAAACGATAATATACATCTCGGCACGAAGTGATTAAGTAGGCAGCGGAGCATATGAACCCTAAAATTTGGATCAGTTGTAGCGCCAACCCGAGAGATGACCATCAGTAACAGAGAAACTCTTATATTCGGCATCCATCGCATTATTTATTACGCCAGTGCGCCTATTCTACTGAGCTAAGGCACCAATGACCATTGGGCACAGTCTTGAAAGCACATCTTCCCATCATTACCAACCTACAATCCTAAGCATATTCCGGGTCGGATTGAGAGATGGCTGGGTGGCCTCTGTGTTCCGATATACAAGTCGAGCACACCTGGGCATCGCAGACCGCGATCGTACGATCTCGCACCTCGTTAACCTCATAAGACTGTTTGGCCTCTTCCAATCCAAAGACGGTGAGATCGAATCTTAAGATCATGCTGTTTGAGCAGAGAATCCACCAGTTCCGTGAGCATACCGCCGTTGAAACTTCCGACACAACAACGGACCGTGATGCGATGGGAGCCTATTAAACCATTCACAATATCGACAAGGATATCCAACAGCGCCGTTATGTTGGATACATCCGCAATCTGCTCTCACACGTTCCGTGGATATCCCTTACAATAAACGGACAGAGGTAGGTTAGGCTAGAGACTTCCTACGTTTACTACAGCTACTCGAGCTCTCTAGCTAGATCACCAGTATATTATTAAAGATTGTTATCATCGCTATAGATAGCAGACCTTTGCTAGGAAAAGGAACTCAGACGTTCTCCACCAGCCTCTGTGTAAATCCCCCCGTTCTTATCTACCCGCAGTCGTCAAGATACAGTACCGCATTGTTGCCCCCAAACAGCTAGCCTTACTTTCATGGGGGCCGCGCACCCAGCACGGCATTACCATCGGCCCCCGGATCATTCGCACCATCCGTTCCGAACCCAACTAAACTACAGACCCCAAAGCCCCAGCGCACAACGATGTAGTCTCTCCCTCGTAAACACCCAGCATAGTGTACAGTAATGGTACGTTGAAACAAGCTTGATTGGGCGCCTAGACGTTCTTAGCCAGAATGGGATAACAATCTGGAGTACGAGCTGCAGCTTAGTTCAAAGAGTATTGTGAGAGAGCTTACGGCCGTAAGGTATGCGAAAGAATGTACGGCGCTGCACAGATAGCTGTGCATATAAGGTCTACGCGGTATTCCTTCGAGTGCTTCCAAGATCGGCCCTTCAACTCAAACCTCCTGCCACCGGATCGCAAACACCGGATCGCAACCCATCTCAACACCGACACCGAGCCCGATCACCAGGCACCCATTTTTGCACCTCTATTCTTCACACATACATAACATATCCCCACAATGCCCTGCCTCTCCCTCCTAAACTCCCACCCCCACCTCTCACCCCATCCCCTCCCCACCGCCAATAATCACCATGTCCCAAGCAAAGCTCCACATAGGAGTCCTCATCGTTCCCCCCATCCAACTCCTCGACCTCGCTCCAATCGACCTCCTAGCCATGACATCCCACGCCTACTTCTCAGCCTGCAACCTCCCCCCGCCGCTCCTCGCCATCGCGATACCAGACGCACAGTTTAAAATAACGTACATTTCGCCCGCCGGCCCAGGCTCGCTGTCAGAAACAACGGCGGGGGTGAAATTATCCACCGATGCTGCGATCCACGATAGCGCTGCCAAACCAGGGGAGCTGGATATCCTGCTCATTCCCGGGCCGCCGCCTGCGACGAGGCCGGAGGAAGACGTACTGGCGTGGATAAGGGCGCATGTAGCTACGGGGGTGGATCTTTTAACTGTGTGTACCGGCGCGTTTGTAGCGGGGTATGCCGGCGTGCTTGACGGGAAAAAGGCGTCAGGCCCGAGGGGGGTGCTAGAATTGTTGAGGAAAGAGTGCCCGGGGGTGGAGTGGGTGGATAGGCGGTGGGTGAATGAGGGGAGAGTCTGGACGAGTGGTGAGTTATGAACGCTCTACATATGAGAAAGTGCTGATTGGCGTAGGTGGCATTTCGAATGGGCTGGATATGGTCGCTGTGTATATGAAGCAGCGGTGGCCGGGCGCATTGAGTGATACGGTGTTGGCGATGGCAGAGATTGAGCCTAGGCCGCAGGAATATGGAGAAGGAGCTGTAAGATACAATGCTTGGTTCGTGTGGTGCATATTCCGCGCTTGGGTGCAAAGCCTCACTGGGCGGAAGAAGTCTGTGTAGGAGTTGGAGGTCGAACTGACCGACGCGTGACGTTCGTATTATGTATGGGTATCTTGTAATCGCAGCAAAACTTTTCGCAGTGCACCAATGCCCTGTGGGAGATGTAACCTCAAACGGCACCTGCCCGTCTCCTCTCCAGAATCTGCTGCTTTAGGCCCTCGGCAGCGACTTCGGTCTCGAGTACGCGGCCAACACCACGCTTCCACGTCTCCTCGAGTGTCTTGATCTCGCCGTGTACGCTCTCCTGCTGCTGCCGCCGTAATGCTTCCACCTCCTCCTGCTGCTTGCGCACATCTGCCAGCTCCGCTTCGATGCTCTTCAAGATGTCTTCCTGCTGTGAGTTCCCAACCAGCCAGGCGTTCTTGCCGAATTTTTCCAGCAGGCCGAGCTCCGTCAGCCGCGCGTTCACATACTCAGAGCTGGTGTAGGCCTTCTGCAGCGCAGCTTTCCACTGTGCGAGAACCTCGGGCTTGTCTTCATCGCTTGTAGGGCTCGTGTTCGGCGGGGCTTCGAGGTCCTCGTATCGCGCGAGGTCGATGGCAGAGAGCTTGGAGTTTGGATCGGCCTGCAACCGCGCATGCTCCTGCTCGAGAACGGCGGAGAAGGTGGGCGCATAGGTGGTCGCTGGAATGAGCGCGGGGTGCACTTGCGCAACGTCTACGCCTGCGCTCTTCATGTCGGCGGCGACGAGCCCCATCGCAGCTACAAGGGCGGCCTGGTCAGGCGGGGCGTCCACATCTACAGCGCGTTAGCTTGCGTGAAAACAGGTACAGGCACATGCGAGTTGCGCCTGCAGGTCGGACATTGCCAACGTTCAGGCGAGCCGGGACTGCATTGGCGGGCGGTGTAGATTAAGACGTACAGGGGAGGGAATCATAGGATTCGTGGATCAGCGGCATGGTAGCAATGCAATCGGGGCGCGTGAGGAGATTGCAGCGTTCGCGTCGTGCGAAGGACGTTGGAGTTGACGGGCGCTTGTCGATAAGTGGACCCACCGGCGGTGGCGGCAGCCACTCAACGGGCGCTGCGGACGTCATGCTGTGCTCGACGCCGCCAAAGCCATGGGTTCCTATAGGCGACCGACAGGCCAGGAAGGCACTCCCCAGCGTACCTGCTGGCAGCCAATACGCGACTGGCCACACCTTCCTATACCGTAACGTACCTGCCTCTGCCTGGGAACGAGGACAATATACAAAAGGGCCCGGTGCCCATGTCTGCGCGTCCGCAGTCCGTTCCCCTCGTCTCCCACCGCGGCCTGCACGCATGGCTCGCTCACACATCGCCGTCGCCTTGGGCGCCTCCCTCCTCGCCGCCCTGATTGTTAGCCAGCTGGTGGCCACCCTGGGCTTCCCGCATGTCGACTTCTGGCATGGGCGCCTCGACCAGGACTACAAGGCCTACCAACACACGCAGCTCTTCCGCCCGAAGCAGGCCGAAGATGCCGCAGACGACCCGTCGCAGTACCTCATCGGCGTGGGGAAGGCAGATATCACCGGGTAGGTTTGGAAGGTACGACCCCAGCAGTCGTACCGTACTGACGGAGAAGCAGTCCGGTCGTCGAGCTCAACCTGATGGGCTACGCGAACACCTCGCAAGTCGGCACTGGACTCCGCCAACGTCTCTACTCGCGCGCCTTCATTGTAGGCAATCCGAGCACACCCGAGGATCGCTTCGTCTACATGGTCTTGGATACACAGTCTGGAGACACCGCAATCCGCAATGGCATTTTGGAAGGTCTCAAGGCACTGGGATCCCCCTACTCTATTTACACCGCAAAGAATGTCGCCGTAACAGGCACACACAGTCACTCTGGACCCGGTGCATGGCTCAACTACCTCCTTCCCCAGATCACCAGCTTGGGCTTCGACAAACAGAGCTACCAGGCCATCGTTGACGGCGCAGTTCTATCTATCAAGCGTGCGCATGAGGGTTTGACCCTAGGAACAGTCAGCTCCGGCAGCGGGAAGGTCGACAATGCCAATATCAACCGCAGTCTATACGCCTATCTGGCGAATCCGGCATCCGAGAGAGCCCGGTACACTGACAATGTTGACAAGACCATGACAATGCTGAAGTTCACGAGAGCGAGCGACGGCAAGAACATTGGCATCCTCAATTGGTTCGCTGTCCACGGTACCAGCTTGCTAGGAAACCAGACCATTGTTGCTGCAGACAACAAAGGTGTCGCTGCCTACCTGCTCGAGCAGGACATCGCTGCGAATGCGGCGTCAGTCAATGCCGCTGATGGCTTCGTGGCTGGCTTCTCGCAAGCGAACGTTGGTGACACCACACCCAACGTTGAAGGCGCCTGGTGCGAGGACGGATCTAATGAGGAATGCAAGCTGGAAGACAGTACCTGTGGCGGCAAGAGCCAAGACTGCCACGGCAGGGGTCCTTTCTACGGTTTGAACGATGGCGGTGTCAAGTCGTGCTACGAGATCGGGAAGCGACAAGCCGACGGCGCCAAAGGCATCTACACTTCAAACAGCTTCACTTCGATCACGGGCAGCGTCCGTTCTTTCCACAGCTTTGTGGACTTCTCCAACTTCACTTTCCAGCATCCGAATGGAACCACTGTGAAGACTTGTCCTGCCGCTATGGGTAACTCCTTTGCGGCCGGTACTTCGGACGGTCCGGGTGCGTTCGACTTCGTGCAAAATGATCCAGGAGCTCCTAGCAACCCCTTCTGGAACGTTGTAGGCAGCGCGATCGCCCCTCCTGGGCCTGCGCAGATCGCGTGTCAGCAACCGAAGCCCATTCTTCTCAATGTCGGCGAAGCGAAGACCCCATACGACTGGTCCCCCAACATCGTCGATATTCAGGTGCTTCGCGTTGGTCAGTTCATTATCATCGTGTCGCCCGGCGAGGCTACCACAATGTCCGGTCGCCGCTGGAGAGAGGCAGTCTACAACGAAGCTGTCTCCTCCGGTATCGTGTCGTCCTCTACTCCACCCATTGTTATTCTGGGTGGACCCGCCAACACCTACTCACACTACATCGCCACCGAGGAGGAATACGGCATCCAGCGTTATGAGGGCGCCTCGACCCTACATGGTCCTCATACCCTAAACGCCTACATCAACGCTACTCTAGGCTACCTCCCCTATTTGGCCGACTCCGCCACCACTTCTTCGCCAGCTGGTCCAACCCCTCCGGACAACCGTGAAAAGAGCATCTCGCTCATCACTGGCGTCGTGTACGACGGCGCGGGTATCGGCAGCAGTTTCGGCAAGGTCCTCACAGATGTCTCCTCTACCTACACGCGTGGCTCAAAGGTCATCGCTGTTTTCCAGGGTGCAAACCCGCGAAACAACCTTCGCCTCGAAGGCACCTTTACCGCAATTGAGAAACAGAACAACGACGCATCCTGGACGCAGGTACGCAACGACAAAGACTGGGAGCTATTGTTCGAGTGGAAGAGGGTGAACGGACTCACAGGTACGAGCAACGTCACAATCAGCTGGGATACGTCGATCACAAGCCCGGCTGCGGGATTGTATCGCATCAAGTACTACGGTGACTCGAAGGCTGTTGGCGGCACAATCACCGCTTTCACGGGAACTAGTGGGGTCTTCAAGCTGTCTTGAGCTGGGCAGAGATGTCATGTTGATACGAAGGATATGAGGCGCAATGTAAATACTAATTTGACCAATGATCTTCGCAAAATGATGCGACACAGTTCTTCTTATCTCCACCGCGAGCCTTTCAACCAAACAGCAAATCCGTATTCGTGCGAGAGGTTTCGCATCCCCCATACACGCCCCATTGGCTATGTCAGCACAGTGTATTATGTTGCCGGCGCCAACCCAAATCAACCACTTCCCCGTCCCGATTAGGCAATCGTATCGGCCTACAGACTACCCTTCGGAGACTTTCCTACGAAGGGTACTACATGATGAGCTATTGTGTTTTCTCAGGCCTTACTCTGTATCTCCCATTCCGTCTTCGCACTTCAATCAATCATATAGGATCTACCTCGGTCAAGCCTACCAGACAGACCTTGCAAACATGTCCGCGCCCCTCCGCAAAATCGCACTCCTCGGCGTGAGTACTACCGACCCTCACCATTTCTTTATACAGCACTGACAGAGACATACATAGGCATCAGGCCACCTCGGCACCCACCTGCTCGCCGCCCTCGAAGCAGACCCCTCATTCGACATCACAGTCATCACGCGTGCGAGCTCGACTTTCGAATTCCCAATTGATGTGAAGGTGGTCAGGGTTAGCGACGACTATCCTCAGCAGGAACTTGTGCGCGCGTTCAAAGGGCACGACGCCGTTATATTGGCGCTTAACACCGGCGCTGAGAAATATCACAACGTGATGGTCGATGCGTGTATTAAGGCTGGGGTGCGGCGGTTGATTCCCAGCGTCTTCGGCGGCCGCCACACGCCCGCCGTGCAGTCCGTTTTCCCCGTTGCGAAGGCCAAAGCGGATATCCTATCCTACGTCGAGGCGTGTGCTGCTCAGCAAGGGGAATGGACTTACACCGCGCTCTCCACGGGGCCGTTCCACGAGCTGTGCGTGGGGGCTGGGATGTACGACATTGACGCTGGATCAAAGACGGCGACGCTCTGGGATGGCGGGGACGCGAGGTTCAGCGTTAGTACGTACGGGACTATTGCTCAGGCTGTCTTGCAGATCCTCCGCATGCCAGGGGTAACGAAAAACGAGACCGTGTATGTGTCCAGCTTTGAAACGTCGCAAAAGGAGTTGCTGGGTATTTATCAGGACGGCACCGGCGGCGCGGAGGGGTGGACTGTCGAATACGAGGACTGCGAGGAGGGCATCAAAGAGGCGCAAGATATGTACTGCACGGCGGAGGACGGGATGACTAGGATGAAGGCGGTGGGCAGGCTGGCGCTGCTTAGTACGGTAATGAAGGGTGCAGGGGGGGATTTCGAAGCCGAGGGGTTGAGTTGGAATGGGAGACTGGGGCTGGAAGGAGAGGATGTGGTGATTGTTACGAGGATGGTTTTGGGGGTGGGGTGGTGGTGTTGATGTATTTTATGTAGGGATTTGTGAGTGGGAGGTGAGAGACTATTCTTCGTAGTCAGCTCGCATACGTAGTTGGAAGCAGATTTCTTCTGTACGAAAAGTCTCCAGTCTACAAGTTACCTTTGCTTGTTACCTTGTGTTTCTTCTTAAGCTCAAGTGCTGCATATTCTCATCCCGTTGCTTAATGAGATACCTGGCATCGCAATTATAAAACATCGTATTGTTAGCAGCATCGGACCACCACTCCGCCCTTCGATCCTGCAAACTTTTGAGTCCGACGCGGTTTAGTCCAATTTTTACCCGGGGCGCCACCTTTCTTAGCGTTGTCTAGCAAGCGGCTCGGGCGTTGCTTGTCGCCGGCTACCCTGTATCTTTTGCCACATCGCCCCGCCACGCGGGATTAGGTAGGGCTGAGCTACACGGCATGTTCTTGACGTCCTCCCGACAATTACGACTACACCACCACCTACCAGGCTTGTCAACTGAGACGTCGTCCTGGCAGTCATTGCTTACGACTGCTGCAGATTATGGTGCAGCAGGAGCTCACCGAGCAGCAATTGGCTTTTATTGCCGACCGTGGCCGGGTGTGGCAGGTGAGGCGCTTCTGCCAGGTTTTGCCTTCTGTGGTCGAGTACGAGCGCGGGGATGAGACTGCGCATGGAACGTACTCTGGCTCTGAGCCGAATGGTGCGCTGGCTGCTCTGCTGCGCTGTGTCATCTATCGGCTGGGTGCTGATTTGGCCATGGTCAGCTTGCTAGACGACCACAACCAATATTTTGTCTCTGGGGCAAGTCGCCACAATATACAAGATGTAAAGCTTACCTTAGGTGAGTACTGTTGCTGAAAACTGCCATGTGTGCACGCACGTGAAGGGTGTCTAACCATAGAACCGCAGATTCAACGCGATGGTATGGTTGCGAATCGGTCGCGCACCATGGTGGCTTGTGTGAACGTACCATCACCCAGCAAGATTACCCCGGAAACATGGCCTTTTACGAAGAGCTCGACATGGCTCACACCGAGAGAACCCAGAACCTTCCTTTCGTTAAAGGCGACATCGCCAACTTTCGACATTATGCTGGTGTTCCGTTGAATCCTTATGGTGGCCCAAATATCGGTACAGTCTTCTTCTTCAGCGAAAAGCCATCCGAGACCAGTCTCTCTGTTGGCATCCGATCCTACTTGGCTGAGACAGCCACTCATATCACGAGGCACCTCGAACAAGCTGTTGAAGCGTTGGAGGGCAAGAGAGCGTTACGATTTAACCGTGGAGTCGCTTCGTTGTTGACCATAAGCTCCGCCCATCCCAATTCTGGCTCTCAAGGCTCCTTTCTGGACACCCAATGCGGACGGCAGCATTTAGTATCGAATCTCTACACGGACGGTGCCTTATACGTATATAATCTGGCTGCGACCCTCCTTTGCGACATATTCGAATTTGATGGTGTCAGAATTCAAGAAGTAGGAGTGGCGCGAAACATTGTCAACATCGATGCAAACTGGAACGGATCCAAGATCATAGCGCAGCATCTCCAGCCAATTGCACAAAAGCCAGGAGATCTTCCCGAAGCACTGGTGGAACGGCTTTTGGAGCTGTTTCCACAGGGTGCTGTTTTCCATATCGCCGCAGAGTCAAGCGAAGTCATCGCCGCAACGGTCGTGCAAGACGCGGCTGTCCTTGTCAACGATGTCGTGTTTACGGAATTATCCAAGGCCTTTCCAAATGTCGAGCAAATGATTCTGATGCCGCTATGGGAGGCTCATCACGAACGCACCGTTGGTGCGGTCTTGGGCTTTGCTAATCGTCAGTCAAACGTGTATCTCAGCACCACTGATCTATCCTCAATGTCTGCGTTCTGCACAACGACCATGACACAAGTACGGCGCCTCGAGGTGCAAGCCATAGATCAAATCAAGTCAGACTTCCTCGGTTCGGTATCCCACGAGATGCGGACACCGCTCCATGGTATCTTGTCAAGTCTTGAGCTCTTAGCCGATACCCCCTACAACGAGTATCAGCGCGACTTGCTTAAGATGGCGCAGTACAGCGGTTCATCGTTGCTCGAAACCATTGACCGTGTCTTATATTTTAGCGGAGTTAGCTCCGAAGTGCAGCTGCCAGCAGAACGCTCCGTCAAACGATCGAGTGGATGGCTTTCGCAGCAGCAGCGCATCCCACCTTACCAAACAGCAGCCTCCCCACCCGAAGAGGAGACCTCAGGCACCATTCACATTTGCGAATCATATCTTCGACATGCGGCGCATAGACTTCACTTGAAGCGGACCGTACGGCCAGAGCTTTTTAGGCCTCGTAGAAGTGTTGGCAGCCTAGAGAGCTCTTCTGCGCTTTTGACAGAGTCTCGCAGCGTTCCTCCGCACCCTGTCATACTATTCGACACCAATGCCACTTGGACCTGTCGTTTTACAGCTGTCGCTAGCTTCAAAACGGTGTACACAAATCTGCTAGTATGTCCCGGGCCAGATTCGTTCACGCCACTCACAAGCTAACATCGTTGCTAGGATAATGCTTTGAAGTTTGGTGACCCGGCTGGCTGCGTTTGTGTTCACCTGGACATTGGTGAAGGTTTGGCCAGACTGTCGTTCACCGACACTGGTAAAGGGGTAGCCTCGGACTTCATTCGTCATGTTATGCTCGATCCGTTTTCGCAAGAAGATCCTCTCAATGAAGGGACCGGTCTTGGACTTGCTAATGTTAAGCATGCTGTCGCTGAGCTTGGCGGGCGCATGCTGATCGATTCAAATGAATCATGGGGTTCCACCTTCACTGTTACGTTTCCTTCGGACCGCATAGCATATGATCCATCGCAAGAGACATCAGACTTCACCACTACTGACTTCCATTTCACTGCTCCCGAGTTGCCCAAGCTCGACATGAGCTTTTCTATGCCGAGAAGATGGGAAACAGGAGACAATGTGCGAGATCGTCGGTGCGCTGACATGGTATTGGACTCGCTCATGCGAGGTGTAAGCCGGTGGTTTCAGACTAAGGCCACCCTCTGGAAGCCTCCGAGCGCGCTACCTCACTTACTTTTCATCTTACTGGAGGATCTAGACCATGCTCTACAGACCTGCGGTGATGCAGTCAACCGAGCTCAGGTCATCGTGCTTTGCCCGGACATTGAGAAGACCCTGAGCTTGCAGAAAACGTCTCTGCAGAATGCCACAGCTATCGTCGGCCCAGTGACCGTTTCGAGCCTCCAGAATGCGTTGGCGCGCTTGTTCCCTGGGACAGTTCCGCCTTCGGAGACTCATGCTTCTCTCGACCAGACGTCAAGAATCCTGAAAGACGGGAAAAACCAGGCAAAGACAAACGGCGTCACCGCGTGGTCGACTAGTACCGGAGTCGATGACTTGTTGCCTCGAATGCTATCCAACTTTCAACTCCGACGGGAAGACCCAGAGAGTGACGGACACGCCTCAGCACAGCAAAGGGTCATCTCAAAAGCCGAACCGTTAGCGGTGCCGGACGAAGCATCGTCTGAAGCCTCCAAGACATTACAATCAGATAACATAGCAAGCACCAGCCAGACTCAGCTGGTAGTCTCGAAGAGAGACAAACACACTGGATCTATATCCAGGGCTTTGCCAGAGCCAAAAATGCTGCTTGTTGACGATAATTCCATCAACCTCAAGGTGCTTGTCATGTTGGCACACAAATGCAGCGCGATACCCTCAACATCGGTTGGCGGCGGCCAAGAGGCGATAGACGCAATCGAAGAGGCCCTCAAGAACGATTGCAGTACACGGCAAACCTACGACCTAGTTTTTCTGGACCTCTCCATGCCGGAAATATCTGGATTCGATGTCGCGAAGAAGATACGTGAGATGGAGGCATGCTCGAAGGAAAGCCCAAGAACGTATATATGTGCGCTCACCGGTCTTGCTAGCGCAAACGATCGTAATAAAGCATTTGCAGCGGGTGTGGATGGATATCTCGTTAAGCCGGCGAAGCTGAAAGATCTACAGGCTGTCATTGGCCAGTGGCGAGATAGTCTGGCAGATCAACAGCAGTACGGTTAATACTACGATGATATTCCCCTTGACTGCGAGGCTGCTGGCCTGTGGACGAGGCTCACGAGCTTGTCTGCGAGGTACGCGGCTTCGGTGACGTAGTCGCCGTGGCACTCAACGCGACAGCTTCAATCGGGTGCATGGCGTGGCTGGCTCCGCTAGCTTCGGAAGCATCGGGAGGACCGCACAACACGATATCGATGAGAAGTAGGTTCTATGAACCTGCTTCCAGGCCCAGTTGCGACCTAGTCGAAGATATCAAGCAAGTAATTTCTCGTCCGTTCAGCGTTGCATGAGATTACTCCTCCGTCGGTTTCGTTGCGGTTTCTCGGGCGATAGGGTTCACAACTTGAGAAGCTCACCCAGTACTTTGGTCACAAGCGGCATGCTGCCGTACGTCGAGACACTTGGAAGGACGCGATGGACGCTGTCGTCTTTACAGGCTGTGTGCATCATCTCCAGCAAGATGGTCGCAGGTCGCAGCTAACACGTACCATAGTGTGAGTTACATAGGTACTCTACGCTACGGGATTACACCCCGCTACCTCAACACGAGGGATCAATTCCGTCGGGAGTCAACGCGTCGAAGTTCGAACTCCATGTGTCAGCCACCGTCAGTATCTTCCCATCACTTGTCGCTGCACAACCACCGCCCGCTATGGAAATCGAATCGTTGTCCCATTTCCCGCTCGGTTGAACTGTTCCTGAAGGAGAACGAGGGGCTAAAGATCGAATGTGGTTTTGTGAATGACGATTGTGTGCGGTGGGTGGATAGTAGTGTGAGCATGTGCTGGTTGCTACAAAGCGACAATCGCACTCTGACTACCGACTCGTTTTGGTTCACATCGGTCTGGTTCCACTCGCTTCTACATAGACAACACAGAGAGCAAATTCGAGTGCGTCTCGGTTCATGGTCGGTATGTCTTTCAAGAAGTGAAGATATGGGGCTCTGGTGTGGCAGTGCAGCCGTGTAACGTAAGTAGCGTGGGTAGCGTAGAGCGACTTGTGGCAACAGCCTGGGGCAGAACTTCTGCAGCTTGTGTGTTATTACAGTGAAATGCTATACATATGACAACATCTTGAGTCGTCCTCTACTTAATGCCCGGCATGATCAGAGGCAGGAAATCTATCATGCTCTGCTTGAAATGTCGACCTCGGATCCAAGGATATTATGCCAGTTCCTTACACGAGCAGCGCCATCGCGACGAGGTTCACGACCAAAACCACGACAGCCCTTCTCGTTCCCATCCTTCCTGCAGCGCCTGTCTTCGACTCCGACGGAACCGGGGGCTGGTTCGGGTTCGTGTTTGTGTTCGAAGGCTTGTTGTCGAAAACACCACCTGACAACGACGATTTGTGACCCACACTGCCCTCCACACATGTCTTGTTCGCATCGCCCCAGTGTGCGTCCACTGTCTTCTGCCACACAGCGGTGACGTTGCGGACCATCTCGGCAGTATAGAAGAGGCGGCAGTCTGCGGCTTCGTAGACGAATTCGAGGGGCGTGAGGGAGGTATCGTTGCTGGGCGGCATTAGCGATTATTTGGGAGGGATATGTCGGGCTTCTTCTTACATTCGATACATGTCGCGGAGGTTGATGCGAGTCTGTGCACCATGCACTCCTTCTGAGCTTGCACCCCTCTCGAAGGGCCTCGTGGCATTTAACATCGCGCCAACTACTGTCTGGTTGAGGGTCGGATCTGCTTGCACGACCAACGAGAGTAAACTGCGGATTACGGTGATGGCGTAGACCTGCGCGCCTTTGGTGCCGCCTACGCCCTGCATGGGTCCAGTGTTGGGCCGCCCGCCGATGGCAACTTGCTGTACGCGTCCCTGTGTCTTCATCAATTCTGAGAAGATGGAGCAGGTGGAGCCGCAGCTTCCGTCTGTGAGCAGGACAATGTCTTTCGCCTCGAAGGGTTGCGTCTTGTTAAGTTTGTTGACTCGACTGCCATATCCCGTGATATCCATACCTCCTCGCGCAGGCTCTAGATCCGCAAAGGCATTGGTCAAGTTCCGGCGTTGGGGGGTTGTTAAGTTGGAGCCGTCTTGAAGTGTGGGGCCAAAGTATTCCTCCCAAGAATTGAAGGGCTTGGCCTCAATCGTCATCGGAACTTTGTAGTTGAATAAGGACCCCCAGGCCTGTGAAAGGGCACTGTTGGGACCAGCTTGGACGGCCTGCTCGTAGGTGTAGTTTGAAAGAGCTTTGGTCACTGCCTTCCCAGCTAGGTCGAGCGCCTCGTGAGCGTGAAGGGTCGTCGCGCCGTAGGGATATAGTGACGGGAGAAGCTGTTGGAAGAGATCACTAGCAATCTCGGGTTAGCGACGAAATATGCATTCAGCCATTCAGTGATGCTTACTAGCCCAGATTGATAAGACCGCCCTGGTTGCCTCGGAGGTCAATGACGAGCTTGTTCTTGCCTGCCTGTTTGGCTTGTTGTAGAAAGCGTCCAACACCATCTTGCCATTCGATCCCACAGGAGTCAGAGGTGGTGCATTGGAAGGTCGTTGCACTGAGGACAGCAACGTCTTCGTAGCCCTGGCCCGAGAGAAAGAATCCACCGCCTAAGTCATTCCAAGCTAGGGGCTCAGGATATCCTAGTGGACTGGGGCTTGCACTCGCTACGGCTTGTCGTGCCTTATTGTTGGTTTGCTGCGTAGTAGTGGAGGGAATGACAAAAGTACGGTTCAGAAGTGCCGCTAAATCGTCTGTACTTTGTACACCCGTCCATACTTCTCCTACTAGCGCATAGTTCATCATCTGGCGAGTTGTTCCGTTTTCGTGCTCAATCGTAGTGTACGCTCCGTCAGGATTCTCATTCCGACCGAAGGGCACGTAATCCTGGTCCTCTTTGCTGTTAGCACGTCTTGCCTGACTCGGAAACAGCTGGTTGTAGCGTGCGTCGGCGTCATGATACTCGTAGGTTTCGGCGAAGGCTTCTGCATACTCTTCTGCTGTTTGGTTGTTGATCTTCGAAATAGGGGACGGGCTCCAGTCAGCACCGTCGGACCGCAAGATGTCATCTACCAGATATGAGATTTGTTAATACTTTTTGTAATTTAGTGGGAAGAACTCACGATAGTCGTAGAGCTTAGGCAACTCTTTGCCATCCTTTGATACAGAAGCCATTGCAAAAGCCTCTCCAACTATTTCACCCCGCTTCCAGGAATCAACCAGACTGCGAATCAGAGGACGCAATTGGAAGTGATAGTCGTGCGCCTTGACGACAGCAGCTCGAACATCACCCATCAACTCATATGAGGAATTGTACTGGTCATTGGAGAGAGCGTCCTTGATGGAATCGAGGTCTCCGATAACGTCCACACTTTTGTCGGCGAAGCCTTCGGGCGGGTTTTTATGCCAGGCTAGATTGGCTGATGTGTGTCATGTCAGCCACCCGTCTCTAACCATAGATTTCGAGAATGAACTTACTCTGCCAGTCAAGCCAGAGCTTGTATTCATCGATCAACGCCTGATCCTCCTCCTTGTCGACAGGAATCGAGTTCAAGCATTCATCGGCTATTGCCGCCGGTACCGCACCCATCTGAGTTGCAGAGAGGGCTCTCCTCTTGTAGATATCGAAAGTCGCGCATGGGTCGGCGGCGAACGCAGTGCCCCACGGGACAACGATTGAGCTGGCTAGGAGCAGACGGTAGAGCATGATTGCAACCTCGCGACGCGATGAGTCGTTTGGTGTCGAAAATCGAACAGGTCTTGCGACTAACAACGAACGGATGCTGGCTCTCGAAGTATCAGGGACCCCTTGGGTTTTATAACATCTCTCATCCTCAGGCAGCTATCTAGCTGCTCAGCTGAAGGAGGATCATCTCGGTAAGAGACTTTGACGTCGGATCCTAGTGGGCTAGCGTGGCCGATCAACGAGGAGAAGGCCCGCCGCCGCTTTTTCGACTGACATGGCTTTGCGCTCTATTTCGACGTCCAATCGCCGACGTTGTAGGACACTATACGAGGAACGAGGCCCATTCACTGTCTTGGGACTAGGTTACCGAGGATGCCGCGGCCATGAGTAGGAGACATACTAATTAGGGCAGTTTGACGAGTCGCGCATGTTCCATGGTGTAGGCGACATCATGATTCGTGATATCTAGGGTGGCCAGGCTGGTGGGGGCTGAGTTGCAGGCGACCTTTAGCACGGTGAATTTTGGCCGGTCCAATCTCAAACGAAGTGTGGCTAAGCTAGAATGTACATGGAAGGCTCAGTGGGGGCTGAAGTAGGATTTAGCACATCTTGATCGGCATTATGTCGGCCTGTTTCATGGGAGTCAGCTCGGTACAGATTTTCACCGGTCACAGGTACACTGCGAAGCAATTAGAAAATTATGTCTCTTGACGAGCCGAGATGAAACCTCCTGACCAACACAGCCGGCCACCAAGTATTGGAGTCGCCGTGCATGTAGACGTATTGGCATTTTGTTCGTGGGGATTGCCTATGAGGGCGAGCATTGCGAAGTAATGTAGGATCGGAGCTACACGCTAAACTACAAGTTTAGGGCGTAGAAATTTTGGGAGTCCGTACGACAACATACTATACTTACCTAGGTGCTATGCTTGAGCACGACTTGCCATACCCTGTGGGAGCGAGGCTCAGTACTAACAAGCGAATTCACAGATCGTATAGTAACGATTCTGTATGCCACAGCATCTGTGCCGTGCCCTGTGACCTCATTTCACAAAAACCAATAACAAGGTCATGAGTAGAGCAGACCTCGGGACACTTTCGGTCTCTAGCTTGGGTTCAACGGCCGATCTGGTACGTAAAATCGAAATAGCTATCTGCTACTATATGCGGCACAAGCGTCCTATGCGTGCCTGGGCATAGACGGGATCACAGGTGGCCCTGGGGCACGACAACACTACTGTTCACCCCCGGCACTTCATCACGTGCTGTTAGGTCACGTTCGTGGCAATAGCTTGCTGAGACTTGTTAGTGTTCCTTTGAGTGGTGATGGGGAACCATAGTACGCGATATAGCTGCTTGATAGCACTGGCAGCTGCGCAGTCAACCTCTGCATAGCCCACCTCACTTCCACCCTCATCTTCCACACTCTTGTCCACCTACGCCGCCTCTCTGATCATGGCTAGGCAGAAGGTTGTGCCACTGATGGAAGACGCTAGAGAGATCCTCCGCCTCCACGACGATGATCCTCTGTCAAAGGACTCTCCACCTACAACGCTACTGGATGTTTGAATTTTAAAAAAATTTAGTCAGTGGCCAGGAACTGTCGCTTTGAAGCAAATCAGGGGATCCATCACTTGACCTATGCTCATGAGCATCCTACGAGGCTACGAGGTACTTCCGTCAAAAGTGGAACCCAATGCAGTAGAGTATTAAAGTGAAAGGTCTGCCTACATCGTCCTTACTGAAAATCAGCACATCAACCTCAATCTTTTCCTACAGACAAGGAAACGAATACCTCATTCAGTCGAACGATATGCAGCTCTTAAACTCTATTACCGTCTTCTTTAGCCTCCTGGCCGCTTCTCATGCGATGCCTAAGGACAGTGCCGAAAAGCGCGACTCCATCAATGACTGCGGTGATTCGAGCTTCGAAAACCAATCTACAGGGGGCTCTCCTCTTGTAGAAGACTGCCGTGTAATCGCTCGCAACATCGCTGGTGGCGGTACATGGCATGTTGGTGCTGGAGGGGAGCACCACCAGCTTGTACAGTTCGGAACTTGTGCTTTCGGAGCACGAGGTGCTGGAGGCGGGTCTGCTGCCGTGGCTTACATTGGAAACCAAGATATCATTGATGTATGTGTACACTCCCCGAAACGTCTACTTAAAAATCAAAATTTACTTTAGCAACAGCTTATCAATGAGTCCATCAATCGATTCCAATTTGAGGGCAAGGTTGGTGCGAAGGGGCAACTGACCTGTCAAGGTACTGGAGGCGTGGTACAGGGAACTGAGATGGAATGGGGTCTCTACCACGACTAGACGAGGATTCGAATGCACGTATGAAGATGGAACTACGATGTATTTAGTGGCCGACGATACGACAAGGAGATATTTATTCGCTCATTCCGACAGATTCTGTTGAACGACCAACTATCTATTATTCTCTACACGTTTCATGTTGCTGTAAGACGCGCTTGTGATGTGTGTATAAGGTTTCTTGCTGGGGCATTAAGTAGTGTAGAGGCCTCCTCTCAAAACCGAGAGTGAGAATACCCTTTTTGCAATCTAGGGACTTTCCGTCGGGTCGAAGGTATGACTAGGTGTCGATAATGAGGTGATGAAGTTGCGCTATACAAAGCAGAGAGAGACGACCTCAGACCTCAGTGCGTCCGAAATTATGGCAACCAATCCTGTAGCTATTTACCTAGTCCAGGTCATAAATCAACCGCTGATTTTCGTCGTTACAGTTGATCATAGCGTCTGTAATGTGCCGAGGCTGGGCGTTTATTCAAAGCCGATGGTCTTTGCTTAGATGTTGATCACTCTAGGACTCGAGCCAGGACGAAGGATGCTAGTCCACTGAACCCTCGCCCATGATTCAATGGGACGTGCAGTCGCAATCGTGCGCTAGGACAAGGGCATTCGTAAAGCCGTTGCGATTGATCAACTCTGAGATGGGATAGATAGAGCATCGAACTCGGCTCTTAGTTCTCGTAGGATTATATTACATATGACTAGGTGGCACTTGTAACTAATTTATTACGTGAAATATCTTCTAATGAATAACTTGCAGATATCCGGACACTTGACGATGAGCAGATTGGTAAGTACGAACTCGTTTCGATGATCCCGCCACTATGGTACTCGGGGCCAGCCACACAACGGTCCTACCAAGTCTAGTTGCTTCATCGTACTGGCTCCCGCTCCGTGGCGTTTTAGGCCATAGCCATTCGTTCTAAATGACGAAGAAGTGGCGTGGTCTGTTTGGCAGGCGACTGAAAGCTCTACGTTAGGGTGCCACTAATCCATGGCACCGGTATATCACGCGAGGCTTTAACTTCAGCCGTGGGGTTACACCGGTAAGTGGGGGAGGGCCTGTATGTGGAATGTAGAATGGACATCCCTTATGCTGACTCAGGTTTCTGCTTTGAGCCAATGAGAGCTCATCGGAGACCACGCCGGTTGCGCTCCCCTGAATCATGTTCTCTTTCTATTCATGGTCGTCCTGTACTGGCACTTCCTGCATTGCAAAACAGGCCCAACTTCGGCGTCTACGAAGCCGTGGCTTTAGAGCCTGGGGCACACTGAGAGCTTCCTGGCGCGATCGTTCACAGGACGATTTCGGACTTGGCGATGCTAAAGTCCATGGTACCTAGGTAGCTTGAGTATGTTCTGCTGCCCCCGTCACGAAGAAGATGCTCGCAGAATACACAGCCGACTCCGAGCAAGCTTGACTGCATAACCAGCCCATCGAATGCCTGTAGTTTGCCCGAATCGTTCATTGTTTTACGTGGTGCGCATCCTCTCTGAAGGCATATCAAGGCTCTCTATTGATGGATTCATACGTTTGACATGAATGCAATTGTTCTCCCATCTCCGCGTCGCTGTGAAGTAAAGGGAATTAGCCTCGGGCCGAAGTGATTCCGTAGTCACCGACCTTTCTGACCTCTCCTGTACACTGAGCACCGACTACCGGTCCGGTGAACAAACGGTCAATTCTCGCCGTTTGAGCGTACTGTAGCGTTATAATCGTGCGCAGGCTATTCCCTCATTGGAAGTAGGTAATTAGGCGTAACTAGTGGGCTACCTAATTTAATACTGCGCTCCAAGACTAAGGCGCCCTCCTTACACATCACACCCGCCAACGGTCGCTTCTAGCTCGGCCCCCACAAGCCTTTCTTCCTAAGCTTCGACGATTCATGCTAACGCCTAGATAATGAGGGTGCTCAGCTCGTCGGCTTACCTTAAATAGAAATGCCGGCGACTCGGAATGGGCACAGAGCGGACTTGGCATTGAGGCTGATAGTCAGATGCTACAATGCCTTTACGACGGAGGACCAGCGCCGCCGCCGCGCTACCTCGAAGGCCCAACTCGGACCAAAGACCCTCTCACGATCGTTTTGTCGCCTAATGTATGGCGTCGAATTTTTCAGAGGGATGAGGCGTTCTTCAGATTCGATTAATAAGGGCAGCCGAAGGTTGAAGACTTCACTAGCGTTCACGGTGGCCGACGATACAAACCGAACTTCACTAGTGCCATATCCCCAGCTCCCTCTGTCAAAACGTTAGACAATCGGCTGCAAATTCAGTAGCTTATAGTATATCCTATGTTGACTCGCCCTATAACACGTTTTCAAATTAATGAACCATGGCCGTATCTCATGTTTCAAGAGCCAATTTAGATTCTGGTGTCTGCCATTGTGTCTGGTTAGCAGCGACTCTTCTCTTTGAAAATGATAGGACAGATTATGTGTCAATGTCATTGAGATTCTAAAATATATTAAGCGACATACGTCATGCAATCTCAGGGCTGGATCCAGAGTCTCCTTAGATAATTTGCTCTCCGATCGTGGCGTCGCCTGTGGGATGGATCGTGTCAGTCCTTCGTCGTCTAGGAATGCCGACTATAAGTCAAGAAAGCCACGCGTTCGGAATTGCTTTGACGGCATCGCCAACCTGGTGAGTGGCCTCGAGGTGCGGCACTAAGTGCTGGCGGTACAGCAGAGCTAGCATGTATTTGCCCGATCCAGCACATTTACAGCGTAGAACGCCAACAATAGCCCGACGAAATTGGAACGAGGCGCAAGCCGCGGCCGTTGGGGCCTAGGAGCGCCTTCAATCGAGCTGTTGAAAGACGATCGATGATATGAGTTGCAGCTCGTTTACCGCACAGCTAATTACCGCACAGTTACGGCTGCTAGATAGTATGGACGAAACGGTGAGGGCGATCAGGGGCGCGGAGACGGTCGAGAGCAAAACCATGGGGTTAGAGATACTGGTACGTTACAACCTCACCCTTTTCCCGCAGTCCAACCGGTGGGAATGGTGGACGAAACGAGTGACATTACGGCTTTGTCGCAGTCTGAAGAACATGAGAAATTTTGGTGCTGTGACAGCTACGTAAGCACCTCTCTGTAAGATCTCTCACACTGTTTCCCTCTCTGCAGCGCCTACACATGTTCCCCTGCCGCATATTTCCACCCATCTCCCATCACGCATACTGCTTACCACTCCCTGCGATCTTGATCCTACGCGTGAACGGCTCATTAACAAGCGGATTATGCAGCTCCCCAATCGTGCTCATGCACGCCGCCGCGGGATCTCCCGATCCCGCCAAACTGCCCTGCCAGTACTCATTCCCCGGAAACGCATTCCCATCCCAAGCGTAGCTCAACACGAGCAGCTCATCCGTATCCAGCTTCTCCGCCGGATTGCGCTTGCTGAAGAGTACACGAATGCCCTTCTCCTCACCTAGGGCCTGAAGGCGTTGCTGCTGCGTGGGCGTCGCGGGAATGTATGCGAATTCCACGGTGCTGACATTCGCGATGCTTAGTTCACGAAGGGAAGCTGTGAAGGCGGCAAGGTAGTGTGTCGCTTGGTTCTGCGCATGCTGCCAGACGCCCAGGCCGAGCCCGACGACGTAGACGTAGGACGTCTTGCCCGCGGCCATTGCACGGTCGTTGGCTTCGAGAAGGAGCATGTCCGCGGTGATCCTGATGCGCGCGACGTACGTCTCTGTGTCGAACTTCGCGTTGGGTTTTCGCGGCACGCCGAAGAACTCTTGAAATACCGCCTGCAGACCAGGGCTCATCTTGTGGTTATTGTCTTTGTCCGGCAGGCAGAAGATCGAGTCCATACGATCGAGCCTCTCGAATCTTGCACCCACTAGTCCAATGATGACGCCCCGCTCCTCAAACGTGCCTTTCCCCCCAGGCCTCCCACTATTGTACCTGCCTCCGTCGTTGATGAAGTGGCTCGGCCCACTGACGCCCATGAGTGAGCCCAGCATGATCTCATCATAGGATAAGTACTCGCCCAGTTGAATGCACGAATTGCGATCCTGCATCTTCGACCCGTTGCGATTCCATTCCAGATTTGGACTTGAGCTGTTGGGATCGCGGCCTACGTTCGTACCATCGCGGAGGATGGTGTGGTCGTTCGCACCCATGAAGACCAGTGGGCGCTTTACGATGAGGCGCGCGACGAGACTCTGCCAGGTGAAGTCCTTGCTGTTATAAAGGGTCTTCTCGTAAGTGGAGCCATATTGGCGTTTGTGCGTGAGGAACCTTTCGGCTAGTTCTGGGAAACGTGGGTGGACGACTATGTGAGTCCCTTCTGCGTCTGAGCGGATGGTTTCAGAAGAAAAGTTCTTGACGGAGTTGGTGGTGATGGGTGGTTTGACGATGAGCCGATCGAGAGTGAGAAAGCTCCATGGGTCCTGTGGTGATGATGATGTGGCCATAATCGCCAAACTTTTGGTCGACGTAACTTTTGTTGAAAATAGAATTCGGGTGTAGAAGTGATAGATTACTAGGGTGGCGGAGGCCGCCTATAGGGATTAGGCTAGTACGGTGGCTCCTACTAGGTGCAGGAAGGGCCTACCAACAACAGCTTTTTCTTGTGATACCTTATTTTCATGTTATTGGAAGTAAAGGTACATATACTGTGCTGGAACATGGAAAGTGCATTGGGCGGGATTCTAGGCCGCAGTTAAATTCGGTGACTAATACTGGACGCCTAATATGCTCATCAGATCCGCGGAGTTCTACATCAGACAGCCTACTTTGATGTAAAGGCATATATCCAGCAACTGCCCGAATCCAGCTCCTGATCTGGAGTTTCAGGTGGGCTTGATATGGGAATTGTCCTTTTCTGCTGTTTTCGCAACGTCCAGGCTTCGGCGGATTTGCGGCTCTGCGCTGATATCGCAATTCCTGGAGATCCCCGATCGGCCCTTTAAATCGCTACTGTGGTAAAGATCCGGAGGCACTGCACCTCAATGTCGGAGCCACGTGGTTTCATGTCTGCGTATGTGTATGTGAGGAGCCAATAGGAAACATTGGCGGTCACGAATCACGGCGAGGAAGAACATTCATCCGAGCCTCGGATCAACCCCAGATGACGACGTTCCCCGGACTTTCTCGGTTATAGATACTAAGTACCAACGACTTCCGCTTGAGACGTTTCTCTTCTCTGTCCTTTACCTCTTAGGCTTCACGTACTGTAACAACATGGAGAACACATCGCTCTTCGACGTCACCGGCAAAATTGTCCTCGTCACCGGCGGAGCCAAAGGCATCGGTCGCATGATCTCCCAAGGCTTCGTACAGAACGGCGCAACAGTGTACATTTCGTCTCGCGATGCGAAAGCCTGCGACCAGGCATGCAAAGAGCTCAATGCGCTCGGGAAGGGAAAAGCGGATTTCATCACAGCAGATCTCTACAAGGAAGAAGAAATAACAAAACTCGCAGCGGAGTTGAAGAAGAGGGCCGGCAAACTCGACGTACTGGTTAACAACTCCGGCAGCAATTGGGGCGAACCATACGACACTTATCCCTCCGCCGCATGGGACCGCGTCCTGAACCTCAACTTGAAGCGCGTCTTCCAGCTTACGCAAGCTGTGACGCCCCTCCTCGAAGAAGCTGCCACATCGACCTCGCCATCGCGTATAATAAATATCGGCTCTGTAGATGGACTGCGTGTCCCCGCTCTGGAGACGTTTGCGTATTCGGCATCTAAGGCGGGACTGCACCACCTTTCCCGCGTGTTGGCATCGCATCTTGGCAAGCGCAATATCACAAGCAACACGATAGCGTGCGGGCCGTTTCAGAGCAAGATGATGAAGGCGACATTAGAGCAGTTCAAGGATGTGATTGAGGGTAGCATACCGCTGGGGCGGATAGGAAGCCCTGAGGATGTTGCTGGGACGTGTATATGGTTGAGCAGTCGGGCGGGGGCCTATGTGAATGGAGCGACAGTTGCGCTGGATGGAGGAAGCTTGGTGGGGTCGAAGTTGTAGGAGTGCATGGCGTAGATGTGTATATTAAGGCATTGTACAATCTTGGCATATATGCTCCCAGTTATCGACGTTGGATTTCCTGAGCATGAAGGTTTACAGGGCGCTACTAATCGTCGCAGATCACCGTAGTAAATCTATGTCCGAGGACTTTTGACTACTTCATGGATGGTTTCTGTCGCCACTTTTGGAGTCAATTACACCAAAGGTGATCCCTACAACTATATTAGCTTTTCTTGCCTAATTTCCGCACCGCCCCATGCCGTCTCGTTTCATGCATCAGGAAAAGTTCTCGTTCGATGCTAGCCTAGATGTGCACATGTCTGCCTATGTAGCACAGCGTGTTCAGCGATGCACAGAGATGCATAGGCATATTTGAAAGCTATATAGGAGAGAGTACACTTAGTAAGATACGAGTGAGGCGTTCAAGGATCATACGAGGAGAATGGTATTAGTTAACATCTAACAGTTCCTTGAGGTTCACGCTAATCGTATCCATTTTCTTTGTCCGGTCCACTTTGGAGGGGAAGCAGACTGTATCATACAGATGCCCGTCCGAACAGCAAAACCTACGAGGTTTTCCACTATCATAAGAAAGTGTTTTCCAATCAATTCGTTACGTGCAAGTAGCAGGAGCTCCAGTTTCTCTGACTTGAGAAGCTCATATAGAGCTTTTGGCTGCAATGGGCCACGAGAGATATACCAACGGGCCTTTTGTCCGTGCACTCTCAGATTACCAATCCCATCAAGTAACATTTCAGATACCTCTACGCAACGGACGTCCAGAAGCAATACTTTTGGCGGCGTGATATGATGTGGTAAGGCTGGCCCTGATTCCGTTAACGTCGCAGAGTGATAATAGTGAAAGTTGACCCATGAATCCTGTCCCGATTCGAGTCGTATGTCATGTACCATAGCATATATCCCTAAACTCGTGTAAGGGAATGTTATCTGGCCGCGCCATCTCATCCAAGACCAAGATGGGATTGAAGCTGAACTTGGAAGGTCTAACGTCATGTCAATGGAAGAGTCTTCCCCATCTCGTGCATCTCGAGCCTGCTCAAGGGGTTTTTGGTGCGCCCACAACAAACCAACTATGAAACTTCTTCGAATGAAATCTTGGTGACCGGAACTGTAAGAGACTCCCCCAAAGTTCGAAAAGTTGTTTCCTCGCAAAATGTCTCATGATCCCTGCGAAAGCTTTTGGTCTGTCGTCTTCGAAGGTGAGAGTCCGCTCGGTGTACTGTTCTACAAGGTCGATGTATAGACCTTGTTGCTCCCACGGCTCTTTGGGTCCAGCGCTATCAAAAGGGCGTCCCGTATTTGTGGACAATATCCCATATTGGAAACATTGATAAATATTTTTTCTAGAGTCGTGGATCAGATCGAGACTCGGTACGACAGTCTCACTACAGTGCATCGTGTTACACTCAAAATAAAGTTGGTTGTCGATAAAGACTAAGCGGCGCGTCGATAAGCAAGCTTCCTGCAAGGTCCAGCCTCTACTAGCCCACGTTGACGATCGGATTTGGTGATGTGGATGACGCATAGAAGAGAAGACGGTGAATTGCCCAGCTTTTACATTGCGTTGGAGTGTTCGAGGTGTTCCATTGACTCCAGGAAGACCGTAATGACAGTCCTGGCCACAGGCAGCTATGATTGTCATGTCTGCAGACCCGTAAATTGAGTCCATCTGACTGATCTGATGATGCTTTTCTTCAGCATTGCCTTGGTCGATGCAGAGCTTATCGACCCACAAATACTTGTATCCAAGACCCTTAGCTGCCGCGACAGCGTCATGTATTGTCTTGGTAATCTTGGGATCAGGATTACGAGCTCCGTCATACTCCATTGCCGGCGTCTCACTGTGGCTAACCGCCGTGCCCCCACACATAGCTCAGGGCAACATAATGTGCATTCGCTGGTGCAGGCACCACAAAATATGTCTCACAGTCTAGAAGTCTCAAACCAGTGACCTGACTTTCACGGTTCTGGCAAAGCAAGTGATGAGAGTCACAGAAGTCTAACCAGGTTTTCACTTGAGACAGGGAGGCATTCTGCCCTAGGATCCGTGGTTTGAAGAGCGAATCGTTATGTGTATCTTCCTTAAGGCAAAATAGGTGTCCAGCGTCGTCGGCATGACGCTTAAATAACCTGTCCTCCCCAGATGGAACTACTCCGAGGCAAGGAATGTCTGCTGCTCGATGTTGTTTATTACTGTAGGCAAAGTGAATTGCTTCGGTCGATTTCAGGTACGAATATATTCGTAGTTGATATTCTGAAGAGGGCTTGTGCTGGACCCGAGATTGATGAAACAAATGGCATAATGGACATTCCGAAGCGGTAGAGAGGTCGTTACAACGCTTGCCAAGGTCAGCGAGCAGAATTCCGTTACTCTCCTTCTGTAGAGACAAGACATCGACATCTAGAACTTTTTGGAATTCGATGTGCTGGCAATGCTCGCAAAGCAGGTTCTCTTTTAGGACAGCATTCGTAAACCTCTTCGGCGCTGGTGATACATGCTGGAAAGTACTACGTCGCCTTTTCCGGACCAAATTCGCTACTCTAGTGTCTTCAGATTCGGTATTCGAAGTGACAATGACAGCATTTGCCGATTCTAATGACGAAAATGGCGTACGATGATCAGACTCAGAGGAGTCCGAAGACGATCTCGAATTCGGGAACGGAATTGGTGTGTTAGGCTGGATATAGGATCAGCCATTATGTAAAGTAATTCTGGAGATCTGTTGTACCTGTGGCCGGAGATTTCTCAGAGAAAGATTACCGTTACACTCTGGAACTGGCAGTGGACCCATTGTTGGATCTCGGATCTGGAGATATGGTTTCAGAGATCAGAATTACGAAATACCCTAATATCAAAGTTGATTGAGGGCAAGTCGATAAGCGGGCCGCCTGGAGGTTGTATATCCGGGAGATGTTGTGGCGCAGCATTGAGGCTTAGCAATTGACGACCTCTGGGAGCCTACCTATTGGCCTGGCCCCTATTTGTAGTGGACAGCCTGGGAGCAGAGGCGCTAAGGTACGGGTGGAATATGAAGGGAGAGGAATGGGGAGGAAGCTAGGGGACAGGAGGGGGAGCATTCTAAGGCGGCGGGTAATAAGGGCGAGGATGGATGCCTGTATTGAATAAGCGAGGGACTGCGCTAAACCCGAAGAGGAAGTCCCTAGACAGAGAGTACGAGAGTAAGCGCTATACCACGAGTCGCAGCTACTAGCTAAAGGCTTTTATCCTTCAATTGTGTATACAAATCAGTTGAATTTGGATTTCTAAAGCGTCTCATACGGTAGGTCACAGAGACCGAGACCAAAAACTCGGATTCATAGCACCGGTTCTCTCGTTGAGATCAAGGTCGGCTATGCGGCGAACAAGGGTCAGTTCGTCATACCTAGGATTATGCACCGTGAGGTCACTCCCTCTTTAACAATTCTCTACAATTGAGACGCGATGATGAAGCCTTGGTATTCACACCCAAGACGAGCTACTGCCAAGAAGTCCGTCATATGCCTTCGGTCACTAGTTGGAAAAGCGGGTGTGAAAGGGCTTCTTGCTACTCTCTTTCCTTGGCCAAGAAGCCGGAACGGAAAAGAAGGCAACGTCATTACCATTGGCACCAGTGCCGCGTCTCTCCTCATCGCTTCTTTCCCTCGATAACAATCACTCTCTCTTGGTCGTGCACTGGTTGGTTCCAAAGCTCTTACGATTGGGACACTGCAGCAACTGAATAGCCCAGAAGATGACAATTATGACGGCAGCCTAGGTTGTCCTCTCTCATCCTCACGAACATAATTCAAGTGTTGAAGCATAGAAGACCATGCTTCAGCAATCCTCCTAGCCCTTAGATAACCATAGGATGTGATGATTCGGTATTAATTCAGGCTCCCTCAATCTGTTCACACAAAGGGAAACTGGCTCCCAGGGCTAGGATCATCACCAAGCACGGCATCAGCACTCATAGTCCACAGATCCTCGAACGCCACGCCCTCGAACAAACTCGCGCAATCTAAATCGATTGGCTCTAAGCTCCCGAGGCTAGTGACAGTATTATGTTCCATAGGTGCCGAGTAATTGGTCGCAATAGGTTCAGCCATCGAAACACTCGTCGCCATGCTGTGCTGCCGTGGCCGCTGAGACAAATTCTCCACGCCGCGAGCCTGCTCGTACTGCTCCACATACGCACTCACCGAGTTACGTAGCGTGGAACATGCCTCGATAAATTTAGGGTGCTGGCCAAGCCGACGGTACTCGCTTTCGGCCAATTGTGAACCGGTGACCAGGAGCTCGAGATCGGAGCGCACGGTTCGCGAATGCGGTTGCCGCAGTATGCTGAGTCCGAGGACGACGCAACCGTGCAGTACCTGTGTGAGCGTGTATAACGGCGTTTGGTGTCTGCCGTTCATCTTAGCGTTCAGCTTGATGGTAGCGCAGGCGGAGGCTGTGCACAGAGAGGCGCCGTTGCGGAGTCGTTTGTGGAAGGGTAAACTTGGTGCATGCGTTTCGATTTCTTCGAGGAATTGGTTGTGTGGAAGGACGAGAGAGGCGCGATGTAGGGTGACGAGTGCTTGATGGTAGTGTAGAGCGAGGAACGTAGCAAATGGTGCTTCTTGATCGTCGCAGTAGAAACCGCTGTCCGGCCGAATGTCCTCTGGGAGAGAGTTCTTCCACTCCCGTAGTGCCTGGTCGAGGTTGCCGATATTTTGGAGGAGCTGAAGACTGCTGTCTGGGCTACGCTTCCGCCTGTAGAGCAGCTCGCTGATGCGCTCGAAGATAGTCGCCAAGGAAACCCAGTATACGAAGTATCTGAGCTTGGCCCTTGATGTTGTGCAGAGAATTTGGTCCGGCATGAAGGAATCGTGCTCGCCATGTGGTATTGATGAAGGACGGGTCGTTTCAAGCGCAAAAAGTTTTTCGAGCGCGTAGCAAGTCCACCAGATGCGGGCATGGAGCTCAAGCCTGCGTGACGGCTCGTCCGATTCTGCGTGAGCTGAGGTATGGCGGTGAATGCCAATACTATGCGATATCCTGATTGCAGATCCCAGGACTTGAAAGCTTTGCCCTTCTTTACCTCTAGCCTGCAAAGCCAGCGTAATCAAGACAAGAGATTGTACGCTATTCAAATGCGGAAGCCCCATTAGGTGCGCATATAATCCATGTGCAGCCATAAGATAGTTATTACCGGCTTCTGTGAGCGCCCCATCGGCTTCATCTGAGCCCAGACTAATTACGCAGTAGATGCAGGCAAGAATCGGAACGTCGCCCGGCTGAAGGAATGATCTGGAAGAGCAGATCCAAGGTCAGCTTAGTTACTGTCGAGGAACAGTAGACTTCAGCAAAGGTATACCATTCGCTAGGTACAAATGTTGCGGAGCGATGGAAATGTTTTGTTTCCGGGGAGCCTGCTTACCTGAAACCTGTAAATCCCCCGGATGGGCTCCAACTTGCATCTTGATATGATCGTATCCGCTGCATTTCAGCGTAAAAGTGGTCAAGCTCCAAGACTGGGTACAATGGGTGTATGTTGCGAGCGTACGCATCCACGTATCGTTGCATCAAGGAGTGAGGAGGTAAGTCCGGTAAAGACAGCGTGAGTGGTAGAACAAACTCCTCAGCAAAGCTCATCCCATGACGGAAACACGAGCCTATCCCTGCAAGCCCTGATCTGCGGAGGTACAGATCCAAGAACATGCTGAGACTCTGTAGACTGCTACCCCCCATGATCTTTTGCCTACTATTGCTGCTATCGGTGTTGACAGTCATTTCTGGGCTCTCGTGGGACTCAGGCGCCTGTTCCCTCGATGAAGGACCGTTTTCGAACGGAGTGGGTGCTTCCTCTGCCTGCCTTGCAGACACATCTAGCCTTCTGTGCGCCTGGTACGAACGCGCGACCCACGAAGAGCTATGCTCGCGTGGCAGCGATATAGGGGTGTTCGGCTCATGGTGCATAGCGGGCGCTGGTGAGAAGTCTGAACCCATGCCATAGCTATTCTCTTGGAAGTCGCCCTCCATTGCGCCGTACTTGCGGACGACGACCAGCTCGGGGTGTTTCGGATCTGTTGTTTCGCAAACATTCCCTCGTATGCGACAATTGCGACATTTTGGCATTTCAGAGTCGCACTTAACCTTTCTCTTGCGACATTCATTGCAGGCTAGCGACAGTCGCTGCCTCTTCGGTGGTCGATCCGGTGTCGCTCCATATTGGATGGTAGATGGGACAGGCTCAAGCGATCGGGCATCATCCGTACCTGGTGTCTGCATCTCAAAGCACAGCCCTACCTCAAAAATTCGGATTTGAAACGACGCATTCCGGGGTATCACAGTTCACGATCTCTTCCCGAAGGATGATGAGTAATGGCACTGTGGTCGTGGGCCACGCCCGCATAGGCAGGGAAACCCGAGGTCCAAAATCCGGGGCATCTAGAGTGCGCCACAGTCCGCGCTCTCCACATTCCGACAAGGGAAATCCCCCGCTCCAAGAGACTGACCAGATTCGGAGCCAAAGAGACCAAGTACGGCTGCTTCAGGTGCGCGATGGTATACGCAGATCAGAATGCGATCGTAGTGAGGGTGAGCATTGCGATATGTATGGTAAGAGTGATGAAGCGTGTCGGGCGTGGGCGTCCTATCTAAGCCTAGCGCGCAGCTGCCCCTCCTGCCTTTGTGGACGGTTTTTGCATATACTAAAGCTTACGAAAGGTTCACTGCAACAGCAAGGACATGGATGAACGAGGTGGTGAATCATTTCATCATGAAGATCATTCTACTTGCGAGGTTGGACGTCCCGGGACACGATAGCCGGATGCATGCTACTGTCACTGTCGATTTCCGCTCAACACCATATTGCTCAGAACTTTTACATTGCCGATTCGTAAATAACGAATGATCGTATATGTATATAGGTTATGATAAAATCCAACGTTGCAAATTTACTCACGCCGAGGCCTTGATGTACGGAATACCAGTCAACTTAAAAGCCCGCTCACTCAACTGAGGCTCCCTCGAAGGCCGGCTTCTCTGAATAGTATCCAACACTCCGTTCCTCTTCGCTTCGTTCCAACCCACATTCCTCGCGTTGGGCCAATGTGTCGTACCGACACGGTGGTCGAAGGCATCCTTCTTCCGGATCAACTCTTCCTGAGTCGCGTCCGATACTGGCATATAGCAAGTGTAGATAGCCAGACGGTCAACATCCGAGGAGGTAGGCACGTTGTAGTGCGCTGTTCTCGAGTCCCACACAATCAAGTCGCCAGCCTCTGCCTCGACCTTGTACCAGGTGCAGCCGTGCTCTTCGAGCCATTTCATGCCCGCGTCAGTGTATCCGTACCATTCTGGCGTCCAGGCTGGGATGCGCTCTTCATCTTTCATATCGTGATGGAATTGCTCGCTAAGAAGATGGCTTCCTTTGCAGACGATCAAGCCACCATCGTTTGGGCCTGCGTTGTGCAAGTTGACGAGGCCCTGAAGGCAGCGGAATCCGGGTTTCTCGGGGTCTTGGTCTTGGTGCGGCCAGGGCGAGTTCTTTGGGAGGTTTGTGCGGTTGGCAAAGCCGTAGTTGATCGCGTCGAAGGACACGATGAGATCCTTGTCCTGGTACACTTTTTCGAAGGCTTCGATGACGCGGGGTTCGCTGCGGATGTCCCATACAAAGTCCTCGTGGCAAGCAGCATAGGTAAAGAGCATGCCCTTCTCAGTGATGACTGGAAGCTTGTCTGGGTGGACTGTAGATGGATCGTTACGGTCGTATCCGAGACCGCTATCACAATGTTAGCAAAAGTTCAAAGTCGATGTCTTCCATGAGTGAACATCCACATGAGTCAAGTCACTGTGCAATGTCCAAAACTTAGCGTGGAAACGATTGCCAACTTACAAGCCCTCAATGAGTGAGTACATCCGGTCAGCGTATCCCTCTACCCTCTCAGTAGGGATTGCGCCCTTGATGACAGCGTATCCATCTCTGACGAGGTCATCCCTCCAATCACCAAAGGCAGCGTCGCTACCGTCAACCTTCATTCTGCGCTCAACAGGAGCGGTCGCCGTCAGCGTCAAAGTCGGATCAGCCGTGATAATCGTGTATGTCATATTTGTCTAGTTCTTTGGGTCCGGAATTGTGGTGTAGAAGCTTCGTATAGGATGGCCTTAACACCTCAATCAGCAAAATGTCATTCGATTATGTACATAAGAAAGATCGCGTAGACCCGAGCAGGATCCGGAAAGTCCCAGCCCCGTGGGGAACATCGACCACCAGGCACTCCATTGCATGTACGGAGTGTGGAGAGTGATAATGACTTTCCCGAGCAAGGATGCTCGGATTGCTCGGATGCACCTCGGATGCACAAGATCTTTCCGAACATCCCTGCACAGCCAGTCGGACCTCGAGTTTTGGAGCATGACCGAAAGTAGCCTTCCGCATACGTGTTTTGGACAATCCTTGAAAACAGCGTGGTTGCTCGGGCACAATCCTGTTGCGAAAGGATCGTAAACAACCATGAGCGCCGTACAGAAAGACACGCCTGTTTCAACCTTCATCATCGTCGGCGGCGGAATAGCTGGACTGGCTTCGGTAAGGCGAAAACCCAACTGGCAAGTTCGAGCTGCAGAATCTGAACGTTATTAGGCCATTGCGCTCAGAGCTCCGCGACGCAAGGTCATTGTTTTGGAGCAATCATCACTGAACCGAGAGGTCGGCGCGACGCTATCGCTTCAGCCAAACGCATCCAAGATCGTCGAAAAGCAATGGGGATTGGGTGCAGCATTGAAGCAAGTAGGCGCGATGCGAGATGAAGGTTTCAACATCTATTCGATCGATGGCAAGCTTCAAAGAAGCATTCCGCTGGTGTCCAAAACCGAGTATGGCGCAGATCGAATGGTATATCACCGCAGGGACATACACGACACATTGAAAGAATACGCGACACGCTCGGACGGCCACACAGAACCTGCTGACATCCGAACCTCTTCCTGCGTTGTTAGTTGTGATCCGGATGCTGGGACCGTAATCTTGAACGACGGTAGCACAATGAAAGCTGACGTAATTGTTGGTGCAGACGGCATCAAATCGGCGCTGCGGAAAGACGTCTTAGGCCATGAAGTCCAAGCACTGCCGACAGGCTTCTCGGCATACCGGCTGGTGCTGTCGTCCTCGGATCTGGAGCAAGACAAAGATTTCCGTGATGTCATCGATCCACGAAGCTCTTTCACATCTATGGTCATGGGACATGACCGGCGAATGATAATGGGACCAGCCCGCGACGGAGATTTATACTCAGTGGTGGCTCTGGTACCAGATCAAAGAGCGGAGGTAGATTCTGGTAACAGCTGGAATTCAAAAGGCGACCTAGATACGCTGTTGAAAGAGTACAAAGACTTTCCGGCTTGGGCGACCGCACCGTTTAGACTGGCAAAGGACGACATAGGTCTGTGGCAACTGCGTGATACGGAGCCGTTGGAGACATGGTATCGTGGTCGAGTGATACTCATTGGAGACGCAGCTCATGCGATGTTACCCACACAGGGCCAGGGCGCCAGCCAGGCAATCGAAGACGCAGAAGCACTTGGGGCGTTCTTCTCTGATTTGGAAGGAAAACTTCCACTTGAAGACGTGCAAAGGCGGCTCAAGGCTGTATTTGAAGCTAGATTTGAACGAGCTGCAACGATTCAGAGATACTCGCGGGAGGCTGCGCGACCGGCTACAGACAAGGGAGAGACGAAGATCAAGATGAATCCAGCTGAGTTCATGGACTACAATTGTTTGTACAATGGGGCGAAGGATTGGGTAAGCACGAGGAAGGAAAGCTTAGAAAAGGGACTAGAAGGGCTAGTCTTTTAGAATCTAGCGCAGCTTATGTAATTTGAGCTAGCCAATCCACGTGACTCTCCGAACATTCACCAGTACCACCATCACACAGTCTGCTGCCCGAGCACTTACATCTCTGGCGTTCATTTGCGCGCCCAATTCCACTTCGATTCCTGTGGACGTTCCGGTCATGGTCGCTCCGAAGCTCACCATGACAACTGCCGCCCCGTCATGCGGTCGCCAGCCGCGCGCTAAAGTTCCGTTTCCGAACCGACATCGCTCGTGACTCGGAACATGCTGTTGAGACACGAGTCAGTCTAGAATGCGGAGTTGTTCCGACTCCATCCTCCAGCTATTTTGCGGGGACCCCAGACCCGAAGATGCACATATACCACCATGTCCTGTCTCGATGGGTGATCGGAACTTGTTTCATTGGACATCATGGCGACCGACGACAAGCTCAAGGCTTTCACTGAGAACATTGAATTCGCCGGCGATGGGAAGAAAACTGGCGGAGGCACAGCGGGCGAGATCCTGCTCGTCTCTGGACGTGACGAAATACGCAAAGTACCTGTGCCTACCAACGATCCCAACGACCCCCTGAATTTCACCAAGTGGCGCAAGCTTGGTGTGACGATAACATGCTGCTGGTTCTGTAAGTACAACACGACCCATCTTGTTATGCAAGACTGACGAGACATTTATAGCCGTCTTCTCTTTGTTATCCATCTCCGGCACTGGACCTTTCATGGCAACCTTGTATGGCATGTATGGCGCAGAAGGGCACAGTGCCGAAGAGATCACCGGCCTCTCCACCTATCCCACCATGGTCATGGCCTTTGGAGCGCTCGGCTTGTTACCGCTGGCTTTCGTCTTTGGTAGACGTCCCGTCTTCTTGTTCGCTGTCACCTTGGCTTTTATCTCGAACGTCGCTGCTGCGACCAGTGAGAATCTTGGCGGTCATTTCGTTAGCCGCATTTTTCTTGGTCTTGCAACTGGCGCTACCGAGTCGTTACTGCCTCTGATCCTCTCTGATGTCACATTTGTGCACGAACGCAGCTTCTACTTCGGCCTGTATTGGAGTGTCCAGAATTGTGTCAACTCTGGCCTTCTCATCGCTATATCATATCTGGTCGCTGCTGCAACCTGGAGGTGGTTCTACTGGCTCTTTGCTATCACCCTTGGGGTTTCAACACTTCTTGTCGTCTTCTGTTGTCCTGAGACGAAGTTCCATCGCTCCCCAACGTCACTGAACGGCCAGGTCGTCTTCACAGACGAATTTGGACACACTCAGATTCTAACTGATGAGCAAGCTATCGCTGCTTTTGGTGAGGTTCATGGATCTTCAAATGCTGTTTCGGAGAAAAAGACCTTTGTACAAGAACTGAGACCATGGAGCCCTGTCACACCGAATGGATCCAAGGTCTTACTCGGAGCTTACCTCAAGATCATGAAGAGTTTTACCTCTCCGGGTGTTATATTCTCATTGATGATCTCGTCCATCTCGCTTGGTGTGGGCATTGCCATCACGCTCGTGTACAGTACCGTGCTACAAGAGGCGTATCACTGGTCTCCCAAGTCAGTAGGATTATTCAATGTGAGTAGCTTATGCCTGCTGATCGTCCGAATCGACCAATAGTTACTTACAAACTACAGGCCGGAGTCATGCCTGCCTGTTTTGCGGCTATGCTGTACTCTGGTTGGGCCGCGGACAAGATCAACGTCTGGCTAGCGCGTCGCAACGGAGGCGTACACAAGCCGGAACATCACCTGGTGCACATGATCGTCCCTGCAATCTTCGGTGTCGTGGGTATCGTTCTCATTGCTGTTTCCGCACAACGTCCCGAGAAGTATAGCGCGTGGGCTATGATTATTGGTAAGTTGAAAGCACCCATCGATCACAATTGTACGAGCTGATATCAGACAGGTTGGGCTATCTACGAGTTCTCATTCACCGCCATCATCATAACTACCACTACGTTCGCCGCCGAAGTCATCCCCGAAAACCCGGGTGCAGCGATGGTCGTCGTCGTTGGAGGCAAGAACATAGTTTCATTCGGTGCCGCTCAGGGTATTATCCCTATGGTGGCCAAGTATTCATATTTGACGAGCTTCATGATTTTGTTGGGTATCTTCTCCGGCATTTGCCTGTTAGGCATCCCCGTCTATTTTTTGAACCCAAGGTGGAGGAAGCTTGCTACACGGACGAAAGCGTAGGATATTGGTAATAGGAAAGGGTTCATTGACAATATGTATCCAATCTTACTACGAAGGATCGCGGAGATGTTTGTCTAGCCTTGTCAGCCATGCTTCTCACTCCTTGTTTTGGTTTTTCTTAACATTCACAACCACCTTTCCCTTCGCCCTTTGCGTCTTCAGTCTTTCGAATGCTCTTGGTGCGTCGTCATACTCCCAGACCGAGTCTATGACAGGCTTAACCTTCCCTTCATCTATCCATTTCCCAAGCTGTACCAATTGCTCATGATTGGGTTTCAACATCATGAATTGGTACTTCCGCCTTCCGCCACCGAGGAATCCCGGAAGCAACATGTTGCTCACATGTTGCACTGCAGACGAGATACCCGTATCCGCACCGACCTGCGAATAGTGGCCGTGGTGCACGACGAAGTGGTGGCATTGGCCGTACAAATGTGACGGCAAACCCACATTGTCCACAATCAGGCTGAACACTTGCCCCTTCTTTCTCAGTACTTCGATGGGATCCGCGGACTTGTAGTCAATGATCTCGTCTGCGCCCAGACTCTTACAAAGTTCTATATTGGCGCTCGAACAAGCTGTTGTGACGTGGCAACCCAATGCCTTCGCGATCTGAATACCGAAGATGCCCGTACCGCCAGAGCCGCCGTTGATGAAAATCTTATCACCTTTCTTGACATAGGGTTGTATCGATTGGTATGCTGTGAGTCCGGTGACTCCGACGCCAGCCATATGATCGACTTCCAGTCCCGTCGGAACAGTCGCGAGCATCTCTTTCGATACCGCAACATATTGACAGAGAGATCCATGCCCGAAGGGTCCTCCATACATGCCGAACACCATCTCGCCGACACAATACGAATCGACCTTTCGCCCTATCTCACAGACCTTGCCGCAGAAGTCCATTCCTGGTGTACTAGGCGATGGAATCATACCTCGGGCGACCAGTCCCAGCTCAGGGACTTTGTAGTCTGCTGGGTTGAGAGCTGCGCTGTACACCTCGACCAGAATTTGGTCCTCGGTAATGTGTGGTTTCGGGACGCCGGCTGCAGGCAAATACAGGTTATTTTCGATGCCACCTGCGGCGGACTTGAACTCCCAGGCATACATGGCTTGCGATGTGATTTTTTGCGGATAATGTAGGTATACGATTGGAAAGTGGTGGGAAAGAGCGTTGTTCACCGAGCTGTGAGCCATATCGTCATAGATAGCCGGGGTACGACCGAAGCCTCCTCATCTTCTGCCTCAGGCGCACGACGTCTCTGCTGACTACAGCTGAGTAAGTTTCGAGACCATATCACCAGCGCCAGGCCAACTCCTCAAGAACCTACACTATTGTCCAGATATCCTGCGATTGTGCGGTGACCGTAGCCACCGGGGCGCCTCTTTCACACTAGTCCTTATTCGGCTAAGGTGTTAATGCTACACAGAGTCATCGCAACCGCTTGAAATTGAGAGTTAAATAAACTTGCATCTTCACTTAGCAAAGGCTCAACTTGATATGCTGCATTATCGAAACAAAAAAACCATGTTGACGACATGCCTTCACTAACAATCACATCTACTGCCCAGAAGTGGACAGTCTCAACCTTCCGCCTGTGGTAAGTCACGGCTCGACACAGCATGCGTTGTTCCGACTAATTTCGTAGTTCATCAAACTTCCGCATGCTTCTACTCTTTCTTCTTGTGAGAAGCTCGCTCTGCAATCAAGGAATACAACCAGACCAATTCGGGCGATGAAGCATCGTGAAAGCGAAACGCGATTACGGAGCTCAGGAATGACGGCGCCGTCCCTTCTTTCTATCATCTTAAGTTCTCAAAAGATGTGGGAAATTTTTTCACTTCGAGTGTTTGGCTACGCGGTGAGACAAAGTACCCTCTTCGAGCGTCTGGCATTGTGAGCCCACGTGCACAAGCACATCGTACTTTTACAAAATTGCACCGTGAAAATCAAATCAAACCCACGACCTCCACCATATAAACTCTGCCGCCCATCCCTTGATGGATTCTCCAAACCCAACTCACCTTACCACAACCCGACTCTACACACAGCTTCAGCCACAACTCGATCTCTCCACCAAATAACATGGCTTCAGCTTCTCAAGCCACGATCGAGCCCCCGTTCCGGCCAGCACTGACGAATAATTTGACCCACAAGCATCTGACACACCTCGCTCGCTGTCTTAGCCGTATCGAAGAGGCTCACGGCTTTGACACAGATCAATCCGATAGCGTTCTGATCACTTTCGTCAATGCTTACTCATTCATGCTTCACGAAGCCGGCCATGTAAAGAATAGTGAAGCATCAGCAGACGTGCTTTCGTCCGAGTACGAATACTGCAAAGAGATGTTCCTCGATTTCGTTACCTTCGAGCGTCGCTTCTATATTCGCACCACTGCATCGATGATGTATACTTTTCCAAGCTTCGAAGATCTATGGAACGAGCTACTTGCTTCATTCGAACACATTGACAGCGCCGTTGAGAGTGGTCAAATCGATGTTTGCTCTTTGCAACGGTATCATGGCAAGACATTGCGCGCTTGTCGATGCTTTGCGTTCGAATATCTGCAGAAGTGCGATTTGAAGTATACACAGCACATCAAGGACCTGTTCTATAACCAGCCAGTCTATACTGATCTCCCTAGCGACTACGACCGATATGTCAGTAATAGGCTGACGGGCCAAGACCCATTCTTTGGGCTTACAGATGCACTGCGGCCTTTCATTCACGACAGTCATCGCACCAGCATTGTCCTGAAGCTGTTCGGGGAAGTCATGGCATTCACTTTAGATCTCTTCAGTGTCACCTCGTACACTCCATCCACACAGCAGGTGAATGTCCTACTGGACGAATGTGCTCACGTGTGGGGTATGCATGTTGAGAGTTTCCTTACCGGTGTGCCGCGGTCCCTTCGCGAGGCATGGTCAGGTGTGAATGCCCGGGGCGTTGCAGAGGCGCTAGTCCACCGCTGCCGCGAGATTGTCCAGCAGGGTGATGCTTTCAACGTGGGCTGGTTTCTGCACGTCTGGGTCTTTGGTAGGGCTATCACCGCTTTGTCCAATGAGAATCCCGCACATGGCGAATGGCTGAAGCAGATGCTCCGCACCTGGGATGCAATTCCGTCTGGGTTGATTGATCAACCGCTCTCTCCTGAAGCCAACTATGTTATGCACCACTTCGAAGGCTATACTTTGGACCGACAAGATCTCGGTCTTGCCGGACCCGGGAACCAGCAAGATGTACAATTCGTACCAGCTGGACCGGACCTGGACCCACTCAATCACGCTGATCTGATCCAGGTATCCGACAAGGAAGACTTGTGCGTTGTCTGCCAGTGCGAATTCGAAGATGAAGCAACCGTCAAGCTTCGGACATGCGACCATATCTTGCATCTAGAGTGCGTTCGGTATTTGATCAATGGCATCGAGCCTTCTTCGAACCTGTGCCCGCTGGACCGCAAGCAGATCTGCCCTCCTCGACCTCGTCGTGCAGACGTCTAGCGCTGCATATCGTCATGGGTCCGCAAGATACTGGCCTAGTTGACTACTTCTTCATCGCGGCAACACGTAAATCCGGGGTCGACAAGGAAACCTCTGCGCTTTCGGCAGTCTGCACCTCTCTTCTCAGGAGCGCAATCTCCAGGCGCAATCCGAGATTTCCATTTTCTTTCTTTTCTTTCTAGAAAGCCATCTCAACAGTCAGACCTTCTTCCCCTCCTTCTGCGCTGTCAGGTCGACTTTGAGACGATTAATTTTGTTCTGCATGCTCCTGATAGACTGCCCACTCTGCCTTTGACAGAAGTCTTTCATCTCTTGTAGTTTGATTGTCACCTCTGTAGTCCCCTTAGTAAACAATGCACACTATGCATGCTGCTAGATAACAATTTCTAAATTCTCAAAGTCGAAGCACATAGACCATTTCCGTACCGTGAATCTTTGTACCATCCGATTCGCTCTGTGACCCTTATGTAAAATCCACGTCTGTGTGGATCATCTGTCCTGGAAAGCTCCAACGATTGCAAGGTCGCTCATCGCGTCGCCCAACCCACGGCTTAGAAACTCTCACTACATATCAAATGTCTATGCACCCGTAACGGAACGAAGCATAGGTACTTCCAGTTAAAGTAACATAAACTTTGCGCACGTTAAGCATATTACATTATCCATTGGGGAAACTCTGCAATTTGCAAAGTCTTCTACGAGAAGTGCCGGCTAGTCAAAGCCCCCGCTTCCCCTCCAGCCCCCTGCTGGACGTCGCTTGCAAGCAGAACGTACCACCTCATTCTTTCCCCCCGCGCGATGCTCCCTCGAACAAGTCTAGGCAGATTACAATAGACCTTGACGTACGAATAGTAGTAAACAAGATACTAGCCAGACTGGACTCGTCATCCTTTGCCTTCCCACCCACTTGGGCATGTAGTCTAAATCTGTTTCCACACCTGCAGGCAAGACACCACGCAGGCGATGATGCAACGACTGAATGTGCGGATATAGCACACGTCTTTGGAGCGCTGATGCGCCGTTTTCCAGATAAGCAAACGGGGGCTGGGATCTGGGGATGGTGGGTATGGTAGGTATATTTGGGAATATTAGTATCGTAGGCAGAGGGTTCGTGCAATTGCCGGGCTGCGCTGCGCGATAGTGTCCGCGGGGAGGACGGATAGGTACAACGATATCGGGTGGGCAGATAATCTGAATTGTTTCAGACGATGTAGCGTCGTATACTGTGTCACGCGCGGACCAACGGACCAATCGTGGGGTGTTCTGCGTAGACTTCATAACCCGTCGTGCCCATATAGGGGCGTTGATAGTTGTTGACACAATCCCGTCATTCACAGACATCGTTCCGACGACGGATAAAGGGACCGCGATGGCATATATTAGTCTACTGGTTATGCGAAACGTATCTACATCAATGATGTCCTCCTATTACGTACAACCTACGTCGTCATCCTGCGACTGTACAACACCAATCTGATGTCTACAAGTACGCAACCACACCCGCGAAACCGGCGACAACACCAGCGACAGCCGCGAAAGCAGTCTGCTGGGGAGCAGCGCCTGTGTTGTTAGCGCTCTGAGCAGAGCCGGACTCGCTCGACGAAGCAGCAGACTCGGAAGAACCAGTGGAAGAGCCAGTGCCGGAGGTCTTAGCCGTAGCGTTGCCGCTGGCCGAGCCGGTCTGCTTTGCGCTGGAAGCAGTCGCGCTGCCGCACGAGGGGAGAGTAACGGAGTAGCTGGCAAGCAGGGAGCTGATGTCGCCGGCATCCGTGGGAACGGCGGAGGCGTAGGGGCACGCGGTCTGGAAGTCGGAGTACCAGCTGGAGAAGACAGGTCCGTTGGATTCGGCCCACGCGCTGGCGGCGCTCAGGTAGGAGGTGTAGTGCTTGCCGACATCGCCGGTGAAAGAGGGCTCGTGGCAGACGTCGGTGTAGCTGAGGATGGCGGACTCGACATCAGCGGGCGGCGTGGGCGGGGTGGCGAGATCGCTGGGCGGCAGGCAGCCGGAAGGGATGAGAGTCGCGACGTCGCCGATCAGAGAGCTCAGGTCGAGGTCGGTGGGGATAGCTGAGGCGAGGTCGGTGGGAATGAGGGAGGCGAGGTCGCCGAGGTCGATGGACGTGGGGATCAGGTCGCTCAAGTCGACGGAGGATTCCTGGCGCTTCTCGACCTGGCGGACCTGGACGACTTCGACATCAGGGCGGGGTGCGGCGAGCGCAACCGTGGTGAGAAGAGCAACGGAGAGGAGTGACTTGGTCATATTGATTGATGTGTATTGGAACGAGTGTTAGAAGATTAAATAAATAGCGACCTGTCTGTGAACTTGAACCTGAGAGAAGGTAGGATGGAAGGTGAGGAAGCGACAGGAGCAGGCTTGCCGTAATATTAAGTACCAGAGGAGCAGAGGCTGTAAGGTTTAGTGCATCCTTTACCGTATAACAAGCATCATAGCGTCGCACCAAGCTTTCAGGCATGCAGACACGAGCCTCAATCTCGCGTAACGACGTCTTTGTTTGGCGCAGCGGATCCAACTGGGCTGTGCTCAGGCAAATTTGGGGGCCCATTTTGGAAGCTCGCAGCGTTTGATTGGATGACTTTTGGCCGTCGGACCGTTTCGGTAACAGCTGAAGAAAATGGAAAATTACCCCTGCATGCTAAGGCGACCTAACACACTGCTGCCTACACTTAAAACTGGCGCATCATCCTGCGGAGTCTGGCGTTCAAGCATGGGTTGGTTGGCTGTATAGGCGCATTGTGATGAAAGACGGCAATCGTTTGCGTGCGTAACGGGGCACCCGTGTGGATCGATAAAAGGGCAACGGGTCGCTCCTCGCCATGGCTCGACGTCTATGGAGTTGGCCTCAAGGCTGCCCAGGCGCCGTCCTGGATCCGGTGGCTTAACCTCCGTACGCGGTACCAAGATGGCCCATGGAAGAGACGGCGAGCGGCATTTCATCGGTTGCTCACGATCATAGACTTTTGACCGCAATGTTTGGAAGGTATTGTTGGGACCTTGGCAAGATGCTAATGTTGATGTTGCAGCTGCAGGTGACATTCTGTCTAATCGCCTCTTGTTCAATGGAGGTTGTAATTTGCTACCATGGGCCGAGGCGAGTGTTCTCCTGGTGAAGTGGGTTCTCTCACCAACCCGCACATACCTAAAGACAACGCACACTCGGGTAGTGGCCTTCTATCTGCGGCGTGGGCGCATGCAAGCGAGTATGAAGACTTGGCTTGAAGGCGTTGTCGCAATGAGCGGTGGAAGAGCAAAAGATGAGAAGTCATCACGAGGAGGGGCAGCCAGGAATTGATTGGCTCTCCACTGTCGCGTCTTGAGCACGTGAAGCGCGTCAATATCGCGTTCCCTCGCCTCGTTATCTCAACTCTTGCGAGACGACGCGCGAAGTCCCACACAGCGAAAGTGCATTCAAACAAAAATGGACGACGCACCGCGAAGTGAAAGGAGTGCCTTTCACCTCGCGGCCCGTCCGTTTGCTTTCAAATGGCGCGCCTTCCTAAAAGGTTCACCTCTCTCCAACCCAGACTGATTCTGATTCTACGACACACACTCTCCGGCCACCACGCCATTCGAACGCCCTTGTTTTTTCCACTCGTACACTGCTAATTCTGACTCTCGTAGTTGACATCCTCTGCCCCGCGACTATTCGCTATGTCTCGCGGCTCGCATTTCCAACGCGGGCGCGCGGAGCAGCGCGACCTCTACGCTGACCTGGGAGTCGCGGAAGGAGCAACAGACGCTGAGATCAAGCGTGCTCACCACAAGCTTGTGCTGAAAGCACACCCTGATAAACAGGGCGACCCAGCTGAATTCCGCAAGGTGAGCTGACACTCAAAGCGTGCAAGAGCTTGTTAGCCCTGCTATTGTCGTTTGAATACATACTGACGGTACAATTAGGTGCAAGAAGCCTACGAAGTCCTGATCGATCCTGAACAGCGCCAGAAATACGACATGAGTCGTGAAGAAGAAGACCCTGGCTATGATGATTCTGACAGCTACTATAGCGACGGCGAAGAGTTTCAACAGTACCCCGCGGCTCAATCCTATAGCAGTTTCGAGGAGTACCTTAGACGAGCGCAAGAGGATGCTAGGGCCAAGAGGGAGTTCAAGGAACGCGAGGAACGGGAGCGCGCAGAGCGGCAGGAAGCCGAACAGAAGCGACGGGCAGATGCCGAGGAGAAGCAGCGAGCCCGTGATAAGACATTGACCATCGAGCGTGAAGAGGAGGCTCGGGACAGTGTCATCGCGCGTGAGGACCGGCTGCACGAGAAGCTTATGAACAGCAGCAAAAAGATGAAGCAGACCGTGTCTCGCAAGAACTGCTCTTGCCAAGGCTGCCGCGACCGCTTCATCCGGGAATCGGACGAGATGGAGAAGAAGAAGAGAGACCCAAAAGGTCACGCAGAGCGTGTCGCCCTCCGCGAGAAGATTGCCTTACGCAAACAGGAGGAAGCCGCCCGAGAAGCTCGTAAAGAGGCCAAACGCCTGGCGCAAGAGCAGCGCGCAGCCGAGAAAGCCGCCTTCGAGGAGGCAAAGGCGCAAGAGAAAGCTGCCAACGAGCAAGCTGCCCGAGAGCGCATACATCAACAGATCGCCGAGCAGAAGGCGAAGGAACAAGCTGTCGCTGAGGAAGTCGCCAAACGCCGCAAGCTCGAACAGCGTGCTAAGCGAGAAGCCAAAAAGGCTGCCGCGCGCGAGGCCAAAGAGGCCAAAGCGAAGGAATCTGTGGAGCTCAGAGCTAGAGAGGCAGCCGAACGTGAAGCCGCAGAAAAGGCCCACCGTCTCGCCGAGCAGGAAGCGCTCGAAGCTACGAGGCGCTCGGCTACCGAGCAGGCAGGAGACCGACGTGCTAAGATCCATTGCAAGCACGGCAAGAACTGCAAATATCTTGCAAACGGAACCTGCGTCTACGGGCATCACGAAGACCCGCCTGCCAACAATCCTCTGACGGGCTCACCAGCAGACCAGGCGCAGTCCCAGCCTCCTTGGGAATCCACAAAAGCAGGATCTACACCTGCTTCTTCGAGCAAGCCTAAGACTGTCGAGCAGAAGACCGGCGAATCTGGCGACCCTGCCCCATCGCAGGCCACGGAGCAGGAGAACGCCCCGCCTGGCCTTCTGAAGAACCTCTCGTCCGCAGCCAAGCTCAAGCTTTCCAACAGCTACATCCAGACGACAAAGGAAGCCGTCGTTCTCAAGCTGCTGCAAGAAGGCACCCACGTTCCCGCCGAGGGCATTGCCGTCGATCTGGGCTGGACTAACGCAGGCTACGCACCCGCATGCTTCTTCTGCAAGTTCAAAAAGCTCAAGTACTCGTTCCGTTGTCCTCAGGGAGATGCGGTGGCTTGTGGGAGGTGCAAGAAGAGGCTGAGCTTGGTGACGCCCGTCGATGAGGCGTTCATGACTATGGAGTGAAGAGGGAGGCTTGGGCATACTGGGCTTGGGGTTTTCTAGGCTTGGATAATGAGCCATGGCGTTCGGGTGTGCATACTGGAAGCCTTTCTGGAGGTCTTTTCGTGTTGGGCATTGGGCGGCGTTGGAAATGAATGGGAAGACATGGAGTGCTAAGGCATAACGGTATGTGGAGTTTTGCAACGTCTCCCACACGGTGTTTCGGTGTTGGGCTTTTGACGGGCGTTGGAACTTTGAATGGGAAGACATGGAGCATTAAGGCATGAGCCTATGGGGTTTTCAAAAATGCTTCTCACAGCATTGCATTGCAATTAAGCAATACATTCACGTGCCGCAGATCTCTCTGTGCGCGCTTCCACCCATACATACCAAATCAATGAATAAGAGAACAAAATTACATCTCATCACACTGCGCATAGGCAAACGCCGTAGCCCTTCCACCACCGTCCCCAAGTTCCTTGTATAATATTGATGCTGTGCCTCAATGATTACAATACTTCATTAGAAACCCCTCACACTGCCTCTCGCTACTCTTCGCATGCGGCCACCACTGGAACGCCTGCAGGTACGCGTGCGCGAGCGCGAGCTGCTCGCGCCGCTGCCAGCTCACGCCCGTGCACGTGCGGTCGCGCATCGCAGCGTAGACGACTTCGCGGTGTTGTTGTTGCTGCTGGGGGTCGATGGTGACTTTGAGTGTGAGTGTAACGGAGGGGACGGGCTTATTCGACTGGCAGGCTGCGCGCTGGGGCGAGGTTGAGGAGGGCGCGTCGGGCATGTCGATGTCTTGGTTGTGGGGGGCGGGTCGCGTCTGGGGTTGTTGGGCGACTAGTTGCGCGTGCGGTACTTCGCTGTGCGTGTTGGGCGTGGATGTGGGATCAGGGTCGCGCGGTTCGTCGCTCATTACAGGGTAGAGATTTGGATTGTGGGCGTTGCAGCGCCAGAGGGCTTTGACGGCGGTGAGGAAGTCGATGCTGGGGTCGTGCTGTGTGGCTTCTAGAGCGAGGGATACGAGCGCGTCGAGGTGGGCGGGCGGGATGTAGGCGAGGGCGTGGCGGATGGCGGGTGTGATGTCTGCGGTAGATGTGTGGATGGATGTGAAGGACGGCATGATGGGGTTTTAAGCATTGGGTGCGACTTTGGACGAGGTGTGAGATGTGCATGGCGAGGGAAAGTGGGGTGTGATTGCAGGATGCAAGGGATGGGGATGTGCGTTGGTGATGGGTGGTTTCCTCTTTTTTCCTATCTCTTGCAGTTTGGTGGCACAACGCGAGCGAGATGTGTGGAAGAGCGGGTGGAACCTGTTTTGTCTGGCAGTTCTTTGGTTGCTGATTGACACTCTGTGGTGTAACTGTCATGCAGAGTAGGGTGTACCGTACCACGAGGGACGTGACGTTGGTAGTCCGACCTCTTCTGGTAAGCGCAACCCCACGCGGGAAGGCGTCGTGGTGCGTTACTTCCGACTTTCCCTACATCCGCACTCTTACCCTTCCATCACCGGGTACGTCCAGAAGTAGTTTGAGGCGTGTGTTTGATTCAAGAGTCCTCATTTCGTCCTCATGGTTCTCCTTGTTGCTGTCTGTTACTTTTTGAAACACCACAGGCGGCCCAATGGCAAGGTTGCACAAGCCAACAGGACGAACTGACATTGAGATGTTACACTTATGATATCATCACTCTTACTCTGCAAACATAGTAGCGCAGTAAAGCAGGCACGGCATCCGCGCGCTCGTGCTCGTAGACACGCGATATGCTTGATTTCCAACACGGAGGATACCCGATGGGCCCATGGCCCCTCGAATCCAACATTAGCTGATTATGTGTCAGGGTAGGGACTAAAAGAAGATAGTTGGGACACACCTACATATTCGTACCCATAACAAGTCACGACGATCCGGCAGTAGAATGCAAGCTTGACTGCCAATATTCTTAGGTTGGACTCCAGGGGGGTTGACCATAGATAGGAGCCTTCATCTGGTGTGGGCTGCGCTTTGTAGCTCAAAAGAGAGGTACGTCCGCATGTCAGCAAATGGAAAGACTCTCGTCGGATGTTGTAGAGTCCTGCTTGCTGCGCGTCGCGGGTCTCTCTCGCGAGCATCTTTCTGTTCTCGAATCTTGCGAATGCATCCGTTAACAGCAATAGCAGCACAGAAGACGACGCTCAACATACAACCAATGCACGAAAGAAGGCCAAGATAGCTTTTCGAGTCGGTGAAGTCGGGTGAGTTTGAAAGGTGGAGAGATTTTAGCCGTAGGCAAGTAATAATCAGGACCCTGGAATGGGATGAACAAGGTAACAAGAGACTGGGTGAAACACGGTACGTACAGAGATCCCACGTTCAGCATGAGCACAGCCCATATTTTCTTACTCCAAGAGAGCTTAACTGAGTCGAAAACTCTGGTTGACTGGACAATGACGGCAACATCGAGCACCATACCCATCGATTCGATAGCCAGGAAAGAAACCATCTGGTTCCCGCAGGCTCCCTTGATATTGATATCCCACTGAGATGCTAATGGACGGCATACTAGGAACACTTCTAGAATGGACCCGATCCCGTGCGCACCAGAAAGACTTAGTATGGCCAGAGAAGCATATTTGTGGCTGCTAGAAACCCAATTCATGTCGTATAGCGTACAGCAGGCGGAGATGCGCATGAGTGCGCCCACAAGCGACCACAATGCCTCGTTGACTAGGAGGGACTGGTCCCGATTAGCGTGAGATTAGGTACGAAGACGAAGGTGTATTCGGCATTTGCGTACCTTGGCCAGAGCGGCGACCATGTGCGGCGACAAGTCGCTTTGATGTCGGCCTCCTCCTTCATCACAGATGGCCCAGGTTACGAGACTGACCAGCAAGACACCAACAATGAAGGCCACAATTACGAGTCCGTCAGCTATCGCGAGCTGGCGGCGGTACTTTATGCACCACAGGAATATGAATGCCATAGATATGCACCCGAGTCCGACGAACAGCCAGCTCACAATGACCGTATTCCTAGCTAGCGAAGATTCGAAAGCGTGCATGGTAGGCGGTGGAGTGCAGTCGCAACAATAAGCAGTGGATCGTCCGAAGTGGAGATGCTAACGATCGAGACAACTCAAATGTCAGAAAAGGAAAAGGAAAACTCAAGCAGTCGAAATCTCGGCGTTACAAGAGACATCATATTGGAAGGTAGCCTTCTTGTGGCGGAACAAGGCTGAATCAAAATTGAGTGCATCGCGGTTCGGATTGGTACGCTTAATGCTAAGCTGCGCACAGCATGTGCAAGGTATAGAAAGACGTCTGCCAACCACAGCCAGAAGACACACATACTCACCAGTATGAACTACCTGATACGTTGCATGGCACTAGCAGGGGGAAGAGTATTGTGATAGAAGCGTGAGGTCTGCACCCTGCGTCTGAGGTCGCTTTTACCACGGGAACAAGTGTACACGCTTTCTTTTTGCAACGAATTTTTGTATGCGCTCTCATATTTTTATACTTCGACTAGTTCTATTTGTCGAATTCTTTGTTAAGAGTTGGCTTCGCCTTCCATCTTACACTCACTCTTGTGCTCTTGCTTACCGATGCCCCTTCATTGAGTCACTGCAGCAATGCTCTCAGCAAGACTGCCGAAGGGGCTCCCCCAGAAGCTGATCTGGTCTCTCACAACTTACAAACACTCGTTCATATCCTCTGCCTTCCACGATTTGACCTTATGCAGGTCTTCGCCCGAAGATCACCTATAGCGAACTAAGTCAGAGTGCAGGCGGTGAGTGATGTACGCAGCAGTCGAGGAAACGATGGAAATGAGCAAGTGGAACTATACGATGTCACTACCAAGCAAGCAAGTATCGAATGGGCGATTCAAGCCCCACCTAAAGAACCGCTTTGCAATCTGGATCTGAACGCCCGATTAGTCGACTACGACACTTGGCCAGGAACCGCCTGAGCCTCTTTAGTGCTTCAGGTCTCTTTTCAACATCACCAGCCTGCTGCTCCTCGTCGCTTGAACCCAATTGATAGACCTTCATCGACGAGAGTTGGGCTGTGTACAGGTTAGTGTGGATATGTGATGGCACCTCTTGCATCTTACCAAAGAACGCCTATGTTCATGTTAGCTTTTGAGTGAAACCTTGGGCATGGAAAGGCTTACAAAAGCGTCGGGGAACTTGACCTGATCTGCAGCAGCGAGTTTGATAACGTTCTGGTAGAAATAAACCTTCTTGCCTCCATTGATGCCGTCGTATTTATCTTTTACTACATATAGTCAGTACCGTAACCGGGAAATGATGGGTGTCTTGGGCAACGTACATTTTTCTCCACCGACAGTGGTGTGGAACATCTGCCAGCAATGTCAGCGATATCCAAACCCTGCAGATCCGTCTGACACACCTCATGTAGTAGAGTGCGGCTCGTCAGAGGGGCATTGACGATTTTGAGCTGGACCTCGTTGCCTGAGTTGTCGGCTTGTTTGGTCAAGAGCTTTGCCTCGTATTTCTGGAGGTTTGCGAAGCGCGTGTAGCTTTTTTTCATTCGATCACATACGGTGATGAGCGCACGTGGCTCTTGCCAGCCTTCGTCCATCCAGTCCTCATGTTCCTTGTCGTCTTTACCGACAGCCGGTACGTAATTGTCGTTGGTATGCTGCAAAGCTGGGTCCTCCCTCAAGCAGCTAACGCTACCACCAGTATATCGCATGTGGTACTTTGTGTTCTTCCATTGGTTCTTACGATCGCCATCCGTGATTTGCTCCCAGCTTGCGTCGTTATCACAGGAGAAGATGATGGCCGCTTGAGAGGGGTCATCGACTTTTTTATCTGCGGTGAATGCTCCGATAGCTGCGAGACGACCTAATCGAAAGATCAATATATATCTGTATGTCCAAGGGCTGTAGCATTACCTTGTACAAGGCTCCTGTTCTGATCCTTGAACAGCATCTTGAAAGCACGCTGCATGCCGACATCCGCATTCGCTTGCATTTTCGAAACTGTCGTTCTTGCCATGTCGTAAGCTTCAGCGACGGTGTCGTCGAATCCATCGAATGAGGAGCATGATGGATCGATGTAGTAATTTTGAGGACCAGCGAGAGTAGGGGGTACAATCAGTAGAACAAGGGCCGCTGCGGACTGGAACCACGAGAGGTACATGACGAGTAAACGCCGAAAAAGAAGACAAGTAATAGTAGATAGGAAGAAAATTTAATGTTGTAATGAACGTCGCAAAGGGACTAAGAAGGAAGTAAATAGGAATGTAGAAGTCCAGAGTACTCTACACTAGGTATCGTGGACGGTTAACGAGGCATAAGGAGCGTCAAATGCTATATCAAGATGCGCTCGTGTAAAATGTGAGCGTGGGTTGTCTCAGTAATTATTGCTGGTGTAAGAGACCTACCAAGCCGGGCTTTGCATATTTTCAGCCGCGCATCGTATCATCGTGCCTGCGCCTACATTTCAGAGAAGCGACATATCGATAGGCTAAGAACATGCAAAGCTTGAGGGCAATCTGGATTAAACTCCAAAGAGACCCATCTGTGCTAACAATATCCTATTCTTACGAGCGCCATGTTTCACAAAGACGGCTTCAGTCAAGCGTGTCGCTTACTGATCGTCCGGCATGCAAGCCACCGGCCACAACCGCTCAAGATCACCTGTTTGGGGGCGAAGTGACTAGGAGGCAGTGTCCTAAGTGCGTGGCGCTAAGCTCAATTCAGCCTAGCTAGCTTACGGGCTTCTGACGTGGACCCCAATCTCGTCTCCAATACGAAAGGACAGCTACCGACCCGCTTACTGCAACTTAGCATCAGCAACAACGTCAAGATGGCAGGCACAAAGATGCGGCTGGTGCCAATGCTAGTATATACAGACCAGCGCCACGATGCTTTGCAGGCCGACTTTCACGACTTTGATGCCCCGTTCTCTACAAATACTTCCGTTCCCTCTCAGACTCGTTCCAATTTCCTTTTGAATATGTTGCATGCTGTTCAGTCCTTAGCAATTATTTTCTCCCTTTCTTCTATAGGGTCCGCCAGTGGTCCTCTGTCTGCGCGGCAAGGACAAGTCACTTTTCCTCCCAGTAATGGACCTTGCCCGCAGAATGCCGGCCAGAAGCCTTGTAAGTCAAGTTTATGTTCCTGACCAAATGAAAACTCACTCGTGATAGTATCTTGCTTTGATAATAAGTGTGTAGATATACCTGAATCAGGTGTATGCCAGATCCAGACTCAACAAGGGTTTCCCGCCTGTGGTTGCTGCGGATTTGATGAGATCTTGTGTTCAGAATGTGGAGGAGACAATGGTAGTGGCCTCGTGAGTACTGAGTAAGATTCTATTTCTTGCGCCTCGCTCATTGAAGTCAGTGCAATGGGGCAGGCAAGTCTGGTGTCGCCTTCCAAGGCTGTGGCTGCACTAACGGAGATGGCGGCGGGACCCCAGCCGATAAGTTCAAGATTTGTCCCGAGAGCAATGGCAAAGATGCCATGGAATGCAGCAGCTCTGATTGCGGTGGCTGCACACAAATTCCTGGGGTGTGTGACAACAAACAGACTGGCAAAGACGATTCTGGCAAAGGCTTCTTCACGCACTGTGCCGGCTGCCCGGACGGGAATATCGGCTGCGACACTTGTGGTGGGGATGATGGCAACGGAAGATGTCAAGGCGGGCTTCCCGAGGCCTACAGCACCCCATACAAAGGTTGCAAATGCTCTGCAGGAGGCGGTGGTCCCATCATACCACCACCAATCTTTCCCTTCCCGATCCCTCCACCTGGATTTCCGATTGTCCCACCGGGTACACCTCAACCAAAAAAACAGTGTCCTCCCAACCCAGACGCGAAATGCGAAGAGTGTGGCGGCAACCAAAACTGGTGTCAGACCGGGCCAGATGCTGGGTGCCCGTGCAAAGACTCACAATGCCCTGCGAAAGATTCCGAGGAACAGCCAACCTGCAACGATGCGACCTGTAAGGGCGAAGATGGCAGGTGTACCATAGGTCCCCACGAAAACTGTGAATGTAAGGAAGAACAAGATGAGTGCCCGCCGGCTAGTGAGATCCTGGCCTGCAATGAATGCGGCGGAGCTGACGCAGACGGTAAATGCAAAGGTGTAAGTTACTACGATCTGATCTCTCGAGATAGCATTTTGACATGTTCCAGCTTGAGGAGCCAAAAGACAAGTGGAAAGGCTGCGAATGCATTGAATTAAGCGATGAGTCAGACGTAGAGTATACTGCTTATTCTGACAGCGAGCTGGAACAGTACGGTACCTTTTTTGATCAACTGCCAAGCAGCGATTCGGATAAGCCTAGAGAGCATCCCAGCAACAACCCAGCATGCCAGTCAGACAACGCCAACGGACCACTTCCGGACCAGCTCGTTACAGATGCTGGAAATAAGAAGCCCTCAGAGCTGCAGTACATGATGCGCGAAACTCTTTGCAACAACAAGTGCGAACTTCCTCAAGGGTTGCCTGCCGCATCTGTGGCAACAACCAAGGACGGAAACGATGGATGCGAAATAGCGATCATTCTGCCCAACAACGTCGAAGCATGGGCTTATCGCGCTACGCAATCCACAGGCCCACAGTGGCAAGACTGCTGGGACTCATTCGCCAATATCACGGAAAAGTGTGTTAAAAACGACCCTGCCACCGGCTGGGTCAATGGCCCCGACGACTATCAATTCTACCAAAGCGGGATTAGACCCCTAAATGGTGATGGTTCAAAGCACGGCCAGCTTGACGGGAGCAATGCACTCAAAGACGCGACTCCGTCACAGCCTTCACCGCCAACACCTACTGAAACTATCGGACTATCTCCAACGGGAGACGGGATCAATTGCCTCTCTAACGATCAGGGGGGCTGGCTGTGGGATTGCGGCGACATAGTGAATAAGTTCGGCGATGACGAACAGATATGCACCAACGACAGCAAGTACTGCTCTACTGATCTCAACAACATCGGCGAATCATACTGCAAGGCCTCAGGCGCGAAATGCGATTCTAACGGTTCGGGAACCATGAAGATCAGCTCATATTGCGCCATTGCTACGTCTCAGAGCTGCTCGCTGGTCATCGCGGACAAGCTTGCTAGTTTTGGTTTCCCTGGAAGCTCTTGTATAACAGGAAGGGATATCAAGAATTTCATTGCGGCGGAACGGAGTGCGGATGGATGCGGTGGACCGCCGGATCAGGGGCGCATTGCTATGGCTTTTGCTAACAATGGAGCGGCGACGTGGTGTTTGGCGGGATCGAAAGCTCCTGGTATATGTGCTGCGTGAGCGCCTCATTCTATTGCCTGTTCTGTAGTTGTTTATGTTAGAATCTCAAAATCATTATACACAATGTTCTGGCTTGTTGTTTGTGACCTCTTTCCTCCTGGATATACTTAATCAGGGAGGCATTCCTATTCGAATCAATCCAGTGACCGAATTTTGCTAGATATTTGAACTAGACGAAGGTTCGGGGAAAAGGATCGTTGTACATTGGAAGCTAACTTACTAGCGATAACCCTGCATGCAGAGGTGTGGCTCACCGCTACTTTACACAGGAAGCTCACTTTTGATCAACACCTTGTCTGTAAGTTCAATCTACGAATATTCGCTCTAGAATGTCCCACACAGCCAAACGACCAACTACACTGCTATACGTAAACTAGAACTAACGGCATTAGAATGTAACTTGACCTCGTAGTATGCTGTTGCAGCTGAGTCCGGTCCCAATACGAACCACGTGACTAGTCATTTACCTGCACCTTACCGGGCAAGAACACTTGGCTATCGATCTGAGTGGGACATATCCTAACCTTTTATAGAAATCCAGTGTAATCTTTTACACTTTTCACATACACTGTTGATGCTATTGGCCATCGAGATCAATATTTGGCGCTCAGGGAAAGGGTGCACCGTCTCAAAAGTCACATCAACCCCATTTGATATAGACCTGTGAGACTGCAAACAAGCAGTAGCTCTGTATCTAGGCTTTGAAGCTATTTAAGATATGTATTTGTCAATGTATCGCTTGATCATCGTTCAGGTGTGTCTTTGCCTTTCAATCTATAGACCCGAGTCTTGAGTAATCAATTCCAAGATTTTCGCTCAACGCAGGGATCCAGTGAGCTTACGCGCTACCATTCCCAAAGGACTTCCTTTTTCAAACTCCGGTCTGTTCCAGACGACTTTCTGAGGTAGTTGAATCGGCAGGTAGACACTGATGTTGTTCCTCGGAGTCAGTACTTGCAAGTCGTATTGAATATTGCATCAGCAGCAGGCTTGACTTCCTGAACGCCCTGCAAACCTTGTCCAACGACAAAAACCTGCACTGCCGCAAAACTGGCAATGTTTAGTTCTCTATCTCGACGAGTAGGATTGCGACTTACATTGCAGTCAGTGCAAATACGTCTATCCTCCTCGCCTCCGTGAACAACATCAAGCAAATCGACACAAGCACATTGAAACCTGTGATAGTGCCAAGCCGCGCTATGAGAGGATCGTGCTTCGTAAGAACCCAGATTGAGGCTACCGGTAACAGGGCCGCAATGGCGCTTGTGATCCAAAATGTCAACCTGAAGATGCTGTCGTCTCCGACTGATAGCACACCAAGGCTCGGATTGAGCTTCTTCCAGCGAGAGCCCCCGCATGCTTCGATGCACGTGATGGCTCGAGCACAAAGCCACGTTGAAAAATGGTCGATTTCTTTCCGGGGTCTTAGGCAAACTAGCTCTTGGCTATATGTGTCCGGCTTCTTGACCGTGCCCCATACATAACTTTCGGGGCCCACCAACCCGGGAGGTCCTATGGCATCACTCCAGAGAAATGCCTGGATGTCCTTTAAGTCGTAGTCGTCGGGTGGTTTCATTGATAGAATGGTAGATTGTTGAATAAGTGCGTGATCTGCTCATTGTGTAATAGAGATAAGCGCAACACAGAGCAAACTGTAGGCTACCACACTCACTATACTCCTTAAGAAGGTCCCTCATCCTGAGTACCATGTCGCGTTGATCTGTATCCCCATCTCTTGGCTGACCTTTGACTTCCTCATCGGACGTCATCAACCATCTTGAATCATGAGCGTAGAACTCTTTATATTCGCCACTCTGATAGTCCTTGTTTTCGAGGCTGATAAGTTCAGCTTCAAGTTGCATCAGCTCGTTCTGGTAATATAGCAGGTTTCGCGCATTCAAGGCACCGAAGCGCCTGAACATGGCTGTTGGAGGTACAACACCCATACGTGTTGCCAGCGTAGGATAACCTTTGGCTAGGTGAGCGAAGGGACCTGACCGTGCTGTAGTTGGTGCTACATTAGTTTTCCAGTCGAGTGGTGCTACTGGTGTTGCGGATCCTCGCGCATCTGCGGTTGCATCAGACATTGTAGAATTAAGAGATAGAGCGTAAGAGAAGATGAAGATGGCGACTGAGGAGGGCGCGACCGCAATCTTAAACTAGCTCGGGAAGACATAGCCTGTGCTTCACGTAACAACAAACGGGACTAACAATGACGTGAGAGGGGCTGTGTCACGTACGACATGTCGCGAGTCAATCAACTTTGATAGCGCTGTCAATGTATTCTCCGTCCACATTCGCCTAATATACCTCATGCGCGACTGGGTAGCTACAAGATCACGCAATTTCTCTCAACGCTCGGTCGCGATGTGGTGAGAAGAGGGTGTACTTCCCGCCAGGCAATCCACCACGCGAGCTTTTGTAATCTGGCTGTAGCTTAGGCCAGACACCCTAAAATTACTCAATGCCAAGCTGGAGAACTAGTCTTCATTCACCAGGCTGCCCTGAGATGGCATGATTTGGGTGTCACATTGTGGATCAAGTTACCCCTGGATGCATCGCTAATCAACAATACCACCCGGAAAACGGCCGGCTAATTCGTACGACAGCCAGAGTGCTGGACGTATACATGAGTACTTTCGTTCACTGTATCGCCACCAAGAAATTAACACGTCTACGGCGCAGCTACTACCAGTGGTCGGCTTTACGATCCACTGAGTAACCCGAAGCTGGAGCTGCACTTGACTGAGCGGGATATGGAACCCTGGGTACACTCAGTCATTAAAGTACACGCAATTCGTCATACGCATTACCCATCCAACTACTGCACGCAGTCCGCCCATATGCTCGAAGAGTCTGCACCGCATTATCATCTCAGGCCTCACATACGAACCGTACCATCACCACTCCACAAACCTCTCCACCCACCTCAGCCCCTCCCTCCTCCTCTGCACACACTGCACCCACATCCTCCTCTCAGGAGGCCGATGCGCCTTCCCCGTCAGCGTCGCCCTGGCCCACTCCGGAATCCCCCCCTCCACCATCTCCTCCTCCTCAACCCCAATAACACACTTACATATCGCGATAATAAGCAGCGGATCCCACCACCCCTCCACATGCCACTGTTTCAGAATCTCGATGCCATCGTACCGCAGCACGCGATCGCGGCATTTAAGCAGGAGCGTGAATAAGGGCACGATGATACCCAGGTCGAGCACGAAGAGGCCTGAGAAGTAGGAGATGGGGGAGCCTGCGTTGCGGATTCTGAGGATGTCGTGGGAGAGCCGGATGATGGATGTGAAGTCTGAGAGGTGGTCGTCGTAGCCCATTTCGTTGACGTAGATAATACCTGCGAGCGTGACTTTTGCGTTGAGCGCTTGGATCTGCAGCATGGTGGCTGTGACGAACTCGCGGAGTGTGCTCTTCGCTGTGCGCCGCGTGCGTTGGAAGACGGGCGAGAAGGCGAGGATCCAGCGGCACATTTCGGCGTAGTATTTTGCTTGTTCGGCTTCGACTTCTGGGGAGAGCTTGAAGGAGGCGGTGTGGATGTTTGTGCCGACGGTTGTGACGACGCTGTCCGGGGGAGCTGTTTTGAAGGGGCGGATGAGGGAGGCTGGGTCGGTGTGCTGCCAGGTGGTGGGGATGAAGTGGCAGCAGCGTTGCATTATGATGTGCCAGTAGCGTTTTGCTTCGTCTAGGTTGGCGAAGACGAGGGGCATGGATGCTGCGATGGGGGCATCTTCATTCAGGAGCTTCTCGTGCGTCTCGACAGTGCGCCAGTCGTTGATGGTCGAGATTGTGATATCCAGGTTGCGGAACGCGTCCGCGATATCGTCTTCCACCTTTGAGGGACGGTCTGCTTGTGGTAATTGGTAGTAAATGCGCAGACCGTATTGGGCATGCATGACGGCTTTGTAGCGGTCGCCACTATGAGATTCGAAGCATACGATTAGCAAGCATGCGATGAGCGCATCACGTGGTCCAGATCCAGTGTCGATCGCGTGCTGTATCTTTTTTAATGCTCTGCCATATGTCTGATATGCAAACTGTCGTTGTAACTTTGCTAGCTCTTCCAAGTGCTTCGTATTTGTGCCAGTCGCCGCCGCCGTACGAAGCGACTTGTGAAGCGCGCCGATGGCGACAACGGCATCTCGGATAAATGCTTCGTGGTGGCATCCTTGAAGCATGAGACGATTCCAGACTGACCAATCCCATGCGCTCTGGAATCCGGATGTCGTCTCTTGGTGGAAGTACTTTAGGTACTGGTTCTCCACATCGGTCTCGCCAGGCAGGGTAGCAGTGGGCCGGAAGGTGGTCAAGCTCAATATGTCGTCCTGTTTAGGAAGCAGGATCCGCTCAACCTTACGCCTGTCCGCTGTTGCTCCGGTCGCAATGGAGAACTTGAAAGCTGTGGTATAGTCGCAGTGGAGCTTAGCTTTGATGCAGCGCATGCACTGTGGATGCAGCTCGTCGCATTTGATCCTTCTTTGCCTGCATGTAGTGCATCCATTCTTCGACCTCTGGTGGCTTGCCCTTTTGCCAAATTCCATTTTTGATAGAGGCGCGCATGCAGGTGGAGACGGGATGGCGTTTCGCTTACGAAAGATGTCGGCGATGCTTGTGTAACACGTAAGATGTCGCGAGGCCAGCGAATGGGATCCATTCCACGACCTACGCTCGTTAATGTCGCCCAATCAGCTTCGACCTGCTACACGGCTGTCATGTGACCTTCGCGTGCCATGCGGATTAACGTGACCCAGATGGCATGGCAGGATCTAGTGTAGTTTGGGGTAGGAGAAGCTTTTTCAGATTTGCGTTAGTTGCTTTGTTGGCCCTGCTGAGAGCCACGGCAAGACTGAGCCGTCTTATGAAGAGGCAATTACTATTGCATATAAATCGCAGGCGGTTAACGCCTTGTTGTAGAGACAGGGCACAGCGTCAGCATGCATCTCATACTTCCCTTGCTCGGCGCCTTCCTTGCCTACAACATCTACCTCGTGTACTACCGCCTTTACCTCTCACCCATAGCCCACTTCCCCGGCCCAAAGCTCGCTGCTGCAACATACTGGTACGAATTCTACTACGACATCATCCTCGGCGGGAAATACATATGGAAGGTGAAAGAATGGCACGGGAAATACGGACCAGTGATTCGTATCAACCCGGGTGGACTCCACGTTGCCGACCCAACGTTCTGGGACGTTGCGTATACGCATAGCACGGATCGCAATAGAAGAGATAAATGTACGTGGGAAACGTGGGGCATTGCGATCCCTACTTCTATGCTGGGCACTGCACCGCACGCGTTGCACAAGATTCGAAGAACCTCCATCAACCCGTTCTTCTCGAAGCAGAACGTGCGGAAGCTCGAGCCGGGTATTGAGGAACGGGTTCAGGCTTTGGTCAGGAAATTCAAGGAGAAAGGTGATGGAGGGGAGGTCGTGCAGATGGCGTATGCGTACTCTGCTTTCGCTAATGGTGTGTAGTTGTGAAATGTTGCTGATGTGCCTGCGCTGATGGTGGACAGACGTCGTGATGCAGTACTGCTTTGGTCGATCCGATCACCATATTGAAGCGCCAGAATTCGACCCCTCGTTCCACAAGACATCGTTCGGCGCCGCTAGTGCAATCGCGCTGTTGAAGCACCTGCCCTGGTTCTTGTTGATCATGTGGGCCCTGCCAGAGTCTGTGGCTATGAAGATGGGCGACGAGGTTTCTGCGAATGTCAAGTTGAAGAGAGTATGTTGTGATAACAGACGATCTTACTTGGAGTGTGTTAGGCTGATTTAGGCTTGATAGGAGCGCGTGGGACAGATCGAGGAGGTCCGAAAAGCTGGCTTTGAGAAGGAAGATGAAGAAAACAAGACTGTCTTCCATACCTTGTTGCAAAGCAACCTGCCTGCAAAGGAAAAGGAAACAGAACGATTAGCCGAAGAGGCTGTCCTTCTGGTCGGAGCGGGTACACACACGACATCGTTCATTCTCGCGGTCGTCACATTTCACCTTCTCTCCAACCCTTCCTTCCTACAAAAGCTTCGTGAAGAGCTCCGTACAGTACTTCCAGAAGTGAACAGCCACGCGCCGCTGATGCAGCTGGAGAGGCTTCCGTTTCTGACCGCGGTGTTGAAGGAGGGTTTGAGAGTAGGTCACGGCGCAGTGGTGAGGAGTTCTCGCATCGCAGTAGACACATCGCTGGAGTGCGGAAAATGGACAATACCAGCGGGCACACCAGTCGCCATGACCATTCCACTCACGCACTGGAACGAAACAATCTTTCCAGATCCGCATACATTCGAGCCCCATCGCTGGCTGGGCGATGACTCAGCTCGTCTCGACAAGTACCTGGTCGCGTTTTCGAAAGGGTCAAGAGGTTGTGTAGGCATAAATCTGGCGTGGGCAGAGCTGTATATGTGCACTGCGGGAGTATTCCGGCGGTTTGGCTCCAAAGATGTGAGGGAGCCTGGGGACCTTGGTTATATGGAGCTGTACGAGACGGACGTAAGCGATGTGGAAATGGTGAGCGATCGCTTCTTCCCCGTAGCAAAGGAGGGCTCAAAGGGAATACGTGTACGAATGTCGAGTTGATTCGTCAGGAAAATCAGAACTGCCGATCGTGCCAAAGGGGTAGCGATGAAACCGATAAGGAGTTCGCAGCAATCAGAAACCATTAAAGTCGTTCGTACATCTTGTAACAAGACTCGGAGCCATTTGAAGAGCCGAAACGTAGAGTCTGAGAGATGCGTTCTCTGTTCATTTTGAAAGCCGACTGGGGGGAGACGATCTAGCGTGCATGGCAGTCTGCTGTAGAAGTAGCCATTTTATTCCACTATTCGCCAGGTTGGCCCAAGATTGTTGTCGTGGATGGTATTGATAGCATCTCGAAGATCTCAAAGGATGACTGACGTCATACAAGGCTGAAGTTAGCGCGCCGGCAAAGCTTAGGACCGAAACCACAAACCACCTCAAGCGGGGCCGACGCGTCTCACATGGTTCTTTTAACACATCTCGCGCTGAGAATAGCCGCAGTCTATCCAACAGTAGCACCATCAGAATGGGGAGCCAGCCTCGCGCTCAGCTAACAATGAACAAGGGAAAGATTGCCTCGATTATATCACTGCAGGCCTACGCCGCTCTTGATCCTTTCCCTAGCTAACAAAGAACGCGTACAATTCACTACTTTAGGCTGAGGCTCTTTCTCCTCTTCTTCAGCGCCGATACAAGTTACCACAGTTCCCTTTCCAGTTGGCCTCTTCCGCAGCCAGCAGTTCCTACAATCGATCCGCAACCACGGCCTCCTTGCGCCGCATCTACGTCGCCATGCCCCTCGCAAAACACACCTACCACACCGCCGCCCCAATACCGCCGCACATCTCCCGTTCCGAAGTCCTCGTCGCCCTGCATGACCACAACACTTGCCTCTCGCTACAAGCCCTAACCGCAGGCCACGAACTCCTCCCCTCAACCGACCCCACCACCCTAAAGGATCCCTTCTGGTACCCGACCGACACGTACCCACCGTCTACCTACCGCGTCACCGAGATCATCAAATACCTCCCGTGGTTCTCGTGGGCGAAGTACTCGCTCGTCTTCCCGTCTGTGTTTCAGAGTACACCACAGGGATTGAAGACACGCGCGGATACGAGTGGGGTGGTGTTACGGGCGGAATACCGTGTTCTGGAGGAGTAAGGTTGAAGGGGCGTTGAGAGGGAGGGCGAGGGGCTGGAGGATGGAGGGTGGGTGCTGGTTGAGGATGTGGAGGTTGTGTGTGTGTGGTGGATGATGCCGCTTGTGAGGGGGAAGATGGAGGAGGCGCACAGGGATATATGTCAGAAGGTTGTAGAGACGGTCGTTAGGGAGAAAGAGGAGAAGGAACGGGAGGCTGCTAGCAGAGAGGCGGGGAAGGGAAAGCAGAGGGAGGCGCCGTTAGATGGCTCCTATGTGCACGTAGGCGGAGACGTGGGACCGCCGCTACAAAGGCAAGAGATGGAGAAGATAACGTACGGGTGAGCGTCCGAGAGCTGGATGTGAAGACGAGTGTGGATGCGGGTTTGTTGTACAGGGATAGTGTGTGAGACTTGCTAATTAATTAGATATAATGAATAGAACTTACATAACTCACGTGGCCACTCAGCAACATCTATGGCGACGCCTTCGCTTTGTCCTCTTTCAACGCAGCCTCTCGACTTGCTTTCGGAGCCTCCCCTAACCGGTCAACGGCTTCATTTGGAAGACCGTCCCCGTCAGCCTCTTCTTCTGTGAACACCTCTCGCAAACGCCCAACTTCTTCTCCGGTAAGACCTACTTCATCCCTGAAGTAGCCGTCCGGGCCGTTCCACCTCCTCTCCACCTCGGCTATAAGCGCTTCCATGCTCTCTCTGCGCGCTCCCACCATGCGCTCACACTTCCTCCTCGCTTCCTCCGGACCGTACTCTTCGAATGCGCCCTTCTTGAGCAGCCGCTCCACGTTGATATGCCGAGTCGGCGCAAGCCCCTTGTCGGAAAGCGTGTACTCGTGCGCGACAACATCAGGCGAAACACCCAGAAGTAGTAAGAGAAGCGAAATAAACACGCCCGTGCGATTATTGCCAGTCGTACAATGCATGAAAACTGCTGCGGACGGTGCACCTCCCCTCGCAGAAGCAAGCACATGTCTCAGCACCGTTCGAAACATGGGCGCGCCCGCAATGAGGATCTCGACGAACGCCGTCACGATACCCTACGTCCTACCTTCAGCCTACGTCTGGATGTATAGAGGGGAGGCTCACATCAGTTCCCTCCCCAGCATACAATTCATATCTCTTCCTCGCCGCCTCCTCTGTATACTGCTCTTCTGCAAACACGGGTGTCCATCTCCGCTCAATACCGGATATTTCTCTGTACCCACCCGTCTTCTCGATTTGCTGCTTGCTCCGCAGGTCGAAGTCGGTTTTGATTCCCAGCTTTCGTAGTTTTCCTTCGCCTTCCGGTGTGATCCTGTTGGTGTCTGAGCCGCGGAAAAGGATACCTTTGCGGACACGCTTGGTTGGGGCGTGTGATGGGGTGCAGAGGGGCCAACCGCCGATGTCGCGGAAGTTGGAGAGGCCGGGGATGATGTGGAAGGGGGCAAAATTTGGGTGAGGAGGACGGGAAGGAGGTTCGGTAGTTTGGGAAGGATGAGTTTCGGCGGCTTGGGAAGGGGCGACTTCGACGGGCTTGACTGAGAGCATTGCCGCTGTTGACTCGGCGAATGGGCATCGGTTAGCAAGCGCATGAGTGTGACGGGGACCACATGGTGATAAGCCAGAGAAGAGAGTTGGGCCTCGACGAGAAGATGTGCGGGGAGGTGGGTTCAAGTACGTATGTAAAGGAACAACCCCGAATGCGGGGTGAGCACTCCACGTTTTGTACAACATGCCCCCTGCTAGCGCCATGCAACGTGCGAGGTAATATATCCCTGCGGTACTTAATGTGATTGACGACACACCGTGCGGGCCCGCGGGCTGAGCTCATCGTTGCACTGAGGGTACCCATCTCCACCTAGAAAACATGGCCAACAACCCAATAGCCCGACTCAAGACACAACGTCTCCGTAGGACTCACTCCACCAAGTAAACATGGCCAATGGTCGACTGTGAACAGCTTGACTCAACACACAATGTCTGCCTGGTCAGAGCGACAGATGTGTGGACTCACTATACTAAGAAAACATCGTCAACAGCCCAACAGCCCAACGGCTTTGATCAATGCACAATGTCTTCGTGGTCAGAGCGTTGGATGTGAGTCTACTTGAATACTGCTTGGAAAAACAGTCATCTACCAATATTGACTCATGACTACCGCAGTATAAGTTCGCTCACTTATCCGCTTCAAGAGCTAGAAACACACATCTTTGCAAACAATTACCCGGTCAAGCTCTACAGCCTATTTCGATAGAACGATATATCAACATTCAGTATTTGCAACGGCGCCATGTCCTCACGCAAGTCTCCTGCGATTCCGCGGAATCTGTCCAGTGTCACGGCTTCATCCTCGTCCGGAGATCCTGACTCCCCCACCAGCAGCCCTGGGTCCGCCAAACACCCATTGGTTCGACCATACCACGTGCAACTTTTCGAGGAACCGATGGATGCACTAGCAGGGGGTTTCCAAGATATGGGGATATCAGACATTCCTAACCCGGAGGGACAAGACGAGTCAGATGCGGAGGAGGATGTTGGCTCGGCACAACAGGGAATGTCCAGTGTCAAGGCGGGGAAGCTTCCCATGTAAATCGCTCGTCTTCTTGTCCCCAGTTCAACTTCCTTGTCCTGTATCTGACCGACCAGCAGACAGAGTCCGGGTTCCGAGGAAGAAGACAGTGGCCAGAATGTGCTTCTCTCGGTCGAGGAGACTCCGAAAACAATAACGATCGGCGGTAAGGAATTCGAGACAATAAAGGATTGGAGTTCGGAATCATGGAAAGGTGACAGCACTCAAATTCGCACTGTGCGTTTCGAAAAAAAGGATTTGGCCGGCGTACGTCGGATCTGCAGGCAGTGTCTGGAGAAAGTTGGGGTTTTTACGATCAATGACAGGCAGGACCAATGGGAACCAGTCCCTAGCCCTAGAAAAGGTGGCAGCAGTACATCTTGCAAGAATGTTGAATGCCGCAAACTTACGAGAGAGGCTCTGAACGAAGGACGCAAAGAGATTGGAGTCATCGCAGGGGGCAAAGTTAGATCATACCCATTGGCTAAACAGGGACAGACTGTAATGGCTTGGATCTGTAAGTGTTCGGAGGGACAACGTTTAACAGCATCAAATTTCCCAGATGAGGAAAAGTGTCACGCAATGAATTGCGGCAGGAAGAGAGAAGAGTCTGGCAATTATGCTATCCTTGCTCCACCTTTTGGCCTTGCTGCTATCGTGGAGACAAAGTAGAAACCTTTAGCACGATGAGCTAGGCAGATCCGGTGATGCTGCCAAAGTTAGGGCCTAGGGGCGGGCGGTGATTTCTTTATCTCTCTTTTGTTTGCGGTGTTTCTTCACTCTCATGTCCTTCTGTGATCGCTTCAACACGATCATGCAATCTATTGTATCACTTGCTTGGTCTCTCAAAATTCTGTATACTAAAACGTTCAAAACGTTTACATGGCTAGACAACTGCTGTTTCATCTATGCTCGTCTGCTTCTGGCGCTTTAAACAAGTCAAGGCTGTGAATAATGCGATCGAATGAAAGACGGTTCAGATTCCATATAATCGTTTAACATTTGACATAGTCAAAGATATTTACGCAAGTGCTGCGGTTGGAACAAGGCCATAGTAGGACAGCGAGGTGAGTTGAAAGTGCGAGGCAGCTCGTTTCTCGCAAGGGTGACGCCAATATCAATGGTGGTATGCACGTTGAGAAGGTGCACTACAGGCCCTTTACTCCACATATTACGATACAGCTACCTCCTTAATAGTCGCACAAAAGACAAGGAACGGATAAAAATAAAGACAAAAAAAAGAGGCCTCGAACAACCAGCTTATGTCTACCCACCACTAGCTGTCCTAACCGGACGGCTGTTCCAGAGGTGAGTAGGTAGTTGGAAGTAATGGCGTGTCTGCGGATCGAACTCACGTCGCCTAGGGTGTGTAGTCCTCTAAGTTTCGCAAGCTCTCACTTAGGACCTTGATGGGTGCAGTATCTAGTTACCGGCGCCTGGTCATGTACCGCTACCCCATCAAGTGCTGTCCTTCGCCATAAGATTGTTGGAGATATGGCAAATTGAACGGTATATATAGCCGTGGATTTTGAGGTTGAGTGAGTTTGGTGGGGCATTGAAGTGAGAGACGCCTGAAGTGAAAGGCAGGCGCGGCGGCTGTGGCCTGCGGTGACGTGCGCGTACCTGCTTTCACTCGATCGAAAATGACATGCTATGATATTTCGCATGCATCTTTTCTATGTGCAATGCAGTCCAGCTGTGTCAATGTACCGTCGCGATCGTGTGTGGATATGGGATCAAACCTTCCACAGCCAGTCCTCGAACGTCGCTGTAGATTTTTTGCAGCCTATCCAGCCTGTGTCAGCACGGAGCGCGTAGCGTTCACAGGTTCGTTATGTGATAGGTTAAGTATACCTCAATTGCTGCCAAAACCTATTACGAAAATTGCAAGCACCATCGTCTACGGTAACACTAAGGAACAGATGCAGGTAATATCCACGTGGAATTTCACTGCTGCATATAGTCATGTTTTCTCTGGGGTCCTTTATTGCAGCCTCATGTATAGGGTGAGAGTTTACCAAGCAGTGCGCGACGACCGCTTCCACGAACCTTAGCCATCGCTGCTCACACATGACGACATAGATGACAATTTGAATACTCATTGATACTCGAGTTGACCTTCGCTGTATATTATTATCAACGGTTGATATGTTTGTAGAAATAAGGCGTCACGGAGAGAGGTTGAAACTCCAATCGAAAAGTACTTTTGAGGTTGACATCGCCACATAAGCCCGCAGAATCAAGTAACCACAATATCAAAGGCATTCAAAGCCTTACATGTTACCCAAACTCCAAATCCATGCAAGCTATTCCAAGATGTATCATACAAGACTCAGCAAACCGGCACGCATTTCCCAACTACTAACCTACAGCCCTATTAAAGAGTCAACCTGTCCAAGAGGTCGCTCACCATGTCTGTCTTGGTCCAGATGATTTCCATGGCCTTCTCCTCGGTGATCCAAGGTTGGCGGCTTGTGCGAGGGCGCTGCTCCTTAACGAGCTTCACGCTAATGTCTGTGCTGGGATGCACGTTCAGCAAGCCTCTGAGGACCTCATCATCCCAATCTACACGAGAGACGTCCAGGGCGGGCGATGCCTCACCCATGTCTTCATCCTCGTCATCGTCCTCCGGAAAGTGGACGTCTTTGAAGTCGTCGTCATCATCCACGTCCATCCCATGGTCATCGGCACTTGCACGACGAATGGCTTGATCCACGCGTGCCTTCTCAACCAGTTGTGCTTTCTCCTCGGCACGCTCACGCGCTATATGTGCCATGTAATTATCAAACTCCGTGGCCTCCTGGATGTTTGCGAGCACGAAGTGCAATGCATAGGTTGGGCCAACTTGCTTGAGTTCATCCATAGTGATGCTGCCGGAGTCGCACAACTCAATGAACTTCCGCGCATCTTCGAACGGCACCTTCGGCATCTTCTCCTTGAGTTGGGCGAGATAGATTTTGATCTTCTCCGTGTTCTTGTGGCGAAAGAGGATCAGATCGAGATTTGAGGACTCCCAGACGTCAAGGAAGACCTTCTGCTTGTGAAACGTGCTATCGGGCTTGAGTGAGGCTACCCATGCCTCTATGAATGACTTCCAGAACCAATAGACGTCTGGAACATTGCAAAGTTCCTCATCTATACAGCCGGCTACATCGAGTGCCCATAGGTACGTCATCACGATTACATTGTACCGAATGTTCGGGAGCCAGTGGCTGAATGAGTGCTGTAAGTCACAGTTGAGGAAGAAGATGCCCTTGTTGACTTCGGGGTCGATGTCTTCACGGTCTGGATTCGCCTATAGGAGCAGGAAAGTCAGTAAAGATGGCAAGACATATGGATCTTGAGTTGACCTACGACCCATTGAAGCTGGCCTGCCAAGATGTTGATGTTACTGATAACGAACTCCATGCTGTACTCGTAGGGAATGCGAGGGCCTTCAACTGCGTAATCCTTGCGACAGATGTCATCGATGCTGGGGAGGAGCATTGGCGGTGGCTTGCATGTAAACAGCTTAGCGCTGATGGACTCGAGGACGCGCGCAGCTGTGAGATACAAAGCTTTTCCATCCTCAAAGGTGCACGTCTGAGGGCTTTCATCGAGGATGAGCGTGGCGCCGTGCTGGTACGTGCCATCTTTCTTCTTGATGACCTCCATAGTGATATGGGTGGACATGTGAATGCGAGGGCGCAGAATGTAGATTTCTAACGAGGTGGCGACGAGCAGGTGGTGCGTAATGTTTGACGAGTCGAAGTTCAGTAGAATGTTGGGTGGAGAAAGGAAATTGAGGTTGTGTGTGTGGCGGGGGTGAGGGCAATTCTGCGTTTGGAAAGAGCAAGAAAAAGTGGGGCGGGTTGATCGATGCGGTAGTCAGGCTCGTTGCCTGGGGCACGGAGCATTTCCCCCAAAGGCAGCAGACCAATGGGGTCCTTTCTTTTGCTCAGCGTTTCAGTGTTCCGCAGAAGAGAGTGAGCGCCTTGCCCAGTACCGGCAGGTTGAGTATGGCTGCGCGACCCAGCCAGCGAACGGACCAGACCATCCATATTTTCATCAGTCAGAACCTTCAAAGCGATATGACCACGCATACATATTCTTCATCATTGCTACACGTCAGTATACTGGTTTACTGACCCTGGTGACGTTCAGAGCGGCAAATACAGGCAGTCACTTATATGGCGAAATTTAAAGCAAGATGAAATAGACTAATCAAGACTAGGCAAATACACGATCCCACTCACGGATCCACCGCCCCCCCATCTTCCTCCACCCCACCTCCCTAACCCAACTCCTCCTATTCATCCCCACCCCAAACCCTCAGCCTTCGGCCCCGCCTGCCCCTCCACATCCTTCGTATTCGTCTTCTCCACACTCCCATCACAATACATCACAAACCCATCCAACGCGAGCGTCTTAATCACCGTATTAATCCCCAGATACGGCTTCTCCAGCGTAACCCCCTTCTCATCCAAATTACACAACTTCCTCCTCAACTTCTCGTTCGTCAGACCTGGAAAGTTTACATTCTTAGTGCGCATAGCAGAGGGGGTTAGTGCTACGCCGTCATCCGACCATTCGCCTGTGTATGTGTAATTCACGTATTCGACCTCGAAAACGGGCTTGGCGATGGTGTTGGGGCGGGGGGCGGTCGTGAAGTTGGAGTAGACGGTGCAGTTGAGGTATTGGACGCATTCTTCACTGATGGCGAAGTCGACGTCGTCGAAGATTTCGCCTAGGATCTCGATGCAGTTTTTTATGCCGACGGACATGCCTTTGGCGCGGGCGTATTCCGAGATCTTGTGGAGGTAGGCGACGGTGTCGCTGGGGAGGATGGTGGGAGAGAAGCCGTTGTCGTTGGAGTAGACGTCTGGTTATGTTAGTAGGGGGATTGGGGGATGTAAATTGGGGAGAGGAGACGGACCGACGTTGTCCGGTTCGATGGCATCGCAGCCCTTGGATGCGGCGAGGTCGATTCTCGCTTTGATCACTTTGAGGACGTTGTCCCGTCTGATGTCTAGGTATCTTTCTCCCGGCCAATCTGGCAGTTCCTTGCCGAGGTCATTCTTGTCGAAGTCTTTGTAGTCTGATCGCCACGATTCTGCTGTCGCGGCACTGAAGTAGCATATTGTGCGCTGTCCTAGCTCTTTCATCTTCGAGATGGTCTCCGCGGGCGTCCAAAACATGTCGATCTCGTAGATGCCGGTGTTGGGTCGGATGTAGTTGTCGTCCACGTCGGGAATGCCGGTGAGGATAAACTGGATGTTGGACTTCATGGGTGGGGTCCAGTATTTGGGGGCTTGCCTCGTGGAAGGGCTGATTCGAGACGTGACCACAGAGGATGATAGTGGGAGGTCATTGGTGGGAAGGCCATGAGCCACGCTCCATAGAAGGGCTGCGGTCAAGCCGATGTGTGCGAACATGATGATTATGCGCTCAGAATGCTTGCCGGACCCAAGCGATGCGTCGTCAGGAACACTGGGATAATCCGACAGTATGTGAGAGAGACATAGTAGCCTTTTAAAGATATGAGCAATCAACGCGGTCCAGGTCGTGCTACTAGATCATGACAAGATCGGCGGCTGCAGTTCCAATTGCAGGACTACGACGGCCCCTGATGCGTAACTTTCATCCAATTAGATGGAATATAGTCTGGTCCTCATTAACAGACGAAGGCGGACGTGCTGCGCGACACTTACAGTAGATTGAGTAGTGTTGCACTTGTAGCGAGCCATTCTGCTGCGACTCCAATATACCCGAGAACAAGCGGGTGCATTTCCATTTGCCGGTTGTGGCCCTCCCGAAGTGGTAATAACCATAGATTAGGCCCATGCGTTCTAACGAACATCGTTCCTTTTGAAGCCCGCGACACGGCATGCAACCATATTGTGCAGTTTACGGTGCACTGTTACCTTCGTATTCGGCGTTTGACATGAACGTGGGTTCCGGCGCAGCGGGGAAAGGACCCATCTCGAAGCGATGTTATATTAGCGATGAAGCTCACCACAGCTTCTTGGAGGCTTCGTGCAGCTCTCATGCTTATTGGCTCCAAAAAAGCCAGGCATCAAACTGGAAAACGGTAGATCGGGCTGATTATTATGGTACCCCACTGTCGAGTTAGCAAGAAAAACATATGTATTGGGTATCTAATAAAGCGCACAAACACAACCCCCATCCCAACCCTAAACAACCTCCCTCTCCGTCCTCACCATCTCAAGCTCACTCCCGCCCCGACTCCCACCCCACTCGCCATCTCAGTCCTCACACTGACCGTACTCGTCACATTAACCACCAACTTTTCATCGCTCTCCTTCTGCGTATAGCTAATGTGGAACAGACTCTTCTTCTTGGCAACCCCTCCACCCCTACTCGCAATGTTTCCGCCATCCGACGACGCGAGCGTGCGCTTAGTGGAAAGACGGGAGAAAGACGACGCCGTCTTGAGGTGCGTGAAGAACTTAGGAACGACGGGCAGGAAGAGGACGAACATGCCGGAGGCGATCTCGCCGTAGCAGGCGATGGACATGTACATGGAGTCGCGGGTGAAGTCGGTCGAGTGCATTTGCTTGTCGTTATAGTAGAGACACATTACGGCGAAGCCGCAGGGGCTGGGTCGATATTAGCATTTGAAAGCCTTCGTGAGAGGGGAAGTGGGACGTACACGATGCCGGCGAGGAAAACGATGGAGAGCTTCAGCCGCTGTCTGCGCTCCACGCGCATCAGGTTCCAGATTACCTTCTGGGTCAAGAAGAGAATTGATAGGTCGCCGATTAGGTTAACAACAGCGGTAGACATAGCGATGATGCCGATCTGCATGCATTTCCCTGGGAGCCACGGCTTCCAAGCTTTCTGGATGGGCTGGCAGTTGAACAGCATGAGGAAGACGATGATGCTGTAGTACAGCACGTTCATCCATATCAGGCCGTGGACAACGTAGTAGGTCTTCGATTGAGAACCGCGTGGAACGAAGATCCGGAGGACCTGTATCAACATAGCCACTTTGATGAGGACGATGGCGATGTTGTAGAAAATGGACGATATGCGATACCACATGAGGTATTTGCCGAATGTGAGCATGGTCATATCCCAGCTGTGGATAATGGGCGCGAATTGATTGATCTGGAAGCCGCATGCGATATGAACAATGGCAGCGATCTGCAGGTGGTTAACATTGAAACGCACGTGTGCATTGCGCAATGCGAGCGTACCCAAGCTGGAGGTATCAAGTCTACATTGCATTAGCGTCGCTGAACCTCTTTACGACACATGAGATTGCTCTTACAGTCTTCCAGATACAGCTTTCCCATGATGTAGTGTTTGACCAAGAATCGGAACCAACAGAAAAGCGTGACAGTCGCGAGCGAAAGCGCGAGCGTCGTATATGCAAGCGCAGCCTCGTTCTGAGGATGGTCGAAGTTGGAGACATGTCCTGCAGGCGGAGTCGCGACCGGTTGATTCAAGTCCATCGCCGGCATGTTGTTCGGCTCGATCGCATGCCTTGTTGAGAGAGCGAGTCGCGATGGGATGTGCGAGAAGTGCTATCAAGCTTTGGAAATGCGTATCTGGCCGAGGCTGAACATTTGGGCAGACCGCGGCGCCCTGCCACCGGGGTCTGCAGGTTGTAGAGGAGCCCCGGAAATAGTATGCGCTGAGGCCATGTGCGCAAGGGCTAACCGCTTTGTGCTTCCCCGACCGCTCCTTTGGGGGCTGGTAACTCGATGTACAAGGCTCAGACCGGTCGTTGAAGCAAGGGTATCTCGTGCTACGCAGCAAAAAAGTAAGCATGCCGCCACCGCAACGCACACAAGGCTTGATTACAAGTCCTCCACCAATAACGCGCATCTCACAGGAAAATCGAGACAATGGAAGGCCAGGTCGATCAGTGAATTGCTAGCGTTGATGGGGTTTAGTAGCGGTAAAGCTTGCCTGCGGCACGCACCGACGCTAAGGGCGCTCTGAGCGCTACAAACCCGATCGCCTTCCTCTTGTTCGCGGATGGTAGATTTCGCGAAGGAACAATTCGCACTGCACATTCAGCCTTATCCATTGGTGCGACCGCTTCGTGTGGCGTTCGATCGATTCATCTGTAACGTGGGCTTTCTTAGCGGTCTGAGTAAGACGCACTGCTTGGTATGCATTCGGGTAACAACTCTGCTGATGCCGGCAGGTCGTGGATGCAGCGCGGTCGCATATTGGCCGGGGTGCGTGGTGATGACAGCACATGGCGCTAGCTGTATTTGGAGAGTCAGGCATATGACTTTCCTTAGCCATCATGGGTCGCTCCGGACTCTTGGGGTGGTGACATACAGTGAGGACCAAGTCCGTACGCCATTGACGCGTATAAAGCGCTTTGGACACTAGCCAGCATTTCTGGTTGTCCATAGCTAGTATACATCCGACTGCAACAATCGGATCCAGCCTCGTTGCCCCAGAGGATAAGAAGACCGAGCCGCCACAACAGCACCCTCGTTGCGACTGCTTGCCTATCAAGTGTGCAGGCCAATGAATGGATAAGCTACTGCAGCCAGGTGCCAGGCTGGACCCCAATTGCCACTGATGAGACGACCGGACTGGAATATCAACTGATTCTCTATGTCTGGTCCCTCAAGCACGAGCGTTCGGCGCATCGTTCCATCAAAACCTACCCTGGCCCCCGATCGTGTGAACAAGTCGCTGAGCTCGACGTGTCCGAGTCGAAGCTCTGTAGCAATGTCGATCATCACCTGGCTCCACTCTCCATCTCTTACAATGCAGTGGCACAATGTTAGAGATTGTAGCCATGCGTGGGCGGGTTCAAGGAAATGCAACAAGTCTTTAGTGTCCGGGACCCTGAAGAGGTGAAGTCTGCACGTTCTTAGACGCGGATATTTGCAGTGCCGCGCCATCTCCGAGAGTACGTTTTCTTCCAGGCTGCTGAAACAAGAGAGGTCCAGTGATTCCAGATTCCTCAGCTTCGCGAGAAATCGAACCAAGAATGATGCCTTTCCAGTTGGCATCTCGAACCCGTCGTCCGGAGATCTCCAGTCGCGAATGCTCATTTTCAGGCCCTTAAGTCCTAGGAATATATCGTCGAATACGACGAGCAGAGGCGACAAACTCTCAAGCCGGCCCGTGCTGACGGCACCATATCTCCTTGTTGGGTCGACGGAGATGGTCTGAACGATGAGTTTGGACTTCGCAACTGCCGCCATGGTAGAGACGAAAGGGCGGCTCATCTCATTCTGGCTACTCTCACAATAGCGGCGACCGAAAAGCAGGAAGTTCTTCTTCATCCCGTCGTAAGCAAACACAATGGACTGCAGCCTTCCAAGATGCTCGAAGACGGCAGTGAGGGCTTTGCGATCGTGCCGTGTCTCGTTCCAAAACCTCTTGGAATGCTCGAATCTGGCTTCGACTTCGCTGTAGCGAACTTGCACATCATTGCGCCTTGCTTGGTCCTGTTGTAGATCTGCTTCGATTATTCCTTTCTCTAGCTCCCATAGCCTGATTGCAAAGCGTGGGGTAGCGTCGATGATTAGGTCGCGGAGGCATTTCCCGAAGTACAAGTCGGAAGTGATGTGCGTCAACTTGTCTAGACTCTCGGTAGTCCACGCAACTGTTCGCGTGCGGAAGAAACGCTGCCTGAACTGGTGGAGCGACTGCTGATTAAGCGAATGCGAAACTAACCGGAAAGAGCGAAATGTGTTGACATCAAGATAGCCCGTAATGTGTTCCGTCAGCTCAGTGGGAAGATCTGACAACATGTTTGAAAGAGAAATAACGATTCGGAATAAGGGACAAAATCTGACTTCGAGGTCTGCATTTAAATTGACGAGCTGACTGTGAATGATCGCTGCAAGGTTGCAGAGGTGGAGAAGCTGGTCACGCAGGGCGCGGAGAGCCGATGACGATCGCGCGCGCTACTGGGGCAATGGAAGACTGCTCCCCTTGAACGCTCACACAAGTATAGAGACACGTGAGATAACGTTGTGTTTCCTGATGAGCAATCTTCGCAACCTCAAGATGCGAGGGTCCGAAGTCCGTAAGTCTAGCTATCTGAAGTTTAACTTCTCTTGACTCCTGTGGTTGCTCAGCATAAGTGACGTCTTCTTGATTGTTGATTTTAATCGCTATCGTCTCCGCTGGCACTGCTGTCACCGCTCCCATCGGAGCTTTCCGTGTCAGATTCTGCATCTGCCCTGCCTGCGTGCTTGTCTTCGTCGCTTGAAGATGAGTCGTCGCCGCTGCTCCCTTCCGAGCTAGAGTCTTCCTCCTCACTGCTACTACTATCGCTGCTCTCATCACTTGAAACATCAGTCCTGCGCTTGCGTTTGCGAGCGTTGTTTTGAGCAACAATTGATGTGTCCTCAGAAGATCCTTGTTTAGCGTTTCGAAGTCCGTTTTGCGGGGTAGTAGCAACAGGCATAGCAATGTTCAGAGCACGACAGAGTGCCTCGGCGCGACTTCGCTTTAAACGTCGAACGTATCCTTCCGGGTATTGGTGGTCCGCCATGTTCTCAATATCACCATCTGTTCGCCGTCGCTTCCTCTCTGTCGAGAGGCGCTCCTGGAGTGCATCCTCCTTCATCGCCTCACGCTCATCCATGCCTGCTTTGCTCTCCTCTTCGTTAACCTCGTCGATAGTCTTCATGCAACGTTCCCTGAGTCTGTCGATGACTCCTGCACCTTTGAGACCCCTCACGTACTCCAGCAGAGCGTCTGAATACTCCTCTGGAATGCGGAAAATGTTCAGCGAATTCTCGAGCACGTCGTTTTGAGTTGCTTTGTTGAACTTCCAGTTGGCTCGGTCTTGATAATACTGGGCGAGGTAGTTGAGATAACGGGAGGGATCCTTCTTCTTTCCTGTAGTCGTCGCCTTCAGTGGTAGGGTAGATGATGGATTGCTGTTCGCAATGTGCACTTCGGGTGGCTTCGCGAACTGGGCGACCTCAGCTGGAGTGAAGTCGGCGTCTGATCCTTTCTGCTCCGCCACCCACTGTTTGAAATAATTGGAGGCGCTATTGCCGTCGCTAGCCTTGGTGTCGGGAGTGAATGTCACCGACTTACGTCGGTCGGTCTTTGGGGGTGACAGACTTGAACTATTGCTCTTGGTGGACTGTTGCCTCTGTGGGGTTGCCCAAGACGGCGGGGCGAGAGACTCAATCTCGGTAGACGGAAGTAAAGTTGAACCATTTGCCGCAGAATCTGTGCGTCCAGGTGAGAGAGATGGCGTCCGCGCGGCCTTTGGCGGCGCCAAACTTTGCTCATGCGCCGCATTTACTTTCGATGACTTCTGAACCAACAGTCTTGGCTCTTTCTCTTTCTTCTTCCGGTAATTGAGGTCACCACCCTTCTTCTTGCGATAATTTGGGTCGCCTTTGGGTTGGGCTTGGTCAGCTGGCGACGCTTCACTTGCTGCTGGTCGCATTGAATTGAGCTCTGCTTCTGGAGCAGCGGCGGCGTCCCCGGTCGCAGAAAGATCTGCCCAGTCGTGCTTGCTCTTTTTGACAGAAGCACCCTCTACATCAGCTGCATCAGAATGGTGCTTTCGCTTGCCAAGCTTGACCTGATCTTGGGACGCCTGGCCAAAATTGCGGTCTTCTTGCAACTCGCTATCATGCTGAACGGAGGAAAGACTAGACTGTGTCTCCACGGTTTGGTGATTGGTTTCGGGCTCTTTTGGAAAGTTCTTGAGCTTCAGGCCCAGACGCTTCCAGGCCGGCACGAAGGTGCTGGATTGTGCCATGTCGTAAGAGGGAAGTGGGAGGTTTTCACGGCTTGCCTCGGCGGTTGACCATCGCTCAAGCCCGAATCAGCTCGTTGTGTCGTTTTTGGCAGTATGGAATGTCAAATGAGAGGCTGCAGACAGAAATTTGGAGGTGCCAAGAAACGGCGAGGGTGGCGCGGGCCAATCGCAACTGCCCCAGCCGGCGATCGCCTTGACCGAGAGACAGCTCCAGGCTTCCCGCAACGCGTAACGGCACGACGGCATTCACCTCCATCGACAGGACCGCACCCTCTCCCCCGCTTACGCCCAATTTCCTCGAGCTCTGCAGCTGAACGACCCCGCGACACATAAACACAAACACCCGCCGTCATCATGTCTGGTGCGTTGCGAGCTCCAACAGCTCTTATATGACGCTGTGCTAACAACGGTCTCCACGCACAGGAAGCGCAGGCTACGACAGACATATCACCATCTTCTCCGACCAGGGTCGCCTCTACCAAGTCGGTACGCTTCACTCGACCCACGTTGCCTGGCTGGCAGGCTTTATGGGAGAGCTGCGCTGACGGCTCTAGAATATGCGTTCAAGGCGATCACGGCGGCAAACATCACATCGGTGGGCGTGCGGGGCAAGAGCTGCGCAGTAGTCATCTCGCAGAAGAAGGTCCCTGTAGGTGCCAAGCTTTGCACTGAGGTCTACGAGCTTTAATTGACGCTATACAGGACAAGCTGATCGAGCCCTCCTCCGTCTCCCACATCTTCAAGCTGTCGCCGTCGGTTGGCTGCGTCATGACCGGGTCGATAGCTGATGCAAGGGCCTCAGTGAGTCGGGCGCGCGGTGAGGCTGCTGAGTTCCGCTACAAGTTTGGATACGAGATGCCCTGCGATGTTCTGGCCAAACGGATAGCCAACATCAGTCAGGTCTACACCCAGCGGGTAAGCGAGGCTGCACCAGCTGAAGCGAGGCAGGAGACAGGGACGTTCTGACTTGATCACAGGCTTACATGCGACCGTTGGGCGTTGCTACCACGCTCATCTCTCTGGACACAGAATTCGGACCCCAGCTGTATAAGTGCGACCCCGCAGGCTACTATGTCGGCTACAAGGCCACGGCGTCTGGACCTAAGACACAAGAGGCACTCAACTTCTTGGAGAAGAAGCTGAAGAATAAGGAGCATGCAGAGGGCAGCTGGGAAGAGGTTGTCGAGCTAGCCATTACAGCGTTGAGCACGGTGCTGTCGGTCGACTTCAAGAAGGGCGAGCTAGAGGTAGGCATCGTGGGAGGTCCCAGGGCAGACGGCGAGGACGGCACAGACGCGCAGTTCAGGTCCCTGACTGAGGAGGAAATCGACGAACGGCTGCAGTCAATCGCCGACAAGGACTGAGACCCGCCGGTGAGGACCTGGGTACAGTGGGCGTAAGAGAGGTAGCAGCGGGCTAGCAGGTCGCATGAGGAGCCTCTGCTATGCCAAACAGGGTGCCAAGAGACGCAGTTCTGAGCGTTAGACTGCTCATTCTGCATCGGCTGCGCGCACTGAGATCTGGCGTGAGACGGGAAGGGTCTCGAAAGCGGCCTCTTTCAGCTGCGAACACGTGTGGTTCTGTATGTACTAGCCTCACGTCAATGACAACGTTTCCTCTCACTCCAGCTGCACCGACGCAGGAACACATGGCGCGACGTCATCTTACTGATTTCACTGGCCAGCAGCAGCACAGCCGTAGTGTGGCTGACACAGGACGGAACTGTTGCGGTGACCCGCACGCGTTGTGAGCCTCGCCGGTAGCTGTCCGGCGAGCTTTTCAGTTCACATTCACCACCGCCTAATTTAGGACGCAGGCCAATCGCAGACGCCGAACTCGCTGCCTGGCGCATCGTGGCTCGGAGCCTTACCAGATGAGGCAACCACGCCAAACCCGACCTGGCGATGTGGCGCTCTGGCAACTGCTGAACACCATTGGCAGGCCCAGCTATGCTCTTGCAAGAGTACCATGACAGCTGGAGTGGATGGGTCCGTGGTGCGTGACGACTGCGCTTGGTTGCCGTCTTTTTCTCCTTCTCCATACTCAATCCTACTCAACCACCTTATCGTTACCCCCTACAGCGTGCCTCGAGATGCTGAATGGTGCAGCTATCCAGCTGGTTCGCCTGCTCACGACCAAAATGTGGATCTCTCGGCAAGGTCTAGCAGCGGGAGTAGCCTACGGCCTTGCGACTACACTGAACCACCGTTGAGCCTCCACACTTTCCTTCTATATAACGGTCGCCACGCCGCCGTTGACTACACTACCTCAGTCAGGCCTCAGATCAGCACTTTCGCTACCAAACTACCCTTCGTTCGCTCTCTTCAAGTCTTCGCTACCAGCCATTCACTCCATCACAATGTCCGACGGTCGTAAGGCTACCCCTACTCCAATTCCCACCCCTCATGGTTTGCCCTCGCGACCTGTTCATACCCAAACCGATCTCACCACATTGTCCAAATTGAAGACCAGCTGCTAAAGCATGCCTTTTAGTCAACGATGCCCGTGCCATACGCATTGCGGAAATCATGAGCGACTTCCGCAACCTGCAATACTACCTCAGCCAACTTCGCGCCTCCCCTACGGCAGAGGAATACTACCTCGAGGGCTACTCACTACTCCGCCAATGCACCAGCGAAGCCCAAAGCATCCTCACGACCCCCTTCACCGCCACCAGCGGGGCAACAGGGGGTGATCCTGAGCGCGAGAAGCAGCAATTGAAGGCGTAAGTGCACCTTGTCTCGTATCACTTCTGATATTCTGGAATCCTAGCATGGCCGTTCTTCCAGAAACGGCCAGTGGAATGCAGTGGAATGAAGTGGAATCATGAAGAGCGAGGCTGACGTCAGACTAGAATCATTGTTGATGCTGCGGTACGACGATTTCAGTGCCAGAGGACATACCTGAGAGCACACGCGGGCTTGAGGTGGATGAACTCGCGGAACAGCGTCCTGCGAGGACAGAAGCCGAACGCGAGCCACTTTGCGTCCTTGCAAGCGGCTGACAGTACTCTGCGGATGGTACGTCAACTACTTTTAATTTCTACATACCCACATCACTGTACCACGCCTCAAATCGCAATACTGATCCCTCTCAGGAACTCCTCGCCATCACCGACTCCCACGTCGACAACACGCTGCGCGCCCAGGACGCCTCGCAGGGGAAATGGCTCGCCGAAGACCCCTCCCTGACTCAAATCCAACAGATGCTCATGAGCCGATAATCTTTTCCAAGAGCCGATATATACATGTGCCGAAGTTCGACGCCCCCGTCCGTCCCCTTTCCCTACCTTCGGCGGTATGGCCGCCCCGGCCCTTCTTCAACTCGACTCGACTCAAACGACAGAATCAAAAAGTCTTTCCTACGATACCCCCTCCGTCCTGTCCGTCTCAAGCCTTTCCGCGTCATCGGTTCCTTGTTCATCTCCCCTCCGACTCACTTGGGGATTTACACGTACATGCACGCGCTATGCTCACGCATACATGTATCCTCACGGCACTTTCCGCATCGTTTCTGTACAGCGTTGCACATTTCATTGGTCCTGTCCCCGCATGGTATTTCGGGTTCGCTTCCACGCGACGGGTACGCAGCGCAGGTCGCTCGCGCTACCCCGTCGGGCAAAAGCTGCGCATTGAGTTTCGGTTCGCACGTCAAAGCATTTTTTTCTCTGGTACACTCGATTGTTTGACCGGGTTAGCGTGGGGTTGGCGTTGGCCTACATTCGCCGACTGGCTGGGCGCTAGTAAGCGATGTGTACTCTGGCAGGTTTGCGCGTGGGCGTGGTCGTGGTCGCCGGTTTGTATCTACAGGGTGCGGAGAGTTCCTTGGATAGGGCGATGCTGGGTGCCATTTGCTATATCGGCAAGTTTTCTCGGTTTGGTTTGGTTCGTTTCCTTCGCGTCATCGTATCTCCTGCTGCTTTTCAAATTGCACTTTTCTTTCTTCCTTGTGTAGATAGTGTAGATATCTTCACTTCACTTCGCCGTACATATAGTCTATCTACGTAATTCCAACAGAGATAATAATTCTACATACCCCACACTCTAAGCTAATCTCCAGCTTCGTCCATTTCGCAACCTCCCTCCAGGGCTCCGATGGCACCATCCTCCCCCAAAGCAAGACATAACCCCGCCCTGCCTCAGCACATCCGCATTAGTACCCTCGACGTCCCCCACCCCCAATGTAAGCCTAGCGCCAGATCTAGACTTCAGCTCGAGCACACCAGCTGAGCAGCCCAGCGTTGCCCAGCAGCCCAGCACGCCCAGATAGGCGTTCCCACCCGGCACAGCGGTCAGCTCCTGCACGACAGAACACTTTTAGCACGCGATAGCAATGCACTGCCAATTTCCTCCGCGGATCGTCTGCCTGTGCCGTGGATCTGGGTACGGTACGTACACGCACGTGGTAGTTCAGAAGCGCGGGCTCGTCATCGTGCTCGTTCACAGTATAGCACATGTCTACCTGCCACCGGGTACTTTTCACCGCGAAGTAGCATCACGGCAAGCGCAGTGCAATGCCATATTCCGCCAGTCTGTTCCCCATATCACAGGGCCTGAATCCCTCCGCTACAAAACAGACCCTCCAGAGGCATCGTCGTTCCACGTTCCCCAGCCTGAAGCTCGGCTACGATACGGTAAGGCGCGCACGGACGCCCCCAACGCACGTGGGGCCCCTGTCGCAGCGCTACCGCATGCGGCATGGTGCATGTCGGGGCTGCCGATCGCGTTCGTGGCTGGGACGGGGTTGCCGATCTTTAGGTGAATGTGAAGGGGACTGGGAGGGTTGATGAGGGTGATGGGACGGATCTCTGGTTGGGGTGGTGGGAAAGATGGTGGAAGGGGATGACGTGTGCACGGGAAAAGGTTTCCCTGGGTGGTAAGAGGATGTTGGGAGGGGTAGGTATGGTGGGTTATGGCTCACACGCGGGTAGGTGGGGGACGTCGGGGGAGACTGCGAGACGAGAAGAGATGTGCAACGATCGTGACGCGGGGTACCAGCATCGGTTGCTTAACAGCGAACAGAGGATCAAATGGGATATCGCCCGTTCGGGAAACCCGCAGCCATCTGGTAAACTACATGCCTATCCATCTTGTCATACAAAGCGCTGATACCAAACTGCTGGACTTGCTCTTCCACAGAACACCCTTGACCGTCGCTACCAACACACCGCACCGCCGTGCACCTCAACACCCGCTCTACGGCGAGATCCTCATCTCCTCACGGTGCCTCGCAGCCATGGCGTCGAATTCGCGCAACTGCCTCAGCCTCACTACGCCCAACCGCGTCAAAGTCCCCTCACGCAGCCGAACGTCCTCCTCCCGCAGAGCCACTGCCCTCTCCCGATCATCTAGAACGCTCTCTCGGACATTCAGACGCTGTGCGCGGTTGTTTAGGTCCTGCTCTTGGGCGCTGAGGCGTGTCATCCCCTCTCGAAGCTCAGTCTCGCACCGATCGAGCCGATCCTGCCGTGTCTGGGCTGCGAGATTGCGGCCTACGTCGGTGTTGGCCTCCGGGGTGGGGGAGAAAATGAACGGGTACGGCGGCCTCCTGGATCGCTGATTGCGGCGGAGGCTGCTAGATCGCGGTGGTGCGAGTACGGTTTGTGCTCGGGCATTTGGTAAGATGTGAGAGCGGTCTTCAGCCGGGGATGCTACAGCAGGAGGCGGCGGGGGCGGGTCCTGCTCGCTGCGCTGAGCGACATCGTCGTCAGAAGCCATTACGGCATCTTCGCTGCGGTCCGCTGTTTGGACATCTCGTGTACCGCTCACCAAGCCCCAGTTCTGCTGGATGAGATTCTGGATATTCTGCGGCGTTGGGCGAGCACGAGGAGGAGGATTCCAGAACGAAGCAGGAAATGGTGTCGTTTGTTCTTGCTGTTGCTGTTGAGCCTGCTGAGCCTGCTGATTCTGCTGATTCTGGCCATTGCTGCTGCCGTTTTCACGTTCGATCGTGGGAGACGCACGCTGAGCTGCAGTAGCGGGTTCGCTCTTCTTCCACGTCTTGCCTTCGTTACGCCGCTTAGGCTCGGTATTGCGAGCTCGCTCTCGGACACTGTTGATGTCGCGAGTGATCGAGTTGAAGCTTTCCAAAGGCTGCGAGGTAAGTCAGTGAATAGAGAAAGCAGTGACACAATTCCGCCCTCATGATACGTACGTCATCGTCACCGTCGCTGTCAATGAGGTTGATGACCCGGTTCGGCTGTCCGACGAGGACTGCAGGAGAAGGAGCAGGGGAGTACGACAAGAACGAAAAACCAGCGGGAGGTCGAGCGGGACGGGTGAGCTCCCTTTGCCGTGATCGGGGCATGGCAAGAGGGCGATCGTTTGCTTGCGCCCTGAACGAACCCACGAAGAAAGGTTGCGAAGGACGTTGGACCTGTGCTCGGCTTGAGCCTGGTGTCGAATCGATCCCGGACTGGACCGAGCGAACTGTAGGTGGCGGCGCTCTAGTCGAAGCTCCTGCTGGCGCATCCATCCATACAGTCCGACAAAGCGGACACTTCTTCTCCAGCCTCGGGTTGTTCGTAAGCAAAGCCGTGAGGCAGCTGCGACCGAAAACATGTTTGCACCCCTCGATAGTGACGCGCACAGACTGTTCCAGTTCGTAATTGTCGAGACAGATCGGGCACTCGTCGAGAATGGGTAGGTCTTGTGGGTCGATGACCTCGGTCTTCTCCTTCAGGAAGGTTGTGCAAAGCTCGCGCGCGGTCTTGTGGTCGGCCATCACGAATGCAGCCCAAGGTTGTTCGTTCGCAAGTGTAGAAGTCGCGCCGTCGCTGAGGGTGTAGAAGCGATGTACGACGCTCTTAAATGGGCGGGGCAGAGGTGAGAGGTCGAAGAGCGGTGAGTGACACGGGTGCCTGCAGCGGGGTTATTTACCAGCAAACGAAAATCTGAGTCCTCTGAGAATGGGTATTGGAAACGCAAGGGCCATCCCAGCGATTGTGTTGTTTGTATGGCGGCTGAAAGCATCAAAGCAAACAAGATACAGCTTATCTGATACAAGAACGGTCCCTTGCTGCTGAAATACATCGAGAACGGACGAGCACCTCCTCGACCACACAATTTCAATGTGCTGAGCCTACTCCTCTGGTGACTATTGGACTACGATCATATTAGTGATGTGTCTTATATTAAGATCTTGCTAGAGTGAATGCAATGACATTCCCAGTACAAAATCACTCACACTCCAAAGGCTAACAACCCGCAGTTCTCTGCGCACATCTGTGCCAATGAAAGAAGAGGATGCAGCTATAAACAGCAAGGATGCAATATCTTTGAACTTACAGGCAGGATCAGATGTTAAAGACAGAGCCAGCAATTCTTGTAGGGTACATCCCCTACGCCATTCGACATACACAACTCCCGAACGCGTCCAACCAGTGCTTGCACCACAATCTTTCTCGATCCCACGTTAGATGCCATCCATACTTTTTTAGTCACCTGTCAGATAAACGGTCGTGATAATTGCTCAAGGTCAACACTGCTCACGAAAAGCTAGCATACATTGTGCTAGAATCTACAGTACATATACTTCAGAAACTCGTTCGTACCTGACGCGAGGACATCGACTAGATCCGTCACAGCTGTGACGCTCCCTCTCGATCATAGGGAGTACACCAGCTTCTCCGCACTCAGCGGCCTCATCCACTCTTCACTTCTCTCCATCTTCCTGTCGCCCATGCTCCCGCTACCAAGCAGCATGAACCCGTCTTCCACGACCTTCGAGAGACCTCCAGGCATCCTCCTGATCGGAACTAGCCTCAACGAGGACCCAATTGCCTGACCAAGCCATTTGTAGAACGCAACTGCGAAATCTCGAGCAGCTGGTGATCGCTCCACCACGAAGCCTTGATACTGCACCTCTTCTCCCAATCCCTCCCAGACCGCGCCATATATAGGCTCAAAAGGGAGCATTCCGGCCTGCCATGCACCGCCAGCCCGTGAGCGGACGACCGCATTTTTGCCGTTGCTAGTCAAGGTAGAAGACACTGTCTCGACAGAACTTCCCTCGGAAATACAGTCATACGCGAAGTGCACTCCGGCATTTTCTGTCAGCTTTCGGATGTGTTCCGGCCAGTCCTCGTCATGATAATCGACAAGATGATCGTAGCCAAAGGGCATAGCTTTCAACTTCTCCCACCGAGCTTTACTTGCTGCGCCAAACAGCCTGACCTTCTTCCCCGTAAGATCAGCACTTATACGAATCATTTGCGCTGCGTACAGCCCCACAGACGTCGAAGCGCCATAGATGAAGAAGTCGATCGTCTCAGGTAGCTGCAGTTGACCTTCCCCGAGCCAGGTCCAAGCCGGATGCTCCTCCAACGCTCCCACTTTGTCGTACCCGAACGGCGCGGGTAACCCCAGCCGAAACCACAGCCCCTGCGCAGCTGTCAAACTGACCAAGCTCACTCCGCACGCTTCTTCGAATGACACAGTATCTGGTACGTGCCAGACGAGGTCCCAGTCTATTGTTGCGAGCTCGGCGAATGCGCCTGGCCGGTCGTTGACACTGCAGGCTCCCTGTAGGAATCCAGCTATGCGAGATCCGGATTTGAGGCCGCTGCTTGCAGGAACGGAGGAGCCTGTGGAGAGAACAATACCGGCGAAGTCGCTCCCTATAGTACGGCCGGTCTTTCCGAGCGGGTGGCGTACGTAGAGAGGGTCGATTGGATTTAGAGCGATGGCTTTGACTTCGACGAGGATCTCGTTGCTGGAAGGGACGGGAGGTGCGATATCCTCGATTCTAGCCGTTCGCTCCTCGGCGCGAAGGACAAGAGCTTTCATTCTCGCAGAGGCTCGAAGTTGAGAACGAAGCGGCTGATTTGTAGAGGTTAGAACAATGGTAGAAAGCGAGGATTGGAAAACGCCCTGTGAGGACTGGACTAATACCACAGGTAGCAGCGGCAGTCGCTGTGTTAAATAATAAGTCTTTATCTCGTCAGTGAATGACATGGTAGTGAATAAGCGGTTAGGTTACACGAAACTGCTGAATAATCCTACCGTAGGCACGTCTTCCGACCGAGAGAACTCCGACTACACGCGCGCCCTTCATATGTTGGCTCATCAAGCGCGGCAGCTTTGTCGGGTGTCCCTTGATTCGATGAACACCGTTCCAGACTCTTCTCTTCCGCTATAGTCAGCCTTACTAAGACAGCTATTGATGCTATGCTACTTGCGCAAGGGTCGTGCTGAGGTTACATTAGTTGGCTTGACAAACGAACATTGTTGGGATTCATCTCTGTTCCGTGTAGACCGAGAGCTTACATACGATATAGACCCGCTAGACGAGATCCACGAACCGCTAGCGCATTCTACACGACATACGACCCCAAGCCTCGTCATTACGCTAGCCCTGGCGAGCCATTAGCCTTCTGGAACGAGATGTGGCAGATTGGAGGAGAGAGAAGTATCACGTGTGCGATGCTGAAGAGCTAGCGTTGCGAGGTAGCTTATCTGTGGTTGATATCTCCAAAAGCTTGGTGCTATAGCTGAAGACCACAACAACCACCGAGGAAGGAGGAAGGAGCGTACGCAAATACGTGCAAGTGCCGCGATGCTGGCCCCCTGTGCAATATCATCAGTTTCCTGCACAATGTAGCAGATGATCTTTACTCGTGTAACCTGTCGTTGAGAGCCTTCTCCGAGATCTTGTTGGACTGCTATGCCGTATACGGTCTTTGAGAGATCACTAACCATGGTTACCACCATCTCGAAAAAGAACATAATCTTCTCAGACTTTTATTCAACACAGGTCTTCCCATCATCCAAATCGCTCAAACATGTCGATAAATCTGATCTTCCATCGCCCACACGCGGCCTTCTTGCCCAAGACAGAAACGCTCAAAGCGGACAAAGTCGCGCCTTCCTGCGAGAAATTCCTCGCTACACGCCTCATTCTTGCAGCCATTCATGACGACTGCCCCATCTGCTTCGAGGAATACACCCCCCAGTATCCCGCCGTGAAAATCACGTAAGACCCCTATATCATAGTCCCAACATCCCTCTCTACCCTTCACCACGCCAGCTCACCCTCCCAGCACCTGCGCCCACACCTTCTGCCGCCCCTGCCTCGCCGCCTGGCTCGACAACAACTCAACCTGCCCCCTCTGCCGCGCTCCCCTCTTCACAACCCGCATCTTCCCCGCCGCCTACCACTCACACGCGCGCTCCGTTCTCGCAAGACACACCTCCCCGCTGGCCTTCGTACAGCGCGTCGTAGCGCGCGCCCGGGCTGCGCATTTCGTGCATTCGAAAGGCTGGAATCCGACGCGGTATACCATCGCTAAGGTGCTTACGCTGTCGATGTACGCCTGCAGGGAGAAACCGCTAGCACAAGATGTGTGGGAGGAGATGGTTGGGTGGGTTGCGGCTGCGAGGTGTGAAGGCCGTGGTAGAGGGCTAAGGTATGGTGGAGTGTATGGCGGACGACGCTGTGCGGATGATCTTCGTGGAAGCAGAGATGTGAGGAGGGAGGAGCTTAGGGAGGTTTGGGAAGGGCCGGGGTTGTTTCCTCCGGTGCATCTGGCGGAGTGGTACGAGCCGAGGGTGAATGCTGGGTCGCCGGTTTGGGTGGATTGGGTGCTGAGGGAGGAGCGGTGGGTTGGTTCTAGGGAGCGGGGTCAAGCACCGGAGGGTCTGGGGGATTTGTTGAGGGATTGGTATAGGGATTGGAATGTTGTGGCCAGGCTGAGAGAGGCGTGGTATTTCCTGTCGTGGTACTTGGAACGGGTTGTTGCGAGCAACTTCTTTGTGGAGGGGCTCCCTGGTCCGTTTTAGGTCTTGCGACTATGGAGGGAGAAGCCCGTTTAGAAGCTTCTGATACGTGTCTAGCGATCACCTGTAATGGTCATAGCAATTGTTGTAGAGATGATTCTAGTGAGCGTAATCCACAAGGATTAGGCCACGAAGGCGGCGTGCATCAGTCTGGCTTACTGAGCAGGGTGTATGCCTTTCTTGTTGTGCAATTGATAATCTGTACGCCCGTCAGCACTAAGTTTGAAGAATGAGACACAAGGAAACGCGAAGCCGTAACACCGCTCTGAAGAAATAGATGATTTTGGTATCTCAATAACCCAGTTGATGCAAACTCCCAATCCCAATCCAACCCTATGCCACATAGGAAACCCAGAAGTGAATGCTCATCCCTCAATCAATCATACAACCAACCCCTTCCCCTCCGCTCCATCTCTCTAGTGATGAAAATGCGGCTGCTGCGGCTGCTGCGCATAATACATGCCGCCCTCCTTCCCAGGCTGCTGCTGCAACAACCCCTTACTCTCCTCGCGATACGTAACCTCCTTATCCTGCTGCGTCAGATCGCACGGCGTGCAGCAGCAAGCGCACATGCAGTCGCCGCAGCCGTTGCCCTTGAGGTGGTACTTTGCGCGGACGTCGCCGCGGTTCATCATGGGGAGGATGAAGGAGAGGCCGAGGCAGGCGAGGCCGCAGAAGGCCATGCACTGGGGGGTGTTAGGATTGAAGATAGAAAAGGGAGGCGAGGGGGGAGACGCACAGAGCTGTTACAGCACGAGTAACTTCCCATGTTTCCGTCGTTTTTGGAGCGATGGCGCGTCTTGCCGTAGAGGATGCAGGGGCACCACCATGAGAGGCAGCCTGCACTCTGTTAACATGCTACTCTTCTCTTCGTCTGCCCAAGCTACGCGAACAGAGAACTCACAAGTGCCGACCGGGCTGCAGCATCCCGAGCCCGAGTGGTGCCAGTCTTGCTTCTGAATGGTAGTCATGATGTTGTGGATGTGTGTCTTTACAATTGCCGGAAGCAAAAACGCTGAAACAGAGCGAACCGAAACGTGCGACTCGGACAAGCCTATATAGTCTCCAGCTTAAAAGTTGACCGGAAGTCCGTCGTGCGCTCGGACAGGTGTAAGACGATGCAGGGGTGCGTAGCTCGTAAGCGGCGTGCGTCAAAGCGACCGGTGTCCTGGTACAAGATGCAGAACCGTCAACAAGAAATCGAGATATACGCACAAGCACGAACAGCGAGAAAATAAGCACAAGCGCAGCACACACCCCTCATATAAGGAAATCCGCGCATTTCGCTCGCGCAAGGCATCCTCTGAAATTGTCAAATGGGGCACGGCTGAGGCTGAGAACCTGCGCGTTAGCCCGGCACGAGCGTAGCGCGACCCAGCAATAGCATGCCCGACTCGGCCCCAACTGCAGGAAGGATGTGCACCAGTCTCGAAGCGGGATGCGCAGTCGGTGCAGAAACGATCGGACACTTTTGCTGTGGGTCGAGGTGCTGATTACGGGCCGGGGAGGGGTGCTACGCCGTCGTGGCGTGCGTAGCTGAAGGCAGCAGGGAGGATGGCTGTGGGGGCCGAGTTGGTTTGAGGGGTCTACTATGCGAGATGGACTACAGAGAGGGCGGTTTCGAGTCGGGGTTGGGGTGTGATGATGGCATTGATGACGGACTGAGACTCGAGACTTCAATTACCTATGGAGATCTGATGTCCTTCTCCGAATAGTGAGGGGCGTGAACGCTCGTAGCAGCGTCTTTCGGGCGGTGGCTTAAGCGACGTCCTTCTCGCGCGAAACCTCGCGCAGACAAGCGATGAACGGCGAAGTATACAGCACCGAGCATAACTAAGCTTCTTAGCATGCTTGTCGTAAACGCTGTTGCTCCTTGCATACAGCTGGAGGACAGTTCACGACCGACAGCCGGCGCAGAGATTGGCGGGGCTTCACTGCCCTGCGGCCCTGCGCTGATGAATGGTCCCGAAATAGAAGTCCGACGTGCCTGCATTAGCGCCAGCTAGTAAGCCGCCCCATAGATCAGCGACCCTGCCGCACCGTGGGACTCCTGAACATCGTCATCCGGATTGTCACTCGTTATTTGACCTGTGTTGTGTTAGTTAGAGCCATGCGTTGTATGCTCATTGCATTGCTCGTTGCTGTCGCGAGCGCCTATAGAGATTGGAAGGGCGTCGATACAGAATGGGCCACGCATCCGGATAGGACGGCAGAGTGGTACGAAGAGTATGCCGGTGGTCGTCGGCCGGAGCTTGCCCCGGCTATCACGACGGTCGTTGCGAACAAGTCGTCGGTTGTGAAGCTGGAATGTGTGGGCTGTCCCTTCAGGGTGCGAGAACTGCATCCGGAGCCAGAAGAATGGCAGGAGCCGCCGCAGGATAACTCGCTGGTCAGTACATAGGAGAGGTATCCATCACGTTGTAGAGACAACTAACGCACCCCCAGCTTCTCAACTTCACCATTGATGCTTCCTCCGGACTCCTGCTCAACGGCCGCTCCGTCGCCCCACTTGCCCTGCCCCTTCACATCCACGCATTCCAAGTCCCCGCCAACTTCTCAAAGGACCACATGGAGAAAGCTGTTAATCTCCGACTTATGGACGACAGCTGGAACCTCGGGACAAAATTCGGTACGTTTGAGCTGCAATACGAGCACACCGTCGTCGGAACGCGCGAGCCCGGAAAGTCATGGATCCAGTTCGACGTCACGGGTATCTTGTACACGCCTCAAATCTATGCGAAGAGTGGGAACGGGTACTATCTGCTGAAGAACGAAGACCAGAAGATAGTGCAGATACTACTGCGCGAGACTGCTGAGCCGCACCAGATTTCCATGGAGGATGTGCAAATCATAGACCGCAAGGACCGCGCGAAGCCCTACAGGATGGAGTGCGGACGGCTTGCGATGGCGAGGACGGTGTTTAACCCGTTGGAGTGGGACCGCTATGGCAAGATTGGGACGTGGTCGAGGGCCTTCTATATGCTGTGGTCTAAGACGCGCGACGCGTTCTGGGCTAACTTCACCTTCCTCCCGATCTTGGTCATTCTGGTTCCGGTAATTGTATTGTTCCGCTGGATGGCGAGAAAGCAGCAGGAGGTAGCGGTGCCAGTTGAGGATGATGCGGAGGCAGCGCTGTTGGGCAGCGAGCATGAAGATGCTCCGCCGGAACATGATGACGTACCTGGGTGCCACATGGAAGATGAGAAAGTGTAAGGTTCGTTGTTTAGCATGTGTCGAGGGAGTTTCTGGAAGACGTCACTGGTCTAATAAAGCCCCGCCTCAAACCTGCCTACGATACACCAAACTATCTACCCACTCCCCCTTACACTCGAACGCTCTCTCAGTCATCTCGAACCTCTCAAACCCCAAGCGCTCCGCCATCTTCCAGCTCCCCCTATTCCTCGGGTCGCACTCAATCTCAAGATCCAGCTCCCTCCCCAACAACAGGATAAATGCCTCCATCGCCTCCGTCGCGAATCCCCGTCCCTGGACCTCAGGTTCGAACGAAAACCACAAGTCCGCATGCGCGTTCCTCCCGCGCTGCACTTTTGCCCCTACACGTCCGATGAATCTCCCCTCATGCTCGACGGCAAGCTCCACATGCGTCCTCGGCACCGTCGAAGAACTTCTAATTATTTTGAAGACTTCTTCGCTTGCCTCGTCTTTTGTGCGCGGCGGCCAAGTTTGATACCGAGCTACTTCTTCTTTGCTCTCGAGCGCGAAAAAGGCCGAGGCATCAGCGGGGGCAAATTCTCGCAATATCAGCCTCGGCGTCTTGATAGGCCCGAAACGTTCATTTTTGCGAGTCACCGCGGCAACGGACTCCTCTTCTCCCTCACTCAGCGCTCCCGCTTGCGACATTCTTGCGTGACGCGATGATGGCGATGTCGATGAGAGGGGTGGAGGCGAGGACGGGGACGGAAGTGCTGCCGATGTGTGAGGTGGAAGGTAAGGTATGTTGCGGAGTAGTCACTCTAAGCGTTGCTTTATTTCAAGGAAGGCGTATGGCTAGAAGGCAGTGTACGTATGGACTTCGACAGAGATAGGGAAGACGGAGGCTCAGTGTTGTGATGCACCAGCCCACGAAGAAACCCAAGATTCGCGCTTCCAACCCTCACGCTTTGAAGACGAGCGACGAGAGACCGGTCACATCGCGCAGTTTTAACGCATCGTGCAGCCATAGTTCGTATTGCTCGCACAGTGTTCAGCTTGCTGGTTTGGGCAGCTGCAAGCGGGGGGTCCGCCCTTTTCCTACCTTTACTGGGAGGTCTACATCGCAGCAACAGGAAAAGGTGTATTGACTGATTTGCAGCGCTTTCTGCGCCCTTTCGATTCTGATGTTGAGCATGGTTCTAGTTCGACGGCATGCTCTAGAGTAGACCTCTGCATACACCGACAGAGATCAATTAGACTAGCGCCGAGTCTATCCAATCACGATGCACAACATTAAAAGCGGGAATCACAATCTCTCATTGGCCTACGCGTATACCATCTGAGCTCTGTCAAGAATCTACGATATCGTAGTGTCACAAATTAGGTAAAGCCTGCTCGTTCTGGATTTGAAATGCTCTCTTCGTATCTACTGGAACCCGGTAAGTCGTAGGATCCGATCCGAGGTTGCTCCGTATTCTGTCCGCCTGCCCATTAATTAGATGCATATTTTGAAACAACTCTTGGCATTTCCCTAAAACTTTACACCTGCACCTGCTCCAGCAGCACCATAACGTGACGGAAATACGTGCCAAGATATGTCTAAATTTGTGCACATAACAAACCCAGCTTTACTATCGCGACGTTTTCGTCCTACACTAAATCTTGGCACTATCTTGAGCACGTCTAAATATGCTGATGATGGCCATGTTCGCCCTGTTAAATCCTTCTATCTTGTGAAGCAGTATCCTAATCCGTGCCTCTCACAGCGTAACGCCAGAGATGCCTCGCCACATCCTCGTCCTCGGCGGAACTAGTACGCACTCTAGACTTCCTCAAGTTATATCATGCTAATTGTAGAAGGCCCAGCAGGAATCGACTTCTCCCTCGCCGCCCTCCGCGACGGCCACACGCTGACCCTCTACGTCCGCAACCCCTCCAAACTTCCCCCCGAAATAGCAAATAATGCTACACTGCACAAAGGCGAGCTCACCGACGCGGCTGCAATAGAGAAAGCCGTGGCCTGTTGCGCGACCACGTGTGTATCTTTTCTTGGGCCGAGCAGCTTGAAGGGAGGGGCGACGGTACGTCTCCCGTAGTGTTCATGATGGGTGTGGGGTCGGGGGCATAGACCTCAGCTAACGTGTGGAAACAAACAGCCCATATCAGACGGCTACCGCATCATCATCCCCCTCCTCCAAAAGCACGCCTACACACGCACCCTCTTCGTGTCCACACCTTCCTACACACATCCGGATGACGGCTTTTCCATTGTGTACAAGCTCATGATATGGTTTGTGTATCTGTTCGCGCACGCGGCGTATAAGGAGATCAACACTATGACGCCGCAATTCGTGGCGCTGCCGAGGGAGATGAACTGGACGGTGTTTCGGGTGCCGCTGTTGGGGAGGGGCCGGCGAAGGGGGTTAAGGCGGGAATGGTCGGCGAGGTTGGGGCGAAGTTGGAGAGGAAGGGGTTGGCGGAGTGGGTGCTGAAGGAGATGGAAGTGGGGAAGTGGGCTGGGAAGGTTCCGGCGGTTTCTAATGCGTGAGGGGAGGATAGTAGGTGGGTTGTTTCCATATTGAATTCTTGTTGGGAGTACCATAGCAATACTCCTGAATACTGTGTTTAAGAATGCGCGTACCGAGGACATCTTCTTCGTAGTCTTCTACAACCGCTTGAAAAGATGCACCTGTGTCTTCAAATTCTCCAACCCAGCTGGATAGCTCAGCCCCTTGTCCGGAAGTTTACACAACCTGTTTGTGTCGTCGACGAGCTTCTCCCACGGCCGTTCTGGAATGGGCTCATCGTCCACCGCCACTTGGTCTGGCAGCAAGGCCTTGTCCAAAAGCCAGCTCATCGGGTAAGTCTTCTCCTGTCCGTCTTCGATGCCATCTGCCGTCGATGTGGCTTCGCGGGCGTCGATTACTAGAAGTAGACACCCCTTCGGCACTACTGCGCTCAACTTTCGTAGGAAGCTTGTAGCACGCCGGATGGAGGTGTTGTAGAGGTCGTTGAGGGTAAACAGTAGAGTGATTAGCGTGACCTCTGATCCGATCATAGACTGTAGATCCTCTAGTGTGAGATCCAGAACGTCAGTCTGCGTGTATCTCGTCATGAGCGCCTGCGGTGAGAGGAAAGGCGCATTCTGCGCGCGGGCGGCGGCGCTCGCGTACTTGGAAAGCTGAGGAGCAGTTGTCAGGCCAGTGTGGAGTTTCGATATAACCGCGGACCAGTCTGCTGCGTCGACCAAATGAAGGTCGACTAGAGGGTTGCGAGTCGGAAACGGTGTCGAAGATGGAGATGACAACGCAGCATCTGGTTTACCGGCCGCATCTTCTCGTCTGTACCGAAGCACTCCGGCCATGGTCATGACTTCTGCCGCACCGCCGCCGAAGCAAATGACCCGGGCCGGCGTGTCACCGCCATTCCCAAGCAATAGATCTACCCACCGGCTGTCTCCGTGCTCATCGCAGATGTTCGCTAATACATTCGAGTACATCAAGGCACGGCTTGGACTCCATCGAATCGTATAGGCCTCACGAAACTGCTCTGTCCGAAATGCCGCCTCGAAATTTCCCTGGAGTAACGCATCGTTGACCTGACTCAGCAAAGGCTTCAGTGCTGCAAAGTCTTGCGACGCATGAAACGTGGTCCGGACGATGTTCAAAATAAGCTGCTGCAGATCGATCGGAAGGAGATTCTGTTGCTCAGTCGGAGCCTGAGTATGCGGCGCAGAAGATGGTTGAGGTTTTCGGGGCGGCGCCCTTTTGGTAAAGCCCGATCCTCTCCAAGCTGGTCGACTGGATGGTGGGGGTGCAGCAGCCTTTGATGCACCACTGTCTGTAGGCTTACCATGTTTCGGACGAGATTGAGCTTGGCGATCGAACTGCCCCATCCTTTCTGCTCTCACAGAGATGGTCGTTTGTGCTTCTGTCACGCGCTGCGTCTACTGCTGCCGTGAAAATACAGGCACGGCAGGGTCTGATATTCTTAGCGTACTGAATAGATCTACACTAGAAGTAGCGGTCGAAATGCCAAGGCCCGCTTACTAAGTGACCATCGTCGTTGACTGACTGCCGCAGTATCAATTCCTATGAACAACTCAAAGCCATTGTCGTTCCCATTCAGAAATATGGCTGAGCTTCGACCGAGGGGTTCTGGTAGATGTTTTCCCAACTCATCCTGTGACCAGTTCATCTACCGGCAGCCACTAGCGTTTATATCACAGTGACGGCGCTTCACTTTTGATGTTTTGGACAGAGTATTGTGCGCCTGAATGTATCCCAGCCCACGATGGATTCCCAAAGCTCGAGGCCAACCGTGCTATGCTTTTGGATATATCGCCAATTTGGGAACAAAACCATAATTCGAGATGAGAAAGTTGTCCTCGATATTAAGGGGAACAGCCTCGTCCGAATGATAGATCCCATTCCGCCTCGGTCTCCAATTCTAGAGCGAACCAATCTCTCGGCGATTCGTCGCCCTGGTTGTTCGAGACGTCTCAGGTGCACATGCTCGAATCGATGGTTACGGAAGAACGACTGGTCTGTGAAGATCGCAACAAGGTTGAGATTCTTTCACATGCAGCGGGCTGACTGGCGTAATGTGGCAGTCGTGAGGTCTGTCAAGGCGAGCTGCCCTTAGGGGTAGGTGAAACACATGCCGATTAACCGCCGAGCAGCGCCGTGCTGCTGCAGAACAGGGCTCGCCTCGCGCGCATACTGTCACAATTCCAGAGATGACCTCGTGACAGCTTAGTGGCGAAGCTGCCGATGTAAAGCTTACATTGCTTGATCTCGTATGGTAGTCAAGCAATGTCTCGGCGCTCGGTCGTGGTCTGGTTTGGAACCTTCTTTGAAATTCGTGAGGCTTTGAGGCAAACCTAGAAATACCGCCAGTGTGACATGGTACAGAGGGCTGACCGTGCTTACGCTGTAGATAGGAAAAAAGCGCGATCATCTCAGCGTAGAGAGCCTGGGAAGTGGTTCTGACAAGGCGGAAGGCTCATTGGCATGCTGAATAATGTTTCAGTGGTGTCTGATCCGCACAATTTCTTCGAAAGGTGTCTTGTGGCATGCAACATTGTTGATCTCGATGTGTTGTACGCGCCTCGAGTAGTTGCTGTTGCGATGCGTGTAGCTTACGAGGTGTAGACCTTCCGGAAGTGACACTCAACGAGCAATTGATAGTAGCCTCAACGTCCTACACAAACTATCCGGTGATACATGGGCAAATGGCCTCATTACCTGCCGAGAGCCACGTTGTCGGCCGATCCTTGAAGCGCTATCCGGAGTGGCAAAAGGCGGTGAACAAGGGTCATATCGTTCACCACGATCAGGCGTTTGCAGAGATAATGTTGCAGCTTGACCAGTCCAGTGGATGCCACGGAGCCATGTATGCTGATGTGTTTCGGTAGACCGCTGATCTTAGCCAGGGGGCAAGTATTCGCTACCATCTCGGTTCGGATACTGTAAGGCCTGACTTCCGCTTACTCCCGCTGGAGGTGGTGCGGAGGTGAACAGACCATTAGTCTGGGATGGCCCTGGAGCTAAGACACGGCTGTATGTGCGCACGGGACCGCTCCGTTTTAGAGCCGTCCAAGTCAAATGATTCGAGCTCATACAATCAAGTTGAGATATCCGTGACGTATGCCATGCAGACGATTCGTTTGTATGAGTTGGCACCGGTATGCAGTAGGCGTGCATACTCCTGAGCGTGCGGGGTAAGCCAGAAGCAGGTACGCAGCATCAGGAACACGCCCAGATGTTCACCGTAGAGGTACACACCGGAAGTCAGGCTCTCACAGCTCAGACCGGAGACCGCACGCATGTGCATGTGTAAGTTTGGCGAACCCTTGCATGTTGCGCCTGTGTAGCACCGTTCTTGTAACCACCCTGACGAGGCCTCGATGGAAAGCAAGGGCAGCGCAGTTGGGCGCGTTCTCTACGCCTCTGCTGGGCGTGTGAGCTGGGAGTATCGCTAAGCCTGCCGTTCTTGTTCCTTCGTGATCCCGATCGGCATCCATGTTGCCGAGCTAAGATTGTCGGCGGTAGTAGCCTCACTACAGCTCCAGGATTACGTCCTTGTCTTTAGATCCATCTTTGTACGGCGATTTTCACAGCGTCCAGTGGTTCTGAGCCACTGAACAACACACGATCGCCATCTACAAGGGATCCAGAACATGAGCCTAGATGTTGGCCACGTTATTTTGGCAGACGGCGCCGATCGAGAAGTGCCTTCCTCGAATGTACCTCGTAGCGTGAATCGTAGACATTGCGCGGCCAAGCGGCCTCCCGAACAGGAGCCCGGAATACGGATCAGGAAACGTTCTCATCCTGTTTCTAAGGAGCACTGTGTGTCGTTGCCGCTGCATTCATGCCCAGTCAACGGAGTGGAGTTAAGATAGACAAGACGGGATGTTCCCTGCGTGCCGTGGAAGCTAGGCGACTGACAGTACCCGGCGCGTTGTCCAGCGCATCTTGAAGACACCGGCCAAGTGTCAAACCTCTTTTGGTTTCGGCGTAACTCTTACCTAGCGAGATTCGTGATGAGATGTCTGTTGTAAAAGATCGTCGTTGTGGAACAATGGTGGTTCATGGCGAAGGCCCAATCCGGTTAAAGCCTGCTACACCACGGGAGCCCAAAGGTCGCTGCTCGCTGCAAGAGACATGAGGGTAATGCCGGCTTTGCAAGTCGTGGGATGCAAGCCAGTGGCGAATGCATCGCTTTATACATATCAAGCATCCACCATCCTCATCATCGAGGGACGTGGCGTGTGAGTTGGCGGTCGCGACATGCGAACAATCGCATCCGGTCGTACCAGGAGTGCGTGGATGTCGAAAATCGTATAATGAGCACCGGAAACTTGGCCGGAAATGGGAAAGAAGGACGGGGGTAGAGCAGGGCGCACTTGTGTTGCCGTCAGCTGTCGCAGCCCGATGGGCCGTGACTTTGGGTGAGGCGAGTAAGTGAGGCGGCAATGCAGCACGTTCGGTGCCCAACACCTTTCTGCCGCTGTCCGAGGTATGCTCCCGCAACACATAAGCAAATGGGTCCGCGGGAGACCTATATCTTTAGGGGGCCATTGCCTTGATGCCTCATATCCTGGATAGGGATTCTTGCTGAGCTAGAAGACTTTAAGAACCGCGCGGTCGTCCGTTTTGACTCAAGTCCACAGGCCTTGATACCGAGAACACCTGCTACCAATACGTGTTGATACCAACCATAATAAACACAACAAACATAACCGCTTCGCACAACGCACATTCGATATGGCTGGCACAAACTCTTACTTCGTTCCTGGTTATGGAATCTCGCGCACCGTGATACAGAATGAGATCCATTACTATTGCGGTCCGAGCTCAATCGTGAGGCCGTATACCCTCCAGGTAAGGGAACAAGAGATCGTCGGTCGCGCATGAGGCTGACAGATCGCCAGGGACGTGACGGCTTCCTAGTAACAACTTCTGGTCCTCCTTTAACGAAGGTAAGGGTTCCTGGCTTGAGATTCCGTGTGCCTGCTAAAAAGCACAGGCGCAAATCGAGGACCTCAAGCTCTCGTCTCGAGATTACGAAGAGAAACAGTCAAGAATAGCCGGCGAAGCAACCATCTTCGTGAACAAGCCCATCGCTGTTCATCAAAGGCTTCGACGCTGACGGCAGGCCCGACACCGTCTTCCTCAATTGTCGTCCCTTGCTGCGTCAGTCCGACTGAACTGGAACCTTTGTTTGTTTCTTGCAGCGTGCATATAATACGTTTTGATTTCGATACCTCATCGTTATTGGGTAGCAGCGGCGCAGATGATATTTCTCGCGGTCTTGGACAGACAAAATCTTGTTGCATGGAGTTTTGTTGATTCTTGCTCGTCGAAGCAGAGCTATGCCGGTCAAGAACGCTCGAACACGTTGAATGAAGGCATGACTATACGTTAGCGTTGGATTTTGTACCCCATACGTTGTACTATTCGATCTATCATCTTGTTTGAAACGATCCTGTTGAGCCATATTGCAACGTGCTGCGTGCGACGTATACGCTGACTGGGACTAGTCGAAGCCAACGATATCGAATGCCACAATCGAATGATACTTCGTCAGGTTGAACGACACTGGTACCCAATTGTCAGGTTTCCCGCGGTGCCAGAGAGTGGGCAAGCGCGCAAGTGGAAGGACGGGCTCAACTGGAATCGGCCAGATCAATCGAATCAATTTTTTCTTGAGGCATCCAACACCATTCGCAAGACGGCTTTGGGCTGGCCCTCGATATCTCTGTTGCCCAGTGATCCCGGTTCGGCGACCAACTGTCACGAAGCATGCTGCAGCACAGAGGACTTTCACCGTCCAAACACTATGCTGATGTGGTTAGTACAGTCGAAAGAAACGCCATGGAGGCTCTCGGCAGACCTTGTTGCAGGCTCGCGCATACCTGAAGTCTGAGGCCTGTTGCCTACTTACACCGGTTCAGGTAATTGCGTGGCCCTGCTCGATGTAAAATCATGATTCGAGCCTTCTCGGTATTCTTTGAGCTTCGAAAGCCGGTCAATTGAAAGTGTGAAGTCCGATTGGGGGCGATTTAGCGCAGAAGGAACACTTCGCCTACACGATCCGGGGCGGACGCTCGAATATATACTGACCGGTCATCTTAGCGACGGCCAGCGCAGCCACGTAGAAAGAAATAAGAAAATAAGCTGAAGAGACGGCATTCGTTAAATTTGATATGCAGCAGCCCTGAATGTGACGTGGAATGTGATGACGAGGCGAAGGCTAACCGTTGGGTAGGAGCGAAGGAGGATGTCAGCCGCCAATTGGCTAGAATGCCTTAGGTCAGCAACACGAGGCTCTGACGACCGCCGCAAGTGTGACGATGAAGGCCTTGAGAATGACTATATTGACTGTGCTTTATGATGACTGACTTCGTGCACTTCTCCGTGCTGTGACTACAGTTTGGACATATTTATCCCAACAGTGGCCAAAGGCTAAACAAGAATCGGACCAGGTTGATGGGTAGGCGACTAGGATTACCACATCTATGCATGCACTCATGCATCGATACTGGGCTGCGAGAATGAACAGTACAGACGTCATCGAATACGATTGGGCTCAGGCGGACCCGTACCTGTCGATCTCCCCATGCACGCTTCGAAGACATTGTCCCGAGGTCATTCCAGCATCTTGTGACGTGAGCCACGAATTGGCTCGCTCGACAACACATGGCACGCGAGTATTGGAAGCTGATAACACATGGCGCTCGAGTATTGGAAGCTGCCTATGGAATGTGTAGGCCCGGGCGCGAGGGCGTGCGTCTTCCTGCTGAATGTGCCCTGAACAGGGCGGCGTGGCCGTAACTTCGTCCTAGAGCGCTTGCATCCCAGCTCAACCAGTATCTTTCCTCTTCTCAACTGCCCTCTGGTATGCGTCCACGTTGACGTTGCCTGCATCCCAGACTGCGATCGCCTGAACGTGGATGCCCTTCTCTTTGCGGCGTTCGATGTAGCCTATCACGTTGATCCAAGATCCAATGTCAACTTCATGTCGCTTGATTGACTCGAGCACATGTTCAATGTTTACGTTTGCGATCTTTGGTGAATTGGAAGGCGGATAGTTGTGCTTCAACCGCAGGGTCGCGCTTTTGAGAACATATTCATCAACACTGCAGCATGTTAGCACTGCGCCAACTCCGACAAATCAGGACCGCTCAAGCTCACCACCCCAGGAAGCGCACCTTCGTCCCCAGTGCGCACTTGTCCAGTTCTCCCAGCAACACCAGGTTCGAAGCAACTGGACCGTTCATGACATGGATGGAAGCGTGGGGTATCGGCCATTCAGTCTACCGACCGCCAAGGAATGCACGTGCAAGCTGCCCGCGCTAGCGCGACGACATCATCGGGTGTAGCCAGGCCTCAACCATGAATCGCTCACGAGGCAACGACTTCCGTACTTCTGAGACTCCTGTGCACCTGCGCTAGGCACCTACTTCCTCTTCTCTTCCTGTTCTGCCTCTCATATTCAACCTTACTCAACAGCCCATCTCAACCTCGCACTAGCCCTTATCGAACCCCGCCGCCCGCGCATCTATCGCTGCACGCACGCAGCCCGAGTCTTCTCTACACACCCCACGCTCCCACAAGTCTACGCAGCGCCCTGCACACATAACGCAAACATGTCTGGCTGGGGCTTGGGCTGGTTCGACGGCGGCGCCCAGAAGAAAGAGGCGCCGAAGAAGGCCATCCTGCAGCTGCGCGGGCAGCTCGAGATGCTCAACAAGCGGGAGAAGCACCTGCAGAACCAGATGGACGAGCAGGATACACTGGCGAGAAAACACGTGAACACGAATAAGACCGGTAAATAACCCCTCCCCACCCGTCAGGGTCCAAAAGTTAGCAGGGAAGGCTAATGGGTAATGGGTCTGCAGCCGCAAAAGCAGCGCTCAGAAGGAAGAAGCAGTTCGAGCACTCGCTCGAGCAAACACAGTCGCAGATCATGACGCTCGAGCGCGAAGTCTACTCCATCGAAACCGCAAATATTAACAAGGAGACGCTCGACGCAATGAAGAATGCTGGCACGGCGATGAAGCACATCCATGCCGGTCTTACCATCGACAAGGTCGACAACGTAATGTACGTCCCCCTTTCCTTGCCCCAGTTTCCCTTCTATTGCGTCCCAATTTACTCTCCCTCCCCTCCTTTCTATCCCGCCCACGTTCGGAGTGAGAGCCATACTTACCCACCCCAACAGGGAAGACCTCCGCGAACAACACGCCATCGGCGACGAAATCTCCGAAGCCATAACCTCGGGCGTCGCCACCTCCGCCATCGACGAAGACGACCTCGACGAGGAACTCGCCGAGCTCCAGCAAGAACAGCTCGACGAGCAAATGCTGAACACCGGCCCCGTACCCGTCGGCGACAAAGTCGGCCGCCTCCCGCAGGCTCCCCAAGCGGAAATCGCAAAGGGCAAGGCGCCCGCGAGGATGGTCGAGGAGGACGACGAGGAAGAGGAGTTGAGGAAGCTGCAGGCGGAGATGGCCATGTGAGGTCTGGTGTCCCATCTATCTAATAGCAGGAGGAGAGGAGGTGATATGGCGGCGAGCGATCTGGCATGGCATGGGACGGACGAAAGGCGTTTGGCGACTTTGGCTTGCGAGCCCCGTTTTTAACTGCGCGGCTCTCCGTTGGTTGTGGATTTAGACATTCTGCCCGAATAGCGTATAGGGAGGCGGATATACCTTGTGACCAATTTCAAACCTTCTAGTAATCTGGTATCCACCACGCGATGTTCACATGCATGTCTCGGGAGCTTTTCAACCTCGCTCGCGTATTCATTTCACCCATCAAACTGCAACTTCGTTTAAAGTCATACCAATATGTATTCCGGTACTTCTAGCTAGCCTAGCCGTCTACCTAGCCGACACTCACGCATATTCTGAGCCATGAAGAACAGCGTGAAGTCCATTAACTTTTCCTGCCCGCCAGTCTGGGTATCCATATCCGCGAGACCCAGCCTAATGAACGCCAGTGTGCTAAATCGATGTCGTAGCTCGTGTAAAATGCCCTCGACGAGGCTGTTGGAAAGAGTCTTGAGTGAGAAAGGAAAGTGGCGCAGCGGCGCAGCAACGCAGCAACAAAGCAGAGCGAAAATGGCCGAGGGCCCAGAAAGCACAGCAAATCTCATGATCAAGATTGTGGTCGACAAGAAGAAAGAAAGGCCGGCCATCGCCATAACAACGTCGGGCCCTACGTCGATGCGTTGCTTGGCGCAGCTGGAGCTTCCGCTATGTTATCATCCTTTTCCGCGCCGCTGGCTGTATCTGTAGGTGCTGGAGGTGCCGCTTCGAGAATTGGGCGGGTCACCGGTGTTCCGTTCTGGACGGCAGGCGATCCGGGCACCGGTGTGATCGGCTCCACGCTTGGGCGTTGCGCCTGCACGTTGGCAATTGCAGGAATGTGCGGTGCTGCTGGAGCAGGGCCAGGGGTCGCACTCGGTTGAGGCGTTGCAGCCATCGGCGGTGCAAAGTTGTGTGGCAGATTTGGCGCGGCCGTAGAAGCAGGCTTGTTTGGCGCTGTGTTCGCCGCCGCATCGGCTGCTGCTATGGCTGCTGTAGTCGTGGGAGCAGGCGCCATACTCGCATTGAAACCCGCAAGCGCCTCCACTGGCGTCGGGGTTGTAATTGGCTGTGTGCTTTCTTCTGACTTGATGGGCGCACGAGCGCCTCCACGAAGCTCTTCGAGCATGGGTATTGTCTTGATCGAGTCAAGGAGAGCGGCTTCTGCGGGGGTCAAGCTTGACTCCAACTCCGGTGTCACGAAGGCTCGGATGGCGTTGTCGGCTTTCTGGTCCTCTCCAGGCTCGATCCTAGTGTGTAAATACACTGTCCTAAATGCTTCCAACTGGCGAATCATGTCAGGATTAGTTGAGGCTGGATAGCGACCCGAAGGGTGCGGCGCGGTTGAGCCAGGGCGTTGCGAAGCCTGGTTTCCTGACGCCTGTTGTGTGTTCGACGTGGGCGCTGGCGTTGGGGAGGGCTTTGGTGGTTGTCCGGCCGGCGGGTAGGGAGTGTACGGTGAAGAACCATTTGGCATGCCGTACGGACTCTGACCAGCTGTGGCAAAAGGCGACGTATAAGTAGGCGCAGAGGTGTAGGGCGAAGCAGAGCTTGGCGGCGCGCTCGTAGGGAAGAGCACACCATATTGGCCGCTGGATGCTCCAAGATTGGCAGGAGGCGCGTGGGCGCTCGGGGGATAGGGCTGCGGTGGATGTGAAGCGGGCGGATTGCCAGCTGCGGCACCTCCAGCCCACGGCGACGCGTAAGGCGATGGAGCAGGAGCCGCGGGAGGAGCAGCAGCAGCATTGCGAGCCATACTGGGGGGTAAACGGGGTTGTGCCGCTTCCACCGCTGGCGGCGGTCGTGGTGGGCCATGTGGTGGCATGCCTTGTGGTGGCACACCGGGATAGTAGCCTGGCTGTCCGTAGGGAGAATACCCGGCCGGCGGCGGATAGTAAGCTGGCCTCTGTGCATTGACTTGCGGTGGACTGACTTGCCTCTTCCTGCGCTCCTTCTCGATAGAGACATTAGAGTTGATCCGCCACATGTAGCCTTTGCCCTCCTTGTCGCCTTTGACAAATGCATCATGCTGACCAAGATTATGGCGTACGCTAGACTGCCAACCGCTTGTTGTGGTTTTGAACTTGTACCAAGGGTAGTTCTTCTCGATATAGTTGTAAATCTGCTGAAGGTTCATCTGGCCGCTGGGAGCCGAGGAGATTGCTTCGTGAATAAGTACAACGTAGTTCGACGTAGGGCGTTGGAGCTGCTCTTCAGTGTAGTCCTCGATACGCATCTCGGGTGAAGGTGTGCGCGTAGGTTTCGCAGGCTTGCTAGATTTCTTCTCGCCCAAGATAATGGTACCGTCGCCCTTTTCGGTTGACTCACGGATTTCATCATCCTCTCCAGCATTCGACTCCTTACGGCGCGCAACCTTGGGCTTGACTATTGGCTGGGGCAGATCAGCAGGATCGATACCCGCCGCTCTGGCCTTTTCGATTTCCTTCCCTTGCTTGATGAGCTGGGATCTCTGTCGTTTCGACATAACGCCGTCTTTGGGAGGCCGCCCAGGCCCCTTCCTCTTGCCCACATATTGCCCGATGAGACTCTGGGGAAGACCGTATTGAGCACACATTTCAGGTGTGATGAGCCCTTCGGGATCGAGATCCTCAATATTGACTCCTGGTTGCGGTCGTCGTATAATGACTGGGCTTTCCGACTTGGGCTTCTCCGGTGCTTCCGCCGTTTCCTTGAGAAGAACATCTTCTTTGGGTTCCTCTTTAGGAGTCGTTTTGGGGGGTTCTTTCGCAGGTAGCTTCGCAGGTGCCTTGGCAGGGGCTTTTGTAGGGGCTTTGGTAGCCTTCGCCTTCTCCTTCTCCTTCTCTTTCGCCTTCTCCCTTTCCTTCTCTCTTAGCGGATCTTTCTGTGATTCCTTCTCCTTGACCTTGACCTTGTGCTTTTTAGATGGAGGCTCTTCCGGAGTTGGCTCCCTGACCGCTTTGCGTTTGTGTCCCTTGGAATGCTTCTCGGGACGATGCTTTTTCTTCTTGAGTTTGATCTTGAGATTTGGCTTGGGTTGGGGCATAGGCCTATACGCTTCGTCTTCGTCTTCGTCGACATCGTCCATATCTTCATCTGCTCCGAGCAGATCTTCATCTGACTCGAATTCGCTGCCGACAGGGTAGTGATAGACATGGCGAGGATTGACGCTCTGGTCCTCACTGCCAGAGTCGTCCATGTCCTCGCTTTCTCCTCGGCCATTTTCGAAACTGAAGCTCATGGGCCGCGATTGCGAACCAGACTCTTGTTGGTTGCGTTGTTCGTCCGTGAGCGCGATGTCGGGCAGGAAGAAAGTCATTTCGACCATGCCAATGATAATTGTATCACCGTGGCTCAGTTCGACATTGGCGCCCTTTGCCAAGAACCTGTCTTCGTGGTATAGACCGTTCGAACCCATGACGGCGAGGCAGAAGTTGCCAGTCTCAAAATCGTAGTATATCTTTGCATGCTGACGGCTGATGCCTTTGGGACCTTTCAGTCCAGTACGATCGGTGATATGTTGCGGGTGTATAGGCACTAGCGGACAATCGTTGGGATCTTCCGGCACCTGCTGGTCAATCTGATAGGGTATCTCCGGTAAAGCTTGCATGAGCATCTCCTGTGGCGCATGATCCACATTGGTGGTCGAGTTGTCTGCGGCCTGGGCATTGGAGCCCGAGCTGTGCGATTGCGAGGCAACGCTCTGACAGCGCTGTTGGTAGTCCATGGGCATCATCTCAATGGGCGCAGTGACGATGCCTCCGGCCTCGCTGATGACGCTCCGCGCGCCTGCTCGTTTCCGCTTCCGTCCGCCGTTGAGCAAAGCTTGGGCGCGCTGCTTCTCGCCCTTCGCCTTGAGTTGCTCGACCTTGGCAAGCCGGCGCATATCCTTGTGGGCAAGTTGCACATTGCGGCCGAGAATGATTTGGTACGTATGCATGTAGTATGAGCCGTCGTCGAAGCGCAAGCGCGCAAAGGCGCTCAGGCGCTGCTCGGCGGGCGCGACGCTCGCATAGCCGTTGTCGAAAGGCATTCCGGCGTCCATCATGGGGTATTCGGCAGCCATGGGCAGCGGCCCCATAGGCATATCGGTGTCGAGAGAGATGGGGGCATCGAGGCTGGGGAAGGGCGTGTTCGTTGAGACGAAGTTCTTCCCGTTCAGGTCGGCGGAAGTTGCGGGTAAAGGGTCAGGTGCCTTTTCGGGCGACTGGGGAGGCATGGAGGCAGGCGCGCTGGGTGGCGCATCGGCGCTTGCGACTTCCATGTTGGCGGTGGAGGTGAGAGATGCGATCGGGGCGGGCTCGGCGGCGACATTGTGAGCAGCGAGCACATCTACGGTGGGCGCGTCGCCAGAGTTCACAAGCATGCTGCCGGCGACATGGCTGGAGGCGCCTGCAGGGTCGTCGGGGTGGGTTGGTGAGTAGTGGTTCGCGATGCGGGCTTGTGGTTCTGCGCGCCGTTAGCATCTGCCGCCCGAGGTCCACCGCCAGCACCACCGCTCCTTCGCGAAGTCAGCGTAGGCCTGCTTGCAACGTACATACCAGGAATGGTCGGCTGATATCGCTCGAATGTCGGCCACTGGAGAAGCTTGCGCGGCGGCGGAGGGAGAGTCGTGGAGTCGTCGTCTGGGGCCTGCAGCGGGTTCTCCGTCAACGTTAGCTTCGAAGAGGCTTCCGGTCTCAGGCCTATCGGCGAATCACGTGCACCAGCCGCTCGCTTTCCAGCCTGCCACGACTTATGCGTATCCGGCATCGCCATACTCATCCATGCAGGTCGTCGCGATTGCGCACTGCGAGCACGTTCGACTGGCGACATTGGCCTGCAACTTCTAGGGCCAAGAGCGGGCTGGAAAAATTTATGTTGGGAGTATAGCGGGCGTCGGTTTCCACGGGACTTCACCTTCACTCGCAATTACACTCACTCTTTGCGCTCATCAAACTGTCATGGGCCCGAAGAAAAAGAGTAAGACTGAGTTACCGACCAAGGCGGCCCAAAAACCTTCAACGCCTACAGTCACGCCCAACTGGCCAGCGTTCGCACCGCTGATTCCTGAGTCCGATCTTTCGCTGCAGGAGACGCTAGCCGGGCAGATTGTGACTATACCAAATTTCTGGACAGCAACCTTGTGCAAGACTTATGTATCGTTCTTATCATCACTCCCACTGTCTACGACGCCCGGCAAGCCCAAGAAAGGCGACGCTGTACGCGTAAACGATCGCTTTCAGATTGATGACCCAGCGTTCGCCGAAAGGCTGTGGAGCGGCACTGCTTTGAAGAACCTCGTGCTCGGGAATGGTGAGAACGACGGACTTGGCTTGGATGAAGCACAGCGAAGAAAGCTCTGGGGCGGCGAAGTGATCGGCCTCAACCCGAACATCCGCATATATCGTTACACGAAAGGGCAGTTCTTTGATCAGCACTACGATGACTCGAACAATGTTACTCTGCCTGGCAGCCCCTCTGTGCCTGCGCGAACGACTTGGACCTTGTTGCTTTACCTCACTTCTCCTGCGACTGGTTGTATTGGAGGCGAAACAGTCTTCTACCCTGAACCAGAAACAGGGAAGAAGAAGAGCAGAGAGCCACCACCTGAACCTTTCGTTGTTGAACTTGAGGTTGGCCTAGCATTGTTGCATCGTCATGGTGCGCAGTGTATGTTGCATGAAGGCCGCGAAGTTACAAATGGCGAGAAGTGGGTTATTAGAAGTGATCTCTGCGTCAGACGCTAGAAGCACCAAACGTGGCAAAAGTCTCTGGCATCCGTTCCTACCTCATACCCTAAGATATTCCCCGCCATGGAAAAGGTTTCGCCTCCACCAAGACTCCGTATCAATGGCACATGCGGATGAACATGCGAAGATCTCTGTCAGATTCGGTCGTGGAGTTAATCGGGTTACTACTACATTGGCTAAATCATGCATATTGCGTTTAGCCATGTAGGACTGCATCCCATCGCAGAAGAGTGCGCTAATTGTAGGGAGAGACTGAGTACTCGTGCTTTCCTAGCTTATAAAGCTCGAAAGCTCATAAGATTCGAAATTTTCAAAGCAAAGTGGTATAACCCGACTTGGCCAGCACCGCTCCTGCTCCAAGATGACAATGTTTTGCCTCATACTTCTTTTCTCCGGCCTGCTCTGCACGGCGACTGCAGAGGCGCTCTATCCAGAAGCCATTCAGCGCCCTCCTAGCGTTCTGCACGACTTTCAAAAGAACAATGTTTCAAGTTCTTGGGCGCTTGGCCACCCCAAGGAATGGAGCGACAAAGACGCTTTGCGATATGAGTTCTCGGATGGAGGCCCCTACCGCTACACTTCGGGGGCGATCTTTGCTACTGCGCTCAGCTCTGACGAAAGGTTCTTAGTCACAGTGAACACTTCCAACCACGTCTCGGTGATCGACTTCGCCACCGGAGTGCAAGTCTTCGACCGCACGCTATCCTCTACGTATCAAGCCGCATATAGAGCGGTGCGCGTACTAGCTGGTCCTTCTGGGTACGAGGTCCTGGCCTCCATGACCTATCAAGAAGTGCAGAAATTGCAGCTTTCGCCACAGGGAGAGCAAATCGGCAACGTAACAGTCTATCCCGGCGGCTTGCTCTACGAGAAGGGCTCCCCCTCAACCAGCCACAACGAACGCCTTTTCATCACCGCGGTTCCCACAGCAGGACAGTACACCATCTACGACCTCGACGAACCCAGCGTACATCTCACCCTGAACAATCAACCCGATGACATGTACGACGCATCATTCACCCCCGACGACCAATACGTCGTAACCCGCAGCTACAGCTACAGCGGCATGCCCGGCTCCACCAGAATGTGGGACGTCAAAACCGGCGCTCTAGTCCGCGACTTCAACAATACGAACTCCGAGACGCTCAGCATCTCCCCGGACGGCTCGCTGCTCGCGACGTCGCTCAGCTGGGAAGCAATACAGATCTGGTCCCTCACTAACGCCACCGCACCGCCTACCACTCTAACATTCCCCGAGAAAACTAACATTAACGGCGTTCAACGCCTAGCCTGGAGCCCCGACAGCACCTACCTCGCCGTCGGCACGTATAAGAATCTTCTCGTCTGGAAACTTATCTCTTTTCCTGAACTTGTCCAATGGTACCAGATCGAGGCCAATGGACATGATGTCTCAGGCCTCCTGTGGCTTTCGGGTTCGAAAAGACTAGCATATCGCGTGTTTGGCGGACTCGAGATCTACGATTGCGAGACTAACTTGAAGTATCGGTGGGGTAATTCGCCGAATAGCCACTGGGTTGATGGTGCGTATATGGTTGAGAATACAATTTTAGCGAAGGGGAAGGGGTGGATTGGGGGCTGGATGGGGATGCTAAGGTCAGGTTTTGGGAGGTGCCTGTGTAGGACATCTGGGTACAGCCATCTTGGGCATCAGTGTGTAACGCGCGTAGTGTCGCTACTGCGGATGCGATTGGAAGGCTCCTAAAAGCCGTGCTTATTGCTTTTGAGAGCATGCTAAAGGCTTCCGGGGCTGTTCGTTAACAATTGTGAAACATATCGAATAGCTGACTCTCCCGCTGATTTGCGCAGTGGTCAAATGACGCTAGGTCCTTTGCGGCTAAAGTCAGCCCTGGTCTCCTAAAGGAAGTGAATGCTAGATGCGGGGAACGGCAGAAACTCCAATCGGACGGTGCAAATGCCCGAATACTGCCAAGATTTTATGCCATATTGCTTACAGGATAGTCTGGATCGTGCGAAGTAGGATGGTTTACTTGAAAGGGTAGGAGAGCTTTAGCTCCGGGGTATCTATGTCTGTTACTCTCATATGGCTGTATGCACATCATGAGCCGGTCAGCTTTACCCTTGCCACGACCACATTCGGAAGTGAGCTTTGAGATTTCAAATAGGCGACCTAGAGTTGGGATGATTTGACAGCTATCTCAGCGCCTGACTACGTTCACGGCTGCATATATGCTCGCAGCATATAATGAGATCATCGTCCTATACAGGTCACTAATCGCTTGCCTCATTATTCGCACATCGCACAAGATGAAACTTTCACTCCAGCAGCTAACCGCAGCTGCAATCGCGCTGTCCCATAGTCTCTTGCAGTCTGCCTCCGCTCACTGCAAGTAATCCAGCTCACATGGACATGGAGCTCCCTTTGACCACTTTTAGACCAATTTCCCATCGTGATCATCAACGGCACCCGTTCAGAATGGTGGCAATACGTCCGGTCCTCTTCCCTCCCCTCCCGCCGTCCCCTCTCCCATACCGCCCACTAACTACCACATAGACCGACCGGCCTCGACTCCTACGGCTACCACTTCGACCCCGTAATGGACTGGTTCACAGAACCCCAAGTCTGCGGCCGCGGCGCAACAAAGACAGGACACGGCGTGCATACAGCGACTGTACTGGCAGGCAGTGAGATCGGGTTCCAGGTCATTGGGCAGACAGGCGTCAAAGGATTAGAACCTATACGTCCAGTAAGCCTCCCTTTTCCCCTAGAAAGAGCTATATGCATTAGAGGATAAAGGAGGAGTGGGTGCGGGATTAATGCTAAGCCCACCAGGCCGACCCCCAGAACATTGATTTCCTCTACCACTCCGGCCCCGCACAACTCTATCTCTCGAAAGCAACCGGCGCGCTTGAAGACTACGCTGGCGATGGAGAGTGGTTCAAAGTAGGGCTGATTGCATCCACTGACGGTAGGAATTGGGCGAGTTATATGAAGAATGAGGTACAATCACCTTGTCGCCGCTATCGAGCTCCCTCGTCTTTCCCTACGTTATTGGTGTCCGGTTCTGATAAATGGAATAGTTGAACTTCACGATCCCAGCGACGACGCCGCCAGGAAATTATCTAGCGAGGGTGGAGCATTTCTACATCCACAGCATATACAATCAAACGCAGCAGTATATCAACTGTGCGCATATCGAGGTTGTAGGGCCAGGGGGTGGGAAACCTGGTCCGATGGTGAGATTTCCGGGGGCGTATAGCTTGGATGAACCCGGTGAGCGATTCTCTTCTTTAGCGTAAAATTGTGTAGTTGCTGATGTATTCAGGTGTGTGGTTGCCGACGGAATTATCTGACGAGATGAAGAACTTTCCTGGGGCGGGACCGGCGGTTTGGCGTGGATAGTTACTTCCCGGAGAGATTCGGAAGTCGCATGGTAGAAATAGTGAAGGTGGTGGGTTAAAGTCAAATCTACGAGGATGACACGAGCACATTTCTGCGATGCTGGATGCTACTTTCAGCCACGTGACAAGCTAAATTGGCTTTCCCCTTACCAATTTATGGCCTACCTCAGAAGAATATTTGCCCGGGTTTGAAATATGCCTCGTGGTTGAGTTTGAGTACTCTCAAGATCGATTGAAGACTAAGGATGACCAGCATACTGGATCCAGAATGCACGCATGCTTGCCTGTCCTTGATGTGTCTGTTTATTATAGGCTATCATGGCCTTTACTTCTTGCTAGCGTATATGAGGACTAGGCGCCGAGCTTCCCAAAGCTTTGATAGCAAGCTGTATATCACGAGATCAACACCGTAATGTCCTGGCAAGCTGAATCACGAAAACAGCTTTTGCGAAAGATATTTGATAATATCTGGAAGGCCTTGACATGCCTATCTTGAATTTCGAGTAAATACATGTGAAAACGAGGTATATAACCCACCTCTTGTCGAACGAGTACGATTCATGGTGATGAACTCCTAAAAGATCTCCTGGTCATCATACGCCCGCACACTCTCCAGCCTCTTTCGCACTTCTTTGGGATCCCGGCAGACGTGCTTGCTGTCCCAACCATCACTCCCGCCGTTGTGATCCGGGAATGTGGTCTCCAAGCCCTCTAAGCTCATGTCTGCGCTGCACAGAATCGCTTGTCGCATGTAGTCGAAGCAGTGGATCATGTGCCAGTGGTGGTCTTCCGGCATGGATGTGATGTCCCAAAGGGAGTGGTTGGAGGTCATGGCCGAGTAAACTTCGACAACTGCAAACAGACAGTGCAATTGATGGGTCATCGATGTGGTGAAAACGGTCTGGTTAGGCCACGAGATAGGAGTAGGTAGATCGTGGTAGTTCTCCGGGTCTGAAATGGATTGGAAGCCCATGCCCTCTACAGATCGTCAGTATTATGCGAAGTCCGTTTTAGAATGGCTAGCTTACTGGGCATGAGCTCGTTCCAGGCATGCAGAGTCTCAGGAGTGAAGAATTCCGAGGTGTTCATGGGCGCGAAGGTTTGGTTGACATGGAACTTCGTGACTTGGGTCGGAATATGAGGTCCCCATCCCGTCACGTCGCCTCCAACATCTGATGCACTGCTGCTCCTCTTGCTTCCTAGGCCAAGCTGTCGCAGCATCCCTTGATCTTTCGCCAGCAGGCCTACCATGATGAACTGCAGCCCGATGACCACGAACCACCTCGATGCTTTGAGTATACCGACGCAGGCATTTCTTTTCGATCTCCTTCTGGTAAATGTGTCTGCCGCCCACTGCTTCTCCATGCCAACAAGGGATTCCACTTCGGTCGAAGAATCGTCATCGTGGTGGTCGACTGCGGAAACATTCTTGTACTCGTGTTGCGGCTCCATCATGGCGATTTGAAAAAACGAATGACACCGGGTCGTGGGAAACACAAAATTCGATATAACGCGGAGAGAAAGTGAGCACAGCTAAAGAGCACCAGGCAGCACGGTGCTGCCGTATATGATGCCTCCTCATACGCATCCGTGCCCCAAAGGACTCTGCAACCACACTTGTTTGACAATCTTTCGTCTGCGAAATGCCGCTGTCGAGACGGGGATGCGCAAGCGCGTAGCAGGCATGCGAAACCAAAGCTTGTGTCTCGAACGCCCAGACTAATCCCTGCTTTGTTAGATCTTGGGGTTGAAACAGGCGATCAGTCGTGGACGGTGAGACGCTAGACTGTATGCGGACGCGATGTGAAACTTTAGCGGACCTTTGACTGAACGTCAGAATTCATGAACACGCCTCTTTGCTGTGGCGTGAGCGCGTCGACAATTTGCTATGTACATTCTCTTATTTCATCAGGAATGGAGGCAATGGCCTATGGGGCGTCCTTTTTCATTGCACGTAATCTGAAATCCTCCAGCGCTCCGCAGGCATTTACTACCTGTGCCCTAGCCAATCATATCCACTTCTACCTCTTACGTCACCATACAAAGATACGTTTGCACTTGTTCTCATTGAGAAACTGACAGTCGTATATACTCCATATTGAATTTTCTCTCCAATCCAGCAAATCCCGATTTTGATGCGCATCCAGTCATCCATCGATATACAAGCAGATTGTCAACGTCTAGCATTGAGGTACACATTCGCACAGAGAGAAGATGTCAATATGGTCCTGCACATCTTTTAAGAATCGAACGTGAATCTGGGCTCGCGAAAGCATACTACTGCCTGACTTGCCTTGCTGACCTTTGCACTCGCCACACTAACATCATATACGCGCCTCAGATTGAATTTGGCTACTTTTTGAATTGGCGGCTCTCAGTCTTCAGTTGGTCAAATAATTCACGAGATTTGAACGATTGACCCAACGGGTGTGACGTTCCCACCACCTGTTGTATTATGACGCACGAGGCACATTCAAGCATGCACTTGGCTATGTCCGTTGTAACATAAAGGTCATATCGACTAATGCTCGAACTCTCTTATTACAGGAACCTTTGTGCACTAAGTTTTGAACATTATACTTTCCACCAAAAAAACACGCACTCGTGCAAGACACCGAGACACAATGTGGTACAATCTCACACAAGACTGGCTTAGCGATCACAACATAATGCTGTCGCCTCTCGTTTCCATACTTGAGTTTGCTTGTATAGCGCTCCTTACTGCCTCTGCATATCTCATACTCGCCACCTTTATGCAGCGCGATCAGCAAATCTCGGTGATGATTGAGAATGCAGAAGCTACTACACAATCATTTCTTGAACAATGGAAATGGCGGAATTCTCCGGTTGGGTATCCCAGACTCGCAGAGCGTATCGCAGTGCTCCCTGAAACTGGAATTTACCGTCGCTTTGACGCACTCAATGCGCGCAATCTTCTCTATCTCCAATCAGAGCTTTGTACGCTCGAGAATGCAATACGCGAACAGGAAGAGCGAGATCGAGGCGATGAAAGAGGCAAAAAGTCTCGGTATGCAACAGACCACGCAAACATGTTGAACGATTCGCCGAGCCTCGGTCAGGAGCAGCTTATCTTGGTCGAGAAACTTCGGAAGAAGATATCACAATATAGTAAGTGAACATACTGACTTACTCCGGTGTGAACGATGCGGGGATGTAACCCTTGCAGAACACGTGGTCGGAATGCGTTGACAGTGCATCGTGATGACTTGGGCTAATCAACGTCCTGTGTAGACAAGGTCATTATCCAGCAGTCAAAGCTACAGAAAATCCACCCACCCGACCCCTTCGATCTTAGCAACGTCCAGCATTTTCTGTACAGCGATGATATGGAGAACGAGATGATCGGAGAAGATTCTGAGACTTGGGGTAAACCGAGTGACCCCGACAACCACCCGCCAGACCTCATTAGTATCAAACCTCGCAAGAAGGTAGACACATTCTCGACACTTGTCGCTGAGAATGTTGTCCACCTATTCAAATATGGTCTTGGTCATCTCACTCAGAAAAACCAATATCTTGGACGGAAAGTGTATTACGATGCTGATGTCTTGAAGGCAACATCTTTTATAACTTCGATTTTGGCCTCTTTGATTCCCATAGCTTCTATATGGGTGTTGGTATCTTTGGACTCCCTAAGGAATAAGATGATCACCATGGCGGCCTTCAACGTTCTTATATCGGCATGCTTGAACTTCTTCACGGATGCAAGAAGAACAGATGTTTTCGCTGTTACGGCTGTGTAAGTCAAGGTAACTTCTGCACAGCTGCTAGCTGACTCGTACCCATAGATTCACCGCAGTCCAAGTTGTCGTCATCGGCACCTGCGGCTTCCAGCCAGGTAACGGCTCACAATAATTTCTCGTTCGTTTGATAGGGTCGAAGTGGTCGGGGTAAGACTCGGGCTTCCTGGCGACAGCGCTACTGTGAACAGTGGCCACAGAGTTTGAAGGTTGGTTTCGGACACTCATAATAGTATGAGTCAAGTCAGGACACAGGAGCCTTCATGTGAATTGGTGACGGTTTCATTGTTCGCTAGTGAGGCTGTAGCCGAATTTCATCTCGAAGGATTCTTTTGTGCGTGTGGATTCATATAGTCGGATCTATGGTTATCCCCAACCTTTTCATGTATCTAGCACTTTCCTTATCTTCAGACGCTTGATCAGAAACTCCAGCCCACTCCCGGTTGCTCGTCAACCTGAACAGACCCATTGAAAAGGCTATCGAAAAGAGCAATGTCAACTCCTTGTAGATCCCAATTGTCGCCCTCGGGCCAGGAAAACTCAAGTCCAGCCTGGTTATGATCTTCATATGTCATGTCCAAAGACGAATCATTAGGAGCCTGCCACGTAGGGGTTCCGGGATCAAATGTCGCCGGTACCTGATCCGGCGGATAAGAAATCTGATGCTCTGTGGACTCTGATTCTGGTGATTTTGAGTGTCGACCAGTGGCTGTTGGAAACCTAGTTGAAGGAGACAAGGCATTTGGCGTACCTGTCTGCGAAGGATTGGTCGTCCTCAAAACAGTGCCCTTGACGAAATCAATACTCCCAAAGTTAGATATATGAATTCGCATCACCTTGCCTTCATCTACGGACCTTCCGTCGCACTCCAAGTCTTCGATGTCGGCTTTGGAATTTGTGACGTTGTACATCTTTCCATCGGATGCACTAGACTCAATGGCAAGTAGATCTCGAAGAATCCGAGATATCTTCGAAGCTATAGCATCTGTACCCGGATCGTGCATGGTTTCAATAACATCCAAAGTTCGTTCCATCAGGCCGCGATCACTCAGGCGACTGTGGGCCAGGAACTCAAAGCCGGTACCATGAGATGCAGCTTCAATAGGTTGTGCGGTTGTATCGCCGCCATTCTTGATATGGGCAACACACAAAGTCGTTGTTGCAATGAAAGCCAAAAAGTCAGAGCCCCGGCAGTAGTAATGGGCCGGGTTCGACGCGCGAAAGCTTAGGAAACGGTTAAGAAGCTCTCGACTTATGTTTACGACAACGACCTTATTGTAGTCGTAACGACGATCGCTTAATAACAAATACGGAAGATGGAGACGTGTCAAAAGATGGTAGTGAGCGAATTGATCCATGATGCGAATCATGTCATGCATTATTTTGGTTTCGTCGGTATGGTCGAGCGCGAAAGTGGGAGTCATCCACCACTCTGGCGACATCTCTGCTGCAGCTTTACGAAGTACTTGATCAATCTCTTTTGTTTGGGCAAGATCAACCACTGTGAAGTCCTTGCGTGCTATGATGCGCTCTTGTACAATGTAGTGTATGCGTTTCATACGGTCTTCCGGGCCACATGCTGCCAAAGCTTTCTCGCAGGTAATATGACGAGTGTCCAGGGAGGAGTGCTCCAAGCCCAGCATGACGGAAAGGTAACCGTCCATCTCGGCCAAGCGGAAGACCAAATGATCAAGGTTAACATCTTTGCGGGTCTTGGGTTCCAACACCTTGACGGATGGTGACTTAAACCCGTGGTGAAGTGCCAATGACTGTGCCACGTTGATGGCTCGACGAGTTGTCATCCATGCTCTATGCAATTTGCCACTGTAGTTGTGGTACAAGGCTTCTAGCATGATGCATTCGATAGCTTCGACAGAACGTAGAAGCTCATCCTTCGTCGTGACGAGGCTGATAGCAACGTCAACAACGCGATGCATCACTTGTCGTGGGAAGAACCCTTGAGTCTCCATAGCCTTCACTGCTGTCGGGAGAGCACCTTGGAGGAAGGTGCCAAGAGCTAGTAACTTTCTCGCAAAAAGCACTGGATGTGCTTCTAGCGGAGGTAGGCGAAGCACGTCGGTGATTAGTGGGGCGCCCTCCCCAATATAGCTGGAATGTGGCCTGCACACTCCACAGTGGAGATGCGAGGAAAGACCGACTGGAAGAGCGCGTATGAGATCAAGTTCATGGTGGCTCGGCCATGGAGCGATGAGCTCGCGATTCAACCTCTCGAATTCGCTTGCGTTTGATGGAGGGTGCCTTTCGCACTCAGAAGGGACGGAATAGTCTTTTCCCAGCTGTCCAACACTTAGCTTAATAGAAGAGACTGTGTCCCATGCCTACCTCTGGAGCACCTCTACCCGAGGAAACATTGGAATGGGTTTCAAAAGACCGTGCACATGGAATATGTGGCTTAGATTGGCCCAAGTTATGTGAACCTGAAAGTCGCTCAATGAGCCCTTCCACTCGATTGAGTCGTACATCAAGCTGCTCGTTCCCAAGACCTGGATTTGGAGGCGGCGATGCGCAGAGCTCCTGGCTAACGCAGGGAGTCTTGCGACGTGTGCAGTTATCACATACGGTATTCGTTCGAGAGGAATAGATGCATCGAACTTTGCGTCGCCTACATTCCCAGCAGCTTTGGGTGCCTTTGCGCACCTTTCTGCGCTTCGTTGTCGTGGGTTCGAGGTTGGACATGTCAGGTTCGAGCAATTATGGTTTTCGGACGAAGCGGAGTGGTGATGCTTCGGAGCTTTGGGCCCCAAGATGGTGATTGGCTAGTTCGACCGAGCGTTCGGTCGAAATGCCGTCTGGCTCGGACCAGACGACGACGATGAGCTAGTCGGCCTCTATCTCGCTCTGACACGAATTGCTCATGTTGACACAGACAGATTTCGGTTGAAAATTTCTTAAATCCCAACACTCCTTCAACCGGATCTCTGATTGCTTTTCCCAGGGTGACTCAGGCTGTAAAAACCCAGACGCATCACAATAGCCGTACGTAACGTGACCCTCCTCCTTCGTGTAAGGGCAAGCTTTAGCGGTCAAAACGCGCCTTGGTCAACCCTTACGTGTGGTTATACAATTTTAATCAAGCTCTCTTTCTAGTCCACTAAATACGTTGTTTCCCCCCTCAGCAGCTTACGGTTTCCCTTCCCATGCCTGCTTCAGAAACCCCTCCAGCCTGGTAAATTGATAGTCCGGAAGCAGGCGATTCCAATTGTCGTTGACCACATATCCACCAGCGTCAATAGCGAGCAGAAGCCTCCCAGCAATATGCTTAGACATAGCATCGAGCTCTTCTTTCTTTATAGCTGGATGGTCCATTACCGGTGCCCATGAAGCCTTCCACTCCCCAGCCAGGATGTCAGACCGCTTAAGCTTGGTCACATCAAAGGCACCGCCACGGATCTTCTCACTTAGGAGGATCAGATCTCCCATAGAGATCTCGGTACCCTGTATACCGCCATTGATCGGCCATTCGCCTTCGTAATCGACGGCCTTGGCGACGATGTCAGCAAGATCCTGCACAGTGACGAAATTGATGCGGGTATCGTCGCCGCCTTCAAGTGTTATGAAGCGGCGTTCATTCAGATTGAGTGGCGTGTCCATCAGGTGTAGATGTTTAGCTGAAGCGTGTGGATAGGTCAGGTAATTGAGGAAGAGACCGGGCTGAAACAGTGTGTACTCAAGGACCTAGCTTTGTGAGCATTGAAGAGCAGACAAGGACTACATGGCAGGTATACACTGTGTATGACGTACCTTCTTGTCCTTATTGATGTCTTTGAGATACTCGCGTGTTGCTCCCTTGTATGCGTACCAATCCAGATAATCAAATTTCGATCTGAGCGATGGTCAGCCAGACGGATTCACCCCCAGTGAGGGAGAGCATACGAAGCCCACTCGCTAGGTGCAAAACGTTGCACCCCAGCCTGTACCGCTGCATCGATGAGCTTCTTCTGCACTGGACTCGTCGGGTCGTCGCCTTCGGACACGAAAGAAAGTACGGTATGAACGCCTTTCAGCGCATGAGTCAGCTGTTCCAAATCGTCGTAATTGACAGTGACAAATGTCACGCCCACAGTAGTCTCGCGCTTGGGTTTGACCTAAGAGGAATCAACTTGATGTAACTTAGTTATAGTACGGAGAAATGATGGAAGCCTACACTTCGAGAAAGCATGACGATATCATGCTTCTTCGCGGCGACAAGTACTTCGATGATCTCTGATGCAACATCGCCGGAGCCGCCAGCCAACGCAATTTTGACCATGTTGTCAAAGCTTGGTTTCAAAGAGATCTATAACTTTCACACACTGCTGTGCGCTCCCTTTTGCAAGAGTTTGGCTCGTTATATAGAAGTTTGGACCGAAGTTTCGGTCGAATGCATTGAGCTAGTCGCCGTAAACCGATCATCCGGTCGACTTAGTCGAGCTAAGCGATCTTCACTTGAGTGATAATAAAGCAGTAACGTCACTCTTATCCCATCATGAAGAAGTATAATTTAAACTAGGTGCTGACTTTCGCCGAGCTACGCAAGGGTGCGAGAGAGAGGACCACCACGCTTCTTTGAGCTTTCGCGTATAGACCGGGCCACTACAGATACTCAGAAAAAAATCCAGTAAAAGTAGAGACAGAATTGCAAGTTATGTCGTGTTTCAAACTGCTCAAAGCGAGCTGCGTGGTGGCGATGTGCACGCAATCTGCCAATGAGAAAAGGCATCGCGGATGTACTCTAGGCATCATGTGCAGACAGCTTGTCATTGCTAAAGCCAGTCCCAAATGCCCGCAAACGCTATGTAGCGATGCAAAGGCCACTTGAGTATGCAGTCGTCGCACAAAAAGTACCTTAAGACAGTCCTGTTCCCACGATAGCCGAAGAGTTTCCAACACTGGGACCAAATACTGTGAACAGCCCTCAAATAGATGGTCATCATCGGTGCTTTGCGAAAAGAATGCTCCCAACCTACTATGGTACAGATCCTCAATTTCTGTTAATTGTATGATATATTCATTCTATCACTGGCTAGATCTTATTAAATAGCTAGATTTAGTACTAGTAGACGTTAAAATAGGGCACTAGGCTGTTAAAATAGGGTACTAAGTTTTAAAAATAGGCTTATTGTATGTACAGGAGTGTTTGGACAGCAATAGGGGTACGAAGGATGAGGTAAGCCGACTTGGCCAAAGCGTAGAAGGGTTTTCCATCTGAGCTCCTTACGGAGCTCAGAAAGATAGACATGAACAACCAGAACTAGTTACCTTTTCGTATTTCCTTTCACTCGTAATATATCACACCCTGTACTACGTACACACGTAAATACAGCCCACCCAACACTTATCAACATATTTAAACTAATAAGAGAGTAGATGATACTATTTATAAAAATGGGGAGCTGTACTGTGGTAGGGTGGGGGCATTCTTTTCGCAAACGATAATGGGGAGGTAGCTACAATGTAGAGTGAAGAGCCTGTAGCGCATCTTCTCAAGGTACAAACTACCACTAACATCGGCGTCGCCCTTACGAAAGCCAAGCTGCCTACAGTTAGCCATGAGCATGGTGGTCGCTATCTATCACGAACTAAATGCAACAAGCTTAGATTTTATCGCAACAGGCTAACCTCTGAGTGCACCTAGATATTTCCGGATTTTCAAGATTTTATGCACGAGCTTTTCTGCCAGCGTCAACGTGGCACTGCTCTATGCATCATACATGACATCAGCTGGTGTAAGGTTCAACGAACTTTAAGTGTATTCTTGTGCAACAGAACACGGCTGGCTCGCCCTCCTGCTCGTGTCCATTATTGTCACAGTATCCCATACACTGCATGACTTGGACTACAGTTGTACTCCTCAAAGGAATCATATATATTGAAATTCTCTCCTCGAGGATCATCTTCCTTCAAACCTCGAAATTTCGAGACAGCCATGTTTTCTGAGAAGGTCCCTGAGGGTATGTTACCGAAATGGGAATCACTTGCCGAAGAGCTGGACGCTTGTGTGCCCGGGTATCCTAGGCTAGCACGTGAGATGGAGCAGGCGCCAGCGAGTACAATCTTTCGTCGTTTTTCAGCATTGAATGCCCGGAACTTGCTTTATCTACAGCGCGACTTGATTATGCTTGAGAATCGTCTGAAGCAAGTCGAGTATAGGGACAGCATATCAACGAAGGGCTTCAGGCAGCATTATGCGAAAGACTCCAACAACCTACACTATTCGACAGCTTTTGGCGATTCCGTACAATGGAATCTTATGCTCCAGGTTCGGGAGAGATTGAAAGAGTACAGTACGTGAATCTACACGCCGCTCGCCGCATCTTTTTATCGACTGATGAGATGCAGACGAAACCCTGGTCCTCCAATCCATTATACTGAAGCTCCCTGTACCTGATGATTATGACGTCAAGGACATCAGCTGCTTTATCCACTTGCCGCAAGGTATGAACGCTCCATTGAGTGGCTCCGACAAAGCGACATGGGGATTACCCGAGCAGCCTGATCTACGAGCCGCAGACCTCGTTACGCTCAAGCCCCGGCGGAAAGAGGATAGATTTTCCAATTTCGTCTCGGAACACGCAATACGCTATGTACAATGGCCTCTTAAGCTTTTCCAGTCCAAGAAGAAGCGAGAAGAACACCATGGTATGGTGACATACAAGGATAGGACCATTCACCGGGCCACATACATCATCATTGGCACCTTGGCAGGTCTAGCGCCTATACTGAGTATCATCGTATTAACGAAGCTGCATACAATGAAAGCAAGGCTGTGGACAACCGCCGTGTTCAATGTAGGAATTGCGTTCAGCCTACAACTATTCACCGAGGCGAAGAGAATGGATATATTTGCTGTTACGGCCGCGTTAGTATAACACAAGACATTTCACCTACTGAGATGCTGACCGGTACAGTTTTGCTGCAGTGCAGGTAGTCTTTGTTGGACAAACATTGGATGATGGCCCACAGGAGATGAAGTTTCCACTCGGTTATGTGCTGAATACAACATGTAGCTGCTGAAGGTCTTCGCGCTGTCTTTCCTGACATTGATATTTCCTGGCAATGGCAATCTGAACATCCGGCCGTCGAGTAAATATAGTCTCTGCCGAATTCCATCTATTGAGACTGTACTGCATTCAGCTGAATGATTTTCAACATCTCATAAGGGGACCCTGGATGATAAAGACATTCTCGTTAATGTAAATGTCTTTGTTTGTGATCTTTTTGCATAGGTGTCGCGATGACACTATGTGGCATATTCTGGGTCAACTCGCATGCTTAGTCAATCAGCATATATCTATAGAACGACATGCCTGGTAGATCATAGGTTCGCTATCACAAGTCGTGACTCAAATCCTACGTCGGCTGTGTGTCATACGCACCAGAGTCCTCAGCTTTGATAGAGTCGCTGGTCCTAGCCATGTACTCCTGTGCGACTGTATGCAAGGGGGATGCTTCGCTCTTAATCTTATTGACGTCTGGTTCCCCGAAGTTCATCAGTAACGCGATACCTAAGTTACAGAAAAGGCTTGCTGTTTTAGCCATCGTAAAAGCACTGCTGGAGTAGTATTGTAAGATTGCGGACCGTGGCCTCGCGAAGTCGCAGGTACTGTGCGCGCCCTACCTCTTACGCAAGTACGAGCATAGCATCTAATCGAAGCTCTGAAGACGTATGATAGTCTAAGTCACCTTAGGATGGACAATTTAAGACCTTGATCGTAAGTACTGTTTTCTTGACTTGATACGGGAGCCGGCGAGAACCATTTCAGTTTAGGTAGGGGACGTATCCAGTGCTGGAAGGGACGGCCAGATATGGTTCAGCAACAAAGTCGAAGCCGAATAGGCTATCTTCCACATAGTATGGGAAAGCTTCTAGGAGAGTGAGTATTCCACTATTTTCAACAGTCCCGAGAAATATGGCTACAAGTAGGCCAGTCTGGCCCAATACCTCAATTTAGATGGAAAAGAAACTATCGTAGCTACATCATGAAGCTCCGTGCGATCAGCTGTTTCAGCAAGCGTTTCTAGCATGCAATCGGCGTAGATAACGTCGCTGGGGTTTACCACACCTTCCCTCAAGCCAATTGCCTACTGAAACACCACCACGGGCGCAGCAGCAATCAGTCCATACTTCTGACACCTTGCTATGTCCCGTAGCTTATTAGCTCTGTCTAGAAGAAACTAAGCTCGTGATGACAGACGCGCCTGACTAGACTCGGACTACAATAACATTAGCAAGTCAAGCAAGGTCATAACAACGAGAGTGGACAGGATGAACGCATCTCAACTCTTCCGCACAGCGCCACAGACAGACGACACAGATAACGGCCAAATATATCTTCATTGCCCTCACTATCAACATCCAAGCGCCCAAAATGCAAGATAAGACAATCAAATTCCGAATCGCTTCTTGTTCCAACATATTTAAATGAATCGACCATTGCTAGCCGCCAACTGAAGAAAGGTATCGTATCTAAAATCCCCAAACCCAACATGTGCATATCTCAAAAGTTTAAATCTGGTTCTCGCTGTTCCACCGCTTCGGGCCTGCAGGGGAGCCCGGGGCCTCCGTTTGGAGGGCCCCGCAGGTGCTGCGAGCCGGGTCTGTCTCCTGGTGGGGGCGCGGGTCGGATGGGCAGAGACATTATGTTCTGGCCACTTGATGCGCTGGATGTGCGGGAGGGGTGTGCAGGTCGCGGAGGTGCTGATGTAGAGCCGTTGGAGTCGGAGCGAGTGTGAGGCGCTGAGCCTGGGCCATCGCGGAGCCTCTCCCGGACGGTGGAAGAGGGTGCTGAGGGTGCGAGGTGGGATTTGCGCTTGTTGTGTTCGATCATGCTGACGGCCCATGCCTCGAGGTCGACTGGTGTGCGTTTTGCGGCTTGGAGGAATGCATCGTGTTCCTGAGACTGTTAGCGGGTGTACAGGGGGTCATTGATGGATACATACGTAGAGTTCCTTCGGTGTTGGCCGCTCTGCTGGATCCTTCATCAAGCATTTCGCGATCATATCTTCCAATATTGCAGGGAAAGCGTCACTCTTGGGAAGCTTGGGCGCAGGCTCCAGAACGATCTGCTGCAGAAGGTCGAGAATACCTTGCGGTCCGCCGGGCCCATCACCATCGTCGTCGCTGCCGCCAAACGGGAATTTGCCAATTGCCAACTCCATCAGCGTGAGACCGACACTCCAGACATCTGACTTTACAGTGTATGGTGATCCTTGTATACGCTCGGGTGCCATGTATGTTCCAGTTCCGACAAAGGTCTCTGCTATCGAACCTTCCAACTCGCTGGATACGCCAAAATCGCAAAGTTTGATCTGCCCCTTTGAGTTTACGAGGATGTTCGACGGTTTCAAATCGCGGTGCATGATCTTGTGCGCGGAGTAGAGGTATGCGAGACCGCCCAACACGGCTTCTGAGATCTTGCCCAGGACATCGACGCGTACGGGGCCAAATGTTTTGGAAACCCAGTCAAGGGATCTGTATAACCATATTAGTCCAACGCTGCTAGAGCTGCTGCAGGTTCACATACCCCACATCCATGTATTCCATGCACATTATCACATCCCCGCTCTCGTTCTGGAAGGCACCGTAGAAAGCCACAATGTATTCGGAGTTGCAGTCGTGCATGATGCGCAGTTCGCGGACAATCCGTTTGCGCACCTCGTTCTTTGCTTCGACGTGTATAATCTGGCGGGCTGTCAGTCGCGCGTCAACCGCAGCTATTACCTGTCATCAGCTCACCTTTCTTGCCATTACCACTTTCGTGGCGGCATGCTGCACCTTGCTCACAGTCCCGCCATTGCCGGCTCCGAGCTCGCGGAGGACAATCAGATCTTCTGCCTTCAAGTCCAGGCGGAATTCGACACCTATCTCGAGTGTGTCTGCGCGGTCGTCCTGGCCGAGGCCACCGGGTGCTTGTGCGTCACCAGCCGAAGGCGCGGGCTTTGGTGGAGGAGCACTGAGAGCGAGGCCTTTCACATTCTTCCTCTTCATCGTCTTCGTCTTGAAAGCGGAGTCGCCCATGGTGGCGGTCTGGAATGCGGACAGTGCGTCGCCGGTCGCTGGAGGCAGGTTTTGACGGGCTCTGCTACGAGAGGAGTAACAGTGTAGTGTTATCGAGCTCTTGGGCAGAGCTCCGTTTCAAATTTGGCGCCCGAATGCACCACGATGTCGCGCCAATCACGGTAGGAAACTGGGTAAAAGGAGGGCCACAGCGTCTATTGGTTTAACGCTTTCGGGACACTTGTGGTTGCAGGCCCGAGAGGCGAGAATGACGGCGTGACCGAAGAAGGCAGCCAATGTAGGTGCGAATACAGCGGGCCTCGCGGGTGGTGGTGGGCAGGGAGGGCGGTGGACGGTGAAGTTGAACGTCGCGGGGCGCTTCGATGTTTGGCGGGGAAGCAAGCAACACGGCAACGGGTAGACGCGCAGGGCGCACGAAGGCACGATTGAAGCGGCAGCGAGGCTGATGAGGTGCGCGGGGCGGACGCAGGCTCCTGAAGTACTGCACAGATTGGATTTATGTAGATGATCATCTTCAGGAGAGTTTCACGTTTCGCATGGCCTCAAGGCGCTGCTTCACCTTTGTCTCTAGCGCACCCTCCGCGGATGCTCCCGCCCATTCGGCCTCTCGCCGGGGTTCGCTGCTACAGCTGCTGTTGCTGCCATGACGAGCTGCAGCTCCGGCAAGCGTTGTCTTCCTAGCTTCTCCGACTACTCGTGGCCATGCAGGATAAAGAAAATATACGTGTGCAGCAGATCGTCTGCTGGTAACCCCACACGCGTGCATGGATCACCGAAGCGAGTAAAGGTGAAAGGAAGGGCAGCACCAGCCACATGGCGCTAGGCCCGAAGTGACCTTAGCCACTGCGGCTTGAACTTTTGCGCCGACTGCGCGACTGACGGCAGCTCCCATCAACTCGACCTTGCGCCCAGCGCGTCCCTATAAAGACCCCCCTCCGCCTCGATCTCGCGCCTGCCACCTCCTCCATCTTCCCCTTCGCTTTCGCCCGACGCGTCTCGAGTCAGGCCACCGGCAGCCTCCGCTTTCTCCTTTGTTCGCGCGGCCGCATCCTCCATGGCTGAATACTTTGACACCGTGGCCGAGCTAGGCAGCGAGGAAGATGACGACGACTTCGACGGGGACGCGCCCGAGGGACGCTCCAAGGCGAACGGCGAGAACGGCGTAGATGACTCGAGCGAGGAAGAAGACGAGGATGACGAGGAGCGCATCCGCGAGGTGGGTTCACAATCTCGTGGGCTATTGGGAAGTGCTGACAGCTGTACAGGAGGGCGCTGGTTTCATCGCCGACGAGGAAGAGGACGAAGAAGAAGAGGCCACCCGCAAGGAGCGCCGGCGGCGTAAAAAGCGCAAGAACAGGGAAGAAGACGAGGCCCTGGATGAGGAAGATTTAGACCTCATCGGCGTGGATGTGGAACCACGCGAACAACCACCGGTACGCTCGTATCGCCATGACCTTACAACGGCGCTAACAGTCACAGAGCAAGTTCAAACGCCTGAAGCGCGGCCACAAGGAACGTTCCAAGGGACCTCGTGGTATCGACGATATATTCTCTGACGACGAGGAGGTCGATGACGCGGACGCCGGTCGGAGAACAGACTTCAACGACGAATTCGCCGACTTCATCGAAGAGGAAACGTTTGAGGACGAGATCACCGAGGACGACCACGAAGTCGGACAGCCGGGTATCGCCCACATCAGCAGGACTTTACAATTCACCGGTCTCGACGAAGGCGCTGAAGAGGATTACCGGGCGGCATTCGGCGATGGCACAGAATACGACTGGGCCCTCGAAGAGCAAGAAAGAGCAGACATGGAAGAGGAAGGCGGAGAAGGCAAGACCCAGCTCAAGGACGTCTTCGAACCAGGCTTGCTCCAGGAGAAATTGCTTACCGATAGGGATCAAGCTATCCGTGATAAGGATATCCCCGAACGTCTTCAGCTGGCGCGCGAGCCATTCCCCGATGACGCGGATCTGAGCCCCGATACCTTAGAGAAGCGGCTGGATGAAGAGGCTAAGTGGATCTCCGAGCTTTTGTATCCCAAGAAAGGCATGGTAAGATCACCCCATCATAGATGTGCATAACTTCTAGCTAATCATTGACCTCTGCATTAGGCCTCGTATTTCAAGAGCCCTTTCATCAACGCTGTGCGCAAGGTTCTGCAATTCCTCAATGTCGACAACTTCGAGGTTCCTTTCATCTTCAACCATAGAAAGGATTACTTGATCCACGCCCCCAGTGATGAAGACGACGACCCTGACGATCCTGCTCCTAGAGACATGCGACCTGAACGTTTGCTAAATCAAAATGAGCTGTGGGAGATCTTTGAGTTTGACCTCAAGTTCCGCGCTTTCTTCGAAAAGCGAGAAGCACTCATAAAGCATTATGACAACCTCAAGGCTCTGTACCCGGATATCCAAGACGATGTCATTGACGATCTGGCTCACAAGGCTTCCACAATTGAGGAAGTGCAGGAGTTGCAAGACTATCTACATTTCCGATACGCTGGGGAAATAAGTGAAGTCCGCCAAGAGACCGGCAATGGTGTACAGAAGCGTGCGAATAACACCCGCAATTTCTACGACCGATTGCGTGGTACAAAGACGATTAGTTTCGTGCATGCGCTCGGCATCAGCCCTGATCAACTTGCGAAGAAGGCAGACGGAACGGAAAGTCATTTCATTGAAGACCAGCAGGTTAGCCCGGAGGAATTTGCGGATCAATTGTCCGAGGCGCCCGAAACAGGATCCAGCATCTTACGATCCGCAAAGCTGTTATATACGCAGGAATTGCAGGTAAATCCACGGTTACGGCGATACGTCAGAGGCAACTTCTACATGGATGCGACTATAGACTGTGTGCGAACGGACAAGGGCATGCGCAAGATTACCGAGGATCATCCCTACTACGAATTCAAGTACCTCCGGAGACAGACATTCCAGGACCTGAACGGTCGACCGGATCTCTTCCTGAAGATGCTGAAAGCTGAAGAGGAGGGCCTCATTAGCGTCAAGATCCGGATGGGCAGCTGGGCCAACCTCAAGCGGAAGCTGCAGACTCATATCGTCTCGGATAACGTCAGCGAAGTATCCGAACAGTGGAACGTACTGCGCAAGGAGATGCTTGACATCGCTCTGGACAAGCTGCAGCCTATCATAGCCGGCGGAGTAAAGGAGACGCTCCGATCCCGTTGTGAAGACGAGCTAGCAAGTCGGGCACGCGACAGCTACTACAACAAGCTCGACCAGGCTCCTTTCAAGCCCCGTGGCTCACCCTTGGGCACAGTCCCCAACGTTCTTACCATCTCTAACGGCAAGGGCATGCGGGGCGACGCTATCATGTGGGCTTACGTGGAGCAAGATGGAAGGGTGCTGGAACACGGCAAGCTGAGGGAATTTCGACTCGGTAACCGGGATCGCGGCATTCCGGATGGCAAAGACATCGAAGTCTTTGTCGAAGTGTGCAACAGACGCAAGCCAGATGTCATCGGCATCAGTGGCTTCTCCGTGGAGACCCGACGACTCAAGGGCGACTTGGAAGAAATCATCAATCAAAACGACTTGAAAGGACCACAGTACGAAGACGAAGAAAACACAGAAAGGCTCGATCCTTTGGAGGTCATCTACGTCAACGATGAAGTTGCGCGCCTTTACTACAACAGTGCCCGTGCTGCCAACGAATTTCCAAAACACCCTCCCCTCACACGATACTGTATCGCGCTTGCTCGCTATCTGCAGAATCCTTTGGCTGAATATGCCTCGCTTGGCCGAGACATCGTATCGTTGCCTTTCGTACAGAACCAGACACTCGTCCCACAAGAGAAGCTCTTTGACCGCCTGGAGACCGCTATGGTGGACATGGTCAACCTAGTCGGCTTCAACTTGTTGGACGGCTACGACGACCCGTACATGTCTAAGCTGCTTCCATACATATGTGGTTTGGGACCACGTAAAGCGGAAAGACTTGTCAAGGCTATCCAATCGAACAACGACGAGATCCTCTCACGATGGGAGCTGATGGGTGTTTCGGAACAAGGCGACAGTCGGGAAATTCACAAGGCCATGGAGCCAGTAGTATTTGCAAACTGCTCCAGTTTCCTGTGGCTCACATACGACTCGAGCGAAGAAGTAGCCGACTACCTCGACAGCACCCGCGTCCATCCGGAAGACTACGAACTCGCGCGCAAGATGGTGGCCGACTCTATGAATCTTGATGAAGAGGACATCAAGGCAGAAATCGACGAAGCTGGTCCCAGTGCAGTGATCCGAAGGATGGTGCGTGAAGAGAAGTTCGACGAAATCCACGACCTTGATCTCGAGGGTTATGCAAGGGACATCGAAAAGAACATCGGCATTCGTAAACGTGCCACCTTGGAGACGATCCGTGCTGAGATCGCGGATCCCTACGAGGAAATTCGGCAGACCTTCGCCCTTCTGAATTCTGATGACATTTTTACTATGCTGACTGGCGAGACGAAAGAGTCGCTGCACGAAGGCATGGTGATCCCTGTCCAGATCAAGCGCACTTTCCCAGACCACATTGAGGTCAGGCTCGAGTGCGGTGTCGAAGGAGGCGTGGGTGAAGTCGAATTTCCCGAGGGCGTTGGTAGCGGTCGACAGGCACCCCGCGATGTCTTCCAGCCCCATCAGACTGTGCGGGCTAAGATTGTCTTCCTCAATCGGAAAGCTCTCACTGCACAGCTCTCTTTGCGCGAGGACCTGATCCGACAGCCACTAGTACGAACTGATCGCATACCAGGCGACTGGGACGAGCAGCAGGAAGCGGCAGACAAGAAGGCAGCGGAGCGGGAGAAGGAAGTTGCCTCCGGCCGACCCAACCGTGTCGTCAATCATCCTCTATTCTTCTCGTTCAACTCTGCACAGGCAGAAGAGTACCTCGGTAGCAAGGAACCTGGAGAGGCCGTCATCCGTCCCTCTTCCAAGGGTTTCGACCATCTTGCCGTCACCTGGAAGGTCGCAGAGAATTCATTCCAGCATATCGATGTGCTGGAGATGAACAAGGCCAGCGAGTACTCTGTCGGCAAGCAACTACGTGTCGGAAAGCAAGTCTACTCGGATCTCGACGAGCTCATCGTCAACCACGTGCAAGCCATGGCCCGCAAGGTCGCCGAGCTAACTCGCGACGAGCGCTTCCAGAAAGGCACGAAAGAAGAGACAGGTAAGCTTTTCCCCGTGCATCCCCCTCGTCTTTTTTGCATTACATATACTGACGCACCCACAGAGCAATGGCTTGCCACGTATTGCAACGCCAACACCACGCGCTCCATGTACGCCTTCTGCGCCATCCCCAAGCACCCGGGCTACTTCTGGCTCTGCTTCCAAGCCGGCCGCGACGGCAAGAAGGGCGAGTGGCCCGTCAAGGTCATACCCAACGCGTTCGAGATGCAGAAGAACGTGTATCCTGATATGGTCGCGCTGAAGAACGGGTTCAAGATGCTATTCCAGTCAAAGAGTAGGGTGGCGGGGCCGCCGTCTGGCCCGGGACATAGGCCGGCGGCGCAGGCGATTCCGATTAGGCGTTGAGGTCGTTTGCGGCGTGGCTAGATTGAGATGTTCCTCCTTGTATTATAAGTTATCATTTGGTGAGCGCACGCACAGCGCTGGGATCAAAATTTGGCTTGGCTGATTGGGGGGATTGAATTGCGAGGGCTTGGTGCTTGCTTGCTATTAGCCTTCGGGAATAGTTGCGTTGGCATTGTAGGAGTTGCAGCCCGGTATATGGGCGGGAAAGATCCTAAGATCAGCTAGTCTGGATACAATTGCAATAGTATTATGAGATGTCGAAAATTTCAGCTTTTGCATTTCATGCAGGGGTATCGTAAATCATAATCTATATCCCGTCTATCCTTCCCGTGAACGCCAGTTAATTCTTCACCAGTCGATCAATCAATCATCGCCGAATCTCCGTAATGTCAACACTAACCTTCCCCTTATTTTTATTCTCCCACCGATACGGCTCAAACCCATCTCCACTGCCCCCTCCACGACTCCCAACCCGCTGGTACGGCTCCGCGACAAAGTTGCTAGGCGCGAAGCTCGGCGCGGGAACAGCATTGTAGGCTTTCTTGCGACGCATGAGTCTGGTCTACGTTAGTTTCTGCTCTCCAAATCTGACAGAAGAGAGGGATAGGAAAGGAGGAAAGGAACTTACACAACCGCCGCGACGATAGCAAAGATGACGAACAGGCCCACACCAACAGACACCCCAATAATAACCTTATTAGACACCCCGCCCGTTTTGCCGTTCACAATCTCGCTCGCCTTAGCGCCTACATCCTTATCGCCGTCGTCTTTCGATGCAGTAGGTGTAGGCGGCGCAGTGTAACTAACGGGACTCCCGCTCGTGCTCGAGAAGCTCAAAGCGTTGTCACCGAAGTCTTGCGTTTTTACAACTTTATCAGTCACGCCTGGGGTAACTGGCCACGTTACGTCCGCGCCGGAGGGAACGACGGTAGTAAGCGTGCGCGTTTCGACGGTCTGCGTTGTGAGCTGTAGGCTATTGGGACAGTTTCCTATGACGGACGTCTGGCACTGGACGCCCGTGTGCGTGATTTGCGTCTTCTTGGTTACAGTCTCAGAAGCCTCGTCGGCACGCTTGTCAGGCTTTGTGGTGGGTGTAGGCGAGGCGGTCACGCTGGGAGGCGAAGTGGGCTTGTGGGCGCAGACTTCCGCGAGGGCAGTCGTCCAGATGGGGATGCTAGTCGCTGCGACGGGGCCCCAGGTATCTGTGTCGAAGACGATGCTCGCGCCTGCCACCGCACCAAGCGCCATCTGGTATTTTTGCAAGACGTGGATTTCGCAGTCTGCGTCTGCGGGCGCGAGCGTGACGTTGGTGGTGAACTCGGCGAGGTTGGCGTAAACGCCTACTTCGATACCGCCGGCTACTTCGGGGGTGCCGAGGGTGGTGTTGAAGATGGTTACATCAGGGACGCCTGGGGCTGTGACGGCGATGCCAGAGTGGATTCCTATGCGGAGGATGGCGGAGAGGACGACGCCTGCTTTCTCGATGGTGACGGGGAGGAACTCGAATTGGCCGCCGTTGAAGACGATGTTGGAGACGGAGTCGCTGAAAAGCGCGATGTCGATGCCTACTCCGTCGTCTAGCTTGATGTGCAGGCCGCTGCTGATGTCGATCTCACCCTGGACGGAGAGAAGGAGATCAACTTTAAAGACGACACCGAGAGTGAGGTTTTTGCCTACGGCGACGCCGATGGGCGTGTTGGAAGTGAAGAGGTTGAGTTCGTACGTTGCGCCTGCGCCTAGGACCGTGTTGAGCTCGAGATATAGCTCCATGTCGTCGAACATGAAATTTAGCGTGACATCGTCGATGGGCGCAATGTCCATGTCGAAGCTGTAATTGAGCGGCGGGAACGCAAAGTCGTGCCAGTCGATGCCGTCGTCGAGATTCTTCGCGACGCCTTTGAAGTAGTCCTCAAAGTAGTCCTCGACCTCTTGCGTGAAGTTGTCGACTGTGTTGAAGACGGAAGAGACGGTCTTGTTGAGCGCTTCGCCGGCATCAAAGTCGTCGGCGATATGGAGGCCTGCGCTTGCGATGCCTTTGACGTAGCATGTTGTGCAGGTGATTTCAACAGCTGCGGATACAGCAGCTGAGGCGTTCCCGTTGTCTGTCTCAACGGATTCGGATGCACCGCTAGTAACCAAGTTAGATGACCAGTGAGGCATCTGGGGGGATTGTACTTACTACTTGAGCAGAACGGCTCCGTCCCAGCTCCTGTCGAAGGTTACATTGCCCTTCAAATCCTCTATCTTTTGATGTCTCGCCTCAGCGAGCCCTCTTCGAATAGCAAGATGCGTATCCGCATCTGTGTGTCCCGGCGCATTGTAAGTACGAACAGAGACATCGGCCGCATCTGCAAGGCCAATGAAGCCAGCAGCCAGGCTCAAGACCGTCGTTACTCTTCTCATGGCCATATTGTCAAACGCGTGATCAATTTTCTCGCAATCCCAAATACAAAAGTGGGAAACCGTAGCCTTGCATCCACAGTCCCGAGCCTTTCGTCCTTATGTATTTACAGCACTCCCGCGCCGCACATACGCATCTGCATCTCCGTGCCTCCATCTCAAGACTAAAATAAGGCCGTGCCAAGGGCCAAACTGGTGCAGGGAGTGCATCAGAACACAGCGCCTTACCCAACGCGGCGTCGGACCCAAGAAGTTGGCCTAACACGAACGATCCGTGGGCTTGCGCTAACGAGTGTGGGAGTACGGCGGGCCACTTCGGTCATACAAAATGTGTGCTCAAGTCCGGTGTCCATCTTGTACCATGATTAGTGCGATGCTGCATTGTCGCTGCGCATGAAGCATTTCGCTCGTCCTAACATCATGCTTCTGGCGTATTCCTACTTCGAGTTAGAATGGTAAGAATTTTCTCGAGACATGCTAAGTGTTCGAGGATGAACAGATCCCAAACGACGCACAGCCTCAAACTCGGAGTTGGACTAGGGGATGAACGATGCCGAAACTGGACATGCGCTACGCCGCATCCAGGAATATTCTGGCCCCCCGAACAAAGCTCCGGATACATCGCGTGGGCGCACGAGCACTATGAAACGCTATGCACGCGACACTGCCAGCCTTGGGGATAGACATCTGACGGGCGCAGCAACGTCGTCTGGGGATAATTCTCCTATCGCGGGAGGGGCAGGCGCGGGATAAGAAAAGATGGTGACGATCAGTCAAGCAGATGCTGGGGGCGTTTCAGACGGTGCTGTGCCGCAAGGCTGCGGTGTTCGTGTCAGAGGCGAAGTGCTTGGTGAGGTTGAAGTCGAGGTGGGGGCACAGAATAGGCAATCGTCGAGAATGCGGCCGGCGCTAGTAGTGACACTTGCCTTTTGTGGCATATGCCATAGTGCGCTGCGGAAATAGTGACTCCCTAATCGGTAGATGGTGCTTCTACCTCTGGGGAGATTCCCATGGTTATGAAGGAATTGGCAGGCAGGAATTCCATAAAAGGCAAGCGTATATACCAATCCGTAGTTCGACCATCAAGCCATGTCTCAATGCGGGGATTGTACAAATCAAGGGTTTCGCCCAGAAGCGTAGTCATAGAGTGGTATGACGGCAGATGTTGAGGGCCGGGCGTACATTCGTATGCTGTACTTTGTAGCAGCATTGTGGTAGTTTTGAAGATCTTACAAATATAAGTACCGCATGTCCGTAGCTCCTCTATGTTCTACCGCATGGTTTTCATACCTCAGCGCGTCGCCAACTACCAATCGCGCTTTTCTTTTGTGTAGGTTGTGGCTTGGCTGCGCAACTCTGTCCGATATGCAGGCTCAATTACCTCCTGCCGGGTTGCGAGCAGGGAAAAAAGGGGGAGAGATAGAATAAAAGGGGGAGAGATAGAATAAAAAGGGGGAGAGATAGAATAAAAAGGGAGGGGAGATAGAGAGATAGAGAGATAGAAGAGAGAGAGAGAGAGAGAGAAGAAAAGAGAGAGAATGAGAGAGAGAGAGAGGGAGAGAGAAAAAGAGAGGGAGGAAAGGCAAAAAAAAGCACACCAAGCTCATGTCTCCCCACCCCGGCCGTCCTAGCCGGACAGCCGGAATGAGCAGGTAGTTGAGAGGAACATCGGCTGTCCCGAGGATCGAACTCACGTCCTAGGCGGTGAACTCCGCTTCGTTCGCAAGCCCTCTCCCAGAGTCCTTAGTCGCTAGCTGACCACTAGACCACTAAGTGCTTTCTCCTTCTGCCACAAGCTTAATGTGAGAGTATTTGTAAATCCAAAAGTACATATATGCGACTGAATTAGTGCGTTGGTTGGGTTGAGGTTGTGAATTGGGTGAGAGACGCTGAGGTCAAGTTGGGGAAAGAGCGAACGCCTACCAGGTGAATCATAGAACCTCGGGCGAGTAGCCTGCTCGCTCGCTGTTTCTCAGACAGAGTCTGCCATCGCACCTTGAAGTCGCTAGCCTGCTTGAATACAGTTACCGATATCTAAAACGGTTTCTATGCGGACCGTCATGCTCAATGCACCACAATCACGGGGACTGGCGTCCTGGTTTTCAAGTAATGAACCTAAGCGCCACCGCAAATCGCCAGTCGCGACTTGATTGTATTATCTCAATTTTGGGCTGGGACTCCCATGCATTGATCATTCTCAGAATCTTGCACCTGCAGTAGGTGAGAACGACAACCTGTACGATGATACCTGGCAAGAGAAGTGACCCTGACAAACCTCAACGTACTTAACTCTCTTTAAATTAAGTCTCTGTAAGGTTCCCACATATGACACAAATCCAATGTTTGCTGTATCAAAGATGGCATCTACAATGTGCCACTCCTTCTGAGGTCATGCGACCTTCATGATGCCACACTTCCTGACCAGACCGATGAAGTCCTCCTGTAGGACCTACCTGCCATGTATCTCATATCACAATCTTTCGATTACAGTTCATGAGAATGCGACTCGCTGGTGTCTTGAGAGGCTATCTCAAAGACACATATAGCTGTTACGGCCTGAAAGGGTTAACCATGGGGAGTTGTGTGCTAGAGTGACTCACAGGCTAGAATGCGTTTTGCATGTGCATGGACCTCACCCTAAATATCTAGCAAGTCTTATGTAGTAACAGCGAAAATAGCAGATGCATTCGGCTAATCTAAACTCAATGTTTGTAGGCAGGATGTATCGAATCGAACCCAGAAATAGCATAAACATTAGGAAAGACCAGAAGATTGCAAACGCTATGAGATCCAAACACCTGCGTGTTACCCCAGGAGTTGTAATACAAGGTCTGAATAATAGGATTGGACATGACTACGTCCTACCTGCCCACGTCTAGCTAATGCTCAGCCAAGTGTAAGGCTGTCCAGGATGTCTGAAATGGTATCCACACTATAGTAGGGTGATAGCCTCATCCTGGTTAGTGCACTCCTTACAACGATCGCACATACAGCTTTACTGTTCGTCGACTTTAATATACATGTAAAAATGGGACACTAGCAAAGTAGCAGTGAAGAGGAGATGATACTTCCTGACGGTCGACCATACCAAACTTGTATTGGTCACATCCGGCTGCCCGAGAAACGAAGGAAGATTAGCTAGCGCTGCTTACGTTCTCTCCAAACGTCTTGCTATTGATCTGGACGATACTTCGGCACTCTAGCTCTAGTATATGATCTACTATTAGGCCAGCCATTGACCATCGAAATGAGCATTGTTTTAACAAGCTCTTGAAATTTGTGCACTTTTGGAATTTCAAAGCAACACTTAGGTGATTCTCTCTTGAAGTTTATTCAAACGTAAATAGGAGTGACTAGATAGATAGAACATTGAATAATAGCTTCGTAGCCCCAAAGCCACTTCTTCTATCCTGAATTACTTGTATTGATAGCCTGAAGCTTACATTACTACTATAGTCAATGGAGTACTTATGGATCGCAATCGTTACACCTGCTAACATATGTCACGGCTTTCATAGAGATATATGGGATCTAGAGTAAGGAGCAATGCTTCTTTTCATGGATATATACTCATGTGTTGGCTTCAAGCAAAAAAGCTTAATCAGTGAGAACCGGTCCTGAACGTACGGGGAGGCCTCGCTCGTGCTCACGCTATACCAGGCATCCTATCAATAACAGATGTGAATGTGAACATTGAAGGAGGCATTCACAATGCGGATCATCCTATTGTGATGCTCACACTATAGATTAGGCCGAAGAGGAGCCCTCATTCACCGACCCGCCCAGTGACCGCCGACGTTATTAGTGAAGGCAGCAAGCAAACGCAAAGAAAGTGATGATCTAGAGTGAACAATAGCTGCTAGATGCACAATAGCGAAGGCAACCGTGAAGTGGGAGTATAAGAGTCCAGTTCGGCCTGCAAAGTTAGTGATCTCTCCCATATCTAAACTCCCATATCTAAACTCCCATATCTAAACTCCCATATCAAACTCCCATATCAAACTCCCATATCTGAACGCAAATCTACAATGTCGTCGAACAACGATAACAACGACACCCGCCGTGATTGGCAACCCTGTGAGAGCTCCCCCAAGACATAAGCGTCCCTCAGGGCATATGGCTAACTGTACCCATAGCTAAGAAGACGACGTCTGGCGACAACGCCACGTCCAGCGGCACTACTGGGGCTGATCCCCCAAACTCAGGTATCTTCACAATTCTGCTCTGCTCTCGGTCCTACATCTCATACGCATAAAGTAATATGCCAAGGCACATACAAGTTCAGCGGGTGTAGTCCAAACCAACATCCTCGAGTGCGCGGGAGTCAAGTGCTGGATGGAATCGTTTGGCCATGTCAATTTTTTTTTGATGAAATCTGCTAATACACATCTTGTAGATGATCGAAACGACGGTGGTGGCGGCGACGGAAAGAGCGGCGTACGATAACCTACCCTAAACATGTCGATGTAGAATGCTAACTAGATGAATTTAGAAAAAGACAACTTGGAGCAACATCAAGAAGTTTTTCAAGAGGTAGTTCTGCGTCGTAAGTCAAATCTAACGTCCATCTAGCCTACATCACACTGGCGGAAGCAACATCCGTTCATAATCACTTCCATCCACGAGATGTTGGCCGATGCAGAGAATTTCTTAACACCATTTACTGACCATAATATATAGTGCCAGCACGAAGATGCTGTGGGTGGATGAGCATGGGATCGGACATATGTGTATATGAGTCTTAGGACTACGGACAATGGAAATGTCAAGGCTTTGAAGTGCTACATGATGATTCGACAATATGAGTGCATCTTCTTCTTTTGACACGACCCTACAACGAAGCTCAATGACCAACATCCCAACGTTCACCGCCAGCTTGCCAGTCGCAATGCTGAACGCATGATTGTTCACGAAGGTAGAGTAGAACATCCGCATCGCTCCTTCCAACAGTGCGATGGAACAACGCGCCGACGATGTATAGTCACGACGCCTACCTTTGGATGTTGGGCGGAATACGCAAAGCCCTTCCTAACAGCAAAACCTCACATCTTGCACTGGATGTGTAAACTCCAAAATCCGAATCTTCCATTGAGAGCGTAAAGATATATCGTGGTATCCATAGAGCTGCGTATATATACCCAAAAGCCGCACAATCGCCTGTTGCTAGCACGTCTATGTTGTGTGGCTCTTCCGTCTCGTAAGCCGTGCTCAGTATCCCAGCCTCAAAGTAGGCCATCCCAATGAATCCCCTTCCCACCCCCACCTTCCTATGAAATGTCTATAATACACAAACGCCGCCGACCCCACGCCCAGTCTCGCAGAACCTACCACTCAATTAATATTACCATACTGCTCTTCTTTAAAACCCATAACCCCTCCTCACCCCTAACTCTCCTCCCCGCACCCGCACCCCCACCAGCCCCAATATCAATACTCTGCAGCTCCAAACTAAGTGCCACATCCTCATTCTCCAGCGGAATCTTCGCCGGAATAGGCGGCGCAGCAGCACCGGAGTGCCGCGCGCCATACCCAGGACTACTCCCGTACCCGCCGACGTTCTCCCTCTCGCGCAGGACATTCGTGTTTGGCATGGGGATGCTGCTCGGCGAGTGTGCGGGCGGAGAGTCGTAGTCGTATGCGGACGCTGTGCGGGCGTGAGTGCCGTTGCTGCGCTTCTGGAGGCGGTTGCGACTGCTAGAAGGGGGCGTTGCGTCGCGGTCGGCGAGGACTAAAGCGCCTGCATTGACGGGCGAGTTGTACTCGTTGAAGTTGTGGCGGGACGTCACGAGGGCGTTGCTGGGGCTGCTGCTGGCGGCGGAGCCGAACGTCACGTCGGTCGCCTGCCGGATGCGCTCGCGGTCTGCGCGTTCTCGACGATACCGTTCCTCGCGCTGTGCAGCTGCTTCGAGGTCCCGTGCTCCGTTGAGAGCAGCCCGTGAACGCACCGGGCGGACTTTTTCAGTGGGCTTGCGCTCTGGCTCGGGGGCCCAGCTGTCTATGGGGAGGTGATCTGAGGCATCGATGACACGTCCACTAAACGTGACAACCTGGCCTTGGTCGTTCATCTCCATACTGCTGCCGGGGCGATCAGGGTCCGAGGAGGAAGGCTTAGCATTCGGATTATACACGTCGAAACTGTCCGGATCGAAAGGCACGCCCGACAAGCGACGCTCTTGAATCCCGTCGGATGAAGGAGGTGGCCGAGGCGAGACCGACTTGCGGGTTGGCATGCTCCGCTGAGGCAGGCGCGATGAGCGATCATGGACCGGACTGTGAGCATTCGCAGGGCTGATCGAAGGGCTGATAGCACGAGGCTTGACGGGGGTCAGCTCACGTACAGGTGACCTCCGGCGGGGCTCTTCTGGCGGTGCATGAGGATAGTAAGGGTCTTCTGGCGGCGCGGAATGATAAGTCAATGGATGCGGCCGTGAGGGTGCATCATATTGCGGAAGGTTTCGGTAGTCCGGCTCAGATAGCTGCCTCGTGCGTGGTGGATCATCGTATGAAGGCGGCGGTGCTTGATAGGCACTCAAATCTCTACTCTGCCGTGCGGCAAGTCCAGGGACCAGACTTGCTGGGATCATGGCTGTCTCGTTCCGCAACGGTGAGGGTGCCATGGTATCCCGGGACACCGGTCGACTCACGGGGCGTGGATGTGTATACCGGCGCTCTTGCGTTACGACTTGACCGTATTCATTCGCCCCGTAAGGCTGTGGGGTTGGATCGTAGCCGTACTGGCTTGGTTCCTCCCTGTACCGCGACATATTCAACGGTGCGGGTGCGTCGCTACGATAGTCTTGAGGCTGATGCTGCGGTTGCGGCAGAGTGTTCGCACCTTTCCTGTGCACTGGTGGTGGTGGCGGCAGGTCGTCTTCGTCTTCCACCGTAGGCTGCATCGCACTTGCCCTTCGACCATGTGATGAATACTGATGGTCATACGGGCTTTGCGAGTCACTGTATCCGTTTGGCGAATGGAATTGCTCATGAGGCGCGACTAGCTCCTGGCTTCGGGAGTTCCTACTCAGCCGTAGAGGCTCAACGTGATACGAGGGATCCTGAAAAGTGTCCCTTCCATAACCATCAGACTGCTGAGGTGTATGGGGGTTTGAATACGCTGGCTCCATATAATACGGGTCCTGGATGGGCTCAGGCTCGTGTGTGAGCGGGACGGCAGGCGCAGAGTATGAGTGTGCTAGCTCCGGAGGATTGTACGATTGCCGGCGGGATGATCTGAAGTTCTCCTGTGACATAGCTCGATGCCCCGGGTGTGGGTCGATTGGCTGCACTTCATACGGCTTGGGGGCAGCATACGAAAGGTCATAACCAGCTTCGTTGTACTGCGGTAGGTTTGTATTGGACGAACGCGGGTTCGGCGGCGGTGTGTGGTATGCCTCCTGGTCAGCCGGCCGCGGTGCCGGTGGCTGCTGATGCTGTGGAGTGTGTTGCTTTGGTGGTGGCGTCTCGGACAAAGCTGAGGCGCCCGGCAACGGCCTGCGTGGAGGTGTGTCTGCGTGCTGGCTTGACCGTGACTTGCTCGGCGTGTGCTCGTGGCGAGGACTGCCATAGCTACGAGGGCCTGCCTGTATCCCCCTTAATCCACGCTGCTCTGGGGTATTTACTGGAGAAGGTGAAGCTCCTGTGGGATCTGAAGGCAGCGGCCTCCGCTTGACGGGTGTGCTTTCGCGTGGTCCGCCAACCGCAGGACTTCCGCCGGGCCTTGCGCTTTGTTGTTTCTGCACTGCTGGTGTCTTATCCTCCTTTGGACGCGTGTCGTAGTATGTGAGCTCGATGCGGATCTCTCCGGCATATTTGCCCCTACAATTGAGACCGTGCCAGGTGTCGCTCTGTCCGCCGCCCGGAATGATGACGGCCTCGAGGTTTACCCACGTCTCTCCAATGAGCTCCGTCTTCTTGTCGTCGTTGAACACAGACACCTTGAGCTGGTGGTAGTCGGCCGAATCGTGGACAGTGAATCGAAGTTCCTGGTCCCTACGTCATGTCAGTGCAAGCTCCTGTAAGTGGTGTTGGAATCGAGCATACCATCTTGGAGTCTGTCCACCGCGGCGGTCTGTGTTTGTTTTCTTTGCTTCCTTGCCCAGTCGAGCAGCACAGTACGGGTCCTGCTTTCCCATGGAACGGCGGTTCGGTAGGTTCTTCGCGCGGTCGATGATGGTGACCAGCGTGCCAATTATAGGCCCGTCGACCGTCATGTCGGAGTAGATGCCGGCGGTGTGCTGCGCGACCGGCGCCATAGGTTTTACCAATTTTGTAGCTGCCATGCTGGGCCTTCTCTTACCATGAGTACCTCTTTGAGATCGAAGCTCAGAGTGCGCTGGCGGCGAGAGTCGCGGAGGATTCGGTGGGCGGAGGGGTGGAGTAGCCGCGCGTGCGATGAGCCTCGACGCGGTGCATGCGCTGCAATTGCGGAAGCAGAAGGAAAAAGCTCAGCGAGAGAAGGGCGGAGGAAGTGACGACACCTAAAGAATGACTACCTGCACGAAGGCCCACTCTGGTGCGGTTGCGAGCGGTGGCTTTGATGGGGAGCTCGCTCTGTTTGTGTTGTGCAACAGGTGTGGCTGGTTACCCAGCCTCCGCGTCAGACGCCGCCCACTCAGCGCCCCCAGATCTGCTCGTAGCTCCCGCTTGCAAGGCGTACCTTGCATCCGCCGAAACACAGCAAGCCAGAAACAGATGCATTCCCTGCGAACTCCCCATCGAGATCCGGCACGCACGATGCGCCGGCTCCGCAATTGGTGGCTGGCTGTCACTGCAGTACACGACCGACAGCTTCGCGTGAAGCTCTCGCATGCAGCATCGCGACGCGCGTAACCATGCAGCAGAACGCCAGTAATCCTCTTTCCTATTCGCCGCGAACAGGCCCGAGTACGCAAAGTAACTTGGACATGTCTCTCGATCAAGATCTCACAGCCCATGGACATCGAGCGGAGCGCACGCCGGGATACCGCGGCTCACAGTCGTACGATGTGCCTTATCAACATCGACGTCCAAGTTTGTATTGCTCCGACGTTGACCAGGACAGCGTGGCTGGGAGATATCACCAGGAATCGACTCACTCAACGAGTACCGATCCTGATCGCGAACCTTGATCGCGATCCCATGCTTTCGTCATTTCATCTCGCTCTTCTGTGTTGATGATGAGCTGGCCGTCGACGCTCAGACAACAGAGTGCACGCGTGTAGTCCCGGTCGGACTACCAAGGCCCAAAGCAACTATAATTTCAGAGCTGCACCGGCGGATCTAGGCGCATCATTCTCCATGCTGCTCTGGAAGGATGCAAAGAAGACGCAGAATCGGTGTGACACTGCTCTGCAGACGTGAACAGAAAGAAGCACGGACTGCAATTTCTCGGCTTACAAGAACGCTGGAATTCATCTTGACTGAGAAGGAGAAGAGACGACGAGAGAACACACTTCCGGAATGCATGTAACCCAGGTTGCGAAGACAACGTCTCAATCAAAGCCCTAGTGAGACTTTCCTGTGAGCCTGGCAGCCTGGTTCCTCAGCCGAAGAGAACCCCATGTTGAAACCGGCTTTTACCAGCCTTCTAGATCATTGATGTTCAGAAAAAACAACCACAAATTTGACAGGCAGGCAGGCATTTGTGCAGTGCGCGGTCTCGACCACCGCAAGGCGAGTGCGCTATCAGCCCTCGACGAAGGCCACCCTGCTCGCTACGCATGCCAATCACACCAGATTCAGATCAACTCTTCTCAGCCGCAACATCGCAATCAAGACTGGTGCGTCTTCTTCGCCCATCGACATCCAACTTTATATACGAAAATGGCTCGCTGTCCATGTCTTCGTGGGATGCTTTGCTAGAGCGTGTTTTGCGACGGCTTGACAGCTTGCATATCGAGAGCGATGGCTTCAGCAGTTCCAAGAGCCGAACTTGCGCTATCGCCTGCTCATCATATGCATGCACGAGATATCGATTTGCTTAGGCGACTTCCTATTCCCGTCCCCTCGTGCTCGTGCTGCGAGTCACCCGCATCCTTGGATTGACTATGTTGGCTGGGCTTTGCTATTTGTACATGAAGGTGCACCGCTATGCTGCACCTCCGCGAGGCTGCTAATTCAGCGTTATCTATATGTAAATATTTCGCTTTGCCACACCGCGGCCGGCAAATGCAATGGCGGATTTGTCGAATCACTACTAACAGCTTGACTTCCTTCATTTTCTATTGAAAAGTTCGTGTTTCGATCCTCGCATCTTTCAGCCTGGCTGATGTCTTTCGCTTTTCGTCGATGAATCCTAATGTTTCTCTATTCTTAACATCCATGTATACCAGAATATTCATAACAGTGAGCTTGGTGGCGCACTGGCGGTCTGTGCTAGCCGTACCGACATGGCCAGCACCTACTGATGAGTTGGAAGATATGATGTTCCTCAATACAGGCTACCGATCGAGGGGCCTAGCGAATCTAGTTACGCCTTGCTCGAAGGGACTCAACACCAGCCGGGTTACGGCGGCCGAATGGCTTCGGACTGCCTTCCATGATTCGATTAGTGGTAACATATACACCGGCGCAGGTGGACTAGACGGATCGATTGCATGGGAGCTCGACAGCCTCGAGAACGAAGGGAATTTCGCCGACGATTCAGTAGCCGCCTGGGCACCCTTTGTCTCCGATTTGACATCCTTATCCGATGTGATTGCTGCCGCGACGTACGTCTTGACACGTTCCTGCAGCAATATCAGTGTTGCGGTTCGCGGCGGCCGTGTTGATGCAACCGAAGCTGGACCCAGCGGATTCGTGCCTCAGCCTCAGAACGCTGTCAGCATCTTTCGAAATCAATTTGCAAGGCTGGGTCTGGACGACCAAGGCATGGTTCAATTTATTGCCTGTGGTCATTCGATTGGCGGCGTCCACGGTGGGGATCATCCGGAGATCACTGATTCAGCTCTCGCGAATTTCGACACAACTCCTGCTGTATTGGACAATCAAATCGCTGTCGAGTATGTCTCGGGAACCACGAATGATCCTCTAGTAGTCGGGAAATCGACAACCAACACAAGGAACTCCGATTTCAGAGTGTTCAGCCAGGCAGATAAGAATGCCACTATCAGATCGCTGGCAGCCGATCCTCAACTGTTCGCAAACGCTTGCAAATCGCTTTTCCAGACAATGATCGATCAAGTCCCAGCTGGAACCCAGCTTTCGGACCCTATTGCCCCGTATGAAGTCAAGCCGTATGCGTTGCAGCTTACTCTTCTTGATGGTGGTTCAAGAATCAGATTCACCGGCGACGTTCGGATCCGCACCACCCAGGGGACTATCTCGCAAGTGCAGCTTGTATACACCGATCGCAATGGTGCAGTGGCGCAGACACCCATCAGCACCTCGGTCAAGGGCACTGCTACAGGCTTCGATGATAGCTTTTCCTTCTTTGGTTTCTCCACAGACCTTCTCGTGGATACTTCGATTTCATCGTTCAGAGTTTCAGTCACCTATAGCGACTCCACTCAGGCCACGTATGACAACAATGGATCCGGGTTCCAGGTGGTGGACACCGTCATCTACCAGGCTCCACAAAGTTGCTTAGACTCTTCCGGAAAGCTGACAGTCGTCGCTGCTGTTCGTAATCAGACAGTGCCTCATTTACAAGTCTTGATCAAGGTACCGCAGGCTGAGCCGAATCCTGTGCCTTCGATCTCTATGAGTACAGTGCCTATGGCGGCCCAATCTGCAGTTGGTCCGTACCAACTCTACTCGGCTGACTTGGCTTTCCCGAATTCTCTAGCTAATCCGCCTGTGTTTGGTGTTTTTGCGGGCAGTGTGTCGGATTCGAGGAAGAGTGTGAGCGGCTTGCCCACCAGTTGCAATACGTTGGCGCCAGCAAGACAAAGTTCTCAAATAAAAACATCGAGCTCGGCAACGACACAATCTTCGATTAGTAGCTCTTCCTCTGCGATCGTGTCAACCACAGCTACGCTGTCGAGTAGTTCAATCACTTCCTCCGACATTGTGTCAGCATCTAGTGGGACGTCTACCCAGAGTTTACATGCGACTGGATCATCAACCTCTTCGTCTACCACTCTTTCTCCATCACCAACACCCTCTGCAAACGTCTCATTCCAAGGCTGCTACTACGACGCTGTCAACCCCCGAGCCCTCTCAGCGGAGTCTACATCCTCCTCCGACATGACCGTAGAAGAGTGCGCAGCAGCCTGCACGCAATACCACTACTTCGGCCTAGAATACGCTCGAGAATGCTACTGCGGCAACACTCTCGACTCCGCCAGCACCCAGCAGCCCGCCACCGACTGCAACATGCCGTGCAGCGGCACCTCCACGCAACTCTGCGGCGGCCCCTCCCGCCTCAGCCTCTACACCAACCTGCTCTACTCCCAACCCAGCAACCCACAGATCCCCGGGTATGACTACAAAGGCTGCTACAGCGAGGGTACCACCACGCGCGCGCTCCTAGGCGCGAGTTTTAGTGAAGCGGACATGACGGTGCAAACATGCGCGTCGCTTTGTCAAGGGACGGCGTACTTCGGCCTGGAGTACGGGCGGTACGTCCTGTCCTCCTTTTCCTCCCTTCATCTCCTCTCCCCTTCTCCTCCCTTCTCCCCTCCCACATTATACTAACACCCCTAGAGAATGCTACTGCGCCCCCACCCTCCAGTCCTCCTCCTCCCCCTCCCCCAACAACCTGCACCATGCGCTGCGCCGCAAACCAAACTCAGTACTGCGGCGGGCCTAACGCCCTTTCCTCTACGTCAACAGCACCGCACCCCAGGTCCAGGTTATCAACCCGATAATAAACAATTACACATACGCAGGCTGTTTCGTAGACGCCGTGACCGCCCGCGTGCTGAGCGACGTGTACGTTTCTGGCGCAGACATGAGTGTCGAGAAATGCGCGGGTGTCTGTGGGGATATACGTGGTTTGGCACCGAGTATGGGGCAGAATGTTACTGCGCTAACGTGCTCGGAAATGGAACCCAGGAGGTGGAAGAGGGGAGTGTGGGATGGTGTGTGTAGGGGATGGAGGGGAGTGGTGGGGGTGGGGAGGCTGAGTTTGTATCATTATTATGGGGGAGGGTTGAAGATAAGATGGGTTATCCGGAGGCGAGGTGTGTGGTTTGTCATTGACTAGTGATATAGTGAGATGAGGAAGTGTTTAGGGCGTCTTTTGTTTGCTGGGTGGGGTGGTGGGGTGGATTATGTGGATGGATGGGGAAGGTGGGGCAAGGACTTGTAGTCGTTGCCCTGTTGTATCTTACACGTGGGTGATGAGTAATAGCAGTAGGGTGCAAGTTCTTTACGCACTGGGTTCAAGAGTAATAGCGTGCCTGAGAGTTCTGCTATGTCCAGAGTGCGTATGTAGATGAGATGGCGAATGTCGGGTATGTGAATTAGAGTACGATCGATATCTCGCGGGATTCAGAGTAGCATACATAAGTGAGACTTGCCTGGTAATTCTTGGCTCACGCTGTGAGGAAAACGCGATGATAGTTAAAAAAGATTAGTGGAGGTGTTGGGGGTGGGCATTCGTGACGAGCAGGAACTGTTTGTGATTAGACAGCTGCTTCCTGAAAACTTGCTGTCATATGCACTTTAGGGTGGTAACGAGCAATGTTGTCTCGCAAACATTGGGTTGTCAAGTGTGAATGACATAGTCACCAGGTCGCGGTATACATTGCTTGCTATTTATTTGTGACAAGTATGAGCACTCGCTGTGCTGTGTGCTGTGTGCTGTATGCTGTGTGGCTTGCGGTATGCCGTATAAAAGGCCGTGAAGCTGTCAACCCATTTGCATCTCCATGTCTTCCCTGGAAAACTTGACCCTGAACATCCTTTCTATATAGCTGTCTGATTCATTTACACCCGATAGATATGAGTGTACCCATTTCAAGGCCGTTGCGTCTTCAGCAGATGATGGACCTGAAGGTCTTGACCAGGCTCCTCTAATGCAGCCTAGTATGTGATTGGTGGCGTGTGGGGGAGCATTTTCAACCTGCACACGGTAAACCACGGTCCACGTCACAACACAATCTTGGAAAACTTCAATCAAAACACCCCACAGATCGCACCGATCCACCTGCTACCTACTTCACGCCCTGGGAGAGACAGTATTGTAAGTGCACTCTGGGATCCACGCCAGGCGCTTGGACTGATCAAATGCAAAGGCAACTTGCAGCGTGAACTGCGTCGTCACCTATCTGCCTCCACCGTCCACCTCGACACTCGAATCTCGTCTCTAATAATGGGGGGTTTCCCCTTCATGAAGCTGCCTGGAGGTACGTATGCCTCGAAGCGATATCGTAAACAGTAACACTAATCCACGACAGAGATCCGGAACATAATCTACGAGATCCACGCCGCATCAGAGCCTGAGCGCAAATTCCTCCGTCGCCCGAACGCTGCTCAACTGTACCTGAGCATGGAGCCCCGCCGACGCGCTTCGCCCTTGCGCAGACCTGCCATCAAATCCGAAGGGAGTACCTTCCCGTCTGCTGGAAGGCTTCCCGCATCAAGGTTCGTTGGGAGGATGCTGCCACATTCTTCCACGAAATCTTTCCCCAGAACGACCGCGTAATCACCAATAGTGAACGCGCCCCTCGGAAATTGACAATCCTCGTTGGTCCTGACCACGTGGAGTACAGCCCCGGCCTCAGCCTCGAGATGCTTCCCATTGTCCAATTGCGCGGGATTGCGGGCACTAAGTGCTCCTTTGACGTCGACGAGGACCGCATCCACTCTGTTGACGAATGCGAGAACGCTGAGGTGGACTGCCAGAACATGGAGTCTTTCTTGACCTGTCGCTCTGATCAGTACTGGCGCGATGTGACTCTCGGCAATTTCAATTCCATCCTCTGGTCGCGGTGTGTCCGTGAGGCAAGCACGGTCGGCTCGGTCAAGTGTTGCCAGCAAGTGCAGGTGGTTTTCAAGCAACCGTTCGCGCCGCGGGACTGGGAAGTGATCGAGGGACGCGACTGGCCAATACTGTGTTCGCCCTCTACCACGAGGTGTTCAAAGAGGACCTTCACGGGTCGCTGGACTGCAAGTTCTCTATTACAGTCGTCTGAAGTATCCTATATTACTGTCGCGAGCACCAAGTTCCTTAGGGGAAAGGTGCAAATGCGGCGAAACTCTTTCGGTCCTTGAATCTTCGAAATTTTCACAAACTTGGAACATTTTAAATGGCTCTTTAGAATAGCTTTGTTCGCGTCTACCGGGATGCAAATGAGTCTTTCGAACTACTTCGCACTGATCGGCTCTTACAGCGATTATGCACTTAGAGTAGATCAATTGTATGTAATAATAGATCAGAATAGACTTAACTTATGGAATGTTGTTCGTGCCTAATAATTGACTAGGTAAGCTAACTACCATTCCATGTCCCAAATCATCTTGACTATGCGCCTTTGGTTATGTTAAAGCCAAAGGATAGTGTGACGACTATTTTACCTCAGATCAAAAGGTTATGTGGAGGTTTGGAAAATGCAGATGGCCAGCGAGGATGAGTCTATTAGCGCACGGATAGCTGTCATCGCCATTGTTGAAAGCTTATGAGTCCCTGTGTTTATTTCTCCAGTATTTCTTAGAGCCTATGTGATGACCTGTGGGTCGCGTGATGTGTTGAGCGGTTGCGAAGCAAGCTTTACCACCTTCTAGTACCTGACCGCGTGTTATAGGCATGTGAGCATAGCTATGCTCTGTAATGTAGTCTTATCCAAACATTTGGGTTTAATATGACCAAATCACATGAATACCGTCTATAGACTAACCATGTTACTATTTGAAGCTCGCAGAGCCAGGTCCGGAACCTGGGAGTATATGTCCACTTTGACATGGTCTATATATTTTGAATATTGAAGTTCAGGGACGGGCGCTCCAATCTGGGACTTGGAAACGAATCGCTCTATGCCGTTGAGCATACATATCGACGGGGAGTTGACGCCAGAAATTTTCAACCTGCGGAGAGTTCGCTTGGAGTTCCCTTTAGCAGCAGAAGGGCAATGAGGGTATGGTTAACCGGGGGTAGCACCTTGATGACGTGATGCGGGTTCTGTCAAATCTTGAGTCGCTTTGTGCGCCCCTGCCGAAATTACCACACCCCACACCCAACACCACATACTCCTTAACAGCACCCCGCAGCTGTTTTCACGACCGGAGAATCGTCAATTTGACCTTGTACAAGCGTGCTACGGCGACAGCGGCAAGTTCTTCTCGGGCTCAACGCGCGCGCAGGTAACAACGGCACACTAAGAAGCTCGACCTTGGTATGAGTAGCACATCATCAGGAGGTTTATATATATCTGACAAGACCCAGTCGCTTTCAGCGCCCACTACTTCTGCACCTTTCTAAAACCACCCGCCCACCGATATTATGGCTTCTTTTCGTTTCCTGGACCTGCCCGGCGGTAATTGTCTTCACTGTACGGGAAAGTAACACTGCTAATACATCGCAGAGGTCCGCAACCATGTATATAGGTGCCTATCGGAGTCGGAGCCGGTTACTATACTTTACCCGTCTCTGCCTCTCCAAGTACAGGACCAGAACGGAGCGCCGGAACCGCCCGCACTTCGCTCCAGCCGCTTTGCCCTTGCGCAGACTTGTCGACAACTTCGACAAGAGTACCTCACGATCTGCTGGAATGGCGCTCGCCTCGCTGTTCGCTGGAGGGATGCACTTGCCTTCTTCAACACGTTCTATACCCCCGATGAACGCCACATCATCACCAACATCCACCGAGCGCCGCAGCGTCTGACAGTCTTGGTCGGCGCCTTCCATGTGGCTGGGCCAATCCTCGAGATCCTGCCATTCGTTCAGATGAGCTTGATCACTCGGACTACGTGCTTCTTCGACATCGACTACTCGAGCGTTACCACCACTCGCGACCGCGATTTGGCCGAGGAAGACTGCAACACCATGCACTCCTTCCTCGCCTGCCGGGTCAAGCAGTGGCGTCTCGACGTTACCTCCGGCAAACTCCGGTCCATCAAGTGGAAGCGCAACTACTTGCCGGCTAGGCCGCGCGCACGCGTTTGGGTCCAGTTCAAGGAGCCCTTCGCTCCCCAGGATTGGGCCGTGATGGCCGGTCACTACTGCCCGAAGTATCTTGCTATGACCGTCTTCGCGCATCTGAGCGAGGCCGATAGGTTCGATCTGCAGCAAACCTTCGGCTGCAAGTTCAGCGTGACGGTCTAGTCTACACGCGCTATTCTTGTTGCGTTCACATCCCTGTGGACTTTGGGAACTACAGCAAATGAGCGATGTCCGGCATGGAGTATTTCGGAACGTTGGTGGATAAGGAATGAATGTTTCTGCGGCCTTGTTTAAAGGATCGCACGATGTCTGTGGATGGCTTGGGGTCGTCTCTAGCGACCTGATTCACGCATGCGAAAAGAATCATCTGCTATGCATTCCCCTAGCATACACACTCAGTCTGTACATGGATCACGACTCAACCCGTGGCTAAAGTCGCCCGTTTGAATGAAACTCATACCTTTACTTCCTGCTTCAATGTCAACGTCTCGTCAGTTGGCCCCTATGGGGGCGTAAATGTCAAAGTCTCTTCAGTAACATTCTTGCTCAAAGATTAAAATCTACCTCCTTCTTTAACGTCAGCAATTCAAAGCTTGTCTTACACCCCCAGATGCCGCTACAAGTCTGCCGTCTGACCTCCACAAACCCTCTTCTGCGCCAGTAATCACCATTGACACATTCTGCGCAAATAATCCACGCTTGTACCGCATGTATCCTTCCACTTTCGGACTCTGTTAGCATACTCCCGTTATTCCTTGCAACTTGTATCTTTTCTCGCTCTCTCCCAACAATGAGTTCCTCAAGCGTCTTTAATAGTCCCATCGCCAAGCCTTTCCTCCTGTACTTCTCGCCTTCGTCTACACAAACAGTCTTGACCTCCCATCCCACCTCGTCTCCAGGATCTTCACTTTGCCACCCACCTTTCCAAGGCACAACGCCTGCACATGCTACTAACTTCCCTCTCCTCGTCTCCTTGTCGCTGCTCGGCACTTCAACGCGCGCCTCTTCGTCCATCTCGGATTCGTCCAAGATGACAACCATGGTGCTTTCATCGGCAGCAAATTCGGTAAGCAATTGTTGCGTGCTTGGGAAACGTGATTGTGGCCGGTAAGTCCATTCCTCAGGATGACTGAACGAGTAGCGAGAGAAGGCCTCGTTGCAAAGGTCGACGAGGTGTTGGGTGAGCTTGGGGTTAGTTTGGAGGTCGCGGGTGGTGAGGAATATTGGGGGCGTTAGTGCGGTGGACATTGTTTTCTTGAATTACGCTGGAAAGCGAAGACGCTAATGCATTGAGATGTGTAAGACGTCGTGAATTTAAACATGGCTCGTCCTTCCCCAAGGCCATTTTATGGGTGGCCGCTTGAGTCATACGGTCTGATATCCTAACGCCTTGCGTCTAGTAATCGGAGAAATCGTGCAAGCCCACTTCTTTCCTTGTATTTCTGGACCTTTGGCGAAGGTCTAGAATTCGAATCCTCATCGCGTGGATGTTATCTTGCCCCGAGCCCCGAGATGAAGAGGGTGGATGTGAGCTTTCCGTTTTCGGGTTAGCACGTTCAACTAGCTTGCACCGCGTCATTCGCATCCATCATCGACGAATGTCACTGTGGACATTAAAACTGAAATTATTCTGAAAGCAACAGACTTTGGTTCTTTCTAATTGAAAGACTCTTCGCGAGGTTGTCAGAGCGACCTGTTAGCACCAAGTAATATCGTAGATACATTCTCTGCTTGATATATTCTGCAGACATGGAGCTGATGAAGACTCAGATCGTCCATACAAAGACTGTATCTCTGCCTCATAAGTTAAGCAGCCCACATCGAACTGAGTTGGGTCAATGAATCAAGGCGCACTTCAGTCCGGTAGTATGCGATTCGGCACGCGGCAAATACGAAACACCGTGTGCACCATCACCGCATGGATCATGCGCCACGTATATCTTCCCGCCATTGGTCGATTACTGCTTAGCATTGCCTGAGCACATTCTGCCTAATTACCAGGCACGATATCGAAACGCTGAATAACGACATGCGGTGTGCTCTGCAACGTCTTGTGCTACCAGCGTTGGCTTGGTCATGTCAGGCTGTGCCGGTTACGATGGAGACAAGAGATGATCACACATATCGTGCAAGGCTTAATATGAAGGGTGTTATGGGAAGAGCAAGCGCACATGCGTGGCGATGAGCTGGTAATTATATAAGAGTTGGACGCGGTGTGAGGCATCGAAGCATCATCGCTACTTCCCTGCTCTACCAACATTCACTTCATACCGACCCGGTGTCGTTCATTGATATCATCTCTTCCAATCAATCGTTTAACGGATTATACCCATTCTCTACACAATCTTCAACATGCGCTTCACCTTCGCTACCATTCTGGCTTGTACGCTTCTGTCTCTCGAATCATCTACGGCTCGACGCTAACGTGTACATTAGTTGCCACCCTCTCTTTCGCACAGATCACACCCAACGTCGCTGGTGCCAAGAACGTTGGAGCAGGCAACGGCGCCCAGTTCATCACTGGTGGATGCGTTGCCGACGCGGACTGCAGCTCTGCGTGCTGCGCTGATGCCTCGGGCGTAGGTGTCTGCAGCGCCGAGGCAGCACAGTTCCAGAATGGAAAGAACGGTTGCGGATTCGCGGACCCGAATGCCGATGCTACGATTGCGGCGGCTCAGGCTCAGGTTGAGAAGCAGGGATTCAAGAGGGTTGCTAAGAGGGACTGCTAGAAATATCACTAGAAGGGATGTGATGAAGGGCAACTGTGCCAGTGGCTCTCAGACTCGTCTAATGACTACTTATTGAAATCATGTACTCCTCGACCTTGACCCGGGTGCTCATGTCATCGAATAGACCTGCTTATTGAATTCGCCGACACCCTTTCTTCAATTTGAACGGTGCGCATGCCTTCAAAGAGAGAGACTTTCCATACGCATCCTATCGCACATGAATCTGTGTGCGTGAATTCGGAATCAAACTTGTCCCCTGTGCGAACTCCGACACCAACTTCATTACTAAGCCCATTACCAACTCCAATAACGAGTCCATTACCAACTCCAATACCAATTCCATCATCAGCTCCATTACCAACTCCATTACCATGTTTCGAAAACAAAAACCAACGCAGATAAAACACGCCCACAGTACACAAGAACAGAGACGTGAAAAGGTTTCCAAAAACAGTCCGCCCAGCGCGCGAAGATGAAGACGATGCTTACCTCGCAATGCTTGGAGTAACTCCGGTACCTCTGCCTTTTCCTCTTAGCCAAGCAACACGAGTGCCGACGACTTTCAAGATCTTATCATCCAGTGGCATAACCTTGGTGAACAATTACTTGTTCACAGCCTGTGACTTCTTCCCGCCCTTCTTCTTCTTCTGAGGGCTACCGTTGGGCCGATAAAGACCAGGCGAGCCTCCAACTGAGCTCTGCGAGCCCGCTGTGGCGCGATTGCTCGTATTGGTATCCACTGACATGCGGGATGGCGCCCTCGAGACATATACCGGACCGTATACGCGCGCACCTGGAGGAGGCATCGAGGCCGTCGCAGTTGAAGACCATGAACCCGAGCGCGAGAAATCGAACAAGTCTTGTGCAGAATCTCGCCTGTCCGGGCCGGTGACGCCTTGTAGCTCGTGTGGGTATGCGTGCAGGAAGTGGCAATAAGATCCATAGTAGCAGTATCCTTGTGCGTAGTTTTTGCAAAGCGGCTTCTTGTAAGGAGGGTATTGTTGTTGGGGATTGGAGGTGCCCTGCCGCTGCAGTGATGGCTCGAGAAAGAGGGGCCCGGTATATGTGTAGCCGTTCGTTATGTTGTGGATGGGCATCTGAGGAGCGGGGACGAGCGGCTTCGGGGGTAAAGAGTGCTGGGAAGAGAAGCCAAGACCAGGCGGTGGCATGATTGTGTTGCGGACGCCGGAAACCGGTTGCAGCCCATCTTGTTTGCTGGAAGTCGTCTGAGCCATCGTTTGCTGCATCGGCAGCGGTACGGGTTGGTTGTCTCCGATCTTCTCCGTCGATGCACCCATATCGACTTTGTTAGTTGCCACAGCCCCATGCACATTACCTACGGTAGGGATCAATCCTGCAGCGAGCTTCTCACCAAACTCCCGGGCTTCTTCCTTCGTGGGTAACCCACGCTTCTTGATTTTGAAAAACCGATACCACGTCTCGTGACCATAGTACTTCTTCTCCTTCTTCTCCAGTTCAAGCTCGGCGTCTTTGTTGAACTCCGCAGGAGCCCGACCAACTTCGAGATCACAAACATTGAGCTGTACCCTACGAGCGATACGGCCACGTACCCACTCGGGAGCATCGGGAGCGATACAGACGCCATAAGCGTCGTATGAGATCCCAGGGAGGCCAAGGCTCTTGACATAAAGCCGGATATCATTTTTAGTTCGAGGGACGCGCGCCGCCACGGATCGAGCTCGGGGGACCTCCGCGTGTTGCACAGCTTTGGTGAAACTCTTCAAAGACTCACTGTGCTTGAGAGCAGAGCTTGTGACCTTGGACTGCTCTAGGGGTTCAGTCTCCACGAGTTGCACGTGAGCAAGCAGTTGAGCCTCAACAATCGATGGGTCGGGCACTGGGGCGGTGTCCGTTTTAGTCACCTTCGTCGCCTTGTTCGGCAGATCCCGCCAATGAGAATACAGGGCATGCGAATGAGTAGTACTGGCGAAGCCCGCAGGCTTCGATGTACTCTGCTCTGTCTTTTCCCCCTGGTCCTCAGTCGCCTTGGCTTTGTTGCGCTGTTTCGAGGCCTTCTTGTTCTTCTTCTTTGTTGCGTCGTGAACAGTAGAAGGCGGAGCAAGCATAACTGTGCCTACAGCGCTCTCTCCGTTCTCGGTGGTCGACGTGATGTCACCACTTGGTCTTGCGGTATTGGCTGAGGGTTTCTTTTTCTTGCTAGCGGTAGCTGTGCGCGAAGCTTCGATCATAGACGCCTTGGGCACGCCTGGTAGCTTCTGATCTCTGTTCGCGGTCGCCTCGGGTTGCTTTGCGACTGGAGGTTCCTTCTTTTCTTTCCAATCGCTCTTCCGAGGGGGCGATTTCGGTGAAGTGGCGGTAGCATCAGATTTCGCAACGGCGGGCACGTATGCCTTCGCAACACTATCATCGGCAGGAGCAGTATTGACGATGTGCAACTTACTCGTTGCGGCGGCCGAGTTTTGCTCATCTTTATAGACGGCGGGAGGCTGGGTTTCTTTGCTGGTGGGAACCGCAGTGTCCGCGCTGACTTTATGGAGGGTTTGTAAAGGGTTGGAGAGGTGAGATGGCGACTTTCGCTTACCTTGACGTTGATTACCAGCTACAACAGCTGCCCAAGTGAAACCTGCCATTTCAAAGCGAGGGGGTGGGGTAAACGATGAGCTGAGTGATCTGCTGCTAAACGCGCAGCACTTGAGCGTACGAGTGAGGGCAAGCGAGGTGGCGCGGTGTGTTTGTATAGTTGGTGATCTCTCCGGGGGGGAGATTGTGTTTTGGAGAACTGATGACGTCGCTGTTGATACATAGGCGTGGTCAATGCGCCCGTTGCTGAGGTGAAATCGAAGGTGAACAACAAGCTATGCGACAGACAGATATCGGCGGCATGGCGATGGAAGGTTCCCCCGCTCGCAGCGCAATTCGATCTCTTTGGGTTAATATCAGCATGTGGCCTGGACAGGATAGCGGCATGGGTGCAGGTCTTCAGACACTCTAGAAAACTGGGCTTCTATAATTCCGACTTTCTTATCCTTGAGCGTTGCCCGGAGAGCAGTCTGAAAGTTCTAGACCAAGCAACTAGGAGGCAAACACACCAAACACATTGTGAATCCTCATCATAATTTGACACGAAAGACTTCTCATATTCGCAGCTCTTATATTCCCTTTTCATTCCAACCGTGCTCGAGATGCTCCCGTAACTTTGTAAGGTCGTTACGCACATCTTCCTTCTTGAAGTTCATCCTCGTACGCCGTCATCAGAAGTACGGATCGTTGAAAGATCAAGAAACAGACCGAATGAACAAGTTCAAGCTTAGACCGGACAGGATTGAAGGGAATACCAAGTCGCTGATCCCTGGATTACCGGTGCAGGAATCAGATTACTTATGGCTTGGCACAGTTGTTCCTGCTGGTCACTATACTCTGAACTGAGTAGTAAGCAATCAGCTGATCGCTCTCGTGCTCGCATAGGGGCGAGACAAGTGCAGAGCCGAATCATCTCTTCGAGTGAGTTATTTTGAGCGAGCCTAGTAAAGCCAGATCGCATGGCATAGACCTAGACTCGTGTTTAGGCCTGAATTACAGCAGTAAGCCGCACTGAAGGACTTACATACGGTTCAAGTGTTTAGGCGGTAACCAACAATAAACATTCGTAAGCTGTCTTTTGCTCATAGTGGATAATGTTCAAGAAGATCATGAGTATTCTGTGCAGTAGGAAAAATGATTCCATATGACGACCGTCGCATCAAGCCAATCTTTAAGAGCGGGTTAGACCTTGAATCAGTGGATAAGAATTCCCCAAAGAAGATGTTTCTGCGTTAAGTAGACATATACGTCATACCTTATACGTTTCTGTAATATAAGCATGCAACTAACCTCGTACCGTCAATGAGCAAAGAGTCGAGCTACGGGAGCCTCGTGACCGGTTTTCGCGCAATTATAATTGCATACTCAAGCTACCATGGGATTCTCCCAGGACTAAAGTGGGCTCGGTTCCCAGTCCCGCTTGCTAGCAGCACCTCCCGGCATTGCCGCCCCCAAGAGCAGTGCGGCTGGCGAAGTGTTGAAGGTGCGGAAGCCGCAAGCCTCCCACCTCCAGACGATTGGACAACATCCTTTTGTACAATAAATGCCTGAGGACATGCTATCGATCGCAATCGGCACCAGTTTGCCGAAGGGCACCTGTCGATGAAGACGCGAAGGCGGCGGCGTTTGCGTGGAGACCAACCGAAGCACGGGGACGACGCGCTACAGAGTGAAACAAGACGCGCTTGCACAGGCTGCAGTATGTACTGAGACGGAAATCTGAGTCGAATGCGCGTGGGCCACGTTTCTCGCCTAGGACGCTCCGGTGATCGGTCAGGCAGCGGGTGCTAGGTACGCAGCGCGCGGATGCCGCCTCAGCACGACGTTCGAACACATGTTCCGAAGGACTCTATGATCTGAGCTTGAAGACTGGTCCGTTGTTCACGCTGAGATAGCAACGATGTTGAATGGCGGTGAATGTTGATCGGAGTAACACTGTGAACGCTGAAGTCAAAGCGCAAACGATTCGCTAAAGCTATTCCGTTCTCGGCTAGCTCAGCCTGTCGTGATGAAGGCTGCTCCACGTGAGACCGCCTGCAGAGCGCCACGGCGCCATAGAAGGTTCCATGCGTCTTCCCATCTTTTCAAGACCAATGGCGCTATCTTGCTGACCGGCTCGCCAGGGCGGAAACGACATGTCGTTTATTAAAAGCAACCGTGCTGTGCTTACATTCGTCCGTGCGCCGGGGACTATCACCACTCGTTGAAGTCCGGCGCCATCTTCCCACTTTCTCCCACGCCCCCAGCTGCCAGTCGCGCGGCACTAGCCTCTTTCAGCAGTATCATTGCGTCTGGCTGGTCCGCACGCGTCTCATGCATACGATGCGGGCCTAATTGCTGCTCCGGTAGCCCACGAACCCTCTTCGGTCCGCCTATGCCCACGATGCACCATACACCCATGCGCTAGGGCTGTGTCGGCCACCATGAGCTCTGCCACGATGAGATGAGTCGATGCTTCGGTAAACCCACAATTATTCCCAAAAGGCTCGTGTTCCCAATAATTACGTGGTACACGTGCAAAAGGCGCCTTCGGGCTTCTACAACGCAGCCCTGTCTGGCGTCGGGATCACCCACAGCCCCCATGCATCCTGTAACCGTCCAATGTCCTGAATTCAATAAGCCAATTAAGCTCCCACTGCCGGATCCTACACCTACCCCGCGGCGTACATCTGGTTGCGCGCTTCGATCCGAGCGCCTTACGCAGCATCTATCTAAAGCTCCCATAGACCCCAGCGTCTGCGCTGTCAACTCACGTCGAATTCGCTGGCCGTGTGGGCCGGTGCGCAGCCCTCACATGATCTCGAACGCTTAGCCTTGTCGTCGACAAACGTTCTTACAGCGACGACAATCCAACATGGACCATGTGGTGGACATATTGGAGAAGAGGCGGACAGCCCCCATGGGAGACCGCGGCACTGTCATCAACATTGTGTCTTGGCTGTTGACAGTCGTCGCGATATGCGTCCTCACAGCGAGATTCACGATGAGGCTTTCGATTAAAGACAAGACGCGTCGATTTGGGCTCCATGATCTTTTCATTGTTCTGGCATTCGTGAGTAGAAGCCAACCTCTGCCAATGCAAAACTGACGTAAATAGCTGTTTAGCATCGGTCAAACCATTGCCGTGTCCGTGGAATCAATACAGGCCCTGGGCCAGCGCCGAAGCGACCTTAGCGCGAATCAATTCATTATATTCCAGAAGGTGAGTTTGTTGTAATCATAGTTCTGACGGTATCCTGACTCGAACAGACTGAGTATGCCGGCTGTATACTCTACATTGCGAACATGGGCTGCGCTAGGATATCTCTATGCTTGCTCATCAAAGACATTCTTCCCGGCTCGACGGCACGCATCACGGCTCTCATCTTCGCTGCATTCACAACCCTCTGGACAGTTAGTGGTGTCCTTGTAGCTGCATTTGCATGCTCACTGCCCAATCCGTGGCAGTGGGGCAACGGAGAGACATGCATCAACGTTTCTTACTGGGTCAACTACGTCGGAAGCACGAATATTGTTGTTGAAATACTTCTAATCTCGATACCCCTTTGCATATGGAACGTCCGAACCTCCGCTGGCCGGCGCATGTCTGTTTCGCTATTATTTTTATCTCGCCTGAGGTACGTGTCCGCCCAGAATAGCTTCAGTCTTCACCGCTAACAACCCTGCAGCGTTGTTGCCGCTGTTGCCGCGCAGCTACACTTCTTTAACCAACGTGGTACTGGCGACGTCACTTACGACTATTGGCGTACCGTGCTCTGTATTCAGATCGCGCAGAACCTGTCCGTCATCACCGCCTGCCTCCCTAGCCTGCACCCTTTCATAGTCAAGATGCTTGCTGGTCTCATCAAGAGCCCGGATATCAGCAAATCGACTTGCCGCGAGAAGATAAGCATATTATCGCGCTTCGTCGGACAGAGGCACTTTGATTCGATGTCATCGCAGTCGTCCAATATGCCCATCAAGCAAGAGAAGGAAGAGGTATACTGCGCGCCGCTGGCGACTTGGGGGCTTGATCGAGCATCCACACACCTCACATCGCCCCAATTCAACCGCTTCCCCGTGAACGTTGCGACACCAAGAGACAGTCCAGAGCCGCCGAAGGACGTGTTCATGCGCACTGTTGAGATACCCACCAGCGCCTCACGCTCGGCTAGTCTTAGGCGGAAATCTACAGTCCGCAGCACACGCAGCACAGTTCGCAATTCGCGAGGCATCCCTCAGATCCCTGAGATCCCCAAGTCGCTATCCGAAGTGGGCGTCCTGCCGATGATAGATTGGGACACGGATAGCAGCGTGAGCGATAGGACGGACAGCCAGCAGAGCAGGAGACCGCCTTCGGACTACATATTCAAAAGATCTAAAGTCATCAGCGTGCCCGAGGAAAGTTATCTGAAGGACCAAGGGGGAGAGGGGCAGTACTACAAAAAGTACTACCCACCGTTACCTAGCCCAAAGGTCCCCAAGAAACCTCCTAGAGCATTTTAGAAGCACAAAAAATAGATGAACGTTATATTTCGAAAGCATAACTTGATATCGCACTCATTCGATGGTTAATGATTATATCTCGCGCAGTCGATCGCTAACTTGGGCTGTAACAAGCTACTTCCTTGCCCTATCAGCACCCTTCTAGGCTTCTTTCAAATCAACTTCTTGGGTACACATGCTCTCGAAACTTCTTTCAAATTGCACTTTTTCCATTCTCTGCCACTGCCCAAGTCTTTCCACTATGCATACTCGCTAACAAGTTTTCAGTGCACGCTGAAGACCAGTGCTACACTGCGTTCGCACATAAGGTTCCATTCCCAACTTCGACAAGGCTATCATTAACGTGCCTTGTCACCAACCGACAAGCCAACAGCTCACACTGCGTGGTCACATCACTGTACAGCACCTCTCACGTCTGAGACTCGCATCATCCGCATCCTCGCACACACAAGAGAAGCACTACTGCATCCCATCGCACGATGACCTCCCCACGCAACACGCAGTCCTCCCTGCGCCAAACACCCCAACTTCTTCCTCGAAATGCCATACTCCCTACCCCCTTCGCGAATCTCGATGCCGTGCATATCCATAGATCGAGATGCACCATTAGTTTGGCCGAACAAGCTCGCTAACCATGCGGTGGGAGATCCACGCAGCTTTCGGCAGCTAGCTTTCGCTTCATCCTTGCTTTCGAAGGAGCGCAGCGGCTGGGAGGAATGACGCCAGCAATGAGAGGCTAGTTTCAGACGCGCCTGCTGGAAATGTATAGACTACGAACTAATGGAGGAGGAGATGTGAGGCAGCGGATGGGGCGTTCGCTTATAGGATGGATGGGGATGGGCTATACTTGGTATGGTATGTATACTCAGGTACCGATAGGCAGGCGCACCGTAGACCGCGCACATCTGGATGTGTGTACTCACTGCAGTTCTGAATAGATGGTTTGCCAGGCATTTCCAATGTAAACACACGACCTCCTACCCATCATGCGTCCTTCCCTTCCCTTCCCTTTCACCAACCACCCACCCTTCATCTCATCCCATCACGTCCACCATCCCCACCGCTCTCCTCCCCACTACCAAAGCAGAACCTTCCTTTCGCTCCCCGAACGGACTTGCAAAGCTCTCGCTGTGATTCGGTTCGGAGTCCGAAAATAGCTGCACGGGCCGAGGGCTGGAGCTTACAAGCGTGCTAGCCGGGTTAGGAAGGCGTACCACGACGCTTGCGAAAGCAAAGGGAAGGAAAGTGGGACTAAGGTGTCGAGCTCGTGGTTTGAGGCTGTGTTGCGTATGTACAGGAGATAGGCTGGTTAAAGAGATCGTGGGATGATATAGATGTGGGTTGGGTGGAGGGAGAGAGAGTCACGTGATGCGTGAGTTGCACGGGCGTGGGTGGACATGGATCTATGCTTCTTTTGATTGCGGTGTCTAGTACGACGAACATGTAGTTCAGGCGCATGCACAGTCGCTGCAGTTGGACGTTGTAGGTACCGAGACGCTGGTCGCGTTTCTTACAAGACAAGCGACCGCTCGACGTACATTGCACAGTGCAATCCAAATATCGGTACCATCATCCCGGATCTCGATGCCCGAAACTTAAAACATTTTCAGTTCCGGATATTGAGAGGGGAGCGACTACGTGCCGTTTGTCAAAGGTTGTGGAACTATCGTTATACTAGTGACTTTGGAGGAGATAGGTAACTGCTTGTCCCTGAAGTCTTTGCGCAAGGCTGAGCGCAGGCGCACACGATCGGGGTAGCCGATGGGGCATCAACAGTCGGACTCTTCGCCTGTTGAAGAGACGGGGAATCTGCCGACGTCGACGTACCCACGCACCTACCTGTTCTGCTTTTTGGTACCTGACTTCCCGCGGCAGCATTCGTGCCTTGCGTCAGATGAGCGCTCTTGTACCTATAGGGAAGGTTGATATGGAAGCAGATGCACCCGTAAGCCTACTGTCAGACTAAGCATGTACTGCTGCAAGGCCCCCAAGGTATAAGTGAAGAAATCTACCGAGCGTGGGATACATACCCGGCGGTACTGTCTTGCTTCTAGACTTTTTCTCAAGCGAAAGAGGCACCTAGGTCAGCATCTCATAGAAGCAGTATGCGAAAAGCTGAGACATGGATGAATGGCGGTGATGGAAAAGGGCTGCAGGTACTGGGATGATGAACCAATCCTTCGGAGGATACTTGACGCCACTCTAGAAAGATGGTTATACATTATCGTTTGCATTGATTCGTGACTATACTTCGCTGTCGGTCAATCATGCCGATCGTTTCATTATCCGTAAAATTCAAGGTTATACAAACATAGCCCCAGGGCAGAGCTTAGTAGGCATATCACTCTGTGCAAGGTGTGTCCTGGGGCACTTCAACCGTGCTTCTTCGCCCCATAGCATGCTACCGCTTCTCGGTCTGTATGTACCCGTCGTGTGACCCGATCCACCACAATCCTACAGGGCCATACTCGTGACGACACTTAGTCGCGTCCGCCAAAGAGGGGCTTGCTCGGCTTCTGCTTGTCGCCCCCGGAGAGTGGGGTCGTTGAGGCCGTGGCGGGCAGGTCGGCGGGTATCTGCCAGGTCGTCTGTGGATGAAGAAGAGATTCATCAACAGGGAGGAAGAGGGACCGCGCTGGGCGAGCGACAGACTCCTCTTCTGACTTGGTACGCTTCTCATTGGGCTCGTCCATCTCCCTGCTGTCCCCTTCCCGGATCCGCTTTGCGGAGGTTGTCTGCAGATTGTCCTGGGAGATAGACGATGTGTTGATGCTAGGAATACGCCCATCAGCATCATTTGCCCTGTGGCACACGACGTTGCTAGCTACCCATGCACCCAGGTCCTCGAATGTCGGCGGCATTACGGGAGCAGACTTGAGGGCTGCCGACGGCAACAATTGAGGAGGGCTTGCAGCAGCGTCGGCGGTAGAAGGCTCTTGAATGGGAAATTCCTCTGGAAACAGGTCCATAAGCTTCGCCAACATTGCTCGAGGTTTGCTCTGCTTCAAAATGCGGATAGCCGCGTACTGGTCCACGACATCTTCCACATGCTGATTCACGTCAACCCGGTGCGAGAGCTTAGGGAAATGCAGTGCTGGCCAGTCCGTCGACGCTGGCTCAGGCTTGGGCTTCTGCGCCTCGAGAAATGCTGCATCTTCTATAGGGAAGCCAAGTACTCCGTCATCCATAGGTATCTGCGGCGGATCAAGCTTGACCTTCGGCTTCGCGGCGGGCTTTGGCACATGGTAGTATGATGATCGGTCTTTAAGAGCCTTCAGAAGCGCACCCTTCTTCATATCAGCTGCGCCGAAGTCATTCTGCGTCTTCAGCTCCTCGATAGTCTCGGTCGGCGTACGATGGTTCGGGCCACGTTGGCTCTGGTCTCCAGGTATCAATACACCAACAAACTTGGCAATCTTCGCATTGTAGTTGTTTTCCCTCACGAAGTTATTCTTCCCCAGTTCCTTCCCCTTTTGGATCCGCTGGAGCTCTACCTGCCACTCCTTGGCGAGGCGCTTCATCTCGTTCTTCATGAGCCGCTTCTGTGACGAGTTGAATATGAAGAAGTCGTATTGGGTACTCTTCCACATCTTAATGAATGCCTCCCGCTTCTCAAAGACTGCAGCATCGTTGTGATGCTCGAGAACAGCGGCAAGGTAAGCGATTGCGAATTCATGAGCAGCTTTCGTTTTCACATAGCCTGAATTATCAGATAGGTCGTCCGTGAGCAGCGCCACGTAGAGGGCGATGTTCCAACGCGCAGAGTCATGATAGCGTTGGAACTGGTGCAAGCCGTCTAGACGCCAGAAGTAGATTGCACGTGTGATGTCGACGTGCTGCTCCTCCGAGTCTTTGATAGCGAGGCGGCAGTGTGCATCGATTGTGACTCGGTTTCGGAGCAGGAATTCGAGGCGGAGGTCAGACGGAATGCTGGATAATTTAGTATCGCGCGAGACAGATAATATTACTGATACAAGTTCTCCGAATACTTACTGCGGCAAGTTGATGGCATTAGGCTCATGATCCAGGACCTGGGTGATCGTAAGGTATCTATGAAAATGCTCGGTTTCGAAAGAGTCGTCGCCGGTACCCGCTTTCTTCTGAGCTAGCGATCGCGGTAGAGGCACGAGATCAGCAGGAATACCCTGGAGCTTATGCTCGAGAATATCTTTCAGCACGAACCTCTCCTCGACTGGGATGTTATCCACTATCGACTGAGACGGCGCCGAGATCCAATTGCCGGGTCCTGATAGATCTACCATTATTTCCGAGGTGAGAATGTGTCTCGTTTTTGCCCTTTCTTTCTGACCTTCCAAAGGCGTCTTTGGGTAAAGTTGCCTATCCGCAAGCAGGCGTATGGTTGATATACGCAAGCGTGCGAGCTTGCTTAGTTGCAGTATAATCGCCGACGCCCGCGTGATCTCGCTGATGGGAAAAACGACGAACGAAATCGATATTGAATGATTATCGCAGACGAAGCCGCTGTGGTTAATTGAGGGTTTGGGGTTTGGGTGCAGAAGAGCGTCGCAAGAGGGAGCGCGCGGGACAGAACCTACAGCTTTTGTACGGCGGCGCAGGCCTGCGTGAACCCGCCGATGGAGAAATCGACGAGCAAAATCGATATTGAGTGATATAGCTTCCGGTGGTTGAGGAAGGAGTTGGGATTGGCCGCAAAGAAGCGTCGCAGGCGGAGTGCGAGGGACAAAACCTATAGCTTTGTTTACGGCGGCGCAAGCCCGTAATATTCAAGCAGGAGACCCACCCGTGAATAGGTGGCGCGTCCTTCACTTCGGCCTTCAACGCGTGGTTTCGACGGGAACGCACTCGACATAGCGGCAAGCTGCAGTTGCCAAGCAACGACAGGTGACGAGTCTGAAAAGCCAACAAACGATCTAAGGCACCGTCCGTACGATTGTCAAGTGAGTGCCTTCGCTATTGCACGCTTGGTAGCTGAGGTGAGGTGAGGGGGCAGCGGTGAAGATAGCGGCGAGGCCCAGACAGTCAATCGTGGCTCTGCACCTGGCACATGCGTACGGCTCTTTACAGAACCCGTGCGATGTCCCCGAGATCCCGGTTCTTGAAGCTGCTCACGGAGGCGGCATCGCGAAGTCGTCCATGGCTGTATTCCAGAGCCAGTCTTCGAACGTCCCGTCATGCAGCATCGAATCCTCCGGTGGTGCAATGCTGTCGAAGTTCATCGAGTTGAAATGGAGGTTCTGCAGAAGCGGCATGCGGACCCTCTCTTGTCTTTGCTTCGTGTAGTCCGTTCGTGGCGCGGCCCAATTCTCTCGTAGAGCGACTGCGTTCGTCTCTCTGACGGAGCTGTTGTTATCGTCCGGGCCGACAAGCTTCGGGATTTGCTCATTCAGCCGTTTTGTGAAGCTGCAAAGTAGGTTTCTCTGGAAGTACGCAATCCTAGACAGCGGGTCGGTCTTGCAGTGGTCATATGGTAACCTGTTTGGATCTTGAGGAAGTGAAAATTTCATCTTGTTGTACATTTGATAGAATAGAGACAGCACTTCGCCTTCTCTTGCCACGGAGATTGGGTTCCAGGTAGATGGGATGACCTCTACAGGCAATGAGCACGGTATGGGTTCATAGAACAGAGACTTGTCCATCACAAGTCTCAAGACCTCGACAAAGGTCTCGTTGATCTCGGTCTGTTGTTCACGCTCGTCTGTTAGAAAGACAAGCTTGCAAGCAATGATACACGCATAACACCATGCTGACCACGAAGGGAAGCCAAGGTGGTGAAGCGAGGTATCTAGGACGGCGAGGACGGTCTTGATGTAAGATTGTACGGCGTTCAGACAACGATACAGGGTCTTTAAGCGAGTTGCCGTTATGACAGCAGCTGAACACCCGCTTGAGGTGGCCCAGAGCGAATCATGGACGGCACACTCATAGATCCACATGTCTACCAAGCGAATGTTAAGCCGTAGGGTCGCTAAGTACATGAGTATTAAATTACGATCGGTAGATGTGAAGGGTAGTGCTTACGATTACTTTGTATAAGTGCCTGGGGAATTGACTCGGTAATACGATCTAGTTCTCGATCGAAATTGGCCACAGATAAATGCACCAGCGCTTCTCCTTTAACGTCCGCATTCTCAATGTCATCGTAAGAGAAGTAGTTGTGAACTCTGCACAGTAGCGCACCGAGTTGGATCAACGGTGTGATGATCGCATCGGTCGAATACTCCTGACAGTCTGCCAGGTGCTGGCAGCACTGGTCCATATACCGAGTGTGCGTCAGTGTTGTCGGTCTGCGCCAGGACTGTGCGAAACTAGCATTGTGTTAGGACTCTTGGACGTAATGTTAATGTGAGCAGATTGGGTAAATGGTCGCGCTGTCCAAAAGAAGGTCAGAGAAGTCAGACTTACTTTGCAGCTAGGTAGAACGTCCCAAGAAATGCCCGTTTCTCCGCAAGCGATAGCACAGAGTACAGATTGGCACCGACTCCGCCCATGGTAATCTTCTTCTTTGCATTCTGTGGGTTTTTGCAAAAGCCAAGGTCTTGGAGCATGGCAACGCATAACTGTAGCATGGTCGCTAGTTGTTGCTTGATAGGATCATAGTAAAAGTGGTACCTTTACAAATCGTTGCGTTAGCGAAGCGAATGTGATCGCATCAGGGTAAGATCCATACCATGCAGTGAACACAAGTATCCCTTGCAGCAACTCTAAGGTCTTTTGCGAGCAATTGATTACGCGAAGTGATATTTGTTCCTTGAGCTTGGCTGCGAGCGTGAGCTGCAAGCCAGCATTCCTATGAGTGGTTGCTGTGAGGATAGCATGAAAAAGGAAAGGCTGACTTCGTCGTAGCGCTTTGCCGTTCACGGAGGGTGGAATGATAACGAACGGGAATGCAGACGCATACAAATCCTTGTACTCTTGTATCAGAGAATCAGCCGTACTATCGTCCAGATGACCAGCATCGACCGGATCATATACTGTGCAAGGAGGTTCTGGAGGAGCGTATGGTATTTTTTCCTTTTGAATGTCAGCCTCATTGTTACATAAGAGAAAAAGCACTTTCGAATAAGCTTGCACAAAGCGTGGCTAACTAAGAAGATTGAGCAGGGCATTCTTACCGGTGACTGCGCTGGCGTATCATAGCACGGCTCGGAGTTCTGAGAGGGTCGTTCGACATCAGCGGCACTTTCCGGAGGAGTCGCAAGTGGCAAGTGAACCCCCTGAAGGGGAGCGGAGGCGCTAGAGCCACCAGTTGTTGCTGGAGTCTGACCGGCCTGGGGAGTCTGGCCGTTCGCTAATAGGTCTATCAGGGTATCGACCCGCTGTTCCAGCTGTTTGACGCGTCTCATCGAGAAGTCAGCCAATCGATGCACAATAGCACTCAAGAGACGCACGCACGGGGCGTAGCATGAGCACTCACGAACGATTCTTCGGACCTCTCTTCCTCACGGTCTCGTCAAAGATACATTCTTTCTTCAACCTCTGGCATCGATAGCAAATGTCAAGCCTATCCTCAAAAGGCGAGCATTTAGCCTTGGCTTTTGTGCATGACTGGCAGGCTCTCCGCTTCTTTAGCTCATCCTGGGTCATCTCGAGGCCAGGACAGACTTCTCTATTTCCGAGCACCAGGCGAGCGAATGGTATCAATACTTGCTTACTTGAAGGCTGTCCTGCTCTGGTGTGATTCGTAGGGTGCTCTTTGATTGCTCTTCAGGCTGCAATATTTCGCGAAAGGAATCAAACAATTCTCATTTGGACGAACTGCGTTTCTGCCGACGGGAAAGGTGAATTAAATTGCAAAGCGGATGGGACAAGTCGATGCATGATGGGTGTCATGTCGTCGTGGAGGAGGGAAGCTCAGGCCCCGAACGGGGACGGAGCGATCTTTTGCCCAAAAAGCCGACGGGTCTAGGCGCAACTTCAGCCCCCGCTTCCGTTCGAACACACTGTTACACACGGCGAACGGCGCAAAACAGCCGCTCAGTTACCCTAACCCAGTATTAATACCGTTTGATTTTCGATGTAGAGTACGAGGTGAGGCTTAGTCCATCGCAAAAGGCCCCGTGGAGTCATTGATCGCAACATGGGCCTATCAAATACTGGCATCACATAGGGCACGGTAGTCAGGCGAAATCTGTGGGCTTGTTGCTCCTGTCGCACGGCGGAAATCAGTGGCGATGGTCAAACGAGTGCGAAGGATGGCTGCTTCTCCCCTCACCGGACGAAGAGTCGCGGGTGGGCTAATGTTTGGTCTTCCGTACATATACACTGGGTGAAGCCCAGAGACAGACACTAGGGTTATGGCAAGTCACTGAGCATTCTCTACACATCATCGATTCACAGGCCCTCGCCATGGACTCTTCAACAAAGGAACAGCTTCCACCGCAAGAGAAGGATCTCGATCGCGATGATACCTCAGTCGACACCCCCAAAGACAGCCCTGCTGAGACGATCGAAGAAGATGAAGACCACTTCATGTCGGGTGCAAAACTACACCTTCTCATCCTGGGGCTCAGCCTGGCATGTTTCCTGATGGCCTTGGACATGGCCATTATCACGGTGGCCATTCCGGAAATCACAGAAAAGTTTCACTCCACCGCAGACATCGGATGGTATGTGAGCGCGTACCTACTTACGCTGTGCTCGCTGCAGCCGCTTTCGGGGAAGCTGTACTCAAATTTCTCTCTTAAGGTAGGTCCAGACGTAAACAGGCCTATTGCGCGTGGGAAATTAATATTTCGTAGTGGACTTTCATGGCATTTCTCCTTCTCTTCGAGATTGGATCGGCCATCTCAGGTGCTGCTACCTCGTCGACTATGCTCATTGTTGGCCGCGCCATTGCGGGCATGGGCGCAGCCGGCCTGATGAGTGGGACACTCTCCATCCTTGCCGTCGCTGTCAGTGTTCGTCTACGAGCCGCGTACACGGGGGTCATAATGTCGATGTTCGGCCTCGCCGTAGTCGTTGGGCCATTGGTCGGCGGTGCCTTCACGCAGCATGTGTCATGTAGGTCAGCCCCAGATATAACGTGGATGTATCTTGCTGGAAGAAGAGGGACTCCTCTACATCTATGAGGTCATCCATACATTTCGACCAAACTGACTTTGTGCTTAGGGAGGTGGGTGTTCTACATTAACTTGCCTATTGGAGCAGCGACTGCATCTGTCCTATTTCTCTTCTGTAAGTGCTGCTCACCGCACAAGTGTCAAAAGCAATGACTTACCCGCCTTCTCATTCCAGTCCGCCCGCCCACCCGCAAAGCAGAGCTAGATCCACTCACAGATCGCATCGCCCGGCTCGATCTTATCGGAGCAGCCCTGTTCATCCCGGCGGTGATCATGCTTCTCATGGCTCTCCAGTGGGGTGGCCTGACCTACCCGTGGAGCTCAGGACGCATCGTCGGTCTGCTCGTTGGCGGAGGCGTACTCGTACTCATCTTCGGACTGTGGCAGTGGCACAAGGGTAAGGAAGCAATGATTCCGCCTCCGATATTCTTGCAGCGCTCAGTGTTCTGGGCTTGTCTCACGGCCATGTCCAGCATGGGAACAATGGTCATGCTCGGCACGTGGATGCCCGAATGGTTCCAAGCTATCAAAGGCGTTTCTCCTGTCCAGTCAGGCGTGAACCTGCTGCCTTCCATGATTGCACAGGTCATCGCATCCGTCGCGTAAGTCCCCAGAACGCGTTGTTACACCAAAGCTAACTATCTTCTCAGAGCCGGCGCCTTGATCACCATTCTCGGCTACTACAACCCCTTCATCATCATTGGGACGATCCTCCTCGCCATAGGCTCCGGCCTCTTCACAACCTTCGAAATCGACACCGGCAGCGCAAAATGGATCGGATACCAAGTCATCTTCGGCCTCGGCTCCGGCTTCTTCGTCACCAGCCCGCTCGTCGCCATCCAAGCGGTTCTCAGCGCTGCTGACACCCCCGTCGGCATCGCAATCGTTACCTTCTTCCAGATGTTCGGCAGCGCCTTCTTCGTTGCGCTATCCCAGACCATCTTCAACGAGCAGCTCCTGAAGCAACTAGCCAAGAACGCACCGGACGCGAATGTGGGCGCGCTGCTAGCTGCCGGCACCGCGAGATTGCACCTTGCAGTGACGCCGGAGCAGCTGCCAGGGGTGCTTCTTAGTTATAACAGAGCGTTATTGGATCCGTTCTACTTGGGTGCGGGTATCTCTGCGCTGGCCACGTTCTGCTCGCTGGGGATCCAGTGGGTGAACGTCAAGGGCAAGGAGTTAGCTCCGGGGGCGGCGTAGCCTGAACTTCTACGTCCCACGTGCGGCTTGTAATATTTCTCACCACTCCTTTAGACATACCACGGCGTCTAGAATGGAAGTACGCTTAGATTGAAAGTAGACTTGAGGTCTCTTCGCAAGAACACGACCAGAGCAGGTCCTTCGGTACACTTTGCAGGTCATAATCTCAGCATCTTCACTTACAACTTACTACATTACTCTACTCTCGAACGAAGAAGGGATCTGACTTCCGATGCAACATCATAAGGTGGCAAGCAGATAGAGCAGCAGTATCAAACCCCCGAACAACTCCTCTCTTTTCAAAAAGTTGCAACAACTCTTGCCCCTGTATGACCCACGAGTGAAGTCCGCAACAAAAGATTGTACGACCCATCCTGAAAACCCATCCCAAAACCCCACAGTTTTGCAAAAACAACCAGCAAAAAAAGTAAACATCCCACTCTATTCTTAGCCGCAGCCAGCCAGCCAGCAGCCCCACGTCATCCAACCTCTTCCCTCCCCTCCCGTCGCCTTGCCAATGCAATGCCCTCGGCCCCGTCCACCGCCCACTCAGGTCCCGCTGGATTTTCCTCTCCACTTACATAGTACATCCTGTTGAGGAAAGTCCTCTCCACTTCCATCCCGCTCAGAAATTTCCTCGCCCTCGCCCTGGCCAAAAAAACCGACAGCCGGTTTGCGCCACAGCACACCATCTGTGGCGCTTTTCTCGCTTGGCGCAAAGGATCTGCGATGACGCGCTGATCCTTGGCGCTAAAATCAGGAACGCGCACGTGTGTGAAGATGTGCGGAAGGGGCTTAGCGCGAATGAGGCAGGACGACGGCGTGGGTGAGGTCGTGGTGCCGGGGCGACGTGCGCCAAGGTAGGTTAAGCTATGCTTCTGGAAAATGTGATGGCACGAGGGATGGATGAAAGGAGAGAGAGTGAGAGGAGAAGCGTTTGCCCCAACTGCGAATCGTACCATAGCACAGCACCTCAACCGGATTCGCGTCTCTTCACGGTGCATCTCTGCACAGCATGAAAAACAGTATCAATTATACAGATCTCTTTGAACAAGTCTGATTTGAATTCGATGGGAAAGGAGAGGGAGAAGCCTCTCCGCCGCCTCGCCTCGCCTCCCAATGCTAGATAATAGAAAAACTACAATAACAAGAAATAACGGACATGTCGTCCTAGCCCTCACCGGAAAGGCACAAAGGCACATGGGTATATCCTTCGCCTGCCGCTGGTTGTGTTCAAATCAAATGCAAATGCAAATGCAATGCCGTATAGACATGCCAGCCCTCTCGCGAGAAGATATGGGTATCAAAAGGAACAGACAGAAGTAACTTTTGGTCCCGGGGTGAAACTCCTCGATGGTTGTGTGTGTGTGTGTGTGTTGTTGTAAATCAAAAAAGATGATAAAAACAAAACTTTTGGATGGTCGTGGTCGTAAAATGTGAGAGGAAGTGAAGTGGTGATGTTTGTCCGTCGTTAGGAATCCGAACGCCTTGCTGAAATGCATGCCCACGGCCAAAGTGGTGATGTGATGTGATGTGAGAGAGTCAGGACCAGCTCTCGGGCGATCCTCGTCTCGTTCCCAAGGTGAACTCCGTAGTGACGGAATGCCGAAAAATGTACAGAGAAGTTAGATGGATGGAAGAAGGAAGGCGAACCGTTCGTCCCCTAGTTGCGGGAGAAGGACCTCGAAACCTTCATCCACGCCCCCTCGATACTCCCCCTCACGCCCCTCTCCGACTCCACACTTCCACTCGAACTCGCGCTGTTCTGACGGCTCGTCTTCCCGCGCTCTTCAACGAGGTTGCCCGCACCCCCGCGCCCAATGTGGTACACGGGGGCGGCGTGCTCGCGGAGGCGCTCCTGCTGCGCGAGCTCCTCGTCGAAGGAGAACATGGCGCGCTCCTTTTCGCGGTGGATGTTGCCTGCGCCGCCGCGGCCGCTGGTAAAGAGCGCGTTGGAGGGGGGTGGGCTGAGCTTCACACGGGAGGCTGGGCCGCTGGCGTCGGGGCCTGAGGTGACGTTCTTGGGGATGCGGGTTACGTTGCCGGCGCCGCCGCGGCCGTAGTAGACGGAGGCGGAGGCGGAGGGGTGGGGCTCGGTGATGTGGTAGGAGGGCATTTTGGATGTTTTGATTGTGTAGTGAGGTTCAAGTTTGGTGGCGGGAGGATGTTGGTTGTGGTTGAGTGGGGGTAGAGGAAAAGTCGAGTGGCCAGGTAGTAGTAGTATATTTCTTCCAAGTGAGGGCGTGCCTGACTCTTGTATGGTTCAGTGGTGTGACTTCGATGTTGCTGTGCTGGTTCACGATGTGTTAGGGCGGGCAGCTTTATATGACAGCAAAGTCCTCAAACGAGGCGTGGCTCCCCAAGCAAAGCCGGGCCAGGCAACACGCGCAGAAATCTCTGGCAGCCGCAGATTCATCATCCGTCCAGCACGTTCCACTCGGCGGCGGCCTCAGCGGTGCACTTTGCAGTTAACGGCAGGGCTGTGGTCATGCGTGCTGAAAGCGCGAACAAAGGCTCGCTGCGGTGCTCAAGCAATAGCGTAATAGCGAGGACCCCTGGGGCCACCTGACTGATGTGCGGCTACGCGACTGGCTCGCCGGCGTTTCCTGGGGGTAACAGAAACTACTTGAAAATTTGCAGCGTCAATTTCGCCATGCGCCGCCATCGTCGTCGTCTGCAGCGTCAGAATCACCATCGTGCCGGCGTCTCCACCAAGCGCAAATTTTCCTGCGCCTGAGTCGCCTTGTTTCGTCTTGCTGCCGTGCCTGGCGCCCGCCCCCGGATTCTGCTGTTCCAGCTTCTGTTCCTGGCGGTCCGAGTCTGGAGGTTGCCTTTCGAGCTTCTTTGTTTGTGCAGCGTCAATTCACACAGATTGCCGTTACACCACGCATCGTGCAACCCCAGACATTGCTGCAGGAACAGCATCTCCGGCGCTCCGTTGGCCGCGAACGCGCGCGCTGGGAAAGCTTCTCTCGCAATTCCATCGGCATCCGCGCTCGATCCAGCGCAGCGCATGACGTCGAGCATCGTGAGGCTTGGGTCTGGCGGAGGCGATTCGCTTCGTCGTCAGTCACGAGGTAGAACCCCTGGTGCCATGTCACTTTGACGCCGAAATGATGCTCCCCTTTGTCGTCTCTGCCTGCGAATCGCAGCGCTGCCGTTCAATGAAGCCGCCGCGTGTCTGCATGACCTTGCGCCGTTGTTACAACGCATCACTCAGTCCACAACACCACAGTCACCGGGCCATCCCCCCTGAGGTCCAAGACTCACGATCCTTGGCGCACAGGCTTGGATCTGCACTCTGGACCTGCTGTCCTCACCGACTATGTGGTCCGTACTCCTTTGTACATGTGGCATTACCAAACTATGTACGCTTCTACTGCCAGCGTACATCTGCCAGATGTCGTGACGACGCTACAAAATCACAGGGTATCCGATGAGCACAAAACGCCTTTCATGCTTTGCAACACTCTGCCGATCCGCGGTATCCACTCTACGCGCAATACACGCGTCCATGATGAGTACAGTTAAGTAAAAGAAACAGGGACCGGAACCACCAGCGCGGTTGACCACGGTTGACCAAATGCGGGGAAACAAACCACTTCTTAGCACTCCCGCCAGGTCGATCCTACTGTTCCTCGGCGTTCCCAAAATACAAGGGCTGGTGTGGTCACCGGGAGCGCAGTCCGATTCCATGACTAACACGGCCGTCCGAGCGTCATGCAAGCGCCCCGAACAGCGTCTAGGTGGATGTGGAGGCGGGAGACCGGCGAAGGATGCGGAGAAGGGGGCGAGCAAATGGCAGCCTCCGAGACCACAACGCGTCGCCTATGCGAACTTGGTGTGGATGATGTCCGGGTTCTCCTGCCATTCATCCTTTTCAACCCACATCTGCACTTTGTGTCAGCGCAGCTCCACATGATATGACATGACGAAATCCCTCACCTTCTTGAATGTACTCAGACCCGCAAGAATGCTGCCGCCCGTCCACGTAGTGTATATCCGCTCAGGGGGTGCGAGGATCTTGATGCGCATGTCCTTCACCGCCAACCGCTGCACCTCGTGGAGCAGTCTGTTTCCGAAGCCCTTTGTCAACGTGGACCCTCCAGACAGCACGATGTTGCCGTAGAGCGCTTTCCGCAGGTCCATGTCCGTCCGGTGAATGGCCTCGACCACGATCTGGTGCACGCCAGGGTACTCAAGACCAATGATCTCGGGATTGAACAAAATCTCCGGTGCTCGGAAACGTTCCGCGCCAACCTACGGTCTGTTAGTCAAAATCGACGATCTGACTCCATTGTCACTTACCTTGAGCTTCTGTCCGTCTGGTAGAGTGTACTCAATGCTCTTGTTGTCCGACCGCGCCGCGCCTGACCATTCCTTCTCTTCCTTTGCGGGGTCCAATGCGACGTAGCCAGCCTTCTCCTTGATGTCCTTGACCGTCTCTTTCTCTGCGCTTGTGTGAAACACCCGCCCACCTTTTCGTAGCAGCTGTTGCATGTGCTCGGTGACGTCCCTGCCCGCTACATCAATCCGCCTAATGCTGTTGGGAATAGCAAAGCCTTGGAACACAGGCACCGCATGCGACACACCGTCACCAGAGTCGAGGACTATACCGGTCGTCTTTCCTGATGCATACAACGAGAGGACGGCTTGCACCGACGTGTACAGAGCAGGCACATTAAACGTCTCGAACAGTATCTGTGCGGCCGTATCGCGGTTCTCCCGAGGGTTCAACGGCGGTTCTGTGAGGAGCACGGGATGCTGCAGACAACCGTTAGCGGGGCCCGCCAAAACATGACAACGCAGAGCTGTCGCATCTACTTACATCTTCACTAACGGTCTTCAACTCTTCCGTATATACGTATTGCCATATTCGCTCCATGTCGTCCCAGTCCGTGACAATGCCGTGCTCTAATGGGTAGTTGATCTTGAAAAGCCCCCTATACTGTTGTGCCTGTGGTCCAATGAACACGTCGCCTTCCAGCGCACCTGCCATTGTTCGTATGTGTTTCGGCCGGCCGACAAAAGATGGGAAGAAGCATTTTGGTAGGTCCTGGCCGGCGAAGCCTGCGCGTATAGTTCCGCTGCCATTGTCGAGGACTATGGGGGCATTGTGAAGTCGGGAGCCCATTGCGAGGCTCGGTGCGGGCGATTACGAATTAAAGTAAGGTTTGTGAATGTTCAGGTGGATTGATAAAAGCGATTGTTATCGGCGGGGTGCAGCTGTTGCGAGGGGCGCATCTCTGGGAGCTCGAGACGTCAATGTTGCCAGTCGCGAAACTATCCACGACGCGAACCGATTGGGCAGGGGTCCCTTGTGCACATCACGTGCAGCGCCTTCCACGTGGGCACTTGGTCATTCCGAATACTCGCATATCGTAAGGTCATAGCCTGCGTCTCCAACATGTACGCCCGAGTCTTATATTTTAATTGACACTTCTTTCGAGTCCTTTGCGGATCACTGCATCTTCGTGTAATATTCTAGACTTGGCCCTGTCCCGGCGTGTCCCCCAGGTACCCCGCGTAAGCAGCAATAGCCATGTTCAAGCTCCGCCTCTTCAAAAGATCGCACACTCTCCTCCTTGATCTCTCCATACGGATGTGCCTCCAGAATGAGTGCTTCAAAAACCACGCCAAAGGCCATTCTTGAAGCCTTGAAGAAAGCATTAACGTCTGGACCCGCCCAAAAGGTCGAAGATGCATACTACAAGCCTCGACCGCAGCCATTCCACCACTACAATGGCTCAGCCTGGGTTGTCTCCACTCTTAAACGCTCTTCACAAAGTCAATCACCTTCTTCAAGGACCGTCCGCTTGATATCATGGAACATCGATATGCTCATCGGCTTTGCGGAAGAACGCATGAGCGCCGCGCTTGAACATCTTTCCACCCTAGTCGAAAGCACAAATAATGAGACGCCTATTGTTATCTTCCTACAAGAGATGAGCCAGTCAGACATGAAGCAAATCCGCGACACGCCGTTCATACAACGACGCTTCTACATCACAGATCTCAACGAGCGCAACTGGCTAAGTCCACTCTACGGGACGAACACACTCATCGACCGGCGTCTGAGCATCAGTCGAGTGTTTCGGGTCCCCTGGATTAGTAAGTTCGACCGCGATGGACTATTCGTCGACCTTGCGCTTGCGGAGCAGGGCGAAGGAAAGGTTCTGAGACTTTGCAACACGCACACCTCGAATCGCTTGTTGCAGACCCTCCCGTTAGACCGCTCCAGCTTCATGCCGCTGCGCCTTATTTGCATGAGTCTTCTGTTGCAGCGGGATTACTTGCCGGTGATTTGAACGCCATTCAGCCTTTCGATTGGACGTTGCACTCTGACAATAACCTCAAGGATGTATACCTAGAACTCGGCGGTAAAGAAGATAGCGATGATGGGTACACGTGGGGCTACCAGGTCCCTCAAGCGCTTCGTGAAAGATTTGGATGTAGTCGCATGGACAAGATCCTCTTCACGGGAGGAATCATGCCGCAGAAGTTCGAACGTATAGGCGTAGGTGTCAGGGTTGCAGAGAATGAGAGAAAGGAGATGAGGGATGCTGGGGAGGAGGAGTGGGTAACGGACCATTATGGGGTGATGGCAGACTTTCAAATCGATGAAGAAAGTGCATTGGCTGTTACTGAGGGGCGTGAGGATGAGGTGCCTCGATCGAAGCTGACGTGAATCTAGACAATTGAATCTGTTCATGGTCAAATATAAACAATGTCGTCTTACAACTCTCCGAGCAAGTGTCCATTCTCTGGATCTTCCAAAGTGCATGTTTCTATATTATGCCGCCTAGCACACTGGAAGCCGCGCCATCATTTTGTAACTAGGGTTCTCAAAATATGCTGTTCGCCAGTACGGGCTCTATCGACGGTAGCAGGTACACATCACATGTCTACGCAGTCTTGCCTCAATACGTACAGTTTTGATCCACAACACATACATCGCATTTCTTAACGTGGATTAACACATGTCACAGCAACCCAACACTCTGCTGACGTACCGGTGTAAGGCTCTTAATCCCTCTAGCCCATCGTCGACCAAGTCGGTATCAACATACGCACAACAACTGCACCATGATACAATGTGTGCTCTGCAAACGCGCCCATTCTTATCTTTACAACGTTACAGTAGCTTCGGTCGAGACGTCGCGGAACTAGGATGTAGGTGGGGTAAACAGGGAAATGTTTTGCCGTATCCACTAGCATCGTGGATGCACTTGCAACACCATGCCAAGAACAGACTGGAACGGCAGTACCCCAGCCTTTAGTATGGGTTAGCTGGAGCGAATTGGTCGCAAGAAGTAGTAGTCCGCGGGGAATATGAAGGAGATAACGCCAGCTTCGAAGACAGCGCAGCGCAGCTTCCTAGCAGACTTACGCGTAGTCACAAGCACACAGCGGCTAGACGCTTCCGTGTCATAGGTATAGGTATATGTAAGGACGCCACTCAATCCTCTTCCCGACCCTTGGTCGACCATTCTTAGAACACGATGTCGTCCGCAGCAGAGACACCCCATCTACTTGCCTCCCTCACACCTCTCAACATCCTCCTCTTCGCTATCTCTCTGCCCATCCTGTCATTCACCTACCAAATAATCCACTACCGCTTCTTCCACCCCCTTGCCGACTTCCCAGGCCCCTTCTGGGCCTCCGTCACCCGCCTCTGGATCGCATACCACAACATCCTCGGCGACGAATGCGAGCTCGAGCTCGCTCTCCACAAGAAATATGGCCCCGTGCTGCGCATCACTCCCACGCTGCTCCTTGTCTCGGACGCTACAAAGCTACCTGAGGTATACAGCCGCCAGGCGAATAAATCAAATCATTACATCACCGGCAGCTTCGGCGAACAAGAGAGTCTGTTCAATATGAAGGAGCACAAGGTGCATGCGCACTTCCGCAAGATAGCAGCGGGGCCGTATGCATTTAGTAATATTAAGAAGATGGAGCCGCTTGTGGATTTGCGTATCGCGCAGTGGCTTGCGAGACTAGCTGGTCTTTTTGCGGAGAAAAGTGCGTATCTATACGAATTGCTATGGTATACCCCCTCCACACGCGCGTACTAACGAGGACTCAATGTAGATCAAGAATTCGACTTCGCGCCCTGGGCCGTCTACATGGCCTACGACATCATCAGCGAAATCGGCTTCGGCGCGCCCTTCGGCTTCATCGAAAGCGGGACCGACGTAGGCGGCCTAATCCAAGGTTTCCACGACGGGCTCCTCCCCTTCGGCCTCATGGCGCGGCTCTGGCCTTTCACAAACTTTATCAAGAAAACGCCCCTGGGAAAATACCTCGTTGCGAAGCCGACTGATAATAGCGGGATAGGCACGCTCATGCGGTTCCGCGACACGCTACTTTCACAACGTCTGAAAGATGTACAAGAGGGAAAGATCGAGCGCGTGGATTTATTACAGACGTTTATCGATGCGCGGGATGACGCTGGGAACCCGCTTAGTATTGAGTATATCAAGGCTGAGATACTGCTCGTGCTGTTGGCAGGTGCAGACACAACGGGGACGGCGTTCCAAGCTATGATGGCGTATATCATGGGTAATCCTACCGTGTACACGAAGCTGATGACGGAAATCGACACGTGCAGCGAGAAGGGGGTGCTGAGCGAGATGCCGCAGTATGACGAGGTTTTGACGCATTGTCCGTACTATGTTGCTTGTGTGAAGGAGAGTATGCGGTGAGTGGACGGGGACTATTATTGGTGAAGGGGGCTGATTGCTATAGGTTGTGTCCGTCGGCACCCAATATCTTTCCGAGGCTCGTCGGGCCAGCTGGGCTTCGCCTGGATGGTAAATTCGTCCCGCCCCATACGGAGATTACGTGTAATCCTTGGCTTGTTCATCGCGATAGGAATATATACGGGCTCGATGCGTGTGAGTTTCGGCCGGAGAGGTGGTTGGGTGATGAAGAGAGCGTGAAGTTGTACAACAAGTATAATATGGCGTTCGGGTATGGAGCGCGTGTTTGTCTGGGAAAAGATATCGCGCTCATGGAGTTGTACAAAGCACCGTTGCAGTTCTTCAGGATGTACAGGCCTGTGGTTAATAGGCAACATCGAGGACGGTTCGTTGTCAAGGGCGGTGTAGGGTTCTGGGAAGATATGTTGTTAAGGATCGAGAGAAGGAAGGAGAAGGCGTAGGTTGCTTGGAGTTCAATCTCGACGTTGGGGGTGACGGATCTAAGATTCCCGGCACTTTGTGTCCAAGGTCAGGTCGCGAGATATCGAAAGACGTAAGGCTGGATGATTGCACCTATTTCTGGGGGACGCTCGCCTGGCTTTGTGGGCTGTGAAGTGTAGCCAGATCAAGCAGTAAAGATTGGGCTCCTTCGTGAACCGCTGACCCTTGCTAATCCCCTATATCTTAATTTGCCTTGCTAGCCTCCCTGCACGAGCTTCAAGGTATCTAACACTACCAAGTCCTGTTCAAGTGCCCATTGGTCATGGAGCTATCTAAGCAACCTCGACACTCTTAATCGTCCCTCTATGCAACCTCGCAAGCCAAGTCTTGCTCATGAAAATACGAATCCTCTTGCCCCACACCATAAATATCAACAGCACCAAGTTATTCGCCAGCAAAACAGACGCAAAGATACCAGATATCGTAACCGAGAAACCATTCTCGAGGATCCAATCCAGAAGGTAGATGCCCATGCCAAAACTGATCGCCTGTTTGCCTAGATTCATTGCGATGAGCATTTCGGATGTGTTGGCATTATACGAATCAACCGCGTAAGCGAGGGTGAAGCTGAAGTAGAAAAGCGCGCCCCATTGATCCATTCCCACGCCGAAGAAGTACGCGATCCAGTGGAGGTTATTTTGGGCGGCGAGGCCGTACAGGATTACTCCCGCAGGCGCGACGATCATGGCGGGAAGCATGACGCCGAGGCGCATCTCTGCTTCGCGAATGCCACCGTTCTTCCGGGTGTAGTGAGCGGCGAGACGGTCAGACGATGAGAGGAATGGCAGAGCGAGCAAGAAGCCTAGGAACGTGGCGATGGTGATGAGTCCGCTGTTGGTCTCGCTCCAATTGTATGGAGGCGCAGTGATCTTGAGGGGAAAGGTATAGTTGAAGGCCAATGCGCCGAGACCAATGTAAATGCCGAACGAAGTAGCCACCCATAGGACCTGAGGAACGAGGAAGTATGTAAAAGAGCGAGGAATCATGATCCAGAATTCTTGTTCGTGATCGATGCCATTCCAGACTTTGAGCTGTTGTGCGAACGTTTTGCGTGTTGGGACCGAAGAGGCGAACTCGGTGTGGGAGGCGTCGGCGACCTTATCCGTGGTCAAGGTAGATCCTGGGGAAGTTGTCGGCGATACGCGCTTGTAGGCCGTCTCTTCTACTACAAAGAATGCCGCTATGAGGAGTGCGACCGCAAAGGCGAAGACGACGTAGAAGTACAGCTTCCAGGAGTAGCCTCCCGCAAGCATGTATCCAGCGTATAGAGGGCCCGTGGAACCGAAGCAAAGTGCGACTGCACACCATCAGCCATTGAAAGAAGAATGCTAAGGAGAATGATACATACTAGTGTAATAGCCGATACGCAAGCCACGTTCGTGCAGAAAGAATACATCGTTGACTAGCTGCACGGGTAAAGCTTCGCAAACCCCTGAGCCGAACCCATGGATGATGCGACAGGCCATAAGTCCACCAAAAGTAGTTGCCTGGGATGCACCAATTAGGCCTGCGCAGAACTGCGACCGATAATTAGCTTGTGAAATGAGGTGAGTCTTCTGGCCTGACGTACGAACACCATGGATATCAGCATGACAGGACGACGTCCAATCTTGAGGTATAGCGGTACTAGTATCAACGACCCTGAACCAGTCAGCCAACGCCTCTCGAGTATGATCTCTAGTATGAACGCACCGAAGCCAAATGCAAGATTCGGATACGACACTAGGTCAGAGGCCTTGGTCGGGCTAATGCCAAACTCTTTCGCATATAGACCGATGTACACCGACGGTCCTAGAAGCGCACAGTTGCCGAGAAAACTGTATAAGGCGCAAACGAGCAAGATCATTGATTTCTTCCAGGCAGGCCACTCCCAGAGTCAGCCTGGGTATACTCGCTGAATTCATGGCAACGTACTTGTAAAGGATCATTGGGGTCCTCCGCTGGGACGGGATATAACGCTTGCCCAAAAGCTGTGTCGTCCCCCTCTGCGACTCTGTCAAATCTTGCGCAAGAGTGGAAGCTCAACATATAACTGACCTGCAGCTCGAAGATTGACCGTCCCAGGCAAATCTTCTTCGTGTGCGTGACTGAAGCTAATCAGCGCGCTGCGTCGCTTTCAGTCAAAGCCCACATCACTTACCTATGGACCAAATGTCCTGGAGCCATGATTCCTACTCTCACTGTGTAAAACCTGAAATGATGTACATTCCAAAAGTCCAGGGCCAAGCCCACCTTTCTACTTCCACCCCTGTTATCGTACCCCGGCACTTGCTGCACGACAATTTGCCGATAGCTTACCTACGTATTAACAGGCGTATAGCCTTACCCGTCCGCCCAATGCGCACGCTCTAGATCGGCATGGTAGAAGTCCGTAACTGCGACAATGTTGGTAGGGCGTATATTAACCGCTGCACCTACCCGAAAGAGGCAAGAGGCGCGCTGATCGGTGGGGATCACGTAGCGGGAACGAATGTGGAGGCGGGGATGGAATGTGGGATATAGTATCGCAGTAGTCGCAATCTAGCAGTCCGTGAGATTAGGGCTATATGCATCTCAACGTATAATAGAGCGCCAGGGTTACAATATGCGAACGAAGGATTGTTGATACGGCACCGCACCATGTACGTCGAGAGATGTGGACGCGTTCGCCTATTCGAAAAGTCGTTGAGGTGAGCAACTACCTAAAGGACCCCACAAATGCCCAGAGAGCGGTCCGCTTTACTAGTGGAATTCGACCGAACGCCGTCTCAAACTGGCACATTGTTCAATCAGAAACGCTGGGATGAGTTCATCGTTGCGAGAGATCGAGAAGCCCCACCGGAACCTGCGCGCGACCGAAGCTACAGATCGTATGTTTATGCGGCAGTCAAACAATGGAGATCCACCAAATGCACCACAGTGGCCGACAGTAGAAGCCGAACTATGCGCCAGACGTTGTCTACCAAGCCTAGTAACCCGTGTCAAGAGTAAGGTCAGCTACATCCAGAGGATTATGGAGCCTAGGGTAGCTCAATCTATGATGTCTCCTTCGAAGCTGTGGCTGGATACTCAATAACCGTCTCTCACGTCGAGGCGAGGGTCAATACACACTTTAGTGTCGGTCACTGTGCACATGGTCTATAGTCGAAGGTGTGCCCAACGTTCGAAGCAAAGGATAACATCACGTGGGTGTCAGGGTCGAGTCAGCGTCTAGGTCATGGTACATCTGTGAAACCGCTTTCCCACCTGTTATCTCGTTAGGGTAGAATCTATTCAATAAGGGAATGAGGCGATCGTTGGAGTAAAGCACATCCGCCACCCGCATACGGATGGTTTTTAGATCAGAAACTCCATAATCAATGATCTGGTTGCGTAGAGGCTGGCCGTCTTGAGCAGACTGAGCTGACATGTGGAACGTAAGGGCCGAGAACGAATAATGAAACTACACAAAAGTACAAAAACACCGGTTCAGTTTGTGCCTTCACTTGCTATGTGGAATGTGGTGAGACCACCTTCTGCTTATGCGAGTATCAGCACGATTATAGCATATAGTATACACCCGATCGATGATTCTATCATGTTACACCAGATTTTTGGCTGCACGAGGCTGGTGACGTGTCCATTGCATGACCTTCAGCTGATTAGAAGACAGCACAGGGAGTGTGATACGCACAGATTATGGAAACTGCATTGCAGTATTGTAGATTGATTCGGTGTTTAGTAATAAGCTAAGCTATAGATACCGATACATAGTTAGGGATGTTTGTGAAGCTCGAAGCGAGAGACTGAGTCTGAGGGCCATGCCATTGGGTCACATCAACAGCATTGAAGGCGAGGCAGGGAGGAGAACACTGAAAAGGGATGCGAAAAGGCAAGGCTGCTCACAAATGATCGACCGTGAGGATGCCGAAGAAAAAGTAGTTAAGAGGCGAAGTGGTGGCGTTCAGATTGATTTCAGGAAACCCAACGCGATGGTGCCGGAAAGTTCACCGCAAAGTGCTACAGTGTGCTGGAAGTGGATGTCGTAGCCAAAGACCATGAGCAGGATGACCTGAAGCTAGGGCGGTCCGGCACAGGCTGGGCATTGGACAAGGATGAACCCATTTCCTCGGCAAGACGAGCAGGGCTTCTTGCGGACGCTAGTACTGCTCGATGGTCAGAAGAAGTGTTCAAAGCAAACGTGAAGAAGCAATAAAAGTGGAATAACAGAAGCTTCGAACAAGAGAAGACGTGAAAACTGCACTGTGGTTCGATGCCAAAGCGAAGGTGGGCTTACGGATGTCCTTTGCACTCGGGGCAGGTGCCAATATACGGAGCCTCGAAAGGTACCGGATGGCCAGACAGACAATAAAGGACTGCTGTCTGGGGAGTCGTAGAGGATGCAGTGGACATGGTAAGTGCCGAGGGTCGTCGATGCGTCTGAAAGGCTAAGTATGTCGTATATGTGAAGTCGCGATGGCCAATGTGTTGCCTGAGGACAGGTACAATTCGATGCTCAAATTCGCTGCTGGAATCTTCGAGGCATCCAGGTTCATATATAATTCAATTCGTCAGGATTGCTTACCGCCTGATGAGTATCGCGCCACTGACGCGCCGAATTTGACCAAGTGTTCATTGTTATTGCATGTGGACGTCGAAAGAAAGATCTCGATCAATCAAACCTCGTAATCTCGTCACAGAGTTACACCACGATCGACGCACGGATGTATTCCCTCATTGTGGTGTACCAGCGTTCCAATGGATGTACCTACCCTTGCCCGATGTAACTTTCGTACAACCCTTTTGGACCTCTCGTGAAGATAGTGGAAATTTACAGACGAAGAGGCCCAATCAACCTTAGGGTCTGCTGTGATCAGATGACCTGAGCGTGACCGACCGACTTAGGCATCTGCAGGTGCCCGGCGCTTATCTTCCGACATAGGTCGCCTGATACCCTCCTAACTTACCATACCATAGAACAGGAGCGGTAACCTTCTGAAACAAGCACACTGCAGCGAAGCTCAAGAGCTGAAGCTCGTGAAGAGTCTAACCCTTCTTGGAAACGTGTGCGTCGACTGAACCGATGCAGACCGCTTCGAGAAGTGTGTGCATAGAAACACGTTTTTCGCTTGAAGATCCTGCGTCAACTTGACATTGGCGACCGCCAGACAGCGGGTCGTCACAGGTATACCCTCATGCCTGTAAATGGCAGAAAGACCAAGTATGCCAAGCTTTAAGAAGCGGTCGACGTGGTAAGTTGAGCCGCTAGTTCCAGGGACCAGGGACAAGGACCGAGCAGTGGTTTATCAGGAATTTCGACCACTCATTGCTCCGTATACAGAACACAATTCCCAGAAATTTGGAAAGTTCTTACCCACTCACAGCCGGTTTCACGAACTGGACTTGTACTGCGCCGGACCTCGGAGACCGTTAGCGTGGTTCTGGATTGGTGAATCGGTATATAATTTTAGGTATACTGGTGGAACGACGTCAGCGCTGGTGCGGAACATCTAAGTTCCTGGGATTTCCAAAGAAAATTGTAGGCGTGGAGAGCAGGCATTGAAACTCAGTGTCAGCGAAAACCTCTTTCTGAAGTAGTCACACTGTTTACTTCTCGGAAATTTTTGAAGACAAAGTATAGATGGTGGCTGAGCGGGGTATCGGCGTCTGGCATGTGAATCAAGTAGTCTTGATAGAAATTCTTTCCCAATACAAGGGACAATGCGCACAGCGGCTCTTCCAATGGAGTCACAATGTTGTCATCGGCCTGCACTTCGTCATCACTACCACCAACTTTGGTAACAGTTCCCGATGCAAGCACCACGGGATTGGTGTGACGGTGGCGCCGCCTAGAAAGGTGGTGAATTTGTTGCCTTGTAATCAGTAGTATACTTGAGAACAGTAAGCCTATTTGGATCAGTCCAGGAAGTTCGAATTAAGTCGAAAGCCAGACTCACATAACATAGGCCGCTGCTGCCCAGGTGCAAGTGTCGTGAAGCGAGCTCTTGCATCTCACCCTGAACTGCGTACCAGGAAGATGGCTTGCGCTCGTTAGTAACCTGCTTTTTGAAGACCCAGCAAGCGTGTGCATGGTGTTGCAGAAGCACACATCGAGTGGCAAGGTCAGGAAAAGAGCAAGAGCAATGGAAGTGCCAAGACGCTAGCGTTGCCGACGGACCGACTTCAGCTCTATCCACGTTCTAAGATCTCACCTACTGTACCACTGCATCAGATTTGAGTCACTTGGCGACGATAAGGGTCTAGAGAGCTGCAGGCAATTCGTTCATTATTGTATATACACATCGTTAGCCTTTGTCTTACAGAGAGGTATCCGCCTATTACGGCCCCTGCTACTGCCTCGCCTTGATCACATCCGCAGCCTTCTCACCAACACCATACATTGTAGCTTGCAAGTGGCAGGAAGGAATAATGGGGATGATGGAAGCATCGATGATGGAAAGGTGCTGTGTTCCGTACACCATCAAAGTGCTGTCGACGCAACCACCATTCTCCTCCGGCATCATGGGGCACGAAGCTGAGGGGTGCGACAATGTTGGTGCTACCGAGGCTTTCGCCAACAGAGCTGAGAAGATCTCCTCATCAGAGGTGTAGTTGGCGCCAGGAATCGTCTCGCCATGGACGAGTTCCGAAAGTTCAGGGCGGTTCCACACACTGCGGAAGAAACGCGTACCAATTCCGAGGATCTTCTTGTCAACAGGGTTCATGAAGGCGTTGAACTGGATGGTGGGAGGTCCGGTCGGGTTCGAAGCATTGAGGTGAATGATACCACGCGAAAGGGGCTTCTCGATACCGACGAGCCCGTAAGCACCATCCGGAGGAACTGGGAACTCAGCCACGGCAGCATCCCTGCGCTTGAACAAGCCGGCAATGACCTCTCGCTGAGCAGCGAATCCCTTCAGCAACTTGGTGCTGTTGCGGTAAATGTTAGGCAGGTATGAGGCAGCGGACTGGTTGCTCAGGCTCGCGACGAGTGCGTCAACCTCAGAGGTCATGTCCGGGAGGGAGATGAAAGCCAGGGCGTTACCGCGCGCGTAGGTGTACGGCCCAGTCTTGTGCTCCACATACTCTTCCCAGGCGGAAGCGTTAAAAGTGGCATTGGTCGTAAGCGAGTTCACATTAGGGAATGCCTTCGATGTGGTGTTGAAGACAATGGTTCCGTAAGGATGGTCCTGGAAGTTCGAGCCAACGCCATCGTTCGCGTACCTCACGTGGACACCGGCTGCGTCGAGAACCGACCTGGGACCAACCCCGCTGATCTGCAGCAGCTTAGGTGTTTGAACCGCACCCGCTGCCAGGATGACCTCCTTCTTCGCGAATACAACGGATGTCTTGTTGTTCGCGTCCTGGATCTCGACACCTCGCGCCATGGTTTCCTGGGCCTTGTCCCATACGATTTTCTGTGCTGTGGTCTTTGTCATGACGTGGAGGTTGGTGCGGTTGACGATAGGGTCGTAGTAAGCGTAACGAGCGTGAGCCCGGCGACCAGTCCTCTTGTCCATCGTGTTTCCAAACCATGACGGACCAACAGCGCCAGAGTTACCGTCGACAGGAACGCTGACACCGGAGGCCTTCCAAGCCGCCCAGTACTCGTTGATATCAGCATATTGGGTGTCAGTGATACTGACGCTCAAAGGCCCGTTGCCGTACGTATCTGGATCCCAGGTGATGTTGAAGGCTTCCGCCACCTCTGCTGAAGGCGGCTGGAAGGTCGTACCCTTGATGAAGTAGGGCTCCATACCAGCCCATCCCCAACCCTCGTTACCGAGCGCCTCCCAGGCGTCGTAGTCAGCCGCATTACCCCTATCATAGACCATGCCATTGATAACGGAACCGCCGCCGAGAACTTTACCCACATTGACATTATAGGTCTTGTCGCCAAGCTGAGCCTCGGGTTGGGTCGTAAAACCGGTCCATTTCAGTGGTGCAGCAGCTGCGATGTCGTTTGCCTTGTACGGTATCGTATTTCCCTGGGTGTCTATGTTCTCACCAGCCTCGATAACCAAGATGGTTTCTATGATACATGTTATGATTGTACTAACAATCATTCCAGGAGACTTACTGTTCTTGTTTTCGGACAATCGATTCGCCACGACCAGACCGGTGATGCCTCCGCCAACGATTACGTAGTCATACTCAGTGACATTAGTAGCATTGCCCGAGGAATAAGCAGCAGAAGTGAGAGTGAAAAGCGCCGAAACGAATGGTACGGCCACCCGCGAAAAGACAGCCATCTGGACCCAAAAGAAGATTAACGAGAGTACACTGGGGCGCAGGATGCGGCACAATTAGCAGTGGGTGGGCCAACGTAAGGCACGCCTCCGACTTCTTATATGTCTGGAGCGCAGCGAAAGCTACTGGCAAAGCTGTGCGCCAAATCCGCGCAAGGTACTTGCCACGTGCTGGCGCATGTAGGATTCGGCACTTTGCGTGGGGTCATTCAGTACTTGAGATTTGCCATGCACCACTTGGTCGGACGATTGCCGCACTGGGGTATAACAGGTACCCACCTTGACTGCCGACCTGATGATTAGAGTTGTTCAACGTCGAAAGGGTCCTCGTGGCGCCGCTGCCGCGTAGAAAGCGCTGACATCCCGCCACTGTCCACCTCCGCGGGCGCTCGCCTGTCATTTTACGGCTCACGCCGAGAGCGACCTTCGAGAAAGCTCAAACGGTAGCTTGAGGCTAGAGGAGGCGAGATGATATCTAGAACTGTGTCTGGATCGGTTGCGCCGGGTCTGTGGGTTTCATGACTCGGCTTCTTATGCTTTGCGGGAAGTGGACCAGGGTTAGCGGCTCATGGGAAACTGTCGCCCCGTAATTTCCAGAATGATGGATGGCCTGGTGGCGTACTCGGAGAGAAGATGCTAGGAGCCGAATACGCTAGCTTGCTCGCTCTCGGCTGCTTTACCGAGTACGGCTTAATCCACGCTGAACTCCACCTACACTAACGGCGTAGCATGTCAAGGAAGACTGCGTAGCCCTTGTCGTTCAAATGGATATTGATTGATAGGTCCACTTGTCGTCAATTTTCCGCAAATGAGAATGGAAAGATGAAGAACGAGACACCTTGGGCCTCATGATCCATTGAACTTCTGGAAGGATGATCTATCCACTCCATGGCGAGATGGGCAGATTGTCAGACTTGTCAGTGGACCTCGTGGGGCCGACTCCCGTGTCTGTACGTACGTTTACTGGACAGACGCATTGATGGGTCGCCTTGGTCGCATCTTCACACCTCGAGATCCCATGGGATCGTGTATCACCTGTTCGGTCGGAGCGATAACCTGCCGCTTCGACAAATCTCAGGGACAGGCCCAGCTCCTCGATCAAATTCTGACGGCGGCCCCTAAGATGCGGGAAGAACCACTTATGACTTGCGGGAACGCCTGCTGTCTTCCGTAACAGTTCACGATCTTCGTCTCGCTGTCCAGCGTCCGGTCCAAACTTTCCAGTGAGTGAGTTATGCCTTTGAATACACTATGTTCCCAAGACATAGAGCTCCTATGGATGCATAGCTGATTGAGGTAGTTACGATGGCCGATGCGGCGCAGCAGGACTGGCCCAATGAGCGTTACAGGATTCTGGTGCCTACGACAACTTTGACGGTCCTTTGCACAATCTTTCTGTTCTGGAGATGCATCTACGGCCTCAAGCAGAGAGGCAGCTTCCTGGTGTGCGACTACCTGCTAATTTTATCATGGGTAAGTTGGATTCCGATGAGGCAACCCTCACGAACGGTACTGATCTTCGAGTAAGGCCCTATCGATTGCGAACACCTGCATCCGCTTTATCCTAGTCGATAACGGTCTTGGGAGGCACATAAAAGATCCGTCGATCACGCTGCCCATGCTCATGAAATACTCATATTACCTCTGGATCAATCAGATTATCAATATCGTTGCAGTAGCGATCCTGAAATGGTCCATATGCGCCTACTTGCTCGTTCTCGATTTCTCCAAGCTATACCGCGCCATCGTGTGGTTCTCCATACTGGTTATCACGGCTATCAACTTCCTAGCGCCCGTGTTTACACTCTTCGGCTGCGCGCCGCTCGAAGCGAACTGGAATCGGGCCATCGTCAACAAGAAATGTTGGGCAGTCGGTACCTTGCCGCTTTCGTATGCGCAAGGCATAGTGAATGTGCTTACCGATGTTGTATACGTTGTTGTAAGTGTGGCACTGCGTTCGTTTGGCGCAGAAAGAGCCTCTGCGGATGCGGATCGGCTATGACTCGCACACCCGAGTGCCTGTCCGCACGTACGTGGTTTTTCGCTGACATTGTTACATTTAGGCGCCGATCGTATATCTTTCTCGTGTACAGCTTCCCAAGCGAACGCAATGGGGTCTACGAGTAGTTTTCCTCCTCAGTCTCATGTAAGTACGCGCAAGACGACACCGCATCACCTTCTAAGAAGCATAGTGTCATGATTTGTTCCATCCTCAAGACAGTCGAACTGAAGAACATCACCGGAACAACTGACCCAACATGGTCCGGTGTCAACCTTTCCATCTGGTCCAGCGCCGAGCTCCAGGTGGGCATCTTCATCGCCGCCTTGCCTCCCCTACGCAAAGTCTTCGACCGCCTCTTGCACAAATTTGTCCCAGGCTTGTCAACAAGCGGCCACAAATCAACGCCCGGCTACGGTACGCCCGGCTACGGTGGTCGCTCGGCGCATGGCGATGACATTCGAATGAACACAATGGGCAAGGGCGATAGGAGTACACGCAAGACTTATCCTCACGAAAGTGCGTTAGACAGTGACAGTGAGAGCGAGAAGGCGATACTAGACGATGAGGAGAGGAGGACGCAAGGTTCAGGCATCACGAAGTCGACAAACATCACCATCACCGAAGAACCAAGAGATAGCCGCAATAGCCGCAACGACAGTCCTGCGCATAGCTTGTAGGCGATCAATGCGGCGCGCTCATCGTGGTCCTTGTAAGGATTCACTCTTTCCGTTCTAATGTATATATTTTTGACATAGTGTACATACTTCACGACCTTATAGAAAAGAAGGAGCGAACAAATTCAAAAAATGCTCTCAATGCTACCTAGGTAGCTGGATACCACAGAACCACAACGTATACCCTTCATCTTATACGCCACTTTTCCTTCTCATCTCGGAGTCATCATCTTTTGTTTCCCAAGTGTACCGACATCAAACCACCTCAGGTAGCCGTAGGTGGGTTGTCGTCCAAATCAATATATTATGGCATGAGCGCGTGATGACGTAGGTACGTGGCGCTAAGCTCCGTCTTCATGTCGCGTCCAGCTCCATGTAGGCGCAGGCGAGTGCCACTGCTGTGCAGATGCAAACAACGAACATCATGAAACGATAGCAAAATCATGTCTAGGATACGAGGCAGTTCCGCCCTGCGGCACCTCTCCAGGCCTCGCGTCCGTTCACCGCTTCCAGCAAAACCATGGCAGGCATGCACCGCCAGATCGTTCTTCGGCCTCGGCGAACTTGCTGGCGTGATCGCAAACCCGGCAGAGACGCTCCGCCAACTGAAAGAGTCGCAGGATATGCTTAGGAAAGCCAAAGAAGACATGGAGCTTGCCCGCGAGGCGAAGAAGATCCCTAAGAAGCACACCTTTTCTAAACTTCCTGGCTTCCATGGCCGCAAAGCAGAGCAGGCATTGCTGCGCAAGATATTGAATGCGCAACCGAAGATGACGACTATCTTTGGCGCGACTTCTGTGGGGAAGACGGCTTTGCTGAGAGAAGTGCTGGCCACAGATGATTATTTCGTGGTGAAGTTTGATTTGAGAATTAGTGGTTTTGCAGATTTGAGGACGCTGTATCTGGCTTTGTGCGAGCAGTTTCAGATTTTCTTCAACGAGGTAAGCAGACTCACACACGTATATGCAAGATCTCCGTTGCTGATGAATTGCAGATGCACGACGAAGAGATGGGCAAGCAGGCATTGACGTTCAAGCATCTCATACTCGCATTAAACGAGAAAGAAAGCGCCGAGGGCGGGTACACAGTCACCGTCGCCGATCTTGCCAGTCTCATGGAAAGCCTGCAGAGCGCACTACTAAAGTACTGGGAGTATGACCCTAAAGAGACCTCTGACGAAGATGGCAACTCCGGTGATCTCCACACGAAGAAGAAGCCAGCTGAACGTAAAGTCGAATCTTCAAATGATACCACTACACATAACGCAGATACGCAATCCGACAAAACCCTCTTCCGAAAGCGCCCAGTCGTATTCCTCCTCGACGAAGCGCACAAGCTCCCCGCCCTCGTCGACGACCAACTCTCCCTAAAAGTCTTCCTCGACACCCTCCTCGTCCTCACAAAACAAGACCGCCTCTGCCACGTCCTCTTCTGCACCTCAGACCCCTTCTTCCAACACTTCCTCCGCTCCATGAACGTAGGCCACCACTCCCAACTCATCACAATCGGCGACTGCAGCCGCGAAGAAACCCTCTCCTACTTCCTAGACCAAATGCTGCGCTCCGTGCCACCCCACTTAGCTTCGAATCTCACGACCCATTTCGACGACATATGGGATGCGTTCGGTGGGAAATTAAGCCATATTAATGATTACGTTGCGTCGTGGGTCCAGGCTGAAGGACGGCTTACACCCTACCAATCCGCGATCTTCATACAGGCGTACACCCTCCTACAATTCCACCTCACGCAAGCAAACTTCGAAACCTTCTCCCCGCTTTCAACGGCCACTGTGGGTACAGACACAAGTGATGACACCACGCGCTTTGAGCCGGAGGATCTACTGCGGGTTATGCGCACGCTGACGCAGTTGCCGTACAGCATACCGTACTTCACTTTGTGCCGCTTGATAGGTACTGCGCAGGTGGACAGTATGATCAAGACGCGTGTGCTGGAGGTGCGCTGGACGCGGACGGTGACGCCGGAGGAGGGGTGGGTTGAGCGGCAGTGGAGTGAGGATGGGATTGAGAGGCCTGTTGTGTTGCCTATGACGAGGATGATTAGGAAGGCGATGGAGGTTGTGTTGAGGGAAGAGGAGGAGCTGAGGCAGGCGCAGGCGCAGGGAGATGAGCCCGTTGATGAAGCGAAGACTACTTGAAGAGTTCGCAGTGGAAGTTTTTAATGGCGATGGGTTCGATGGTTTGTACATAGCGAGTAGCCCTCGCTCTAATGTAGTTTTTAATGACTAATTTGCACGTTAAAACTTTCATGAGCTGCCCCAGGATCAACAACATATGTCTTAGCATAAGGAACATTGGATCTAAAGAACTGAGATTCATGACACTTGACTACTGCTGGGGATATATCGTGATGCGAAGAGGGGAATATATGTAGCGTTCATGAGGCGTTAAAATCCGCAAACGCCAACGAAACCCACAAGTCCCGATAGGAAATCCGTACCGTAGCACTCAGTTCCATCCGTTCACATGCCCATGTAGCCCATGTCCTGATCGTGCCCACCGTGTAACTCCTGATAGACCAAACCATGACAAATTCAATTGCGAAGACCCAAAATGCAATTGACTGGCGTTGAAGCCAAACTTGAGACCTAGACCCTAACCGATAGCACAATGCCATGTCAGAAATTCGAGTCCGTATTGCTCCAGACCTAGCAAAGCGAGGACTGTATGTGCTCAAACCGTCGACGCGGCACTGTCTCAGACCTCGTAGCCTCTGTGGATCGTAAGATCTGCTTCAGGCGACGAAGAAGTCGTTGGGAACGGAAGTAAGGAAGGCCACAGAGGCCGCCGCACCGACAACACCAGGAACCATCCAGGCTGCAGCAGTCTTGACGGCACTTCCGAGGCGATATCGCAGTCGCTTCTTAGGGCGCTGGCTGAGTGTAGCATCTGAGGGCTCAACTGCCTCGGAGGCTGCTGCATCTGGAGCGGCACCGCTGGACGTTGACTGTAGATCAGGTGTAGGCTCTTCGTCAGAGACTTCGACGGCCTCGTCAAGGACATCCGCCTTACGTTTCAAGCCACTAGTGACCGACGTCGGCGTTGGCGGCTGTTGAGTGACATCCTCGACTATCTCGCGAATCGAAACTTCGGTCCGGCGCACTGGAGGCGACGAATTCTCGAAAGACGGTGCAGGCGGCGGTGTCTGCACACCTGAGACTGGAGCTGAAGAAGAGCTCTTGGAAGGCTCCCATGGATTATCTGGCAGGAAAGACGGCTGTGCGGCATACGGGTTAGGCAAGAGCGGCTCGGATCGGCCAGGATAGTTGCATACAAAGTCATTTGAGTATGTAGGACCGAATGTATGAGAATTTGTCGCTAGCAGAACGTCAGAATATAGCAAGTGGTGGGGTACTCTGCACGCACGTGGAGAGAATGGACTGGTGTAGTCAACCATATTCCATTGCATCGGGCGAGGAGCTGCTGGGCGAGGAGGCATAGCTTCCATGCCGCTAAAGCCTTCGAAAGAATCACTATACACCCCATTTGAAGTGTACATTGGTTCAAAGCGTAGTTCCGGTTCTGGGATCCTGGGTGCCTCCACAGTTGCAGCAGGCGCAGCAAGCTTAGTATTCGGGAAAGGGCACAGCTCCGAGCTGTGGATACGGATGGCGCCGTCCTCGACAGAATCACCTACGTAGCATTTCTTCGTATCTGGGGAAGCGAGGGCATCTGTAAGGGTTCCACGAGCTTCGGTTCCATTCTGAAGGTTGGCTCGCTCCAGTGTGCGCCTCTTATTCTGCTGTTCCAGAAGCCTGAGCTGCATAGCATATGTCTCAGGAGCAGCTACCCCCCCTTGCTCTTCGTCATCGATGTCCTCTAGTTCCATGTCCCCGTCGGACAGAGACTCGTCAGAATCGGCCACGGAGGCGCAGCTATCAACATGAGACATAGACATGGGTTCATCGTCGCTGGAATAGATAGGGGAAGCACCACCTTCCGAGGTGGCTTGTTCAACAAAAGCATATCTACTGGGAGCGGGGAAGGTGGTTGAGACGTCCTCGGGGTAGAAGACATTATCATCATCAACGTCCGGCGAAGGAGAGCGTTCCTGGGCGTCTTGACTTGCATCGGAAGGTATAGCTACAAGGTGTCAGACCAGTGGGTCATGGGTCAGACAGTGGTAACTTACTGGTATCCCGAAGATCTTTGTCGAGCTCATCATCGTCGAATTCGTCGTCGTTGTTGACATTAGCACGAATCTTGTGAACCTTGGCCAGCTCTTCAGCCGAGCTCAGACGCGATTCGTCGACGTCGTCGATGGTGAAAGGATTTCTCTGCGTTCCGTAATGTCGCGGGCAACTCATGCCTTCGTCCACCTCGACCTCTTCTTCGTCCGAGGATTCAGGAACAGTGAAGCCGTGGGGATACGACGGCAAAGAGGACTCGAATGTGAACTGGCGCGCAGTATAGAAGACTAGGTGTGCGTCAGTGGTGAAGCGAAGATCAGACGGTTCGTGAAACCTACGCTGCTCGCGGGTGACGTTGGCACCGAACTGTAGAATATCGCCGTTATTGAGACGCTGGGCCTTCTGAGGTTCCAACTTGTTGCCGTTGACCATAGTGCCGTGCATAGATCCCTTGTCTGTTACGTATACGCAAGCGGCTGGCGGGGCGGTCGCTGTGAGCACGGCGTGCTCCCTTGAGATGGTGGGGCTGTCGATGTAGGCGTTGCCCGGTCCGATCATAAGCTCTGGTTTCGCGGCGTTCTTAGATGCTCGGCCGATGTGTACAACATCTCCGGGACGGAGTTTGAAGGTGCGGGTGTTGTACTCGTCGAGATGGTCCGAACAGCGGAGCGTGATCTCGATGACTGCCGGAGACGTTAGCAAGGCTGCCTTAACCCGTACACCCAACACGGTGTCCAACTTCCTAGAAACCTCACCTTCGGAAGCCGCCATATTGTCGAGTATCGGGTGCGGGAGCTCAGAGTGTATGGAGACACGTAGATTCCTGAGCGGGAGACGCGGTGGAACGGTTCTATGTAGATGAGAGGGCGGGGTTAGTTGTAGAGCACTGGCGGGGTTAGTTGTAGAGCACTGGCGGGGCGTCGATCCGTGGTAGGAGGCAGCGCTTGGCTGGTGCGTTTGACGCCCGACGACTCAGGCTGATGGCATTCGACAAACGTTGTAATTACTGAAAGACACCGAGTTAGTGGGGTGAGGTTCTCTTGTAGGAGGACGTGACGCTTGAGGTGGAAGGTGCGGCCGCTCACAGTCGCAGCTGCCTGCCCGTGATGGTCGGCGCTTGCTGTATCCAGTCTTATCGGCTTATCGCCCTGCAGCTCAAGCTGGGGGAAGCGCGTTGGACCGCCTTGGCAGCGGTAGCCTTGCTGCTGCCCGCACGCCGCGGTGCCCCACCCAAGTTCTTCGCGAACTTTTGCGCAAGCAAAAAGACCCATGAACGCCTCTCCCACATGACTCACCAACACACGAGCATGACCTCTTGCTGCCCCCTCCTACGGTAGCACTCGATCCCCAGCTTGCACTCGCGCAAGCAGCCTCCATCATGGCGACCGCGACCGTGACTGCGACCGACACGCAGGCCCGCCACGCGAAGGAGCAGGTGGTGGACAAAATCCCCGCGCGCATAAAACACATCCAGTTCGGCATCTACTCCAACCCAGATGTGGTCAACCAGGCCGTGCTCGAAGTATCCGATCGCAATGTCTACGATCTCACCACGACCAACGAAAATGCGCGCGTACTCACCGAGAACGGGCCCATGGACACGCGCATGGGCATATCGACCAAGGTGGGCAAGTGCACGACGTGTGGTGAGGGCTTAAACGAATGCAATGGCCACTTTGGGCACATCAAGCTTGCGCTGCCTGCCTTCCATGTGGGATATCTGAAGCACATCATCGAAGTGCTCAATTGCATATGCAAAGACTGTTCGCGAGTGTTGTTAGACGTGCCTGAACGGAGGAAACATCTACGGACCATGCGTCGACCAGGTATGGACAATCTGCAGCGGACAGCTCACGCGAAGAAGATCATGGAGGAGTGCCGGAAGAGGAAGAACTGCCCCTATTGCGGTGCGCTCAACGGCACCGTACGCAAGGTCCCTGGACATCCTCTCAAAGTCATCCACAACCGCTACGATGCCTTTCTGCGGTCCACTGCCAGGACAAAGAAGACTCCTCTTGGGCGGCAAGAGTTCGAGCAATCCTTCGAAACAGCAAAGGCAGCGAACAACGAAGTGGACAAGAATTTCAAGAAGGCGGTGGATGACATGCACCCGCTACGGACCCTCAACCTCTTCAAGAAGATATCGCCTGAAGACTGTGAGCTGCTAGCCATGATTCCGGAAGACGCTCGCCCGGAGATGCTGATCTGGGAATACATGCCTGTACCACCCGTAGCTATTCGACCTTCCGTGATGCAGGAGGCAGGTGCGACCGAGGACGACATCACCAACAAGATTGGTGACATTTGTCACATCAGCAGCATTATCCGGGCAGGACTTGCACGCGGCTTCCCTCTCCAGATACTCATGGAGCAGTGGGATTTCTTACAACTACAAATTGCCATGTACATCAACAGTGAGACGCCAGGCTTGAAACAGCAAGGACTCCAGAAGACGATGCGTGGCTTCTGTCAGCGACTAAAGGGCAAGGGTGGTCGGTTCCGGCAGAATCTGTCCGGAAAGCGTGTCGACTTCTCTGGTCGCACCGTTATTGGACCGGACCCCAACCTCGCAATTGATGAGGTTGCAGTACCTCAGCGAGTTGCTAAGAACCTCACATACCCTGAGAAAGTTACCAAATACAATATGGACAAGATGAAAAAGGTTGTAAAGCTAGGCCCTTACGTCCATCCCGGAGCGAACAACATCATCAAACTCAATGGACGCTCTATGGCGCTAAGCATTCTTGCACGCGATACCACAGGCCAGAAGCTCATAGACGCTGCTGACCGGTTACAAATTGGTGACATCGTAGAGCGCCACCTTGAAGATGGTGACATCGTGCTCTTCAATCGTCAACCTTCCCTTCATAGGCTCAGTATTCTCAGTCACCGTGCTAAGATTCGACCATGGCGTACATTTCGACTCAACGAGTGCGCCTGTAATCCGTACAACGCTGACTTCGACGGTGATGAGATGAACTTGCACGTACCCCAAACCGAAGAAGCGCGGACAGAAGCCACTGAACTCATGGGTGTCAAATACAATCTAGCAACCCCCAAGAACGGAACGCCACTCATTGCTGCGATCCAGGATTTTATAACAGCAGCATATCAATTGAGCAGCAAAAACAACTTCTTTGATCGAGGAACCTTCACTCAGATCTGCAACTACATGTTTGCCGGTGAGGGAGCATTCGATCCTTCCACGGGTAGATATCACCCTATTGAGCTGCCGCCACCTACCGTTTTGAAACCCCAGGCTCTCTGGACTGGTAAACAGGTCTGGAGCGTTCTTATGCGGCCTTTCAAGGACTACGGAGGACGCGATAGGCCTATCCTAGTCAACCTGGAAGCAAGATGCAAACAGTTCAAGGCCAATCCAGGAGTTGCAGACGATCTCAACGAAGACGACGCGTTTCTTGTAATCCGCAATTCTGAAGTCATGTGCGGCTGCTTCGACAAGGCTACAGTCGGTGACGGAAAGAAAGACTCCGTGTTCTATGTCATCATGCGTGACTTTGGTGAAGACTATGCAGTCCAAGCCATGAATCGACTTGCGAAAGTTTCTGCTCGCTGGCTCACTAACAATGGATTCTCACTAGGCATCAACGATGTTACCCCCGGAGATAAACTGAACGAGAAAAAGCAAGCCTTGATCGACAAAGCGTACGCGGAGTGCGATGTACTCATCAAGCAGTACAAGGAAGGCACAATTGAGCGTATGCCCGGGTGCGACGCCTTGACAAGTATGGAAAACAAGATTGGTGGTATCTTGTCTGGAGTGCGTGCAGCTGCCGGTGAAGTGTGTTTTGAAGAACTCAGCAGATGGAACGCTCCTTTGCTCATGGCCAAGTGCGGATCCAAGGGCTCCAACATTAACGTCTCCCAGATGGTTGCTTCCGTCGGCCAGCAAATGATTGGCGGTGCGCGCGTCGCCGATGGTTTCCAACACAGGACACTCCCACACTTCCCGAAGGCTGCTCGTCAACCAGTCTCGAAAGGATTTGTCAGCAACAGTTTCTTTTCCGGTTTGACTCCGCCAGAATTCATATTCCACGCCATGAGTGGTCGTGAAGGTCTCGTCGACACTGCAGTCAAAACGGCCGAAACGGGGTACATGAGTCGAAGATTGATGAAGTCGCTCGAGGATTTGTCGAAACAGTATGACAACACTGTAAGCAATTCTTCTGGGACAGTCGTGCAATTTCAGTATGGAGCGGATGACCTCGACCCCGTCGACATGGAGGGGAAAGCCGCGCCAGTGAACTTCGTTCGTACCTTCACTCATGCAGTCACCATAACCTGGAACAATGCGATCCCTAGCCTCACGCCCAACGCAGTACGTAAATGGACAGAGGAGAGACTCAACAAGAGGCGGAACCTGAGAGACCTTCGACGCATGGCACTCGATCAGGTCACAGAGCTTGACTTCAAAGACCAGAGCGACCTTAGCCTTGACGACAAGGACCCTGAGCGCGCTTTCGTCGATGACGTACAGAACTTCGTCTTCAAACAAGCGGATAAACTTGAAAAGACTCTTGCTTTCCTAGGCCTGCCAGACCCACCCAATGCTACAAGTGAAAGATCTGAGAGAGACACCACGAGGTATGGGCTGGCCGACGGTATTGCAAAAATCTCACAACAAGCTCTTGAGACGTTCATTGAACTGTGTCTCACCAAGTACAAGAAGTCTAAAGTACAGCCAGGCCACGCTGTAGGCGCAATTGGAGCGCAATCGATCGGAGAGCCGGGTACCCAGATGACACTTAAAACTTTCCATTTTGCTGGTGTTGCGGGTATGTCTATCACACAAGGTGTTCCACGTATCAAGGAAATCATCAACGCTTCTACTGCCATTTCCACGCCCGTCATCGCATGCCAACTGTCTAACCCAGAATTTGAAAATGCCGCCAGAGTCGTCAAAGCCCGCGTAGAAAAGACTTTCTTGAAGGATATCGTTACTTACATTGAAGACATCTGGCATCCAGATGGTTCTGCACGCATCAATATGGGTCTCTGCGAGGAAACCATCAAGAATCTTTTCCTCGATCTTCGAGATCACGACATCATCTCCGGAATCAATAAGCACAAGCCACTCAAATGGGGGAAAGCTGGCGCCAAAGTGTCCATCAAGAATGGTAAAACGGTTACCATCTTTATTGCCGATCCGCAGTTTGAGAAGAAGCCTGCTGCCAAGTCCACGAAAACTGTACAGAAGCAGTACTTCGAACGCGTTCAGCAGGTCAAGACTCTCGTTTTGGACGCCGTAATCAAAGGTTATCCCGATGCCCAACGTGCTATCATCAAGAAGGAAACGTCTCCCAATGCGAGAAACAACTACGAATGCCAGCTGCTCGTCGAGGGCTACGGTTTGAAAGACTGCTTGAACACACCCGGTATCGAGCCATACAAGACCAAATCCAACCATATCATGGAAGTTAACCAGGTTCTCGGCATCGAAGCTGCTCGTGCGACCATCGCTGCAGAAATTGGAGAAGTCATGGGATCCATGGACATCGATCCACGTCATATGGCACTGCTTGCTGATGTCATGACCTTCAAGGGCGCAGTGTTTGGTATCACTCGTTTCGGTCTTCAAAAGACGAGGGACAGTGTGCTTCAGCTGGCCAGTTTCGAGAAGACGCCTGATCATTTGTTTGAGGCTGCTGCGAAGGGCAAGATTGATAATATTGACGGTGTTTCGGAGTGTATCATCATGGGGCAGAGCGTTAAGCTGGGGACGGGTGCTATGGAGGTCTATCGCCCGTTGGAATTCAAAGAGGGTGATATCAAGGCCAAACCCACTATGTTCGAGACTGGATGGGATGCGTTATAAGGTCTGGTTTGCTGGTGGCGTACGTGTACGATGCATAGTCTGGCGTTTTTTTATTCTGGGCAGGCATTCTGTCTTTCAGCATAGCGATGGATATCCGAACTGAATAGTAAACGAACTTGAAAGTTACGCTTCTTTTTCTTCGAATTTGATTTGAACGTCGCCTCTGCATTTTTGAGGTTCCCTTGAGCGACATTTTTCACTGGTTCTTCTTCGTGCTTGAATCATGTTCGTACTGCCATCGAAACTTTGCATTAGATATTCGTCCCCCAAATAGTATTACAGTCATTCCATTCATATCCCTCCCAAACGCCCAAAGCAGATCCCGCCACCAAACTCCCTCTCAGTGCAAAAACCTTAATGCCCCCGCCCCGCATCCCTCGCAACCCGATGACTAAAACTACTCGACCGACTCCCCGCCCCCGGCCTCACGACAGCTCTCCCGTCTGCACCCAGAATCACCCTATCCCCTTCTCCCAACACGACGCCTGCTCGCCCCAATACCTCGCGCACCTGCGCCTCCACGCTGTCGGGTAAGTACTGCACGGGGCTAGAGGTGTCGCTCATGCCGTCGGGGAGGTACGTCTGGCGTCCGCTTTCCGTGCGCATAAGTCCTGCGTGGCTGGGGTAATGCTGTGCGGATCCGGACGGGTACCCTCCGAGTCGACCGGGGTAGTTGACAGAGGAGTTAGACCGGGAGCGCCCGGTTACGTTAGAGCGCGTGGAGTCTCTACTTGGGACGCGCAAAGGCGGAGGCGCCATCTCTGTGGCCGCCCAGTTGGGATCTGAATGCGCGGAGTGGGCGGACTGGTAGCTGTGCTGCGTGTCGTCTGGGAGCGGGGGGCGCAGCTCGCTGACGGCTGTGGTGCCTGTGCCGGTGGAGCTGCGGGTGTCGCGTTCGCGGCGGCGCTGGTCTTCGAGGTGGGCGCGGTGTTGGTCTCTGAGGCGCTTTTCGCTGAGGCCGGAATTCGTGGCGGAGGAGTCGGGCGAGGTGTTGTCGTCGGGGGGAGAATGCTTTGCCGATGACAGCTTCTGCGTCAGGGGTGTTGTTGCGGCCTTGGGTGCCGCCGCTGTTGTCGCCGCTGGTAGAGCCACTGCTGACTTTTTCGCGGTCGCCGTGGCCGCTGCCTTCGAGGGTGGTGCCGCTGCCGCTGCCCATTAGTTGCATGTAGCGACGGTGCCAGTCGGACTGCTCGTAGTCGAAAGGCGTGTCGCCATTCTTGCCGAACCAGAGCGGCTCGTTGAGCGAGATCTTGACGACGGAGAGCCAGGGGTTTCCGGGGGCTTCATTGGCGAGGTGGAAGAGGACGTCTACTTCTTCGAGAGAGCGGTATGCGGTTTCGGGGTAGAAGAAGAAGACTAGTGGGATGATGGCGAAGTTTGTGGCGGCGAAGATGATGTAGGTTTTCCAGCCGATGTTGCGGAAGGCGATTGGGGCGATGAAGACCACACTATCATGCCAGTCAGTCGAAGCACGAAAAGGGATATGACTATACGACTTACACAAAGTTGAACAGCCAATTCGCGCTGGTGGAGAGCGCATTGGCTGGCCCACGGATCCTCAGCGGCACAACCTCGACCTGGTACAGCCAGGCCATGCCCTGCCAGCCCATCGCGAAGAAGAACAAATAGCCGAACAGGAAGACTGTCTGGGCGATGTTGGTCCCCCTAAGGCCTTGGTCTTGCCAAAGGTAGCCCAAGACTGCCAACAACACCATACACACACACATCCCCGTCGCTCCAAACAACATCAGCCAGCGGCGGCCCCAAAAACGATCAATTCCCACTACAGCCGTGAAACTCGACAAGAAGTAGAAGGATGCCGCACAAGCGCCGAGCAGCCGCGCGAGCCATCCCGTGTATGAGAACTCAGTGTACATCATCAGGGCGAGGTACTGCAGTGCCAAATTGATGCCGCTCATCTGCTGGAAAACCTGAACGAAGTATGCCAGTACAATGCGGTGGAAGTTGCGCCTCTCTTTGTTGCTTGTCATGGAGCTGGACGAGCCCTTTGCCATGACAAGAATCGCATCTTTGATCTGGAGGAACTCGTCGCGGATCTCAGGGCCTTCAATATCTTCGTCGTTAAGCGCGCTGAGCACGCGGAGTGCCTCGTCTTCCCGACCAGTGAGGATGAGCCAGCGGGGGGATTCGGGCATGAACTTCGATTTGTTAGCTCACTATGTCATTATACTTGTATAGATGTCTTACTATCAAGACCGCGAGAGCGACAAGCGCGAAAACGATCTGGAGGGCAATGGGAACGCGCCATGCGGCGGAGAAGTTGGAGAGGTAGGCGAAGCCGAAGACGACCCAGTAGGCGAGGGCGAGACCGAACGCGATGAATGCGCCGGCGGAGATCATAAGTATTGTGCCTTTGCGATGGGACTTGACGCATTCGGCTTGGTAGGCGGGTACAGTGGCTGTGGTGAAGCCGTTGCCTGTCATTACGTGTCAGCTATCAAACGATCAAAGAAAGATATTAGGCGACATTAACACGTACCGAAGCCAGCAATGGCGCGTCCAGCAATGAACTGGCCAAAGCTATACGACGAGGACTGTATGATTTCTCCGATGACCCAGAAGGTGAGGCCTAACATAAGCGTCTTCTTCCTTCCCAAGTAATCACCGATGAATATAGTGAGAATGGCTGAGACGAAGCATCCCAGGTTCCACGTTCCCACGACGGCGCCTACGATAGTCAGTATGTGTTCGCCTCTTTGGCTTGTCCTGCGTATTGAACCTACCTTGAACCTTCGCATTGTAATACGAATCGTTATTGATGGTATCCACTTGCGGGAATCTGTTCAAGAAGGCCGGCACCGTCAACAAGCCTCCCATAACACCCTGTGCGTAGCCAAAGCATCTACAATGATTAGTCTCTGAGCACGACAATGCGCATTCCACGATCGCAGACTTACAAGAAACACAATCCGCAAACCAAGCTGATGGCCGACTTCAGACTCTTTCCCCGTAACCCCATATACGCCATGATGTAGGTCGGCCCGCGTGTTGGTAGAACCACAATAGACTTCTCGACCTCACGCAACCACCACTGACTCAATTGCTTTTACAGCGCGCTTCCTTCAAAGACTCGTGTTGATATTGATGAAAAGTCAGCCCGCAAGCTCGAGGTCGCATTTGCGCCCCCTTCTCGCGCCTCTCCATACGTCACCGTCCTCCGGCATCTCGTCTAACTCGTAGGCCCTCCAGCCCGTCTCTAGCCCGGCGTCGCCATGTCCGCGAAAGTTTGCAGGAACCGTTGGTTATTGCGGTAGCGTGCGGTAGCGCACGATTGGGCGGGAACTACCCTGCCATCGTGCCGCGGTAATGGAGCCGCAACGTGCGATTTGTCTCGATCTTGATGTCATTAGATTTAGCGCGGAGATCTGTGCAGCGGGACGTCCGCACGACGCGTCAAACATGCTTGCTGATCGTGCAGAGTCCGATACGAGCACGATTGGCGAACGCGCTGGACGGCGCGAGTCGTTGCATGTCGTGAATAGTGGAGCGGTTCTCCGCTTCCCGGACTGAACGACTGCTGGATGCTTTTCGTTGGAAGGCAAGACAGAGATGCATGTTCAGATGGGCGAATTGTGAATAGTAGATCAATTGGAGAGAGATGAGAGACTGGGTATATTTTACTTCGACAAGAACTTCTGGAACGCTTCCTGCTCGATGACGACACTGCCAACGGCCCTCAACTTCTTCCGGCCCTCCTTCTGCTTCTCGAGTAGCTTCCTCCTGCGACTGATATCACTTGCATGTAGCTTGGCAAGCACATCCTTCCGGAACGGCTTGATCGTTGCGCGCGCTACAATGCGTCTGCCAACAGCGGCCTGGATCACAACTTCGAACATTTGGCGGTCGACATGCTCCTTGAATTTCTCAACCCAGGCGCGTCCCACACGGTCCACCTGGCTCGTATGTAGGATACGGGAAACAGCGTCCACGGGTGCGCCGTTGACGAGGAGATTGAGCTTGACAGTGGAAGAGCGCTGGTACCCAGAGTCTTCGTAGTCGAGAGATGCATAACCCTTTGTCGCGCCCTTCAATTTGCCGAAAAAGTCATCAACCAGGTGCGACAGAGGCAAATCATACTTCAGGATGACCTGCGTAGCGGTAAAGAAGGTGAGTTCTTTCTGCTCGCCACGGTTCGCTTCACATAGCTTGATGACCTCGCCGAGATACTCTTCAGGCATGGTGATGGTGGCGAGGACGTAGGGTTCGTGCACCTCCATAACCTTGAGATGTGCTTGGTCTTGGTCGGGAAAGTCGTTCGGGTTCGTGATGATGACCTCTTTCCCATCTTTGTAGATCACTTTGAAGGGTACGGACGGTGGCGTGATAATAATGTTCGCGCCATGTTCCTGACGCAAGCGGTCTTCGAAGACGGAGCAGTGCAACGTTCCGAGGAAGCCTAGACGCCAACCAGCCCCCAGGGCGTCGGATGACTCCTTCTGCAGCGTGACACTACGGTCGTTGAGAATGATCTGGTTGATGCTGTCTTCAAGAAATTCATGCTTGTCTTGATCCGTTGGGAACGCCGCAACGAAGACCATGCTCTTAGGCTCTTCGAACCCTGGCAGGGGCTGTACGAGCTTCTCGGAGCCGAGCGTGGTGTATGTATCACCGACCTTTGCCTCTTGTGACCGTTTCATGCCGGGATTGAAGTGGATGTAGCCAACTTGTCCGGCTCTCAGTACCGTCTGCGGGGTCTGATCTGGGTACATGATGCCAACCTCTCCCACGATGTACTTCAGCCCCGTGGCAAAAGAACGTATCGTGTCTCCTGGTCGCACTTGCCCGTCGAAGATGCGCACCAGCAAGATGACGCCTTTGTACACATCGTACCACGAGTCGACGAGGAGCAAGCGGAGAGGTCCGTCTAGCTTACCGACAGGAGCAGGTATCTGTTTGACGACTTCCGGTAGCAATGCTTGTACGTTCTTTCCCGTCTTTGCTGAGACGAGGACTGCCGCGTCGGGATCCAGCTCGAAGGTTTCCCGCATCTGTTCAAGCACGCGCGGAGGGTCGGCGTGAGGGAGGTCGACTTTGTTCAGGACGGGCACGAGTGTCAGGCCCTGGGCGAAGGCGAGATAGAAATTTGCGACCGTCTGGGCCTGCACACCCTGGCTGGCATCGACGAGGATGAGGGCTCCGCCGCAGCTGGCATAGCTCCTGGCTACCTCGGCGCGAAAGTCGACGTGGCCCGGCGTGTCGACCAAGTGGAACAGATAGTCCTCTCCTTCGTGGTTGTATATCATGCTGCATGTCTGCGCCTTGACCGTGATGCCTCGTTCCCTCTCCACATCCAGCTTGTCCAAGATCTGCTTGTTGCCGCCGGGTTCAATTGTTCCCGTCAGCTCGAGCAGTCGATCGGAAAGCGTGCTCTTGCCATGGTCGACGTGAGCTACGATGCAGAAGTTACGAAAGCGCTCGATGGGAATGTCGGCGATGCGTTTCTCGAGGTCGGATTGCGGCCGGAAAGCTTGCGCGTAGCTGCGAGCAAGAGATGGAGGGCGCTCAAGGACAGTGCAATTGGGGCGCACGACGCGGCTCTGCCAACCTCGCAGTAGGCTGCTCGCGGTCCGGACGCATGATCGCATGGGTTCGCATGGGACCGTGATGGATTGGCTGCAGAGCTCTGCAACGGGTTCGCCAGAGGGAAAAAGTTGAAGCTCCCTACATCTTATCTTATCTGATCTGATCTGGGCTAGGCGCGCACTGACACAGGGGCTTGCTCCGCCGAGAGACCCACCCACTGCATCGCATGCAAGACAACTTCAATATCGTGAACAACAGCCTGCGACCAAGCCAAAGTTTCTCCTACTTTAGGATCAGAAATTTTCGTCTGTGATAGCTTGCACACAACGCTTGCGTGAGGTCGCACCTTCTGCGCTCGTAGTTACGCCGCCAACACAGATATAAACAAAACTTTATCCACCATCATCCTTCACCACCACCACCATACTCCCCACACGCCATCATGTCGCAGCCCAGGACCTCATCGAAATCCAAGTCTTCTTCGAGCAAGGACTCGTCCAAGGTTCATAAGCTCGCCTTGAAGGGTAAGTTTCATCCTCCAGAAGTCAGAAGCCCGGGTGGCGTTTGAAGTACCGGTTGTGGGGCAACACCATCTGCTCTGTAACCATGGCTGACCGATGTTAAGGCTCTTCCAAGGTTGTCAATGAGTTCGTGAGTTATGTCCGTTCAAACTCAGAAAATTATACTGACTCTACCGCAGTTGGAGTACTGTATCAATACCATCCTGTATGCAAATCTCAGCTTAGAAAGTCCATACCTTTTCTAATTTGCAGTAGATTCCAACGGGGAGTATATCCCGCTGAAGATTTTACCGCGTGAGTAAATATCGCAAAGCACGGTCGAAACATTACTGACTATTTGCTAGGGTAAAGAAATATGGCCTGACAATGATGGTCACGGCGGATGACCAGGTGAAAGCCTACATCAAGAAAATCATGTCGCAGCTCAAGGATTGGATGTACGGGGGAAAGATCTCCAAACTGGTTATTGTCATTACCAGCAAAGAGACGGGCGAGCACGTTGAGCGGTGGCAATTCGATGTGGGTGGTGCTTCTACAGCAGCAGCAACTTCGCTAAAAGTGGCACAGGTCCAGATATTCGGCAAGAACTCAAAGTCGAAATCGTCCAAAAAGGCGAACGACAATGAAAACTCAGTGCCAGAGTGGGTTCAGACTTTTCGCTTCAACTTTACGCAACAGCTAACATGCAGCTCAGAGCAAACGATGCTCCTGAAGAGAAGACAGAAGCCGAGATCCAAGCTGAAATCCAATCAATATTCCGCCAGATTACAGCATCAGTCACTTTCTTACCTATGCTGGACGGCAACTGCACGTTCAACGTGCTAGTCTACGCGGACGCCGATTCCGAGGTTCCGCTTGAATGGGGCGACAGCGATGCGAAAGAGATCAAGAACGGCGAGAAAGTACAGCTGCGGAGTTTCAGCACGAGCAATCATCGCGTTGACACACTTGTCAGCTACAGGTGCGACGGCCCACTCATTTTTTGATTGCGGTACTGACAGCTGCAGGCTCGCGGATTAGTATGTGCATCATTGCTGGCAAGCATGTACAGCTAAGGATGGGTCTGGTGGGTCTCTTTTCAGGCGTTAGAAAGGTACTGGTGGGGCGCATGTACTTCCACGATGAGCTCCAGACATCGCATGTACAAAAATTCTCGGTTCAATACCAACACCTATCTTCGAGACATACGAGGAGGATTTCGACTATACTAGACGGCTCCCGACGAGACTTCGCATGTTTCTTTCGGGTCGAAGTGGACTTTTGTGGGCACGCAACATTTGCGGATCGTGTCCCACCAGAACCATGGTTCGTATGAGATGCTTTTGAACATAGCTGGCTATATAAGTCAACACCAACTGCGCCGTGCGAGATGTTTATCAAAACCAGTGCGATCCGATACCCTGTCGCGTGCGCAAGGATGTCTGCTATATTTTGAACCCCAGCAAATACGTAAGTCACCGCGGAGAGGATGGCCGCACAGGCATTGCCATACTCGGTTTGTTGAAATCCACGTGCAGGGAGGTACCAGCTTGGGGCGCATATCCACCCACATCGCTAGAATTATGCCTATCCAACAGGGCCGTCATCCACCCGTAACCAAGGTTTATTGTCACCGAGCCACAAAAGGATTTCGCCCCCCTGCCGGATCTTGCTTTCAGGGCCGATAGTCTCTGGATCCTTTGCCGCCCACATTGCGTTGCTCTGCTCATCCTTACAATCTTCGCATTTGTCGGAATCTGGTTGTAAGCTACAACCAACTCACCTCTTCTTTTATTATCTGGTGGTGGGTGGGAGGGCCGTTACCATTGGATCCTGGCTGTACGAAGTTTTCCCGTTCCGATGCATAGCTTCTTTAGGTCCTCTCGAGAGAGAGGGCTGGGCTCCAAAACTGCTACAGACCAGGAAGACAATGGTGACATGTATGATCAATTTTCCCGTTTTCGGTCTAAAGGCGCTATTCCACGTATACCTGATTCTGCCGGAAGCTCCTCCTTCAGCACCCCTTTCAACTCTTCACGATCCTCAAATTCTACACGGCCCAGTTCTATACTGGCCGACTTTCACAATGCAGCCCCAGGAATGACACTGGAGGTTAAATGTGCTATGACAGCCAACTTCCTCCACGCGAAGCAAGAAGAGAAGCTTTGGACGACTGGTGCACATGGCGAAGGTGTTTTCTTGAAGAAAGGCAGGGGATCGTACATCACCTGCCCCGAGACGCTCAAAACCGATGGCTCGCGGACGTACGATGCTATCTATGAATTAAACGTCAAGGTAACACAACTGCATGTGGACATTAAAGCGCTTTCCGCTAAAACCACCCAGGTAGCTATGACGATCAAAAACAAGGTTATTGATCTGCTCCTCAGCGACAGCGAAATTCCCTTTGTCCAGATCAATGAGGGTCTACGTCTCCAAGTCATTCCCGACATCGAAGCTCTCCCCTTTTGCCAAAAACATCAGTCCGCTGCGTTTGTGCTGTCAGAAAAGATGCTCGTAGTATGGGAAGATCAGCCGCACATGCTTATCAAACGTGTAACAGACATCGATGAGGCGCTTTTCAACATAGTGTGTCGCGGCCTGCCCCTCATGGACGAGCTAGACAGGGACGACCCCAAGGACACATTCTACCACTGGCAAGGCGTGCATGACGAGACCGAAGAGGACGAAAAACGCTCGATCGTCATTTGGCAACCCTTCTTCACAGCTTCCACCTTGGTCCTCGCGCTTGGTGCACTCGGAGGCGGCTGGAGACAGATCTCCATCCAGATCACGATTGACGGCGGCTACTTGCGGCTACTATTCCTCCTATGCCTCATTCCTCAGCTTGGTCTTGGCTTATTCTTCTTTCAAGCTCTCGTTGGCAACCTCGCTCAGATCATCGGCTGTGTCGGACACATGAGATCGAATACCAAGGTCTACTCCGGCAAAGCTCCGTATCGCCTTTGTGCTTCGGACCTCCCACACGTCACAATCCAGATGCCTATATTCAAGGAAAACCTCAAGACCGTCATCGCCCCCACCCTTCGATCATTGAAAGAAGCCATATCGACGTACGAAATGCAGGGCGGGTCAGCAAACATCTTTGTCAATGATGATGGTATGCAGCTGATGTCCGACGAGGAGGCTAAAGAAAGGCAGGACTGGTTTGACGATAATAACGTTGGATGGGTGGCGCGGCCTCCCCACAATCCAGACGGGAAGCTCGAGGACAAGCCGATCCACACCCGCCGCGGAAAGTTCAAGAAAGCTTCCAACATGAACTATGGCTTGCGTGTGAGCACGGATCTCGAGGAAGAATTGATCAAGAGCCGTTGGGAATTCCAGCGAGAGAACAACGACTGGTCTCAGCAGGATGAGAACGATGCCTACACTGATGAACTGATGAAGATTATCGACCGAAATGGCACCTGGGCTGACGGAAACATTCGCATTGGTGACTACATCCTCATTGTGGACTCCGATACCCGTGTACCCGCGGATTGTTTGCTCGAGGTTGTCAGTGAAATGGAGAGGTACCGGGACGTCGCTGTCCTGCAATTCGCTTCTGGAGTCATGAACGTCACGACCAGCTTCTTCGAGAAAGGTATCACGTTCTTTACTAATCTTGTCTATACGCAGATCAAGTTTGCCGTTTCCAACGGCGATGTTGCACCATTTGTCGGCCACAATGCTGTGCTGAGGTGGTCTGCTGTACAGGAGATCGCGTATAAGAAGAGTGAAGAGTTATTCTTACCGAAGCGAGATAATGATGGGCACTTAGTCTTGACTGATGTAGTGAACGAGGAGACCGGTGAACCGGTCTTGGACGAAACTACTGAGCAGCCTCTTCGTAGGCCGGTGTACGAGCAGCAGGATGTACAGGTCGAGAAGTACTGGTCCGAAGAAACTGTGTCCGAAGACTTTGACATGGCGTTACGGCTCCAGATCAATGGCTACATTGTGCGACTCGCTGCATATCAAGGCGATGGTTTCAAGGAAGGCGTGTCCCTCACTGTGTACGATGAGCTCCAACGCTGGGAGAAGTATGCTAATTCTCTCATTATCCCCACTGCCAAGAGTCTGCTAACACCTCCTTAGATATGCCTACGGCTGCAGTGAACTCATCTTCCACCCATTCCAGTATTGGATCCGCAGGGGCCCCTTCACCGGCCTCATCATCCGCTTCCTCACCTCTAGCATTCCGCTCCCCTCCAAGCTTACCATCATCGCCTACATCGGAACTTACTACGCACTTGGCTCAGCCTGGGTTTTTACCGTCTGCAACTACTTTCTGGTCGGGTGGTTCAACGGCCTGCTAGACCACTACTACATTGACAGCTTCAAAGTGTACTTCTCCATCATCTGCGTGTTCTCCGGCCTCGGCAACGTCGCTCTCGCCTGGATGCGCTACCGCAACAACGAAGGCAGCTTGCCCGGAAATCTTGCGGAAAACCTTCGATGGGTCCTCCTGCTCGTGATCTTCCTCGGCGGCATTTCCTTCCACATCTCACACGCCCTCGTCTGGCACATGCTGGATCTGGAAATGACATGGGGCGCGACCGCTAAAGAAGTGGAGAACATCCCGTTCTTTGAAGAGATTGCAGTCGTGTTTAAAAGATTCAAATGGACGTTTGCGTGGTGTTTTGGGACTGCAGGGATGATGGTCTTTTGCGCATATGGATTGGACCCCATTTGGCAGATACGATTTTTTACGCCGATTTACCCGTTGAGCACCGTGCTTGTTAGCCATTTTTTGGTGCCGATTGTGCTGAATCCGAATTTGATGCGGTTTACTTGGTGAATAAGGCCTTGTGGGACTGTACAGTTTTATGTATACACCTGGAAGTGTTCCTGGAATGGAACACCAAATACCAACCGAACAACCGACAGCCAGAGACGCACGACGAGACGCAAGATACTCTCCCTCGGCCGCTCGGCCGCTCTGGTGACGCGCGGCTACGTCGTCGACCCACGGGCATCTTCCCGGACCTGCAGCGTTCGGCAAGAACAGTCCCAATGCGCTCCCGACGTCTCGCTCGGGATGTCACCCTCCCTCCTGTATCTACGACGACCGACCTCGATTACGCTCCGCCTGAAGCAGCCGCTACCTATACCCATAACTAGCTATGCGCTCGGCCCGTACATACACTTGGGGCCCGATGGAGGCATGTACACAAGGACAGGAAATTTGTATAGTGTAAGGATATACACGTGCAAGGAATATAGGCATGAGGGCCTTGAGGATGAAGGCATGTGCACTGATTGTGCATTGGCGTGGAGGATATACCCAGCGCCGTTATGGCTAAAATTAGTAGACATTTTGAATTGTGACTGTTCAAATCTATGTTTGTTCCTCTATCTCTACCATACTCCATGACGAAGATGTCGAAAGCGACGAAATCATCGAATCTAAAGAGACGATATCCCAATTATCCTCCTCGATGTCGTCGGCAGTATGCTCACCAACCTCTCCATCTTCATTGCCGTCCTTCTCCACCGCGTTACAAACCTTGACGCCATCACACATCGCCTTGTACCCATCTAAAACGTCCTTAAGCCCCCGTTGAAGTCTGTGCATCTCGCCACACACCTCAACCATCCTGTCATACACATCTTCCGTCTCCTGATCGCTTCCCAGCCCCTCTATATGCAATTCCTTGCGCACCCTCATCGTCTCTTCATGCGCGCTGTCCACGACGTCTTGCATGTCCGTGACCTCAGCGTGCATATCTGCAACGTCCTCGTACAGCCCGTTGACCTCTTCCCGCTGCCTTTCATCCTCCGCTTCATCCTCACAAGAAGAGACGATGAATTCGTCCAATATGTAGGGCTGGGACCGGTCCTCAGGGCTCCACCGCCCACATAGGGCGTACGCCTCGCAGTAGCACGGGCTGTAGAAGGTAGAATGCGATGCCCAGGAGGTGAGTTCGAAGCAGCCGTTTAGATTGCGGTGCCAGTACCACTCGTATTCATCGAAGAAACCGTAGTCGTGTATGATGTGTGGGATTTTGTCGCTCTTACGTCGGCTTCGAGGCCGGACGACGCCTGCGAGTCGCTCGTGGCCTCTGATGTCGGAGGGCGTTGTTGGGAGTGTAGTCTTAAGCGCCGTCTTGTGTTCTCCCGTAGTCGAGGCCAAGTCTTGACAGTCGTCCACCCTCCCTTCCGTACTTGGGGATTGCGCCGTCGACGTTGAAGCCAACTTCGCCCTCAGCCTATCCTCCTTAACCTGCCTCATCTCATTGATCCGCCTCTGACCCCACTTCGAAAACGTCTCGCCGAGCTCTTTCCAGGACTCCCAGCCACAGACGTCGTCCCACGTTGCGCCCTGTTGCATGCAAAACTCGCTCCAGTTGCCGCCCTCCCACTCCCTGTGCGTGATGTCTTCGACCCACTCATCGTCTTGCTGTACGTCTAGGCGGCCCCACACCCTCACTATCTCACGCGTGTATTGCAGAAACGTAAGGTGCGCATCTGCCTTCCGTCCCAGCGCCTTCGCCCACGTGCATTTATTGCGGTTACAGCGCTGCTTACGGCTGTGGCGGTTGTGCACGGGAATCGAGCGCTGTGCTTCGAGGTAGGCTTCGTGAGGCGTGAATTTGGAGACGGGCGCGCTGGAAAGATCAGCGGGGAAGACGGCTTGGAACCGGTGGTCACAGGTGCCGTAGGTGGATTTGTAAAGCGGACATGTGCGCGATGCGCACGAGGGGAGGTAATGTGATTGCTGCTGCGGATGGGTAGGAAGATCCACCGGCGAGAGGGATCGGAAGTTGTTGTAGCGTTTGAGGTGCTTTCGGACGCGCTGTTGGGCGTGTGCTTCGGAGCGGAGGTCTGCGAATGTATGAGGGGAGCGACAATCGGAAAAGGTTGTGAGCTCTTTGGAAGCCATCTTGTTTCAGAGTGGCTTTTGAATGGATTAGTAGGCGGTCGGTAGTTTACTCAGTGAAGAGGACTACAACCTATGAAAATCTGGAAGCGGTCAATGGATTGTTAGCAAAGCAGCGAGATTACGGTCTATAAATCGTATGATCGTTGAGATAACTATAGGGCTATATCGTGCGAGATAGGGCGCAGCTGGCCCAGTGCAGTGAGCACAGTGCGCTTCGCAGCATGGCATCGAGGGCGCAACCATAACGAACCTGAAGAAGGGCGGAGGCGGAGTATGCGTCTTGGAAGGTTGATCGAATGTCATCGAGGCGGTGCACGTGGCTTGTGGAGCACCGGAATTAAAAACGGAGATAACATCAACTACGTAATGCAATGTTTGAGAACTGCCGACGATGCCCACCGCTGCTCGGACTTCCGCGGCTGTAGAAGCGTGTGGTTCGCTGGAATACATCACGACCCCACCATAGCTCTCCCCAGCCCTTCCTTCTTGCGTTGGTGCGTGGCGTGGAAAAGCATTCCGAAGTATACATCAGATCAGAGGTAGGACGGAGTGGGCGGTTAGTTTCCCGCAAGTTTCCTCTCGATAACCCCAAAGGTACTTTCACTCCTTCAATTTCACCTCCGTCATGTCGTCTTACACCGTTCCCCTCTGGATAGACGGCGAAGCCCTCCCCACAGATTCACTCACCACCTTCCCCGTAATCCAATCCACAACCGGAAACATTGTACACCACGCCGCATCAGCAACGACGAAAGAAGCCCTCCGCGCCGTCGAATCATCCAAAGCAGCATTCAAATCATGGCGCAATGCCAATCACGTCACACGCCGGGAGCTCATCCTCAAAGCAGCCGCCTACTATGAGCACCACGCCGACCTCTTCATAAAGACACAAATCTCCGAGACATCGTGCGATGAAGCGTGGGCTAAGCAGAACCTTGACCTGGCATGCCGGTACCTACGAGAAATAGCTGCGGTGGTAAGTAGTGTTAATGGCACGATCCCGCAGTTGGAGAAGCCTGGTGTTATGGGGTTCGTGTTCAAGGAGCCTGTCGGGCCGGTGCTGTGCATTGCGCCATGGAATGCGGCGCTCATCCTTGCGACGAGGGGTGTTGCGAGTGCGATCGCTGCGGGATGTACAGTCGTTTTTAAAGCGAGTGAGCTGAGTCCGAAGACGCACCATTTGATTACGCAAGCATTCGTTGAGGCGGGTGTGCCGAAAGGTGTACTGAACCAAATACAAACGAGGAGAGAGGACGCAGCCGAGGTGACGGAGGCTATCATCGCTCACGAGGCGATCCGAAAAGTAGAGTTCATCGGAAGTGCTGCAGTGGGGAGGGTCATTGGACAAGTAGCAGCGAAGTACTTGAAGCCAGTGTTGATGGAGCTAGGAGGGAAAGGCCCGGCGGTCGTCCTAGACGATGCAGACCTGGAAGAAGCTGCGAAGCTGGCTGCTATGGGTGCTGTCATCAATCATGGTCAGATATGCTTCTCGACCGAGCGTATCATCGTACACGAAGCTGTGGCGGAAAGATTCCAGCAGCTGCTCGTCAAAGCAATGGACAACGCTGGTGGCCACGCGGGCTCCGCGGTCAGCTCAGGCATCGGTAAACACGCAAATGATGTGCTCCGCGACGTGGAGAGTTCAGGCGAGAAGTTCCTTATGGGTGGTCCTTCGGACTCGGATATCCAACTCCGCCCGACCATCGTCCTCAACCCTTCCACGTCCCGCATCGTCGATGAAGAGACATTTGGCCCCTCTGCCTCGCTGTATGTTGTCTCTTCCGACGAAGCTGCTATTGAGCTCGCCAATCGTTCTGCTTACGGTCTCAACGCGACCATATGGTCGAACAACATGGAACGTGCTTTGAAGATGTCGCGGCAGCTGGAGTATGGGCAGGTCCATATCAACAGTATCAGCGTATACACGAGTCCGACAGCGAGCCAGGGTGGAGTCAAGGGGTCTGGGTTCGGACGGCAAAACGGAAAGTGGGGCATAGAAGAATTTCTGCTGGACAAGTTTGTTAGCTGGCACGGGAAGGTGTGATAGTAGTTTGAATCCAAGAGAATGAAAAAAAGCTAATGTAATACACTTGCGTGCTAAGGTCTAAGCTCTCTAGCCAATGTATTCGTCGGCCAGTGCGCATCAATAATCTTCGCAGCCGACCTAAAAAGCATTCTCCATACACACATCAGTGGGCTCTGGCTAAGCACTCTCTTCGTTTAGCATGACACTGATTGATTAGAGGTTCGTCTTGGCGAAAGGCAGCCTGTCTGGACGCCTATACGCCCCGTGCCTCATCACTCCCTCATCTCTCTCTTTGACTCAGTGGCGAAGATGTGTTCATCTAAGGCTTCCGATCCTCGGTCATAGGTCCCCATACCTCCTTGTAGCCAAAAGCTTCTCGGTCACGTTATCGAGCAGCCAATCAGAGAACTACTTCGAGCTCGACGGGTGTCCCTGATTGGTGTATGCAATTCATGTCTGAAAAGTATTAGGCCGCCCTGAAGTAGCATACTGTGTCCCGTAATTTCGCAACATGTTGCCAAGGTATCTAGGCAACAATTAGCATTAGAACTCGTCCCATCGCTGAATCGATACTGGTGTCCAGCCTTAATGACAATATGAGATTCTCTATATGCCTTCTTGCGTTGGTCGCCCTCGCAAATGCGAGTGTATACATTCCAACCACTCTCCAAAAAGTCCTCACACTCAAAGACCTTTGGTTTGGGCCTAAGATCCCTCAGATCATCTTCGATACCGACCACCCCTGGCTCGCCGACAACAAGGAATGGCTTTCCCGCTACCCGGACGTTCGCACAGCCATTTGTCTAAAAGATTCCGATCTCTGGACTAAGCCTACTATACCCTCCCGCGCGCTCCCAAAAGATCTTCTGGCTATTGTCAATATCGACAACAACAAACAAGGCCGGACCAACTTCGGTTGGAAGAATGCAGGCGATCGTCTGAGAGAGTTGAAAGCCTGTCCAGCGGCACTTGAAGACGGGAAGGACTTACATCTCAATGTCTGGATCCATGGTTTTCAATACGACACGTGGTCAGAAGATCCAATGCCCCCAAGTGAGCTCCCCGACCTATTTGCAGAGGTTCTTTCCAAGATGCCCAACTTAGAGACGCTGCACTGGAGCGCACAGTCAGAATTCACAAACTCATTGAAAGATGCATTGGCAAAGGCAAACGTAACGCTATCCAGCGTGAAAAATCTGTTTCCGGGAGGACATCATGGGTGGCTGGTCCGACGGTGCCCTAATCTGGAAAAAATCTCGATCCCCTATGTTAACAGCTTGGACCCTGACTGGAGAAAAGGCGACGACCTGGAGCTTAGGTACCATCATAGCAGCAGCATAGCTCTCATCAATGCTACAAAAGGACTGCCTCTTCAGAGCATACACATGGTCGCTAGACCTTACCTTCCAACAAGATGGATGGACCTTCTTGAAGCTATTTTGGACGCACAGCCCAATATCACCGATATAGGGATGGACCGTCCAAATGAGATGTGGCCGGGACCTGAATCGGACAACGACCCAGAAAAGCTAAAGCAACAGTTGGAACTCCTTGCCCGCTTCCCTCACCTGACATCTCTGAATCTCCCGTCTGTATCGCAGCTTAATTTGGGTTTCGACGGAGGGCATTGGTGTGGAAACGCTTATGGCGGCGCTCATGGCCGGGAATACGGGCGCCAAGTCGTGCAAGAGGGCGCTGAGACGGCAGAGCTAGCGGGAAACATGACTATCGAGGTGCTTCCACATCTAACGCGGCTGAGCATTGGGGGCCGGGCGCCGGAAATCTTCTTGAACGAGGAGGGCAAGGCGGAGCTAGTGTGGCCATGGACACGGCGGATGAAGGAGTATACATACGAGCTATGGCCGGAAATAGAAGACTACTTCGACGGTACGGACGAATGATGGAGTGGGACTGGGCTGAGCGCTCGACGTAAACGACCATTATCACATTTGACGATATACATATTTGGATCTGCTTCGTCTGGAGGACCTCTTGCAGACTCAAATCTACTGACCGATCAATCATACACGTCTAGCCCACGTTCTCTCCACATCCCCTTCCACTTCGCTTCGCTGAACCGCAATCCATGCATCTTAGCACACGTCCTCCACCCTTTCTTCGCCGCAGCCACATACTCCGTGCCATTGATATCTTTATCGTTGAGGAATTCATCAGTTGTGGCCTTCCAGCTACCCTCAGATCCGATGAAGATCTTTCCAGCGCACGTGTTGCAAGGCGACTCGGCGATTATCTTTGCTCGGGTGCGCGCACAGTCGAAGTCACCACGGCGGCAATTGAGTGTATGTTTAGAGAGTCGGGCAGCGAGTTCATCAATGCTCTTTGAGAAGACGTCAAGAATTTGGGCGCGAATGGGTGGGTCGGGATATCCGCCGTATGTCCCGGCGAAGATCCATTCTGGCCAGCCGAGTGCGGCATACCCTGGAGCGCAAAGGTTCTCAGATGGTTGTAGGGCGGCGCCGGGAGAGGCGCTGAGACAGACCCTGTCCAGCTGTTTGGCGACTTCAAAGGGCCAAGCAAACATACGGCCATATTCGCGGTTGCGTGCAGCTTCGCGGAAGAGGTCGCCATGCTGCTGTATGAAGCGGTCGAGAGCGTTACGGCATTGGTCGCTGCAAAGACGTCCGACGATGTGCTCGGAGGGGATGATCTCACGCTTAGCCATCTGTATGGGTTAGTACGATTGCTCTCGTCCACAAAGCAGGTTCTAGAGACTCACAACCGGGTCAAATCCCACGTAGCAAGGCATGTCCGTCAAGCCATCCAGCAGCGTCTGGCCCGCTCGCAACACGACTTCTGGAGCGCCCTCTTTCTTCAACTTCTCCAGATTTTCTCGATCCTCAAGCAGCGCTTCGCGGGGCAATCCGTGTAGGATGGCCTTGGTCTCGTTGGAAAATTCTGGCTTGTCGAGATTGCATGGTTTGTCTCCGCACCACCACCCGAGTTCTTCCCACTTTTTGTCCACTCTGGCCATTACCCCCCGAGCATCATTATGTCTACACCTCAAGATTGCCTTTCTAAGCTTGTCGCGGAACTCGGACAGGCCGAGGGCTTCGCCTGTAGCCGGATCCAGGATCTGCCCAAACTCAAAGCTACGCATCTTACGATCTAACCAGTTCAGGGTGCACCACCCACATTCCGTTGCGTTCTCCTCGGGACCAACACTGAGCTGTGGCTCGTGGATGCTGCTGGTCCTGTTGACGCCGTTCGGTAAAAGCAAAGAGACTCGTCGCAACCCACCACGTATGGTCTTCCTCACTGACGTCTGCTCCAAGAAGGCGTCCAGGCCTTTGAGATGCGCCTCGTTCTTGCCATCGACAATGCCCCATTGCATCCATAGGTCGGCCGCGCAGGTCCCGTACTCCGTTTTGTCGCGTGAGACTCCACGCTTTGGGCGTTGACAAAACCGATCGTAGCGTTCGAGCAAGTTTTTCACAACGTGTGCCGGACCTTCTTCAATCTTGCCTTTTTGAAAGTATGCCCTTCCATCATTGCCGTAACTTGCAAAGTTGAAACGGTCCGTTCGGTTGGTGCAGCTTTTGGCCAGGGGCTCTGCCATCCTTGCGAGACTGGTGAGACACTTAGGTGTGCAGACAGCTTGGGAGTAGAAGTAGGGATCTGCTTCCTCCGCCTTGACCTCGTCGGCATCACCATTGTCCCATGCTGAAGATAGTAACATGCGATGGCAGGACAGACCAAGGCCGTGTTGCGTCCAGGTGTTCTGGCAAGTGTCTGTAGTACCTGCTTCGAGAGCAGGATAGAGCTTGGGCAGCTTCAAATCGTAGTCAGATGAGCCAGATGCGAACCACGCTGCCTCTTTGGATGGCTTGCTTGGGTCAAGCTTTTTGCCATAAACAAAGACCAAGATGACCGCTACCACGAGGATGGCAATGGTAACGAACGTTGAGATCATGAGACAGCAGAGCCACACTTTACCTAGTCTCCTGAGAATTCGTACAATGGCATGTTGACGTTTGACGGGCTCAGTGGCTGCTTCATCCGCTTCACCCTCAGCAGGTACTGCATCTGGGTCATCGCGATAAGGCGGCAGATTTCCGTCAACCTCAACCGCATCGGGATCATCGCTATAGGGTGGAGGTGGTGTTTCGTCTTGTGCCTCCACAGGTACAGGTGCTTGCGGCGGTGCGTTGGCTTGATTGAGATCCTGACTCTGAAGGATCCTTTGCGTTCGGGCATATCGTTCGCTCTCTTGCTCTTCCAGAGCTAGCGCAAGCGCAAAGTCAGCATCTTCCTGCTCTTGCGACGCATATGCATCGACATCAGCGATGGTATGCAAAGATAAAGCGTCAGCGGCAGTCGAGGGGTCGTCATCAAGACGGGGTACAGGCTCCTCGTCGGCAGCCATGGCGTTGCTGCACGCAGTGGGCGTTCCGTGTAGCTGGCAGATAGTTCCTTTGGTATGAACAGAGTTGGGAAGCCCTGGAGGTGAGCACACGATGGGCAAACCTGCGGGGCGCGTAGGCCAGACCAGCCTACTGGATCAATAACGGGGTCCCCGGTGAGGATCAGAATCCTTGCCCAAGATTGTCTCAAGTGGGTATTTTTGGGGGCTGAGCCAGGCATCAGCCAATCACTTAGCTTCGCCAACCATTGCTGCCTGGTCTGCTACTCGTACTTTGAATGCCCAGGAAACAAGATGATCTGGTCCCGTAGGCGACGGCGAGAATGTCAAGCGGTATGCAGAAATGAGGGAGTCGCTCATGTCTCGCAGCCTGCACCAGACATTTCAATGTAGTTGGCATCCTTCCCGGCGCCTGATCGTCCGAATAAACTAACCCTTGTAAGGCAGAGTAACCACAATGTTCACCATCATGACAAAAACCAGACTTTTGTTGTATAATAGAAGGCTTCAGGTAGGCCCAGGAAGAAGAGGGTATCCCCGCCAAGAAATCTAAACGCCGATAGATCCGGCTTTGTCGCAGCTCAACACCAAGCCAGTCTAAAAAGCAACCATGGACTCGCCTTGAACATTGCCAGCACCGCTTCGCGGTCGATGTAAACCACTCGTTATGCCATACGACCCGTCCCTCCCGCCGCCAGAGGTCAACGTCCTCCTGCTTGGAGACGAGGAAGTCGGCAAATCAACCTTCCTATCGCGCCTCTCCCTCGGCATCCGCCCGCACAACGATGACCTCCCACCGTACTCATTACCCCAGCTACGGGATAGTGACCAGCCCTTCACTTTCAATATCTCCCTCTACAATCGCGCCTACACACTCGCCTTCTCCGACACCGCCTCGCCTACGTCCTACACGCTCCTCCGTCCCGACTTCATAGTCCTGTGCTACGATATATCGCAACGAAAGACGTTAGAGTCACTACGTACGCGATGGTTGCCCATTGTCAACAGCCATTTCAACTATGATGAGGCGCTGCCTGTCATGGTGCTGGGGCTGAAGCGAGACTTGCGCAGGGAGTGGACGGAGGAAGAGAAAAAGGATGGTGGGAGAGGGGAGTGCGTCATGCCGCAGGAGGGGTTGGGGCTGGCGACTGAGATGCTGTGTGATCGTTATGCAGAGTGCAGCGCCGAAACGGGAGAGCTGTGTAAGGAGGTACTGGAAGATGTGGCTAGGACGAGCGCGAAGACTACGACTGAGAATGGTGCGAAAACCCAGGGGAGCCAGTTGTGCTGTCATGTGAGCGTACGCGAGAGCATTTTGGTACGTGTTGCATCATGACGTATATTGTTCGTTGTATTCACAATGCAATCATGCGTAGATATCTTCTCTTCCAGAGCTATACCCAAGCAATAACAGGCTCATATCGCAGCCTCGCTTGCCTTCAATGCCCCGACCACCGTGAGAGCCAGTATCGGAGATACGATATAGCTGATCGTCAGTATCTTGGCCATGTGTTGCTCGTCCTCCGCACCTGCCTCCGACACTTGTACCATCGTGATCAGTTTGAAGGCAGGTGGTCCAGTTGGCATCAACATCATCGTGAACCAGAGCATTGGATCGTCGCCCAACAATCCTCGTTTTCCTTCGCTCTTCACTATCCCATATATCGCGCCGATGGAGAGTGCCGGCCATACGACGAAGCGGACAACCAGGATAAACAAAGTCGTAAGCAGTGGGACTTTCGCAACTGGACCAGTCCTCGACGCGTGTCTCGAATCCTGGTACGACGAGTAGAGTACAATACCAGCGACCACCAGCGGAAGTGGGACGAACAATTGTCCGAGACTCTTAAAACTTTCTGTGAGCCAAGCGGTGAACACCCCTCCATCGAACGTATCACTAAAGAACGCTTTGTGAAGCGGAGGAACAAGCCCAATGATAGCGCCCATCACAGCGCCTATAAGTGGCGCGTTCAAGAAGTCGTAAAAGAAAAGCAGCCACCACTTCGTCCTCGAACTCAGCTCACTCCACTTCAAATGCGGGATATACCGCGGTCTGCGCTTCACCGTGGTAAACTTTGGCTTCGACGGGAAAAACGTGATGCTCGCCACACTCGCATGCCTCGCGCGATCCCGGTCCGCTCTTCGTCGACTCGACGGTGCGCCCAATAGTCCCGTCCTCTCGCTTGGTCGGATCTCTTGCACACCACCGTCTGCATCTGCCGCCCTTTCGTCCGGATCAGTCAGTGTCCCGCTCGACGACGACAACGACCGATCCTCCTCGTCACTATCCGGCGCATGCTCGCTATCAATCAACCTCGGTCCTACCGCAAACGTCAAACAACTACTTATCGTGCTGAACACCAAGAAATAGCTCTTTGCCCTCGCGGTCATCGCCTTCGTACTATCATCTTCACCTACAAGCACCCCCAAAATCCCCGTCTCATCCAGACTCTGAATCAAAAGCAGCGGATAACTCGTCGTATTATTAAACATAATCGCACAAGTAATCCAATCCGGCATTTTAAACAACACATGCGCGGCAATACCTATCAAAAAGCTGATAACATGCGCGAGCAGCGCCCACACAACGACGATGCCGTAGCGGTGCGCGGAGCCAGCGTGCATTTCTGAGCCGAGCTGCACGAGGAGCAGCGCGGGGAGAAACATTTTCACGCATATTTTCGAGATGGCTTTGCCGTTTTCGGAGTCTAGCAGCTTGAGGTGGGCGGCGATGGCGCCGTAGGAGATGACGAGGAGGACGGAGAGCGAGGCCTGGATGGCGGCGACGAAGGAGGAGAGGAGTCCGGAGGGCATTTTGAAGCTGGAGCTTGGTGCACGCACGTGGAGGCGGTACGCTCGTGCACGGTGCGTGATAAGTTGTCTCTCGTCTGAACCTTCGAGGTGCGGCCTCAAATGGCTCTTCCAGTTTCTCTATATGCGGATGTGATGGGTGTTGAAGATGTCACGATGTACGTCGGCGTCATTTTCCAGGCTTTGGTACCCTCTAAGCTTGGTGTTTGCTTGTTCTAGCGTACTTCTTGTCACGGTTGGGACGGAGCACGCCAATCGCGGGACGCGCTGACGAGGGCACGTGGGGTATGGTGAACGCTGAGCTTGGCTATACACAGCTTGTGACACTGTAACGCAGGTGTCTGGCTTAACTTGGAAAGCTACGAAGTCGATGTATGGATTCATGGCCAAATCGCTCGACATCAGTAAAGACATTGAAACAACGGTACGGACAACACGAAGGCTTTACGTACAACAAACGTCTCCGAAGATCTTTCCTTACAGGTATATCATTGACCCTTCGTATCTGCATCGATCCCCATGCCCTCCAGCAACGCGCCTTTGACATGCTCCGCGACTTTAAGCACCCAGAACTTCGTCTCATTCAATAGAAAAAGTTCCCCAGATCGCCCGAAGCAGAAGTTCGCAACTCCACCGGGTACAAGCACTTTACCTAGTAAGCTACCTCCCGGACTCCAGACGTTCAAGCCGTCGCCGCAGCCGGAATAGACATTACCGACAGTATCGCATTTGATGCCGTCTGGAATACCGGTATCCGAGTAAGCGAAAACACGTCTGTTCGTGAGGAAGGCACTATTATGGCGGTGGATAACATCGAAGGCACAGATAGTCCTCGCTCTCCTCGCATCCACACTCCCATCCCCGCGCACAAAGTCCGTATCCGTGATATACACAGTCTGCTCATCCGGCGAGAAGCAAATCCCATTCGGCTTTCCGAAGCCATCCGCCACGACTCGTATATCTTTTGTCTTGGGATCAAACCTGTACACCTGGTTTGCTAATTTTGGCTCTGGTCGAATCCCCTGTTCGGCGCCGTATGCTGGGTCCGTAAACCATATCGAGCCGTCCGAATGCACGACCACGTCGTTGGGAGAGTTGAAGGGATAGCCTCTGTAGTTGTCCAGTACGACTTTTGCGTGATATGGACGTTCTGCGGACATCCAGATTAGGCCGCCATTCTGAGCGAGTGAACCTTGTGCGCAAAAAAGGATCCCATGGTCGTAGTTTATGCCACCGTTTCCGAAGGGGACGCCCGGAGCATCGATTTCTTCCCGTGTCCACGAACCGTCGGACTTTCGGGAGAGTTTGCTGATGACGATTGCGGTGTTTTGCTGGCCTTGTGGCACGAACTGGTTGCTGGTCACGAAGATGGCGTCGAGGTGGGGTAAGTAAACGCAGGCTTCATGAAAGATTGGCTGGTCATCGGCTAGAGCAAGGGTCAAACTGTGTGATTTGCCTAGAATTCCGCTGAAAGCTTCTCCGTATACTTTTATGCTTGGGTTTTGAGTTTCCGCCATGCTGTAAGTTGGAGGTAGAAGTGATGGATGCACCAACAGTGCGTGCCTTGGTAAGAGAGCGCCGAAAGATTTGAGTGAGTAAACAATGTTGTTGTATATTCTGAGGTAACACGCTGTTGAAGCAAGATGGGTTCTCTGATGTTACAGCTTTCGTGATACGCGAGTCATCTCAAAGCGGGTTAGCAGATCGATTAGCTCTGCATCACGTCATACATAGTACGTGTAACACGAAGGCAATCGCAGGCAGATGCTATGGTGCTTTAACGATGCATACAGCGGTCGTTTCTCATGGTGATGTGGATGAAGGACCAACTGAGACGTACGGGCAGGGTAAGCTGCTTCTTCGCATTGGGTAGGTTTGACCATTGCTCCCTCTTGATATCTATGACTCTAATTTGGCCAGCAACGGCGGAGCAGGAGCTCTTGGTCTCATACGCGCCTTAGCAGATGATTATTTGGATACTTTACCCTCGCCCTTCTCGATAACATGGACGTGCAATCACTCGCGCAACACGCAGCTGGCGCTCCTGCACGACCATATCGACCTCGCACTGACGTATGAGCGAGACCAGGAAGAGCTCGCTGCGAAGGAAGGCTGGTCTGTTACTGTGGGATGTGTGTTCCATGATCATTTTGTACTCGCAGGACCAGTCGCGGACCCAGCAGGTATTCGTCACGCGCGAAATGTCAAAGAAGGCATGCAACGTATTGAAGAAGCGCAGTGTCTGTTTCATGCTCGCGCTGACGCCTCGGCAACCATGTGGAAAGAGCGTGCGTTGTGGGCGGCGGCTCGTATGAAGCCATGGGAAGATGAGGAAGCGGCGAGGTGGTACAAGACTTCTCTATTGAACCCCGCTGATGCCTTGAAGAGTGCGGACAAGGCAGGCGCCTATTTAATCACTGATCGCTCAACATTATTGGGGCAGACAGGTCTGCGAACTATCAGCAAGACAACGGTGTTCTTTGAGCCTGAGGAAGAGAACGATGTGTTGATGAACAGTTGCTATGCTTCGTACAAGTACGGTGCGGCTGCAGACAGAGCTAAGGCTGTGAACGAATTTCTGGATTATGCGAGGTCGAAGAGGGGACAGAAAGTGATGAGCGATTTTGGTACGGCCGAAGTGGGAGTCCCGTTGTTTGCAACGCTGGACGAAGGATTTGCAAGAACGAAGTTGACGGATGGGTTACCTAGGGGTGGCAGGTGGATAGGAACTTCGAGTTTGTGATTGATTCCAACAAATAATGGGCACGTGTTCTGTCTCATCGTTGAGTCTACAAGAACACACCCTTCGCGTGTTCCTCAATGTTTATCGTATGTATTCGCTCCTGCCGCTAGTCCGGCCGAGGCAAGCACGAATCTGACTCATCTAGTAAGACCAAGACCAGCATCCACAGCTTTGAATCTCCACCAAGCCGACAATACATTACACATTCACGGAAATGCTCAACATGGACCCCAACAGCTCGTCCTCATCGCTTCTCCGCCTCCCGCGAGAGGTACGCGATATGATTCTGTCGTATGTGCTCATATCAGGCACTATCGCTATCGAATCCGCAGTCACCAAAGCTCCCAGATCGCGCATCACAGTGGGAGGTGAAATTGGGTTTTGCGAAGCTTTGTATCAGGAGTATAAACTGACCTATCCACTCGATAGCCGAAGCACTTGGGCCATTCCGCTTGGAGATTTGGCCGTGCCTGAAGCAGACGTCCAGCTCGATTCCTCCACTGTGTATATGACTTACCAGGTTTCTCCTACCCCTGGGCGCCGAGGTAAAAGCCTTGGCACGTCTCTTCTACAGGTGTGCAATCAGCTCTATGTCGAAGCAGCTGAGCTCTTCTACGGCAAGAACACTTTCTCCTTCACACATGACTATCGGATACCAACTGCCGCAACATTTTTGCGAGACCGACCTGCTGCGTCATTACGCCTCATCAAGTCCTTAGAGCTACACTTGATGGAGACCGAGAAACCATCTCGCAGATCTCGCAGAGATGAGTACTCCGCGCGCCGTGTCCTGCAATGCGGCTATGGGCATTATGACGAGCTATGCGAATTGCTATCATCACCAGGAATGGACTTGAGAATCTTATCTCTGACTATCGAATCGAGCATGTCGTTGTCCAATGTTGGGCCCGTCCCAGTCATTCTGGAAGGGGACCGCGTCGCGTGGTCGATGGCCGAGAATCGCGACACGGATGTTGTAGACTGGCTCTATCCTTTGCTGAGTGTCAAAACATTGGATCATGTCTCATTTCTGGGTCAATGGGTGGAAGATTCGCCTTGTTGGGCGAACAATAGCACTGATGGAGCAGCACATGCTTGGGGGTAAAACACGACCTACAACCAACCAACCGACTTCAGCGTCAAGGCGGATCGAAATTCTGTATCGAGCTGCGAAGGGCCATACCAATCCCGCCCTCGCCCGTGAGCGACAATCTGGTGCTGCCGTGGTATATGATCCGGTCGACGAAAGCGTCAGTGACAGATCATGCGCCATCATTGACGATGGTCGGAGGCTGATCGAGGTTGACGAAGGAGATGATCGTCTGAATTTGGAACCAGAGCGGCCGCTTGTGCAAAAGTATATGGAAGCAGCCTATTTTTGCTTGACTTGCTATTGTGAGCTGAACGCCGCGTAGCACTTGCGGTGTGAAAAGTTTGTCAAGCTCAAAGCACCAGTATATTAGATGGATGGCTACTGGTGTTGAGGCAGGCGCTTCTGGATCTACGGCAGGTGCGCACTAGACCCATATAGGCAGTGGAGCTGCCTACTTCCTCCACCACTCTTACATTCAACTTGTTGACACTACATGCTCACATTGTATTTTCCACTACAACAGGATCTGGAACGTAAAAGATGTGTTCAATACCAACCAGTCGCGAGCACTCCGAAACCGATGGACTAGTCCAAATTCGGAACGCGCGCCTCCACCATGTGAAATGTCTGCGGAAAGAACGGCCGGATCCTATTAACAGCCGGCATGCAGCAGCTTACGCCGGAAGCGGCTGTCTAGACCGCCCAGAATCAAAATAAGGGACCAGCACTAAGATGCTTCACATTCGCCCCGCGAACGTCGCGGGCCGAATGCTGCCGCGTGGAGCCTAATCACCTCACCTCCGAAATGTCTTCTGTTCGAGCGCGTCTTCCACCCGGACCACGACACGATGCTTGCGGGCTCGCAGACGTCTGAGGGCCCTTTCCTTCGATGAGCAGCCACGGTGACGGCGCATCATCCGCGCAGGGCAACCACGAGCATGTTAGCGACGCGCAGCTGAAGCTGTCGCTGCGGTCCATTCCGCAGCTCAAGCGCGACTCGTCGCGTGAAGAATTGTCTTCTGTTGGCCTCCTAAGCGCACTCGAAAATGATACTCGCGCGTCCTTCGTCGTCGACATATCTTCCAAGATTCCCCAGGACGGCGTGCTGGACCTTGTGTACCTGAATTCTGCACTTGCAGGTGCACCGGCGCTACTCGCAAAGATTAGGGGACATGGTTATCCCACTACCTTGTTTCTGGATGACGTTCAGAAAGGGGCCGCCTTCGCGCAGTGGCTATGGGGCCGGGTGGACATCATGGACCTTGCCGTGATCGGGGACGCCTATTTGTTTGCGGACCATCTCTGGTGGGCGACCACGATCCCAGGGGAGCGACATAGGGTAGTCAGTGGCGTACCAACTGCCTTGCTACGAAAGCAAGAGGTAAGATACGAGAGGCCTCACGGTGACGATCAGCGAGAGCACAACAAACCTGTAAACATGCCCCAATATCTACCAGAAAGGCTGCCAGCTGCACATGGATGTATGGACGTGCCATCCGAGATGGCACCTGCATCTAGCTTTGGATCTTTTGATTATACCCGAGAACCGCCGTGTGCCAACATGTCCGACCACATTTTGTACTTTCGGAGCATCGATTGGGCAAATACACCACTTGGTCCCATGTCCTCATGGTCACCGCAGTTACGATGCATAGTCAATATGATCTTGAATGATCACCACCACGCTGTCCTATTCTGGGGAGATGAGGCGACCATGATATACAACGAGGCGTATGTTGAGCTTATTGGCATGATGCATCCCTGCATGGGCCAGAGTGCACTCGTGGTTGCAAAAGATTTCTGGCCGCATCTCGAGCCTTTAGTACAGCGTGTCAAATCTACCGGAAGAACGTTTTCCAATGCCGATTTGCCGTTGTTTATTGACAGGCACGGTTTCCTCGAGGAAGCTTTCTTTTCATTTCAATTGGTACCTATACTTGACAGCAGCGGCTGCGGCATGGCTGGGTATTATCAGCCTTTGGTTGAGACAACACGAAACAAACTGCTGGAGCGCAGGATCAAAAGCCTGGTGGAGATTGGAAGTAGGACAGCAAAAGCGCGCGACCTCAACACCTATTGGGAACTAATCATTGACACCCTCGCCATTAATGACCCAGACGCTCCGTTTGCTCTGTTGTATGCCGCTGAAGACTTTTCTGCACCAACCAGGCCCTCCGTCTCATCGCCCGGAACAGCACTCGAAAATGACGCGTTCATACTTAAAGGATTCATCGGCGTGGAAGCTGGTCATGCTATAGCGCCCCCTACAATTGACCTGAAGAACGGCAATAATATGTTCCAGTCCTACCTAAACCGCGCGATGGAGACCAAGATGCCTGTTGTTGTGCATTTCTCTGATTTGCAGCTACCGGAAGGATTTCTTGAAGGCATTGACTGGAAAGGATTTGGCGATCCGTGTCGCTCTTTGATTGTGTGTCCGATTCAGCCAACTACCAGTGAGCAGGTACAGGGATTTCTGATATTAGGGGTGAACCCACGCCGCCCTTTCGACGAAGACTACAAACAATTCGTCCATGTCATGCTTCGACTTTTGGCTACCTCGCTCGCTTCGGTTATTCTTTTCGACGAAGAGATACGTCAGAAAGAGAACGTCATTGGGCAAGCAGCACGTATTCAGAAACAATTGGTCGCAGAGTTACAGCTCAAGGAGAAGAAGTTTCAGCGGTACGCCGATAACTCCGACGTCGCTATCTTCGTTGTCGATTCGGTCGGAGCGTATACGTATCGCAATCAAGGCTGGTACGACCTTTTCGAAAATGCCAGCGACTCCGACGATGTGATGGGTGCATGGTCTCAGATTGTATGGCCCGAAGACGTAAGTGACCCCGCAGTGGTGCCGCAGCTGAGCCGCTAATCTCATGCTGCCTGTAGATTTCGATTTGTGAAGGATTGTTCTCTAAGCTCATAGTAGACAAATCGCCGATCTACTTTGAGCAGAAAACAAACGTGCCATGGCAGACCGCGGAAAATTTAGAGTCAGACTCTGATTCTCAGGAGTACTACAAGTGGGTTCTATGCTCCGCATATCCGGAACTGGATGCGAATAACGAGGTTATCGAAATAGTCGGAAACGTGACGGACATTTCGAAGCAAAAGTGGGCCGAGGATGTACAGAAACGAAGGACAGATAGCGCTTTGGAGTCGAAGATGCATCTGGAGCATTTCATCGACACTACATCGCATGAAATGAGGAATCCGCTGTCAGCTATCATGCAATGTGCGGATGGAATCCTTACGTCGTACCCAGGCACCAATAGCGACTACGCACTTCCTTCTCCGGTAACGTACGCAGCGTTGCTTGACCAGACAATGGATGCTGCGCAGACAATCGCGCAGTGTGCCCAACACATGAAACGCATTGTGGACGATATTCTTACGATTTCCAAGCTTGACTCTGGACTCCTCATCATCACACCGGTCGATGCTCAACCTGAGACGGTGGCTTTGAATGCAATCAAGATGTTCGAGAGCGAAGCAAAAGCTGCTGAGGTGGACCTGACATTCGAGGTCGATAAATCTTACAGAGCTTTAGGTATCAACTGGGTCAGCCTGGATCCAACGAGGCTTTTACAGGTACTGATTTCATTCCGTGACAAAACAAGGGACATTGCTAATCGTTCAGGTCTTGATCAACCTCATCACCAACGCCCTCAAATTCACCCGTTTCGAGTCGGAACCCCGGCGCATCAAAATCACGCTATCGGCGTACGAACGAGAGCCCGCGAGCAATACAAGCGGTGTTCATTTCGAGCCAAAGTTGGTTGAGGACGATGCCCATCTCGTGGATGACTGGAAACAAGGGTCGCTCGTATATCTGCAGTTTTCGGTGTCAGACACGGGGCGAGGTCTAACGGATGGCGATCGGAGTAACCTTTTTGCTCGTTTCTCGCAAGCATCGCCGCGCACACATATCACCTATGGGGGCTCCGGCCTTGGCCTTTTCATCTCTCGCCGCCTTACAGAGATGCAGGGCGGATCCATCGGACTGGCGAGTGAGTTCGGCATCGGCAGCACCTTCGCTTTCTACATCAAGGCGAGGAGAACAGAGTCTGCCCGCGCCAGGAGATCCAGCACACCATATAGGTTCCCCGAGGACATAAAGCACCGCGCTACAACCCGACGAGAAATCTCAAAGATGAACACCCGCCCACAGTCTCCCGTTGGTGAAAAGTCCCCCATAGCCTCGGGCTGGCATTCGCACCGACGACTTCACAGCCAGTCTCACACCGAAGATAAGCGTCAGCCCAGGCCCTCAGCGCCGCAACGCCGCCAGTCCGTCCTGCATCCGCACTCCCCAACCGACGCCCTCGGCATGCCCCCTGAACCCGACCTCGCCGAGTTAACCCGCACAAGAAGCGTCCCCGAAAACATGCACGTCCTCGTCGTAGAAGACAACCTCGTCAACCAGCGCGTCCTCGCAAACCAACTCCGCAAGCTGGGCTGCGTCGTCAGCGTCGCAAACCACGGCGGCGAAGCGCTCGACTTCCTCAAAAGGACGAGCCACTGGGTGGACAAGAACGCAGATGCGCCTGACGAAAGTAGGATGCACGACGCCGACCTGCCGATAGACCTCCACCTCATCCTCATGGACTGGGAGATGCCCGTTATGAACGGCCTTACGGCCGTTACTAAACTGCGGCAGCTTGAGCGCGGAGGCCAGCTGAGCGGACATATACCCGTCATAGGCGTCACGGCTAATGTGCGAGAGCAGCAGATACAAACCGCGATGGACGTCGGCATGGACGACGTGGTGAGCAAGCCGTTCCGTGTGTCGGAGTTGATGGGGCGGATGAGAGATGTGATTGAGGGGGTGGGGAGTGGTAATATACGGTGGAAGGGGAGTGTGTCGGAGGGGATGAGAGAGGGGGAAGGGTAGACCTGCAAACAATAGGTAGGGATGGATGGATTGTGAATGACGATAATAATAATAATCCTATGCGTCGTCATCGAAGGGGATGTATTCAATGGTATCTCGCATGAGATGCAGCAGGCTTGAATGTTGTGCATGGATGCCTTACATCCCTTGTGCTGTGAGATGGCCTCAGTGTCATGTCAGAAGCTGAACAAGCGTTTCGCTTCGTGGATGCCAAATGGGGGTTCCTGAGGAACCTGGCCGTGGTCGATATGGCACTCGCACGCTCACATACTGTGGAGATCATACGATCAGGTATATTGAATATAATAACGTTGCTATTTATAGTACCGAGAAAGCAACAAGTGTATGTACCGCGACAGCGTGATTATGGGTCCAGAAGCAACAGTAATCCTGTTCATGCGCTCAATAAGTCTGCCGTCTTGAGAGCTGTACTTGCAAACTCCGCTGCCGTTGGGAGTAAGAGCAGGGCGTTGGAGAGGCAGTTGTCGTGAAAACAGGAGCTGTAGCCATCCTGAACATAGAAACATGTATCGTGCCTGGGGGAAGTTGGTATACTGTACTCGCCCATGATGGGTCGTAGAGTGTCCAAGCTTTGACATCATACTGTAGAAAGGCGGGTTGTAGAGGGAAGGGTTGTGGGAAAAGATCGAGTCGTACTGGTTAGAACCAAGATTGTGGATATTGTACATATTGGCCATCGTGTAAAGGTATGCACCTGACGACACCATCCGTGAAACATCAGGCCGTGAAAGGCGCAGTCATGTGCGATGTGAACGTAGCCTCTGTGTTGAAATAGCTATCGTCCGGTCATGTGTATGCAGAGGCTTGGCCCCGGACCTGATTGATATGCATTCCACTGGTTTCAATTCTCGGAAGTTGTTGCAGCCTTACGTTTGCCGCGGATATTACAAAGGTGGGGAATCCTGGTCGTAATCCAGCTTCAGCAGAAAGATGCAGTTTCGATGCTTGCCAAAAGCTTATCTAATATTTCGTCTAGCGGCTCAAATCCTTGGGGATCGGTACGTGTGTGTGGACCGGCTCGTGGTTACCAGCTTGCAGGTTCTTTATGGCCTTCAGAAGGAATGCGTGGCCCTCCTGGCGATCGCCGCATCGCCAGATATATCCAATGGCAAAAACGTCGAGGTAATGTCGCCAGGGGCAATCCTTGCCAACGAGACACTGTCGGTCATCACGGCACCAAGTTGCGTAACACAACCCTAGGTCTCGTTCGTTTGTTGACCCGTAATGAGCTGTATTGACGCGTCCAGCTTTGTCTGGGTGGCCAGGCCCATACGGAGCGAAGTTGGTCGTGGCAAAGTAACCGACCTCCTTGGGCACTTGTATCTGGCTTTGATGCTCTCCGGTAGGAGGCCGACGCGTGACTCGAATGATGTGTGTGATCATGTCGTTGAAGTTCATGGAACTATCTCTTCGACCTGTCTGAACCGAAACGCGCTTGATCCCGCGACGATCGTCGCCGTCTTCCTCGGAACGTGCACGCTTTCGCTGTTGTACTACGAGATCTCCCGCAGGACACTGAGTGATTGGAGGAAGAGCAACCTGGGTGGGGCTGGGGACGACCTGAGCAAGAGAGGCAGAAGCGATCCGATCCATGTGTAGAATGGTGGGCGGGAGGTGAGTCACTGACGAAGTAGATGGTATCACGATCGGCACTGGTGTTTCTGAGGCCGCTATGCTCAACGTCGGGCTGTTCCGTGCCGATTCTCTCTTCTCTGAAGTGGCTTCCGAGGGTGAACGTGGACTCAACTTCGGTACTTGGCCGATTGTAGGCGAGGTTGGGGTGTGTATCTCACACTGTGCGTTCGCGATGTTGATTAACCGCTTCAGATGAGGTTGTGCATCCGAAGGTGCAAGTATTTTTGAGGCGACCCGGTTGAGCACTGCTCTCATTGGGGCGGTTATCGAGATACCTAGCATGGCCTCCATAAGTTCTGTGTCTAATTCGTCAGACACAAGCAATTCGAGGGCTGCAGTTAGCACGACGTCGACATCAACCTGAAACTGCTGCAGCAGACGTGTGAGGTGCTGATGTGCGACGGGCACATTGAGACGCCCCGATGCCACTCCCGCTATAATAGCTTTGGCCGCAGCGCTGAGCTCCTTTTCTAGCATTTCCTCCACGAGCACAACGTCGCCAAGACCGGACGCCACCATGTCGAGGGCGACTTTCAGAGTTCCGTCAGGCGGGTCATTTCCGGCATTGGTAGCGCTTCCATTACCACGATGTCCAGGAGCTATTGCTATTAGACGCTGCACCCTGGTACTACTTAATTCGAGCTTACCCATGGCCGTAAGTATCCCCACGTTGTTGCGCGCTTGCTGTGGTCTGTGGTTTCGGCTTAAGGTCGTGGTAGACTGCGGGGCAATTGTCAGGGTGTAAGTCAAATTGACGTGTTTGTGAGCAGTGAAGCTTGACGTTCAACTATCACGTGATCGTGGCGATCCCGTCTGAGGGTGATTGATCGGTCGATCTAGAATTGACCAGGCCGCCGGAAAAGCGCGAACGTGTCGAGTCCGGGTACAAAGGTGAGAGTGCGCCTTGTCCAATATGTCAGCGTGTCTAAACTTACGACCCTTTGGCTCACTGATGTACCACGTAGTAACGCTCAGACCTCGGGGCGTGCGGTGAATTGCTGGAGCAGGTGCTATGGTAAACACGAGAAAAATCTCGTGGGATGAGGCAGTCGACGACAAGAGATTGACAGGGATTTGGGACAGGTGTGTCTGTTAAAGACAATAAGACAGGCCACCAACGGGATGTAACTGTGGAGATGTAGAAACAAAGTTGACGTAAATATGATTCGAGTGTTAAGTGCTAGCTTACAGAAGTCGGCGGAGCCGATACATAGGGCTGGTGCCGCCGGTGGCTCCTTCTGTTATGTAAGGTGCACCTTCCTCGATCAGTGACGGGTAGCTGCAGATGCTGCGTGTCTCCCTCACCCTCACCGCCACATCAAAACAAGTTTTTTTCCCTGGAGACGAGGGAACTTTGGAAAAACGGTTTGATGGAGGTGGCCATCCGGCGTGCCACTATGCAAACATTTGGCATGAGTGATGGCCTCAGTATCATGGAGCCTTGGTACTCTGTATTACCCGAAAACGGGCAATGCGGTATCCAATTTTTGAACTAAGTCTGTACTATCGTCATACATATCGTGAGTCTTTTTTACGAGGTGGCGTTTTGCGAGCCAGGTTCGGTGAATACAGCGTAAAACGATGGAGGCATCAGTATCATTGCTGTGTATCGGGCAGCTCTGTTTAGCGTTGAGACTGTAGGGATGTTAGAAACAAGAGTAAAGATCAACGATAGAGCAATGTGCAAGTATCGCTCCTTATTATTTTATTAGTGGATCCCAATCATTTGGGCCAGAGCATGGTCCATCCTTCGAAAGCCGCTGCTATCGACATGCCTAGGTTATATTCTAGATGCGGAAGTAGTTGGTCGATTCGTGAATCGTACACCTGTGGGATAGAAACTGCGGTTTCTGACCGTTGTAAGCTTAAGATTTAGCATACCAAAGGAGTATGAGCCCTGCCTTGACTAGTACCCAATACACGGGCGGTTGCACAGTATCGATATTTCCTTGCAGTGGCTGTGAGCTGAAGTGCGACATGTAGAAGACTACCGCGCAATGTAATGATGTTCCGGAGGCAGTACCTTTTCTACTCATGACACTAATCATCCTCTCACTGACTTGTCATAGGCACATGCCGATAGTAATACACTCAGCTCCTCCTTCTGCATGGTACTTAATCTGTGTATTAGGGATCCATGATCTCTGGCCTCTTTTTCTAGTGCTTGTATGTGCGATCTAGGTGATTTAACTTGGTATCAAGTCTGCATTAGAGTGGCCTTGTAAGGTGAAACAGTTGTATACCATCCACTAATAGATAGCTCTTTACACTCACTCGCGTGCTTTTCCGACTTATACACGCTGCACGCAAGGATGACATCGCCCACCGAGAACTAGAAAATCGCCATCTCGTATTCGATCTAGGAAAGATGACAGTGATGGAAATGAGCAATCCCCATACCAGCCGTTGAAGGTCTAAAGGCTGTCAGGTTGAAACTAGTCACAAGGCTGAGGTTTCTGCCTCGATGAGGATGGCTGCCATAAGTGCTTTTAACTTTGAGCACCACGCGATAAATACATAAGTTCCCGTCGAAAGAACAACAGACGAGGAATGTCGGAGCAGGAAAGACAGGGCGCTTAATAATTAAGCCTTCCGACCCGCCCCGCCAAATCGGAACCTGCCACTGCCCCACCATTACGCGCCCTAGGAAGGAAGCTACCAGAAGCTCGCCATCGATAACATCACGAAACCTCGCATTGACTTTAACGTCAGTCTACTACCTGCAAACTACGCTCCTCACTTCCCTGGCGCCTCCTCCAAGACACAAACACCTGGCTGAAATGAGCCGCCCAAACGTACCCCGCGACCCCATCGCCGGGCCAGACAGTACGCTCCCATGACCCACCACTTCGGCATAACATTGACACGCCCCAGCCGTCCAGCCACCCTTCCCGCTCAAACTGCGCGGCCCAGTCGTCAAAGGCTTCGGCCGCGGCTCCAAAGACCTCGGCATCCCAACCGCCAACATCCCCCTCACAGGCCTCTCCATCGGCGGCAACGACGACCTCGAATCCGGCATCTACTACGGCTACGCCTCCCTCGACCACACCACCATCCCCTCCCTGACCACAGACATCAGCGTCCCCAGCGCAACAGCAGACACGGCAATCCCAGCGCGCAGCTCAAACCACGCAGTCGCCGACCTGGAAACACCTGCGACCGCGCCCCCAAGCCGCCCCATATCACCAGGCTGGACTAACGACGTGAAAGTCTACCCCACCGTCCTAAGCATAGGGTACAATCCCTACTACAAGAACGAGCAGCGCAGCATAGAGATACACATCCTGCACTCGTTTGCGCAGGACTTCTACGGCGCCACCCTCTCGCTCGTTATACTGGGTCACATACGCCCGGAGTACGACTACGTGAGCAAGGAAGCGCTGGTGGAGGATATCAGAGAGGACATACGCGTTGCGCAGAGGAGTCTGGCAAGGCCTGCGTACGAGGCGTGGCGGCAGGATGAATGGTTGTTCGGAGAGGGAGCCAAGATGCAGGCGGGACAGGCGGTAACGGCAAGTGGGGGACGGGAGGAGGCCGACAAGGATGCCGAGGAGGCGAAAAGGGAATTCGCGCGGAGACAGCAGGCAAAGGGTCAGAGCGGGATACTAGCCAAGAGCGAGATTATTCCCTGAGCTGAGTGTGGGACTCCACGTGGGTGGACGAAGTGCTACGATTACGACTGCACGAATTAGACTTTCTATGCGATACACAATGATAGACTCCCAGACTTGCAAAAAGATGACATGGATCAATGAAGCGATTCGATTCGATTCGTCTATGTTGAATCCCACACGTATTTTGTTCCTCGTTGTGTGCACCAAACACCCGCTCCCTTGAACATGTAGCCACCCATGGCCAATTGTCTGACATCATTAACAATTAACGAACCCGAAACTTGCAACCTTCAGACGCCGAGCTCACGAGAGCAGATGGCTGGTATTCCGTACGTAACAACAAATGTGGAAATGACATCGTAGCTCATCAGCCAGCGCGCAGCGTACCGGTACAACTGAGAGTGATAGCGCCGCTGCTCCAAATAAGGATGTAGCGCATGAGGTACCGACATCCGGCAAACCCCCTGCAGTGGTACACGCAAATCCACCGTTTGCATGAACTCGATGACGAAAGAGTGCAAAGAAAGAAACCAGAACTATCAAAAGTAAAGGCTGGCATAGGAATGCAAGATCAGCCAAGGTATGAACATGCTCAGTGCATAATTTTGGGCACCCGGGAATGGGGAAAGGGGTATCTCTGTTTTTCAAGCCGTGACGGCGGCCGTGATATGCGAAAAGACCGTGCTTTTCACACGAAGTGCTACTGTGTTGCGCTCAGAACAGGCATAATCTATCAGCCAAGTTAGCCACATATCAATCAGGATGCACTAAACGACGACTTACCTGGAATGCGACCAACATGGGCATATCAAAGTTATCCCTCTTGATATGCCACATAATCATGCTATCAATGAGCCCGTTGTGCGCGCCTAGACTCTTCATCGCTTCTCCACGGTGGATGGTGCCGTCTTCCTGTTTCACAAGCGGCTCGTGCTTGAGCCTGTCGCCATTCGTTCTCCGGGGTCGCTCCGCCTCACGCACCAGGTCGTCATTGGTCTGATAACGCAGGAAGTTGACGCGACGGTGGCCTCTGCCCAGCGGATCAGCCGTTGCAAGATTTGCAAAATCCGCCAAATATTCTACCGCCGAGGGCTCATCCAAAAGTTCAACAATATTGACAGGGTACGGACCCGCCTCATGCTCTTGGCCTGGTAGAGTGGGCGTGGTGCTACTTTGACTGGACAGTCCGCTCTCGTTAGAGCGCTGTTGACTGCTGCCCAAGTTTGCGTTCAGATTGGGCTCTGTCCCTAGCAGCACTTCTCTTTTCCAGCCGGTCAGAATTTCAAACTCTTTATTCGTGCCCACAACTTCGCCCGTGCGACGCACGATCAGAGATGGCGTACCCACCTCGCCGAAACATTCGAGCATGGATATCAAAGAGCGCTGCAAGTTCTTTTCTGCATGAATGAGATCGTCGCTGTCAAGATGAGAAGCGTTGATCAACAGAGAAGGCCTGAAGAGACCAAGAGACGTCCGAACACTATCCTGGTTTTTCCTGGAGAACCTTCTGCTGCATGCAACGACTAAGCGATGATGCGCAGATGGGTAATTGTAAGGCTTAGTGACCTTCTCGTAGATGAGTTTAGATTGTCGCTTTCGTCCTGCATTAGGATACATTTGGTATAGCGGCCCTCCAGGGGGACGGTTCTCTTGGTGCGGACGATGTGCCGTAGGAGAGCCCCGTAACTGCGACTGATTCGGGTTTGCAAAGAATGTCGCGGCAGACATAGGGTTATCGTTGTCATAGCCGGTATTGTAATCCGTGGATGCAGGGCTAGCGCTCGATAAGCTCGAGGGCCCGCCTTGGCCAATCGCGTAAGCCATGGGCCCGGTGTGGCTGTCGTGTCGATCTATAGTGACGGGGGTGTTGTTTGGTGTGTGGACTTGAAGGCTACCATGTCGTGAGTGCGGATTCTGCCATTCCGCTGGGTCTTGACTGAACGATACATGGGCGGGCAAACCGTGAGGGTCAGCGTATGGCGCAGAGCCAATTGGACCGTACACATGTGCGGCCTGGTTCAAAGGGTTGTCATTGGTCGGCACGTCTGCAGCGGCTGATGACATGTGGCCGAGCATCCCAAGCTCCAAAGCGCCATAATGGTTCCCAAAGTTCAGGCTTGAGATGTCAAAATTGAACAGCGCCGGATCACTAGGATCGAAGAGAGGACCGCCAAATTGCGGCATTTGGGAGGGTGTGCCTTGCGAGACCGGTGCAGGAGCAGCAGCCATTACAGCTTGGGTGTTGTGGGCGTACTGAGGCGACATGGGAGCTTGAGGATTGTTGTAAGATGGGTCTTGCACCGGTACAGCTTGATTTGGGCTAGTATTCTGGGTGTAATAGGTGGCAGGAGGCGCTTGTGTAAAGTAGCCTCCTTGCTGGGCCACAGCCACTGCTTCCTGGCTGTGGGTAGGAACTGGGACGGGACGGTTGCCGTTCATGTGAGGATAGTGGCCGCCCACGCCAGGCATGAGGGCTCCGTCTGGTGCATCATGAAGGTACTTGGCCTTCTTGCGCACACCATCCATACAGTGGTCCTGCAGACCGCGCTTGATACAGCGCTGGCACGGCCGTTCGTCGCCTGGCGCTTTCAGTACGCAGTCTTGGTAGAGATGGTCTCTGCAATCCTGCAAAAGATTCAAGGATTGTTCACTCACCACAGGTCAGATGGGCACGCTGGCAGGCAAAGCAGGCGCGGCGGGCTTTCTTGCGGCGGGGTCGCGTAGGGTCCTTTGCATTTGACTTTGCGGTGCCGTTGGGCTTCCTCTCTGGGGAATGGTCGCCAGAGCGCGGCTCCGTCTTCTGCTCGGCCGTCATGTCGAAGTCGCCGTTCTCACTCCCTTCGGGGCCACTGTACTCGGGCGAGGGCGATGCATCTTCTGGGTCTGGGGAGGGCATGGTCCCTATATTGCCTCTGCGGTGCTCTTGCACCACGTACGAGGGCACGGATAGCGGGCCAATGCTCTCGAGGGGGGTGGAGAGTGTCTTGGGCGCTCAGACGCACGTTTTCTCAGCGTGCAGCCGTCAGAGGAGTGCTGGGGGCGTCCCGGGACAACGGCTCAGCCAATGCGTGGCGGGGGCACACACGGGCGGCGTCCCAGCTGCGTGTTTCGAGAATGCGATCACGCGTGCGCTGGCTTGCTCGAACGGGCGCTGCCGTGACACGGGCGCCACTCCAATGGCGGCGCGCAGGCTGCTGCGGGGCCAGACTCGAGGTGCTGCTCGAGGCAGAGGGCCAGCGGTGGGCCGGGGAGCGCGGACGGGTGGTCGAGATCAAGTGGTAATGCTGCTACGGCCATGCAATCGCGGGGGAAGCGGTCGGGCGCTGTGCCGCATCGTGCCTTTGCCGGGGCTCTTGCTCTACCACGGCGCCATTGCGCGCGGTCGGCGGGGGTGGTGTTTCTGCTGGTGCTTCTTCAGGCTTGCTGGGGCTTGCTGATGGCGGATCAGCGCGGTGGGTGCGTCTGCGCGGTGGGCGACGCTGTGGGACGGCGCTTGTGAGGGCTGTACTTGCGGGCTTGAGGTGCAGCGGACGTCGTCTGGAAGCGGCAGCGGCGATGGCGGCAATGGCAGGCGCGGGTTGGACGGGCGCCGGATTGACTGCAGGCTGCTCTCGGTCACCACGAAGGCTCGCTGTCGTGTGTGCGTGTAGAGGACGACGACGGCGCGCATCCCCGCAATGCTTGCAAAAAGACCAGGCTAGCCTAGCCCTCGGCTACCACCCCATCATCCATGCGCTCATTGGCGACCCGTCCCTCGGATTCCCGACGACGAATCCTGGGGCGCCCTGAGATCAGATGCCAGATCGAACCTACACGTCGCAGGCTATGGCTTGTATGGCTTGCTTATTCCGACGCCGCCGCGCCGACGGGGCCCGTTGCTTCTTCGCCATGCGAACTCATCTCGAGACAGCCATCGCCCTGCCGCCCTGCCAGTGACAACGGCCTGAGTCAGGACAGCACCTGTCAACGTCTCCCTCACGCCCCGGCACATGGCACTCGAAAAGCAAAAGGCCCTCATCTCATGCCCTCACGGACGAGCTAACCCAGTCCTGCACTCATATGCGGGCGTGCATGACAATGGACGCTCCTGGTCCTGGCACGCCCGTATCATTCGCTGTCCAGCACCTCGCAACGCCCTGTACCACCGTCCATCATCATTCCACGCTGCTGCCCTCGACGCTGGCGAGAGACATGTGCGCCCTCGTCACTACCCACCACGTTCCCTCGCCCCGGGGCGGTCAGTCCCTCGCCAAGTGTGTCATCCGCAACCGCCTCGCCGTCCTGTGTCCCCTCTAACCTCAGAGCTGGCGTGGCTTCCCTCGTGGCGCCCAAGTCACGTTGCACAAGGGCCCGCCCACCCTGCTTCAGGTGCCTCACGTGCGGGCGCAGAAAAGACAAAAACTTGGACATTCAATAAACATTCGTGGCATGCAAATGCTGTGCGACCATCCTCTATAATTAGGCCCTTTCAGCCAGTCGAATCCGCCACACGCCTCAACCGCCTTACTCCACGAGTCTACCCTGATGCGAAGCGACTGTTGCCCCTGAGTCTCTTGCCGAATCGAAAGAAGAGGATTGGGAATCTGTGATACACCGCGGTTAGTGATATCCACATCCAAGCTGTCGGGGTCATTCTTACGGTGCCATGACAAGGGCCAAAAAGGCTAGTAGTGTCGTCGCCCACTGGTAGCCGAGATCTTCCTGATCAGTGACCGCCTTTTCATTGTTGCTGCGTGGTTTCAACTCACTGTTGTACATCTGGACACCGAAGAGAGGGAACGCCGCGGCAAAGTACGAGCGCGCAAAGCTGTTGGCTGCGAGCGCGCTCGCAGCGTACAGTGGGTACTGTGATCGGTCCTGTCAGTCCTTCTTCAGCTATCTCCGATGTCGGCCAGCTTACAGCTTCGACCAAGAAGGTAAACACTCCAGAGAAGACCCAGATAACACTACGTCAGAGAAAGCGGTCAGCATCTTGTCTATTCATGACACCTGCATGAACCGAAAAGGGGAAACCAACCCTGTTCCAAAGATCCCGGAGAAAATAATTGGGACTATAGCACGACAGATATTAGCTATTATTACGACTCGACATTCATGCGCCTTGCTGCGTACCTATCCAGTGCACCTACGGGCCGCAATGTCATTAGCAATGCGAGGCAAGCCAGTCTATCGGTCCGCTACTTACCGAAGCATACGTGGTCCACCCAAACCCTGCGTCGAATTGATCAATATTTGTGTAGACGTCAAAGATCCTGCAAAGGCTTACCGAATAGCGAGAGAGGGACCAAAAAGGCCCCGCAAATTGTAGCGGGGAGCCGAAATTCTGGTTCACTACCACCCCCTTGCGCTTCGCTGCGCTGTACGAGTCTGTCGTACCTCCTTCGCCAGAACAGATCGCTCGTGATCCCGGCCAGCATGCCCACGAAGAGCCCAAGAAAGGAAAGTCCCGTCTGCGAGACGGTGAAGCTGTGATTGTTCTGGAAGACCAGAGGGAAGGCCCCAAAGAATACTAACCGAGGTCGCACAGTCAGTCTATGTAACTTGTCCTGATCGAGTAATATATTGAGACATGCTTAAGCGTGGGCCGCCCATCAAGTGTAGCGACCCTTTGGTTGCCATCATCCCAGGTCACATGAGATGAAAGGGCAAAAGAAGGACTTGCTTACAGTACAGAATTCCCAACAATATCGCGCTGAGGATACAAAGGTTGAGGCACTGGAGCACGGCATTAGTCCACCAATCAATATCCCGGTCAAGCTGCTTCTACCCACCATTGGCTCGAAGAATAGCAGTTGAAACGGCCTGATGCATGACCACAACACCGTCTTTACGATCGACCTCGATAGTTTCTCTATTGGCGCTGTCCAATCTGTATTTCCGGTCTCCTTTCGTAGGCGGATCGCTTTGTTGCGAAGAAGCACCGGATGGTATGTCTCAGGCACGAAAAGCACTATCAATGCAAGCTACAGCCGTGTCAGTGTACACATTTTGTCAAGCCTCAGGCATTTCAAGCCTCACCTGAACTGCCGACCAGATCATCAGAACGTAGAAGCACCACCTAGCCAAAAGTCAACACACCGCTCTTTTGATGCCGGCGCCCAATAAATTCATCGCAAGACATCCGTATCCGAGTACTTGGCTGGATCATCTAAGATCCATATTACTCGATATTATGCGCCTCTAATCGACACGCTCAAGCATGCAAGATCTCCAGGGTATACACCCCAGCTCGACTTACCTCCACGTCGTATTCTGCACGATGAAGCCACCCATCTGCAATCAGTCAGTAGTGATCTGATAACGAGAATGGACGCTAGTGTACCAAGGGCCCGATTTCAGGACCGATGAATGGGCTGGCTGTGTAGACCATCATGGGTGCCGAGAGTTCCTGCACACGATCAGCGATTAGCACCAGGCACATGAGGTGCTTGCATAAGAGGTGCAGATCAGAAGGACCAGACTAACGTGTTTCGCAAACATGTCTCCCACGGTGCCGCCAGCCACACTCAAGAAGGCACTTCCTGCCAATCCGTCGAGGAAGCGTGCCACGAGCATGGTCTGGATATTATGCGCAAACGCGCACGGGATGGTGAAGATGAAGAAGATGGTAAATGAGCATATGTAGATGGGCCGACGACCATAGAACTGTAGCCACGCACGCAGTCAGCACAGCACGTTGAGCAGCTGCGACGCGGAGTGAGATCCAGCCTGTATGCAGGGCCAGAGCGCTCTTCTCCTTCGAGCGGACATACGAACCTCGGATAAGGGACTCAGTATCATGGGTCCTGTTCCGAGCCCAGCCACGAACAGGCTCAGTCCTAGCGTGCATACCAATCGACTCGTTCCAAAATCTGGCATCAGCTGACTATACGTCGACGTATACAGTGAACTCGTGCAGGTCCTATGCAGCCATTTTAGCGTAGTCCAGCTGGCCAGTCCAGCCCAATTGGTTCATGCAGGTGGACCACAGCCTATATTACTTTTCTGCAGTAATATGTGATGGTGACTAGGTGGGGGACTTACACACACAGAGAACTCGCGCTGACGATGAGCACAATGCACCAGCGTCGTAGTGTTGTCATGCTGCGTGGGTTCATTGGATCTGCGTCTCCCCCTTCCCACCGAACGAGATACGGATCAGCGGATGCACTCCCTCCAGTCGAACCGCTGGAGTTGTTCGGCTTCTCATCCTCGTCGTTCAGTGTGTAGCCGTCTGCGCCTGCTCGCGAGTGATGCGATCTGATGCTGCGCAGGCTTTTGGCATTCGTCTGGGTGACGGAGAGCCCCGGGCGCGCCGAGTCGGCGGTGGGCGAACGGGTGATGGCCTCCACGTCTTCTTCGATTTCACACCCATCTGCACCGAGTGGAAGCCTATCTCCGAGAAGCCCACCTCCTATCCTCTTCTCCTCGTCGCCGGCAGTCGTGAAGTCCTCTCTCTTCTCCGAACACAGCGACGACCTGCCCGATGCGTCACCACCTCGTACTGTGCTCTCGCTCCGCCTTGATTGGTGCGCCATCTTTCAAATACCTCTTTTTCTCCCAAAGCACGACTTCTCTTGACCTGACGAACTTCTAGCCACGCGCCCTCCGCCGTCAATATCTATAGAACGTCTCGCATTCCCGTCGAGTCGACGTTGGATTAAAAACTACCCACTTGCTAGTGTCGCGCCCCCACTCGGAAATATCTCGCGCGAGCCGACTTGCCGCTGGCGTATCTGGATGACCAAGCTGGTCGTCATCAGGAGTGGCATCCTGGGTGTAGATCAAGCGAGCCGCAAACATCGCAGATGCCAATACCATCTGTATGCTCTCTAGACACGCACCGATTGCACTATCCATCGCGACTCTCCCTACCCGAGGACATGTCCTTGTCCCCGCCCGCTGCGCGAGCACGCATGGCGAAATCGAGGTGACGTTGCTGTCCACCGGTTGAATACCAATTGCCGATGTTGGGGTTATTCCCGTAGTAGCTAGGGCTAGACTGTCTGGCCATTTTGCGCGCAGGACAATTGCAATACAGGTCTCGGATGATATATGTGATGGATGCTGGTGTGTATAAGGCGCACGGGCGAGTGCTTATATACTATGTCTGGGTTGAGGTAAGGAAAGGTCGGATAAGGGACGGTTCTACGCGGGTAGCGGATATGGTCCTGAAGACGGGGGGGGAATGTTTGGACCGCAGCGGAAGACAGACAATGTCGTTTGCAGCCCAGGTAAAGGCGTTCGTTATTGCTTATAACTTGATTCTACTATCAGTGAATACTGCAGCTTCGCAGCTTACTAGGTGCTATTGTTCGACCCTTGTCTCGTGTACAGTAGCGGATTGAAATTTTTGCACTTTCCAATCACGACTGCGCGTTTGCGAAGTCTTCTTGAGGACCGAACGGTCGCATGGACGAGTCGTGGAACAGAAAGGAGCAGAAATGGCACGTTCCTATACGGGATGACCTTGTCTAGGTGGACATTGTTCCAGCCCTCAACTTCTTTCTCCCTAATTGGCATCGGATGATATATACATGAACTATGCTACTATGGCAGGCTCCGTTATAGGCCTGTCTAGCTTTAATGCTCTACCCACTTCCTGCCGCGCGCAGGTGCCCGAAGGAAGCTGTGCTCCTTTACAACCGGATGCTCACACCCATTATAGAAGCATCCCGCCTCCTACTTCAACAACTTTCTTGTGGCCGTCTCCATCCATAACTTTGTATACAGCTTATGCGCAAACTGGAACTTCCACGGCAATGGCTCAGCATCCTTGCCGTCGGGTGTGGTATTCACAAACACGCTCTTCAAGTGGAATGTCGCAGTCTGCTTGTCCTCGTCGGTGGTGACCTCCATCGAGAACAGGCCGTCGCTCGGCCGGTGGTCTTTGTTCAGCGGAGAATCGCCGCATCGCACGATCACCTGATGCCCGCAGTTAGTCCTGGCTTCCTGCAATTTGCACATGCCACCACCCGTCCGCGGTGCATGGCCATGCGTATGCGCTCCGACGTACCTTCTCCGGCGTATGTTCCACCACCTCGAAGTGGTCAGTGATCTTCGTCCCTATCGCATACTCGCTTTCAGCCAGCTGTCTCCGGTCCCAAAGATGGTCCTCGCGGTTCTCCAGCGCGCGATACTTCTTCTCTAGATATCTCCTCTGGTATGCGTAGCCCAGGCCGCTCCACACGCCTCTGCAGAAGTTGGTGGTCAGTTTACTTTGATCCGTCTCCTTGAGCTTCGCCAGCGGGATTGTCTTCACGGCATGGTCGATGCAGACAGGCGGGTTCCCTGAGGGGTTGTGCTTCTTGAACACAGGCGTCGCGAGGTCGTCGTGGGTGGTGTCGTATGGTACGAAAGTAGTGCCGCGCGTGTAGAAGGAGAAGCCTGCGTAGCCCAGGACGAGGTTGGTTGCGCCGGCGCCAGCGAGCCCCAGCGCGATGCCGAGGACGCGTTTTCCGGGAGGAAGCTTCTTGAGCTGTGGAGGAGGAGCGATGGTGTTCATGGCGGAAGCAATTGGGCACTGCGCGCTGAGGATGGTGACAATGCTGCGCGTGTCGAAAGTTCACTATCGGTTGGAGCTTGGGCCGCGTCGGCGTTTGATGGTCGGTATTTCTCTCCCGACACGGTTCGACATAATCGGCAACCCGAGGCTCGGCTGAATGGCAGAGTGAGAAGGTAATATAGCAGATAAAATCATCAATTCACATTCTAATATTTGTTACTCTGCGCACGTTGTTTACAAAGAAGGACACCGTTGCCATTGCCTCTTACTGATAGACCCAAAACCCGCCAAACTCCCAATAGGCTTTCTCGAACTCTGTCGACCGGTTCGCCACATAATCACTACACGTCCCTGTACACAGCGGGTTGCTATTGAAAATAGTCTTCTGTCCTGCCCAGTCACCACAAAGACCGATGTTTGCAATAATTGACAGATTCCCAAAATGGCTTCCAATGTCGCATTCAAGGTTTGGAAAGTCAGCGAGGGCTTCACCCCACGTCGACGGATCAGGCTTCTGCTCAGTGATGTCTGATGGGGTCGAAGTGCGATTGAAAAACCACACGCGAATGCCTTCAGAGCGCAACTCGAGCGCGTACACCCCTCCTCCGATGTTGTTGAACGCTTCACCGAACGAGTAGGTGGGACCGGTTACGCCGCAGCCGACGTTGTAGTTAGTTGTGTTATGACAGTCGTTTGCCAGAATTTCGCCCGTCTGCTTTCTGCGCCTGTGGTTGCCAATCTTGCAGCCGTCCGTTGTGTGTAGCGTCATCTGATTACCCGTATCGCCCATGTTGACGGATTCTACAACGTCAATTTCTCCGTGGTCTGGCCAGTTGTAGGTGTCAGTCAACCATATAGCAGGCCAAGTCGCGCATCCATATGGCGAGTGTACAACGTCAAAGATGAAAAGGCCTGTATCGTATGTTTTCCTGGAAGTGATGCGAACACTCCGTCGGCCGGTGGTTGCATTCTTATCTTCCGCGTCTACGCGGAGGATGACCGTTCCATTCTTCGAAAGCGAGTTCGGAGGAGCCGAGGATATATTTTCAGTAAGGTTGTGCAGTTTCGACCCTTCAGAATCGACATAGTGGACGAAACCATGCGTCGGATCGTAGCCGGTGAAGTAATCAAACTCATCGAAGAACGTACTTCCTGCATCTAATGGGTCCGTCAGCTTTTACGCGACTCTAGTGATTGGTAGAGTACCAACATGTATCCTTTAACGTGTAGTCCAGTCTGTAGTAATTCGGGTAAGCCGTCGCCCTCGCGCCTAGCACGCCTCCAACCACCGCTACTACTACGACTACAACTGCTATCACGCCCACACCAATCCACATAACCAGAGTCCAACTTCGAGGGTCCCATCTCGATAGTTCTCGCTGACGTACTGGAAGTTGGGGCGAGCTCGGCTCACGCTCTACGGAGCCGGTCGCTTGCTTTTCTGCGACATTCGAAGGCATTGAAATGATTTTACCTCGATGACACTGGCGTAGCGGTACAAGATACAGCTAGAGGCCGAAGATCAGGTTTCGCGACTTCTATGTTGTGTGTCCTAGGATGGCACCGGTACTCAGTCTCTGTGGGCAGAGCAATGACTTGGGCAGAAAGAGCATGTCGTTCGGCAAGACGGAAGATAGATAGCCTTGACAAGGGATGGAATGTACTCCGTGAGGGTGGAAGTGATATCACTTCAGGAAGTCACACAGGAAGTGGCTCTAATATCGATAAGGAAGGAATGCTGAGAAGCCCTCGGCATAAAGCTGCAGCGTGGAACATGAGACGAGGAGACGCGTAGTCCGACATGTGCATGCGCACATCTAATCCTGTAGCGATACGTTGGATGTCGCAACCGCCTCAAATGGCTGCACTGGCAACGTCTTCCGATTCAACCTCTGTTGAGAACATGGGGAAACAACACCTGTTTCGGTACAGCGGCCGACGCGTCAGCCATCACCTTGGAGTAGGCGTGATCTTTGGATACATCTTTCCTGTGTAATCTAAGCAAGGTTGAAACATAATCTTGACATTGAAATTGCATGCAAAGCTGGCAGCTCTCAGCGAATCGAGATAGCGAGTGGTGGGCACATGCAGTGGTGGGCTATTTCCGAGGGACTCCCGCATGTCGCTTACAAGGCGAAGTGGAATGTAATGTGGCTATCATTCCAGTTAAGCCAAGCACAGCACAAGAAGAAATGCTCTTGTTGATGAGAGGGAGATGGAGGGATAGAGATCCTACTCGTAGTCTAGTGGGAGGATCTGCGCCACAGTGACCAGACGTCACACTGGCGCAGTGCCTGACGCAGCCACCGGAGCTAGCGCCCACCTTATCGATAGCATCCCACCAAAAAGTTCGTGCAGTGAAGCCTCGACCAGATACATTTGCCAGTAATCATGGCCACAACCTCGGCCTCCGCTGCGCTCTCTGGTATGCGCATGTTCTACTTTTCACCGGCGTAACTAACAACTTGTAGAGCAGGGACAGGCCAAATTCGATCTGGGCATCTGGTACACGCTCTTTAACTGGCCCACCCTCACCGTCGCCGTCCAGAACCAATGGGGCGGACCCGACTCCTCAGACAAACGCGACTGGCTCGCCGGCGCAGTCTCTGATATATTCTCCTCCGCACCTCTCACCGACCAAGAAGATATCGAAATCATGCTGCTCCAGGTCCTCGAAGATGAATTTGGCGTGCGGTTGGAAGACGAAACCGAGGTGGGCGTGGCACGCGACATCATGGCAATAAAGACCGAGGTGCAAGAGGGCAACTTTGCGACTGTTGATGCGCTCGAGAGGAGGTGGCAGAGCAGGAAAGGCAAGGAGGTCAGCACAGGGAGTGTACAGGTCAAGGAGGTGGAGCAAGAAGGGGAATGGGATAGTGTCGATGAGGAGACCGATGAGGACGAAGATGAGGTCATGAGGGATGCGCCTGCTGCGGCGGCACCGCCCAAAGAGAAGCCAGCGCCTGAGGTGGATGAGGACGGTTTCACAAAGGTGGTGGGAAAGAAGAGGAGGTGAAAGGCTGAGAGGGAAACATAATGAGCAAGGAATTCACGATTATGAGGTCTTATGAGCGCATTGAGCATACCCGGTGCGGCTGTAGGGTTATTCGCAGTGCAATAAGACGGAGGAATCTTTGCAGCGCTGTATGCTGTTTGGACAAGTAAATGTATCCTTGAATACCTGTGGCTGGTAATACAGTCCTGAATCTTTTGGTTAACTCGCTCGTGCGGATAATATCTTGTGGAGCATCTTGTGTCAATTGTTACCATGCGACATTGCCCCAATGCTCAGTTACATGTAAGTCGACGACAGCTACCAAATGTGTCGCGTGGCTCGATGCTCAAAATAGACTTTGCAGGGCGTGGCTTGAGACGACGCGCTGTCACGTGCTGTCCAGATACCTAGGTAGTTGTAGTAGTCATGACAATTGATCTTCGAGGAGCGATTTGGAAATTTGCATGGCATGTCTTAAAGACCTTACAGACTCAGTTCGAGAGGTTGGTGTAGTACTCATACTTGAGTGGCATAACACACCCAATCTTGGTGCGGCGATCAGCAAAAGGACTCCAACAATAGGGGAACAGGGTACATTATACATTTCTTCGCTACTTTCCATGGCGGACTTCACAACAGTAAAATGTATACAAACTACCATGAACAATAGTTTGGTTGGCAGAAGATTGATGTAGGATCAACGTTTACGCTAGGAAAGCTTCATATCTACCACAGTATGAAAATTTAGGGGCGTTATGGTCATGTGGATTGCCAGCATGCTTCTATCGTGTCGTATGCTTCGATTCGAACTGTTTAAAGCCGGTAATAGGTACCGGCTCGCACTGAAGGGGAAGGTGGACCTTGGTGGTTTGCTACCCCACTTCGCTATCAATGCTCCTGTCCCCCTTTCGATAACACACGTCACGACCGGCACTTCACACAGTCACATAAAACATTCTCCGATCTCATTATTATTAAAGATCCCAGGAGACTGTATCACGGAATACCTAACTTTTACCACTTTCCGTTTCATTCCTTCTCTCTTGGTACAATATGACAACTTCTTGGCAGGATCGCGCTAGACAGAAGCGCGAGGCTATTCTTGCAGCGATACCGCCAGAGTGGGTTATAAAAGATCGACCTTCCATCGAAGAGCAAAGAGATGTTACTGGGGAGTACATAAGAGGCTTCTTGAGCGAGAGGGAGGTGGAAATTACAGAGACAGACGCGGAGAAGATTGTGGACAAGACCACGACCGGCGCATGGAAGGCGGAGGAGATTACAAGGGCGTTCTGTCACCGAGCTGCGCTCGCACATCAACTGGTGATTAGTTCTTCATCTCAGATTAGGGAGAACTCAACTGATCCTGCGCCCAGCTCCACTGCCTTCACGAGATATTCTTTGACGCCGCCATTGAGTCTGCGCGGTCCCTTGACGCGTACTTCGCAGAGCATGGAAAACCAGTAGGCCCTTTGCACGGACTACCTGTGTCCCTGAAAGACCAATTTCATGTCAAAGATGTGGAGACCACCATGGGGTATGTAGGTTGGATTGGGACGTTCGAAGGCAAGGTAGGCACAGGAAAAGAGAAGGTTTTCGAAAGCGAAATGGTAAGGGAGCTGAGAAATTTGGGTGCGGTACTGTATTGTAAGACGAGTGTGCCACATACACTCATGGCCGGCGAGACGACGAACAACATTATCGGGTACACTCTGAATCCGAAAAACAGAAATCTCACCGCTGGCGGCTCGAGTGGTGGGGAAGGTGCCCTCATTGGTATCAAAGGATGTATGTTGGTTAATGGAGATCTAGTGAGATGCAGCGGCTGATGATGAACAGCACCAATTGGGTTTGGCACCGACATAGGCGGGTCCATTAGGATTCCGGCTGCTTTCAATGGTCTCTACGGCATCCGGCCGACATCCGGACGATTTCCCTACCAGGGTATGGCGAATTCGATGGATGGTCAGAACACTATACTTTCGGTCGTCGGCCCGCTTGCGACCACTGCGGGATCTCTGAGGCTAATGACCAAGGCAATCCTGTCACAACAGCCTTGGCTGCACGACCCTATGGTACACGAAATGCCCTGGCGAGACTCGCATGAGCAGGGAATCTCGACAATACTCAATTCTACGGGCTCAAGTGAAGGCGGGAAATTATGCTTTGGTGTCATGCCAACAGATGGCATCGTCAATCCTTCTCCACCCATCCGCCGTGCCATCGACATTGTCGTAAAAGCCCTGCGTTCGCACGGACACGAAGTTGTCGACTGGAATCCGCCATCACACCGCGCCATATTGGACGAAGCCTTCAAGACGTGGGACTTTGACGCAGGCTCTGATCTCAAATCCTCATTTGCACTATCTGGGGGAGCCGATGCATCCACAAGTCGCCAGCTTCGGTGCGCTGCAAAAGCACTACTCCGCCAGCGAGATATCGGCGGTGAACGTGCGTCTACGTGAGCTAAAGAAAGAGTACTTGGATTACTGGAACAGCACTGCAAAGCTCAGTAAGTCCGGAAGATGCGTAGATGCTGTAATTGGCCCTGCAGCTCCGTGGCCCGCGGCAAGACCAGAAAAGTATTCGTATTATGGTTATAGTACTTGGGTGAACGCGCTAGACTATACAAGTGTGGTAGTCCCCGTTACCGAGGTCGATAAGGATATTGATGTTGTGGACGTGGAGTACACGCCCCTCGATGAAAGAGACAAGATATGCCATGAGAGCTGTGAGTACTTGTCGTTTATTGTGGAACAACATGCTGAGAATGACAGATGATCCATCCATATACGACGGAGCGCACGTTGGTGTGCAATTGGTTGGGAGGAGACTGCAGGAGGAGAAGATGCTCGCGATCGCAGAGTATGTTGGCAAAATCGTGGGCAAGTGACAGAGTCGTCAGATGGGTTGAGACATTTAATCTTTGCAGTACACTACCATTGTGTACTCTTTTTTGTACATTGCAGCACATGAGGCGGCCGAGTGAGCAGCTGGATGATCCCACGCTATGCGATAATAGGCTAGTCTTATTTTTGACGAAACACCAACCTGTTCAAGACGTCACTGCTGTGTACCATAGTAACTTTCTTTCACTCAACAACGAATGTTTGATTTCCACTGAACTTTGAGATGCACCCAGCTTTTCTCTCGCGAACCATACCCTATTGCTTTGCTCTACAATATTCGCCTTTTCAAATTGGGGTTCTGCTCCGTACGGGGATAGGTGCATCGTCCAATCGCAGGATGGTTTCTTCGGCCAGGACAGCTTCAAGCCTGTTATCCGACGAGGCGAGTTGGGAGGTGCCCTTCATATATGGCACAGCGTGGAAGAAAGAGAAGTCCAAGCTGCTGGTGAAGACGGCGATCGCGAAAGGGTTCCGCAAAGTGGACACCGCAGCCCAGCCTAAACATTACCAAGAACCATTGGTAGGAGAGGCGTTGAGAGAATCGTTTGCGAGTGGGATTCTGAAGCGGGAGGAACTCTATGTAAGAGCTTTTCAGTTGGCAATATTGTACAAGCTAATGAAATCAGTTGCAAACCAAGTACACCACAACTGCTGGACAAGACCTGAACAACATGCCCTACGATCCGTCAGCACCTTTAGAAGCGCAAATCCATGCCTCTGTCGCATCATCCCTTGATAATCTGCGACCAAAAGGCGAATCGAAGGAAGAGAGCTACATTGATTGTCTGCTTCTGCATTCGCCTCTACCGACGATCGAACAGACACTTCAAGCCTGGAGAATCTTGGAATCATACGTTCCTCACAAGATCAAAGCACTCGGAATCTCCAATACCACCCTGCAAGTCCTCCAAACAATTCACGAGAATGCCACCATCAAGCCGGCAGTGGTGCAAAACCGCTTCTATCAGCAAACGCGATACGACGTCCCACTTCGTTCATTTTGCAACGAGAATGGGATTACCTATCAATCGTTCTGGACATTGACAGGTAATCCACGCCTACTTGGCAGTGGACCAATCAAGACACTTTCTGGCTCTACTGGTGTTTCCGATTCAGTGGCGCTTTATGCTTTGGTTGTGGACCAGGGCATTGTTGTATTGAACGGCACGACTTCTGCTGTCCACATGGAAGAAGACCTGAGCGGTATACGACGTGTTCGTGAATGGGCAAAAGCGCACGAGAATGAATGGTCACAGATCAGTCATGGTTTCAGGAACTCCATTGACTCACAAGGCTTGTGAATGGTTGCTCAGATATTCGATGTTGTCACTGGCCTGGCTAGCAGAGGACCTTGGAGTCTTTTGTGAGGCGATACTGAACATTCTTCTCAGGTTGGGCAGATCACCCATCCGAAAACGTCGACATTTTACCACTACAAATACTCCTACCCCCCTACAAAATTTGGAGAATGGCGGACTGTGGTTAGACTTTGGTTGGTCCCATGCAAGCTGACAAGCATGTGTAAATGACGTCACCTGTCCAATGAAGAGCGATGAATGACATTAGGAGCCCAAATTTGGATGCGGAGATCAAAACAGTCCTAAGATCCGAGAGTACAAGAGGCATTGTTAGGAACTGCTTACAATACGATCGACCTGCGTCCCCCTCGACGCAATCTCGTGCTTTCACCATGCGAGCTACGCGATGCTTGTCCAGCGTCATCACATATGCTTTATTTACCTCCGTCGCATTCGCAAGAAGGAAAGTGACTTCGGAAGCCCTCTACCAATTTGACGAACCGACATGGATAGAAAACTTTGCTGTGAGAGCTAATGGGCTTGTCTTGCCAGCAAGGGCTACTTCGGCGATCTTGACAGAACTCAATCTCGCGGATGGAAACCTGCGGACCATTGCAAACGAGAGTAGCTTTGGAAACGCTATCATGGGGATTACGCAGGTGGCTCCGGACTTCTTCGCCATGAATACCATGTATTGCGACCTGACAATACTCTCTGTGAGTACTTCTTGCGGACCATCGGTCGAGCTGGCGACTAGCTGACTACCCTGGAGTGCACGGCAGGAACCGGTATAACTTGGTCTGTAGATCTTCGCGAGGATGTGCCAATCATCAAGAAGATCGCGGAAGGCCCCTCATCAACCAGCGTCTTGAACGGAATGGCGGCCTTGAATTCAGAGACTGTCCTCATCGTAGATCAAGCCTTGGGTGGTATATGGGCCATCTCGCTCTCTAACAGAAGTCCCTCAGCGCTCATTATCAAAGACGAAAGCATGCTCGATCCTAACAACACAGCTAATGGCGTAAATGGCATCCGCGTGCGACCAGGCATCCTCTACTTCAATAATCCCGCCCTGGGAACTTTTGCGCGAATGCCAATCGACCCTGAGTCGGGTGTGAAAACGGGAGACGCGAAGGTCATTGCGTCTGGGCAGGAGCCCGATGACTTTGAGATAGACGAGCGGAGAGGCGTAGCATATCTCACGAATGGACCTGCCGATACGCTGCTTGAAGTTGATTTGGAGACTGGAAGGTATGAGGTCGTTTTGGGGGGCCTTCCTGGTCCTACGACGGTACGATGGGCAAATGGGCATGGGGCCCTCCACGGAGCGATGTACGTGGCGACGACAGGAGGATACCCGCAGTGGCTGGACGGAAATCCGACCGTTGGTGGGGCGATATACAGAGTACTGGTTGACGACTGCATCGAGTAATTTCCCGTTCAAGCTGCTTCTAGTCGTCAGATGGATAACATATGTATTCGCCAGCTGCAATGCAACATGATCGTAAGAAAGACACGCAATGCGTCAGAAAGTTCAACAAACAGAAAAGCGTATGTGTAAATCTTTGGGAGCGCAAAGCTTTCAACCCTGCATTCACCAGGCGCACAGCTTGTCGAGTCCTGACTAGCACAGCAGCCTTTCACCCAGACCCACCCAAACAAGCAACGGATCACGTGCATTCACTTCCGCCAAATCAACCACCATCTCCACAGCATATATTATTACGCCCACCCTCCCCCATACCACCATACCACTACATCCACGCCACAACACCTCCCCACAAGTTCTCCACCACCGACCTCCCACGAGAACGTCCGAGTCCTTCCCATCTACACTTCCCATCACGCTCAGAATGCTCAGAATGCTCGAACCCTGGAAACCCTGGATACACAACCTGCTCACCAAAGTTAGCGAACTTCCCATCGCCCTCAAAATGCTCTCACCCTGGATACCAAACCTCCTCACTAAAGTCAGCGCCACCACTCAAATTATCGTCGTCCTCATGCTCAGCTTCATCTCAGCACTCTTTCTCTTCACGCTCGTAGCATACACTCTATGCACCTTGGTCAATCTCCTAGCCTCCCCGTTAACCGGAAAGAAAACGGTAGTACAGCTTGTGGCTACGTCCCTTGGGCGGAGTATGGGCGGTGTAGTGGGTGCGTGGAGGAGGGATGGGAAATTGGGGTTGGGGTTGGGAAAGGTGATGAAGGTGAAGGCAACAGCGGGCAATGTGATGGCGCGATGCGAGCGAAGGAGATAGGTGAGCGCGAGGGGCTGCGTCTTGTTGCTGGGCGGAGTACACCCTCTGAACAGGGAGACTTCAAGATGGTGGACGAAGGGCAAGAGCAGAAGGGGGTGCGCAAGTACGACGACAACGACGAGTTTGTGGAAGATGGGGAGCTTGTCGAGAACAAGTGGAGGGCGAGAGAGCTTTGAAGGTTTTACATTCGCTCGACGTGCAGGGCCAGCGTTCGAAGCTGTTTGGTCAATCTCTCGCGAGAGGGTTTCCTTGCTTTGCATGATGCTGCTTGGGTTGCGGTGCGGTGTTTTCTCGGTGGTCGCCGTGGTTGCGATTGCGACTTTTGCGCAGCAAAGGGATTGTGGAGGGAACTACAACGCCATTGAAAAAGCAAGTCGCGAGTGAGAAAATAGCAGCGGAGAAGTACGATCGAGGGGTTTGAGCATGCCGGTATGGTACCCAAGCTCGATGCACGATGATTTGATATGTGAGGCTCTACGGACTCAAACTAGATGCGTTATGGTAAAGAGAGCCATAGTTGCAGGGCTGGAACAGCCTACGCAGGCTTTGTTCGGAGAAGTCTGACAAGATTTGCTACTCGGGTATCTTCCAGAAACATTCAAAGATGGTGGGTGCTGATATGGGCGACGTTGAAACTAGTTTTACTCGATGTGATTGCATACACGGTTGCAAAAGTCCAAATTGGTGGTTTACTCGATGCGAAATGTCAATTATCGCCGACGGCGCTAGGGGCGCTTGGTGAACGTGTGGGCGCTGTGGGGTGCGGGTGCTGAGGCGCTAATGCCACTCTTTCGCGGGGGCGTCGCGTCAGTCCTTCGCATCACGCTTCTCCGATGTGCAGGAGCGCAAAGCGGCGACAACCGAGGACCTCGCCGTGTTGCGCGCGCGACGTAGCGGCTGTCGGAGCGCATCGCAACGTCGGAACTGAGTGCGGCTCAATGGGCCATAATTGCCCGTCCTTATCTCTGGCCTGCCCATGGGCTCGCCAACCCGCACTCCCGACTGATTGGCGTCAGCCGCCATCCTTCTAGCCAAGGTCCGCCCGCCACCCATGGCAGTTATCTCGTCGGGCTAACTGCTTGGGGCCCAAGCTTTTCCGCTTCCCTTATCTCCCCTCTCGGCCTGAGGTGTATAAGCGCACGCGACGTTCCACAGGCCTTTACATTCAGCTCGTTGTTTGCTCTGTCTCCTCTGCTCTACGTGCAGTGTTGCACGCCCCCTCATCACCATGGCATCCGGCGAGAAAATTGTAGATTACCACGAGAAGAGTGGCTCGCCTGCCGCTTCCTCTGCGGAGCCTGTCGACACGGGTCACGTGTCTAAGAGAAGGGTGCTGCCAGGTTTTAGCCTTGCAGTTCGTCAGGAGGCAAGCAGCTTTGCGAGATCGAAGAATGCGTCCAATGCCGACTTCGATCCGATACCCCCTTCGAAGCGGACATGGAATTGGGGCGCCTACGTTGCCTACTGGATGGCAGATGCGTGGGCCGTGTCTAACTGGGAAGTTGGTGAGTGTGCACATGCTTGCTCTTGAAATAAACGTGACTTACATTCTATTGTAGCCTCTTCAATGATTGCTGTCGGCCTCGATTGGAAAATGGCCATCGGCGCCTGCGTACTCGGCAACACCATCATGGGTCTTGTCATTACCATCAACGGGAGGATGGGAGCCACCGTAAGCAAACCGCATTGAAACAAAACGAACGCCGCTTAGTCTTTTAGCTTCATACTCCGTTCCCTGTACTTGCACGTATGCCGTTTGGCTACTATTTCGCACAATTCGTCGTCTTGTCCCGCTGCGTCCTTGCTATTGTATGGCTTGGGTAAGACACACCAACCTACCACTGCTTTGGGGTACTAATGGCGTACAGTGTTCAGACAGTGACAGGCGGTCAATGCATGTCCGTGTTGCTCACAGCTATATGGCCCAGCTTCGCAAATATCCCCAACCACATTCCAGAAGGCCAGGGCATCACCACATCTGGAATGGTCGGCTTTCTGCTCTACTTTTTACTACAGATTCCCTTCTTATGCATTCCGTACACCAAGGTAAATGTCCTCGAACCTTTGAGCCATCTGCAAAATTAATATGAAAAAGGTTCAATACTTCTTTGCTTTCAAGAGTGTCATCGCACCAATTGTCTTTTTAGCCGTGTTTGGGGATACATTGCGCAGGGCCGGAGGTACTATCAGTAAAAGCACAGTCATAACCGAGGGCACTCACGTCCACGGCTCGGTCCTTGCTTGGGCCTTCTTTGGAAGTATGCAGTACCTCATGCTGTTATCGTCACTCGCATCCGCTAACTGCTGTACTCACAGATCTTAACGGAGTGCTTGGCAACTACGCAACACTGGGCCTGAACATCGCCGATTTCTCGAGATACGCAAACAAGCCCAGTGCGCAGAACGTCCAGGCTATCGTCATCCCAGTCATCTTCAGTGAGTGTTGCACACCGACTGTCAAGGAACCCACACTGACCACTGGATGAACAGCCATCGTCGGCCTCCTGGGCATCTTCACCGCTGCATCCGCCCAGACAGCTTACGGCGAGGTAATGTGGAACCCCATCGACATCATCCACAAATGGATGGACTCCGGCTCCCACGGCGGCCGCGCAGCCGCCGCCTTCGCCGCAATCGGCCTCATCATCGTCACCCTCGGCATCAACATCTCCGCCAATTCCATCAGCGCCGCAAACGACCTCATGTCCTTCGCCCCAAAGTACATCAACATCCGCCGCGGCCAACTCCTCGCTGCAGTGATCGGCTCCTGGGCGTTCGTCCCCTGGAAGATCCTCGCTTCTGCCGCAAAGTTTCTGGCTTTCCTCGGTGGCTATACCATCTTCTTGGGGCCCATGACGTCCATCTTGATTACGGATTACTACATCGTGAGGAGAGGAAAGGTTTCCGTCCCGGACATGTACTACTTCCACGGCATATACCGCTACTCCCCAAAATTCGCGAGCAACTGGCGCGCCGTCGCCGCCTTCTTCATAGGATGTATTCCGCCGCTGCCCGGGTTCGTAAATAACATCGTTGTCGCAGGCCAGGGTACCACCAGCGTGTCTCTCGGCGGCCAGCACCTGTGAGTCCAGTCCCGTCCACTCCCCTCTCTATCCCTATCTCCTTTTCTTTTCCAAAAAAATAAAAATGCGTTTGCCATACCGCTTGTCATGAGCATGCTAGTCTCGATGGAATTCGCAAGCAGTTCTGACATGTGACTGCAGTTTCGCAATCGGCTACATCTACTCCTTCATCGCCGCCGGCGTCTTCTACTACTCCTTCAACCGCTTCGTCCCGCACCCCGAGTCGATGCTCGACCGCGCAGACACAGGCGAGGACATCATCGCCGCGCAGGACGCCAAAAACGTGCAGGAGCGCCGCGGCAGCTGGTCGGAGCACAAGCCGAATATCGTGTCGAGGATGTTCACCGTCTAGCCTAGATAACATGAATGAAGCTGCAAAGCCAGCCTCTTTCTATGAATGCATATATGCAAGCAAGTAAAGAAAAGGGATTAGCCTACGAGCGTTGAAGCATGTGCTGTGATGTGATGTGATTGAGTGACTCCGCCCATTCACCCCATTTTAATTCCTATCTCTTCCTATTCGTACATGGTCCTGTGTGCAATACAAGCCTCCGTGCTTGGGGTATCAATGCCCACCATACATATCATATCAAATCCTCCACCACGCAACGCAACGGAAAAAGAAAAAAACGCCTCGCCATCTTTCCGCTTCGCCGCGCCCTATCCCGCCGCTACCCATCTCCGTGAAAAGAAAAGAGGATCCGAACCAAAATCCAAACACGTGTCCATCATATCATATCCAAGGAACGCCATACCTCCCCTCCTTCGCCGCAAACACGGAGCTCCACAAGTCCGTATTCAGCGCTGCCTCACCCCCTCCATTCGCAAGTGCATTCCCCGCATCCCCTCCACCCTCCACCCATCCTGCTGCGCGAAATCCACCGCCGTATAAGGAAACATCTCCCTCGTGTCCGCCCCAATGACATGCTCGACATTAAGATCCCTAGGCACCGCCGTCCGCAACACCCCTTCAACGCCCTCGAAATCACTCCCCATCCTGCGCGCGAGTGCGAGGCCAGACGAAAGATCGGCCAAAAGGCTGGTAGCATCGCGGTATACTTCCTCGACATTCGCCCCGAGATAGGAGAAGTCCCGGAAGAGCAGAGTCGCTAGTGGTAACATCGCGCCGCACAGGGAGGACGCCATGGGAAGGCGGAAAGAAGTGGGGAGGCTTGCATCGCCGCTGTGGGATTTCGTTCGTTGCACAATGTTGACGGCGAGGTCTTTACACAGGCCGGCTATGTCGAGGTCGCACCGCGTGCTGAGCATTGCTTGGCGGAACAGCAAGAGACGTAGTTGATCGAGGCTGTTTTGCACGATGGTGCGTTGGCGGAGCTGGCGGGGCTCGGGGGTACTCGGGGGAGCAATGGGATGGTAGGGAGGACGACTTCGGTCCAGTGTTTTATGCGGGCGTCAAGAATGAGGGCGTTGTCGTTGGCTACTCCGTCTTTCGACGGGGCTGCCGCGAAGAAGCCGTCCCAGACGTCTGCTGCTAGTCGGCCCCAACAGACCATGCAGTTGAGATAGACGTTCGACGACTGCGCGATATTGAGGTCCGGCAAGGGACGATCGGGATGGATTTCCTGCGGAGGTGAGACGGTATCAGGAAGGTGGGAAGTGCACTTACTTTGTCGTAAAGGTACGCCGGTTGCTCGATGTCGATGTCAGATTCGCGAACGCTATACGGCCGTCCGCAACTTATAGATATGCGGCGGTCGAGGAAGTATATTGTCCAGAAGATTCGTTGTCGCATGTGGATTTCAAAGGGCGTGTATGTCCGCCAGGAGGACGAGGATTGCTGATGGAGCCCTGCTTGGAAGCACATCCTGATGGCTTGTCCGATGATACTGTACGCTGCATTTCCTTTGTCGGCGTACATCAGGTACACAGCCTGCGGAGATCAGCACAAATCGAAATGGTGACGAGCAACATACCTCCAAAGCTAGAAATTGTATCAAGCATAGATCAACTTGACCACTCATTTTCCTTTTTCCGACAAGGTCGTCTGCGGCCCGAAACCACTGCCAGCCGGGAGCGTTGACTTGCGATGTGCCTGCCGCATCTGTATGGTGCCACGGTAAGTATGTTTACACCAGTTCGTCTACGCAACGGGAGACAAGGGTAGACTTACCTAATGATGTTGCGATATCCGAACATGCGAAGACAATGTAGTTGAGGGCCAACAGTGACACATGATGCGCTTGTAGTACGGGCGCCGAAAGCATCTTCTCACTATTGATTCGAAATTCAAGCTCGTTTATACAAGGATAATAAGGTGCAATGTCATCAAAGAAGACATCGAGATAGCTCTGATACTCGGTCGGGTTGGGGAATGCAAAGGTCTTGTTGCCAACACGGAGAGTCGCAGCAGCATCAACGCTGCTGGAGGGGCTCACTGCTGAGATTGAGTGTCGAACTCTTCCCGGGGCACTCTCGAAATCGAGGTCTCCTTCAGCGATAGGTGGGAAGGTTGAAGCCTCGCCAGCTATCTGCATCAGGAAGTCTGCATGCAGGCGCTCGCTAGCTGCTGCATCCCGTTCCATGCTGATGCGCGGCGTCACGTTCATGCCGCGTTCCAGCATCAGCGATTCCATCATGGTTTCGATACGCGCCATGCGCGCTTCTATGGACAAGCCCAGCACACTGGCATCGCTTGCCCGCCTCTCAACGTCTTCGCCCCGCGGCAGAAGACTCAGCCGAGATGTGCCATTGTCATTGCCGTTGCCATTATCGGTCTTGTCGGCGGGAGCTTGGACGGGCGTGGGTCTGCTCAGGTTCTGTAGAGCTTCGGCGGCCGTCTGGTCTTCCGAGTAGAAGCAACGCTTCCCGTTGTCGATGCATCGCTGGCATGGATTCTCGCCGGAGCACTGCAAGACGTATTAGCTCCCATTCTGCAGTACCGCAGAATATAAAACAGCAGACGACATACCTTGAGTTTGGAGCGGCGACACGACACGCTGTAGCTTTCATTAGAAAACGGAACGGTTCGGAATGCGGAGCGACTACTTCCCAAGCTCTTGTACAGCCGTTAGCATGCGATCACATTCAAAAGACGACGGACCTACCTTGACGCGTATTTTGCGCGTACTTTCTTACGCTTCGGCGACGACGGCGCCTCGTCTCCCATTGCTGCAGGAAGTTGCGTCGTGCCAGCGCTCGGGAAGGTCCACTTGAACGTGAGGTTGGGAGGTCCGAGCTCTCGGAACGGGATGTCACCTCATCGCGTGTCTTCACACGAGCCATCGCGGCATCGACTATCGTCTTTGTTACATCTGATACATGACGCCGCGTTCACAGCCGTTATGCTGAATCACAGCCGATGCGATGACGAATGCAACAATAAGATGTGAGGTACATCTGGACTTCAGCTATCTTCAGCTATAGGTACCGTGTCCCTCAGCTTGCACCGCAGCTCCTCATCACTCGAATCGCTCAATCCTATGCAGGAACCGCGGTGATATGCAAGAATTGAAACAAGATCTATTGAGAACAAGATGCTCCACAACGAGACCAAAGGTCAAGGAAGAGCAACTGGCCGTCTAGCGCGAGTGAGATCAAGCGAACTATACACAACACTCCCATATACCATATAACGTGAAAGTGTACAGAGTCAAAGTGAGTAAAATCGAAAGAAGCATGCAAGCGCTGTCGAAATATTGCGCTTAAGAGGCGTGTATGAACAGCCGCCAATAATTCGTGTGTATGTGCTTGGGCGTGTGCTCGGAGTATGGCGCGAAAGCTTGACACTGACGCATATCGCCCACTGAGAATTCTTGTGACGATGCTGAGGACCGTGAGCACTCAGCTAACTAAGTCATTATGTGTGCTGTGCCATGAACTGCTGCAGTCAACATCATAGCCTACTTGCGCTTTGAATTGAACGCCACAAGAAAACCGGAGCGATAGACGAATCGCCAAGATTACGTACTGCACGAATCACGGCCCTAGTACTGCGCAGTTTGGTCAACTTCTGGGAAGCTCCCATTGGCAGTTGTCTTGCAATTTGGAACAATCGAGTGTGGAGGTGGTGAACTGTAATAGCAAGCGAAAAAGAGATTGCATCATTGGAAAATAGACGACTGCAAAACACGAATAAGCTGGTTTCCTAAACCATAGGAGTTGACTGTGTTCCTCTACATACAATGGGTAGCGCGTATTGGATATCGCGTCTTTGCTGACTAGTGACAAGCTCGGTCCGGGGTACAGTTGAACTCGAATCTGGATACTCTTCTTGTTCGGCATTGCACCAAAATATGTCGAGAATTGACGTGGCAATGCAAACGGTACTTTGTCTCGTAAGTTACAGTCCATTCCAGTATGAAAATGGCTCTTCACACTAAGAAAAAAATAAACATACTACGTACATATGAACCCAGGAGGCTGCCACCTGAACAGTGAGGCGGACAACACCCGCAAGAGGCTAGCATACGCTCACACTGGCCTGTTTTTCGGTAGACACAGCCCTCTGATTGGCTGATCAGTCACGTGACCTGAATGCAATGCGGAGGAGCCCAACAATTGCCAACAACAATCTTGGATTGCGATCACACTGCGATCAAAAAACTATCGATATTAGAATTGGAGTTATGGTGTCTACCTGGACCTTTAAATTCACCCGTTTCTTCCGGGTGCCTTCAACTTTTGCCCTGTGATAGGTATCGATCCACTCTTTTCTACCTTCCCTCGCTCCTACATTCCACTAGCCTTTGGTCACGCCTCTTGTATGAACTTGAACGACAGCCATACAAGATTCAGACAAAGCTTCAGAGATCCATAGTAGCTCAAGGTACCCTAGAATAGGCCATAACCCTGTTCAACAAGCTTGTAGCCGAGCTTTGTGTTGACGCAGGAGCGCGCTTCCCGGGTTTAGACTGCTACGATGGCTTCCTGGGCACAAACGACGCAAACGTCGCAAGCAAAAGAGCTCGTACAATCATCAGAGGTGCACCCGTGGCAAAAAAAAGTCGTTGAAAAGTGCAAGGCCAAAGGCATTGATCCACAGAGCATCGCCGAAGCATGTGGAAAGGCCGGAGTCAAAGACCTCTTACAGAATGTCGACCATGACGCTTCCACCCACCAGCAGCATTCAAAATATCTTGGGCTTTCCTTCCCGCAGTATATGTGTCTCATCGAGCTTCAAGACGAAAAAGGAAAGAACGCCGTTGAAAGGCTAGTGAAAGACATCATGAGCATACCGCTGTACTACTTGTCCAAGGCCTCGCAAGACATTGGTACGTTGCCCAACTATCTTGTAGTCGTACGCGACTTACGCGTTGCCAGAACACGACATCACGTTTGCCTGTTTGCAGGTAAAGGCCGGTCGCCGCCAGAAGCGTCTTCGACTCGGACGCGAGCCACCCGAAGAGCACGCTCGCACGGTCGATAGTAGCAAGGAGCAGAAGTTGTCGGTCCCCACGCCGGGAAAACTATCCAAACTCTCACCTGTCAGTGAACTGCAGTCGGCGCAAATGCTAGGTTTTGTTGGAACTGTCAAGAAGCGCATCCTTGCGCGCATCTGCGACCAGCGCTGTCACCACTACGTCCACAAAAAGCGTTTTCTGACGCATGCGTTCAACGATCACAAGGACCTCCTTCCTGACATGACGCGCACGGTTTCGTGCTGCGAAGAACAGTACTATGATGCTAAGGAATATCTCGCTCATATCTGGGACACGCATTCGGACGCAGTAAATGGCGAAGCTGCTCTAGCATCTAGACATAGTTCGGCCACAGCTGCAAATACGCCATCGTTCTCAGGCAGCGATGCCTTTGTCACTGCATGCAACGCCGGAACCGCGTCTCTGCTGCATGGGAACAAACCGCCTGGAGAACGCAAAGAAGCTACTGCAAACCCGCAACAAAGCTTTGCGACGACTGCAGGCGCAGCACCGTTCTCTGATCTGATAACTTTCCCCCAAGGTAACCAAGAAAACAACAGGGGCGTCGATTGGATTGGATCGCTCAATGATGGCCCGACTGTTTTCGACTCGATGGGGAATTTTCAGCCAGACCTCCTCAACGATCTCATGGATAGAAAGGAGAACGATCCATTCCTCTAAATGAGCGGTGGACTTCCCGTGAACTCAAGCCTGCGATTTTAGGCTATGATCTTGCAATCATAGTATCAGGTCAGAAGCTTGGGTGCCCTGTATGACCACCCAGGATGGGCGATGAAGCATGCTCCCATATACAACCTAGATAGAATAGAAGCCTTGTCCGGTCCAGCTCGCACACTTTCAGACTACAATTGAGTAAACCTGGTACATGCTGGTGTTCCAAGCCCAAATACGTTTGCAGGGTAAGACTTCCTTTTCTACGACGAATCGAAGAATCGCAGCTAACTATCCAAGTGTTTGAAAACCATCGGTCTCCTCAATTGGACTTCATGCGTTCGCTCACCAAGTTACCTTCGATATATCACCACCATGGCACCCCGGGCCTCATGTGTCTGTCCTATCCAGGAAAAGGGCTACCGCTCTTTTGCGCATGCATTACTCTGCGACTGATCTTCATAATGCGTCGACCGGGTACGAAAGCTGCGTCTGCGAGTGGGAATACTATTGTGCGATTCTCTATTGTCAATCTTATACTTAGGACATGTCGTAGAGGCAATATAGATTGTGTAGCGAGCGAAACAAACAAAGAAAGTGACCAGCGGTGGAGATTCCGCGGAACCAAGAAGCATCGGAGGGGTCCTCGGATGTAAAGAAAAATCCTTGCTGAGCTCGCTTATAACTGAGGAACAAGTCAGCACGGCTCCTTATAAATGATTTCCCAATGTGCATTTGTCTCGAGAAATTGATGGTGTTCCAGAGAGTGCGAAACTGTCCAGGCGTGTCTGTGTCTATGACGAGAGAGACGTCGTTGTTCTCCTCGTACTGAATCCTCTGCCAGCCCTGCGGGGGCTCCGCCATTCAAAATCTAGGCACATCTGCTGCAGATCCAACAGTGTAACGTAACACAAAGACATCTACCACCCGGCGCCATTCTCGTGACCGCAAAGCCAAACATTCAGCGTCATTCACCCGGCGTGCATCTCGGCAGATGCATCATCGTAGTCCCTCTTGGCTAAAGGCAAACAATTGGCCCTTATATACCCCGACAAAGAAACAGGTGGAGCCAATGGCGATCCCGCACGCTACCCCGCACAATATACCACCCACTAATTCATCCCAGACCGGGGCCAGACGTCAGCCGAGCACCACGCAGTCGGAGACACCTTGCATGCGGAAGGTTGGATCCCCATCCAGCCGGGCGGCAATAAAGGATGGGCGTGGCCCTCCCTTGCGTCGTAACCTTGCGATCCGCGCTACAGGAACAACGAAACCAGAGACATGGCTACCGCGACAGACGATGTGAAAGTGGGGGGTGCAGGTCAAGACAGGAAGATCGATGATGTGGGGGAGAAGAGGGAGATTTCGGATAGCGAGCTTGAGGCAACGGTGATTGACTACGATGGGCCGGAGGCGCGGAGAATACTGGCCAAGGTAGACTGGCGACTGGTCCCCGTTTTGTCGCTCTTATATCTCGTCGCGTTCATCGATAGAAGTAACAGTATGTCTTCTGGAGGACCGAGCCACCGTCGAGCAGGCTGACGAGTACAGTTGGGAATGCGAAGGTCGCGGGTTTGACGACCGATCTGGGCATGCATGGACTGCAGTATAACACTGCGGTCACGCTTTTCTTCGTGCCGTACACTTTGCTCGAAGTTCCTAGCAACATCATTTTGAAATTGATGCGGCCGAGCCGATGGATTGCGATTCTTATGCTTGCGTGGGGTCTGGTCATGACGCTGATGGGTTTGGTCCATAGCTATGGAGGTCTCCTGGCCGGACGATTCTTCCTCGGTGTGGCTGAGGTATGCATACCCTTCATATGTGAAAGACGAGGTCGCATACTGAATACCATATCCAGTCCGGTTTCTTTCCAGCCGCAACTTTCCTCCTGACACTTTGGTATCGCCGATACGAAGTGCAGCGGCGCATGGCTGTTTTCTACGTTGCAGCGTCGCTGTCGGGTGCGTTCTCGGGCCTGTTGGCATTTGCCATCCAGAAGCTCGATGGCTATGACGGCCGTGAAGGATGGCAATGGATCTTCATAATCGAGGGTCTGATTCCTGTTGCGCTAGCCTTGGTAATCTGGAAAGTTCTCCCGGACTCGCCTGAGACTGCCAGCTTCCTCAAACAGTCTGAAAGAGACTTCCTCGTACGAAGGCTTGCCGAAGAAACAGGAAGTGGCCATGGCAGAGTTACAAACCAAGACAAGATGGGGAAGAAGTTTATCATCGCAGGTTTATCCGATTGGAAGGTATGGGCTGGTGTGGTGATCTTCTGGGGGAACACAGTAGGCGTGTATGGGTATGTTCTGCTTCTCCTATCATACGTTTCACATGGTCCTAACTGACCGCGCCGCAGGTTCACGGCGACAGTACCCACGGTGATCAGCCAGCTCGGCTACTCGGCGGCAAACGCGCAACTCCTCACGATACCAATCTACGTTTTCGCATCGATCATGACCATCATCTTCGCATGGTGGTCCGACCGCGTTCAGACACGCTCGCCATTCATCATCGTCGGCTTCTTAATCGCCTGCTGCGGGTTCATAGCCCAGCTGGCGATTCCACACCCAAAGTATCCTGGACTGACGTACGGCTTCCTCTTCCCGGTTGCTGGTGGACTATACTGCCCGTTCATCATCCTCGTCTCGTGGATCGCAAACTCTCTAGCACCGTCCAGCAAGCGCGCAGTCGGCATGGCGTTGCTGATTTCAGTTGGTAACATGGGTGGAATCATGGGGAGCAACATCTATCTTGACCGAGAGAAACCAAAATACAAGACGGGTTTTGGAGTGTCCCTTGCGATGTGCTTCGCGGCGGTTTTAATGACCTTTGTGCTGAGGTGGGCGTATCAGAGAGAGAATAGCAAGCGCGAGGAACTGTTAAGGGAGCACGGCGAGGCAGCGATTCGAGCGCGGTACTCGGACCAGGAGATGCTGGAGTTGGGCGACAAGAGTCCCTTCTTCAAGTACACACTTTAGCGGGGATTAGATAGTCGAGGAACATGTTTAAATTAACAATGTAATCATGCGATGATGCTTCAGCTCTAGAAGTTTTGTAATGTGCCCTCCCCATTGATATGGTTCTCCCAATTGCTCATCTCAATTTTCATAAGCTTTCAAGACTTCAAACTAAGCTCAACACCCTGAGAAAGGAAGCTTCAATGCAAAGTCACGTGAACGGGTCTCCGGGCACCTCATCTACGCCAATCATAATTGAGAGGCCAATCTTAGGGTACCAGACGAGCGCAATGTACGGACCGTCTTAAACGTCGCTAAAGTCGCTTCTGCCCGAGAAATTAACGGACACGTGAAGGAGCGGCAACCGTTTCGGCGCGTCGAGATTTTCATGCGGCCGTAAATCTCGCATTGGTCGCGTTCCTTCCTCTTTCGGGCGCTCGTATTGGGGGCCACTTCATGCCAATGGCCTTGCCATTCTCGCCGAGGTCACATGCGCTCGCTCTATCCATGGATCCATGGAAGAGGACTCACTCAAACGGGCCCTAGGAATCACTCTCCATGATCATTATCGCGGACCTCAAGAATTGATAGAACCCTCGCGCAGGTCCGCATCAGCCCCGTTCGTGAGTCACGAAACCGATAAATTCCAGGCTGCAACCGTCACGATGCAACCATCGCGTACGAGTAGTCCGAACCCCTGAAGCCGCCAAGAGTTTGCCTTTTCTTAATACGAGCGGCCAGCCCCAAAATAACGATGGCCACCTCCTCTTGGGCTAGACCATCTAGAGCGGCCCAATCGGCTGAGGGCGAGGCTGCGCGGGAGATTTGCAATTGGCCTGTGCGGCGCGGTGCCGAGCAAAACACTACGAAAAGGTCGGACGATGATCCAAGAGCCGGTGAGGGCGTAGTCGGGCGGTGGATACGATGCACCGGTCGAGGCATCGTGTAGCGTGTAGCTTATAATGACAACGGGAGCCGTGCCAGACGTCGCTAGCAGCCTCGGACTCTTCACATCGTGACAAACGCAGCTTTGCGTGCTATCGCTGAAAGACAGCATGGCGACAGCATCCTTGCGTAAGACCTCCTGGCTCGCTCTGCTCGCCGGCGTGTCAACCGTTACCGCGCAGTCTTCTTCGTCAGCATTCTGGACATTCACTACACGCTACCAGGACTGCATCGATACGTATACAGGCATCTATTCAACGTACACTACTTCTTCGACATGTACCATCAAGGACTCCGTGACCCCGACCGCGACGCCTTACGAGGTTTCCGGCAAGGACACCAGCGATTACTACGGCTATGAATACTCGGACCTTCAAGTATTCACCGCGTGGTACACTGCAGGCGCCGTGCCCGACTCAGACCTCAAACCGACATACAACTATGACTTAGATGCGACCACCACGACCGAGAGGACCACTTCCACATATTATGAATTCTCCATGCAAGTAACATATACGGCGCCAACGGATTGCCCCACGCCTTTCACGTTCACGACCAATGCATCAGTGACAGTTCCAACCCAGGTCCTCGACCAAGTTACACCTTACGCAACGGTAGTATCAACCCCGGCACCGACCCGCCGGGCATCTTACGTCTACGAGACCTGGTACTTGACCGAGGGTCAGGCACCTTTCACGAGCGAAGAGGACTACTACTACACCGCATACATCGAAGAATGTTCTACGCCATACAATGCGTACTCTTCATACTCTTACACAAGCGGATACTCTTACCCTACCGGCAGAACAAGCGGTGGATCTGGTGGAAGTTCCGATGGATACTCGTATTGTTACTACGGCTACGGGACCTGCACAAGCCTCAGGACCTGGGTCATTGTCATCGCGGCGGTGATTCCCGGCCTCTTCGTCCTGGGATTTTTCGAGAGCTACTTTTGGTTCCGCAGACTCATGCTAGGGAAAGGCTGCCTACGTTTCGGCACCATCTCGTGGATCTGCATCTCGCTTTGGGTGGCGTGCTTCACTCGGTCGCAGAGCCGACGCAGTCCAGAGGATCAGAAGCTGTTGAGACAGAAGTGGAGGGAGACAAGCTTTGGCACCGCCATCGGCCTCTGGTTCAAGTGGGGGTTCAGGCACCGGTACCCTGTGCCGCTCCTCGGTCAGTACTCGCGCAACACGGTCGGCATCGTGCCTGAGGGACAACCCCTACCTCTTCCTGGTATGCTGCAAACGAACGCAAACTACCCCGGAGGCCCGCCCCCGCCGCCCGGTGCCTTCATCCCCAACGGCCAAGGTCAACCTTACTACCCTCCTCCCCAGGGTTGGGCGCCTGCACCGAACGCTCAAGGATACCCGATGCCTCCGCCTGGACAGGCCTACATGCCGCCAAACGGAGCTGTTCAATATTACGGCTACGGAGCACAGACGAAGGATGCACCGAGCGTCACCGCAACTTCAGTGTCTCCTGTGAACGGCGCGCCGCAGCCTGCACCTTCACCTGTCTCGCCTACTGTTGCGCCACAAATACATGACCCGAATGTCGCCGAAGCTCCGGCTACTACTCAAACGTCTGCTCCTGCTGGGCCGCAGGCGCCAGCTCCGACACAACTACCCACACACCAAGACCGCGCCGTATAGGCGTACGATTACTTAGTCCCTTAATGTTAATGGTATTCTAATCAGCACCGCATCGACAGTGCAGCCGAAGTTATGAAGCATTCACTCAATGAGCAGGAGGCTCTCGGGGGTTTTTTTTTTTGGCTTTTTTTGCATGGATGATATCCCAGGAGAGCTCGCTCTATATTCCTAGTTTTAGCAATCACACACATATCGAATGCACATCGTAACCCACCCACCATACCTCACCCTACCCCTTCCACCCAGGACCAGCCAACCCATCCCTCCTCTGCGCCGCTCCCCGCCCCTCAACATCCAAACGCAGCACATCCACCCCATCCACATCCTTCCTATCGACCCTAAACCCCGCCCCCGTCTGAGCGTCATCCACAAGCCTAGCAACACAATACGCCCCCCGCCGCGCCCACTCCATCTTAACGCTATGCTTGAAAACCGAAAACACCATCTCGCTCGCATGTCCGCGCACTGTCTTCGGCGTCACAAAGGTGATCGTTACCCCAATGAGCACCCACAGGCCAGACTTCCACACCCAGGCGCAGAGATCCCGCACGCGTTTCTTCTCGCTCGTGTGCGCGGTGGGCGTGCAGCGCAGGGTGAGGCTGATGCTGTTGCTGCTGCGGGGGTGATGTTTGAAGAGAATATACGAATCGCCCGCACTGTACGCGGTGCGCAGGTGCATGTCGAGGATACCGAGCGTGGTGATGTCCGCGCGCCATGTGGCCCAGCTGTTGTGCAGCAGGTGCACGATGTCGAGCTCCCTTTCATACGAGGCCCATGGACCGAAGTCCAGCTCCACGCCGTGGGTGTAGTCCAGTGCGTGAAGTAAGGGGAGGAGCGCGATGCCTTGATCTAGGAAGCGCGCGTCGAGGCCTTCGACTGCGAGCAGTGCGTGATGTTTTGTGGATACGAATGTCGTGTCCAGCTGTACATGTTGGGTAGAGCCGAGCTTCGCCGCTTTCGGGGCGGGGTAGAAGACTTGAGCGTAGGCTGCGAGATCGCATAGGACTACTACTACCATGCGATGCTGGGTGGGCGAATGGCCAGAGCTCTGAACGGAGTTGTGTGCATACTTGAGAGAGCGTCCATGCTGTGGTGAACGTTCCCTTGGTGGATGAGTTTGGCGTCCGGAGCAGAGAGGACGATAGAAACTCATTGGTAGGCTCCTTCAGACGGAGTACTTCGCGGTAGATCTGGTTGCGCAGTTCGCCAGGTAGTTGTAGGAAGGGAAAGTGGTCGGTAGTAGTTGACATGGTGGCGGCTTCGTGCAGTGAGACAGGAATTGACACCGTGGCGTGGTGGGTGTTTTGGAAATGGGATTTGTGGTATAGAGACCTGGCAAGGTAGTTGCGGGTGGTAAGTAAAACCTGCAAGTACCCACGTGGTGTTTCCGGCGCAGGCACCCGGCGAGGGCGTTTGCTCACTTATCATCAAGTGAAAGTGAAAGGAATGCAAGTATAGTTCAGGTCAATTGTATACGTACGCCGGGATAGCGGTCTGTTTTTTGGGCTTCACACTTTGAAGCTTGAGGAAGAAGGCGCTAGTTTTTGCCTGGAAATATGTAGCTTTGTATGGAAGCAATCGAACATGATCAGAATCCACTCTTTCCGCACAGTACTTGAGCTCTAACTCAAAGCTTACTATATCTAGAACCCAGTTAGAAGTTTATAAAGAAGCTTCTCGCTTTACCCCAGACAATCTAAAAGCCGGGGTATGTGCGCTGTCCGCATCATCGAAGCTCACTACGCCGGACCCACGTGCCGTCGTCATCTACACCAGCCTTGCCAGCAGCGCACAACCTCCCATCAATCCTTTCCACCAACGCCTCACTCCCCACACATCGTCGGCACCAGAGCACATTTTCCGGATCATACTTAGTCTTCACTTCCTTCAGCTTTTCGTAGTGCTCGCCAAAGAAAGCGTGCTGCCACTCCGGCTCGTAGCTATCTGCCTCATTGAAGTACGCCCCCGTTTCGGGCGAAAGATCACGCAGATTCTGCACCTTGGCTGTAACGTCGCTGTATACAGAGTCGATGGCAGGTTGTGCGATGCCATCGGGCCAGCTTTGAACAGCGATGAAATGCGTGAGGGCGGTGCGCCATGCTGGGTTCATGGAGATGGTGGAAGGATAGTAAGAAGGCGTGTGAGGAGAGGCGATCATGTGGCCGAGGAGTTGGGTGTTGCCGAACATACCCTACAGTGGTCAGTACACATGGGGTTGATCAAAATTGATGGTCGATAGAGGAGTAATTGTCGGAAACTTACGTTCGGAGCTGAGGCGTTTAGACTGGGCCCGATCTCTGAGAAAACCTTCGCGGTTACGTTCGCGTCTTGTAGCCTCTTGGAGCTCAGCAACCAAGACCCGAAAGCAGAACCGCCACTGGCGACCTGCTCATTCGTTACAGTACCGTACGCTTCAAGAAACGTATTTGCCTGCGTAATATTTGAGGTATACTGAAAAAGGTCCGGACGACTCTCTAGCTTTTCGACTATAGGCGCGAAAAGCTTCTCCACCGTCCCGTTGGGTTTATCGTATACGGTAAACAGCCCATAAAAGGCGTAAATAGGCCACAACGGCGGTCCAGCCATGAAATAGTAGCCAGACAGGCCACCTTCCTTCAGGCGCTGCATGTCTGCGTGTAAGAAGCCCATCAGATCCCAGTACTCGTTAGTTACATTAGATCCTGTAGTGCTCAATTCGAAGAGAATTTTAGTCGTTTTGGGGTCCGGATACGTTCTCACTACAACTTCAGTGACGACGCCGTACGTTCCACCTCCACCGCCACGGATGGCGAAGAATAGGTCGGAATTCTGGCAGGGATTCGCAACCAGAATGTCTCCAGAGGGCGTGACGACAGTGGCTTCAAGCAGGTTGTCGGCTCCCATGCCATATGTGGATGACAGAGGACCGTGGCCGCCGCCAGTCAACCAGCCGACAAGACCAACGTCAGGATTTGCCCCTGTCACGAGGATCGAGTTATGCTTAGCCATAGCAGTCTGGGCTTCGATGCCAGTAGTACCTGCGGCGGCGCGTACTGCTGTGAGCGGTTCATCAACAGGACAAGAAGTCGGTTCGAAGGACGGTAGATATTCTATGCCTCGGAGATGGTGAGTCCAGATGCTGAGACTGCCGTAGCCAACGCTCCTATGAGATGTCAGGCGGTCGTCGACTAATGGTGCGACTTGGACTTGTACGCACCTGCCAGGGTAAGAATGCCCCGTACTCTTCACGACTGCTCTGATATTCTTTTTACCCGCCCATCGTAACGCCTCGGCAACATGTTCCGCACATGTGGCTTTGACCGCGTAGACAGGGTATCTACCGATAGTACATCCTTTCTTGCCAGCATTCACATCTCCAGTGATGCTCGTGCCGTTCGGGAAAATCGGATTGCACGAGTTGTTTGTCCAGATGGGATAGTCGATGCTGATTGGATTTTCAGCGTGCCATGTTGAATTGAACCACTGAGATCGGACGGTTGTGCATGCATCTTCGTCGTAATTCGGTTGATTGGCATAGCACACTGAGGCAGGAGGAATTCCAGGTATGAGGGCACCCGAGAGAGTATCGTTGAGAGACGCCCACTCAGTTTCGGTGGGCCAGCATTCATTACCAGGCGTCTTCGCAAGTCTGTTAGCTAAGCACCATCATACCCGGTCTGACGTACAACATACACATTTGCAAGTTCCGTTCGATGCAGTAACTAGCGTCAAGCCTGTACAAATGTACGAAACGCAAGCTTTCCAGATCTTCATGTTGGACGACGAGCCTAGAATACACGTGGACAATGGTATTAACGATCTTGATGGCTCAACACATACCATGCCTTATCTTTTTATTCTCATCGGACGACACCGAGTCAGCCTACAATTACGTAGCTTACTCGTACGAGGCAGTGACGGGACTTTTGGCACCCCACTAAACAGTACCATTACCTGTTATGGCACAACATATGGGTCCAAGTTATTCCCTCAGCCACGGTGGTTTGGGCTAAAGATGCGATTCGCTCGCTTGAAGGTCCAAATCGGTCGTAGAAGCGGTCTAGTCACATGACGTGTGAGGCTGTGCTGTTGAAGGAGCTGAAAGCGAGGAAAGCGAGGAAAGCGATCGTACGGATCACAACTCAAGCTGCAAGGCATATTCGAGCGTACAAGATGCGTATCTGTATCGCAAACTCATGCCAAAATGTACAAAGCGCACAAAATCCGGATGTAGGGTCGTCGCGTCAGCCCATTGTTCATCCCTTCGCACACTGCATTTGAAGTACTTCTGCACAGGTCCATCAACTTTCAGTTATTAAGATCATTATGGTGTAGGTTTGTTACCATTGCGATTACGCGCTCTTAGAACGAATATGATGAGAAGTTAATCCTCTCACCCAGTGTGCTGGGTGCAAGATCAATCACTATTGCAACAAGCATTGCCCAAGTATTATGAACTAGGCAGATGTTCAAGACCAGAAATGGTACGTGGAAACCAGGAATTATGGCGAGGTGAAAGAGAAAGACGCGTCAAGAAGGCGTGAAGGGAAGCACAAGCGACACAGTGAGATCTTTAGATTCAACAAGCAAAACTCGACTGGCATGGAATAACCGCTCCAATGACAAGAGCCATCGCATCCCTTTTGGGCCGCTCCGACATCCAGTGTTCGTCGACGACCAAGTGCTCAGTTTTGACGGCAGTTATTTGTGCATCAGGAAATACAAAACAGGGAGCCTTACAATTGAGGTTGCACCAGAGCCAGGCTTCCTCGAGTAAGAGGTATCTTATTCAACACAAGATAACCACGCAGCAGCACCCTTCTGCCACACTCCATCTATCCAATATCCACCTTGTCTACACGGCAAATGACCAACCCATTCAAAACAACAGCTCACTCTCCCTTCTCCAAAACAGCATCCACCTTCGCCTCCAACTCCAACACCTCCTTAATCTCCGCCACCGCCTTAAGCACCTCCTCCTTCTTCCCTTCTCCTCCCACCCCTTCAACGTCTCCTCCCCAACCTTCCCTCATTAACCGCAGTCATCAAATCAGCCCCGCCGCAAACGCAAGCTCCACCCTCGTCCCCACAACCTTCATCAGCATGACCTCCTTCAAGCTCTGCGCCAATTGCTCATTCGCCTTCCCCCCGCCATGCACACCGTAGCTGATGATCGCAACGGGTTTCCCTGGCCACTCGTTCTTCAGGTAGTCGATGGCGTTCTTGGTCCCGCCTGCAAGGCCGTAGTTGTACTCTGGAATGACGAAGATGTACCCGTCGAAGGAGGCGATGGCCGCAGACCATTTCTTGGAGTGCTCGTGCGTGAATTGTTTAACGGCGGGGACGAGGGCGGGCATTACGGGTTCGTCGTAGACGGGGAGGTTGAAATCCGCGATGGAGAGGGGTTCGATGGTGAGGTTGTCTGAAGGGCGGGTCTTGAGGATGTCGTGGACCCAATTGACGACGTGGTCTCCAGCACGAGGTGTCCGCGTACTCCCCGTAATAAGCGCAATCTTCGACATGATGCTGAACGAATATCGCAGGTGCGACACGTAAAAATAATAATTCTACGACTCAAAAAAGACGGATGTACTGGTAATATCAAGCAATCCACGTTCTCAGTCACAGATATAAAGCCCACAAGTGCATACTCCGGATACACACAACACCGAAATCACCAATCATTAGAAATGCAGCTACTGTGATGATGACTGCGGCGTAAACGCGCAAGAGCAGAAGGAACGCCTGATGGACGTGTAGTTTGGAGTGGAGGGAATAGTTCACCGTGAGTACCACATAGCACTGTGTAAGCGAGACGAGGCGGTCGACTTCTGAGCGAACGACCCAATCAACTGGTGCTAATGCGCAGGGAATAGTAGGAATAGCGTATTCGCAATCGCTATGCACGTGCTAACTACACAAGTAGATGCCTGAGGACGCTGACAAATGACTAATCCTCATGGTCGGATGCGGATGTCAAGCTATCCGGCGACCCACACTGGTCGTGTAAGCAGACTCGCTGTGAAAAGATGAACAAGGGTTAATCATTTTAATGCTAAGGTAGTCGTGAATGATATCCGTAATCAAGGTAGTAGTTTGGTCTCCAGCTCGGCTCTCTCCCTGTACTCTGCCATCGGCATGGTAATCAACCCCGAGTATCCCACGTCGCCCTGAGCCTTTTCGAGCTTTCGCATGATTCTACCGATGATGCTCGCAATCCACCTGTCGTTCGCGACGACGTTGACCGTCTGGATGCCGGCTTTCCTCCACCCGTCTTGTATCTTGGTGTTCATCCCCTTGAAGGCTTTGTTCATCCCCACTTTCCACGTGTTACCACGATTCGGTGTCAAAGAGGTAGGCGTAGATTGCGTAGAGACAGGCACCGAGTTCTGCGAACCCATTGTCGCGGTGTCGGACTCAGTTGAAGATGCGCTGGCATTGTCCGGCTTGATGCTCTCGGGAGCTACTGAGTCGGAAGCTACTGAGTCAACTCTACGGATCTCCATCTCGAGCTTGTCATTTGCTGCCCGCTTAAGGACGAGTTCTTCATGACCCTTCTCGACCTCAATGACTTTTGTCGCCTTCACAGTAGCAGCCACGAAGTTCAGAAGCTGCTGGTCGAACAGCGCAGGGAGATGCCCATGGACCGCGATTTTCATGCAAGTCTCGTCCTTTTGACGCCGTTCAAGGTCTTTCTTCATTCGCACAGCTTGGGGTGTGCCAGCCATTTCTTCGATTTCTTGTTCGATCCTCATCTCGTCGAAGTCGGTTAAGATAGGTGGGAAAAGGTGCTCATGATGAGGAAGCAGGTATGAAGGAAGAACGAAAGTCGCGTCGGCTCCTCCAAGATGCACAACCTGCGTAAGATTGACTGCCTCCGGAAGCGTCCTGTGCGCCATAAGGTCTCCGATCTTAAACTTGCACTCAATATCGTAATCTGTATCAACGGGCACTTGCGCTGTAGCGAAGAGATCGGTAAGACCCACTGCAAAGTTTGCATCCGCAAGCCAGGCAGAAATACGGCTTTCGAGGCGTCTAACCTCAGCGTCTGATGTAGAATAGTGCTTGAAAAAGTGGTCTTTCATGAGCGACACGAACCATTTTCCAGAGCCAGCTGATGTAACGGATTTGATGCGAATAGGATGGAAATAGCTGATCGGGTTGAGGAGGAGGCGGTACAAGAGTGGTAGGCGATGTACGAATCTATTATAAGAATATGTTAGCTGGGAACAAAAAAGGTCTGCGGAGGTGTACGTCTTGTCGAACGAAGAACTTACTTCTTGAACTTCGGATGCTTGTTGTGCGAAAGAGTTGTGAGTCGTATCGATTTTGATGGAGGATGCGCCACGGTCGGTTGCTCGTGGACGTGGGCACACACGGCTGCGCGAAGATTGTTCTCAGAGTCGAGAACGCCGTCAATTTCGCGCTCTTTCGCAATCTTCCTCAACATCTCTTGAGCGATGTGGCTGGTGCTTGTATTCAGGATGTGTTTGGTAAGTTTTTCCACCTCCGTGCGAGCCTTCTCTTCGTCCGGTGACAGTTTTCTGACCAGTGTGTTGGACGAGAGAGGGGTATCGGCAGCATCATGAAGCTCTTCCTGGATTTCCGCGAACCCGTTCTTTGCTGAAGCGTAAGCTGCTTTCAATAGGAGGGTATCCCTTGCAATCAGTGTATCCTTAGACATATCGCGCTCATTCGGAAATTGGGGCACGTCTTTGAACGTCATTTCGTCGCGACCTTTGACGTTGGCATAAACGTCCCCGATCGTGATTCGACGGAAGAGCGCGACGACGACCTTGTCTGTTTGAATGGACAATTCCATATCCTCATCGAGCTTAACCCCCACTTCGATGCCATAAGCGGTAGCCGTCAGAGTGGAGAGCGAGAACGTCAGGCCTCGAACCACAAACAATCCAACCGTGTCTTTGTCAATTTCCAGAGCTGGTAGATCAAACAGACTGATGGAATCCTGGACAATATGGCATTCGCGCAGTACATTCCTGAGGTAATGACGTACGATCCTCGTTGCGAACCCGAATTGATAAAGGCAAGACAGTAAGACCGCGGTATAACAGATTGCAACGAAGCCCCAGTACAGAACCCACGAGGTGGAAGCTACGGTGTACGTGGCATTCACAGCGATCAATATTGGCCATAGCGGTATCCTTGGAAAGACTCGTTTTCCGTTCCAATCTCCTATTGACAGCGAGCAAACCAGGAATGGGGTTCCAGATAATATCCATCGCCAGCTCAACAGAGCGGTTCCTAATAATATGAGGGCGATATATGTCAGAGGAGCGAACGAGTGCTTCGCCTGCGGCTTCGTGGGTGCTGCATCTAGGGTAGGATTGATAGGGACGGGCTTCCTAGTTATTCCTTTGGGCAGGCCTGGCGGGGTGTCTTCGTTGGCGGTCGGCTCCATTGTGAGACTCTGGAGCGCGATTTACCCCAAGATAGGATGCAGAGGTGAGTTGACGAGGCTGTGTCGGAGGGCAAGTCAAGCCTCATCCATGGCTGTGCTTTTCTGGGGTGCGTCTTAAAGGCTGGGTGTTCCTTGAATCCTAGACCTGGTCGTTTGCCGTCGTCGATATGACGTAGCGGTGAAGCGAGCGTTAGCGCGAACAGGGCTCGTGCACCTGGTGGTCGAAACAGTAAATCGATGTGCCGTAGAGACAGTAACAGTGACAGCCGAGAGCAGCAAATGATCGCGTGCACAATCAAATAAATTAGATGGCGAAGGTCCCTTGCACAATTGAAGTACCCAGCGGCGGCGGTCCGGGCAAGCCAATCGCGACTAGCACGTTAGCCACGCCGATCTCGTTAGTACTTCAGCTTATTTATCTGCACCCGCTCGCGCCAATGTGTGAAACTCGGCCATACAGTATCAGGTTACCATTCTGAACACGCATTAAAGGTTGAGTCACCCTAGGATACGCGATCTTCTGGTTGACCTGCCAATGCCTTCTTAGTAGGCAACCCTAGTTTGACACGAGAGGCACCTCATTTTTGAGCTACTCTATCGCATGCTAGCCGCTCGAACCATGCATGTTGTCTCACCAAGACCTATGTATAGATGGCTAACGAGTTCCGCATATATACAGCCTTATCATTTACATTCTCAATACTCCATCGCCTCCTCAAACAAGCCCCTCAACTGCTCCCTCTCCGCCTCTATATTCGACATCTCTAAATTGGGCGCCAGCATCAGCACTCTTGCCTGCGGAATCGTCCCTTCCACAAGCCCATCCACATGCTCCTTTCCAAAGCCAAGGTGCTTCAAGCCTCGCGGCTGATCACCAAGTTTGACCAGAAACTCCGCCAATGCCTCGCTTAGCACTTCGCCCGCAGACTCCTTCTTCACATTGCTTATGTCAACGCCAAACGCCTCCGCGGCCTGCAGATGCCGCTCGGGGTTCGACGCGCCTGTAAATTTGAAGACTGCGGGTGCTGTCACGGCGACTGACACGCCGTGAGGAATGATCTTGTGCTCTACTTCGTAGCCGGCGTGTTTGTAGCCTGGGTTCTGCCCAGAGATGGGGTAGGACATGCCATGGCACAAATGGACACCTGCGTTACCGAAACCAACGCCTGCTAGGGTAGCAGCGAGCAGCATCTGCGACTGCGCTTCGTGATCTTCGGGGTCTTTCACTGCGCGGGGGAGATACTTGACCGTATCTCTGAGCGCTTGAAGGGAGAAGATATCTGAAATGGGATTTGCACCTTGATACGCTGGTCTTTGGATTGGATTTGCGGGTCGCGGTGTACGCTCGTAGAAAGGTATCGCGGTCCATGACTCGAGGGAGTGGCAGAGCACGTCCAGACCGGAAGATGCGTGTACTGCGGAGGGCATTGTACGAGTATTGAGCGGGTCTACTATGCCTAGCGTAGGTTTTAAGTTACGATGCGCAATCCCGGTCTTTGCACGCTTCGATACTAAATCAAAGATGGCGGTGCCCGTAGTTTCAGAGCCAGTTCCAGCGGTGGTAGGTACAGCAACGAGAGGGTAAAGCTTCGATTGAATCGGCATACCCTTGCCCAGAGGAGCGTTCACAAAATCCAGGAAATCGGCCTCTGCTCTAATTAGCTCGTGTCAATGTCAATATACGAAGACACGCCATACCAGGGAATGTCGTATACAAGTTCATCAACTTGGCTGTATCGATCACACTCCCACCGCCAACGGCTAAGAAAGCATCCGGCCTGTATTTCTTGCTGACCTCGATGGCTGCCTTGATGCTGTCGTCCTTTGGCTCTACTCTTACGCCGTCATATACCTCAAATTGTATGCCCTCTCTTGTAAGGCCTTCTACAGCTTGCTTCATCGCATTCAGCTTCCTCACATTTCCATCTGTGACCACCATGACGCGCTTGGCCCCCATGTTGCTGAAGTCCATGCCCACTTCCTTTGTGCAGCCGGGCCCGAAGCGTATCGATGAAGCTGCCATTTCAAAAGCGTACTCCTTCTGGTGCGAGGTGTCAAGAGGTGTTGCAAGGTGCCTGCGTGCTTGATGGATGGTGGTAGGCGTATGATGGTGGTGCGCGGGGTTCGAATGGCATGGACATGACGGAGGATGCGTAAACTGTACAGTGCGGAGCAGGTTCACGGCGCGCGCTGCCCGTGAGGGCGATATTCGGATTGCGGGCGAAATAGACATTGTAGATAGCGTAGGTGGGGTTAGCTATGCGTGCACTGTAGCAGCGCAGAGAGTGTATGGCCTGTAGACGAATTGAGGAGTATTACGTCCAAGGGAGGTCTCCAGATTTTTGCAGGAGCTGGAGAAGACACTGTGCTTGTACAAGGCGAGAGAGAGAAGGACGCATGGTGTGCGGGAGCGGAGCGGGTGTTGCGGAGTAGAGCGAGAGTTGGAGCAGCCGAGGATGTGGGGAAGCTTTGTCGCGATACCGGATACGGCATGTCGGCATCATCACTCACCTGGCCGATTAGCTCCCTGGCTTCTGCGGGGAGTTCAATGCTTGTCATAGCGCCTACAGATATGGCCGCATTCTTTCGTGCCTCAAACGACGCACAAGACATAGCCTAGCATTCATGTACTCTATCCAGTAGAACATGCTAACGATCATGATTCGCTCTTTCTGACATGGCATCGCAATGGATGTTACGCTTTAATACCTTCGCGAACATTAGGCGAAGACCATGTGATCTGGCAATTGAACTCCAATTTAGTGTATTTGAGAAACTACTTGGTATCATTCCAACAACATTAAACCCTCCAGAGCCGAAATATTAAAAAAAGACCATAAGAAGTGTACCGACCGCCCCTCTACCTGTACTACAGCTTAGCGGCTGATGCCCCAGCACTCTAGTATTGTCCTGGCTCCCTTCCAACGCCACTGGCCGGCGCCGCACTGATAGGCGTTGGCCCACCCGTCTTGTTCGTGTCGCTTCTCGCCAAACCCTCAGTATCAGTCCTCAATGGCAGGGGGTGTCTTCCATCCTCCTCGGGACTGTTCTGCTTGCTAACAGGGCTCGTCGGCACACTGCTTTCCGGCACCTCACTCGATACCTGACCAGCAGCCTGTCGTATGATCTCCCACCATTGGCTCGCCGCGCTCGGCGTATGCGCCTTGAATTGAAATTCGTGGCTCATGCTGAACGTATTCCCAACCTTACCCTTCGACACGTCCTTGCCCTTGACATTGAATTTGCGGTCCGCAAGGGCACCGATTACGCAGTCGGGCAGGTAGAGCGATGTCTCTGGTACGGGATCTTTCGCGAAGTCGTCATCTGTCTTGTACTCATGGAGGAACTTGGAGGGTGTGACAACGTAGTAGTTTGTGCTGTAGGACCGAATTTTGCCCTTGCGCTCCAAAGAGCCCGCGATAAGTGGCTTGGTGGAGCGGTGGTTCTGGTTGGGGAAGGAGATGTTGGAGACCGAGCGGGCAGGCGAGTTCGGGTCGATGAGGATCGTGTTGTTGCGTTGGACGAAGCCGTTCCATTCGAAGTCGAGGGGAACCTTCTGCGCCGTCCCTACCATGTCCCCATAGGCTATCTTAGTCTGCTCGGCCTGTGTATTTACGACCTGCATGAACTGGCCCATGCCTCCTTGAATCGTCTGTATAACATGGGCTTCGAATTGAGCGAACGAGTTCTGCACGCTGATCAAATCTTGTCTGTTGTTGTTCTCCTCCTGAATTTGCTTGTTCAACCGATGCATGACGCCGCGTTGGAGGACGTAAGGATCATCTGCTGCCGTCATCTTGCCACCATGAGACTCGAACGTCGCGGTGTGCGAACCGAGCATCTCAATGTGCTTCTGGGTCACGGCGCGTGCTTTGTCGACAGCCTTGGAGCCCTTGCCGGCGCCCTTCGTAAGCTCTTTCGTTTTGTTCTTGATCTCGGTGTGCAGGCGTTCGAAAACGGGGAGGATGGTCCCTTTGAGTTGTTTTGCGGTCTCGTAGTGCTGGTTCGAAATACCCTGCGAAAAAATCAACAGCCATTCGCGACAGTTCCCTTCGTCATACGTGTCACACATACCTGAGTGTTCGATCGGATGTTCTCAAACATACCCGCAATGCCACCGAGTGACTGATCAAAGTGGTGTCCCTCCTTAAGCGGATCCTTTACAGTCTGCACCATCTTAGCACAGCACTCCTAATATGCGCGCTTACACGTACCTTCAGCACTCTCTCATACTCCTTGCCGTGCGCATGATGCGTCTTCTCGGTCGCTGTGATGTAGTCCTCAAGGTAGGCGACAGCGTGCTTCCATGCTGCCAGCCGCTCAGCGAACAGCTTGGTCACCTCGCTCGTGTCCTCTCCCGGCACAGCGTCGTCGTCGCCGTTCGTGGCCGCTCGTGAGACCGTCGGTGTCGTTGGCGAAGCCATGTCTACTATTGTTGTCCCTTGGATAAGCGCTGTCGCGGTGCAGTCGTTTGCGGTTCGGTGCACTTGAATGTGGTGGAACGTCCCCGCAGGTAAGCGAAAAGAAGGGTGGGGTGATGTAATGCAATCTTAGGGAGGGGTCCACTGGAGAAAATGTACGATAAATCAACAAACACCACGCAGGAAAGCAAGTGTTTATATTCTCCGAACTAATAGCGCCGATGCTGTCTAGATCTTCCGAATTCATGCCTGGCGCCGTCCACTTTGCCTGGAGCGGCTGATGTGATGGCTATCAACAGCTACGTCATCGCACGATCGCCACAGGGATTACCTTGTGTGCATCTCCGTCTGCGTCAGTGGCTGCTTGAGATTTACTTTGGCTACGATCGTCTGATATTTTACCACACATGGCACGGGAGCTTGCCCTCTGGATACTTCAAGACATACATATCAATTTCTCAATCTCAATCAAAAGCTAGGGAACTAAGTCCTAATATTTGCGTTGAGACTATAAGATTGACTATAAGGTTCCCTGACTCAAGAGGTTGATCGTAACTTGCTCTTCGAAGCCACCAACGCACCAATGCTGGCCAGTGTCCCTTCTAGAATGTGGAAGACAGGAACGTCTGCGGAGAATTCTACTGCGAACCAGCTCCGTAGCTCAATAGCCATCAGGGAATCAATGCCGTAACTCTGGATAGGCTTCCTAAGACTTTCTTCGTCAAAATCCTCATCCGGAAGCCCTGGCATCAACCTTTCTGCAAGCGCTATCGTGACCACATTACCTGCACTGGTGGTGTTTTCCGCGCTGACAAAGTCACGGCGGTGCTTCTGTGTCAACTGCTCAGCCTCCGTACCCTGTATGGTGTCCTCCTGGGATGCGCTCGCGAGCACGTGGCGATAAAAGGGTAGGGACATGGGTGAACGTGTCGTCCGTGCAAGTTTAGAGCGTATCTCAGAGGCCGGCGCAAGACCGAATACGACTTGGCAGTCATCTTGAGACGCAGCGTCCTGGGTCGCGGTCAAGGAGTGTTCCAGCAAACTGAACAGTTCTGCTGATGTAACCCCTGCGAGGTATCCCCCAGACAGCAAACGTTCGCGTAGTCTATCGTCTGACGCTACTACTCCATGCTCGAGGATGGCTCCCAAGTCCAGAGATATAGCTCTTTCACCCTGCGAAACCCGATAGTGAGCTAGGGCATCGAGGTAGGCATTTCCTGAGGCGTAATTCGCCTGACCGCTGGAACCTAGTACTCCAGCAACGGAGGAGAGCATGATAAAAAAGTCCAGACCGCTCGGGAGTAGGGCGTGGAGATTCCAAGATCCAACAACCTTGGGGTCTAGGCTGGAACGCCAGTCTTGGTAAGACATGTTTGCGAATATTCCGTCCTGTTCCATTATCAGTACGCCATCAGACATATATAGCAGTGAAATGCTAACCTTCAGCACCATCGACGCCTGTATGCAGCCTCCGATTGCAGGCATAGTTTTCCCGTACTCCTCAAGTACTGCCTGCAGTTTCTCCTTATCGCAAATATTACACTCAGGTGCTTCTACAGTCACTCCAAGGTGACGGAGTTCCTGGACCAATGCAACGGCATCTCCACGTTTCAACCCAGATCGAGATAGGAGGATCAAGTTTTTGGCGCCCCGCTCTTTCGCCATCCATAGGGAGATGGCCCTTCCGATCCCGCCGGTCCCTCCAGCAATGAGATAGGTCTTGTTCTCATCGAAATAGAATTTGGGACGCGTCTTCAACGATACCTTTTTCAGGGAACTTGAGTTAGACATGACCCTTCGGTGGATTACATGGTACAATGATAACTTACCGGTACTTCCATCTCGTCCTTGTACTCGAATACAATCTTTCCCATAGTATCTCCCTTCTGAAGCATATGCATTCCTTTTTGCACCTCTGTAATGGGGAAGATCTGAAAGGGGCTGACGGGCCTCAGGAATCCCTTTTCCATCTTGCGCAGTAAGAGTTCGATAATGTCTTTCACAAGCTGTGGATCTTGCATTGCCACCTTTGACATCTCCAGGGCTGTGAAGCTCGCTCCCGTGATGCTTGGAGGCTCTCACCACTAAGAGAGTTTAGCACTACATCAACACCGCGCTGGCTGGTCCGCTCAAGTACACCTTGGGCGAATGAGGTGTTCCGACTGTAAAAGATGTGGCTGCTTGGGATCTTATACTCTTCTATAAGAAGATTCTTCTTCGACTCTGAACTGACAGTCGTAAATATTTCCGCACCAAGTTCTTGAGCAACCTGTATAGCAGCTTGGCCGGTACCGCCAGCTCCGGAATGGATCAGTACCGTCTCGCCTCGTTTCAAATGTGATAAATGGTGTAGAGCATAGTGTGCAGTGGAGAACTGCAGGACAGTTGAGGCAGCATGAGCGAGTTGAACCCCGTCGGGAATTTTAGCTACGAATGTCGCTTTCGCCCTCACGTGGGTGTTGAATGCGGTTGGGTGGAAAACGCAGACCCGATCACCCGGTGTGAGGTCTACCGATGATCCCACACGAGTTATGGTCCCGGCACACTCATTTCCGAGCGTTGCAAGATTGACTCGACCAAGGGCAGCAAGCAGGTCTTTGAAGTTCAGCCCGGAAAATTGGGTCTTGATTTCAACTTCGTCTGGAGCAAGTTCATGGTCGGTGTCATCCTCGATAAACCGAAGGCCGTCCAGTAACCCCGGCGTCCCAATGTCCAATTTCAAAGGAGGACATGCGCTCAATGCCTCTTGCTTGAATTGGAAGGGTATCGAATTGAGATGTACTTTTCGAGATGTTCGTTGTGAAGGCATCATACGCGCTATGTTGAAGCGGCCATTGACTTGGCGGTATTCCGTCTCATAGTCTTGATTCGTGGCCCAATTCATGTGTCGAACCAACTTCGAAATATCACCCACAAGATTAGGTGTTTTCTCAAGCGAGGCTGTGACGACTACTGCTTCATCATTTTCAGCCCGTATCACCTTAGCCAGACCATCAATGATTCATTGGCCAGGAGGTATAGAGCCGTCGTCATTGTGTGCCGTTAGCCAAAGGCACTTTCTTGCTCTCAACAAGACCTGTTTCAGCTGGTGAAAAACATCTGACTTGAGATCTTCTAGAATTGGCCGTTCGAGGTCGGACAGAAAGATGTATACAAGCTCGGGAGTGATCTCACTGGCGTTGACGGAGTTGATCAATTTGGGCTCGCAAGGTATATTGTTCATTGCCAATTCATTTCTGAGCGCTTCCGCAAGAGTTCCCTGGTATTCGGAGTGTGACTCGGTCAAAGTGACGACTTGCAAAGGTTGAACTGGCGGTAACAACGCTTTAGACTTAGTGGCGATGATCGCAATGTCGTTGGTAGCGGAGTGGGCTTGTACATTCTCAAAGCCATTCTCCGATAGAACGGTCATGATTTTTTCGGCATCGACGTGTCCAGAACCACTCGCATCAGTCCTGTACAGGATGACCCTCCCGCCAATTCTCAACCGTTCGAGACCTCGAGGAATAAGTTGTGGGATAACTGCATTCCAAGGGCAAAGAATCAGATCGGATCCCTCAGAGTCGGAACGATTCGCCTGCCATACTTCGGTAGGATCCCAGGAAGCAACTTCGATGGCTTGAAATTCGCTAACAATATGCTGCACATCTTCCAGCGGAATACTAGAAAGCTCCAGTACCGTATACCTTTTGAAAGGCAGAGATGCCTTCTCCGCATGTTCACTTGGGAATAGATTTCGAAGAAGGCGGTGCGTATCTCCGTTCGAGGTATCACTGAGCTGTGTGATATCCATATCCGGTCTCTTAAAGGTAGCCAATGCCAAAAGGCTCGAAACAGGGTGCAGTGCTGTGTCACTGGGAACCACAAATGGGTGGTGAGGGCTCAGAAGATCCAAGTCTGGATTCCAGACGATGTTGTAACAAGTTTGGTGCTCACTACCCTGAGCCGAGGATACCGATTCGGTGACAAATCTGAGTTTGACACATTTCGCCCGCACGAGGATCTTGCTGAAAGAGTTGTCAAAGGCAGTAATATCGCATTCGAACCCAACATTTCCCTTATGAGTCAGAATTCCTCTGCTTTTTACGGTGCTGGTCTCTGGGAAACTGAGTCCCGTGGCAGATATGCAGAGTTCGTCGATCCTCATCGGTACAGAAGTGGGCATTAGAACTTCTCCAGCTTGAGAGGCGATGGCAAGAGTGGGCTGTAGTATTCCGTCTAAGGTCGTAGGATGAACAATATGCTCTTGGTAGTGATTCGCTTGGTCGATCTCTCGCCACTGGAAACAATTGACATCTGCCGTAGCCTGCGGGAGGCCTTCGTCGCTAAAAGTAACATTGTCCATAACCTTGAAAGATGGTCCGAATTTGTAACCTGAGCGTGCTAAGCCCAAGTAGAAATCTTTGTTGGTGTGAGACCATTTTGAGGATTGTTCGGCTGAGATGTGCAACTCATGGCTGCGCTTGGTCTCTTCTCTCTCTTCCGCACCAGTGTCTACAGCACTGTATTGGCGTTCGAACTCAACATTCAACTTTCCACTGCAGTGTTCGTTCCATTTACCTTCATCACAAGAGTACAGTCTGTATTCCCAAGAGGCCGTGTTTGCATTGGAGTCGCCGTGGGTCGGACGCAGGACGAGCTGGGTCTCAATTCCTTCTAGAGTGGCAGGAATAACCAAGGCTGTAGGGAACTGATTGTTGGTCAATTTGAACGTCTTGATAGTTCGGTGTTTTCCGTCTTTCTGAATCAGTTGTTTAGAAGCTTCCATTGCCATCGCCATCATTCCGGCAGCTGGATAAATCACGGCCCCATCGATCTAAGTTCTCAATATTAGAAACTTGAGGTAACAACACTAATTAGACAATTCCTACCTTATGATCACCAACCCATGGCATCTCAGATAGCTTGAGGAAGTTCTGCCACCTAGGCTCTAACGGATTCCAGTCGACAACAGGCTTCCCTAACAGGTCCAGTTTGTGATGTCGACGGAACCTATACTCATTTCCCAATCGACCTTTAGTCCAATGCTTTCGAGAGTGATCGAAAGGATACTCTGGCAAATCTGATAGTACCCGAAGGCGAGCTGCTTTCAGGGGGCCAGTCTGGGACAAGCCATTCGCTTTGTCAAGTTTCACATTGAAGCCACGACATGCCATGTAACCGAGAGTTGTGAAGAATGTCCTATCAGCGGGGTGTTTCCGTTGAAGGGATGAGTAGTAGGCGATGCCATTGGTTCCTGATTGGACGCTAAGCGTATCTTGGAGTGGGCCACGTAAGGCCGCATGTGGGCCTATTTCCACTAACACATGTATCTTCACATGCTTTCGGTGTCTTCCGTCGAGTCTTTTGCGTTGTGGTGTTTCGTTAGGGGAACAGAGTCGTGTGATTGCGTTCAAAAAATGGACCGGTTGCAGCATATTCTTCACCCAGTAATCTACTTGCTGTAGATCTTGATGGTCGACGATGTTTCCGGTAACAGAAGATATCATGATAGGCGATACTGCCTTGTTGGAGCCAGGCATCAGTGACATGACGGCTTTCGCGTAAGGCTCTGCTGAGGATGCCATATATGGTGAATGATACGCGATATCAACTCGCAGTTGTCGATGAAAGATGTTTCGATTCTCGAGGATAATAGCGAGCTCTTTCATACACTCGCGGTCGCCAGAGACAGTCACACTCTTAGGGCTGTTCACGCAAGCCAAGAACAAGGAGGGAGTGCGATACGATTCGTTAAGGTCAGCAATGATGTAGCTCGCATCCGTAGCGGACAAGGAAACGGCCATCATGCCACAGTCGGCCCGGCTCGATGCTTGATCGGAAACAATGCCTCTATAGTAAGCCAATTTCAAAGCGGAATTCTTCGAAATGGCGCCGGTGCAATATCTGTTCTCCATTAGTAACCATCCAGGTGGCTTTAGGTATTACTCACGCAGCAGCAATTTCACCAGAAGAATGTCCAACTACAGCGGTGGGAAGTAGTTCAAGATCCGCATAAAGGTCCACCATGGCAATCTGAATTATACAGCATAAAGTTTGGCTAAGCACAGGTTGGCTTATAGCAGCTTCGTAAGTATCGTCGACAAGAACGTCTAGCACAGTTAGCTTCGTTACTCAAGGTACTTCACTGGAAGGATTTCATACCTAGAAGATTCCAGGTGCAGCCGAGATCACGCAGATAGGTATTCGATTCTACGATATTTTGCCGAAATGCGGGAAATTGGAGAAGCTCTCGTGCCATACCCGACCACTGGGCTCCTTGACCTGTAAAGATGAAGGCGCAATTTGGATCGTGTGCTGCTCGCAAGGGCGATGAAGCTTTTTGTGCAACGTTATCGATGGCACGAGTATTACTGAGAACTAGAAATGATCTGTATGGCAGCCAGGTACGTCGGACGTTCAAAGTGTAAGCCAGGTTTTGGATGAACGATGGCAAGCTCGTCTTTTCGTTCTTGATCTGTTCGTTGTAGAGATTGAGCATACGGTTCAAGGCTGACTTTTCAGATGCAGACATAATTGCAATCTGAAGCATTTCTGGTTCTACGCTGCCGTTGGTCGTCTCGCTTTCAGCGCCTGGAACACTTTCGGACGCCATGTGTGGAATGGGAGATGTACAATGGTTACCGTCCAAACCTTGTTCAAGTAAGTGATGATGGGCATCGTCCAAAACGACGTGTGCGTTGGTTCCGCTGGCACCGAAGGAATTGACGGATATTCTTCGCAAACCGTGCGCTGGCCATAGAGTAGGATGGGTAGGGAACTTAACATAATTAGCTCATGATCATAGTTCAGTCGCATGAGATGATACCTTGAGATTAAGGCCCACTGCGTCGACCTTGTCATTCAACCTTTCGAAAGTGGCATTTGGTGGGATGATCCCACTTTCAAGCACGAGAACGGCTTTGATCACGGATGCTAACCCACTTGTCCCCTCCGTATGGCCGATTTTTGATTTTACAGAACCGCTAGGACTAGTTAGAAATGCCAGATTCATTCCAGGAAGACATGATTCAATAGTAAGTCTCTGTAAACTCACACATAGATTGGATCATTCGCTGTTCTGGTGCCCCGAAATGATTCTCCAATGGCACTAGCCTCGATCGGGTCGCCTACAGGTGTTCTGTGTTTTTCCGACGGGTTAGTCTTTCTGTACATGGATACTAAGCTTTGAATGTACATACCCAGTTCCATGGGCCTCAAAGTATCGCGTGGGAATCATGCTAAGGCCCGCTTTGGTGTAGGTTTCTTTGATCAACAATGCTTGCGAGCTTCTACTGGGTTGGCTCATTCCAGGTGTTTTTCCATCGTGGTTGGTTCCAGTAGAGCGGATAACAGCGCGTATTGTATCGTTATCTCTCACAGCATCTGGAAGACGTTTGATGATGATCGATGCAATCCCCTCTCCTCTTCCATATCCATTGGCTCTATGGTCAAAGCTGTAGCATTTACTATCAGGTGAGAGCATCCCAAAATTGCCTAGCAAATGGAACAGGGAGGGTGACAGTAGCAAGTTTGATCCGGTAACGACACCCTGGATTATTGTCAATGTCTTGAGACCTCATCGCCTTTTAAATAAAGGAGAGTTACCATATCAGACTCCTTCACATCAATGTGGTACTTTTGTCTGAACCATGAATTTGAGAGTGAATAGACTTTCTGCCTTGTTGATCGTTCGCGTAGTTGTATGACGTGATCCTGAAAGCAAGAGGCATAGCTGTGCGAGGGTTAAGCTGTCTGACCAGGTTCGGGAAGCGGGGCTCCCATGGGGCACAGGCAATCAATCTCACCCAGTTCTCTCGAACAAATTAAAAAGGGCTTGGCCCGATAGCCGGTTGCATTTTAAGCGATAACATCCTATGTCTCGGGGTAATAACTTGTCGAAAGCGACCAATAAAGTCCAGGAGCAATGCAAGCGATAATGGTACACAAGACAATTTGGGTTAGCATTTAGCCCCACTACCTCGAAGTCCGTATGTATAATATAGTAAGAGGAATGTTACACAAGAGATGGCTCAACAGAAATGATCCATGTAAACAAGCCAGGCGAAGTGCAAGCATCGAGTTCAAGTGGGTGCATAACGTTTGCCTCGTCCACCCGACCGTTTGGATCACGGACATATCGGTTGCGAAACGACGGACAAATAAACCTGCCGACGTGTTTCCTGATTATGCCCAGTGTTTCCATGAGTTCGTCGTAAGAGGATTATTGGCGCATCCTTCACATCCTTCCGCAAGCACTTTTTTTGTTGTAATAGCAGTTGCCAACATGTCCTCGATATCGGAAAAGACGACAGATGGCGCGCATGGTACGCCGTCAACGACCGAACAGCTTTCCAACAGGAATGAGCTCGATGCCCCGCTACAGGAGCCGCATATTTCTATTGCAACGGATCCGAAGTCTCTGACTGGTGGGAGGCTTCACCTTATGACCCTTGGGTATGTCACACTTCCGAAATCTTGCAGTTTCGGCATAACTTACAAGGTCTCAGTCTATGTCTGGCACTCTATCTAGTCAATGTCGAAGTCACAATTATCAGCACGTCGCTGTTAGCTATCATCGACAGCTTGAAAGGCTATAGACAGGCGGGATGGGTCCTGACGAGTTACCTTCTGACATACACCGGTATGTGTATTCATGATCTCGACGTTCGGCTTCTCATCCATAACCTTGACCCTAGGCTTTATCATCGTTTGGGCAAAGTTAAGCGATATCTTTGGCCGCAAGACATGTAGCGTCGCCTCCCTTGCCATTTTTACTATTTTCTCTGGTGCCTGTGGCGGCGCACAAACCATGACGCAGCTGTAGGTACTACTGGCCAGCAAAAGCTATTCAACACTCATGACACGCTCCGCTAGAATCATCTTTCGAGCGTTCCAAGGTCTCGGCGCGGCAGGCGGATTTGCCCTGACGATTCTCATCATCAATGAAATGGTCCCACGGAATAAGTTGCCCATGTACGGAGCTATCATGGCTCTAGACATGGCGCTTGCTACACTCTCTGGTCCACTGTTTGGTGGTGTTATTAGTGACCGTTCCACATGGAGATGGGTCTTCCTTATGAAGTAAGACTTCCAAGAGGCACTGTTCCTTTCGATGTGGCTAACAAATTTAGCATTCCAGGTGGTGCAGCCGCCATCGCAATCTTGTTGGTGGCTATACCAGCCGGATTCCCCAATCACACAGTCCCTCCCACTATGTTCGGGACTGGGAACACCAGGAAGTGGAGCCTGACAACGGTGGCCAAGCGGCTCGATATACCTGGCCTTTTTCTCCTTCTCGCAGCATCACTCTTATTGACAACGGCACTACTGGAAGGAGGCTCACAATGGGCTTGGTCTTCGGGGACGTCAATAGCTTTACTTATCATTTCTGGACTGCTTTGGATTTCCTTCTTCGTCTGGGAAAGGACCGTCACTTCGGAAAGTTGGACACAGGAACCCCTTTTCCCTTGGCGGTTCCTGTTCAACAGGGCCTGGATGGGTGTCCTCTTGTAAGTCTGTGTTTGATCTTGCCATTCAAGAACTTTGCTAATTTACATTTTGCTCCTAATAGCACGTCCTTTCTAAATGGCCTTCCATTCTACATTCTCGTGATCAACATCCCACAACGCTTCCAAACAGTGAACGGCCTTTCTCCCATTGACACAGGGATTCGACTCCTAGCATTTACACTCGTTGCTTCCATAGGTGGCATCATCGCCAACCTTTCTGTGGCCAGTGGCCGTATACCCGTCATCTATGTCGCTCTGTTTTTCTCTGCAACCACTGCCATAGGTACCGGGCTTCTTACTACCCTACCAACAGACGATAATCTGCCCAAAGCAGTCTATGCATACGAGGCGCTGGCCGGGCTGGGTGGGGGTGCAACCTTCGCTCTCGTCATCCTGTTGGTTCCTTATGTCGTAGAGAAACGAGATCTTGGTATGTACACCAGCGTATCCTAGGATTCGAACATGTCTAATAGTACCCAGCCACAGCCAATGGTGCCCTTATCGAATTCCGCATCCTCGGTGGCGCCATCGGACTCGCTATCGTGGCCAGCGCGCTGGAAAACTATCTGAATCGGAACCTCGGCGCAATCATATCCCCAGAACAACGCGTTTCGTTGATGGAGTCGACGGCTTTGCTCCATGAGCTTCCGGATGATATCCGCGGGCAAGTCATTCGAGTGTTCGCGGAGGGCTTCTCGTTGCAGATGAAGATCACAACCGCGTTTGCGGCGTTGCAGGTACCAGCGATCGTCATGTTTTGGAAGAAGAAGCAGATCACCGTTGAAAAGAAAAGTTAAGCAGTCTCTGGGGACAGCAAGGACATGCATAAGGCATTTCGATCATCAACATGGATAATAGCATAAGCATGATCGGCATGTGGACGAGGGTGTGGAAGATGTAGAAGGATGGAAGTGAAGTGGGCGATGCAGAGTTCAACTGCACTTAGTACTATCAAGCAGGTACATTGCGTACCATAGTTCTATCCTAGGCATCACCACTCAACAGAACGCCAATAAATCAACATTAAAGCTATTCCTACGAACGTTGCCTAACAGCACGTGATCATAATGCCAAAAGAAGACATGGATAATAGCCTGAGTAGCAATGACGCTTACACCAATGAAATCGCAGGCTCAATAAAGATTTGTTACTTTCTTGTTTATACCAGATAATGTACCCTGCACCCTGGCATGTCCTTCTTTTTGACTTAGACAGATACACACGCGAAGCATACAGCGAGAGCAGTAGCCAGACCAGTGCAGCAAGACTCAAACATCCAACAAGTTCGCGATGCACACAGCAAGGAGGCTACAATGGTGATGATACTTCTCTTCCGCCAAACTACATAGCACATCTTCCTCAGCACAAAGCCTTGCTCCGAGAGATGCACCCAAATCATCGATTTGTATATGCATGTACCTCACCGATAAGTGCCAACTCCAGACAGACACTAGATAACATCTCCTCTCTCAGCACCCATAGTCACATTTCTATGCCCTGACTCCACCCATGCCCGATCTCTACATACAATACGCCCCACTTGGTCATATTCATCCAGGTAAAACAACGCTCGAAAACGCCGAGCTAACTACAGAACGCTCCGGCTGACAGAAACAACGACTTCGAAACCATGCTTATATCGTACAAGGAGAAATGATGCCTTTGGCAGATAAATCTCCATTTGACTTGGTAGAGAGAGGGAGGAAAGAGGAGAGGTCATGTGTAGATGAGCGACGTACTAATGCTACCACATGTCGTCGTCCCTGCTACTTTGATCGGAATCATCGTAGCCCCCGTATCCCTGAGCTTTTGGTTGCCCCATGTAACTCGAGCTGTTTGCAACACTATAGCCACTATTGGAACTTTCATACGTCGAGTGATGCGAATCTCTTGGGTCTCGCTGATTCATACGTGGGTCTTGATGATGTTGATATTGCTGTTGCCGGTGGTCGTTCTCATACTGAGACTCAGAACCAGCATGTTCCTGCTGCTGATAGCTGTTGTTATGATGTGCATCTTTCTCGGGCTGTTCATGCTGCTAAGATACTATTAGCAAATGCACACATCGACTTGAACATGGTCATCATACCTGCTGATACCGCTGGTACTGGGAATACTCCTCCGGCTGTTGCTCTTGTTCTTTCTTCTGCTGCGCGGCGGCTTGAGCTTGGCGTTGTTGTTGCTGCTTGGCTTGCGCCGACGTGCCAATTTGAATTTGCGGATGCATTTGCTGAACTTTGGCGAGATACGAGTACATGAAGTTACTCAGTAGGACTTGTGAATATAACTCGCGACGAGGATTGGCGAGTTTGATATGAGCCATGCGGTAAATGGCTCTCTCCTCTAAGATGGAGAACCGTGTCCAATTATAATCGATGTCTGGCTTGAGTATCCGGGGTGGCGGTTCAGGGGACAACCCACGCATTGAATTTCCTTTCTTGTGATGCGATTCTTTTTCCCCTTTCTTCTTTCCCCCGCCAAAGATGGACGAGAAGAGGCCTGACTCCTTCTCTTTCTTGCTTTCGTGCCCGGTGGATTTCCTGCTACTCTCTTTCTTGCGCTCTTCTTCGAGCTTGACACTTTCCCGGTCAATGACCACGCTCTCGCGGCCTCTGTTACTACCCTGGATAGAGGTCTGGAGAACGTCAAGCCTGGTATCGTCATGACTTTGACCTTTATCCTGTGTCTTGCTCAACTTGTTTTTGACCTTCTTCGCAAGCTCCTTGTCCTTTTCTTCCTTGTCTTTCTTATCACGTTCCTTGTCATCACTTCCTAGCAACCAACCCCAACTGGTTTTGCGCGAACCACCTTCAGACCCGTCTTTCTTATCTTTGTGTTTCTTCTCCGGTTTCTTCTCTTCGACAAGATTCGGGATGATTGAGAGTGTGTCAGTCCTTGTGCTGTTTCCAGGAAGAGACGAGGGATGCGATACAAGATCATCCATGCTTTGCCCAGGCTTGATGGGCGACGACTGCGCGGCCTGTGCATGCTTGTTCTGTCGTGCAGCCTGGGGTGGACGTTGTTGCTGCTGTTGGGGTGGTTGCCGGGGACCTTGAGGTTGCGGAGCACTAGGAGGGGGTTGTCGTGATGAGTTTCTCTCGGGCAATTGCATTTGTTTCCGCTGCGGCTCTGGTGGGGGAGGAGTAGCAATGATCTGGGGTAGCTGCGGAGCAGCATTGTGTCCCGGTAAGGTAGCCGTTGTTCGACCATTGGACGCGATTCGTGAATGGAATGGTTTCGGCTGAGGTCTTCGATCTTCTGCGGGGGAATCCGCTCTTGAGAGGTCTTCTACCGAAGCTGAAGCTTGCCGTAGTCCAGGAGGCGATCGTACTCGTGTCGGACGAGAAAAATTCTCCGCAGCTTGATTTGAAGGTTCGGATTGCACTCTAGTCAGGGAAAGATTAGACAGCTCATGTTCTTTGCCTTGAACCGGAGATGCAGATGGGGATCCCTCAGTATCAGTCTCAGCTTGCGTTGCAACCGCTGCCCGACGTGAGAATGGGACGCGCTCCCCTTTGCGAATACTACCTCGTCTATAGTTGGTGCGCGTGGAACGCTTCAGACTTCCTAGTCCAGCAACAGCGCCAGGTAGAATAGGAACGTCTTCAGGGATGTCTTGGTCGGTGCCTGAATGCCTTCGGGCTGCATCAATGCTCATGCGTCGAACTAGAGCAACGGGATCCTCTACAATGTTCTCGAGCTCCTGCAGCTGGGGTAAACCTCCGTTGGGCTGCTGTGTTCCAGACCGTTTTCTTTCGAGGCGCTCTGCACCATCACGATAGCCACTGCCGCTATCAATCTGCCGCGATAGCATTGACTTCTTCCGCCGCAAACCCCCTCCAGAGCCCTCGCGTCCCAAAGCACCGTCTGGCGACAACGAATCACTGTCGCCAGAGCGCCGTCTTATCGTGTCAACCTTCTCTTCTATGAATGTTTTGAATTCCTTCGGTGCGAGCTCAGGATGCAATCGTGCAGGAACCCAGAAAAGCTTGGACGGGTCTTCATCCTCGGAAAAATGCTGAGGCGGCGCAGGCACGTTGAACGATTGGAACGATGGTAGGTCAGGATCAGCAGTATTTACGTCCATGGACATGCGGCGTATGGCCTGCAAGTTGCTGAGCTCCTGGGCGAGGCCCGCAGGGCTCGATTCATAGTCCAGGTCATGCAGCGGGAACTGCTGTGTGGCGGTATCGGAGTTGGTTCTTGTCAAGGGTGGCGTGGACAGCGTAGGAGAGAGCTGTCCGTTGGAGGCAGCCGAAGATTTTCTCGCGAGAGGCGGTGGGTTGCCATTGGGGGCTGCGGTGGTGGCCGGTCGATCCTGGTTCATCTGGGCACGGAGGGGAGATTTGGGCGGCGCCGCGGGGAAGGGGTTGAAGGGCTCGAGGCTGTCGCCGTGCGGGTTGCTGATAAAGCTTAGGGGTCGCGAGTTGCGCCTCATGGGGAACTCTTCGTCGTGGCCGTATAGGTCGCCAATGGCTTCGGTAACGTGGTGACTATCGTCGCTGATGGAGATCTGGGGCGCATGGCCGCGACGCTGCTGGTAGACGCGCTCCAGCTCGCGGGCTCGTTCCGAAGACTGTGAACGCGAAGAGGAGAGGTTAGCATTCGCATGGCCCAACGAGGGCGCTAGAACGAGCGGGTTCGCGGGAAACTGCAGCGTAGTGAAAGGTTACATGCACTGCACAACAACCGCACTCCCGCACACGCTCGAGGGCCCTGAGCGGCAGCTGCTCACCTGCATGTTGGCCGCCTGAGAGGTCGGCGTGTGTTGGCGGTAAGCCTTCTATACTGGACGGTGCCGCGGCCGCGGGAGAGACAGCATCGAAAGCGATGGGCACGCGGCGGGCTGCGGGCGGCGGTCAAGCGGTGCGGCAGGGAGCGAGGGTGGCGGCGGTCATGACCTTGGGGAGGACGGCTGATCGTGCGAGGGGCGGGCGACGGGCGTTGTGGGCGCAGAAGCTGTTGAAAGCAGGGTGCAAAGTGTAGTGGAGTACAGTACCATGTTCCAAACGATGTCTCTCGTTCCCGCTAGGCCCGGGATGTTTGGACAGGACAAGGCCGAACGGTAGACTACTCGTCCGCTTCGACGCGCACTCGAGCGAGCGCCTAGCAATCACTCGCAGCCACAGACGGGCTGCGTGCTTCTGGATAATTCAAAGGGCCCAGTCACGAGCCACCCCCTCCTTTGCCTACAGCAACGACATCATACGGGGGCGAGCCCGCGCAGCCTGTTCATGTGCCTGACCATTCACCATGCACGCGCTGTGCCTATCCAAATCGCCTACTTGAGTCTCCTCACGCTGCATTCGTGACACACAAGTCGCTACTTCGACCATGAGCAGGCGCGCCCTCGGCTTGTCACGCAAACAGACGTCTCCGGATGCAAGGTGCATGTCGCTGGGGTATCTAGCCGTAGGCGCCCTGCCTAAAGGGCGGTGCCACCGGCCGTTTACAGTGCAGCGTCAGGGGGTCGTAAGTCCGAGGACTTGACGGACATTCAGCGAACCGCTCGATTGCTTGTGTGCTTGTGTAACGGGATTCGCGCCAAGAAGCTCGCGCTGACATGCAATTGCATGTGGGGGAAAATTAGTCTATCTGGAGAAGGGTGGATTATGTATTACACACTAACGTCTAGCTACCCGGTGTTCGTTCAAGTCGAGAGGTCCCAGTCGCTCTCATGCATCTATTATATGTTCATGGTGAAGAGTAGAGAGATCAAGCAGCTAGGAAGACGCTCCATTGCGTTTCCAGATGAACACGGCAGATGCAACGGCGCATGTCACAGCGCCCAGCGCAAGATACAGGTTTAAGTTATCGTAAGGCTCTTCCTCCTGCTTCGGAAAGGCCGTCGAGGGATGCGTTGCACATTCAGCCAGCTGCGGAAGGTCAGTATTTCGCACGAGGCTTCCATATGAAGTGGTACGTACGTGAACAAAAAGCTCCGATATGCTGCTCCAGGTTGCACTCACATGCAGTGGAGCAGCCATGTTGAGCGCGCTTGTGTATTCGTCAGGTTGCTGCTCGCATCGCTGCATCGTCTTGTCTTGATCAGCCTTGAGCGCGGTGTAGACTGCTGGCAAATGATCGAGGTGAGGGTACTTCTTTCGCAGTTCCACAATGTGGGCAAAGCTGTCGGGGTCACTAGAGTCGTATGTGTAACAGAGTAGATCGCAAGCATCGAGCTTGGCCTGGTTCTCGAGAATGGCTGGCTCCAGTTCGCCAAGCTCTTCCAGGATGAGATAACACTGCTTGCCGCCTTTTAGCTCCACGCTGTTTACAGCGGACCGTGGTTTGATGGTTGGGTGGTACATGTTGGTAAAGGGTCTTTGCAGGAATGACGATAGCAGGGCGCTCTTCCCGCTACCGCTGGAGCCCAGAACATAGCACAAGAACACGGTGCGCTCCACTCGTCCGGGCTTGTTACGCCTCTTGCGTGCCTTGGTCACTTTTAGTGCGTTGGTCGTCCCTCCACGATCGCTACTCTCGAAGCCAAGGTATGCTAGATATTCTAGTGTCGTCTTAGGTTCTTCGAACGTCGTCATGCTCCACTGCGCCAACCATCCTTGTAACGTGATGTATCCAGCTTCGTTCCGTACCGTGCATGATGGAAATGCCGAATCGACCCAAGATGCAGGAACACCAGGCGTAGGTGCAAATAGATTAGCGAGCTCTTTATCGTTCAAGCCCCCGTCATTGTCCCTGTCGAACTTCAGAAACAGGTCAACGAAGAAGCGGTATCCAGCAGGACTTAATTCAGCTGAGGAATACTGCGGTACATCAAACTTTGGATGGAGAAATGTGTCTTGGAGACTGAGGCTGTCGGTGTAGTGAAACTTCCTTAGGATAATCCATATGGTCTCATGGCGGCCCTTCTCAGCGAAAATCTTGTTCAGCAACAGGAAGCCCTTCTCATCCATACCATGCTCGCCAGTGGATCCTGGGACAAATCTTTCAATGGACCGTTTGATATTCGCTAGATCATCCTGTCCCAGTGGCTTCTCAAAACATTTGATCTGGAAATCATGGATCTCCTGGTCGTTCCAATAACCATCCTTGTCCTTATCGCAGAGGTGGAACACGCGCTGCAAAGCTGCAACCGCAGCGGGCTTCAAAGCGTTCTCTTTGGAATCATATAGCGGTGCAATCGGGTGAGTGACGGCTTTTTGGCACAAGAAGAAGACCTCGTTGATGTTGTGGTGCTCTTTTGCGCTGGTTCGGATGCACGAGTCAATCTCCTTGAACTCGGTCATGACGGGTAGCATCTCATCTGCTACGACTTGCGACGTTGTCCCGTTCGACGCCAGATCCGCCTTGTTTGCGCATAGCACCACGGGCACGTTCACCCCCAGCGACCGGAAGTATGGCATCCAGAACAGCGCAACCCGTTCATAGCTGTAGTGATCCGAATACACCAGTAGTATGACGTTCGACTTTCGAAGTTCTTTGCGGAGCGCATGGCGCTCGTGGGGTAGCGCGGAGGTGTCAACGATGGTCGTTGTGACGTTGTCTGGAGTGCCGAGCGTGGGCGGGATCGTGACTTGAGGGAGGACGGGCTGGATCTTAGCCGTGACGAATACATCTTTGACAAGCGACGTGATGATGGAGCTCTTGCCGACGCCCTCATCACCGCATACACAGATTCGGACTAGAGGATGTCAGTCTACCATTCAATTTGCCTGGCTCAAGCTGCTTACCGGTCGCCATGACGGATGTACATGGTTCTTAGAACATGCTGAGATCTATCAATTCGCTCTGATCACAGCAGGTGGACCGACCGAAAGGCGGTTGCGCGGCCCACGATACCGCGAGCTCTGAGTTGTCGGCCCGCGCCAAGCCATCGCACGTGGAGACAGCAGAGCTAGTGATGCCATACCCCAGCGTTGGGACTGTTGCCAAACCACCCTCCGCTATCTCTGTGGTCGTGTTGCGTCAACAGCCTCTCCACGCTGGACGGGCTCTGAAGGATGTAGCACATGTACCAGACGCCTGGCTCCAAAACGGCTGCCGCCCGATCTGGTCAATTAGCAAGCCACGCTTAGAACTACCTTAGGTAGCTCCGCACTTTCTCCAGGCCGGTTGCCGCCCGGGGTTCACGCACGGCACGGCAGACCGTCTTCGAGCTCGTACATCTTCAATTGTTCTTATATCGCAAAGCCGCCCCACCCTCCGTCTTTTCCCAGCCGCACCCCGCTGTCGTGGTGCATGTCCTGACGCGCATACTTGGCCGGCTGCGATTCGGTTCACCGCGGTAGATACGGCTGTCGTTGCTTCCGACTCGTCTCGCGATAGATTGCACCGCGTGCGCTGCCATGTTGTGAGTTCTCCCACGCTGCTGCTGGTCGTCTGCGAACGCCCAATCACGCGCGCCCCTCACATCCGCCTAAGAGCTTGACTGATAGCAGCTAAACCCCTTCACAGTGTGCTCCCACCTCCACCGAGATACCCTGCAGCGGGCTACCCTGGCGCTCCCGGCGGCGGCCAGCTTATCGAAACGAACAACACCCTCACCCACCCCACTGGGACTGAACACCAATTGGTAGTTGGAGAAGGTAATCTACTCAACTCCCATATCTACATATGTAATGGTCTGCTCACATTGGCACGATGACAGGTACATACATATTACGAGACGACCTGCACCTGGCGACGCCGCCGCCGCACCCCTCTGAAGCGCCCGTACACAATCCGAACCCACTCGCGACCACGGTGAACCCGCCAACTGCGGGAACGAAACTGTCGATCGTAGTGGTTGCACCTCGCCAGCAATCACATTCACGGTTGTTCCGGCTCGATACCGCCAACAGCGCTCGCTCGCAGCTACCGCCAAGTATACAAGAGTCGCCAAACGAATCGAACAGCCAGGCCAGTGACTCGGGGTCGCAGAGTGTGAACGGGAATGGTATTACGGCATCTCCGCGCGAAGGTCTCCATGCCCCCGCGTATGGGTCGGGAAATTCGGCGCTGGCGATTTTGAATGGGAAAGACAGCAAGGATCCACTAAAGAGGCGGAAACCCAAGAGCAATATTGTGAAGAGCAACTCCTCATTCGTGTCCAGAGTTATTCCTCATGAAGCTCTCACCAAGCGACTGCAGGAGCACAACCCCAACGGATTGTACGCTTTCGCGAATATTAATCGCGCTTTGCAGTGGCTTGACTTGACCTCACCAACCAAGGTATGTTGCTTTTTCGCTAGGTATCTGTTGGCTTCATCTCAAGAGGAATACAGGAAGAGCATCTCACGAAGATCTTATTCACCAAAGCGCACGCGCTATGTCACGATGTGAATCAAAGCACCAAGGGACCGGGGCACGTCGATATCATCCTAGGATTTTCAACGGGTGACATCATCTGGTACGAGCCCATGTCGCAGAAGTACACGCGCATCAATAAGAACGTAAGTGCAGGCCGAGGAAAATGACAACAGAATGGCGTACTGATTGTATCAGGGGGCGATCAACAACACTGCGGTATCGGACATTCGATGGCTCCCCAACAGCGAGAACCTCTTCCTCGCAGCGCACATGGATGGGAGCCTAGTCGTCTATGACAAGGAGAAAGAAGACGCGCCATTCGTTGCTGAGGACCCAGATCAGGTTCAGCCCGAGACGGAGAAGAAGGCGCGACTTGTCGTGAGGAAATCAGTAAACTCAAAGAATCAGAAGTTTAACCCGGTGTCGTACTGGAAGACATCGAACTCGAGGATTAATGCATTTGCCTTTTCGCCAGACTGCCGACATCTTGCAGTAGTGTCGGAGGAAGGCTCGTTTCGCATCATTGATTTCCTAAAAGAACAGTGGGTCGACTTCAGCACGGCCCTGGGCTTAGCTAACTGTTACAGATTGCTACATCAATACATGAGCTATTATGGTGGTATGATATGTGTGTGCTGGTCTCCGGACGGCCGATACGTTGTTACTGGAGGTCAAGATGATCTTGTCTCCATCTGGTCGTTGGAGGACAGCATGCTTGTGGCACGTTGCCAGGGACACAACTCGTGGGTCACTGCAGTGCAATTCGATCCTTGGCGATGCGACGAGCGAAACTACCGTATAGGAAGTGTTGGGGAAGACTGCCGGCTACTTCTGTGGGACTTCAGCGTTGGCATGCTCCACCGACCGCGAGCGGTGAGCTATTGCGAAGTCTAGACTTATAGAGGAGAGATGGGCTGACACAAATGCAGGCATCAGTGAGACCACGCAGCAGTGTTACGTCGGCGACGCTTCAGATGCAACGGACACGAACAGATGGGTCTACTTCGCGGCTGCGATCGAACTCGAATCTCACGTCGGGAAGCATGGTGGACGAGGAAGAAGTGGTGCACGAGGTCGAGCCTCGGGCGCGAACGGCAATGCTGCCGCCAGTTATGGTGAGTCGAAACCCAGGGGTTGCACGTGGGTCCACAACTGAGGGAATTTCTGCAGGCGAAAAAGGTCGACGAGCATCCGCTATGCTGGCTGGGATTTGAGGAAGATTGCATCATGACATCGTGCAGCAATGGTGAGTGCAGAGATTTCTTTGCTGGGCAGAGTGGTTGGTGTTGATAAGCTTATCTGTGGGCGCGCCGGCGAAGCTTGGATGCAGGAACACCCGGTTTGGTGTCGCGACGAGGCCGCTCTCTGATCCAAGCTGGAACTGTACTGATAACGAGTGTTTGTAGGACACATTCGAACATACGATCGACCGAAGGAGGGCGCGGGCAGCGACGAGACGCGTTCGACGTCTGCGAGCGCGAGCAACGTGTAGGACACGATGCATCGGAAGGCGTGGTTTCGACAGCTGGTCCAGCAGTCTTTCCACGGCCACCGTGGTGTGCAGCCACCGTAGAAGCACGTGGGTTTGGACGCGTCGAAACGCGCGAGCATACTGCGTTAGCTCGCAGGCAGAGGCCGAGAATAGCGGACGATCTGAGGCGGCTGGAAACAGGGGTGGATGGATATAGCTCAGACAGGGTCGGACAGGGTTGTCGCAGCGTGCATTGGCATTTCCTGGTGTTTGGGATTCTGATGGCGACCAACCCGGCATTATCCGACTCATATGCGCAAGGAGTACCTTTTTTGTGTGCGAATATTTCCGAGACTCAGCCCTATGAGGTAGCGCATGCATGCGTGCTTCTGTATGTCTTGCACCACGGCGTCGTCGCCACTGTTCCGCCTGGCGCTCCTTTCTCTCTAAAAAGCGTATCTGCAGCGCCGCCACGACGACGGCCTGTAGCGGAATGGCACAGATGGCGGCAGCGCCTGGCGCGGTGGAGCACGCACTTGTGCCCACGGTGGCTTGCCTCAATCGCAAGCGACACCTGGATATGGCGTCGAGCCGTGCGCGCCGGAAATGGCCCGGGAGCAACTCGTCTCGTCGTCGTCTGTGGCGCGCCTCTTCCAGATTGCGTGCAGCCTCAGTGCAGGCCTTTCTGCCGTCGTCGGCCCGAGCCCGCGCCTTGCCCTTCGTCGCAGGCAGTCAATTTCACGCTCCTATCGATAAGAAGCAGCCCCGCCTCGTCGTCGCAGGCGGCGTGGGTCCTCTCGCGCGTCTGCTGCAGCGCTGCGCTCGCCGTGAGCTGATCTCGCGCTATCGTCGGGCTAGTAGCGCCCGCGTGGGTCTCCCTTGTGCGCCGCGAGGGTCGTCAAGGCTCACGCCATGATACCATGCGCCGTTCGCGGCGGGAGCGATGCTCGGAAGTCTTGCTTTGTTGCGCCTTCGCCCGCCCGGTCCCTCAATCGACGAGAAAAATCAGGTCCCGCTCTTCGAGCGCTAGCTAGCAATGACATGGTCCTCAGCGCCCATGCTTGCCTGCCTGCTTGCTTGTGCAAACCGCCGTCTCCCATCCCACGCAGCTCGTTATAATCCCTCCGTGCCCAAGCCCCCAGCTGAGCAGTCATCGCACCCTCAGCCACGCTCACATACATACCACTGCATATACGCTTCCGCCCACGCGGCCCTCCCCAGTCACACGCATTCAGCCCGCAGCCATTCGTTTCCCGACCCATCAAGTACACGCCCGTCTGCCCCTGCAGCCTTCCGATGACCTTGTGCTCTTGTTGATTTTTCTTCTTCGTTTTGCAACATGCCTCGCCCCGGCGGCGGTGTGTTTGGCAGGAATGCTGGGCCCGTCCTAGAGATCCAGTGAGTCTACGTCACCGCCTAGATTTTAGCTGCGCCAGACTCTGACTGTGACGCACACAGGCCCAGTTCGCCATTCATTGTCTTCTATGGAGAGTCGTCGGAAGCGCAGAGTACAGAGCTTACTGGGAAGCTCATACTCAATAACCCAGAGTCCATGTCCGTCAAGAGCATACGCATGACGCTGCAGGGCACGCGCAAGGTAGCCTGGCACACGACCAACACGGTCACCCCGCAGCCCATATCGCAAAAGACGAATTTCCTCCTCGAGAACCTCAGTCTCTTCCCCGTAGACGGTTCGAAAAACAAGGCGCACAAGATCAATGCCGGTGTACACGAGTGGGAGTTCAAGTTCAAGATGCCCTCTACGCTTGACGAGAGCGTCGAGGGGCTGCCCACAAACTGGATCGTCTACAACTTGAAAGCGACCGTGGATCGGGGCTACATAAGCAAGCCATTGAGTGCATGTTCGCATATCCGAGTCATCAGGACGCTAGGTCGCGATCTTATGGAGAGCGTGCCTATGGAGCAGATCAACGAGGATATCTGGGCGTCCAAGATCGCATACAAAATCACCGTTCCTCAGAAGAACTACATCGTCGGCACCTCAATAACCGCCGATTACGTCCTGATTCCGCTCCGTAAAGGAGTCGAAATCGCGAACATAAAAATGGAACTGATAGAGTCGAGGCAGCTCTTTTGCGACTACGCTGGACGACGAGTCTCACATACCACTGAAGTCCAGGTGGCGTGCACAGAGGGATTGATGCCAGAGAATTCCAAAAACGTAGTCCCTGAGGGGGTCGAGGACGCCGACCAGCTGTTTGATGAATGCCACCGCTTCTCTATGACCTTGGATCTTCCCAAATCCTTGAAGAACTGCAGGCAGTCTGTAGACACCGAGAACATTCGCATTTCGCATAAACTGCGCTTGTACGTCAACCTACACAACCCGGAAGGCCATACGAGTCAGCTGCTGGTGAAGAACCACGTACATCTTTTCATTTCGCCCAATCTGCCGCCAGGAGAAGATCAATCTGTCTTGGTCGACCCGGAAGTTCTGTCACAACAAGCAGTGCAGGATGAAGTCAACCAAAACGCACCTCCTACCTACGGGTTGCACCAGCTCGATTCCCTGTACAACGACATTGATCCTAGCGGATTCATGACTCCAGGTGCCCACGCAAGCTACGGAAGTAGCGGCGCAACCACACCTTTCTACGCTCAGAGTAGGTCTGGTTCGGCGGAAGACTTGGCATCGCTGAATGCCATTGCTGGTGGTGGCGCTTCCGCAACGGCTCTGCAGCATCGCCTTCAAAATCTGAACCTGAACTCGCAAGGCAGCCATTCACGCTTGATACCTACCCGGCATCACTCGTCTGGGGGTAACACCCCACTTTCGCGGCCAGACGGTGTCAATCACACGCCCCCAACTGGGTACTTTGACCTTCACCAAGATTACGACATGGAAGCGCTGACGCGCACGCCCTCGTACAATACCGCTGTCCGGACACCCGCTCGAACTCCCATCTCAGAGGACCTGCCCAGCTACGAAATCGCGACCTCCAGACCATCGAGCCCTAGTAGGACGCCCACAAGCAGAGGCACGACTCCCAGCCCGGCTCGCAGTCTAGACACACTGCGAGAGGAGACAGAGAGGAACACGGCCATCAACAGTCGGAGAGAGTCTCCGCGGCACAGTGGCGACGGAAGGTAATTTCCCGCTCCGCCTCTCTTTGCTTTACATCGGCATCTGCACTTCGAGCGTCTATAGATTCATTCCCCACTTTCGCACGCATGGGTGCATAGCCCTTTTTTCTATTCACGATATCTTGTCAAGCGAAAGCGATTACATACTTAATACCCTCTGCATATAGCTCCATCAACATCAACATCAATACTCTTACCTCATCACCGTCACCGTCACATTCTTCAACTTCAACTTCAGCTTCAGCTTCCACTTCAGAGGCTGCATCGCCGCCGCGCGAGGCTACGTCTCCTCCGCAGCATCTCTCTCCCCCGCGCACGCATCCCCGCTCTTCACGATCACGCTCGCCTCACCATTTAACCGTCCCACTTCCCCGGGCAAAACTCCGCCAACGCTCGTCCTCGAATAGCATCCGCGAGACGATAGACTCTATGGCTGGGTTTCGCAGAGCGCTGAGACATGTTGGATAGCGTCATGTGGGCTGCGCTGCGCTGCGCTGCGCTGCGTATCGTTCTCTACACTATTACTATCCTAACTGTTTTTCTTCTTTCTCATAAGGCGTTACTATCAGCATCACGGCCGATTAGATTACTGTTACGATCTTTCTTGCATGGCGCGGCTGTCTGCATTGCACGTGCATTTGGGGAGGGACTGGTCTGGCATGTGGTTGTTGCATTGCATTGGCGGCTTCGTCTGTCTCACTTCACTTCTTTACTACACTACTAGATATCCATCGCATTGCATCGCATACAGTACGTCCCCATTACGTAGCGTATGACCCAGTTTCTAGTCTATAAGACACAGCACGTCAAGCACGTATTCCCATCGTTAGCGCCATCTTGCTAGGCATACATACCCACAAGGTGTTCATCGCTTGGAACTTGCATGCTGGCTTTATCTTTTGTGGGCCGGGAGAGGGCTGGCCTGGACTGGACTGGACTGTCCTTGCGCCACGAGATTAGTTCGCGATGTGGAACTTGGTTTCTACGCGAGGACATGTGCTGACGACGTAGGTGGGTGAAGGCTTGACGAGGGCACTAGCTAACGTCGTGGCGCGTGAATGTATGAAGGCTTGTGATACCTGAAGCATACGACCGAACGGAGAGCCTCGTGCCGAGGTGCGTGTGTATGCTAGCAGTCTCACAAGTACATGTACCTTGATAGGCGTCAAGCAACAACGTGACACGCAGCCAACCTCTCACGTTTCGTCCCGTTACGATACACACAATCAGCTTCCGAGTCCGTGCCCTCGGGTAAGCCATCCATGACATGCTGCATGCACACTCTCACATGCATCAACCTCGCCGTTCTAGAAGACGGCGCATGTGGACCCCACGTGTAAGTTGGCAGGCTGGGATACCGTGGTTTTGCGCGCGGCAGATAGATGCGAGGACGCGGAGCGAACCGGATAGTTGGTGAGAGCAATCGAGTGACTAGCACATAGTATGCATCTCTACCTCACGACAGATTCAATGCTCCACAGCCACGACACATGAAAGTACAGAAACATGACACGTGAAGACGATGAGAGGTCGGGTATCGTATCCAATGGAAGGCCAGCCAACAGTACCGTCCCAGCGACGCCCGCAGCGCCTACTGCGGATACTGCTCGAACAGAAACCCCGCCGCAAGCTCGACGTTCCCCTCTGTAGCATTCAGCGCAGCGACAGCCTCCTGGTGCGAAAAGCCCAGCACCACAAGCTGCGAAATCGTCTCTGCGGGCCACGCAGCGCGCGCCGAGGGCAGCGTCGTCACCATCTGCCGGATCTGCTCGGGCGTGACGCCCAGCAGCGGATTCTGCGTCCGTACCCTAGGCGCGTCTTCCACCCTGAGCACACGCCCCAGCGCAGCAACCCACCCCGCCTGCACAGTCTCATTATTCAGGTCGAGAGAAGTAACGTGCACCATATCCTCCTCGCAGTCTCCGCTGTTGAAGAACTCCCAGCCCATTACCCCGCCGAAGCCCCCTCCACCACTCTTGTACTTCTCGCGCAGACGGGCGCACACGTCGCGCAGTTTGGCGACGGGAACGTGTCCAGCGCCGTTTCCCGGGTTGGTGACTACCCCGAGGACGATCCTGGAGGGCGTCCACCCTGCTGCGATGATGGCGTCGTACCACTGCGTTGACGCTGCGGAGCCCCATCCGCAGTAGAACTGCGTGTTGTACCATGCTATTTCCCTTCCGTAGACACTGCATTCGAGCTCGGGGTAGCTGAAGCCGCTCAGATGCGGCAATGTAGGGTGGAGTGGGTTCGGGGACGGGCCGCTGGCGAGGAGGGGACGCGGTGGACGGAGGTGTGGCGGGATGTTTGGATCGGGGATGAGGGCTGTGGCTACGGGAGCCATTGTGATGAGGAAGGCGGGGCCAAAGTCTGCGCGGAGACGGGCGATGAGGCGGGTTATGGATTGGATGTCGACTTTTTCTTCGACGTCGAGGTCTATGCCGTCGAGGCTGTGGGAGGATATGAGGGCTTGGAGGGGCGTGTAGTAGGCCTCGAACTATTGTGGGTTAGTTCTGGTGCTTGAGACGTCTACTACATATTCAAATGGTTCATTGTGTGCGAAGGTGGATCACAAAAAGATTGGCGTAGGGGGGTGGACGAGAAATGCGAGGCTCACATTGTCTTCGCTGCCTCCGAGGCGCTCATAGCTTCCTTGCGCCGCACCCCCCAGCATGCCCAACACCTTCACTCCGCTTCCCTGAAGCCATTTCACCTCCCCCCAAAGCTGGTCGTAGCGCTTGTCGTCCGGCTTGTGGTCATTCAGGGTGATGTTCCCCGGGCCTCCGTTCAAGTGTATAGCTGCGACTATGATGTGGGTAATGCCAGTGTGGTTCGTGAGGAGGGGTAGAAGCGAGTGGTAGTTGCCGGCTGAATCGTGGAAGGTCTGGTGATACACAATCAGGCGCGGGCCTTCGGATGTGGGTAGAAGCTTTGGAGGAGCGGGCGGCATCGAAACGAGCGTGGCTTGACTGGAGGGATGTACAGAAGCAAGTGGGACGACGGAAGGGTCCGAAGCGCGTTGCCCCTCGCGTCGTTGTAGGGCTGAGTGGGGCAGTTGTAAGGCTGGTTGCGTCATGACAACACCAAACATCCCATCGTGTATCGAGCAGCAATAGCATGAAATCTCATATTATGCACAGATCGTTTTCACGGGGCCCATTGTCTACCAAAAACGTACCCTGCATGCCTCAAGCCCAAAAGGGAATATGACGTGAACCACTAACGCCGTGCACTGCTTGCTTGCCCAATGCCATTCCTCCCATCCATTGCGACGAAAGAGACGTCGACTTGAACACTCGACTTGGATATGCCCATCCGCGTATGCTGCCAAACTCGTAAGATCGTGAAAACCATCAAGGACTACTGCAACTAATGGTAGCCGTTTCCGTAGCCATTTAAGGTGCCCGTGAAGTAAGGATGAATGACCGCTTGCTTCGCCGAAATTCGACCAGCAGGATCATAGACAAGCAGAGCGTCTAGCAGGTCAAGGCCGTAATCGTCCAGAGTCGTGACTGTTGTGGCGATGTCCTGCTTGTTCCACTTGGGGAACGAGGATTTGTAGTCAGGGAACGAGGTAACGCCAGGCCAGTCGATCTCAGTGGGAGTACCGAGAACGCTACGAACATTGTCAATACGAGCTTGTTGTGCAATCAAAGAAGGTGGACATACCGGAAGATCTTGAAGATTTCGTCAATCTCGGAGTCGCCAGGGAACAGGGGCTTGCGCGTGCACATCTCAGCAAAGATGCAGCCAACAGACCACATATCGACACCAGTGGAGTACTGACGACCACCAAGTAGAATCTCTGGCGCACGATACCACAGGGTCACCACTTCGTGCGTGTAAGTGCGGAGGGGCACGCCAAAAGCGCGCGCTAGGCCGAAGTCTGCCAGCTTGAGGTTGCAATCTTTATCGATCAACAGGTTCTGGGGCTTCAGGTCGCGGTGCAACACACGGTGGGCATGGCAGTACCGGATGCCCTGGCACAGCTGTGTCATGAACTTCTTGACAATGTCTGGACCCATAGTGACATTCAGTGTAGAGCCTTCCGGCAGCGACTTGCCACGGCCGCCTTGGGTGGCAGGGAGCGCCTCCATGTATTTCTTGAGGTCGACATCGAGGTACTCAAAGACTAAGTAGAGCTTGTGGCCATCGGCATGTACGATGTTGAGGAGGCGGACGATGTTGGCGTCGTTCATCTCCTTCAGCAGGGAGATCTCGCGGATGGCGGTCGACGGTACGCCTTCGTCCTCAGCTTCAAGACGGATCTTCTTGAGTGCCACGATGCGCTGGTCCTTGGTCGACAGATCGCGCGCCTTGTAAACGACCCCATAGGTCCCTGGGGTCAAATGTTAGTGTAGGCTCAAATCGACGTGGGAAGTCTGTTATGGCGGTGTGGTGCAGGTGCAGGTGCAGCACCACAGAATGATCACTCACCCTCTCCAATCTTCTCCATCTTCTGGTAGTTCTCCATGCTGGGTCGGAGCGCTGCTCTAGTGTCTCCTGAGTAGTCAACTGGGTCGCGGTTGCGGCGGAGCTGAGTTCAATCGCTGGTCGGCGAAGAGAGGGATGGGGGCGCGCGTGTCGTGTAGAACTGAAACGAACGACTTCAGGGCAAGGGCTGCAGTCGTGGCGTCAGGCTCCGGAGCGACGCACAAATCGATCCTGCTGTTAGTATCCACGGGTTGGCTTGGAAGAGTTGCGGGAGTGTGGCCTCGGCGGGGCGGTGATGTTGTTCTCGAAAAGTGGTAGTAAACACAGCTCGCCAAGCGCCCGGCTCGATCTAAGCAAATGAGACAAAGAGACGCGTCGGCGCGCGCGAGCCCACAACGCCGCGTGAATTATTCCCCTCCACCACTCATAACTTACAGTCACGATCTCAATTTTCAACCACCACATTCTGTTGTCGTCTCAACTCAGAGAAGCTCTGCAGACGTCACCAGATTGCGTAACATCATGCCTGCACTTGATCCGCATGAACGCCCGCCGGAAAGAGTCCGCAACGTCTACAAAAAGTACCAGAGGATGAGGAGCCAGGACCTCCAAAATGACCCTATGATCGTGGATCTAGAACGAGACCTTCGTGCAGATCCCCAAAGCAAACTGCGTGTGGTTGAAGAATGGGACCCTCAGCGACTGACCGCTACTTTTCGCCGGTTTGGCGGTGACGGTGACCAACCTGAATTAGGGCCTACCACTCAAACCTCAAAGATACTCGTCTACGAGCACGCGGACATGCCAGGTAAGTGAGAGGTGACTTGAAGCAATCTTGAATTTGCAATTATAGGATCAATTGATCACAAAGTAAGAGGCATCTATTGGAGCTTGTACATCACATGACATTTCTCCCCGCGAAAGGATGCAGACTAGAAGACATCTCCTTACACATGCTTCATTTTCTTTAAATCTTGAATATCATCTGTAGTATCTTGCCTGACGTCAGGCAGGCCTCCTTATCGTCCCCGTCTCTCCTACCACCTGAAATCCAGCTCACGCTACTCTCTCTCGTCTCCTGCATCGCGATCTAGCGCGGCCCTCTCATCTTACCAACATCCACACTCACTATGGCATTTCCTATCCACCATCAGCATCTTCCTTCTTCACACTACCTCCGACCTCTTCCGCGACGATTGCCAACCCAAAAGATCCCTCCGTGCATCGTCCACTGAATGTATCTCAAGTCTTGAACAAGAAGATGCGTTGGATGACGCTCGGTGGTCAATACGATTGGACTGCGAAACAGTACCCGGACGCCACACCGCCATCGTTTCCTGCCGATGTAAAGGAGTTGCTAGAAGACACCTTCACGAGTACTAAAGCAGAAGCTGCAATAGTCAATTTGTACTCACCAGGCGACACACTCAGCGTCCACCGTGACGTTGCTGAGAGTAGCGACACTGGATTGATCAGCATCAGCCTTGGATGTGATGCGATCTTTGTCATTGGCACATCATCCGAACCTGCAGCAACACAGGAAACGAATAGCGATAATCATACAACTCCAACGGACGAGCGTGTGTTAGCGATCCGACTACGATCAGGTAGTGCGGTCTACATGAGTGGCACGTCGCGCTTCGCATGGCATGGCGTTCCACAGATTGTGCCTGGAACTTGCCCCACGTATCTTGAGTCCTGGCCGGCGGGAAGAAACGTTAACGACAACGAATTTGAGGCATGGAGGGGCTGGATGGCGAGGAAGAGAATCAACGTAAATGTTCGCCAAATGTGGGATTGAAACCAGTGCTCGGCGAGGCCGCACTGTGCACAATCATACACCGCCCACCACACCATTCCGTTGGATTAAGCTTTGAATCTCGGCGCTTGGTAATATTCCTGCATCAGTCTTGGTATACGCCAGATCCTTGCCATCGGCGAATTTTCAGCGAAAGGGGCAGAGCCTCATACAAGTTGTACCTCAGCAAACAGTATCAAGGCGACCTTCGAAACACCGAGCCCGGTGGTATACTAAAATACTTGCGTAGCGCATTTTCTGTCGGCGAGCTGGAGGCCTTTGCGCTAAATCGTTAAGCGAACGTCAGCTTCAGATGTCTTCGGCGTTCTCAGCCAGGGTCTAATTGCGGCACCGTTTTTGGCCCCTGCACCGCATCCAATGAAATGTGACGGCTGACCATACATTCAGTGTGTAGCGCGCCGCCTCGTGTTTAGCACGGGTTGGTAGGGTCCCCGTCAATGTTAGGGTCGCCGGCCAAGAGGGCGTAGCATCTGTCGGCGAGCTGTGTGGGATGGCACAGCGTACATTTCCGGACCACGTTGATACTACAATATAATTCTTCTTTCTTCTCATCAAGACTCATGTTTCAACCTTCATTGTTCGAGACCAACACCGTTCACTCTGTATCTGCACAAAATGGATGTTTCCAACAACTCTTCTGTGGACGATGTTGAGAAACATGCCAACATCGGCCGCACCTATCTGAGCAATGAATCTGTGAGCAGCTTCAGTTGGAACGACGTCTCGGTGACAGTCAAAGACCGCCACACAAAGCAGCCGTTTAAGATCTTGTCAGATGTTCGTGGCCATGTTAAGGCTGGTAAGTAAACCTACCTACTCGCGATATACTACGTGCTTACACCACCCTCAGGCGAGATGTTGGCACTCATGGGCCCAAGGTACGATATATCCAATGCATGCACGCGCGTTTTCTAACTATCGCAGTGGTTCTGGAAAGACGACACTTCTCAATGTCCTCGCACACCGTGAAGCAACCATCGGTGCCTCAGTGTCAGGGGTTACATACGTTAATGGCGCGCCATCAGACACAAAGGACTTCCGCAAGCTGTCCAGCTTCGTCGAGCAGGAGGACGCACTCGTGGGGTCGCTCACCGTCCAAGAAACGCTGGATTTTGCCGCCCGGCTCGCCCTTCCTCGGTAAGGCTGCTTCCTGATACGCTGATGCGGCGCAGCAACGCAGCAAGGCTGACCACCTGCACAGATCGATATCGAAAACGGAACGAATTGCACGAATCAAGTCCTTGCTCGAATCATTTGGTCTACGCGAGCAGGCCGGTACTCTAATTGGCACACCCATTCGGAAGGGTGTGTCTGGTGGGCAGAAACGCAGGGTCAGCGTGGCTAGCCATTTGATTACCAGTCCGAAGATACTCTTCCTAGATGAGCCGACAAGCGGACTTGATTCTGCTGCGAGCTACGAGGTCATGAACTTTGTGCGTGTCACTGCGAAGAAATTCAAGGTTAGTCACTGTCCCCACTAGCTGCGTCAAGGCTAACCAAACGCTCCTAGATATTGGTTATCGCGTCTATTCATCAGCCTTCCACGACCACATTCCAGCTTTTTGACCAGCTTTTACTTCTGTCGCGCGGCAAGACTGCATACAATGGACCAGTGGCGGGCATTCATGACTATTTCGCAAGCACTGGCTACGAGATGCCTACCTACATCAATCCCGCCGAGTACATCATACAAATAGTCAACATCGACTTCTCACAGAATCAAGCCGAAGCTGTCGATAGACTTGACCAGCTGCACACATCTTGGAATGCTTCTCAGCAAGCTGCAACCCTTCAAGCTAGCCTTGACCAGACCACACAAGCCGGCGCAGGCCTGAGTCTCGACCACGCCCATCTCTCCGCGAACCCCTACCTCATACCTCTCACACTAATGCACCGCTCATTCATCAAGTCCTACCGCGACATTGTAGCATACGGTATTCGTATAGCGATGTATGTTTGCCTCGCCATCCTAATGGGCACGGTCTGGCTCCGCCTCTCCCCCACCCAAGACAACATCACAGCCTTCACCAACGCCATCTTCTTCGGCGGCGCATTCATGTCCTTCATGGCCGTAGCCTACATCCCCGCCTACCTCGAGGACCTCTCCCTGTACACAAAAGAGCGCCTCAACGGCCTCTACGGCCCCACAGCCTTCATGCTAGCAAACTTCCTCGTCGGCATCCCCTACCTGTTCCTCATCACGATCCTGTTCTCGGTCATCGCATACTGGCTGGGTAACTTCCGTCCTGGCACCGACGCCTTCTTCACATGGGTCATGTGGCTGTTTCTCGACCTGCTCGCCGCCGAGTCCCTCGTTGTGCTCCTCTCCAGCTTGATTCCCATCTTCGTCGTTGCGCTCGCGGCGACGGCGTTCGCGAACGGACTGTGGATGTGCGTCAATGGATTCATGGTCGAGCCGCAGACGCTCAATGTGTTCTGGAGGTATGTGTTCCACTACATTGATTATCAGGCGTATGTGTTCCGTGGCATGATGGTCAATGAGTTCGGGAAGAGAAACTATGCGTGCGAGGTTGTGGAGGGCGCGTGTCAGTGCATGTACCCAAGTAAACTGCAAGACCAGTGTATGATTGAGGGGACGGCGGTGCTGGAGAGGTATGGTTTTAATACTGAGAATATGGGCAAGTATGTGGGGTACATGTTGGTTATTATCTTCGGATATCGGTTGCTGGGATGGGTGGTGTTGTATGCGAGGAAGCACTGAGCATTTTGGTGGGTGTAAGGGCAAGAGGACGACGATAGACGTTTGTTTTTGTTTCATGCTTTGATCAAAATAGACATACTAATAATTAATTCCAACGCGCGTACTATAGTTTGCTCAGTACAGCGCTCATAAACACAAGTCGTTTCGCGCCCTTTGTGATTCATTCGCGCGTACTTTTTGCGATACTCCCCCGCTGCTGGATGGCTGGCAGCTCTATGTCTCTAGTTCTCGAGAGAAGAGTAAATTGACAAAAATCAGGAACGCGTGTACGTGTCCGCAATGCTGGAGAGTGTGGAACGGTCACCGTGGTTTCTTTCCGCAATGATAACCAAAGAAGTTCCGAAGACCTGAGAAGCGTAAGTTTCAGCCTTGCGGCAGCCTTAAATCAGAAGCATCCAATCAAATAATTCGTGGAGAAAAGCCACCGCGTCCTCATATACTCACCGGCTCTTAGAATTCCCGACCCTCACTTTCCTCCTTGCCTTCTCCAGAAGCTCTTACTTCGCCGCGATGGTAGCTCCAGCTTTTGGTTTTTCGGTGGGCGACTTCATTGCAGGGACCAAACTACTAATTACCATGCTCGATTCTTTCAAAGATTCCGGTGGAGCATCGAGCAAGTTCGCTTCCGAGGCAGCCTTCCTCAGCAGCCTTGTGTCAACAGTCAAACACTTGAGCGATTACATCCAGACCACGCCTCAGGATGACATCGCCGAGGATGTCGCGAAGCTAGTCGACGTAATAAAGGAGCCTTTGTCCGAGTTCAAACAATTCCTCGATAAGCATGAAGCCGCCCTTGGGAAACAGCCTACGAAATCAGGCTTAGGGAAGATCAAATCTACCATCAAGTATACCATCAAAGATGCTTCCGGCAAGATAGAGAAGCTTCGGATACAAGTGGAACAACCGCTTCAAGCTGTGAACTCTCTGCTAGCGTTGCAAGTCCTGTAAGTATTCAAACGTTCACATACTGCTTCCTTTAGGTGATCAGTAACTTACGACAGTTTTTCAGGAAGTGTATCACGAGCACACCACAGAAGCCATTACAGCAAAATCAATTACTGCAGATAGTGGAAGCTATTCATGTAGCGGACGTACCTACTGAATTACAGAAGCAGATCGATGTGCTCCAGCATGGCGTAGCGACCCAGAAGGTCCAGAACGACCACCAGTTGGAGCGTATCATTGATATGCGTGATAGCTTGACAGGCCAGCTAGATGCACTTCAAAATATCCTCGAAGAAACTACAGCGCTCCCGTCAAACAATCAAAGTGACCAGCAGGCAAACGCGCAACCAGAACAAGGTTCATCATACTCTGACAGGTCGACTCTCGAAGAAGCGCTCAGTGCTCAACATCATGAGCTCGAGAAGGCTATGAGAGAGCAAAGTCAACTGCTGTTGGCGCTTAAGTCTTTCCTTGAAGAGAAAGCTGCTATGCAACAGCAATCCGTAGACAGTTCAACCACAGGGGGAATGGGTCGGCGATTTTGGCCCTTAGCCACTCTCCCTACAGCTCACATGGCTACTGTCCTAGTCTCTGCGCTTGTTTCAAGCGTCGTAACAGCAAATTCCAGGATGAGAGGCGCACGAGCAAATCAGACCACACCAACGGAAACATTAGCGTCTCGGAACTATGTTTACATACCATCGAGGCCAAAGGAGGACCAATTCAGTTCAAAGTCTGCAACAATAACAAAAACCGATAATGTATCTCCAACACAATCTATGCAGTCAGAGGCCTATAGATGGGTGTCAGACTTTACACGCGATACTGGCAGTTCGACACTTCGTGTAACGGAGGAATTGAGACCGAAACCGCCGACGACAAGTTTATTCAATCTCAAAGCGAGACGCAGCAATATGTCCAGAAGAGGAAGTAAGAGCTCAGGTCCCGACGTAAACAACTCAAGTGAGGACCAAAGGGTTGTTAATAAGAGCTGGAGTAAGAAGAAGTCCGAATCGGATAGGGATGATCTCAGTGAAGCCACCACGCGCCTCTTTGAGAATGGCAGTCCGAAGTTAGGCCCTGCTTCAGACACATGGGTCTGTACGGAATGTGGTACTTTCAACTCCAAACTCACTATGCCAGACCGCTGTCCTGTGTGTGGCAGTACGCGTCTCTGAGGCTTTCAACTTCCACCACGGATTCTCTTGTGGTTGGCATCGCCTCTTCACCGCTTAAGACCCTTTGATAATGCGTAAATCTAATGCGTTTCGAACCCAACCCATCTATCCGTGTCTCAGAAGACTTGACGAAGGGAAAGCCGTCAAATAACCGGTAGTACCCTGCTCACTCCTCACGCCTCCCCGAACCGTTCCTGGGTAGCGCCTTCCTTTACACCAGCTTCTCTGCCACCTTACATCCTCCGACGTAACAAAAAACCCACATCTTCCTGCAATCCATACAACACCCTCCTATCCCTTACCTAGTGGACCAAATAAACTCTACACCCACTCAACGCCCCGACTGGCTTGACTTCCACAAGCTGTACAATCCCATCTTCCTGAAGCGCAACTACCAAGCTGAACACATATTGGAGCAACAGCGTGTTGGTCACTTGACTCATCCCCTCTTGTATAAATGCTTTGATTCTCTTCAACACTTCGTTCGCACCAGAGCACACCAACTCTGCCGCGTGTTCTATCGAAAATTCGAACAGCTGTTTAAAAGGGAAGGGCCATCTATACTGATTGACCGCACTGACCCTAAACTCTCTGACTCCTCCCTTTATATCGCTAGCCATCGGCGGCGGAATGAAATCGCGAAACTCCCTAGCGGCATCCACGCCATCATCCCACAGATTCAGAACCAATCCAATCTTCCTCTCCCCCTCTCTTGCTCTCCCTCCGCCTTCCAATTCTGAGTGGTGTGTTGGTGATATTGTAGACGAAGGCCAGTGGAGGTAGAATCGGCAAGAACATTGTAATGTGCGTCAAGTGCAGTCTTTAGTTGAAGTCGACTCAGCGTGTTTAATGACCACGGATCGGGAAGGGCGCAAAATGACTTGCGAGCCCTCAACCGTACAATGTACCATTTCAAAAGAAGCTGATTTTTACATCAAGTTGAAGGCCTTTGTGGGTATTGTTTAAGAGATTTATTTTTACATTTCTATTGCTGGACGATAATATGTCGTCGACTTGGCACTGTTACAAGTGTAGGGGGTATCATTCGCTGAAAGTATCAAGTGATCTGATGGAGACCAATGCCGGCTTACCTGGCAAGGCTTCGTGATCTTAGTCTGAGTCGTAGTCCACCAGAGCAGCGGCTGAGGTAGGTCTTTTTGTTGGGACTTCTGTTGATTGATCGATTATAATTGACTTCGTTGCGGGCGACTGCGTTTTCTGATCTTCGGACCCATCTTCGTTCCGTTTGCGCTTGATCCCTAAGCTCAGCTTAGTGGAACTTTTCGCTTCCGCGGACAGGAAGGGATCGATCGAGGCTCTCGTGTTCCCGGCAAGCGATTGCTGTAAGTTCTGACGGCTCTTCTCCGCCGCAATCTCTGATTTAAGTTTCTTCTTCGAGACCGTCTCCGTCATTGCCGCCTTGACGCTCGTAAACAGCGGTTTTCTCACAGCTTCCTCCACGCCGTCATCCAGCGTGCTTGCGCCAAAGTCAACCAACTTTGCCCGCATATCATCCGTCTCTGTCCCATCCGCGATCTCATATCCAAAGCTGAACTTCTCCTGCATCCCTTCCTTCAACCTATCTTCCTTCTTCCACCCCCGCCTCTTCTCCCTAAACTCCCGCCTCAGCTTAGCGTTCACATCGTACGGATCTCTCCACACCTCCGCCTTATCATACAGCTCCTCTATCCTCTCCGCATGCCCCCTCTGCTCCCCCTTCTCCTCAACCTTCCCCTCAAACCGCGCAAACGCATCCGTCCTCCTCTTCTCCCTCTCCTCCTCGCTCAAAAACTTCATCTCCCCTCCCCTGCTTCTCTTCTCCGTAATCCCGCCGTTGCGCCCCCTCCACAACAACATACTCCGCGTTCTTCGGATCCGTGCGGATCTCCCACCACCCGCCGCACGCCGTGTGCTTCATGCGGAAGCTCCATATCGGCGTCGAGTAGTAGTTTCCTGCTTTTTTCTTCTCGGCGTTGAAGCGTACGCCTTGACCGACGATGGCGGGGGGTGTGCAGTGCGAGCACCATACTGCGAAGGGGAGCTCGAAGCGGACGACGAGCGCGCCGCCTTTCTTTGCGCGAGAGCCGAGCGGGTTCGAGGTGTTGAAGGTGGGAGCGTTGGAGGCGTCAGGCGGGTAGTATCTACCCATGTTGAAGCCCTGCATGGTGGGCGAGGAGCGCGCAGCGTGCGCGGTGGAGGTGGTGTTGTGGTGTGCAGTTGTGTGTTATGGCGTGGGGAAAGTTGAAGTGGCGGTGGTGGCTGCGAGAGCTTGGTCGATCTCCCGCGCATCTTCAAAAGGGACGTTGGTCGACTCATCTAACTTCCATGATCGCTAAAACACGCTTGAAAGTTCAACATTCAATACCTAGAGCATGACCTTTTTGGTGAGTCCATGGGCCAAAGTAGAACACGTGACACCGGGAGAGCCATCATTGATACAGTTATGTCATGCGTGCCGTAACTCAAGACTGAGTGCACCAAATTGAACAGACCCAATAATCTGACATGCTCACCCTTGGCTCTTTCATCCTCCATCTCAGATTCACCACCGTGTATTTCCCAGACAGGAAAGTAGATTAAGGTTATCCGTTGATTACGGCACTAAAAGGCTTGTCTTTGTTGCCCTTTCGCAGCGGTAGGCTTGCCTCATTCGGAAAAGTGACACTGAAGATGTTACAGCGAGTGAAGTTCCTCTCCAGGTTCCTTCTTATATATTGTAATCCTTTGAATCTACGTACGCTAGAAGCACTAATGGAAAATGCTGGGTGCAGCAGAGAACTAAATCAGGTTCTTTTGATGTCTATATGCTAAACCCACATGACAGTGCGGACCCTTCCCAGAGACGTCGGTCTCCCCAACCGCTTCGCGCGGCTTGCTCCTTCTTGAGGGTCGCAGAAACAGTCGCAGCCTAAGCTGTGGCGACTTGCCTGTAACTCGTCTTGGCTCAACGGCCACCTCTTCAACCCGCTTAAGCAGCGGTAGCATCGTCTGTGATCAACTTGGTGATCTTACCAATGGCGATGGTCTGTCCTTGGTCACTGTCCAATAATTAGCGTCTCTCCTAGATTTGTAAAATGTGTTAGCAAGGCTTACCGAAGCGTGAAGCGGCCAAGCTGAGGGTAATCCTCGAAGCGCTCAACGCAGAGAGCACCGGCAGTACCGGTGACCTTGAGTCGCGCAATGATCGACATGCCCCTCGTGGCGAAACCGGGTGCCTTCTTACTCTTCCTGCCGGTACCCTTCTCAAGCTTGTGGAGCAAGGCCTCGAACGTGACCTCTTCTTGAGCGGCGTGCACGTGCAGTACACAGTTGTAACCCGCTGTGAGAATACTCTTCAGGTCCAAAAGCACAATCTGAGCCTCGAATGATGATACGCAGTGTACGGGTCGCTTAGGAGAGCAGAGAACGAATCCTGGAAGAATGTCTTCTTCTTCAACTCCACGAAGGCGGACACGGACCTGGTCACCACACGCAGCTCCAGTGATTTCATCTTCTTGTTCGCCGTAAAGCGCGGAGATCGAAATGGTATCTCGGTTGGGCATCATGAGGTACTTGTTTTCCTTCTTGATGACACCAGACTCGATCTTACCCTCAATCATTGTACCTAGATCTCGGTACTTGGCAGAGATTGGCATCATGAAGGGTGCGTTGAGCTTTCTCTCGAGAGCTTTCATGTTGTCGAGATACTCGAGCAGCGATGGGCCGTCGTGCCACGGTGCAAGATCCTTGGGAACTCTGTCCTTGATACCGACAGTGGTTTGAGCGCTGATGGGCATGAACGCAACGTCGGTCTTTGGGTTGTAGCCGACACCCTTCAGAAAGATTGTAAGCTTCGTTGTGCACTCCTTGTATCGTTCCTCGGACCACTCGACCGTTGGGTCGTCCATCTTGTTGACAGCGACGACGAGCTTGTTCACACCCTGGGTCTTAGCCAACATAGCGTGCTCGCGAGTCTGTCCTCCCTTCTCGAAACCTGTCTCGTACTCACCCTTACGGGCAGAGATGACCAGGATTCCGACATCGGCCTGAGCCGCACCACCGATCATGCTCGGAACGTACGTCTTGTGGCCTGGTGCATCGAGAATAGAGTATCGTCGCTTTTCTGTCTCGAAGAACCCCCTTCCAACTTCGACAGTCTTGCCCTTGGATCGTTCTTCCTTGGTCAGATCCAGAGCCCAGGAAAGGTACCAAGTTTCGCGACCGGCGTCCTTGGCTTCCCTCTTGTACTTGTCCATTGTCCGCTCATCGACCATACCGGTGGCGAAGAGAATGCTCCCACCCAGAGTAGACTTGCCGGCATCAACGTGGCCCAGGAAAATGACGTTGATGTGCTCTTTTCCATACATCTCAGCGAGAACGGCCTCGTCGACGTCTTCTTCCTGCTCTTTCTCCAGATCGACAACCTGTTTCTTGCTTTCGGCAGCTCGGCTAGGCGAGCTGCGGCCTGTCGAGGGAGTGGGTGACGTCCGGCCAGAGGGGCTGGCGGCCTTTGTCGGCTCGCCGGTCTTCTCGATGGCAACTGCTGCAGCGACCTTCGCTCCAGCCTCAGGTGCCTGGGTGTCGACATTGTCCTTTGCAGTTGGTGCAGCAGCGGGCGCGGCGCCTAGACTCAGGACCTTGGTTCCGCCCGTGTTCTCTACTTTGGGAGCGACGGTATCACCGCCGATTGACAGGACCTTTGCCTTGGGCGCAGCATCTCCTCCAATGCTCAGAACCTTCGCCTTGGGCTCAGCATCCTTCTTCGGCTGAGCAGCCGGAGCGGCTGGAGCGTTGTTGTCGCCTCTCTTCGCAATCTGAACAGGAGCCTGGCGCTGCTGCTGTTGCTGGGGCTGAAAGTTCTGCTGTTGCTGGTAGTTGTATTGGCCTCCGTAGCCCTGCTGCCCGTACTGCTGTTGCTGTTGTCCGTATTGGCCATATTGAGGGTATCCTTGCTGCTGTCCATATTGTTGGTAGTTGCTGTATCCTTGTTGTCCGTACTGCCCGTATTGCTGGTACCCTCCGCCATACTGCTGATATTGCTGCCCAGGCGTGAACGACTGCGCGCCTGGGGTAAACGACGATGCGCCTGGAGTGAACGAAGCGCCACCAGGTCTGAATTGACCTTGCGCATTATTGTTGTTGTTAATGTTGAGGTTCTGCGCCTGCTGCGACAGATTGTCCTCCTCTTGCTCCCACGAGTCTGCCATGGTGTGCGTATGTGTGCGTTCGTGTGCGGGGCGCGGGGCTAGCGAAAATCAAGGGCGGCGTCGTATCCGAACACGCAGAGCAAAAGGTAAGACCCGTATGTGTCTGCCGATGTAGCGATGGCAAGTGAACGGCCCAGGCTTTATACGGAGCTGGCGTTGGGAGCGGCGAGGTGCGAGGGCAAAAAGTGTGCGGTAGTGGTGGGCCTCTGACGCGGGGCAAACTTGCTGGGCAGCGACTTCCGTGGCTGGTGGGTGCCTTCCGCGCCTGACACAGACCAGGAACTCCAAACAAGAAGACGGGTTCGTGCCTCCAGACAGCAAACTCGCCGAGATGATGACTCTCTCGCCCGGCCTTCCCCTTGTCACAGAGCCCTCGCTTCAACTTGTTCGGCGTTGAGGGCGCGTTGTTCTTGGAGCATTATTGTTCCCACTAGACCGTCCACGCGTTGATTGGCGCCCCGAACAACCCATACAGTCAATATGGAAGTCCTTCTGTCAAAGGTATGACTCTACCAGGACTGCAATCAGAACGTACTTTCTGGCCTCTGATGCAATGGTGACTCTATGAAGGATCCACTGACTCTTTTTCATGTGTAGGTGACTCAGCAGGCGATCAATTACGCCGTCCGTACAGGCATTACGATCACCAGTGGCTATGCCATCCGACAATGTGGACGTTTACTCAAGGTTCGTGAACCCAACAAAATCCACACCGTACCTAAGCCCTACGGCTTGGTCTCATCGCCTTTCCTGGGATAGCGCAGAGATTTCAGATTCTAAGCATGGTGCTGCACAAATAACCCAACTAACATCGGTGTGCAACAGACTGTGGAAGGTCGCGAGAAACATGAATTGGCCGCCTTGCAGCTACGGCTCGAAGGCAAGATCAGGGTGGGTGCCATTGAACATTAACATGGGTAAATCACTAACCCCTCGAAACAGATCATCTCGCCAGCGATTGATATGATTGAACTGATAGCAGCGCGTGGAAACACCTCATTAGAATCCGCTGTTACTTTGACCAAGTCTCTTCGGTTCGACATCCAGTCCTTAGGCGTGCGCCTTGCTAAGGCTGTAGGCGAGGAAAAGCTGGCCCGCAAAGGGAGCTCACGCAGCAAGTCGCGCGCTGAGAATGATCTTGAACTGCGTCTGATCATCGCTGAGATCAAGAATCTGCTCAATAGGATTGAAGATGCAGTGCCACTGATCAGCCTCGCCATCACAACGTCCGGCGTCAATCTGTCAACCACTCTTCCGGCGACTGTCTCACCGTCTAGAATGTTGCAGGCGAGCACCTTTCTGACACATGGCGACACACAATATAACATGGACATGCCTCGAGCACAGCAGATAGGGCCTTCGTTTTACCTCTCCATGTACATGTTGTTTTCCGGACATGCGAACAGGGCCCTGGACGAAGAGGGCATCCGGGAGACGACCTGGAAAGAGGTCATGCACAAAGCTCGCGTTGTATTGTTGAGGGTTCCACTTGATAATATCTACCACTATCCTGAACCATTTCGGGGCGACATCGGTCGAGGCGACGAACGCGAGCACAGCCATATTCCTTCCGAAGGACGCCTGCACGAATTCGCGTACCAGCTGTTGATTGTCGAAGATCTTGAAGATGACCGCGTGCACACATTTGAGGAGGGTGAAGAGCAACCAGGTCCATATAATGGCGTTGGCCTTGCGGGAATCCGAGAGATAATTCCCATTCATGAGATTTCCAAGATCTTCTATGCTGACACGGGAAAAATTCTCAATATCGGAACGGACGGTGAGACGAACAACCCTATCCTTCTGCTGAAACGCGATGTTCACGCTGTGCCCCCTCGCCGTATGATGGAGCGAAACGACGTGGAGCACGAATATGACTCTGACGGCTCACATACCGTTGGTGATTCTGAGCCAGACGAGGAACAAACTGAACTGGATGAGCAATTACGCCGTGAGTCGACGGCAGAGCTTCCTACAGCTGAGTTGCCTGTCGAAGAACCTCAAATTCACCCTTGGCGTCTTCCTCCGAACCTAGACCTGGAGTGGATGGCGTTTGAGGTATACACAGAAGAGCCGCCCTCCGACTCCGACATTGACGAATCTGACCTCGATGTTGGGACTTCATCGTCAGCAACGGCAACCCCACAGCATGCCGAGTCTGCGTCTCCTGGTCTAGCCTCCTACTTCTCCAAATTGAATCTACGACCTTCAACACCAACAACGTCGATGCCACCACCGCCCGACACTCAACTCATACCCTCTCCGCAGAAGAGCTCCCTCCCCATCCCTCAGCAGGCCCGGGCACCTACCGCTGCTCCGGCCATCAAAACCTCGCTATCTCTCCTTGAGATGCTCGTCCGTCTTACTGCCCTACAGCAGTTCCAACAAACGTCACACCTGGCTGTCCCGGACGAGCTTCTCAATTTCTTCCTTTCTGATAGCAGCACTGTAGGCTCCGGCGGAGATGCCGAACTTAGACGTCGCGTCCGTCGAGAGGCGCGTATGAGGGTGGGCTTTGACCCGTATGATGAGAGCCCAATCAAGCGACGTGGCGAGGAGTATCTAGAGCATGAGTTTCACGACGCTACGAACGGGTACGATGATACAACCCCTTCGTCACCAGGTGAAGGGCGATTTGACTATGAGGGCTACCCGCATGGTAAAGCATCCCCGCGCTCTCGGTCTACGACGCCTATGTCGCCCTCCTTGCCTGACTCCTCACCCGTTGGAGGCGGTCGCTCGAAGTCCTCTGCAGACATTCCGCTGCCGTCGCGTGAGATTCGCTCGTCGTTATCCTCTGCCAGTCCGCTCTTGCGACGAGCCACCGATCGACCGAATCAGTATAGGGGGATCAAGCAGCCAAGCTTTCGCGGTCCTCCTACAGCGCCACCTACTTCTAGTTCACCCCGGATACCGCAAGCTACATCGGGTGTAATCCAGATGGGAAGGGAAAATGAAACGCCAGACACTCCACCAAGTAGTAGCACCAAGTCTCCATGAATGCTTCTCCTTTTGTTTAGCGACAAGCGATTGTTACGATACTAATGACAGTATGCATAGACAATGGGCGTCTTGGCTTAGATGTATATTGATTCTTTAAAACTAACATGTACGGCGCATGAACGGAGCATGTGCACCGAATGCCAGAGTATTTGTAATTCTTCCACTTGGTATGGGGTGCAAAAATGTATGTGGTGGTAATCATTCAAACAATAGAGACATTATTCCAAGTTCTGTTCGCTAGTGAGCGGTCTCAAAAGGCATTGTTTGACATCCAAATCTGTACCCCACCGGCTGCAATAGTCTTCATTGAAGGGAATCGCCTTGCTCGGAAAGCCAAATGCTTCATTGACCATTGTGGCTGATCAAGACAGGCTGAACGGCAATAAGCTTTCACGTGCTGATAAGGCTCCGGGTGTTACGTAGGTTTCAATTTCCAGGCTAGTATGCAGGGGCCGTGTGCGCAACCCTACTCGTAGCTCCCTCAAGTAGTGCTCAAGTGCCGAGGACAACAAGCCAAGCTCTCACACCACGCACACCGGCCCGCATACGTTAACTTTCGCAAGCACATCTGTAGACACCGTCGCTGCTGCGGTTGCGCAGTTTGTTATAGCCATGGACTCTGCATACGATCACATACAAGAGGAGGCCTACCCCCAGGACCCAGCCCCGCAATCTCAGGCTACCAAAGACACCACCGCGCCCGCATCCAACAACTTCCAAAGCGAGGTACAAGATGCATACAAGGCGATTTCGAGCAGCCCATGGGCCGCACGTCTTGGCGGTTTCCTCGGTACAGTGAAGAAGCAGGTTCGTGGTCTTTCGAGCGTATTAAAGGAAGCTTCCCTAACACATGACAATGATCAGGGCGAGCAATACTACGATGGAGCAAGCAAGCAAGCAACAGCGGGCATTACAAACATCATGAAACATACGCGCAACCTTTCCGTCAACGCCGGCGAAGCTTCGTCTACCGATGCCGAGACCACACCGTCTACGTCCAGAGCCGCCGCCGAGCAAGACCTAGATGCGCACCCCGACCGCCCAGAGTCGCTCCCCGCAGACATTGTTAAGGAAGCAGAGGGCATGTTGAGTCGCTTTCGCGCCGAAGCGGCCAAACGCCTCAAAGACATCGAGAAAGCCGAAGACGCCGCCGACGAAGCCCTTCTGAAGTTCGGCACCAACATCCGCTCCTTCCTCCGCGACGCCGTGACGATTGCGCCGCCCAGCGAAGATGCCTCAGGAAACCCAGGCGCGGTGCTTTTCGAATCGAAGGATAGCTCTGGCAAGAAGGTGGTGCACGCTACGCGTTTCGATGCACAGCTACACGTTATTCATTCGTCCTTGGATTCGTTTCTTAAGGACCCTGTGAGCCCCGAATGGGAAGCTTGGAGGAATGGGTTCAACGTAGAGAAAAAGACGGATGAGATTGCGCAGGACCTGGAGAAGCACGCAGAGCTGAGGACAGCCATGGAGAAATTAGTGCCTGAAAGGGTCGAGTATGGTGCGTTTTGGGAGAGGTACTACTTCTTGAGGCATGTCATTGAGAGTGAGGAGCAAAGGCGGAGGGAGATGCTCAAGGGTATGTCCAATTCGCACCGTGTCTACATTTGTATCGTGAACTAATGTCCCTTAGCATCCGCGCCAACCGAGGAAGAAGTGGGATGGGACGAGGACTCCGAGTCCGATGCTGATGAGACGTCCACTTCTACGCCCCAAGCCGCAAAATCCGCTACAAACCTTGCCGCCTCACAGGGAACGCTTAAACCGGCTGCAGAAGACATGCTGAAGCCTGCGCAACCGCGGCGATCAAACGATGAGAAGAGCGTAGCAGACAGTGATGCGAGCTACGATCTAGTGAGCGGGGCAACAAGCCGTGCACCAGGCAGTCCGCAGGAGAAGAAGAAGGCTGTGACTGAGGAGAGCGACGAGGAAGATTGGGAGTAGCCTTTTTACCAGACGATTGATCGAGCGATTTTATGCGGATATCAGGCGTTTTGGAAGGCTTACGAACCGGCTTCTGTAAATAGCCAGATCAGGCTTGGAAGTAATGTGTGTCAATCTTGATCATTGAGACGACCTTCTGCCAGTAATTCTTACAGCATTTTCAGACACAGAGCGCAAGGACTCCATAGCGAGCTTACGAACGGGTGCAACGCGACACAATGAAGCCACTGACCAAAAATTAGCTCACGAAAATCTTACAGTTTACGTTCGTACCGTAACAATGCGCATATACCAACTTCACAATGCACGCACTCAACTACACCCTACCATAAAACCTGTTTACTCTCCCTACCCGCAGTCGAATCCAACCACGTCCGGACTTCTCACGAATACAAGCAATCTAAAACAAGATTACACAGACAAAAACTACTCCCAGCACGAAATGACGCCACTACCACTTCCACGCAGCCTCGCCCACAACCTCACCGACCTACAAGCCATCGAAGACGCTGCCCATTACCGGTGGAATCCAGCATGGCAATGGCTGCTCGTCGGCTTACTCTTTGTCTGCTTCATCTTCAACACCTTGAAGCCGCTCTTGTTCTCGGATTATCATTTGCAGCGCCACGTACCTGATAAGTGGTTCACATGGATTGCACCGCGCCAGGAGGTGAAGATGTAATAGTGGGGAGCGGATGTGAGGTGAGGCTGTTAGAGAGATGGGCGGCTTTTGGTGAGAGTGTGGAAGGAGTAAGGACATAAGCGAGGTCGGTGAGCGAGCATAGAGGTAAGGATGCTTGCATCGTACCTCCTGTATCCTTCATCAACATAAAGCTTCACAATGAATGATACAATTTCCACATTTTGTAAATCTAATCTAATTTCGATGCATGTGCGCTGCACGGCCGACCCTCGCGCCATACACCCCTAATATTCAATGTTGCATCAATATCTTTCAGTGGATCACCTTCCACCAGTAGCAGATCAGCATTCAGTCCTTCTTCCAGCCTTCCACGATCATCGAATTGGAAGCGCTTCGCAACCAAACTTGTCGCGGATCGGAGGGCTTCTTTAGGTGTCATGCCGACCTTGTTAACAAAGAGGTAGAGTTCTTGATGCATCGAGAGACCAAAAGCCGTGCCCACAGCTGGACCGGCTGCGTCGCTGCCGCTGTTTGGGATCAGTAATTATGAATGAGAATCTCGTTGAGCACTCACCAGAGAATATCTACACCCGCACCTCTCAACATGCGGACGCTCTCATAAGCATACTCCACTTTACCGTGTTGTGCCGCAAAACCCATGCAATTGCACAAGTTGGTCATCTCGCTCTCGCCAATCAGACCCTTCACCCTCGGATCATGTGCAAATCTATCTTGCAGTTCTCTGCCCTCTCCCGTGAGACTCCCCACCGTCGCAAGCGTTGGGTTAAGCCAAGCGTTGCTCTTCTTATATGCATCGACAAGCTCCTGCGTCGGCGGCTGGTCGCACATAGTATGCGTCAACCCATTGACACCCGCTTCCAGCACTTCCAGCGTATCGTTCAAGCTCGTGGCATGCGCTACAGTCAAATAGCCTCTCTTGCTCGCCTCCTCGACGATAATGCGTTGAAGCTCAACACTCGGCTTCGTCAACGGCATCCCCATGCTCGTCCCTGACTCATGCATCAACTTAATGTAATCAGGCTGCATCTCCCTACCCGTCCACTCAAGATACTCAACCACGTTCTCCCTATTCGACAGCTTCGGCCACTTTGCTATCTCCGCCAGCGTCTCCTCGCTCTTATCATGTGCCGTGATAACAGGGATAGGCCATCCGTTCTCAATGGTCGCGGCCTGCCCTGCAGTCTTGTAGGACGCGGTGTCCGGTTCTAGAGCTTGCTTTTTGAGTTTCTGCACGTTGACTAGCTCGTTTTGCATCTCGCAGACGGTGGTGACGCCGAAGCGGAGAGCTTGGGGGAGGGCGACGGGGTTGCCCATGTCGGCGTGGATGTGGCAGTCGATGAGGCCTGGGAGCAGAGTGTGTCCTGGCTTTGAGTATGTTTGGATCGAGAGCTGGGGGATGTTGGATGTGGGACCTATGGCTTTGATTTTCCCGGAGGAGACGTGGATGAAGCCATTTGGGATGGTGTCTTCTCCGGTGAAGATCTGGACATCACAGATTATGAATGAGTTCATTGTATCGGATTTTCTTGTCGTAGTTTCAGCTAATATTGGACGTGGTGCGGAGACTGTTACTAATGAGCGAGCAGTTTGGAGACGATAGTTTAAGTATGATACCCCACGTTGTACCAAGCCTTCGGCCCTACCTGCTTGCTCCGATTCGAAATCCCGTTCAATCAGACATCTCCTTCGTTTTATCGCAACTCCACTTGCCGATCCGTAAGGTGACGGCAACTCCATTTGCCAAATGAGGCTACCGCGGATTGTACAATCTTGTACAATCTCAGCGGTTCCTGCCGGCACCGCAGGAATCAACCATTTCATGTCACTACGTCGCTCCTAGCAATTACGACGCGCCTCCTCGCGCATGCTAATACAAAATATTTACTTCTTTGCCCCTCCCTCCAAGGTTTGAGATAGTGCTCGACGACGGTAGTTGCATCGCGAACGGTTAGCGGCGAAACACGTGGGGAGCCGGCTCCGCTACAGTCGGTCGGGATGTATGCGCACGTTCCTAGGTATTACCAAGGTCGCCGGACCCTTAGCAAGTGCTCTAGTATTCATACACTCCCTGACAAGTAGTGATTCCTTTACTACGGCGAGAAGGTGCAAACGTTGATGCATTAACCTTGGATAGCATAGAGTACGCCGCACACTTCAGCTCACGCACAACCTCAGATGAACATATATGATTCCGATGTAGGGCAGATTTCTACGCGTGGCATAGCGTATTCCTCTCCCCAGCCCGCGTGTCACGTGTGGAGCTGAAGACCCGTAAGAGACCTTGAAAGACCGACGCTGGATACCTATGGTATGTATGGTAGATGCGCGACAGGTGGTAAGCTACGTAGCACCTTGACTACTCGGGCGCACGAGTATGGAAGCACCGTTGTAAGACATATATAGTTCACCCCGCTAATACACGGTCCCTTTCTGAGGGAACCTATGCCTGGGCGATCTCTGTTCGCTCTAGTGGTAGTTCCACGAATCGCTAAGCTCCTGCGGCAAATATAGGTACCGTCGCTGGGTACCTTAATTAATACCGTCATTTTAAGCATCAATTTGCCGTCTTGGCGACCAGAAAGGTCACTTTGCTAACCTACAATCCGCACATCGCGAAGCAAGCTAACATGGTTCAGCTTAGCGCTACATGAACATGGTGCACGTTTGTACTCGAATCTATTGTTCCTATCGCAGGAAGAGGGCGATCGTACTTTATGTGGAAGGACTACAACGAATCCTACAGAATGCCTGCAATAATCGCCAAAAGAGAGTAAGACCTCCTCGCTCGACATTGACCCGCAACGATGTCTTTAAGAATGAACTCTCAATACCCGCCTACTAGGTCGTCGCCTCCCACAACTTGTATCGCACGCCATGAAAGCCCTAGACTTCATGGAAGCCGTCACGGCTCTCTGCGCTCTTTGTCTGACATCTGCTACGCCCATAGCCGCACAAGAACATGCTTTTCATCCTAGAATCGCGGCTCCGGCTGATGCTGCGACAAGGATGCGTGTGCAGTTCTACTCTCCAACTGCTCGAGATCTGCCAGACTCTGATTGGTCAAGGTGGCCGGTATCCGCCTGGGGCTCGACAACCATTAATAACATCACATTCGAGCTGGAGTCTAGCACTACATTGAAGGGCGGAGAGTACAAACAACAATACCGCCGGCCTCTTCCGTCCATCGGCGAACGCCTTGTCAATCAAGGCATAACTACCGAGACTGGTAATGGTACCAATAGTGAGATCACACTTACGATTACTGGACTTCCAGCTGGTAGTCACACTTTGACTACCTGGCATAACACCTGGGAGGGCATCGCTAGTCCAGCCATACTTTCCATCACAGCAGCTGGGAAAAGTGTGGCAAGTGGAATCAATCAGACATCACGGGTGGACAATATATATGAGTCTGGCAACTCTTATATCAAATTCAACGTTGCATCTTCAACAACTGCAGTAGCCATTGTGTACACACCTAGCGGTGGAGATGGTCGCGTCTTCCTCAACGGCATCGAGATCGATGGTCCCTCACTTGTGCAGCAAATCAGTTTCCCCAGCCCGGCGAATAAAGACGAGTGGAACGACTTCGAAGGCACATCTTCACTAGCTGCCTCATGGCGTGCACCATCTGGAGAGTTAGCCCCGTCATACAACGTGTACGTTGGAACCAAGCCTACAAGTCTCGAAAGTGTCGCCACTGGAATTGATACCACAAGTACAACGCTCACTGGTCTGAACACTATGGATACTTTCTATTGGCGCGTTGATGTTGTTGCGGGCAATTCTACATATATCGGACGTGTGTACATGTTCCGTGGTCGGCAGCTTGCGTTTCCAGGAGCCGAAGGTTGGGGACGGTTCGCACGTGGCGGACGAGGTGGACAGGTCGTCAAGGTCACGAGTTTGGCTGACAGCACAGACGAGGGTACGCTTCGTTATGCCCTCACTGTCGCTACAGGCCCTCGTATCGTTATCTTTGACGTTGCCGGTGTCATTACCACGACATCGCGTATGACTATAAACAGCCAGTATATCACTGTCGCGGCTCAAACAGCTCCTGGAAAAGGAATCGTTGTTCAAGGCTATCCCGTAGGCTTGAGTGGTGGCACGGATGTGATCATTCGTCATATGCGGGTTCGCCCAGGCAAAATCTCAGGAGAGACTATCGATGGTATGGGAATGCAGGGATCCAACCACTGCATCTTCGATCGCTGCTCCATCAGCTGGACCATCGACGAGTCTTTCTCGTCTCGTTCTGCCAACAACATCACACTTCAGCGCACCATGATCTCAGAACCACTCAATGACGCAGGCCACAAAAACTATCCAGCGGGCACTCAGCACGGATACGCCGCTAGCATTGGTGGCAATGTGGGATCTTTCCATCACAATCTTATCGCTCACGCGGAAGGCCGCAGTTGGTCTATGGCAGGCGGGCTGAACGACAGTGCCTTCTTTGCCGGAAAGCTTGATATCCGAAACAACGTTGTTTACAACTTCGGTGACAGGACTACAGATGGTGGTGCAAACCAGGCCAACTTCGTTAACAACTATTACAAGCCTGGCCCCAACAGTACGCGAACTTATGACCTCAATGCTCAGTATGAGGATGCCGCCAATGGCGTACAGCAATACTATTGCGCTGGAAACTCCATGGTCGGCAAATTCGACCAGAATTCAACGCAAGTCGTCGACGACGGAACTGGAAAGACTTCGGACGTAGCTTGCACAGCTACTGTTACGAATGGTGGCGTGTCATATCAGAAGTTCTTTAGCTCACCGTAAGTCCTTCATCTGTGTATCCTATTTCATTGCTTTTAGCTGACGCTTCCGGTAGGTTCTTCGAGTCACACGTCGAGACCCAATCCTCGACCGAAGCGTACAAACGCGTCGTATCCGACACTGGCGTCCGTGCGCCTGTAATGGATGACCACGACAAGCGCATTGTGAACGAGACCGTCGCTGGCACGCAGACGTACAAGGGGTCCAAAACCGGCAAAGCGGGAATCATCGACGACCCCGCCGATGTGGGTGGTTTGGAGACTTTCCCCACTGTAACACGTGCTTCGTCCTGGGATGCTGACAACGACGGTATCGCGGACTGGTGGGATGGCAGCACGGGTGGGGAGGGCTACACGGCTATTGAGGGGTACGTTAATTTCATGGCTGAACCGCATGCTTTCGTTAGCCCCGGCAAGAGCGTGACGATGGATCTTATCGCATTGCTGGCTGCTGGATTCAAGAGCCCGACGTTTGCGGTTAGTGGAAGTACGAAGGGAAAGGTAGCGGTCAGTGGAGGCAGCGCGACATATACAGCAAGCTCCGCGGCTGGAATTGATTATATCGATGTGGCCATCGAGGACAGCGAGGGAAGCACTTGGACGCGAAAGGTTGGCATTGCTATTTTTGCAGGAGCGGAGAGCACACAGTAAGATTTGCGTTAGTTGGGCTGCATTCTTATGTCAATACAGTTAGCAAGCCTTTATTGGTTTTAGGGAGCACATGGAACTACTATTTTGGATTCGCCGCGGTCCACTACTCAATTACGTGATGAAATGGCAATCGCTGCAAATGCTATGCTATGGCGCTAATGCCTATGTGACGCTATGCGTTCGTCTTGCACACTCGCTGTTTAAGCACTAGCTTCTTCTTCTTCTTCTTCTTCTTCCCGATCATCGATCGCTTCGTATCCCTCTCTTTCCGGTACCGACAAGGCGATCAGTAGGCCCAACGCGACTAGGAACAATGCACCCGCAACAATGTAAGGAAGACCAAGCCACACCTCATGCTCCTGATTGAGGCCAACAGTATACAGCCAAGCATATATTGGACCGCTGATGGAGCCTCCAATAGCACGCAACATGGTGATAGCCGAGTATAGAATGCTGATATCGCGAGCAGGAACCAGCTCTGTTGCTAAAGAGCGCAGTAGAGAATCCTGGCCTGCTCCCATGGCTAGAATAATGACGCCTAGATTACGGTCAGTGAATGCTCATCACATGTGTTGGTGATGAGACAGTCGCCCACAAGATGAATACGTACCCAAGATAGCTACAGCTACAACAGGTGCAAAGCCCAAGCAGAGCTGTCCGACCGCAAGGGCTACCAGGCTCCATTCTGCGATGTGCTTGTCTTTCATAGCGGGAGAGAGTCTCGGGAAGTGGGCAGACAAGATTATAGTAAGTAGTGGAAGGACAAGCACAAGCATGAGTAGTTCCACACTCATCTCAAGCGAGTTGAGGAAGCTAGCCTACAAGTTGATAGTAAGCGTCCATCAATATTTGATGTATGACGGGTTTGGTAATTGCTTACATCCGAAAAGCTCCAACCGAAGCGCTTTGAGACATAAATGGCCAGCATGAGCGGTCCTGCATCGAAACCCAGCTGGCACAAAAATACCAGTACCAGCATAGCTACTACTTGCTTATTCCCAAGCAGGAGCGTGGCAACTTCCTTCAGAGCCTCAGCCGTACTCTGCAATCTCTTTCTCCACCCTGCAGATTCACCGCCGGCTTCGGCAGGCTTGGTAGCCTCCTCGACAGTCTGGTTCGGTATCATCGCTGCTGTCACCGTGCCAAGGACAAGGCTAACGAGGCCAACTGCCCAAGGCAAGTAATCATTCACCCTCATCATAAGCCCACTAGTAGCATACCCCACAATACTCGCAGCCACACCCGCAGCCCGTGAACGGAAGAACATCCCCGTCCGTTCTTCCGCGCTCACAACATCCGCAATAATCACGTGCAGAAGCGTGACTATAACCGTGAAGCCCCCGCCCACACAGCTGAACACGAAATGCAGCCATATCAACCGGATAGGAAACACATCCGGGAACCACGTCACTAGAAACGGCCACCCGTCTTCCAGCAATACGCCAAACATCGCGATGGCCAGGATGAACGAGTGGCCATAGCGATCCGCCAGCGCGGCGAAAGGTATCGCGAGAACACTCGGAATAATAATCGATAACCGCTCGATACCGCCAAGCAAGGCCAGTTCCTGCTGCACGGGCGCAACCTTGCAGTCGTGAGGGCCCGGCGAGCCATAGTACTGTTGGCAGACGATGGACTCGTAGATCGCGAGGCGGGGTGCAGGCTGGACGGTCTCGCCGAAGAGGAAGAGAAAACAGGTGAGGTAGATGAGAGGGATTGTGTATTTTGTCGTCATCTTGGCTGGCCAAGAGGACTTATGTCCCGGGAGCGGAAAGAAGGGTGAGCCAACGATGTTGTGCGTGTTGAGGTGGAGTCGGAAAAATCTTATCTGATTAGATGGGATGCAGGTCCGGGGGGGGCTGGAAGCGGCTAGGCTGCCGCTGATCTCCTGTGGGTCTTACCTCTAGCAATTAAGTCGCATCGAAGTACTCGCAAAGTCGAGGTGGAAAAGGACAGAGATGCACGTCTGTTCATGACTCTCGATTCGTTTGTCATTGAGTCTCTCAGATACATTCCACTTTGACGATTCTATGAGGATTTGGCATGCTTGTAAGTTGACCATTGCAATTACGTGACTAGAAAGCGGTTCCTATATTTCAGGTCGATGTTGCCTTTATCACCGGAGATGTTGCGCCCTCCTCATCGTGATCATGATACGTATCATGCTCGACTTCGAGACTATGACGGGATTGATAATCCTTGTTGAAGAGCGACTCCATGTCTTCGAGGCTACGCTGGCTAGTCTCGGGATACAAGAGCCCTATTCATCGTAAGTGGTGGTTACACCGTGGGATCCGATTAGAAGACAACTTACAAATGATGATTGCAGAAACTAGATTTGTGCTCATAAAGATGAAGTGCGTCTTAGAACCAATTTTACTCATACCGATAGGCCAAGTCTGGGACGATATGATTGAACCAATAGAACTGCCGGAAGCAGCGATATTCAGCCCGCGAGCTCTAAAGTTGGTTGGAAATATTTCAGAACCATATACCCAAGCAGCCGGACCGAAGCCTATAGAGTAACCGAAAGTGTAGATGAAGATAAACAATATACACACATAGTCAGCCGCGTGATTGATGTTGTTTGGGTATGCCTGTGGCAATGCACCGTTTAACTGCGAACAACTTAGAAACTAATCTGGCATGCATCAGGAAGAGACCTACCAATAGAGCAAAGCTCATAACGAGGCAAGATGCAACTAGTGTCAGTCTCCGACCATATCTATCGACGAGCCAAGTATCGATTACTGTGCACCCAATCTTCAAAGTGCTCTCGATGCCACCAATCATGAGGGTCAACTTGCGCTCGATACCGAGGCTCATGAAGATTGACGGCAGATAGTACTTCATGGAGGTGTTTCCACACATCTGCGCCATGAATTGTAGTAGTGCTGCCCTCCATAGTCGATTAAATAGAGGTCGATTGGTAAAGAGTACAGTCCACCCTTGCTCGGTGGCGCTTCGCCGGTTCTGTACGTCTTGTTCGATCTCCTCGAGTTCGACAACGACACGCTGATCAGTGGGACTTAATGCCCGCAGCCATGCAAGGCTTCTTTTAGCAGCATCAATACGTCCGCTTTCTACAAGCCATCTAGGACTGCACAATTGTCAATGCAAGGTTTCCTGTGCATGGTGAAAGTCATACGTCTCAGGACACAAGAATACTCCAAAGAGGAATACAGCTTCTGGTATGAACTGCAGCGCCATTGAGACACGCCACCCATAGTAAGTTCCACGTGCCGATTCCCAGTGGCTGATACCATAGCCAACCCTGCACACGTCAATTGTGCTGAATACGAGTGGGCCTGTCAAAGGTGCTTACCAGAAAGCGATGGCCAGGCCGGCGACGAGACCAACATGATTGATGACAACGTAACGTCCTCGATGTTTCGCGGGCGAAATCTCACTGTGCATTCGTTAGCAGGTGGTATCGGAAATTGTAGTCGGCGTACCTCTGGTACAGTGGAACCGACGTAGACACAATGGCAAGCCCAACGCCGCATACTATACGGCCAGCTATCATCATTGCTACACCGCCATGTCCTTTTGAAGCTGTTTGGATAGCAGCGCCGACTGCCGTTATCAAAACGCCAGTCGCTGCAGCTACTCTCCTCCCAAACCGATCAGCGAGCGGATGTGACACGAAAAGATAGCTGAGCCACGTGCCAAGGTAGTATATCGAAGTGATAAGGCCGGTCATCGCTTTCGTTGGCTTATGAAGCGATTGTATGAAACCTGGATGGATGTATATAGTGGCCATGATACCTGAATTAGATATTAGTTTCCAGGGAGTACTCTTGCCTGGCAAGGCGTAGGAACGCATAGCCTACCAATGTTGTACCTAAATCCGCGTTAGCCTAGCAAGTTGGAGTATAGTCTCACATACCCCCATGCTAAAGAAGCCAGCCCGAAAAAGAGACTGACGACCAGGATGCGGATGGATGCCTTCTTTGGCAAGTTGGCTGCTGAAGCTGCTGACGAGGTCGCCATTGCGTCAAACTGAGGCGGCAGAAGAGGCTGGCCGCTGCCGGTTCCCGACGTTACTGCGGGTATTAGTGGGACCGAAGAGTCTGATGCTATCTGTATTTGAGGGGGGCTCACACTCAGACTCTTCTGCATTTCGTGTCGAGGGTGGCGTTCGGGTCCTCATGTTCCCCCACGTTTTTTAGTAAGACCGGCAGTTCGGTGACGAATAGCAAGAACCGGGTGGAAGAAGTCAAGATGCAGCGGTCGTATTTCCTCCCTGGCATAGGCTGAAGGGTAGGTTGTGGCGTCCCGGTAACTGTGTCCACGTCCGACGTGGAACACGTGTAGACGCTCGAGGATTCGTTTCAGGTGGACTGGTTAAAGCAAGGTGTGCGACAATCACCCCGCCGCAACCAAGGGTAGCTGCAAGCTGGAGAACTTGCAGTACGTAAACTGTGCATGCCACAATTACGAGCACTCGTGATAGTTTCAATGTTCGTCTACGTCGCACATCGCGACACGCATGCATCAGCTTGTTCAAACGGAAATCCAGTAAAGACAGTTATTCTATCGTATCAAGCGGATCGAGCAGTGCTGGTGGCAGTGCGAAGGACGAGGGGTGGTATGAGGAAATGCCACGCCTGTTCGAGCCTAGTCTGCGTCTTTCATCCCCGCTCTCTTTACGTCGCGTCTTCCTCCCCTAAATTCGAGTTCCGCAACAAATCGGCTCATGGATAGATCTTTCTGCCTCGAACCTAAATCGCATTTTGTGTATCTTGCATAGGCCGCATCGCAAACAGTGGAACAAGTGTCGGGTCCCAAACTCCAATCCTGACATGCCCGCTCACACAATCTACACGTCTGTTTCTGCCTCGGTGGTCATATGCTAAGAGATAGTGAGCTGCTTGGCAATTGATCATCATGGCTAATTGCATTGCGGAGCAGGGACAGGGTGTTACACGAGCGAATCGGCGCCTCCCCCGGAACAGCCCCTCGGCCAATGGCATCTACCATGTCATCTTCCGTGATACATGATCGCCCGGCTCCTGCCCAGTTCAATCTACCTTTAACTCCAGTTAATTGGGATCATTGCACAAGATTGGAGCGGTGCGGAGCATTGGAAAGGCACTTGGCTCGGTCAGTTCAGGACAATTAAGATGGTGAAATCGCCATGTAGTCTGTGCGAGTCCAACCGGGTAAGAGTGAGGCTCAAAAGCGCTGCGTCACTCCTGCAAGGGATGGTCGTGCCTTCTCACCGAGCGTCGCCATTCTGAACAACTTTGGCATGTATCATGGCCGAGAGCAAGTAGCCGCTCAACCTCCGATCCGCTCAGATATCCTACTCCGATGAGCGAACCATATTGATAGTCAGCCACTATGAGCGACAGGGCAGGCGCTGAAGGGGCCAGGTTGCTGGAAGGTGCGTTCCTCCAGCCATTTCCAGCATGTATACCTGCTGATGCATTTCCACCGCAGCAGGACACCAAGGCGAGAAAGCTCTTGACTCCCTGGGGATCGAAGTAAGTGGCCACGAGATATTGATGTCACTCGAAACATGCTGAACCTGGCACGAAGGACAGTGTTGTGGAAAAGAAGGTCACCTGGCGAAGCCTACCACAGAAGAAACAGCTGCTGTTGTTGGCACTATGTCGTCTCTCCACGCCACTCTCGAATGCATGTTTGCTGCCATATCTCTACTACCTAGTTAAATCGATACTGTCGGACCCAGACCATCCATCGGCACCGCAGCAGATCTCGCGTTTGACCGGTCTGTTGGTCGCCGCATACCCACTAGGTCAGATGTCGACATCCATGATCTGGGGTCGATTATCGGATGAATATGGCCGCAAGCCAGCTATTCTTCTGGGACTATCGATCAGTGTCGTCGCAAACCTGGCCTTCGGTTTTTCGAGAACGATAGGGATGCTGCTGTTCTGGCGGGTGTTGGCCGGAATGGCAAATGGAATGCTGGGCGTGATGCGGACAATGACCGCTGAAATTGTGAAAGAACGGAAGTATCACACTCGGGCTTTCCTAGCCTTGCCGGTCGTGTTCAATTCGGGGCGCGTTGCGGCATTGGCAATTGGTGGTTGTTTAGCGGATCCAGTAAAGAACATTCCGTGGTTGTTTGGCCCTTCAGGCTTATTAAACTTTTACCATCAACCAGACGGTGTGAGTACTCCTAATCATGGCATCCCTGCCTGCATTCACTGAACATCTTTGATATAGGTTGCCTGGGCACTCAAGTATCCATATGCTCTCCCGGCGCTGTTCAACGGAGCTGTTCTAGCTATCTGCCTAGTATTTGCTGCCCTCTGGCTTAAAGAAAGTCTGCCTTCAAGAGAAAATAGCTGGGACCCTGGGCTGGTGGTTGGCAGGATCATCTCCGACCTCATCACCAAAAGGATACGAAGAGTTGGTTCCGGCTATTCCTCAATCCAGGTTGAAGAATTCCAACCGCTAACGGCCGATGTAATGATCACTGAACCTGCCTCGGGGTCGTCGACTCCGACTCAAGATGAAGGTGCCTCACGTAAGTCTCGGCGTCGTGGCATCTGGACACGTCCTCTTCTCAAGACCCTCCTTGCTTTTGGTCTGCTCCCACTGCATAACGCGACCTTCCTCCACATATTTCCGGTATTTCTAAGCATGCCTACGTCTCCAAATGCGAACTCTACGATTCTTCACTTTACCGGCGGCCTGGGTCTCGCCTCGCCTACCGTTGGTCTTTATCTCGCCACATTCGGCATTTGTGGAATCCTTCTTCAGCTATTCATTTACCCGCGCATCCAGAGACATGTCGGCAATCTCGGCGTCTTCCGTATAGCGAGCTCTATTTTCCCTACTGCATATCTACTCGCACCATACCTGGCTCTACTCTCGGGACACAAAACCGCTAAATGGGTTGCGATGGCCGCAGTCCTGTTCTTACAGGTCATGGGAAGGACGATGGCTATGCCTAGCAGCGTCATTCTCCTCACGGAAGCTGCGCCACGAAGAAATGTATTGGGAACCGTGCATGGCGCTGGTAGTACCTTGAGCGCACTTTCAAGCGCGATAGGCCCTGTCATCGGCGGCATCATTCTGGCGAAAGGCATCGACATTGGCGCTATTGGTCTTGTTTGGTGGAGCTGGCTCTTACTTGTCGCACTTGCAGCCTTTGGCTGGAGTTTTGTCCTAAACAAGATGGAAAGGGGTGAAGGAGCTAAGCTTCTAGCCCAGCTCGAGTGAGCGAGATCAGCCTAGCTAATGTGGTCAGTGCTCTTCCAGTATATACTGCACAAGCTCTGTTTCTTGGTACGACCATATTTTAGTAGAGGTACTATCACTACTATTGCTCTCATTCTGGCTTCACACTGTGCTTCAATGCCAGGTCCCATTCATCGTTAATGTCGCAATGTATCTCACTAATGATGGCCGATAAAACTACGTTTACATAAGCGCGTCATTTCTGGTAGATGGGAACTCTGTCATTCAAATCTCTATATATGCCTAGCAGAAAGGTAAGTATAGAACCGCGATAAAGAAGCGCAGCTATACCAACTCCGAAGCGCATTGATCACCCGAGTCCACAAGCTGACCATAGCGCCCGTGCTATTTGAACTCTTGACGATTAAATTGAAAGGTTGCTTGATCCTGGGTTGTATCATCTCCACGTTTAGTAGCGAGCACTAAATTCAAGAAAAGTGGCGCAAGGAATAGTAAGTCATCAGGGTGGATACGTGATGAATTGTGCTTTCCAGGCACGTGGCAACCGTTCAGGTACAAGAGCACGGGTACTCTATCAAACCATCTTCTTCGGCTGTTCCCTCTTCGTCTATCAAGCCGTCTTCCTCGGCCTTGGGATATAACGTGCAGAGCTCTCCATCTAATAAGCCTTCTTCTTCCCTTCAACCAACCTCTTTAGCGATCTCGTCTTCATCGGTCAAGAAGATTCCTTCAACCCCGGGTATAACGTCCCGAGCAGCACCTCGGTGAAGCCGTCTTCTTCAGCCATCAGCTTTTCTTCAGTGAAACAGTCATCTTCGACGCCAGGCTACAACATTCCAAGCTCCTCTGCTCCGAGCACATATCATAGAATATTGGATTGGCTTTCGACTCAGTGGTGGATGGTCCTCTGTAAATGCACTCGCGCCTGTAGTCGTTTGCTACTCTTTTCCCAGAGCCATGGAAACTTCGATTCGTATGTCTTGTGTATACTCACAAACCGTTCTTCTAGTATCTGTTTTCAGGACATCATTTCATCTATATATACTATTTAGACGTCTTCAATAACGTTGCACAAACGGCTTTTCCTGCTGGTAGACGGCTGTTGGTCTTTGTGGGTCTCACTGTGCACTCGCTCATGGAGTGAAAGCGCACATGCACGCAGGCAACCTTCAGCGTGCGCGCAAGCAGGGATGTGACCCGCCGGAGATAGGCTCACAATGTTGAGATGCATTGCAGCTGGGAGCTGATCCAGTCGGCGTGAATGGAGCATGTGCGGGCGGGTAGTCGCAGACGACACGGCGCGTTTCAAGCAGCGGCGACGAATCAAAGCGTCACAGTGCGTTAGTCATCGGAGCTTGGCGGGAGCTTGGCGTCATCGACCCCTGCGACTATTCCAAGGTTATCTCCAAGCCCAAGCAGCCATATCACTGACCTGCAGCCACATCTTCTGCGCGCCTCTTACTTTGTACAATATCCTGTTGTTTCTCCCACCTGCGGATCCCTGTTACTGCTTGCGAACCGCAATAGCCAATAATGGATTGCATCCCTGTACCAATCATTTGCTTCCAATGCGGGACGTACGCGAGATCCCGCTCTTGAAATGTACCTCACCGAGACTGACAGACATTCAGGGACCAGAATCCTTGTCATTGTAAAGTAGTCGGGCCTACGATTGGTTTCGTTGTGACTGTCGGCATGGCGGTGCGTACCCGTTCTCCCGTCTCAAGAGCGCACGGTCCCGACATGTTGCTTATACTACGAATAGATCGTGTGTTGGCCAGCGAGCCTTTTCTGCTGCTGCTGCGCAACGGATACAGGAAAGAAGTGAGAGGTCTGTCGAGCAGAAGCTGATTGGTGCTGACAATGATAAGGGTGCTGGCACTTCCCGTGGATACGGGCAATTCCATCTCTAATGCCATCCCGATATGACGAAGTGAGAACTCAGCGCGAGCTCGGCCTGAGAAGCGACCCGGAAGCACGGTAGCCAGGAGCTTCGGAACACACACGATCTCAAGGCCCTTGTTCGGGCGCTTTAAGTAATTAATGCTCTTTCCTAATGAAGGCGTTTGTTATGGTAAGGCTCAGCGTCACCGGGTCGGTGCATTGCGTTGTCACGTGATCTACATATTTCTTTTAGCTCTTTACGCTCATGCATGTCTCATTCAATTCACTCTATCACAGTTGTGTTAAGAAGGCCACATTAGCAACAGCTAGCTTCTTCTTCTCATGCCAGCTTTCCCAGTTTTCACCTTTTCTCTCTTACCTCTACAGCGGCAGAGTTCGACGACACTTGGCGGTCTCCTTGGACGTGAAGGTAGCTGCACAGCCAGTAGCCCTTTTCACGGCCGCTTAAGGTAAGTCGCGTTGTTGCTCCCCAGAAACTAGTCGCCCACATATACACTGTCCTTCACCCACTCACGCAACCGGGGCAACGCCCCCGTTGGCGACGAGTCACCACAAACACTCCGTCGCGTGCTTTTTCGGGTCAGACTCAACACTCATTTCCTTTGTTTATCATCCACGCCAATTCAAAGTAGCCCAGATGGCGTCGTGGCCACCTGGTTTACGAATTGGAGCGGAGCCCTCTGCAGCCCTGTCTCATCCCATCACCCCGAACACAAGCGATCCTTTTTTCTTGCATGATGCGGACTTTGACCATGATTTAGGCAAAGAGGAACTAGACTATTCAAGAGCCAAGGTCTTGGAGGCCATGAGCTCTGGAGTTCGAATCCAGCTCGACGACCCGCTCCCCGTTTTTCTCAGGTTCACAGATAGCGGCCGCGTCGAAAATGGCCTCTACCCTCCAGAATTCTACGAGTATGCTGACGACCTGCGTACCCCCTGTACGTGGAAAGAGTGTCGGGACGCCATCGACAGCTTCGAGTGGGGAGGGCCCACCTTGGGGTTACAGCAGGAACAAGTCAAAGCCTATGGCGAGGAGCAACTCTTGACACCCGCGGTTGAGGATTCGCAAGCAGATACTCTGCTGTCGGATGCCGCATCGCAAACTCTCCCGCACAGCGCGTCCCCAAGGGTCGACAACACCGAAGCAGAGCTGGCTGTCGACGAAGGGTTCATACACGCGGGACCAACAACGGGTGCTCTGATATCCGAATCTTCACCGCGGTCTTTGCATCGCGCAGAGCTAGCTGTTCCGACCCTGCCGTTTCCAGCAGACCCAACACCACTTGAAGCCTCTGAGGATCGCATAGAGAGCTCAACGCCACGTATCGAGGGCCCACCACCGAAGGCCGTCGTTGCCCCAGGAGTAATCATCTCTACAAGGTCGCTCGAAGCTGCTGATTCCCGCGACCCGATTGCATATCAATCAGTATCAAGCCCGCTACTTGGCGATGCGGTCGAGGCAGACTCGATGCTGCCGCGTGAAACCTCCGCGGAGAAGGCATCCGGTGTCAAAGACATACAGGGGACGATTGAGGGAGACGCGAAGCTGCTCGTGCAGGTAAGTAACACCTTGTCATCTTCGGAAACTTGAGTGCTGTGTGCCCTTACATAACCTACACCAGGTTCGTTGGCATATCCAGACTACTATCCTGGTACTGTGTTTTTGATGCTGTTACTAACATCACGTTAGTCCGCTGTTCCGGAGGAAGAATCCATCTCTCTGCCACACATAGCTGACCGGGCCGCTACACCAAGTAACACAGCAGTGGCACAACTCTATGTTGATAGGCCAATCGAAGGACAGATGCCGAACGACGAAGGAACTCTCGGGGAGGTTCAGCCTCAGACCAATACTGCTGCTGATGAAACCGATGTGAACGACCTTGGCAGTCTTTTCGACTGTAATGGGGAGGAGCCTGGACAGATTGAACAGCAACATGGTCAAGACACCGACGCCATCCACCCACGCACCGAAACTGCTGAGCCAGTAGACATACCCGCCCAGGCCTCACCAGCAAATACACACATCGCTGCGAACAGCAGCACTGAAATAATCTCGACCGATACACCGATCCAGCCATCGTTACACGATGAGGTCGCAGCCCAAATACTGGAGCACTTCAACTCGATGGACCAAGAAAGCCCATCCGGAACACTGTCGGAGGAGCATACCAGTGAGCTACAGAACTCGACTGAGGTTCTGGCACTTCCATCGACTTTAGCTGTGTCAGCGACTGAATATGGTTCAAAGGCTTCAGACGAGGCTGAGGTGGACGCCGAGAGTGTTGGCGGTCCTGCCGCAAACGAAGTATTGCTCGTGGAGTCGGTGCAGGACGAAGCACCATCTAGCCCTCCTGAGGTCGACCCACAGTTGCTGCAACATAACGTTGCAGAGCAAGGAATGTCTACTGATGTGGGGCTCACGGGGGATATTAACATTAGTGATGAAAATCACAAGGTGGATGCCGACAGCACTGGAGGTTCTACCGCAAACGAATCATCGCTCGTGGAGTCGTTGCAGGACAAATCGCCATCTGACCCTCCGGGGGTCGACCCACAGTTGCTGCAGCCTGGCCTTCTGGAGCAGAGATTGTTTACTGGGGTGGGGCTGGCGGAGGATGTCAATATGAGTGGTAGAAACGATGAGGTGGATGGCGACAGCATTGCGGGTTTTGCCGCAGAGGGATCATCGCTCGTGCCGTCATTGCGAGACGAAATGCCCTCTAGCCCTACTAAGGTTGACCCAGAGTTACCGCAGCATGACGTTCCAGAGCAGGGAGCGTCCACTGAGGTATGGCTCACGCAGGACGTCAACATCAGTGCTAAACACGATAAGGTGGACGTGGATGTCCAAATCGGCTCGAATATTGCGTTACAAGACATTCCTCCAGTACCATTCTTTCAAAACAAGTCACTCTCTATGACCCCCAGCAGCGAAGTCGAAGCACCACAGCAGAAGAGTTTTGAGCAAGAATCGTGCAGCGAAACGATAAAGGCTGAGCATTATCATATGGGTGTTCAAGGCGATGAGATGGACCTGGCCGTCGGAAGCAACTCTGGTTCTACCTCAAAACATGCAGACGAGTGGCCGTCATCACCAGACGAACCGGAGCTTAGCGATCCCCCAAAGGACACACAGTTGCCGCAGCAGAAAAATCTCAAGCAAGCGTTACTATCGTCTGAGGGAATGGAAACTCCGAAGGATAACCACGATGCTGACGAAATTGGTCCCATGACTAAATCTGAAGAGGTCGAAGTATCCGGTGAAGAGATCCGCGCTTCAAACTCACCAGAACGCAAGAAACAACGCAGTCCCTTCACGCTCAAGATCAAGTCCCAGATCTGGAATGTTGCACCGCGCGACGGCGCCAACGACGACGCAAGCGCTGTAGAAGATACAGCTATGGCATCGATACCAACATCAGGAAATGCGATAGCCGAGCTACAGGAACCTGACGATATGGTGGACTTTTCCGAGACAGAATCTTCAGACGGCAGCGGAAGCTCTGCAGATCTTTCTCCGCCTGAGAAGACGCCCAGTAGACCTTCCGTGTCAGTTGAGGAGTCGCCTAGTTTACCTTCCTTGCCACTTGAGGATGGAACCCTTGCAGACTCAGAGGAAAGGACACCTCAGCCTTTGCTACTTGGGCTAGAAGAGCATGCCGCCGCTGCGTCTTCTTCTACAATAGCACCGTCGATCCCTACTGCGATGAACATTCCTCAACATGATCAGAGTTCGCCATGGGCAGGAACAATGTTGGAGCAACAGCTCGACTTGCCTCCGTCGCCATACGAATCAGAACCAGCCACACGTGCGCTACCTGTCGAGACGTGTGATCCGGAGTCAGATGCTTCTCTTGGCGCGAACGCATCTATCAAGGTTGGTTTACAGGCAGCACCCGCAGATGCGCATCTACCGGTACCAAAGCAGGACACACCGCGTGAAACGCCCGAACCTCGTTCCGTTCCCGCAAACGATGAGTCAACGGTTTCGTCTGACCTTTCCGACCTCAATGAGCTGATCGAGACCAAGTTTGGGCAGAGTACTCCTAAATCTGTGCCCAGGAAACGAACGCGCCCAGCTACAACCGAAAAAGCAAGGGCTATTCCTGACGCTACTGTAGAGTATGAGCCAGAGGAGAGTTCGGGATCAGACTACGAAGCTCCCACTAGGAAGAAACAAAAAAATGTGGCCTTTCAGACATCGAGTAGTGCGTCCCGTAGTAAAGGTAAAACTAAGCTACCTGCACCGTCCAAGGGTCGAAGAGGAAAGAAGGCGACTCAGCAGGTTCTGGAGGAGGAAGTAGTAGACCGGGAAGACACTGAGTCTTCAACGGTACGTGCCCCCTTACATTTCTGACAAATCCAATGAAGGCAAACTAACCCTGCTGCAGGACGATGAAGAGGAACAGACCACCTCCACCCAAAATGGTGCGTCTCCCGCCGCCAATGAGACTTCTCCAAACCGTCCCGTCTACTGGGCTCTCGAAACTAACTACGGTAAGAGAGTAACACGAGGGGATGCACATAATGGAAGAGTCGGAAACCCTGCTAATACGACCCCCGTGCAAGGAGCCGTACAAACAGTCGACGAAGAAGAGATTCTCGTGGATGCAGAGCCGGATGGTACCATCGATTCTATATCGAAGGCTAAAGGGAAGGATAAAGCAGCAACACCCGCGAAGGTACCAAAGACGCCGAACACCGCCGTCAAGACAACACCGCGGACGACTCGAGCAAAAACATCGGCTAGAGCAGCTGGGCTGAAGACTCCTAACGCGGGCCCCAGTAACACATCTGAAGCTGCAACCAAGAGGGGCAAGTTCGGCTTCAAGATGCCGAACGGTCGCAAGCGCAAGGCCACCGAGGCGGCTGACGAGCCGATGCAGCCGTCCTCGGCATCCTCGGGACAGGCCTATACGCAGCGGCAGACGAGGCAGGCGTCCGCGGCACAGGAGGAGCAGCAGCGACAGATGGAGATGGAGACGAATGTGGCGAAGAGGACGAGGGGCGCAAGGAGGAGTCTGCCATAGACGGTACACAGTCAGTCAGTCATAGTCTGTGCTCAAGGCGGTGAAAGCTTTGGTGTTGGAGTCTCTGGGGCGGTATGACTTTACGAAACATGATTTATGAGGCGGCTCTTGCTTTTCTTGGGCGTTGTATACCCTGGGCATGGCATCGCTTGCGCGGTCGCAGGCTTGGTCTTGGAGGCTCTTTGAATAGGGTAATAGTCAGATTTGGATTGGCAGACAGGTAGGATGGATAGAACTGGGGCTGGGAATTGTAACGTGTATCGGATGTAGCGTTCCACTGTTGTTCTGGGCCTGAGGTCGAGATCACAGGTTTTGAGGGTGGATGCTAGTCACGATAAAACTGGGTTTACTCCGCGTCTCTGCACCATTTTACAGTATCTGTAACGCTACTCCTACAACAGCTGCCTATCTATATCTTACTAGTAACGGTACCCTCCCCCTTCTCTAACAGCCCACATATCCAGTCTGCCGATTTCTCCACCATCGCCTGCGGAAACGCATGTCCCACGCCATCAAACAAAACATCCTCGAACGTCACGTCTAGGCTCGGCTCCTCATCTAGTGCCCGCGTGAACACGTTCAGGAAAGCTTCGCCCGTCGCATACGGAACAAGCTTATCATCCTTACCGCTCAAATTCAGCATCCGCTTTCCATGTAGCCGCTCGCGTAGAAGCACTTTCATCCTGTCCGTCGCCGCTTTGCCGACTTCGGGGTCGGCCCCCGTAGGATTGAAGTGTCCCGGTAGCAGGAGTCCTGCAGGATCGTACTGCGCAATGGCATCTTGCAGCGCGCGGGGGAAATCTGCGCTACCCAGGAACGCAGCGCCCGGGGGTGTGCTCGACGTGTACGAGTCCAGCTTGGAGAGACGCGCGCGATCGGCCATGAGGCGAGTGTAGTCGGGACATCCGATGCCTACTACCGCAGCGGTGATACGAGGCTCGGCGAGTATGCAATGCCAGGCAGCGTGGCCGCCAAGCGATATGCCGAGGACGAAGTGCTGTGTAATCTGGGGCGAGGACGGCGAAGTAAGCACATACGACGTGAGGTGGTCCATGATCTGGCTGGTGTCTGTCGCGGTGCCGTGGATGCAGCCGAACATGTCCTGTGCGTGGCGCGGGTTGCCTTGTCTCCATGCCTCATTGTGCAGCTTGTCCACTAAGCGGGTGCCGTGGTTGCGCTGGTCGAACGAGACGGCGATGAGGCTTGGGGGGTTCTTGCCTGCACGTCCGGAGTGTATGCGGGCGTTCCAGGCGGATATGATTGCGGTGGCTATCGGCGCCATCTTCTCGGCGGTCTGGAGGCGCGGATGGAGGAGCCATAGGCAGGCGACGGTGGAGGTTGCGGGGGGTAGCTCGGAGAGGCCGTGGACGTGGGTGACGATGCCGGCGATGGTGTAGGTTTGTATGGAGATGGCGGGTAGGTCGGACGGGTTGCCCTCGAGAGGGTTGTTTGTTGTTGCCATCGTGGGATTGGGCTCAGATGCTGGATGCTGTCATAGTAAGTCGGATGGTCAGTTGGACACGACTGAAGACATCAATGATGGTGGGGTTTGTAGTGGGCCGAGGTTCGCAATCGGCAGTTCAGGGATCATGGTGATGTCGCGACATGCCTTTGGGGCACGATCAATCCGCGCTGTGTCCTCAGTATAGATGTTGTGACGGTGACGGCGTTACATTGCGCAGCGTGTTGTTTGGCTCAGTATCTCACCAGGCGGTGGATTGGCGCTCATTGATGATGATCCCCAACGCGCTGCTCAGGGGTGCTGATCAGTGGAGACGTTGCTACGGCGGACGATGACGGAACTCTTGGGAGCTATGACGGCAAACAAGGCTGGTTTGTCACTGCATAGATTGTGTCTGGTGATGCTGATCTAAACGATGGATTGACGAGACGACCGTTAGAGAGGTCAAAACTCCCGCGGCAGTCCGCAACGCTAAGCCTAGGGTGGGCCCATGCCTCCGGGCCTGCAGGGGTTCACGATTCATGGTGAGATTGCATGGGGGTCGCTCACGCACATTTCGAACACCTCTCAAGAACGGGCCAACAGCAGGAGAAGCTGTTTGCTGAGGCGACCTAATCAAGTGCTTTTCTCTGTATATATGGACTCTAGCAGCATCCGCTACCAAGGTTACAGTGTAGCTATACCCGCTTAATGTACGCGAGTACCAAGGAATCTCCCCTCTGCGCGACCTCGTTGCTGACCCAGTCCTTTCGTGCGCGTAGATGCTCTCCCTCTCTATCTAAAGCTCTTCCCTCCATACCGCCGCCAATATGGGCGACACGCCTGAGTCTGGCATCTCTCCGCTGGGCCGAAGCCCGCGCTCCAACTCCCCTGCAAGGAAAGATGGTAGCTCTGTGAACGATAAGTCGACTCTATCGACTGACGCCGCCCGGTCACGCTTCCCGCTACGGGGCTCTTCCTTACGCAATCCCATCGCCACGAATGAGACGAAACACACGCCGACCGCGAGCCCAAACGGCGCGCCCGTCATAACGCGGTCTGCCCCTACCGGCGAACCTCTCTCAGCAGAGGAACCAGACGAGTTTCCCTTCAACACCACTACCGCAGCGCTGAAGCAGCAGCCTACGAACGAGCTCGTGAACCGTCCTTCGAGCGTCAAAGAACCTCCGACTCCAGCTCGGCACATGAATGGTTCTCCAAGTCTGCCACAACACACATTTACCCCAATTTCGAGACGAGGGACAGTCGAAGGCGATGAATCTGATGCAGCGCCGAAAGGACGTCGAAGTGTGCAGTTCGCCCGGAACACCACCTTCAATGATGAGCAACAGAATGCGCATTCGCGGCAGCAGTCATGGGAGGGCGAGGATGTAGATGGAAAGGGCAAGGAGCGGGAGCGGCAGGGATCTTCTCTCATGACCAAGCTGAAGGCATTGGCAGCTAATCCGATGGGCCTCCAAGGACACGGGCGGAGCTTGAGCGCCCTCACCGATAATTCGCCTCGCGGCCAGCTTTCACCTGCGTCTGAGCGGGATGAGTTCCGCTTCGACCCACACGACAGCGAGGCTGATGCCGATGCTGAGGAGAGCGCAGGAGAGGGTCCTTCACGACCAGCCAGAAGAAGAAGGAAAAGCCGGCGGTGGTTCGACGATAGCGGAGAAGGCACACAGACAGCACCCACGACGCCTCGACACACCACCTTCGCTTCCCGCGACCGCGATTCACCCAATATTACGCCAACCGCAAGCCATGTGCACCGACCAACCTTCATGCGTCGCGGCACTATGAGCGATATCCCCGAGAATAGACAAGGCGTGTCCGAAGATGAGGGCCGAGATCGTCTGGCCAAGGAGAATGCCTGGACACGGGGCTTGCACAGTGCAAGAGGGCTTTCCTATGGTGGTCTCCGCCGCCACGACACTGAAGGGGAAGAAGGTGAAAGACGACCGAGTCATCTGCGCAGACTGACAGCGTTCGGCGGGGGCAGCAATGAAGGGCCTCAGCCATCACCCTGGCGGCTACGAAGCGAACGTACGTCAAGTCTCAGCGCTCAAAAATGGAAGCAGATCAAGAACAGTCTCAGGGTGTTCGCCAAAAGCGCAAAGGCCACCGACCGCCAGATGGACCACGCCAAATCCGCTGAGCTCATGGCTGAGCTGTTGGCCGGTGCACCCGCTGCCTTGTTTCTTGCGAGTATGTTTCAGCGCGACGAGCATGATCGGAAGCGCGTGCCTATTTTGCTGGAGCAGCTGAAGGTATCCATTATCGACTCGGAACAGCTGGAATCGAAGGAGGGTAAGGAAGACAAACCAGAAAACCGTCACATCAACCTCAAGATCGAACTGGAATATGGCAGTGGGCTCACTCGCATGAAGTGGGTCATAAAGCGATCCGTCAGGGACTTTGCCAACCTGCATCTGAAGTTCAAGCTCCAAGAAAAACAGAATTCATTCCTGAACCGAGACGCAAAGAAAAAGGATGCGAAAAAGGACCTAACTGCGAAAGGCAAGGAGAAGTCCGAGGAGAAAGACCCAGAGAAAGATGATCACATCCCGAAGCTCCCACGCTTCCCTCGCAGTGCAATTCCTTATCTACGTGGGTGGCGAGGCTATGGTATCTTGAACGAGGAAGAAGAAGAGGAAGACAAAGAGGAAGACGATGCAGAAGGGAACGAAACTGATCGTCCTGGTAAACCGAGTCGACTGAAGTCCACCCTTGGTCTTGCGCGTCGTAAATCCAGCATCGGTAGTCCCGACCAGGGTGGTAGCTTCATCGGCCAATTAGCTGTTAGACAAGGCAGCTTCGCAGGGGCCGTTGGAGTGCCTCAGCAGAACAAGCAGCAAGCTTATCAGGAGAGGCAACGGAAGAAGCTGGAAAGGTACCTGAAGGAGCTCATCACCTACTTGATCTTCCGGCCCGAAAGCAATCGCTTATGCAAATTTCTGGAGTTATCAGCCTTAGGCGTGCGATTAGCTGCTGAAGGTGGCTATCATGGAAAGGAAGGCCTCATGATGATCCAGTCTTCCAAAGGTGTCGATGCTAGGAAGAAGTGGACCCCGTCGCCTTTCATAACACGACACTCCCCCAAGTGGTTTCTCGTGCGCCACAGCTACATTGTTTGCGTCGATTCACCCGAGGAGATGAACGTTTACGATGTTTTCCTCGTCGACTCTGACTTCACTATTGACGACAAAGGGAGAGGTCTACGGGAAAAGAAGGCTCGGCATATTGCCAGTGAAGCTAAGGCATCAGCAACTGGACACCATCTTTTGCGGGTGAGAAACTCGGAACGCAAGATGAAGTTGCTTGCCAGAAACGAGAGGCAACTCAAGCAGTTCGAGGAGTCCATCCGCTTTATGTCGACTAACACCGAATGGAACAATCCCCATCGCTTCCAAAGTTTTGCGCCTGTCCGAAAAGGCATTTACGCGCAGTGGCTGGTAGACGGTCGCGACTACATGTGGAATGTCTCCCGCGCAATAAGTATGGCTAAGGACGTTATTTATATCCACGATTGGTGGTTGAGCCCGGAACTATACATGCGACGACCGCCTGCCATCAGTCAAAAATGGAGACTTGACCGTCTGTTACAACGGAAAGCGCAAGAAGGCGTGAAAGTCTTTGTCATCATGTATCGCAACATCAACACGGCCATCCCAATTGACTCTGAGTATTCCAAATACTCGTTGCTTGACCTGCACCCGAACATCTTCGTCCAACGATCGCCAAACCAGATCCGACAGAATACCTTCTTCTGGGCGCATCATGAGAAGATCTGCGTGGTTGACCATACCATCGCCTTCTGCGGTGGCGTTGACCTTTGCTTTGGCCGATGGGATACACCTCAGCATGTCGTCACCGACGATAAGCTGACTGGGTTTGAATTGGATGACAATCCTAAAGATGCCGACCACTGCCAGCTCTGGCCTGGAAAAGACTACTCCAACCCTAGGGTTCAAGACTTCTTCAATCTCGACAAGCCCTACGAGGAGATGTATGATCGAAGCAAGGTCCCGCGTATGCCCTGGCACGACATTGGTATGCAAATCGTTGGCCAACCTGCTCGAGATCTGACTCGCCATTTTGTTCAACGTTGGAACTACTTATTACGGCAACGAAAGCCTTCCCGTCCAACTCCATTCTTACTTCCACCGCCAGACTTTGATCCTGCCGACATCAAGGCTCTTGGTCTAGATGGAACGTGCGAGGTACAGATTCTTCGTTCAGCCACATCCTGGTCGCTAGGAACACCTAACAAGACCGAGCATAGTATCATGAACGCGTACGTGCAGATGATTTCAACTTCGGAGCACTTTGTCTATATCGAGAATCAGTTCTACATTAGCAGCTGCGAGGTCCTAGGCGCGAAGATCGAGAACAAGATTAGTGATGCTATTGTGGATCGTATCAAACGCGCGCATAAAAACCAAGAGGACTGGAGGGCATGCATCGTCATTCCGCTCATGCCAGGTTTCCAGAATACCGTCGACCAGCAGGAAGGCAGCAGTGTCCGTTTGATCATGACATGCCAGTACCGTAGTATATGCCGTGGCGAAACGTCCATCTTTGGCCGTCTACGTGCAGCTGGCATTGAGCCCGAAGACTACATTCAATTCTACGCTTTGAGAGCTTGGGGAGAGATTGGTCCGCAGAAGTCTCTTGTCACAGAGCAACTTTACATTCACGCGAAGTGCATGGTCGTTGATGATCGCGTTGCTATCATTGGATCTGCAAATATCAACGAGCGCTCCATGCTCGGCTCACGCGACTCTGAAGTTGCAGCTGTGGTACGCGACACTGAAGTACTTGATTCCTACATGGCCGGGGAACCCTACAAAGTTGGTAAATTCCCTCACACGCTTCGCATGCGTCTCATGCGGGAGCATCTGGGTATCGATGTAGATCACATCTTTGCAGAAGAGTGGGAGAGCCGTCAATCCGAAGATGATAGCGCCGGTTTGCAAAGCGAGTCTTCTGTGCCTTCGTCTCCGACTGGGGACCGCGAGACCGAACAGAAACTGACAGAGAATAAGCATCGACTGGAAGATGACCTGATAACCCGAGCTGAGAAGCTTCACAGCTTCAATCATGACATTGATTGGGAGCAAGAGAACAATCCGCACCTGAAACCTAACAAGAAGCCCACGGCCGACGCGAGGGTGTCGCATAATCCAGCACATCAGAAGGATGTCCGCGGTGAAGGTGCAGATCACATGCGCGAGATTGAGAATAGGCATCCGAGCATCTCGCGTGCTCGTGATTCGTATATCAATGACAAGGGCGAAGAGATTTTGATCAACGATATCGCGGCTGAGGGGGTGTCTCAAACGCCAAAGAAAAGCTCCACAAGAAGAGGCCGCAGTAACACTGCTACGAGCAGAACGACAGCGCACAGCGGCGTTCCTGAGGGGTATGCTGGCCTGCCTCCACCAAAGCTGCCGCGTATGGATACCAGACAACTTGGCCTTCCTCAGCTCAGCCAGTTGCCCTCCCTACCTGCACTAGACGATACCGATATCGGGGGCCCGCCTTTGCAGCGCACTTTCAGTTACGAATCATCGTCTATCATCAACCCTCTCCTATCTGAGATGCGGCGACCTATTGTCACAGAGGATTGCATGCGCGATCCACTGAACGACGCCTTCTACCTCGACATTTGGCACGCTGCAGCAGAAAACAACACCAAGCTTTTCCGGCAAGTCTTCCGTTGCATGCCGGACAATGAGGTCAAGACATGGAAGGAATACAAAGAATACGCCGCCTTTTCCGAGCGCTTCAGCCAAGCTCAAGGCGCAGGCAAATCGTCCACCCGCAAACAGCAAGAATCTCCGGGCAAGACTGGACCGCCAGGTGCTGGCTCTGTCAGTACCACGGCCGAAAAGCTTGTTGCCATGCCCGGTAACACTATTAGAGCGGCCGAATTTTTGGGTGAGAAGCTGAACGAGAAGATGTCGAGGGACTCCCGCGATGACGGCAACAAGCTTGGCAAGGTCGAGCAATGGGCGGAAGACCAGGAGAAGAGACAGCAGACTTCGCTCCGCGTAGACACCCATGCTAATGGTGAGATCGACGAGAAGATCGCGATGCGCACCAGCACGAGCGACGATCCTCCCGTTGTCTCACCCATGAACCCAGCTCCACCAACGGAAACATTCACGTTCCCTCCTCCGCCTCCCGAGCCTGAAAGTACCACGGCAACTAATGACTTTGCGACTGCGAACGGACGCCCGCGCACCGTGACTATCTCGGAACCGCAGCGCGATGGCGTGCCATTGCGCAACCATGCCAGCACTATGGGCAGCAAGCGCTCGCGGCGCCGCGCAACGACCAAGAGCAGTGCTCGAGCGTTCCATGCCGGCGACGCGGAGCAGTTACTCGACAAGGAGGACGCGAAGAAGCTGCTGGACCTTGTGCAGGGCCATCTTGTCGTCTGGCCGTATGAGTGGCTGGAGGCGGAAGAGACCAATGGGGGCTGGCTCTACTCTGTCGATCAGATTGCGCCTTTGGAAATCTAGTAAGTCGACGAGCCCTACTGTGGACGAGTGGATGCTAACAGTATTACAGCAACTGATTTTGTCTGTTCCTGCTGAGGCGCATGTTGGATTGCACGGTGCTTGCTTTCGCAGTCTGTCATATTTATAATACTTTCCTCGCGTGCTTTGTGTCCTTGTAGCATTGCGATTGGCGTTCGCTTTCGGTTTCCTTGCTGTTATTACGGTCTGCTTTGTCTTTCCTTGTCATTTCGCCCGGCGTTCGAGTATATCCGTGACCATCTTGTTGCTGGGACTAATCTTGATGAAGATGTAATTCGACCTGATCATTGGCATATTCATAGCTTAGATTGTAAGTTTGCATAGGTGGTGCTGGATTTGCGCTGTGGGGTTGGTATACATAGTATCATATGCTAGAAATGTTTTGATAGGATGCAAATCCGCCGCCATCCATGACGCAGACTGAGATCATGCAGATTTGCAAGATCGTGGCATAGCTGCAGTATGCTTTGATGTGGCTCGTGTTCTTGTACGACTGTAGAGGAGAGGTGTGGAGTACTTGGGGTCCCGAGAGTGTAAACATCCTAATATTGTGGTAACGTATACAAGTATACAACTCTCGTTAAGATGCTTCATAGTCGATCGCGCAACGATGTAGAGCTCTTGAGTTGAGAGCTGCAGCCTGCCTCCCAGATAAAAACGATGTCCATCATGAGCATAATGCAGGATGTATGCCTGCATTTAGATCACATAATAGCAGATGTGTTTACGATGATGTTGAATTGTTCATACAGCTATAGTACCATCCAGTCAATGTTTCGCGACACCTATCCAATGCGCCTCATTTGTTCAAAAAAAAAAGGCATGTCCATTTACAGACACCATGGCCTTGAAAGATACAAATGTGCCAGCAAACGCCACAACCGCAATGTTGAGCATACGTTAGTAGATCACCCACACTGAAGCTGAAAGGCTCTTACCTGGTCACGCAGAGGTGTGAAACTCAAGTGGAGAGATTCATACCATCCAACGAAGTATCACTCTCCTCACAAGTACCACAAGACATGCATGTGAGAAGAGGATGAAATGTGGATGTGAGGAGAGTACAAGACATGCACGTGAGGAGAGGATAAGACAGGTTCTATGGTATCCAATCATTTGAACGGCTGACTACTGCAGAATTTGGGTAAACTCTACTTGAAGCATCCTAATTTCCAGACAACGCCATGCTCAGTCTGCAAACACTATGGCCCAGAAAAACCGGCAAAGTTGCCAAATAACGCCATAAACCCATTGCATCCTGGTACACCTCACGCCCCTGGCCATCATCTAACTAATAATCCCAATCTTCCTCGGTGAACGGCATGGGACGGCCCGTGACTGCAGCTTCAGTGGCCCGCAATCCGATAGAGAGGTACAGCGAAGCAAGGAGAACATCAAGGCGATCACCGAGGATGGCTTGTAGCGCAAGGTTCTGGTCCATCCACTCCACGCGAACGGGATTTGGTCCAGGGTGACGGTTCCACGGATGGTCAAGTCCCTTCCGGGTCGGCTCTGCCAGTGCCTTTACCAAGGGCTTTTCGAGGTCGGCAACAGTGAAGTAGGCAGGCATCTGGGATTGTCAGTGTGATTTCCGCGAGCATCATGTGTCCGAAGGCAACTTACATCGTGGGTGACACCGGACATAGCGAAGGCGTCAGCAAGGGCATCCGTGTCAGAGTCAAAGCGTGCCTTCGCCTCTTTGTCCGTCTCATTCATCTCCCAATCCGACTCCAGGAAGAACCATAGAGCGTAGGTACTGTCATCTGGGTTCTGTATGGCTTCGTCTATGTGACTCTGCAAAAACTTCTGAGCTTCCTCACGTGTCTTCGGAATGGTCGCCCTCAGCTGTGCCAGCTTATGCTTGATAAGCTTGATTTTCGTACTCCCGAACTTGATCAGATCCCAATTGCTATTGCGCCACATTTGAAGGAAGTCTTCTGTTGGGCCCGTATTTGGGACGCGGAAGTTGTAGTACATGAACGCTTTGACGAGCTGGTCGGCCCATAGAGACATGTCACGGGTTACGTCCTCTTCGCGTTGGACCATGAGCGCCAGTAGGACATTCGCCATGACTTGGGGGTGTTTTCGCGAGAAGGAGTGGTCTTGGTCAAGCTGCCAGTACCAGACAAGATAATCGGCTTGTCCACGCCCGTCGAGCTTGCGCGGTTTGAAATTGTGGGCTTCAATGTCATCGTATCGTTCGAAGAGGTCCACGAGGGTGCAGAGCCTCGGGATGTGCGCCGGGAAACACACGTCAGGGTGCGTGAGTGTGATATCTCTGAATGTGAGATCATAGCGATTATACCTGCAGCTGATGATGTCGTGAATTCTGTAGTGGGTCAGCGAATGTTTCAATAAAGCTTCAGAGAGGCTGGGCAACTTACGTTGGTTTGCGCCCATCAGCGAACAATCGCGCGGGGACTTTCGCCAGCTTGATGTCGAGCATCTCAGTGAGATGCTGCCATTGCAGTCTAAGCTGAGGTAGATTTTCCTCGTGCTCTTCAGCGGCTAGCTCCTGCTCTAGCTGACGTCCGCGCGAATAACCGTCCATGCTGGATGCGCGTGGTGGGGTAGGCGAGGGAGGGAACGCAGCCGTGAGTGACGACGAAAGAGTGGAGGAACAACCCAAAGAATGCGCAGAGAGTCGCAGATGTGAGATGCGCGCAGGGAATGGTGGTTGAACTGGCGGGGGAAGAGCGTGTGGGACGAAGGCGACAGCAGCTTTTCTACTCTCGTCAAGCGCGCTAGTGCGTTTGCTCTCGGAACGGCGACGAGATGTAGGCCGATAATGTGTCGTGAGGTGACTTGCAGGTGAATCCGTTGAATGCACTGTACTTGAAACTGCGGGTATGATACTAGAAGCACGGTCATGATTGCGGGCTGAGAAGTGCAGGCAGTGAATGGTGCGTACGAGAGTGTTGGAGCGAATTGGATTCTCTACCGTATGTAATGAACTGAAAGAGTGACGAAGATGATTGGCGTGGTCGTGATGAGTCGACTTTGAACACAAGCAATCGCGTCTTCCGGGCTTCGAAAACGCATTTTAGGGGATACGGATAGTTTGACATTCCTAAAAAGACACTCAAAGAACCATTCTAATGCAGTCTCCTAGACTCAGAAGACGGATATCGGCCTTAAGGTACCAGTCAAGCGAATATAGACGAGTGAATATGCTTTGTGTGATGAATGGTCAGCCAAAAACAGGAACTGCTACTCCTTTTGGCGTATTCTGGAACCGCTTAAGACAACTTAAGGATTAACGCACAGACAATATAAGTTATGATAAATCATACCTATCCATACGCGATAAGAGCGTATCGTGGTATATGGCGCGAACGCTCGACCACCTCCCATCGCAGAATATCTGTCTCCTGCGGCAGTGACTCCATTCCTTCTGGAGAATGCGGAGGGGTAAGGAAAGCTATATGTGTTATCGGATTACTTATGTGATATCACATGCTGATGGTCAATGCGAACCGAGTATGAGATTGGACGGACAAGTTGATGCAAGGGCGGCACGACCGGTTTCTTCTTTTATTCTTCTGGCTCTGCAGGGTGCTAAGTCAGTCACTAGTCTCCGGGTCCCTCACGACTATGAGTGCGATGTCTCTCTTCCACGTGTATAAAACACTCAGAGACAGTAATACTTCACGATGATGGTAGCTTACCGCACATTCCATATTGGACGACAAATATCGCCTATATACACTCAGTTGTGAACCTATGTGTCAGATCGCTTTGAGCCTGGCTCTGCTCGCTCACTTTTAGCATCCAACCTCCGATTCTATCTGTGTAGATCGTGGGTGAGTCCCGCATGAGCGGGTCCACTTCGAGGTTGCTATTCTGTGTGATAATCTAAGACCTACAATCTACTTAGGAAGTTATAGATAGGCAAGCAGGGTGTTTCTGTGATACCTTTGTGTGTGATAAAAACAAGTCAAACAAGGGGAAAAAAAAGAAAAGGCCAAAAGAAAAAAGCTGCAAAAAGAGAGGACGTTGCTTATAAGACCCTGTCACACTTATGGCATGTCCATCATTGGATAGCCGCCCCTTCACGGGTCGTCCTAGAGCCAATGACTTTCCCTCAAGCTCGAGGTTCGAACTCGCGCCCTCCTCTCTTCTTCCCCTCAGTGGCCAGTTGAGGGGATTGCCGATTTATAACCGGCGGGCCACGACGCCCGATAGTACGTGGTATATTGTTAGAATTAGCTCTAAACTAATAATATATATAGAGGCAAAAGATAGCTGGTTATTGATAGAGCGTGGTGTAGCAAGGATTTGGCGTGTGGTGAGGGCGCGAGTTGAAAAGGGAAAGAGCGTTGACGAAGTGAAAGACGTGTGGCTCACCTCGGTTGAAGCAAGGCCTTACGAGACCAGCTTTGGCGCGGCGGTGCAACGAGCGCGCTTCTTGACTTGCTCAATGCTTGTGCCATCTCGGTCTCTCAATTTACAGCCTTCAAGCAAGGTTTGCAGATACCAGTTTTCGCGGGATGCGTTCGTCTCGGGCGTTTGTGTATCAACCCGGCCATAGATGCGCAAAGCTTCAGCAGAGCTGATTTGAGGTGAATGCATCCTTACAAAGCGTAACGTAGCAAAAATGAGAGATGAAGGATTCGGGGTGTAGAACAAAGTAACGATAGCAAATGCGGAGGCTTAAGCCTCGATAGCGACTGGTAGTGAGGAAAGAGATCAAGGAAAAGAGATAAGTGAGATTGCAGGCATGATCTTACATGATACCGAGACAACAGCATCTACGTGATAGAAAACATGAACGCTCCTGTAAGATATGGCAGACGATTGAGCAAAGTAAAGGAAGGAAAGATGACAAGGGTGGGCTCCCATCGCAGGGCAAACGGCTGGCCGGATGGTGGGGTCAGTGAGCGACTCACGATGCCTTAACATGATCCCATAAATTCGTAGCAGAGCTTTGATAACAGCCGCGCAAGATGGTGGGAGGTTTGTGAGATGAAGTAGCATTGTCGGAAGGATGGACGTCGTCCGATCTATGTTGCACTAGAGAAGAAGAGGTTAGACCGGCCCAACATCACGATTGCTCTTTCTGGCCCTTGTGCCCCTCCATCCTGCGCATCTCATTACCGTTCGTGCAATCTTTGTGAATAGAAGGTATCAAGACGCATACACTATTTTAGGCCCATTAAGATGCGTACACTATTGGCGATCCTGCACTCGACCCGCAAATTACCTATCACCACCCCCACGCGCTATCTAATACCCACATAATGAGCTCCCGCCCAGCGCGCTCTCATCGACAAGCACAACCGGTTCACCCGCTTCCATCTGGACGTCAGCGTCGCCGTTACCATCTACCCCATACTTCGCGCAGCTCAGCACATCTACCACTGTCTTTCCGCTCTCGAACTCCATCCCCTGCGTCTTCAGCGTCCAAGTCGGAGCCTTCTCGCCCTGGTTGCTCAATATGATGCGAATAGTATCTTTGCGAAGCTGTAATTCCGTAGCAGTATACGCGAGGACGCGGGTCTGGTAGCCGAGGTAGGTGGACCTGTGGGCCGCGATGTGATTGCGGAGGTTGTTGAGGAGAGCAATGTGCTTATAAAGAGGGGATGTGGTATTGAACCTGTTCAGGGTTAGTTCAATTCATTCTGTGTATGGAAGGGGGAGAGAGGCTACCCAGATAACCACAGCGCCTCGCGACACCCAGGGTCGTCGCCTCCAGCGTAGTGCTGCTCCTGGCCTTGGTACACGATCGGGATGCCATCGCCCAACAGCGTGAACGCCAGTGCGTTCTTGACGAGGCTGAGATCTTGGGTGGTATGCGCAAATCGTGGGTTATCGTGGTTCTCAAAGAAGGTACCCAGTAGCGTTGGATCTTTGCACCCCATCTCGCCATTCTCTGTGCATGCAGCCAGCCCAACCACCAGATCCGACATATTGCTCTGCTGCTGGAACACACGCGTGACGGCATAATATAGCGGATAGTCCAGCACTGAATCCATGTACGACTGGTACGGATACGTGTAGTTCGCCTCTCCCTCTGACACCTCGCCCATGCAGAAGACACCCGCACTCTGGCAGAAAGGCGGGAAGAAGTCCTTGTTCACATTCTTGACGCTGTCGATGCGCAGCCCATCGATGCTGTAGTCTGATACCAGCGTCTTGACCCACGTGTTCATTTCGCCCGCCACTTGCGTGTTCTCAGTCTTGATGTCCGGCAACGTCATACTGCAGTCACCAAGCCAGCAATCCTCGACCTCGGTCTGGTTCTCCATATTGTGCATTGGACAGTAGCTGTGGAAGTGATCGGGATGGTTGAAGGTTCCCAAGTGACCGTAGTCGACTTTGTCGGGGCATCCGGGGAAAGCCATGTGATTGGGCACGATGTCGACCATGAGGTACATGCCCTTCGAATGCAGCGTTGATGCTAGGGACTTGAGATCCTCTGCGGTACCGAATCTTGAATTCACTAAGTAGAGGTCGGTCTGGTAGTAGCCGTGGTAGGCATTAGCCACTTGTTCCGTGATGGGCGATATCCACACCTATTCCACACGTTCAGTTCAAGCTTGTTGTATGAGCTGTGGCAGCGCTCACAGCTGTGAAGCCCATGTTCTTGATGTATTCGAGCTTGTTCTCGAGGCCTTTCCAGGTGCCGCCGCAGTACATGTTGTTCGCAACATCGCAAGGCGCCGTTGTGCTGCCATCTGTCCATGAGAAGCTGTGGAATGGTCAGTCCGGAATACAAGAGAGATAAGAGTCCATTTCACTGTCTTTGCGTAGACTAATAGAACCACTGGCAATGGTCTGAGCAGAGCTAGAATCACATGTGGCGTAACTTTGAGCATACAGTTATAGATACGCGTGCTGGGAACTTGACGCTGACTTGAACTTACCGATCCGTAAGGACCTGATAGATAGATCTAGACCGCCAATCTGCGGCATCTGCTGCGAAGCAGACTTGTAGAAGCGAAGTCACTGCCGTAGGAAGCAAAGACCGCATGGTCGTTGACGACAAAATCAGTTGAGATTGGCCAAAGGAACCAAGTAGTAAGAGCCAAGATTCGACCCTGCGTCAAGCACAAGCTAAAAGTCTACCGCTGCGTTCAAATGCTCTTAAATCGAGTGGCCGTGCCCGTGAGCGCTTTAAGCCTACTCCAATATCAGACGGAAAGGCCTCTGCCTTGATTTTGCGACATTTCAACCCCTGCTTCATTGTACTCATTCACGAGTGGGACCTTGCGCTCCACTATCAGCGCGCGAGATATTGCAGTTGAAAATTCTCACCGATGTACCACGAGGCTCTGCAAGCCTTGATAGCTTCGTTTTGACTTCCCTGCACATAATCCGCTCGTGGTAACATTGCCGATCAAATGCCTCGTGCAATCAACGTGCGGCAGCAATATATGTACGCAGCCGCAGGGCATGTCAAGCTCGTGTAACCTTCCCTGTCGCGAACCTCATTGCTGACAGCGCAGTGAGGTGATCCACAGCACTTTGATCTCGTGGCCTCTGCGATCCACAAAGCAGCATTGAATGGTGACGAATAAGACATCACAAGCACATCAGAGCATCTGCTGTACGTCGGCTCGTGAAAGTCACGTCATGCACACAGACCGATATGACCGAAAATTGTGGGCTCGAGTGTATATGTGTATTGGCCTCGCGCAGTGCTGGCCGTGGTACCTATGGCAGCCCCACGCATGCCCCATGCCTGATGCCTGCAATGTTAATGTTGAGGCTAAAGCAATGTCAGAAACGTTATCTTTCGGCACTTTTATCACTTGCTTTAGGCAAACGTTTGTGGGAAAGGCTGCGATATGACTTGAGCTTGTTTTGTTGTTGAGTGGTGTCGGTACCTCGGATGAAACTGTGGAACGCGCGTAAAGAACTTGATTGCACGAAGAGCTGCGCAGGCAACAGCTCTATTATCCATCCCACTTCCATGTGAGAGACGTAGCATTGGTGTTCTCACGAGTTACTGGAGATAAGCAGTGTCCCTTTTTCGTATCCCTGGCATGTCTGGCAGAATGATGAGTGACACGTGACAACACAAACGTAGCCATATCTCGCTTGCCTTTTTACAATACCCTCCGAAACCGACGTATTCCCCCCGCTTATTACCAATCGCCTGCCTACGCTCATATCCATCGCTCGTAAAAGTTCCCGCACCACCTACCCACGGTACAATTGTTAATTTCTTGACCTTCAAACTTATGGATTCTATTATGAACCTGCTCAATAGCCTAATCATGTTCCCTACCTTAACAGTTTAGTGCCCTATCTTAATGCCTACCATACCTGAACCTACCTCACTCAACAAAATTCAGCCAATAACCAGGTTCACATATAGAATCAATAGGTTCAATATGTAACAATTTAACACCCGTACCGAGGGCCACCAGAGCCTCACTCGCTTCGCGCATCAAACATCCTCACCCTACCCTCCCACCTCTTGACAGCCTCAAATAAGCAGCCCACCACCTCATCCGCTCAGCCCACCGTTGCGGCCCGCAATCTTCCAACGGCACACCGATCGACGCCAGGATCATCCTTCGTTGGCGGCTCACGTGCCCGCGCGTTACATCCTTTGGGTGCTTAGCGGAGAGCCAAACATCCAGCGCCACTGCTCTGTCTGGGCTGTGATGAAGACCGGACCGAAAATAACTCAAGCAAAGCGGCGTTGCATACTCAGTAATTACTATCTAAACGCACACCTCTTCGCTCTGCCATCAACCTTTGCCGTAGCAGAAATAATGTTATTAGCTCTTACATTTCAATCTTGGTTAGTTCACTTAGCTTCGGGCAGCATTCAAACAGGACAGCCCATGACCCGGCGCACAGAGCGGTACAATATAAATTACTCAAATCGTCCTACGTGTGACATGTCCAGCATTCCCGCCAAAGGTCCAAAGCTACAAAAGAAAAAAGGTCCTTGCCGATGCTTGCAGCTCCGAAGAGAAAAGAAAGGGTATAAAGGCAAGCTGAGCTGCAAGGCCATCTAGGTATACTTAAGAAAAGGAAAAAGGGAAAGAAAAAAGGTGATGCTGTGGTGGTATCTCCGCAACCCAACCCATCCCATGCCAACCCGTCCTCACCATCCGTAAACGCCCAGAAGAGAAAAAAACCAATCTCTGCACGGAACTGCCCTGTACCTTCCCACGCTTCCTTGCGCCATGCCAATGCTGACAGCAGAGAGAAGAGCTCGCAAGATACGCCTGTCATGTCCATGCTCAGCACGCCATTCAAGGCATACCTAAGACCAACTCCCCTCCTGCCCCTCTCCCCATCCAACCCCAGTATCTTTCCGCGCAACACACTCGGCATACTAGCCTTCGCCCACGTCTGCAGCGCACACCTCCGCATGTACTCCGTCTCTTCGCCCTTCATTCTTAGCTGCCGCTTAGCCAGCGCGCTGCGCCGCAGCTTGACGCCTTTCTCTTCTGCGCTGCCTTGGGCTACGAGTTGGCCTGAGGGCGTGCGCAATATTCGATGGGAGGAGGGAGGCGGAGGTTGGTGAAGTAGCCGTGGGCGACGACACGAGCGCCTCGAGATCAACGCAGTCGGAGATGAGCGATTGGATGCCGCCGCTGAGCTGGGTCGCGCGGGAGAAGAGGTACGGCCAGTAGGAGGGGCCCCAGAAGGGGTCTGAGTCGAGGGCGGCGCGGAGAGCGGGGAGGATGTGCGGGATGGGGGAGGCACAGCGAGTGCGGTGGTGGGTCTTCGGAGAGGGGTGAGGACGCTGGGGAGGAGGAGGCGGAGGGTGCGGGGATGACGGGCGCGACGCGATGGAGGCAGTGGATACGAGGGAGGCGGCGATGGTGAGGCGGATGTGCGATTCGGTGGAGAGGGTGAGGGTTGTTATGCATGCTGGGGGTTGTTAGTTTTCACGAGGACTGGAGGAAGTTGCTGCGCAGCGAGGCTTACCAGGACAGCCCCTCGTACGGCACCAGTCTGCCTCTTCTCCAGTCGTAAAACATTGCAGCCAGAGGAATGCGCCTCGCGCCTCTCCCGCAAACGCCAGCTCCAGATCCTCAGTCTTCGCCGTGCACAGCGCCGTGCTTGCGAGCGCCTCGGCGCGTCTGTGCAGCTCGACCACAGGCATGACGAGCGCATGCAGCACATCGCGATGAAGCAGCCATGTTTCCCGTGTCTGCGCGTCGGATGCAGCGTGAAAGTCGCAGAAGCTATCGCAGCTGTCAATTGTTGCGCATTGAAAGGAGCGGGTATGTTTCGCGGCGGGACGGGATGTGGGGATAGCATAAGCGTACGTACTCAGCGTCCTTAGCCAGACAGCTTCTCAGCAGCTGGAAGCCCTCAGATGAGAGCAAAGCGGTGATATCCTCACGGGGGATCGCGAAGGGGCTTTCGTAGAGCCTGTCCATGTGCTCCATGGTGTTCGTGTGCGTAGATTAGCTGCGGTGATATCGCGAGTGCATGCAAGCCAGACGACGATGTTCTCATTGAATCCACGACGATCGGAATGGAATGTGAAGAGAGAGTGAAAGTGACAACACGCGCACAAGCGACGAGATACGATTGCCAGGAGAGCAGGAAAGGCGACGCAAGTCGGGCAAATGCACAGAGGAAATGATGCAAAAGCACCAGCCAGCGGACCGCCCCTTCGTTATGAACGGCCATCCCCTCCCCTCCCTATCGCGCTCCCGACCCTTCCCAAAACGACCATGGACCTTATTCCGGTCCGTCCTCAGACCTCCTTTCGCGCATCCCATCAATATTACGAGTACACCAAACCGGACGTCTGGCGCTACGTGTTCTACCCAAGGGACCGTTTACGATGCCATCGATAACGCCAGCGTCGCCCGTTGGCGCAACCAAACAACTCGTTATTGGCGCCGCCTGCACAATCGCACGCGAGCGGCCCATCCCCGCAGCCGCGCGTGGGGGACCTGCAGCCTCACGATAAGTAGCTCTCCCCACTATTGATGGAAATTCACCACGATGCAGCGTCGAGGCTGTAGACTTGAAGTGATAGTGCGGGTTGTGATAAAAATAGCTATATATTCGGAGGTCCGCTCACTTGCCGGAGTGCAATGGCCGTCCGAACTGCACACACACGCTCAGCTTATCTTTTGGCAATGCGCCCGCAACCAAGGTGTAGCGATTTCAATAGATGCCTTCCCAGCGTCCAGCAAGCAGTGTAGCTCAAGATGGTCTCAACAGGCGAGGGTGCATGCGCATACTGATATCGTTCCTTGTTACATTCCAACCGACACTTCAACCTTCCCAAGTCGGTGCCCAAGAGCTGGTTTAGCAACTTATACACCGTCTCTACAGTCAAGCTTTCAAGCTTTCATCCGAAGTCCTCCTACCCAATAACTTCCCGCGCCTCGACTGGCAGAATGGCGCCATCATCGAGGTCTTCGCCATATCTTCTAGCTCTCGTGGCGGACGTACCCGTAGCTACGGACCAGCGGGTCGGTCCTCTTCAGGGTGACGCTAGAAGGATGCTGATGCCGACAAGGAGGCGTGGGTCCTATAAGTCTGTACCATGTTTCCCAAAGCATGGTCTGGCGTCCCCCGGCACACCAGCGTAGCCAGCTTCAACAACGCTACCCATTGTTTAGCCATCAACGTCTACGGAGAGGCTAACGCCTTCAGCCACGGTGCTTTCAGGACGGCCGAATAGCCTCAGGTGCACAGATGGACGCAAGGCGATAGTCCACATGTCCGAAGTCCGCTTATGTAAGGAACGGAGGCGTGGTGTACAACGCCCGCATCAGCCTCACGGAGCACTTGTGTAGGCTGGGCCTCAAGCTGCAGGACCGGAGAAACCGAGTGCGCACGTAGTGAGTTGAATTTCCAGTCCATTCATCTGAACCAAAACACCGAACATGAGCCGTCGCTGTTCAAGACACGTCTCATACTGTTGTCGCCCAGCGCCTGCTTCCGTCCAAACGGATCAGTAAGCAAAGCAGACAACGTCTCCGAGATCGGTCCCATTTCCGCTTTTGACACCGGAATGGGCGGGCTGAGCGTGGTCGAATCTCCTTGCAAGAGGGCGTAGATGCTGGTCTTGGCGCGGCCCATCATGCGATGGTGGATGTCGCGGAGAGTGTCGTACAAAGGCCATAGAATGTCGAGGTAGCGGGCAGCTATGGGTTCCATACTGCGGCAGGTTTCAAGCATGTCCATGCAGGCTTTGCCGTACGTGAGGTCTTGGTCGACGGTATCAGCCTGTCCTTCGAGAAGCTTGGTGGTAGCGCTGTAGAGGAGGACGATGCAGGCCGTGAAAGACCAGTAACTGAGACACATTAGCCATGTCCAAGAATTTGGTCAGCTGTTTTGCACAACTCACATTATCAGCCAGCAACGCTTTGTCAAGGTGCCATCGAACGAGATCAGACGCAGGATGCGCGCTACTTGTTGGGCAGCGAGTGCACACTCGTTTCGATATCTCTTCGCGTCCTCGATGGAAAGATTGAGATCCCACGCCGCACCGTCAGTAAGCTGCGTCTCGGCCGTAGCCACCAGCAGCTGGCGGTACAGCAAAATGACTGCACCGAGATACATGATCTGGCAATAAATCAGCAAGAACAAGCGCTTATAGAACCAGCGCTACTGACATGCACCATGAGTGTGGCCCGCCTCTGATACAGTGTCATGGGCGGGGGATTCGGCGACGTTAATGAACCGATGCTCAAAATGTGCGGTACGTCCAAGCGCCACCTCTCGAGCTGATCGGCAAGCGTCTGGATGGTCTCTCTGGTGGCTAATTCCGGAGACGCAAGGGCTTTTGCGATATCGGCTGCGACCAATCCAATCCTGCTTGTTTGTACGTGGATCTGCTCATCGATGGTCAACTCGAAAGGAAGAGAGGCAGGACAAGCAAACTGTTACTGTCAGTTCTGTGTTGCTATGTGTACATATTGTTGTACGTACAGCTATATCTTGAGGCGTGACTTCAGAAACGTAGCCAAGGGTATAGGAAAGCCAACAGTCCATGAAGATCAGACTACGGAACAGCTTTCTCCAGTTAGCGTCGGCTACGCTATCATTGATCTCTTTCGCCAGTGCTGGATACTTCCAGCGAGCAATCTGCAATGCCGCCACTAAGTTGATGTTAGTTCATATTCGTGAGCACAACACTAACAACCTTCTACTTACCAAGCACATATCGCGCGCTCATGTGCTTCTCTAAGAGGGCGTAGAACGCCGTAGCTAACAAAAGACGCATGGTACGCAAGTAGTCCGTTCGCGCGGTCTTCTCATTGAAGCATAATGTCCCAGAAGCGTACAGCACGCGTCGAATCCGATCAGGAAAGCAGTCCATATCGTAATGGGCGCCCATTGCTGCGACAGTGAAACACTCCGCGAGGGTCATAGCATCGACCGGCTTTTGCGGTCTGTAGATGCGGTCTAGAATCTCGTCTACTTGCGCGTATGTCCACATGTAAAGAAGCGATCCTGTGCCCTGTACAAAAGCATACATGGCCTTTCTGACGAGCTGTTCAGGTGGCAGATTTTGCGCGTCGTACGGCCGCACACTTTGACCCAGGATCTCGCCCCTGAGAGACACAAGCTCACTAAATGCTAGGGTAAGGGCATTGTGACAAACTTCGGCCTCTTCTCCGAAGGACGTTACAGAAGAAATTAGTGATGTCGGACTTTCTGAAGAGGCCGATGGACTGTCCCTCGAAAACTCCCGGTTGAGTGTATACGAAGACGATGTCGTGGTTCGACTCTGACTTGGACGCGTAGCCGATGAGCCCTTGCTCGGCGCCTGTTGCTGACTCCTGAAATCGATCAAGTAGGCCTGGTGCTTGCGCCAGCTGTCTGTTTTTTTATACTCGTCCATTTGGGCTTCGAACTCCTGCATGGCTCGTGCAGCGTGACTTTCCCAGATGCGTTTCTGCTCCGGAGGAAGATGCTGCCATCGTCGACCTACTTCTCTTGCAATGTTCACAAAGGACAGACAGCTGATTTCGGGCTCGGTCCGGAGCTGATCGGCAAAGTTCACATCTATAATCGATTAAGCTACGCTTAAGAATCAATAAACGAAGATTTGGCGTACAAGCTGTCTTCGGCTTTTTAGGCGCATTGCTGTCAGGACGTGGATGGCGTCGATACCGCCTTTTTTCCCGCGGCGGTGGGGTCGACGTCTGTCTAAACAAAGACTCGAGAGCGTATGCCGACAGCGCAGGCTGGTCGGCAGCGTTGCTCTCGTCGAGAGCCAGTGAGGATGGGACTCCTCGGAAAGTGGCGATCTCGCGTTGAAGGGTCCGCCGATGTCCAAGCTTGAAGTTCAACGTCGTCAAGTCCTCCTCCGTAATATCGAGTACTGTATCCCAATTATGAAAACCGTTCTCTATGAGGGCGTCCAAGTAAGCAGTCAGCCCCAGACGTTCCAACACGTCTGGCAGCATAGGAAGAGCCGGGGAAGGGATCGACGTGGACTGCATTGGTGTAGCGTGAAGCCACGGGGACAAGCAGCGTACATAAGTGAGGATTGACAGACATGGTGGGTGCACGAGACCCCAATGTAGGAGGTTCCGAGAGAAGAGAACGCGGAGCCACTAAGATGGCGATGGGAGAGGAAGCGCACATTAGCGGTGGTCTGATGTCGCCCGGTCTAGACCCACGCCGTGCAGCGCCAAGCCATGCTTTCAAAAGCTTGTATGTGTCTAGCTCGCATTCCAACTCAGCGCCAGTGGATGCCGTGGAGCATCGCGAACTGCACGCGCGGTTGTGCTGCCACAATTTGCTTCCATGGCCACGCTCCCGATATGCTTTTCTCAACAGCCTCGGGGGTGATTACTCGGGCATGGGTCCGGATCTTCGATCGCATGCTGCAAGGCACGCCTGCCAGCAGCCAACATAGCCAGGCCCAGACCTGCTCAGACGTGTTCGCGCACCATCGGTCAGGCACCCTGGGGTTAGAAAGCCCGCCGTCGCGCTACTGTTGCCTTCCGCACGACCCCGCTACAACTTCGCGATCTCGACGAAACAGTCCCGCAGTGTCGAAATCGCAGAGCTTCCTGTGGTTGCGAGGCCCTTGTGTCAACCACCAACGTGGAGAAGATCTCATTTGGTGGGCCTCGACAATCTCAAATGCATCTTCTGAGTCAATCGTCCCCACATAGACCCTATGGAATAATCATGCCGTGGCCAAGTTTCGTGCCAAAGACTAAAGTCCATCTCGATGCGATTCAGGGTTCATCAAGATTCTCATGCGAGGTCTTTGTGGCGCTAGCCTATTTTAGACATGATGGCTTTTCGGCATGCCGACGGCCATGCGCGGGCCATGGCATTCTCCTAAAACGCATGCTGACAGAAGAACAGGCACAGTCTAGACCCATCTCCAGCCTCGACATCCAACGGCGCGCTTTACACGGAGGTTTTACACTGTACGACCGTATACAGCACCGCCTCGTTCCCCAAGTTTCGTCTCGATGCAAACCCCAAAAAGTGATATCCATGCGCAGGCGCAAATACGAGCTACCTCGGCATTCCGTCACGCTCTTCACGGTGGGGTCTGTCGACCCCACCCCGAACCGCTGCGCTCGCTGCCGTGATCCGAGAGACGGCGAACTGATGATTTGCGAGACCCCCCTGCAGCCTGACTACGCGAATGCTGCGCTTCTCCGTCTTTGACCCAGGTGGCGCACCTTTTTCAAAGTACACCAGCTGAACCCAAGCTGACCAACATGCGACAAGACATTACACGACACATGCGCTAGATTGAGTTGTTTTACTCAAGACCAGGGTGACAAGATCGGTCGTTGTAGCTACCATCGCCTCGTCCACTCGTTCCGGTCGAGTGGTTAAACAAGCGTTTAGCCTGATCTATACACCATGGCAGTTGACAAATGACTGTCTCGCCACCGGACCAATCATGGGTCGCACGGCGACTACAGAAAGACTGTTGACACATCTAGCCTGTTCTGTACAAGGACAGGTAACGTGGGTTAGCGAGCCGTTGTACGTCAACATAGCCAAGGAGAGTCACTCTGCTATTGAGCGTTTGTTGAGGCATTGCCTGGAGATGCGAGCCTTCCTCGAGTTTCAGAGTAAGTCCATCGTCTTTTGGTCTCTAGATCGTCTTCTTACGTCGCTTGCGGATCATTCGGGGCCACGTCGTGAGTGTTGAAAGTAGAAAGTTGAGTGTAAAAGTGATGAATTGCTAGGGTGGCGGATGCCGCCTACGTAGAGTAGGCTAGCGCGGAGGCTCCTACCAGATGCCAGAGAAGCTCCTTCCGCAAACAGTGGGTGAGGCGATAGAATGGAACTTCCATGTCGTCGTGAAGGCTGGCTAGAACCTTCGTTGAAGTCCGCAATGATGTATTGGATGGTATTGCATAGAGTGATTGGGGCTACAAGTCTTTAAAGCTGTGACCTGATAGTGCCCGGTCGATTTTGTTGTACACGTTGTTTATGCATTTAGGTTAGCGACAAACTAATGTAGGAACAGAGTGGAGTGTAAAATTGATGGATTGCTAGGGTGGCTCCTGCCAGGTGTAAAAGAGCAACTTCCGCGAACAAAACGACAGGCGCATGGCGATGGATGTGCCCAGGTACCGATGCCTAAGGTTTACTTCATATTCTGTGTATTGCCAGATAGATATCTCTTCAAGGCCGCTAAAGTAGCCCTAACATGGTCGTTTGAGTTGGCCCGCAGCGACTCTAAGTGTGCCAGCTAAGCACCTGCAGAAAACTCACAGCACATAGGCATTAATAGCTCGCCCCATTTGGACATTGCATATCTCTGGACGACCGCTCTTATCCGCTTCGACCGTCAAGCCCGCACTCACTTCCATCTCGCTGCCTGATACTAACTGGCCTGGGTAATAATTCAGAGGTTATGTCCGTATTTGGGAATATAAAGTGAAAGAGTAGACATAGAAAAAAGGAAAGAAAAAAAGCAGACCACCACTTCTTCCACGCCCCGTTGGTCCGTCCCTTCATCACCCAGCTGGCTGCTGAGCACTGAAGGGAAGAACTTACTAAGGACGCTTCCGAAGTGAACCTTGTCAGTTTGACCCCTTCCCCAGCCATCACCCCTCCCCTCCGGTGCACGGCACGTTCAGGTCAAAGTAATAGCTGAGGTCAGGATCGAACCGACGCAGTTGTGAGATTTTGTGACACGGTCAGCCGTGAGGTAAACCATTGCGCCACGAGTCTCTGCCCCCGCGGGCCCATTGATCCAATGTTTGAATCTCTGCACAGAAGCTTTATATAGGCAGCAAGGTAATTGTCTATCTTTAATAACGTGCTTGAAAGGTGGAAAAGCTGTTACCCAGGTGAAGTTGAAGTTGAAGTGAATGGTTTTGGCAGTCGAGTGACTCACTTGTAGCTTCGTACGTTGGAAATTCTTGATCTACTACTTGTCGTTCACCTTTTTTTCGAGCAATGCTATGGAATCCTGGTGCAGCCTATAGACACGTAGAGCTAGCCATTTACTGATGTCAGCGGGACGACCGATAGTGTCGTGTCGTAGCTGCCTTGTACCCAAATTCATGAAATACGAATCTGGAAGGAGCGAGCATCATTGACCGCACGAATCTAGCGTTGTTTGCCAATGAAAACGCACAGGGTGAGAGAAGCTCCATAAACGCTACGTTGAAGGCGAGGAAGTCACGATGGCCATTTGACGGTACTCGAGATCATTCCAATCTCTACAAGCGATTTCTTTCCCACCTTACTTGGCTCGCGCATTGCCTTTACTATCGCATCCACGAGCTGTTTGTCACCACAGAAGCATCTTCTTTCCTGTCTCGCAGACTTTGTTTGCAATTTAGAATCTGCGCACACCGCGCTACTTCACCTTTCACCTCGCTACTTCACCTTTCACCTCGCTTATCACGCCGCTCATCTAAGCAGAACGCACTCAGCTCGTCAGTCAAATTGCACCTGCCGTTCTCAATTGCCTTCCATCGCCTCATCCAAGCTGTCTTCGTCCACATCCACCTCTACATCCACATCCTCGTGCCTTCCCGCTCTTTGCTACGATGTCGTTCTCCTACAACGATCCCGAGAAGGTTACTCCTACCGATGAAGCCATACAATATCATTACAAGCTTGCCGCGATGCTTGTCAAGAAGCTCGCCCTGGTTCCAAAACACACATTCTACGCAGAGTGCAAACCCACGTTAGTAGCTTCAGCACGCCACTTGGATATCTGCTAATTACATGTAGTATCGACGATATATACAAGTTGACGAAGTCCTGCTACCCCAATCAGATCCCTCGTTCCGTTGGCCTCTTCTATCTTTTCCAGAATTTTGGCTACCTTGCCAGCAACAATTTCTCCGGCTGCAAGCTTGAGGGTGGTTTCAACGTATCCCGCATGGTCTGGTACTGGAACCTGGATAAGACGCACTCCTTTTCCCGCCACCATCACCAGGTGTTGGCGAACTTCCTTGTCGCCAGCCTGGTCGCGGCAGAAGGGGAGAACTACGACGCCAAGGGGATGTTCGTCCAGTTGTTTATAGAAGCCTTCATCACGGCCAATCTGCGCGACACCGACCACGAAGAGCAGGATGAGTTCCTGAATCACTGGGACACATGCGAATTCGACCTCATCACCTTCACCAACAAGGACTTGAAGCGCATCATGAAAAAGGTGCTGCAACTCAGGGAGGAGCTCCCTTCAGAACCAATGCAGACCACCTGCTTCGCCAGCGAGGCTCGTCGCCAGAACTATGCGCTGTACTGCCAAAATGCGGCTGCGTGGGCGGTACATTGGATGGCGGCCTGGGAAAAGAAAGCTGAGGCGGCGGAAGCGGACGAGAAGGAGGATCAGACCAAGCCGCTGAAGTGGGATGACGATCTCTGCGATGTCATGGCGGCTCTCGGGATGAACAACGACGTAAGTTGCGCAAGGTGGTGCTATGGAATATCATCAACATCTCGTAGCTTCCGTCGTACCTAACTCGGGACCACCTAGCGCAGCATGAGGTACAAGCTTTGGGCACGGACATCCAGGTGATAGCCCCAGACAAGAAGCGAGAGGTTATACCGTGGATGAACGCGAAGGCTGCTGTAGAGATGATTGTTGGTAGCGAAAAGACCGATCAGGCAGAGACCACTGATGTGCGCATGGAGGATGCTTTTTGAGTGGCTGCGAAGAGGGTCGTCAATATCAACAGGCACTAGCCGACAGATATATTAGCTCCAGACCGTAGAACATAGCACCTAAGTGCAGCAACCTAGTTTCCGATCATTCTCTCGGTTTCAAACTACCGTCACACCAATTTCTTTTCAGACCATTAGCACCAGCCCGGGGATCTCAGCGAGGACTAACCTTGGTAGCCGACATTCTCCAGCTCGAGTCTCACGCCGCTCGCGACGTTCTTCTGCAGACGCGCTCGAAACCCTTCTAATATACAATTGTGGCGATCAATCTATCAGGGCTGATTAGCAACCTACCCTGGCATACCTTGTGATCGGTCTCCATCGTGGATTGCAGTGGTAACAATCGACTCTGCTTCGCCTTGTGTGGGCTGTCGTGTAGCGCAAATTCTATGAGCCACATCGAACTAGACGACATTATGCTTTAGATGGCTGCGCGCGAACTGAAGGGACAGGTGTCTGAAGTCGGAGCATCATAGTCACCATATTAAAACTTCAGCTGAAAGCAGGTCCCTCGTTGTGGATGAGGGATGGCAAAAGGGAATAGGCACCGTGAAGGTGGGCCTACTGTACTGTTCCTACCTATCTAGGCAACTTGTAGGTACGACCACCCAGATAGGAAGTAACAGTACAGCATCATCAAGCCGTCGGGTAGAGACTGCCAGGAGAGATACTCGCGCTGCGGGTGCGGAAGTGGCCATGCACGCGGTTGAGGAAAGAGCTCGGACTCAGCATGTCAGAGTAAGCGAATGTCAGAAGCGTCTTCGAATTTTACTCTGCTTTTCTAGGCAGATGTGAGAAAGAAATTCTGCTCCTAAAGAGGAGAGGGCATCCTCTCCATCCTATGGTAAGGTAAAAGAATAAATTTATGCCACATAGTGATTGGATTCCACTACGGCGCTCTTTTCCACGTGAAGATGGAGGGCGAGCAATGTTCTTGATATGGCTAGCAGTTGGTTTGCAAGAGGATCTAGACGAGGAAGTGATGATGCGCAGGGCGGACACGTGTTGGCGGGGTTCCGCTTCGCTAAGGTACCGGTACAAGTACGAAAGGGCCACTTGACGACTAGCGCCGCAGCGCCCCCCCCCTTCCTTCTGACATCCGTTCTGACATTCTGATACAACATATGGACTTCTTGAATCATATTTGGTTTCGTTGCCTAGCACTTTGCTCGCCGAAAACAGCAGAAGGGCGTAGCTGTGGGGCCGTAGACTAATCAATCAAGCGTACTATACCATAGGTAGGAAGGATGGTACTATAGTAGGTACCTCGGCCGAAGACCATTCCGCTCCAATTTGTCCGCAAAGGGATTCCAACAACCATCCACGACTAATACTGAGTCATTGCTACATGTGCATGCCAACATACGCTATACAAATACCCCTTCCAATCCTCTGCTCGTGTAACCAACCCAACATCTCCCTTCAATCCTCTTCCAATCCTCTTCTGGTGCAACCCAACACCTCCCTTCTTCAAACCAACCACCATCACAGTTCCCAACCTACAAGCCGCGACAATGACAAAGCCATCTATCGTCCTCGTACCGGGCTCATTTGCAGTCCGCGGCATCTACCAGAATATTGTGGATAAATTACGCGCTAAAGGGTATCCAACGCTCGCTATCGATCTGCTCTCGTCGCAGAAGAGGTTGGGGCTGGAGCCAGCGACTATGATGGACGACGCGAAGCATATCCGCGCTGTGGCTGAGGCTCTGATTAAGCAAGGGAAAGAGGTCGTAGTAATGTGTCACGTACGTCTCTACCGAGTCCAAACAGAATGTCACAGCTGACTCCCTCATCCGCTAGAGTTACGGCGGAACCCCAACAACACAAGCGCTGGCGGGCGTCCCCGTGAAGCGCATCGTCTATCTAACGGCCATCGCCCCGAAAGTAGGCCAGTCGCATGCTGATGCCATGGCCGGCCCATTCATGGACGCGGTGATCAACAGTGCCGTGGGCGGCTACATGCATGGCGATCCCGTGCAGCAAGCCGCCGGTGTAGGCAACGACTTCGACTCGTGGGAGTACGCGTACGAATGTGCGCTTCAGCTTCCGCACCATTCTGCTGTCTCCTTCACGGGGAAGACGACGCAGGCGGCCTACGTGACGGTTCCTGTGAGCTATATTCTGACAGAGAAAGATATGATTGTGTCTGTGGGTAAGTGCGCATATTCTGATGCTTTATGAGGCGAGACTGACTGTACCTCAACAGAGCTGCAGGAGAAGTATATCAAGGTCATGGAGGAGGCGAGCGGGCGGAAAGTTGATGTCATCAGGAAGCCTTGGGGACACTGTCCGAACTGGGGCCATCCGGAGGAGCTGGTCGAGGTCCTGATTGGAGAGGCAGAGAAATAGACAGGCGCCAAAACGTGGATAATCAGGATGAAGATCCCCGACGAGGCGATCTGGTCTCAATGCCGTGTCAACCGTGTTTGCGAACCTGTATGATGGTTTACCGTTAGCTTTTCCGCGTAGCTCAGGAATCAAAATTAGCGTATGCACAACTCTTAGGAACCTGTACTTGAAGATATACCACGTGCACGCCTTTTCTGTATTTAGTGCGGCTCAACGTACGATGGAGGTCCACTTCGTCGAGATAAGCGCAGGGACACGCGATCTATCCTGGTATGATATATTTTAAAGCCGTGCCGCGCGTCTGGTTGTCATACCATGCTCGACACCACAGTATGGGCCAGTAAGAATGTCAATGACGACCGCATGCTCTTCGATGGATCTCCTGGAATTCGAATCTACGCAGGATTTGCTCGCACTTCATGCAAACCACGAGTAAGTCGGCCTCGGAGTCTCCGCCTTCGTTCTGGGAATAATGAAGTCCGATGTTGGATCGTACCTGCCAAGCACGACAAGCTTCCCTGGTGGCGTTGGTGAACGGGTGAGCACGTGAGTCATTAAAACGCGAATTGTCGCCACGTTTGGGCTTCGCGGCGTGCGAAAACTTCATGATGGATTTATGTTGGTGTGCCTATTCACCTTTTGGTATTTTCAGAATCCAAATAAGCACATGTCGCGCGGAAGGCGAGGCTGGTTTATGTCCGACGAATCAGCGCACGGCTCGGCATGTGCGCACAAGCTTCGCTAAGTAGTCGGTGATGGCGTTGGCTGGTGATGCTTTGAACGTGCCGTTGCCGATCCCGAGGTCGATACTCCAGATTAATTCCCGAGGACTTGCAGCCAGGTTGTTGCTGAAGCCAGACCAACTTATTTCGTATGTGACAGGAAGCTTAGACTGAGCATATGTGCAATAGAAAGAAGAAGTCATCTCATGCGCCGCAGAAGCGCTGGAGCTGCACCTCCAATAACGCCCGCGCTCGCGTGACGGCACGCCGCATCCTGCTCGAACAAGCAGGTGAAAGCGCCCGGACAACGTAAGGAAAGATGCTAACAGAACCTTGCCTAGCCGCGGCTACCAGCAGTGGGTCTGATCACTGTTGAGCTTGCGGTTGACAGGCGCAATCCTACTGAATTCTATTCGAGGCCGCCAGGACTGTGGGTCGTACAGACGGGGCTCGCCTTTGCCAGCTACCATATGCGGGCGGGGGCGCGTGATAAATAGTCCAAGTGATCCACGTCCCACTGCTGTGCGACAACCCGCTGTATCGACCTTCCGCCTTTGCGCTGTTCCAGAGCTCTCACGATCTCTATGGTCGCGTGTGATTCTGCGCGAACACCTCTGGACTGCATCGAATCAGACCCCAAGCAACGTCCTCATTCCAACGCGCCATGTCGAAGGACGCTGAATCGCCAAGCCCGACTGCCGACGACGCTCGTCGCGCGAGCATTTCGCAAACGGAGAAGGGTCGCTGGGAAAGACTGTGGCCGGTCATTGCCTGCGGTGCTGGACTTTTCAGTGATGGATACCTCAACAACGTCCGTTAGCCTATTGCGCCACGTTTCCCAATGCGACACTTCCCATGTGACGATTCCCATGCGACAATTTCCGTTCTAACGTGCAATAGATCATTGGACCGGTGAACACCATGCTTTCCAAGATATATCCCGACGAGTATGGGTCTTCTTCGGCTCAAGCGAACGTGTCCAGTATCACGTTCGCTGGTACGGTCCTCGGAATGCTGTTCTTTGGATACACGTCAGATCACTTCTCGAGGAAATGGTCGCTGTTCGCTTCAACCATCATAATCATTTTGTTTGCGACCTTGGGTACTGCCAGTTATGGCGCAGGCGGAAGCCCCAGCGGCTTGCTCGCGGCCCTGGTAGCGTATCGGTTCTTTCTTGGAATCGGCATTGGAGGAGAATACCCAGCCGGCTCTGTAGGTTGTGCCGAAGGAACTGGAGAGCTGAAGGCGGGCTCGAGAAACAAGTGGTTCATTCTCTTCACGAACGTCCAGATCGACTTGGCATTTTTCATCTCCGCGATCGTCGCAACAGTGGTGGTAAGTGCTAAAGAAGGCTTTCCTGTGTCTAACCAAATTCAGGATACGTTGTATCGCCCTGGTGGTGATGCAGAAGTCGTATCTGTCGAACTTGTAAACTTTCTGACCTTTCGTAGGTCGTCATCACTGGCGAGAATCACCTCCGCGTAGCATGGCGTATTTGCCTCGGGATCGGAATCCTTCCTCCACTGTCGCTCTTGTACCTTCGTCTCAAGTTGCAGGAGCCAGAAGCCTTCAAGCGCGAGTCACTCGCCAAAGCCAAGACCCCCTGGCTACTCATCATGAAATTTTACTGGCAACGACTGATAATCGTCAGTATCATTTGGTTTATTTACGACTTTTCCGCGTATTCCTTTGGCATTTACGCGACAACCATAGTTAATAATTTGCTCGGAGAGGATCAGCCGTTGTGGAAGAGCTTGGCATGGAACATCCTCATCAACTTCTTCTACCTCCCCGGCTGTCTTGCTGGAGCCTTCGTCGCGGATCTGAAGAGTATGGGACCGAAGAAGACTCTGTTTATCGGTGTTATGCTGCAGGCTGTCATTGGCTTCATCATGGCAGGCTGCTACCCATGGCTCGCGGAACCCAAGAACATTGGTGGCTTCGTTGTAGTTTACGGGGTTTTCCTCATGCTGGGCGAGTTTGGACCTGGCGATAACATCGGTCTTATTGCATCAAAAACGTGTGCGACCGGTATCAGGTAAGTTTGCCGTTCCTCATATGGCGCTCTTGTTCTGACTCGGGATAGAGGACAATATTACGGTATCGCAGCCGCAATGGGCAAGATCGGAGCTTTTGCCGGCTCCTACGCGCTTGACGCGATCCAGAAGAATGCTGGCGACGATAAGATCGCTGCAGGACGTAATCCATTCTTCGTCGCCAGTGCGCTTGCCCTATTGTCTGGTGGACTAGTGCTGCTCCTTCCACATATCGGCCAGGACACCATCGACATGGAAGATATCAACTTCCGAGAGTACTTGGCCAGCCATGGATACGATACAAGCAAGATGGGCTTGGGGACTGCAAGCGATATTAGCAGCGAAGACAACGTCGCTGTAGAGACGAAGACTGGTCTAACTTCAGCATCATAGTAGGCAAGTCTGGACCGTTCATCCCACGTGGAGAGGTTGGAATTAGACGGTTCCTGGTCGGAGAAAGCTTCAAAGGGTAGTGGTGGAGGCCCTCAGATATCAATAACGGCACTATTATGGCCTTATCGTGCGGAACAGTGAACTCATCTGACTCGTCCGAAATCCTCCCCGAGTGGGATCCATCCTTGACCCCTGATCATCAGGGCGGAGATGCACCATGTTGCATGTCCTGACAGCCTTGAGTCATGGCAACGAAACATGAAAGCGGGGAAAGCGGCAAATTTTCAAGATTGCCTCGTAAGCTCTATTGCGTACCTTGTAGACTTTGGTGTGAATTGCATAGATCTGTGAAGACAGATGAAACGCGCGATAAGCTTGAGATGCAGCAAAAGAAACTTGGAGACAAGCCGGGAGGAGCTTGACGGTGCAGGGATGTCAATTCGTCTAACGCGGCTGATGACATTGACAGCCAGTTGCTTGATGAGAACGTGCCATGTGGGCAGTTCCGTGGAGCAACCTGTTTTGAAGAAGGGCCATCAGTTGCGCGAATGAGGATGATGTTGGAGGTTGGAGGCGTCGTTCCTCTCGGGTGGAACCCTGCCACGGCACGGGATGCTTGCCGCAAGCTAACATCGGATAATAATACTGCGAGGGAGAGTCGCTGGAGACAGCATGGGATACAGACTGATGATGCACAAAGGCCATGAAACGCGTGTGGTTGTTGACTCAATACCCTGTGGGAAGCCACGTTCGTGGTGGTTGCGCCTTCCAGCGTGCCTGCGCATGCAGACCCGCGCATCCACTCACAACGGCCCTTCATCATCACCATCGCCACAACGACCACGCCTGTCCCGGCAGCGTGTGCATCAGGCGCATTTACCTGCGCTAGTCGCGCGGTTCTTATTCGAACCCATGTTATATCGTGTTTTGTCTCTAGCGGATAGTGTCCGCTCCAGCGAACCCCCCCTTTGGCCTCCTCACGAGCGGACGAGCGAACCTTACCATGGCTGTTATATCTAAGGAACTCGAGTTACACGGCGCCCGGACTTCGCATGATGCTCAACGCAGCACGAAGTGCAGCGAAATGAGGACCGGAGCGCGCGAGCCCCAATGCGCGGTGTTGTCGTAGCATGGGCCCGCTCGGACTTGCAAACGGAATTGCCGCATACAGACAAAGGCCAGGACCCAAACGGTCCTCCAACTGCCATCTTGCATGGATAACGGAGTACATGCACATCGATCTGCATGTCTGGTGTGTGGCCTTTACGAAATCAACGTCGCCACCATGCAGACTCTACGCCGTGGCAACACCGTGAAACTGGAAAGCATGGAGAAACATGGTTGCCAGCAGCCGTGTGATGAGAACACTGGACCTTGCTTTGACGGGATCTAGTCTGTCGATCGCTTCGCGGAAGAGAAGCGGGAAATGTGGAGATGCGCGTGGTGCACACACGGCAGGGGTCGTGCTCTTGCACGTTGCACCTTGCATTTCAGTCCAGCTCCATCAAGACGGCCACACAGCCCACCTGCCAGCCTGCGCTCTTGCGCAGAAACGGCGTAGTGTCAGCTTTAGAATTGAGAGGCAAGACATTTGCGACCCATCAGCAGCTTCTCATCCCACGTCATCCTAGCTTCATGCGCCTCGTTTGACCTGCTCAGAACGACAGTCGTCTTGGACGCTTGTCAGGGAAACTTCGAAACGAGCACCATGTAAATGCTCTAATCCCAGATATTACGGGGTTCATATCGTGCTTGTCCAACAAAATGCAGGATTGCTTACCTCAACACGTAGCGGGCTTTTTAAAGTTGAAACGGTGTATGATCGGGCGAGTCTGATCATAGGCTAGGTTCAGACGAGTGCCCAATTATTGTAACCAGCCTCAAGTCGTACCTGGCAAGCGTAAGGCACTCCGCGCAGCGAGTTCTACTACGTACGCCAACGGTGACCTAACACAGCATGCAGACCGTTTCTGGCACCCATGTCGCTCATGGTGACCCCGGTGGCCAAAGCACATATTGAGTGCACTGTCACGCCCACGCGGAATCCGGCAGGGTTTCTACAACAGCCTTGCAAACCCGTAGGATCGGTCCGCTGTTACGCTGGCGAGAGATGCCCTTGTTAAAACTCTGGCCCTTCCCCGGCCTTTCTTGCCGTCTTCCTTCGGAGTGTCTTATAATATACCCGTCCCCACTGCTCTCAGGGACCTTATCGGGGCTCGACTTGTACGATCGATAACGGACATACCATTCTACACATCAAAGTTTTTCTTCTTCACGGCATGTGGAAAGCCCTTCGCTTGTAGTCTTACACCAATGGTGGTCGCCCTAGCTGGCTTTCCTCACTCGTAAAACACCCCGACTAGCGGCTCTAGAATAGACGATTCGACATGTCATTACCAGAAACGTCGTCCCTGCCGGAAGACACCCATATTCCTGTTTCCAACAAGCCTGAGACCATCATCGGCGTTGTCGTGACTTTCCTTGTGAGTGTAGCGTCTTTGCTTTTGGTATGAACGGACAACTGACGTAGAATGCAGTGCTTCAGTGCTCTTGCAGTCAGCTTAAGACTACTTGTGCGATATAGAGAGAGATTATGGGGGTGGGATGACCTATTCGTTGTGCTCGCCGCCACCGCTTGCGTTGCTGGCTCACTACTTACATGCTTGAGTATGCTTCTGCCGTCTGCATAAGTTGTTCATCCACTGACCGAGTTCCAGTGCCTCAACACGGGCTAGGCAGACACTTTGTTACATTAGACGCTCACACTAGAGTGGAATATTTCAAGGTCAGTTACATGTACAATCAAGTCGATATCGTCCTGACAGCCACTCAGTATGTGTGGGCATCGAATCTTACCTACGCCCTTAGCACCACATTTATCAAGATCTCTATTCTTACACAATACCTCCGCCTTTTTGAAGACCGCTCAGTATTCGCGCGGAAGGCGACATGGGGTATACTTACCTTTGTAAGCCTATGGGGGCTCACTTTTTGCCTGCTTGCACTCTTCTCTTGCACACCCATTGCAAAGAATTGGGACTGGAATCTGGAGGGCCATTGCGTTGGTTGGGGAAGCAAGAACGCCAATGAGTTCTTCGCGACTTGGATGGCACACGCTTCCAGTAACATGGTTCTGGACACTCTTATACTCGCCCTGCCTGTTCCTTTCATTCGCAGCCTCAGGATGAGTGGTAAGACGCGAACCGGCCTCATGATGCTATTCATCTTGGGGGGAATGTGAGTATTGTTCTTCAAGTTCATCTACAAGATACTGACAAGAGGCTCTTTAGTGCGGTATCTCTCTCCATTGCCCGTGTCGTCTCCCTCTCCATCAAACGCATAGGCACCGTCCCAGTTTTCGATCCATCCTGGTACACCCCAACCGTCTACATCTTCTCCATCCTCGAGCTCAACATGGCCATTCTTACCGCCTCCATTCCCATCTTCTGGCCCCTGGTGACCTCTTTTGCCTCCAACAAAATCCTCATCGTCAACGAAATCGAAATCCGCACCGAGCGCATCGACAACAGCTTTGCGCTCTCCGACCAAGGTAAAGGCTTCGCCGGCGCGGGCGTAGACGAGTCGCACGATGGGCGAACAAGCAGGATAAGCGTCTTGGGGAAGAACGACACAGACAAGCTGCACCGCAACAACTCGCGCCTCACTCGCAACAAGCACCACCACAAGCCCAGCCACTCCGACTCCTCGGATAAAGAGCTAGGTCTCGGCATCGGGCACCGCTCATCGCAAGATTCGCAGCGCAAACTCAATCTCACGCACCAGGCGTCTAGTAACTCCTTTGGCTCAGGCAGACTGGAGGACAGCCCCGATATGACGCATGCGCGCTACCAGAACAAGTTCACACAAGACTGGGCAGTACCAGACTTCGACCGGCCCCCAAAGGGCGGCAGCGAGGAGCGCATGTTCACCACGTCTGTTGAGCGGGCGGAGGTGCCTTACGACCATATCAGGGCGCTGGAGAAGTGAACGCTGGCCAGCGCTGGTGTTACGGTTCTGGATTTAGATGATACCCTTTGCTATGAAAACATGTACTTTTGCAATACTACACACATACACATACATCACCTCTATGTTCATCTCGCTTGTCTTTCTCGTGTCGCATACTTGACCGCCTTACCGGCCCCAGCTTACTTGCCTCGTGGGCATCGCATATCGGCCATATCCTCGTATTACACCACATCTTACCTGCGTCGACCACGAGGCTCTCACAGAAGAGGCACTTACGCGAGACACACTTACTCCACTTCACTCCTCGTATTCGAACGCCAGCCTTACTAACCACTACTAGGCACGCCGGAGTCCCACCTATCCACCTCGCTAGCTATAATCTCACTCATCCATCACTGCATACCCGTCTGCCCCACCACGTGTATCTCTCCTCGAAGTCCGATGCCTTCCGTCATCCACTCCATCCACTGCATCGTTCTTTCTTCACTACCTAATATAGTCCGTGCCTTACGGCGCACTTACGGCGTAGTCAAGGCCCTTCTTTGCAGTCCGTGCTTGTGCTTACGGCGCAGCGCAGCGCAGGCCCGAGCAGGATATACCTCTTTTGGATGGAGGCGGTGGTCTGGGGCTAGCGCCGGGAATGCACGTGGTGGGTAGTGTGCCCAGGTGGATGAACCCCGATGGTGGGACTAGCGAGGTGGTGTTCACGTACGTACGAGGGAAATGTAGAGGAAGACGATGGGGAGTAGGGGTGTGGTGAACTACGGGTTGGTGCGCAGTGTTGGGAGGCGGGTCGGAAACGAGGGTGCTGGATGGCGGAGGCTCTGGAGTGGGCGCGTGACTGTGCTAGGGTACGTCGGAGAGTATTTTATAATTCGTGTCTGGGGCTTTGGTATGGTTAGGTATGCACGGGTGGACATTTCGCGCGAGAGTGAATTGCTGAGGGGAGGAGCACTTTGCGTGCGACCTGGATAGACGATCTGCTTTGGACGGTACTTCTACATGAGCGTTGATGCAAAACTTTGCTGTGGGATGAACGATTCGACCAACGAAGTGGCATAGATTACTACAACACATATGAACAAGTGAGCAGACCTGGTAGCATGCAAGTAGTCGATCTCGCTGCCCCTGCGATAAATACGCCAACAAATCCTCTCTGTCCGTAGGCCCAGAGCTCTAGCGACAGTGTATCTCTTTGCCTCTCTTTCCACCCGGCCCAGAATCCCTAGCCTTCGCTCACGCAACCTTCTTCCACTGCGAATAAAGCCCCAACAACGAACTGACCGTACCCGCAATCCCCACCACCCCATCATCGAACTTGGCCCATCCCAACGCCGTCGCCGGAATTGTAAGGTCGCACAGATCGCTCAAGAGCTGCAGCCTCACAGCGTTGGCCTCGCGCGCAATCTTCTTCGCTTCGACGACGGGCTCCGCCTCCGCGGATTTCGAGCTGGACAGCTTGGCGCTGCGCTCACGCAGGCGGTAGAGTTGGTACAAGCCGGAGAGGATGCTCATTGAGATGCCCGTGAACCAGGCTTTGTTGCCCTCACGGACGAGGCGCGCAGAGGCGGGGTACTTGTAGATGTTGGCGGCGTCGAGCTGCGGTCTGTTAGCCCTTCTCATCCCGATATCGCGTGTCGCCTATCCATCTTACCATCCCACCACAGGTCGTGGAGAATGGTAGAAGGAGGTATATACTCACCACAACCGCATTGTCAAAAAGCATGTACCCCGCATAACCCAACTGCTTCCCCACAGCAGTGTACCTCAGCACAGGATCCAAGCTCTTCGCATCGCTCGCGACCGCCGCTGCCTTGAAGTGCTCCACGAACTTGCCCACGCGCATCAGCTTGCGCGTCAGGCCGAACTGCTTCTTTGCGGCCTCGAAGGGCGCGATCGAGGACGCCGGGTGGTTCGTGCGGTACAGGTACCATGCGAGGAAACGGGAGACATATTGTAGGGTGCGGAGGGCTTTATCGCGGCCGACTGGAGGGAAGATTAGCGTTGCACATGCTGGTAGCGGAAGTGTTTGGGGAGATTATGGAGGGTCTGCACGGAGACGCAATGGTGGGATCTTGGAAGTCAATGGTGTCATACCGGTCGTCGCGACAAATTTGAGGTATTGCGCCACCGAAGGGTGGTAAATAAGTGCGTCTGCGACCATCCTGTCTGCGGCTTCACTGCCGACTACCAATGCGAGCAAGTATCTTGAAGGAGAGCGATCCAGCCTGGAGTCGTATGTAGAATGACCGTTGTGTAATAATCGGAGGTCGTCGGACGCGTATAGATAGTAAAGAAAAGAGTCACGATGGTGGAGCAAAGGTGAAGTCGAGTCGTAGATTGCTCGGGTGCGGTTCCGCGTCTGGGGAAGCTTGTGAAATGGTGCGGGCCCAAACAAGCCGTGACACCTCGGCAATTTCAAGGAACAATGCGCGAATGTCACGGGATTGCCGAGCTGCGCAAATGGGAATGAGACCACTGCCGAGCGTCTCCTATCGTGAATTTCCAGCTAAACTGTTGTATCTAAACAATCGAGAGAAAGTGACTCCTTTACCTCCCATGTGAGCTCCGGATATCAAAGGAGCTCTGCTGATGGGGAAAGTTTCCCCTTTCGGAAATGCCAACCAGAAACAGCCCCACATGGTATACTCATACAAAACCCTATGCAATATGACACTCATCCTCAGACCTTGTAGAAGCAGAAAACATGGTAGAAGTCGGCCGCATCCAACTCCTCCGCCGAAGTCAATAACCTCCCACCGCCACGTTCGCGCACGTTCATCCTCTCGGCCAGCGGTCCCAGCTCTGGATCGTCTTTCTGCTCGTCCCAGACCTCACGGAAGGGCTTCCGATACTGCAGCTCGAGATTGTAGTCTTCTGCCAACGCACGGAACGCCTCCCACGGGACGACGTATTCGGGGACTTCTTCGACAGCCTCTTCAAGGAAGTAGAAGTACTTCCAGCCAAAGGGAGGTCGGAAGGTGCCATCAGGCGGTGTCTTGCCAGGGAACTTGACCCTGTAGATGGAGTTGCCCCACTCGAAACCTTCCTCTTCGACCTGTCCATCTTCCTTTTCGTCGCCCTCCTTCTCTTTGATCTTCTCCTCGCTGTGCTCGCCCTCTGGCTTCGGGCTGTCCAAGCTTTTCTCCGGATCCCAGTCGTCTTCGTCGTCGCTGGCGAAGGTTGGTCGGTCGTCATCCTCCTCGTCAGCAGCGGCCCCATTGCCATTAGTCTCTGCACCTCCTTTTGCTTTGTGGTGTGCAATGACCTTCGCAGAGAGCACGTCAGAGTTCGGGATGCAGCCAATAAAACGGCCTCCCCTCTTCAATGCGCCCGAAACATTCTTCAACATGCCCCTCGCCTTTTCCTCGCTCTCGAAAGCATAGTGCATGCAGAACATCATGGTGACCATGTCAAAACCACCACCTCCCCAACGCTGACTGGCCGCATTTCCAGGGCCAACGTGCGCGTCAAAGCCCACGTCTTTGACAATGGGTATTCCCTCGAGCGACACACCGAAGCAATCCCTGGCGTAAAACTCGGCGTGGAAAACGCGTCCCCTAGACCGCTTTCGCATTTGCTCATGACGTTCCCGCGCCTGCTTGATGGAGACATCGGCTGGGTCGGCGCCAACATAGAGTGCTACCTTGCGGGAGGCCTGCCATTTCTGCAAGTCACCTCCCTTTCCGCATCCCATATCCATGATCTTGAGATTTCGCTCGTCGCCAATGAACTTTTGGATGATCGATGACTTGACCCAGTTGTTGAAGCTCCGTAGACCCTTGATCTTGGAGTCCGTCACGCGCCATTCACGGCCACGTTCGGGGACCGTGTTGTAATGCTGCTTAACCACATCGTGTACGCCTCGCTGGGCTGCTTCCTGGTGCGCTGTCCTTTGTGCCTCCTGCTCGCGGTCGTGCTGCCGTTTACGAGCAGCTTCACGGTCGACGGCAGAAATCCGGGAACCCTGGCCAGGTCTCTTCCGTTGTCGCGGGGGTGATCGCGATCGAGACCGCGAAGGGGACCGCGAGGGCGAGCGTGCGCGCTTCGTCCCTCTATCTGGGCCGGCTGGGCCAGCCATTGTGCGAGGATCGCGTGTAGCTGTTGTAACCTCGAAACTAGTAAAGCGTGGTCGAGTCCGAAGTGCCGAGAAGATTGTTGGAGTCCCTGTGAATTACAAGTCTATATCTTCGAAGTTGCTATGTATTGTTGCTGTGAGGTGAAAGAAAGTGAACGAAGGTGGGCAGTGAAGGCTGGAAGCTCGGGCGCCTACGACGTTAAGTGGCCGATCATGCCCTCCCGAAGTCGCGCCGGAGCATCATCACAGCTTCCCACCGGAGCTTCGAGCCCTCCAAACCACAAACCGCCCCCGCCCCACCACCTCTCACTTCCACCCCATCGACCCACCTCTTCACGGCCTACAGTTCAAGATGGGTGATCCGCAGTTCGCAAAATTCCCGGACCTGCAGTTGGCCCAGCACATCTTCCTGCTCACGAATCCCTCATCGTCGAAATCCACCAAACAATCGTCTCTTAAATCGGTGCAAGATGCCATCCAGGACAAGAAGATGGCACCGCTCTACCGGTACCTCGCACATCCGGTAGAGGGCGTATTGAATGCGCCGGGAGAAGGCAGCGCACAACAGCCTGCTGGCCACCGGAGACCGTCTTCGAGCGTCGCTACCATGCTCGCCACTAAGAATGCCAACGTCGAGGTCCCGCTGGCGTGGGACGATAAACTATACGAGTCATTGCAAGCGGAGAACGAGAAGGAGCTTGATGCTATACAGAAGGAAGAAGATGAGGCCGCGGAGAAAGCGGGCGAGACCGAAGTGCAGGCCGCGCGGGGAAAGCGCGCTGAGCTGTACAATCGCATCGGTGACAAGGTAGGCATTATAGGTCTCGGGATTCAAAAGCAATGCTAATATTGTGAAGGAGAAAGCTATCGCTAGCTACGAGGCCATCTTCGAGAAGACGGGCATTCTAGGCACCAAGATCGACATCGTCCTCGCAATAATACGCGTTGGACTTTTCTTTGGCGACAAAGTGCTCGTGAAGAAGACTGTTGACCGGGCAAGTGCGCTCGTAGAGAGCGGTGGCGACTGGGACCGACGGAATCGTCTCAAGGCATACCATGGGCTACATCTCCTCACCGTTCGGTCACACGCGTTAGCCGCACCCCTGCTCCTCGACAGTCTGTCCACATTCACCAGCTACGAGCTTTGCACCTATTCTTCCTTGGTCATCTACGCAATTCTCGCGGGTTCGGTTTCGCTCAAGCGCGTTGACTTCAAGTCGAAGGTCGTGGATGCGCCTGAGATCAAGGCTATTGTTGGCGGTAACTCAGAGGACAAGATTGCTGCGATAACTGGACAGGCATCTGCTGGACCTTCGGCTGGTGATGAAGAGATGGCAGATGCTTCAGGCTCTACTGCGACTCCGGTACCGACTGCCGTGAATCTCACAACGCTGGGAGGCAAACAAGATATTTCGGAGGCCTCCATAGATTTCAGCCCGCTCGCGAAGCTTGTGAAGAGTCTGTACGAGGGTGATTACAAGAACTTCTTCGGAGCTCTGGCTGAGGTTGAGGTCAACTTCCTGAGCCAAGATCGATACCTCTTCGAGCACAGGAGTTGGTATGTGCGAGAGATGCGCTTGCGAGGTTACCAGCAATTGCTCCAGTCCTACCGTGTGGTCGGTCTGCAGAGCATGGCAACCGACTTCGGCGTGAGCGTGGACTTCCTAGACAAGTGAGTGCATCTACGGCCTACACCCGAACACCTCTAACATGAATAGGGACCTTGCCAAGTTCATTGCTGCTGACCGCATACCCTGCACCATCGACCGCGTCAAAGGCATCATCGAGACCAATCGACCAGACGACAAGAACAAGCAGTACGCGGATGTGGTGAAGCAGGGCGACCAGTTGATTACCAAGCTGCAGAAGTACGGGCAGGCTGTCAGGTTACGGGGCAGTGAACGTGGTTGAGCGGACCACCCATTGTATGATCAGCGGGAAGATAGTGGATCTCAGTGGAATAGATAGCTAGAGCTGTTCGGCGTTTGCTCGCACGAACAATAGCCACAAAGCCATTCCAACATTTTACTCCACAGTGCCGCACGATTACCACGTGTTCGACTAACTGCGACTGCGGACAAACTGATACTGGCGACGGCCGGCGATGCGGTGTGACAGCTTATAACAATGGTCCCTGCATCTGGCCAGAGCTCCGCTTCCGCAACCCCCGCGAGTGAGCAACCGCGGAACAAGGGGTAAGCTGATAAGTTGTTGAACGGTGCAACACACTTTGTTTTTGGTTTGCGATCCCACGAACTTTGTCTTTCCTCCTCCACCCTCCAATATCCGGACACGGTCATTCGATCGCATCTTGTTACGTGCACGCAAGCGAACAGACGGGCCGCGGGGGGCGAGTGGGTAGCCAGATCTCCAATATCCGCCGATAAGGGCCAGGGTCCTCAGCATGTCGCCGTCATCGGCTTGCTGGTACCAATCCGTCGTCGCCGCGAGGCAAATACTCAACACGAATGGATGGAGACGGGCACGAACGTCGCTCGGCGTGGGCGCCAGAGGTAATGCACTTCACGTCTCCCCCACCGCTACTCTGAGCGCACGCCGCGCTTGTATTGGAATCCCAGCAACCATCCGACTGCACTACCTAGTGGGGCACCGCGTGCAGTAGAAAAAATCACACTGCTACACCTTTTGTTTTGACTCAGCCAAAAGCAAGCGTTGCTTTTCTGGTACACTAAGCTGTGCTTCGTGCCGTTCACATCTGCCATTGGCATCTTCAGACCATTCGCTCACGTCGTCTTTCAATACAGTCTTGTACAGAGGTGCCCCGCCGTGTCGTACCATGTCGTCCGAACCCCGCCGCGCGCTTTCCCTCGCGAACATCAACCCTCACGTCAAGGAGGCTCAATATGCCGTACGTGGCGAGCTAGCCGTTCGTTCGGAGGAGTACCGTGCGAAGCTGGCAAAGGGTGAGGGTAAAGACCTGCCCTTCGACACAGTCATTGCAGCAAACATTGGCAACCCACAACAGCTGGATCAGAAGCCCATCACCTTCTTCCGCCAGGTTGCCAGTCTTTTGGAGAACCCCTTGTTGTTGGAACATGAGGAGACATTCGTCAAGAGTCTGGGCTACAAGTCAGATGTCTTTGAGAGGGCGAGGTGGTTGTTGAAGGAGATCAAGAGCGTTGGAGCATACAGTCAGAGTCAGGGTGCACCAGGCATCAGGGACAGCGTCGCGAAATACATTGAGCGTGCGTACATCTTGAAAGGATGCAATACGACTTGCTGACCCACGTAGGACGAGATGGTTACCCCTCGAGCTTCAAGGACATCTACCTCAGCAATGGCGCCTCCTCCGGCGTCAACACCCTCATGCATGTCATCTGCGCCTCGCCCAAGACTGGTGTCATGGTGCCCATCCCCCAATACCCTCTCTACACCGCCACCCTCTCCGTCCTTAACGCCAAATGCGTTCCCTACTACCTCGAAGAAAGCCAACAATGGGGCACCAGCCTAGAGGCCATCCGCACGTCCTACGACAAGGCGATATCAGAAGGCACTGACGTCAAGGCCATTGCCATCATCAACCCTGGCAACCCTACCGGCGCGTCTCTTCCTGTCAAGGATATCAAAGCCGTCCTCGAGTTCGCCGCCGAAAAGCACCTCGTCGTCATCGCCGACGAAGTCTACCAAACCAATGTCTTCATCGGCGAATTCATTTCCTTCAAGAAAGCCCTGCGCGATCTGCAGAAGGAGCAGCCGGGCAAGTTCGACAACCTCGAGCTGGCGTCACTGCACAGCATCTCCAAGGGCATGGTCGGCGAGTGCGGCCACCGCGGCGGCTACTTTGAGCTAATCGGCTTCGACCCTGAGGTTGCGCAGGAGATCTACAAGTTCATTAGCATTCAGCTCTGCCCACCGGTTATCGGGCAGTGTATTGTTGAGCTCATGGTTAACCCGCCGAAGGAGGGCGAGCCCAGCTACGAGCTGTATAAGAAGGAGTATGATGGTATCTTCAACGGGTTGAAGGAGAGGGCGTATGCGCTGTATGAGGCGTTTAAGCAGATGGAGGGTGTAGAGTGCGACAAGCCTCAGGTTGGTTTTCTCTTTCCTTCCCTACTTTCCCCATTTTTTCAATACTTACTGACTTGGTGTGATCACAGGGCTCCATGTACCTTTTCCCCACCATCAAACTCCCGCAAAAGGCCGTCGAGCAAGCCAAGAAGGAAAACCGCTCGCCCGACGAATTTTACTGCTTCCGCATGCTGGACGCGACGGGCATCTGCGTCGTTGCAGGCAGTGGATTCGGACAGAAGGAGAACACGCTGCACTTCAGGACGACGTTCCTTGCGCCGGGAACGGAGTGGACGGGCAGGATTGTCAAGTTCCACAAGGAGTTCATGGAGGAGTTCAAATGAGTGCGTGGAGAGTTATGATGAATGATCTAGGACATGGATTGGGTATATAGACAATCTTGTGGTTCTGTTGGGTATCTTGAGGCCCTTGGATAGCTCTCAACTTAAGGACATTTGCGATATGCTGCACCTGCTCGTCTAGCTTGATTGTCCCTTGTGATACGTGAACGTGGGTCGTACAGTATAAGGTCAAGACTTTGAAGACTCACTACGAGCCTAGTTTTCTCAGGCTAGCTAATAATATCTACATCAGGAACGCTTCATCTGCCGAGCTGTTGCCGATCTCCATCTTGCAGCGAGAGCACACCACTCAACTCCAACCCAACCATGCCGTAGTGTTACCGCGAGCGAAGACAGCCTGTGACGCGGATCATGAAGCAGCCTTCTTATCTAGGTCCCAATAGGTGGACCTCTAGTAGAACATTTGAAAGCTCGCGTATTTATTTCCTATATTGGAGACACTAGCCGGGTGCACCTTCTCTGAACTATCGGACTCGGCCTTGCTCCGGTCATCACTACCTACATATGGTTCTCCTTTTGGATTCAAATGCATGCCTTCGAATGCTGTTCCTTTTCCGAACGCACTTTTGGCCTTGTCGGCGTCAGAAATTGTGCCGAAGGTCTTACAACGGACCTCCGCGGATGTATCATCTGCCGCCTTTGTCGCCTCTCAACCCTCGCAGCTGGCGATCTGGAGGCGACGATCCGGACGCAAACAAGAATAACTCCGGCCAGTCTCACCTGCTTGCTTTGTCGCTCTCCCGCCTCCGCTACCAGGATCTCGGGAGGACGCTCCACCATCGGGCGATACGATACTCGCACATGCATATCTGAGCGATTTCACCCTCAATCGCAGCCATCCACGTAGCCACACCCGCTTGCCCCTCAGCTCGACATCGCTAGGGGTCAGTAGAAATACACGCGGCCACCTCCTACGAACCAATTGCAGTTCTCGCGCGGAAGCGGCGTCGCGGTGCCGCACGGTGAGAAACGGGCGGTAGTCGGCTCGAGCGGTTGCGGGGCGTCTAAGGACATCGACACGGACTCATTCGACCGATTGCCCCTTCGAAACTATCACGCAAACCTTCTCCTGTCCTCCAGCCATCCACGCCTTACGAGAGATCTCCTCCCGGACCTGAAGTGTCGTTGTGTGGGGTACGGTACCCAAAGCTGGAACGTTAAAGAGCAAGTGCCGTGAATCGCGTGGGCGCGACCGGAAATCGAGCGCTAGTGCGGGTTCCTGGGCCAGTGTACGCAGGGAAAGAATCGCGGGGCATTCCTTAAAAATCGCCGAGGAGCCCGTCGCAGACCGTGCAATTACTGAGGGAAGACATGGCCTCGAATCCGGCCACGGATGCAGACACGCCCAGTCGTGCCACCCAGACGCAGGAGAATCAGCCGCTCGCGGGTCCTAGCGCAGTCCAGACCGAGACACCCCAAGCACAGCACGTGCCTCTAGCCACTGTCGGGGATGCACCACCACCGGTTATCGACACCAGCGCTAGTGAAAACGAGGGACAGCCTTTGGTGGAGACCAGTGCCAGTGAAGCAGCGGCTGTCGACGAGAACCTGGATGTTGTAAGTTGAAGCATTCTGGATGAGAGGAAAGAAGGCCTATACTGATTGACTATCAGGCGAGTTGGGACTCGCAAAGTGATGGGGGAGACTCTGCATACGACGAACTGTGAGTACATAAGTGGCCTGTACGTCGTACCAATCTTGGCCGACGACTGACAAGGTTGCAGACAATCACAGACAGCATCAGTAACCTCGAGTATCCTTGCAGGTCACTGGGAAAATGGACGAAGATATCACGCCTACCAAAGCGGACAGTACATGTTTCCGGACGATGAGTTGGAACAGGAACGCCTTGATGTCAAATACGCAGCAATACACCTAACTTACGGCAGCAAGATAGCCTTCGCGCCACTCCAGGACCCGCAAAATGCTCTAGATGTCGGCACAGGAACCGGTATCTGGGCCATCGATTTCGCGGAAGAGTATCCAGGCTGCACAGTCACCGCCGTCGACCTAAGTCCCATACAGCCTACGTGGGTACCTCCGAATGTCAAATTCGAGATCGACGACGCGGAGCAGGATTGGACCTGGCCCGAGAACCACTTCGACTACGTCCACCTACGCACTATGGCAGCCGCGGTCCGTGACTGGCCTCGCATGTTTCGACAAGCATACCGACATACCAAACCCGGTGGCTACATTGAGCTCCAAGAACAGGACTACATGGGCGTCATACAGTCCACTTCGCGCAACCCAGGGAGCGCCTTCATAACATGGTGTGTGCAGCAAGGCAAAGCTGCTGGAAGAGTCGGCGTCAACCTGCGCTCCATTCCCTCAGCAATGGCCGACCTTCTCAGAGCGGCAGGTTTTGTCGACGTCCAGATCCAAGAATTCCGGTGCCCTATCGGCCCGTGGGCAGCAGATAAGCAGATGCGAAATGCAGGCTTGCTGCAATTAAGTGCTGTGCTCGACGGCCTGGAAGGACTAAGCCTGCGCCTGCTCAAATTCTACGACGAAGGCTGGACAAAGGACGAGTTGGACGTCCTGCTCGCCAAGGTGCGAACCGAGCTTAGGAGTAGAGACTGCCATGCTTATTGGCCTGTGTAAGTTGCCCACACCCTCAATTTATAGCTATCAGACTGACTGTTCGTCGATAGCGTGGTCGTGTATGCGAGGAAGCCGGAGTGACCTCGCCCAAGGCATGCACAGTCTCTTCTTCGACCTTCTATTTTAGCCACTATCTTCAACGTTTGCTGCATAGCGTGCGGTAGCATGCGTTTCTGCGCTATTCTTGTACATTTTTGCCAGTTAGCATGTTTCTTCATTATTTAGCTGGGCGTTGGAGGAGCGGGGCGCCGGCTGTGGCGCAGAGTCACAGAAGGCGCCGATTGAATTGAGATTCTATCTCTCATGATTCCTTCTTCGATGTTGCGTCATTGCTCGGTGAAGACTTCTGCCATATTTCTTCGGATGGAAGCCCCATGTGTGAGCTTGGGCCAGGGCGCACGGGCCATTCCCCTGTGGTCGTCAAAGTGACGGTGAAATATAAGGCATTCGACGGTTGGGCGAAATATTACCCGATTAGGAAGTTTGGAAAGAGAGTTCTCCATCACTCGGAGAAATCGTAGAATGTTTCTGAAAGCGCACGAGCCACTCACCTATGGACAAAAAGTGAAGGTGACCGTACCGTGTTCGAGACCTAAGTCTAGATTACCCGATTAGGCAGTTTGGAGAGAGAGCTCTCCATCCCTCTGAGATTGTGTACGATTCACTTTTTGGGCCACCACAGCGCACGAGCCTTATAATCAAAAGTGAAGGTGACTGTACGGTGTTCGACACCTAAGTCTATATTGCCCGATTAGGTAATATGGCAAGTTGGTTCATTAGCACTCCGAGAGTTGTTATATCTAGCGCACGAGCCACTCACTTATGGAAAAGTGAAGGTGACCATATAGCCTTCGACAGCTAATTCTATATTACCCGATTAGGTAGTCTAGCAGGATGGCTTACCATCACTCTGAGAATTATCATGTCTAGCGCACGAGCCACTCACTTTGAAAAAAGTGAAGGTGACCGCACAGCAATCCACACTTAACTTTATACTTCCCGATTAGGCAATTTGGCAAGAGGACTCAGCATCACTCCCGGAATAGTTGACGATTCACTTATCTTACTTTTGCATGCTTCTCATGAGAAGACCACATCCGACTTGCGGTAACAGAAACCATACTTTCGGATTCTATACAAGTAATATCGCAGCGCCGGACACTGACAGCTGGATTACGCAGCCCGATCAACATGAAAACGCAAGGGAAGGAGCGTCCCGTAATCGATAGCCCGCGCAGGATGGTCTGCAACTCTACACCAATCACGACCTGGGCAGTGCAGCCCTCACTTCACCTATCTTTCCATTCTACCTCAGCCCTTTGAATTCAAGCTTCCACTTTTGCCCTTTATATGCCACCGAAGCGCCTCCATGTCTTCTGCGATGGCACGTAGGTCGGCCGCGAGACAGCGCTACCGAACGGCCCACCCAGCACCATCCGCCAGCTCGCCAACCAGATCGGCGTCGTCCACTTCGCTGGCCCAGACGCCACCATCGTCCACCCCATCATTCCGTACAATCCTGTCAACGTCACAGCTGGCTACCAGGAAGGCGTCGGCCTGAACCGAACCTTTCTCGAGTACCTCTGGGACGGCGCGACTGCGGCTTCCATCGGCGAAGAATGCGTAAGCTTGTACAAGTTCATTGTGCAGCACTATACGGACGAGCATGATATCTTCCTTTTTGGGTACAGCCGCGGGGCGTTCACGGTGAGGTGCGTGGGTGGGATGATCAACAACTGTGGGATTTTGAGGGGTGAAGCAACGCAGAGTGCAGAAGAGCTGGATACGTTGTGTCAAGAGGTGTACAGGACGTACCGCAGTCCACTGGCTGTTGATCACCCGCAATCTGAGCGATGTCGGTCAATGAAAAGCGATATCTCGAGCGTATGGCAGGTCAATCAGCCTATTCGTTTCATGGGGCTGATCGACACTGTCGGTGCGCTGGGTATACCGCGCCTGAACGCTGGCATTGGCTTCAATTACAAAGAATTCGAGCTCTATGATCAAAAAGTATCATCGGCAGTCCAGGTCGTATATCACGCCCTCTCCCTCCATGAGAGGACATGGGAGCTCCAGCCTTGCTTCATCTACCCACCCCCCGGAAATGCCACGATCGTCAAACAGCAGTGGTTCCCCGGAGTCCACCACGACCTGGGCCGCTCTACATTCCGCTACCTGCGCCAACGCCCCTGGAACACTCTCGAAGGCTTCCTCGACCTGCTACCCAGTTTCCTCACAAAAACAGAGTGGCCAAACGAAGTATGCTCCGACGTCGTAGCCTGCTGGATCCTCCAAGGCATAAAAGACGTCGAAGCCCCAATCGACCCAAACTTCACCGTCCCCGGTATCGATCGCGAAATCCGCAGCTTAAGCCTCCGCATCTCAGCGCCTGACCCGCGGACTCTCGGCACGGGCGATACTTCTTCTGCTGCTTCCTCTTCACCCGCCGCTACGCCTGCGTCGGCCCCCACGTCCACGCAGTCCTTCCTCGACACTCTCAAACGTCTCGCATCCCTTCCATTCACTCTTCTCAACTCCCTCTTTCCGCGCTTCGGCAACGCTTCTGACAGCCTGGGCCTCAGCGCCATCCTAGGCACCCTAGCCGCCACCATAGATCGCAGGATTCCGCGAGCGACACTGCAGGAAGAAGTCTATCCTTATCTGAACGAGGAGACTGTGGTTGATGACGTAGGGAGGGAGAGGAGGTTCACGGTGGGGCGGTTCGAGGCTCGGGACGAGGGAGTATAAGGCGACGGAGAACCGTGCTGAGGATGACAAGGTAATGAATTAGATGGCGATGAAGTAAAGAGTGATGGTGATGAGATGGTGATATCGATAAGATAGTGATGTTGATGAGATAGTAATGTCGATGGCAGTGATGACTAGGGAGCCTTTCTTCTGCATCGATTATCTGTCTAACGATGATCCTCAATGAGAATGTACAAACCGAGGCCCCACCATTACAATTGTATTTCTTATTGGCAATTTAAATGGAAGTGCATGCCACTCTATCTAGGACGGTCTATGTATTGCGATTGAGTTTAGGCGAAAAGAGCGAAGGCGTTGACGACGTTTACTCCAAGTCCAAAGTCCAAAAGACTTCTCTCTAGGCAAGTAGGATGTCAACAGGTCCCGACGAGTGTTCCTCCCACGCCGTCTTCAAAACGCGTCCGGCCGCCCTTCTAATTGCCAAATCGCCCTGCCGCTCAATCCAAAGGACGTTGATGAAATGAATTACCTCGTCCGGAGAATCATTCTCTGAGGAGCCGTAGTATGTCTCATTCCACCATTCTGGATCATCCTGGATAGAGGACTTACTGCCCCGATATTCTCCATGCTCGTCAACGCGCTCAAGACAGCTCCAGCCACGCTGTTCACCAGTCTTGCGGGAGGACCATCTTCGACCAATGGCACTACAGTCTCGGCTTTCTTCAAAAGCGCTACTAAGCTCCGCGCGTGTGGCTGACCCTGAAGAGATGGCAATCAGCTCGATTCTGGCGTATGGTACCTCTGCGGTATAGTTATCAAAGTACTGGTTGAATTCCATTTGTCGAAGTAAGCCAACTTTCCTGCCATTCGAAGATAGCCAAAGTATGCCACATTCCCTATTACTGTCCTCCTCCACGAGGCATTTCAATGAATGGATAGAAACATTCATCATGCTTGGCCACTGAAAACCCAAGTGCATTTCCCGTGAATCACTCCGACCCCGCTTCTTAGGAATTCGCCGAGAGCAATCGACAGGGTATATTGGCGGGGCGTAAGCACCGGATCCTGTTCGTTATCAATGCCTGTTAAGAGCGTTATCGGACGGACTTCCTCACCTATAGTGGTCTTGCGATACGTGACTAATGGATTGACGTGGAAGAATGCTCGTTTTGTGCAGAATCTCAAACAATGCTCGAAAGTGCTAACTGCACCGTCTGAACTGTGGAACTTTCTTGTTGCTACCACTGACCAGTCTGCCAGCGAATTCGTTTTCCAAGAAGCTGCAAGATCCTTGTTGTCCTTCTGAGTGAGCCCTACCAAGCCGGAGCGAAGGCTGTCAGGATCTATGCGACATTGCCAGCCAAAACAGGACCATGATGGTAGGTATCGCGGAGGGCTTCCAGATTCGGATTTCCTGCGTACTGCTAATCTAGTCGGTTGCCACATCAACGCGACATCCAGGTACTGCAACGGTGTTCCGCCAACGAACCCTTTTGGAAATTCTCGAGACAGAAGGTTCAGGATTCCGGAGAATGCCATGATTGCATCTTGAGGATAGGTTAACCTCCGCTGGTTGTACAGACAGATCAGTTCAAGCCACGTGCGGAAATTCGGCGTGAAGATGTCGATATCTCTGGCTTGTCGGCACAATTGCACATCTTCGGGTCGGGGTCCGCTGCGCACAACGTACGGAGAGGACTCTTTGGGTTCCGTTATGTTCCAGACGCAACATGGACAGTCCCAGAACAAATGGTTGTCGAGAAAAACGACTACACGCCGGGACAAGATTGCCTCCTGGAACTTCCAGCCCCTGCTTGCCCATTCAGATCTCTGAAGGCGATCGTAGAGATATTCAGGCTCGCTTCTCAGAGGTACCCAAGGGTCGTTCAAAGGCTGTGCTGCTTCCGCAAGCGTGGAGGAAACTGCTGCAACGAGGGTGAAGTAAGCGTTCGAATACACCTCGTCCATCTTCTCCACTTTTGCGCGTGTATCTGGGGCATCTTGAACGATACACAAGCAATCAACCCACAAGTATTTCATCCCAAGAGCCAACACTAGATCGATTGCCTCATTGACGATGCGAGGCAGATAGAATCTGAAGTCATTGTAAAGTGACCCGGTTCTCTGAAAGTCGTTCAAATTGCTTTGAAACAGCATTTTCCGTTGCGAATGAGCGGAAGCGGCGCCAACGCGACGAGTGTTCTCGGCATCATTTTTCCACACATAGCTTAGAGCTACGTATTCGTCGACATTTCCCCCAGGTACAATGCAACGATTTGCTACGTCAATGACCCACTCAGGAGACTTCCGGGACAGATTGCGTCTGCATTTCTCGTGCTGTGAGTTGCAAGCGTCAAGCCAACGATGGATATGTGGATAAAGGTCTTGGATGTTCCCTTGCGGCACGTTATCACGTGCTGTTAGGCGACGTTCGTGGGTATAGCTTTGATATGATTTGTTGATGTTTTGTTGAGTGGTGATGCGTAGGCCAACATCTTGGGGACTATACGCCACAACGGATTCCTGCATGCCCACTACGGTATCTTTCGGCTCCAGCCTGGGGGCGCTGTTCGAAACATAAGGTTTTAGGAGAGGCAGCTTCTCGGTGCACGGCCTTATAGAGCGATGCCCATTCATACGCGGCTTCTTGACAGGATGCTCAATTCTGTCCTTAGCGAGGATCCTTTTCTTTCCTTTCATTGGATGCTCCTGTTCGCGAACAATCAATCAGGCTGAGCGCCAACCTATGTATTAAATGCAACTCACAGCGTCGACATTGTCCATTGTCCCTTTCTTGCTTTGCGCTGTCAGTTCAAGAGACACGTAAAATGTATAGAACGAAAGTAAGTGTGCTGAAGCAAGATCTTGGGAACTACATTCAAGGACTTGGGTGGCTGAGCAAGACTTGGCCTCCTATCCCGTGCATCAACCGGTGAGAGAGCAACGAGGCTGAGCTTTTAGGTAACACAAAATTTTGGAGAGTGCTCTGTTTGTGAACCGTGTGGAAATTGCCCGTTGGGCTCTGTATTAGGCAAAAGAGGAGCGCATCTGACACCGTACTTGCACACATGGAAGTGACCAAAAAGTCAAAAACATCCAAAATTGTCGTCGCATTCACGTTGCAAGCCTTCCATCCCCTGTCCACGAGATCTTGATTGGCCGTTTAATTTCAGGGATGTTGATGCACTGCACGCACTGACGAATCGTGCAGTCTCCCAGCCAAACCTCAGAGATACCGCGGAATGGTCAGCTATTGCCCTTCCATCATCAAATACATCACCTGTACCAATCAAGCTCTCCTCCCAAAATCTCTTGTCCCAACTAGCGATTCCGGCCAACCGCATCTCATCTTCAAGCAATCAACCACGACCCCAAAACCTTCTTCAAATCTTTCCACCACCTATTCGTAGCTTCCAGCCCCTATAACTCACTAAAAATATGCGGCACACCCTCATACACCTCCGCCTCACCCTCAACCCCTGCTTGCCTTAGCTTCTTCACATACGCCAGCCCCTCATCGCTGTTGCGCCAGTGACGTTGCAATAGTGTGCGGTAGAAAAGCAAAGCTATTCAATCGTACGATATCGAAGGGGGTTTCTGGGATATCCTCAGGCCGGTGGAACGCGACAACGTTACAACAATCGAGCAGAGTTTGCTCAAGATAGCTAAAGCTGCTACAGCGTACCCAGTTTATATCGCGAAGCTTGGCGCTTATGCCACGTGCAGCTGGAGGGCGAGCAATGTTTTCGATGTGGCTGGCGTTCTTCGTGACGCTGATGTTGTGTGTACTGTAGGACGCTGGCTGGGATGCCACGCACAACAAAGCTGTTCGACGGTTACATTCAGTAGATTTAGTAATTGCATCTGGCAGCGAGGATGTTGTTTCTATCAGACGTTTGATAACGATAATGGGTCAGCATGTACTTCGTAGGCATATAGTTGTGTTACTGTACACAGTTCTAGCAATTTCAGAAGCGGACGTTCCATGTCACTGCAACCCTCCCTCCTTACTGCTTTCGCTAGACGCTCTGCATCCGGCCGTGGTAAGTAGGTGTGCAGGGAGATTATACTTCGCAGAATATGGATGTACACTTTGAGGGTTGTGGTATGGCTGACGCCAGCTTCTGGACTAGCGAGAGTTGACTTAACGCGTGGATATACCAGACCTGGATGGACTGCGCGGTAGGCACGTAGTTGAAAACGTATTGAGACTAGCTAGCTGGTTGTGAGGTGGAGGATTGTTGGTTCCGCCAATCAGATCTGAGTTTGCGTAATCTGCAATACAGAAAAGTTGGGGCCTGTGATTACTATAGCTTCAAATGTTGTGAGCAGGGGAACGCGTACATCGGTGGATGGAGGGTGTAGTGGATGACTGAGTGAAAAGGTACACTCGTCTTGTCTGATATTGTTCTTGTATTCATGCTGTCGTAACGCCGTACCTCGTCTATCCAAACCTGTAGTCACAATCTTTTGAGCTTCGTGAACGTTACACCCATACTCATAATTTACGTGGCTTTTATGCTTCATACTAGCGTACTAGTATACCTCGCTGAGGGTTTTCCTATCTGCTTCTTTCATCTTCTCGACGTCTTCTTCGTTGATCTTCTTCTCAGTGACCTCTTTGTCGTCTTCCGCTCGGTTCTCTTCTTCTGCTTCCTTCTCCACGGTCATATCACCCTTCAGCGCCTCCTTAAGAATTGGCATGTGTTCTCCGCCTTCTATCGTTGTGGGCGATACGACCTTCGCATAAGAAGACGAGCCGATATCGCTGAGCTCGTCACCGTCGCCCAATGTATCAGCACGGGCCCCGGAGTACATGCCAGACTCTGCCATCCAACTCTTCTCTGTTTGTTTGCGGGCTGCTTTACGCTCCTTGCTCTTTTCCCTCTGTGCGCGTCGAGCACCATGGTGATGGACGTGAAGATGTTGCATGCCAGGGAAATAGTCTGAATCATCCGAGAAGCCTTCACCAGCGCTTGGAGGCGGTTGTAAATGACGCAGAATAGCACCAGTACGTGGTGCGGCATGGTGTTTGCGTGGGGGAACGGGTCCGGAGTCTTCTTGTTCGCTACTCATTATTTGCTCATCATCGCTCGATCCATCGTCAGTTGCGTCGTTCGGCGATGCCGGGGTCAATGGCATAGTTGGGACCGGAGCAGCCTTTGTGCTTGGTTTGCGAGTGGGTTTCTGGGGTGAAGGCTCTTTTATAGTGGGGGCATGGTCGCCCTCCTGAGATGCAATGGGGTGATCGTCCTTCTCACCCTCTACGTGGGCAAGTGGTGCGGCAGGAGGCTGGTTGCCCAGGAAGTCGGCTGTGTTCTTGCGCATCACTCGCTTCGGCCAGCTTATCTTGTCGTGGTTACAGCCGTTCGCGCACCCTCCCCAGCGGCGGATGGGCACCACTGGGGAGGACGTCGCGTTTCCCGACGTTCCGGTCAATGGGGTTGGTCTGGACGAAGTGGATGCGCCGTTGCTTCCTTTCTCTCCAGCGGCCGCACGCTTCTTAAGAGCGGACCATGTTCGGAGCTCGTTCTCCAAAATATATTTGCCGTTGGCGGGACTCTGTTTCATGACGATAAACTCGCAGTGGTTGACGTTGCGCAGATCCTCAAAGTACTCGACAGACCAATGGTACCTATGGCAGTCAGAACTGGACAGCTAAGAATAGACCCGCAGGTTACTCACCACTTCATGAGAAAGACCCTCGTCATTAAGCCGTGGGTGACCAGCACACACACGCTTGGGAAGTCAGGCTCGCTGAACTGTCGCCACATGCTCTCGTTGAAGCCGCTCACACGATCGTAGGCGTCGGCGGCGCTTTCGCCATTAGGTATCCGGTAGAAGAAATGGCCATAATCGGCTCGTTCCTGCCACATGCGCTCCATCTCGGCCGAACATGGCTGGAAATTGCCAAAGTCCTGCTCGCGAAGACGCGGCTCTTCAAAGACAGTGATCTTGTTACGTGGAAAGGGCGAAGGCGCGGGCTCGTCGGAAGTGAGTGTTCGCAGGATGCCTTCGGTGGTCTCTCGTGTACGTCGGTAGGGTGATGTGAAGAACTGTAGTGTATCGTCTGGTTTGAGTAGAGAGCGAAGCTGTCGGCCTGCTTCTTCAGCCTGTTTGAGAAAGAGCGGTCAGTTACCAGCTTCAAGATACAGGATGGCGCCAGGTGGGGCGTGGGGGCGTACCTGGCTCCAGCCCAGCTGGGTGAGCTTCACGCGGTGGTCGGGGATGAACTGGTGAATGTCTCGATTCTTGTTTCCTTCAGACTGTGCATGGCGCACCAGGATGATCATCTGTTCCTGGGTCAGCGGTCCGCCTTTGAGATCTGGGGTAAGGGTCCACCTACCCGAGGTTTGCCCATGTTCGCAAGAGGGTTGCGGTGAAGGATGGAAGGCCGGCTGGAGTATTGCTGCGTGGTAAATGAAAGGCTCAGTGAAGTGAAAGAGCGACGAATGCAAGGCGGGGTCGTTATCGTAAAATCGTCAGTCAAACGGCGTTTCAGAGCAGCCCAGATGTGGCGGCGCTCTTCACCATTGGCAGTTACGCCCCGCCGTACCGCATACGAAAAGTTGCTGGCCCAAGCTCAGCCGCATAATCAACGCCGCGCCATCTCTCACGACATCATCGCATCCTACTGTCACGCTTCAACGACTGACTGATAAATCTCCGCCACTGCCACCTTAGATCATCAAGTCACACCGGATCTCCTTGCGCCTTCTCGGTCACGCGCGTCGTCGCGCACTACTCCACCATGTCGGAGAACATCCCCGAGTCCATCCCCACCTCCGCAGACCCGCGCTCCAAGCGGCCCACCAAGAAGCGCGCCCTCACGCCGGGCGGCAAGCTCGCAGCCGATGTCGAAGCGCTGTTTGCAAAGCCAGATCGCGAAATCCACATTCCAGGCGACAAGCTCGACAAGGGCCTTGCGCCGCCGCCTGAGATTGTTGCCAATGTTCAAGGTTCAAGCGCAGGAGCAGGCAGCGGCGAGTTCCATGTGTACAAGGCGAGCCGGCGGCGAGAATATGAACGACTGCGGATGATGGATGAGCAGGTGAAAAAGGAAGAGGACGAGAAGGAATTCCAAAAGAGGAAAGAGGACCTGGAGCGGAAAGACCGCGAGAAGACGGAGAAGAACAGGGCGAGGAGGGAGAAGGCACGCGCGAGGAAGTCAAAACAGAGGAACGGACAAAAGGACGGTGCGAGTGGCAAGAACGGCTCGCCGGCTCCAGAGGGCGACAAGCTGAAGAAGAAACTTGCCCCCAACGCCAATGCCCCTAAGCCTGCCGACGAGGAAGAGGACCATGTGCTCAATGGAGGCGGCGAGGTCAAAAGCTCAGAGGAGATTGGCCTCGTAATTGAGGACGACGATTGAGCTTGGAACATGGCAGGCTGCACGAGGCCCGATGATTCCGCTGTCGTCGCAACACCACCGGCGCATTTCACCACCAATCATTGCGGCGTTTCCTGCCATTCATTCGTCGCTCGTCTCATATGTGGCCTTTCGCAGCTTTCCAGCATTTTTTGCTCACCGGGCGGCCTTCCAGAAGCGCACCTCGCATAAGTTATGTTTCCTTTCTCAACATGATACCATCAATTCACCCTGTACTTTATCCCACCTATTTTCCCACGGCCATGCCTTGGCATCGCCATTAAGCGCACATCAGCCATGATGCAATCATCCGATACCCTTGCGTCAGTCAGCCCACATGGCAAACATTTCCGAAGTCCATCTCGCAGAATAGGAACATTGTAATCGGACCGTCTCCATATTAGATTGTACCACCATCGCCGTCTTGCCGACTGCACAACTATTTTTTGGGTGCGAACAACCGTGTATGCAGTCGGAGGCACGTTTTCGGCGCTGTCGCCAAGACTGGATCGCGATTCCGTTACAAGGCAATCTCAAGCCGCGCGAGCTGCAAACGCATCAGCATCTGCTACATTATGGGACGCGTATTGTGCAAACTTGGCATGGGAACCCACCAAGGGTTCCCGAACGTTTGTGCCTTCGCTGTACCCTCTGCTGCACTCCTGACATAAGGCCTGTCGTTGTCAAGGCCACTGAGTCTGTCCAGCTATATGATTACATGTTAACATACACTAATGTGATCTCCCTACATCTAGCTGACCATATTTAGACGGTCGGCACTCCGCCAACCACAAGAGGACAAATGACGAAAGACCAAGACATGGCAATCTAAATAGCAACATGGCATCTAGACCTACAACTATGGCCTTTGCATGCTCGAAATCTCCGATCTGTGCCACAACGCCCGCCGCTACTCCACAGGATCGTCGCCATTTTGCGGAGAGCGGAGAAATAACGACGGTAGAATTCAGAAGTAACCCGACCAATCAGTCTACTAGCGTTCGAACTGTTTCATTTAAATCCAGGCAGTCAATCACTCCACGAAGCTTACCTTCACCTCGCGCCTTCTTTTGGCGTCTCTCAAGCCACATCTTGCCCGTGCTTTTCTTATGTGTGTACGCGTCCTGGTATTAGGTGAACGTGCTTGCTCGCCATCCCGGAATCTTGAGGCTGGTGTCCAGGAATGGCGAGCTTACGCGTCTTGTAAAATGGGATTGGCGAAAAGACAAGTATCCCTGAACAACAAGCGAGTTCCTCTGGACCCTGTTGGTTTTCACAATTGCATCACTGCCCCAATCAGGAGAGGTTGAATTGCTCATTTTCATTACTAAATGCTGAAGGCATTGTATGGCAATGCCGATCGCAGACCAACGTCATCTAAGTCTCCCTGCATTGGTCCATTCTCGGGACTCTGCTACCTGGTCACTGCGGTCTTTTAGGAGTTCAACCCAGACAAAATCCTCGATGCAGAGGTTTCCTGGTTACATTGGGGGTCAATGTGGAGAGTTCACTCAAAGCTGGTTCTATTAATGGATCAAGTATCGGGCAGTTCAACTCCATCACTTCGTCGCAACTGATCAAGAACTTGAGGTCGTCGCTTGCTCTGACACAGAATGGCTAAATGCAGGGATTATTCTCAAGAACTCAAAGCCTAACAACGTCAAGCGGTCCGCGACTGTGATCGTTGTCCGATCATCGTGTTCAGGGCACGCTCGTCATTCGTCACTCCCACCAGGGATGCCGTTTTACCAGCGATGCATGCAACCGGCCCAGCACGCATTTCATATAGCTACAACAGTAGCACAGCTTTAACCTGCACCTTCCTTAATCGTCCTATTCGTGGCATTACTACATGCCACTTCTAGAGTGTTCCGTGCTTTGCTCTTACTCGGTTCAAGAGCACTTGGCCACTGTCATCAAAAGCTTGGTCTCGGAGCATACCGACCATTAATCTATCCTGCAGCGTTGCTCAAACGTCCCTGCACCATCCAGCATCTTTCCCCGCAAAACTATGTTCATTCAGCATCTGCATGGCGGAAATTTAGCTTGGATCAGGAAAGACAGCCGCACACGAAAGACCGCTCGTCTATGGCAGGCACAATGGCGGCGTCAACGCATATTGAGGCTCATCTAAGTCAGAAAACTCATCACGACGCTCACTAGACGGCGATATTGGGTCCGCAGCCAACTAGGAGTCAGAATGCATACACGGAGAAACACAAGTTGCATAATTCGACATACTGGCAAACATAGAGGCCAGAAAAGTATAAAGGTACGGCGTCGTTCAGCTCAACTTCACCACCGCGACAACAGTTCTTGGCCTCAGCAACCAACTTTCATTCTCTATCTTTCTTGAAAACCCCTACTTCAACTTCAAAATGAAGGTTTCCGTCATCGCTGCTCTCTTCGCCGCCGGGTACGACACCCACCCAGAAAGTACCTCGAATAGCTCGACTAACATACTACACCAGCGCCATTGCTGTGCCCGTCGCTCAGGAGGCTGAGCCTACTGCTTCTGCTTCGCACTCCCGCCGCCCCCACCCCACGGGACTCCCAAGCTTCTCTCTCCCCAGCGGCGGCTTCCCCACTGGTTTCCGTACGCCATTCACCACGAAGAACACTACATCATCCTGACTTATACAGCTACCGGTCTTCCCTCCGGTTTCCCAACTGCCCGCCCCTCGTTCTCTCGCAGCGCTCGTCCTTCTGCTCCCGCCAGCTCTGCTGAGGACATCGAGGCCCGCCAAGAGGCTACCTCTGCTGTCCCTAGTTTCAGCCGTCCCGTGCGTCCCACTGGTATGCCTAGCTTCAGCATCCCTACCGGTCTCCGTATGTACTCTCATCCCTGCCTCGTGTATAGTGTAGGTACAAAACGCTAACACACGCAGCAACTGGCCTCCCAGCTTCTCCCGCAGCGCACGCCCGTCCATGTCTCACAGCGCCCGCCCCTCCTTCTCGCGCTCAGCCCGCCCCTCCGCCCCCACTAGCTCCAGCGCCGCAGACATCGAGGCCCGCCAGGAGGCCACCTCCGCTGTCCCCAGCTTCAGCCGTCCCGCGCGTCCCACGGGCATGCCTAGCTTTAGCATCCCTAGCGGCTTCCCTACCGGTTTCCCTACCGGTTTCCGTAAGTAACACCACTCGTCCCTTGCTATGTGTCGGGAAGGAAAGGTGACTAACGAGGCACTAGCAACGGGCCTACCTAGCTTCTCGCTTCCCCCGCGTCCCACTGGCCGTCCTTCGGGCTCCATGTCAGCGCCGCCTGCGCCTACCTCTTCTGCTTAGATAGGGTAAGACTGTGTTGTGAAGGGGGATGTGAGATGAGGAGTAGGGGGCGATGAGGGGAGGTTTTGTAGATTTGTAGGGATAACACTCGTTTGTGAAAATTGTTGCGATGATCTGCTTGCTTGTTTGTGATGTGTGAATGTGGTGCAGGATACGATATGTGAGATTGAGAGTTGATAGAGCGTATCGTGGGTGGGGAGCTCGTTGTTGGGATTCTATGGATGAGATTTGCCAGTCCTCCGGATACGAAGTGGTTCTTGCGTCGAGTTTCATATGTGAGAGATGTTGCAATACGGACACGGAGATGCCATCACTGGTTTTTTTCCTTTTCTTGTGGCGTATTCGATATACGTATCGCAGTCATGAATCATAACATAGCTCTATCATATGGCCTTTGACACCTTGTAAATGGGACTACTCGTTTCACCGAAGCGAAGTACATCGGCCTCAATCCGCCTTCTGGACGCTGAATCTCAGACTCCTAGTTGCACTTCCTGAGCTCCATGTACACATCACCGATGGGGATAGTCCCGATACTCGTTGCCTTTCCCCATAGGACGCTCAATGGTCACGGTCGTGATAGTGAGATACTTCGTAGTGGGGCGATATCCCTCGAGGATTGTAAATTTGACATTGTCGTCTAGATCTTCTCCATGGTACTTGATGGACCACATACCACTAATGGCTATTGTTTAGTCGTTTATGAACCAGCTATGTGGCCGTCTTCTTGTGCGGATGACAGAAAAGATCGTGCGAAAGAGTCTGAGTCTCCAGGACAGCATCATCGAAACGTTTGGAGTTATTACCCACCCTTCTGGTAACCAAATGTAGATGTTGCTGCTGCAAGGTACGGAAAGCTGTCTCGAAAGAACAGAACTTCGGATACAATGAATCGCCGGCAAAATAGACATGCACCATATACAGATTGCATCGCTCGATTCCATTGTGGAAACTGTGAATGAGCCACAAGCTGTTCTCGCCTATGAATTGGGTCTTTGAGGCGGACTGGGCCCTTGTGCGACCTTTGCTGAGGTCATTGTCTCGAGTTAACGGCTTTTTGCTTGTCTTGACTCCTGTATACAAGCTGTCAGGCCAACCTTGAGGTAACGAGGCAGATTGGGACGATAGCCGATTTGGCGTAAGCAAATGGACGAAGACGCGAAAAGCGCGTTGGTGTCCGAGTCTCGGCAATTTGGCGGAGCACCGATGCCGGTCCTGACGACTTCCGAATGTATCATTTTCATTACATTTTCTGATGGTAATGTCAGTGCAACAAAGCGCATTCAATCGTAGAGATCGATGTTCAATGCTACTGACGAACGAGCCTACCGTTCGCGAGAGGAAAACCTATATTTACTAGTGAGATGCAGCGGCACCTTCGCAAATAGGAATAGCTTCGCAAAAGGGTTGCCTCATATACGAATTAGCTTACGCTCTGCGCTCAGCTGAAACGCCACATTCGGTCTAGGCCGTGGGACATCTTTGGGGGCTGCTTTCCATCTGAAGCCTCGTCGCAATCCCCCTTCACTCTCGAAGGCGATGCGATAGCAAAAATCTTACGCTTAATCATGGCGAACATGCGTAATTCTAAGAGATGGAATAGAATACTCCTCTTTATGTGCATGTTCCCGAAGCGAGGAGTCAAGACTCCTAACAAGCGCATTGCGGTAGGGCTGATCCTGATCGCAAGCATTACTGCTCACGGCTAACGTGGGTCACTCTCAGACGCCAGATCCCCTCTTGCAGAATGGCGCTGCGCGATCGCCCGTAGAGGCTCCAGTAACCATTGGTATTTGCAGTCGCTGCGCAACGATACCCTGGACTAGGCTGCTGGAGGTTCACGATCGGGGGTCTATCCTTGTCTTACAGGATGTACACGAATCCAGAGAAGAGTTACAGACATCGGAATGTAAGTATATCACGCGATGTCCTATGGCAACTGATTGATGAATAAAGGTCGCGTCTGCCGTATGATTGGCCCCATTAAACGACATGATGAAGATAGCAATCTCAAGTGGATCGTATCCACGGATCATTCTCAGTTCGTTGGAAGACTGACGTTTGCGCAAGAGTCATCGAATTCGGACCATGACGCTGACCTAACTAGTCCATATCTCGGCATCACACGAAATCCAATGCCGGATGCACAACTTGCGCTCCCCTCTCAACCACGTGTTGACTTCGACCTTCTCAAAACATGGACTGGAAGGTGCGAAGAGCACGGACAGTGTCTTCCAGACGAAGCGAGCGAATTAGAAAGATTCAAGGTGATTGACTGCGAAACACGCACTGTGCAAAGGGCACCTGAGAAGTGCAGTTTCGTAGCTTTGAGTTACCTTTGGGGTCCGCAGGAAGATTTCGCGCCGCAGCCTCTGCCTGCGGAACAAACAGGGACTATAGAAGACGCAATCACCGTGACCTTACGCCTTGGCTTCCGGTACCTCTGGATCGATAGGTACTGCATCGAACAAACAAGCATCATGGACAGAACCCTGCAGATCAAGCAAATGGGGCAGATATACGCTTCTGCACACCTCACCATTATCGCAGCTGCAGGTACAGACCCGAGACACGGGCTCCCAGGCGTAAGCCAACCGAGGCAAGTCGACCAAGCGGTGACAGAACAGATCGGACCAGTCACATTGGTCCAGCTAAAGACATCTGCTGCTAGCAATTTCCAGCGCTCAATGTGGGCCACGCGTGCATGGACATTTCAAGAAGGCATTCTATCCAAACGTCGGCTTGTCTTCACTGACGAAGCTGTGCTGTACATGTGCCAGTCGGACTACCATCATGATCTCGCTCCCGGTTACAGCTCAGGCGTGAATTACGAGCTTGTTGCTCTGGCCGAGTTCATTCAATGCGCCCGATTACCTCGCGAATTTCGGTCTTCCGCCGGATCTTCACGTTTCAAAGAAGCCCTAAGGTATGTAACAGCGTACAGTCGCCGCAACATGAGGATGTCATCTGATGCCTTAAACGCTATCATTGGTATCTTGAACTATATATCGAACGACAGGAAGGAGCCAATCTTCCACCTTTGGGGCGTGCCACTGGCGCCACTTACAGATGTAGAGAACTACTTTGACACGACTGTCAAAAGGTACGGGGGCGGCACTCCCAAAGCCACGCCAAGGGAAGACTATTTTGAATTCGCGCTCAACTGGATTCATCCGAAGCCGGGCCGCCGAAGGGGTGGTTTTCCAAGCTGGTCGCCGCTTGGCTGGGAAGGACCCATAGAATATCCTCTTCAGTACATGGACATCGTTATTCCTAAGGAATTCGACATACGCATACATCCACTCAAAGATGCCGAGTCTCGGCCGTACCTACGACATGAGCTTAAACATGGAGGCCAAATCCAATACGAAGGCAAGGACGCCATCTCGACGAAATTGGAGATCATCTCGGCGCTGGTGGCTCCTGTACAGCTTCTACTGGAAGACAACGGCGACGCTCGTATCACACTGAAAGATGGAACAACTCTAGATCCTGAATTTGAAACTTACTGGGATGAGGACCTCGGAGGCAGGGACAGTAATATGAAGGCCGAGGATACAGGCCGTGGCGAAGGGGAGCCTTGGCTCGTGTGGCAGATTGGATGCAAGACGGTCAGAAAGCGAAGATATCATTATGTGGTGTTGAGACTGGGCAACGATGGCATTTACGAAAGGGTAGGGTTCATCATTGCATGGAAGGGAAGGTCAGATGCAGGTCTCCTCGACGCAACCTGGGCAGACCCTATTCCTTGTGATCGGACTGAAAGTCTGTTTATAGCATAGAGTGTTACAAGAGCGGGCAAGCGATCATGGTTGCAATAATGCATGTTGTATTAGACTAGGCGAGTAGCAGAATATCTTTGAGACAATTCGTAATATACTTAGGAAATTTAGAAGTGTAGGAAATAAGAAAGTGTAAGACATAAGAAAGCGTAGGAGTTAAGAAAGTATAGGACATAAGAAAGCGTAGGAGTCAAGAAAGTATAGGACATAAGAGAGCGTAGGAGTTAAGAAAGCGTAGACAATAAGAAAGCGTAGGAAATTGAACAACGTAGGAAATAAGAAAGTGCAGAGAATCATCGGACGCCGTTATCGACCGATCTTCAAACCACTGCTAAAGCCAATATCAGTCTTTGAGGTGGCTTTGGGATCACTTCGACTCCTTCGGAGTGTCCCTCCGCTTGAGTCCGATCTTCCTCGCCAAAGCGCCCAGGCCACTTTGTTTTCTCTCCAGTCTCTCATTGTCGCCAAGTACCCCCTTGGCAGCAACCTTGCCCTTCTCTCCCCAAGGGCTCATCTCTTCTTTCTCAATCTGCTTCTTTCGCTCCGCAGCCAGCAGTCCCACTTGGTCCACAAAGACAGGCTTATCGAGAAGGTCCTCAACACGAACCTTCCAGCCTTCTTCATGATCGAAGATCGAAGCGATCTGAGCGATTCCCTGGATATCGCCACCCAACATGAAGAAGTCGGATGCTAAGTCCATAGCGGGAGGCGCATTGTTCTCGTTCCTGAGGTTCTGCTCCCACGCGCTGCGCAGCTTGCTCGAGATTGTAGCTAGCTCTTGCTTGGAAAGCCCGGTATCGGTGGGAAGTGTCAGAGGTTGCTTCTCGTCAGACTTCTTGCGTGCCGGTTCCGACGTGATGGTTGTGGAGCTCTGAGAGCCAATCTCCGACTGAGCTGGCAGCAGTGTGTAAGGATCTTCGGAGAAGGTAATGACATTTGCGCAAAGCATGTCAAAGATGTTTTGCGTGAAGCCGGCAGTCAGCGTGCTGTTGGGTGCATATGTCAGAGTCACCTCAACCTCATTTCCAGCCTTCGAGGTCGAGAGAATTGATATGTCAGCGAAATCTTCTTGATTGCCCGCAGCGCCAATCTTGAATTCGATGCCGCCGAGTTGAAGAGTGGCATCCTCTGATTGGATGTTCTGGTTGTGCTGGAGCACGCTGGAGAAATTCGTCCAGTCGGGCCAGTCTGTGCAGTTCCGCGTGATTTCCCGGAAGCCCAGAGACTCATAGGGCATGTTGTTGATCTGTTGCTCTTGGATATAGCCGAGGAGATCGAATACGGTCCACTCGGGGCGGTACACCACGCGGACAGGCACCATGTTGAGACAAGGTCCAATAATGTTCTCGACGTTTGGCACGCCACCGCTGCGACCAGAAACAACGTGACCAAAGACGATGTCGGACTTGCCAGCGACGCGAGCGAGAGTTGCTGCCCACGCTGCCTTCATGACAGTCGCCGTGGTAATGTTTATTTTAGACAACAGTGGAACCGTCAGTGTCTGCTTGAGTGTGATAGTGCGTCCGGCTGATCGTTGGTAATTCGGGCCGTAGCGATGCACAATCTCAGTCATCTTTGAGCCTCGTAGAATCTCACGCCAGTGATCGTGGGCACCTGCGACCGTCTTCGCGGTTTCTCGGACATAATTGCCGAAGCTGGGAGTGGTTGAAACAGGCAAGCCGTTGTAGCCCGCTTGGAGTGAAGAGAGCATCTTCCCGAAGCAGAAACCATCGTACTGCGCGTGTGAAAGTCGCAAGAAGATACGGTAGCGGCCGCCACTCTTTTGTTTGGCCACCACGAATTGAACGAATGCTTCACCAAGTCGAGGCCCATGTTCCCGGTCTTTCTGACGGAGCTCCGTTGTAAAGTCATCCAGGCTTTGATCGGTTTCTTGGTAGATGAAATCAGGCTGAAGCTTCCTGAGTACAACTTGAAGGAAGCGATCTCCGTAGGGCACGAAGACGGTTCTTAAAATATCGAAGGCCTGTACGATACGGAAGCACGCCTGTTTAAGCTTTCGAAGGTCAAGCGGCCCTTCTCCGTCCAGGAAGAAGTAGTTCAGCATCCACTTCGATTCGAGCAGTGTTCCTGTAATGGCAAGCGCCTGGAAGTCGGTCACAGGAAGAACATCGGTAATGCCACCCTTGAAAACTTGGACCTTCGAAATAACACTGTCAACGTTAGGGTCGCCAAGCAGGGATATCGACTTCTGTGTGGAACCCTCGTGTATCGTTTGGGGCATAATGCGCGTCCCGCTGACCGTGCGCTGTGGCTGAGGTCTGCTATTTTGTCCATCTGCGAAACCCGACCACTTCTTGAACATCTGTTCAGTCTTTTCGTGCAGTTGGCGCTCTTCCTGAGCTGGTGGCGTATTTCCGCCCTCGGTAGTCTTGTCATCGATGGCTTGCTCAGATGCCATGGACTGAAAGTCGCGCCAGGCTGTTACAGTGCGCTCTGGAATCTGAATCTTCGGCTTGGAAGAGCTTCCCGGTGCATCCTTGAGGCTTTCTCCACCAGCACGAGACATGACTTCGTCAATGACCTCACCAGCGACGCGAACGACCTGTAATGTTTAGTCGTTGTATGTTTCTTCTTTGGACGAACTTACTCTAGCCATATCTGCGAACGTCGGGTTCTTGAAGACATCCGCAACAGTCATCGACAGTCCCTCCTCTCTTGCAGCCCCGACAAGTCGCATCGCAATGATGCTATCCCCTCCTAGTTGCTGCAGGCTGTAAGGATACGCACGATAGTCCATGATCGGTATACTTACAAAGAATGAATCATCCTTATCAATCGAATCCTCCACCATGTCCAGTAGGTCGCTCCACAATACTAAAAGCTTCTTCTCCACGAAATCCGGCGGCACTGATTTCAAGGCTTCGGTCGCCATCACACCAGCTGCAGCCACCATATCGGCGGCGGTCTGAATCCTGCTCCCGGTATCACTAGCCGCGCTCATTCGCCGGGAGCGCATAGAAGTCGTGCTCATTCGCCGAGAGCGTATAGAAGACGTTTCAAGATGTCTCCCTCGGTTGCTCTGCGATGCCCGTCTTGCAATCATGCCTGCCATTTGATTGGTCATCTCACTGACCGTTGACTGTGTGGCGATTGGCGGAAGTTTGTTCTTCTCCATGACCTGGCTCACGATCTGGGGTACCATCTCGCTGATGATTGACCGAATGAGGTTGGTCATATCAGGACCATCCATTGCGGTAGGTGTTGGCGCTTGGGGAAATTCCACTCTGGGTATGGAACGAGTAGAAGCCATGGGGTCCGAAATCTCGAAGCGAGGACTAGACATGGGCGATCGAACTGAGGGCGTATAGACTTTAGATCTTCGTGCTGTCTTTGGTCTGTCTGTGATGACAGCATTAAGTTCCGCGACCGTCTGACTCGGGTCAGCGAGAACTTGGGAAAGGATCTTCACCAGCAGCGAAGAGACGTTTTTTGCTTCATCGTCGGAAACGGAGTCAGTCCAGTACGCCAATCGCACGCCCTCGTCATGCCTAGTTGTATCGATATTGACTGTCAACGCAAATTCACTTGGGTCACCGCCATCGAGGTGCAGGAACTCCACATTTGCGTCTGACGTGGGTTCAACTTCAGTTGCGCCTTGGTTTTGAATCGAGACAGCCGTGTTAAAGAGTGATTGACCGGAAAGACCAAGATCGTGCTGGAACTGGGCGAGAGAGCAATGCTGATACGGCAAACTCTCGATGAAGTCGTTCTGAACGTTCTCGCTCATGGCGAGGAGCGAATGCGAGTCGGACACTCTGACCCGAGACACTAGCATGTTGATGAATGCTCCTACTGCGTTCTCAATGTCGTTGATCGGGACATTGCGGCCGGACGTCAAGTAGCCGTAGCAGACTTCTGATGAGTTTGTATAAGTATGGAGTACCAGCGACCAGGCGGAGAGTAAAATATTGGCGAAGGTGATGTTGTTCCTCTCGGCGAGTGTCTGAATCTCGGAGAACCGGTTGAAGTCTACAAAGAGCGAATGAAGCTGTCGCTGTTTGCGTGAGTGTAGTGGCGCAATCGGGAAGTGACATGGCCGGACACCCTGTAGTTTCCCCTTCCAGAAGTCGATTGCTTCTTTCATGGGCTGCGCACGTAGATATTTGATGTAGTCGCTGTACAGTGGGCCTTCATCACTGGACAAGCGGCCCTCGTACGCCTCTTCTAGGTCATGTCGGATCACAGCGAGTGACCCACCGTCGATGACGACATGGTTGATCTCCATCTTTACCACAACCCTGCCCGATGTAGTCTGAACGACAGAGAGCTGATGAGGGAGACGAGGCTTCCTCTTCCCGTTCAAATGGCGGTATTGGATGGAGTCGAGCTTTGTGGTGAGCTCGCTGTCGGCACAAGTGACTGTGTGGGCGCCGGTGTCAGGCACACGCACAACTACCTGGTCGAATACACCACCTTTGCAGACGCTGTCGACGAAGAGAGTGCGCAAAGCCTGATGACGGTCAACGACCTTCTTCCAGGCGTGCAACACACGCTGCACATCCACGCGACCTCGCTTCGCTTTCAGTTCAAACGTAGTGAAGGACCAGTATGCGCTTGAATCCTTGATCTGACTTAGTATCATACCTTCTTGCACAGCAGCGCATGGATAGATGTCTTCAACTTGAGGATATGAAACACCGACTGATCCGAGAGATTTGATAACGCGGTTGAGGCGCTCGTAAGAATCCAACGGTAGCAGAGGGAAATCGGATAGGGTTGGCTGAGGGGTCTCTATCTCAGATAGAGTTGAGACGATCTCCTCGAGCGTACGTTGACACTCGGTTATCCATCGGCGGATGCCTTTTCGGTTCTTCATCATCTGGTTGTACATGAAGGTAAAATTGATCTTGCCATTTTCGACCGAGGCGGAGACCTCGAAGAGGGCAAGTCTCTGGAGTTCTGCCCCGGTGTCGGTCATGCGTGCTTCGTCATCCTCGCTAAAGTGTACCGGCTGGAAGAGTGCATCTGCAGCCTCCAGCTGTTGCATCTTTCCGAGGTAGTTGAAAAGGATTTCCATAGGCTCATGGTCGCCAAATCGACTTTGTCCATCCTTCGAGAGGTAGCGATGAGCAAAGTATGGACGTCCATTGTCCGTGACCTTCCGCCGAAGATCTTTGACTTGACGCACGGTCTGGACAACATCGTCTTCATCTTCGGCGATGGCGACATGCACTGGGTACATCGTCGTGAACCAACCAACAGTCCTTGACAAGTCCAGGTTGCTGAATTCCCATGGCTCACGACCGTGTGTCTCGTTGAAGATGGTCGGTGTCTTGCGCGTGACGAAGACACGCGAGAAAGAGTGAACAATCGCTGCCAGGAATAGATCGACGATGTCGGTGCGCAACGCGCTGTGGTCTCTCAGAGCCAATGCTGAGATCTTCTCATCTAACGAGAAAGTTTCACGTTCCACGTCGCCGTAGACATTAGGACGCTGGTCGAGACCCCAGAATGCCAAGTTGGCAGGCTCGACATGGAACGATTGCTTCTGAATTGCCGCGGTTTGAGCTGGTTCCGCTGTGTGCGAAAGCTGCTTCTCGTTCCATGTTGCGAATGGAAGCCCTTTATGCAGTTCGACTGATGCTGAGGACGTGAGGCTCTCTTCCAAGTCTCCCAGGATTATTCTCCAGCTCACAACATCGATGACAAGGTGATGCGCTGTGAGGAACAACACTTGCTCGCCCGTCGGTGTGTTGAATAGTACCGTTGCGAATACTGGTCCATTGACAATGTCAAGACTCTTCTGGGTTTTACAGACGAGTTCAGGTAGGCCAGAAAGGCGAATACCCTCCTGAACATGGAACGCATACGCGTTCGAGATATCGCTCGGTATCGTCTGAGTCCACTCGCCGTTCGTATCCCTGATGAATCTGGCGCGAAGCATCGAATGACAGCGAACGATCGCATCGAGGGCGCTCTTCAAGCTGGAAGGAGCCGTTTTGCGAGCTAACCGGAGTGTAAAGGACTGGTTGAAGTGGGAGTTCTTGTCGTCGCCCAAGCTGTGGAAGTACAAGCGCTGAATGGGGGACAATGCAAACGGCTTATCGGTCTTATCCTCTCCTGTTTCCATGATAACAGAAGCTCCAACACTTTCTGCGAGGTGAGCGAGCGATTTGCTCCGGAGAACCTGGTTCAATGTGATATTGATGCCTTCTTTTCTGCATCGCGCCAACAGTTGCACTAAGACACATTAGTATCACACCGTAAGAAATGAGCAACGTAAAGATACTTACTGGCCGTAATACTGTCACCACCAAGTGCTAATACCAATTAGTACCATACTATTCGTGTGGCGCGCGTTGTAAACTTACAGAGCCATGTCTTGTTCGGCTTCACCTCGTCGATTGGCATGTTAAGGACCTTCGCCCAAATGCCTTGCATCTTGATCACGGCACCAGATGCCGGAATGGCCGGTTCCATGCTGTTCTCAATATCCAGGATCATGCGGTAGGTCTCTTCATCCATGTCTCCAAGCCAGGCTCCAACCTGCTTCCTGTCAAGCTTCGCTGAAGCCAAAGCAGGGATGCGAGGAATCGCAATCCACAACGTTGGAACCATGTAGGGTGGCACCAGATTTGATAGCCTCTCCTTTGCAACCTTTATCTGCTGGAGAACGTCCGGTTGGTTCATTGGTGCGTTCCAAGGCTTGTCGTGCGCATCAATATCAGATTGCACCCGGTGGAGCGACACAACAGCTGTCAGCTTCCTCTTTGCGGCACCCGACTTCGGCAGCAAAACAACAGCATGTTTGACGGTCTCATCAGCTTGTAGGTGGTGTTCAATCTCACCGAGCTCCATGCGCTGCCCTGCCAACTTGATCTGGTTGTCTTTACGTCCTAGGTAATGCACGCGACCATCAGATGCATACCTCACTAGATCGCCAGTACGATAGATTCGAGAAAATGCCTCCTTCGAGAATGCTTTGATGAACCGAGGATTCTCGATGAACACTTCGGCGGTCTTTGCGCGGTTATTCCAGTAGCCTCTAGCAAGGAATGGGCCCTCGAGACAGAGTTCCGCGACGGAACCAACTGGAGCGAGTTGATGTGGATCCTCTGGGTTGGTAAGCCAAGCACGACCACTCTCAAGCGCGCGGCCGATGATTGTAGACTCGCGAGGCGTCGAGCCAACGACGTTCGAAAGAGCAATCACGGAAGCTTCTGTAGGACCGTATGCGTTCAACAGCTGGAGACCCGAGCCCCACTTCTTGATCGTTTCTGGTGTCAGAGGGTCTGCGGCTGATGCGAACGTCTGGAGAGTCGGCACGCTCTCCGGTGATTCGATAACGTTTGCAACAGAAGGCGTCAGGCAAGTCCAAGTTGCCTTCAGACTGTTGATAGCTGAAGCGATATCTGTGGTGCGACCTTCTTCCGAAGGAACACATACGACCGCACCGCAGCTCAAGGCAGTGAGGATTTCCTGAATCAAGAGTCAGTAATGCTTAAATACTCATTTCGGGATGTACTTACTAGGACGGAAACGTCGAAAACAAATGAGGCGAATTGGAACAGCCTTGAAGAGGGCGTAATGTCGAGAGACTTGCGCATTGCCGCAGAGCTGGTCGCAATGGCTCTATGTTCGATAGTAACTCCCTTGGGAACTCCAGTGCTACCAGACGTGTACAAAACGTAACAAATGTTGTCTGGTGTTGCGCGCAGTGACACTGGAGCTTGGAGCTTAGGGAGCTGGCGGATGGCAGTCTCGCTGATCTTGACAACTTTGCCGACGATGTCCGCCATGCGAGATTCGTACTGTGGTGAGCATAGAGCAATCGACGCATTGCAATCTTGGATAATCTGTCGGTGACGGGAAGTTGGGTGATCCGGAGACAGAGGGACGTAGCCCGCGCCCGAGATGAGGACGCCCATGATTGCAACTATAGCCCAGCGCGACTTGTCCACACAGATTGGTACAAGCTTTTCAGGACCAGCGCCCAGCCTTATGAGCTCTTGCCCGAGCTGAGATGCCAGATCGCGAAGCTCACCGTAGGTGAAGTCGCCATCAAATGCTGACACAGCAGGGGCATGCTGGTGCGCGGAAACTTGTTGGAGGAACAAAGAAGGCATAGTGTCGTTGACAACGAAGGGTTCTGCAGCGTTGAGGCTCCTCACAAACTGTGTATCCTGCTCACTGAACACTTGAACGTCGCGAATGTTGCCCACTGAATTCAGCTGCGCTAAGATCGAATCGAATTGGTAGAGGATACGCTGGACTTCCCACGAAGAGATCACATTCTCGTCGTAGTATGCCGTGATGGATATGCTTGTGTGATTGGTCTGACACTCGATGACCAGTGGGTAGGTGAAGTACTGTCCTTGAATTTCATTGTTGTGATGAGACCATATGGACTCAGCTGGCTGTTCACTACCAGTCTGGATGATGAGTAAATTCTGGAATTCGCACGCAGCCGCGGTATACTCGTCCACACGTTTGAGCTCGGCGAGGCCAAAGTGCTGATGAGGTATGCGATCCGTGGCGACTTGGGCGATGTTTCTTAAGAGGTCTAGGACGTTACCGTCGCGGTTGACTTGCACCCTCGTCGGCACGGTTGTCAGAGTAGGGCCGCATATATCGGTAACACCAGGCACCGCGATGTCGCGACCAGTAAGCGTCTCTCCGAAGACAACATCATCGCTACCAGTATACGCCGACAGTAGAAGAGCCCACGCAGCTCTGATTACAGTAGGTGGCGTGATGTCTGTATGTTTTTGTCGAACGAGCTTCGCAGTATGTTGCAATGTTTGTCCGTTAGGTGTTTCACTGGTGTTGGTGTGCTGCTGAGGAAATTGATAAGGCGCAGCACCAGCAAGATGGTACTTCCAAAATCCTGCGGAGGCGTCTCGGCTGGTGTTCTGGAGGTACTGGATGAATCTGTTGTAGGGAACCTTCGGAACATCGGAAGATCCGGATTGGTAGACTTGTTGCACGCGGTGCAGCAAGAACCCAATGCTCCAGCCGTCATACAGTGCATGGTGAATGGTCCATACGAAGAGTCGTGCAGCGGATGTACGAACAATGGCATATGTTGCAAGCTTGCCCCCAAGGTAGGCCGGCAGATTGGCAGCCTCGTCTTCGGTCTCCTCGAGGGTGGTCGCCTCACGCCAGGCAATAGGATCCTCAACAAGGACAGCCTGCATAAAAGTGCCCGACTGGAGCTGGGCGATACGCGTTCGCAAGAGATCAACCTCCCGGACAACCTTTTCCCATGCGGCCTGGAACTTTTTGAGGTCGACAGAATCCGCGAGGGCTAGGACGTGTTGCGCAACGTAAGCGCCCGGTTGCTTTATTGAGAGCGCAACGAACGCTTCCTGCAAAGGACTTGGCGGATAGGCATCTTGAATCTTGTTCTTTGGTACGCGGCAGATGTCGGAAAGCTCTTGGACCACCTGGCCTCTTTGAAGATCGCGGGGCAGCAATTCGAATGTTTCGATCGCGCGCTCGATCCTAGGGCCGGTAGCAGTGAGCTTACATTTGGCAGCGAGATCAGATATCTTGGGTTGCTGGAAGATGTCGATGACCGAAAGATCCAAATGTTCAGCTTGTGCAGCGGCGACAAGTCGCATCGCGGCTATGCTATCGCCACCCAGTCGCTGTGATGGTTAGTGAAGGCTGCTACTGGAGGATATCGCACTTACGATGAAGCTATCATCCGCACCTACGGATGATAGTGGCAAGTTCAGCACTGATGACACTAGTTTCTGTAGTCTCCTCTCGGCCTCGGTCTTGGGTTTCTTCTTATGCATCGAGTTCGCCAGCCGGTATGGCGACAATGTCTCTTTGCTCAGATTTTGCACCAACACTCGCATACGATTGCGGTCTAGCTTTCCAGCCGGCGTCCAAGGCAGCTTCTTCATTGGGAAGAAGATTGATGGGATCATGTACGCAGGCAGAACGCCGACTAGGGAATTCTCAAGCGACTTGCAAACCTCCCGCACGTCATCATCCATCGGTAGAAGCAGTTCGTCAGATTGCGGAAGGTCGGATGACGCAGGTTGGACAATTTCTCCAGAGGACGCTCGCGGGTCATCATTGACAGCGAAGAAGACAGCCAAAGCTTTAGCAGAGGTACGGCTTGCAGGCGCAACGAGCTCCACCGCTGACTGGATGTTGTCTGCGAACTTGTCGTTCACGTGAAATTCGATCTCTGCTAGTTCGATTCTCCGGCCATTAAGCTTGATCTGTGTGTCCTTCCGACCGATGTAGCTGACAGTGCCGTCTGGGTTGTAACGGACGAGATCTCCAGACTTGTACATCCTCGAGGTCAAGAAAGATCCCTGGTCCGAGGGAAGTGACGAGGCCCAGGTCGGATTGGTAATAAAAGCCTTTGCAGTTTTGACTTCATCGCCAAGGTAACCCCGAGCGACAGTATGTCCCTCGATGAGAAGCTCACCGACGGCTCCGATTGGCATGAGCTTGTCATGGTTGCGGGGATGAACAACCCACAAACGGCACGCAGAGGCAAGTCCAATGTTCCTTCCATCTATATCGGCCGTTTTATGGATAGTGCTGGCAATGACAGCAGTTTCAGTCGGTCCGTAAGCTGTGCATCAATTAGTCTTGTTCCATAGCTCATAATGCGCGCGTGTTGCTTACCGATCACAAAGTGGAGCCTATTCTGCCACTTCTCGGCCTCAGCTGCAGGCACTGCCTCACCACCTGCAACAAGACTCTTCAAAGTCGGCAGTTGCGTTGGCTTGAGAGTGCTTAATACCGATGGAGTCAAGAGTGACCAGGTAGCCTTCATCTTACGCATTGCTCCTGCAGGGTCTGACATTCGCTCGTCTTCAGTTGGCACGCAGATCGTTGCTCCTACCATAAGGGCCGCCAGAATTTCAAGACAGCTGGCGTCGAAAGTATAGCTTGCAAACTGGAAGGTGCGCGAATTACTGTTGATGCCTATCTCGTGAGTGAACGCTGCTGCATTTGTGCAGAAGGCTTGGTGCGGAATGATGGTTCCTTTGGGTTTGCCTGTTGTGCCGGAAGTAAACAAGCAGTAGGCAGGGTTATCTGGAGTCGCATCTGACTTCAACCGCAATCCCCTGGATAGTGGAAGCTTGTTGACAGCCAGGCGGTCGACGATGACTGCGTTACCGATAACCTCACTTGCTCTGGGATGGTAGGTCCTCGAGCATAACGCAACCTTGGCACCAACATCGGCGATGAGTTCGCGAAGGCGGGTGGGTGGATGTTTTGGGTCTAAGGGTACCTAATAGAGCGCAAGTCGTCAGTGTATGCTATGAAGAATGGGTATGTCCACTTACATAGGCACCTCCTGCCTTCATGATTGCGATCATTGCTATTGGCGCCCACGGGCTCTTTTCGAAGAGAATTGGCACGAACGTCTCGGGGCCAACTCCGAACGTCTGCAGATGAAGTGCCAGGCGCGTAGTGATCTCGTCGAACTCTTGGTAGGTAACAGTAAGCTCTGTACTTTCGATCGCTTTCGTGGACCGCGGCCGAACCAGGACCTGCTCCTCGATGACTTCGTGCACACATCGGCGTACAGGCGAGGGCAAGTCTGCATTCCAGTTCATGATCTGCTGCAAGCTACTCTCCGTGAACATATCGAGTTCGGTGACGGTGACATCCTTGTCACTGCTCAAGATAATGCTAGCAAGTATCTTTCCGAACGCGTCTACAATGTTCCGCGCTTGAGAAGGATGTACTTTGTCTTTCCAGAAGCCAAAGTCGACAGTTGCTCCCTCGTCTGAGACGTCTACGTTTAGTGTCATCAAGAATTCGCCCGGATCGGCTGCTTCAACATTTTCGAAAGCAAGTGTTGTTTTGGTAGGATCACGTGAAAGTTGGCGGCGCTGGAATGTGAAGACGGTGTTGAAAAGCGACGACAACTGGAGTTCGTGTTGAAGGTCAGCGAGCGAACAGGCCTGGTGAGCCATTGCGTCGACCGAGTGGGCCTGTAGCTTTTCCAGCAGCTGATGAACAGTGGAGTCATCTGATAATTCGAGGCGACAGATGAGCATATTTACGAAGCATCCAACAGCTTCATCGATGTTCTTCACCGGAACATCGCGACCAGATGCTACAACACCAAAAGACACATCCGATGCGCCCACGTAGGTGTGCAGAGTAAGAGCCCATGCCAGTTGCAGTACGTTGGACAAAGTGACACCAAACTTCTTGCAGAAAGCCGTCATGGGAGCAATATCCTGCAGATGAAGCTCATATGAGCCCATCTCATGGGGTCCGGGCACCCCGTCGTGAAGTACCGGGAAGAGGCACGGCTCCACACCAGTCAAATACGCTTTCCAGAAGTTTATATCCGCGTCGCGATTGTTTGTGAGAGTGTGAGCAACAAAATTGCTGTAGGCTGGTCCGACATCAGCCCTGGTCAGCTTGTGTCCGTATGCCCGTGCGAGGTCGTTGAGAATGATCGGAATCGAGGTGCCATCACAAATGGCGTGGCTCATTTCCAGCTTGGCCCAGATATCGCCTGCCTTGGTCTTGCAGATCGTGAAGCGATGGGGAGTATTGAATTCGCGGAAATCGATCAACGGCTGTTCCCGCAGTAACCGAGCCACTTCTTCAGCATCACAGTCTGCGATCCACGTGATTCTGCCAGGTCTGTTCTTGAATACGATCTGATCCATTAGGCCGGTTTTAGAGATGCTCTCAACGAACACAGTCCGTAGAATGGGGTGACGCTGTACCACAATTTGCCATGCCTCGGCAATCTTGCGTGGATTGATTTGCTGTCCGGCAGTCGTCGAATTGACTTCCATAATACAGTGGTACGAGTACAGCTCGGGATTTTTAAGCTGAGACAGGAGCATGCCTTGTTGCATGGGAGAAGCGGGATAGATGTCCTCGATGTCTTCGATAGCTGTGCCTGTAGGCAGCAACGCTGAAAGCTTTGACATGCCATTGTAGGTCAGTGGAAGAAGCTTGAAGCTGTCGAGGCTTGGCTCGGAGCGCAGCTGAAGAAGTTGGTCGACAGCATCGACAAGCGTTTCTCTGCATGCAGTCATCCAGCTCTTGATCTGCGATTGCCGGCTCATCCGGCGGTTGAAGTCAAAGGAAAGCTTGATCGTTCCTTGACTAACGAGTGCAGTGGCTTCAAACAATGCAAGACGGGGAGTGGTTGCGCTGATGTCCGTTGTCATGATGTTCGGCATCCTCTGTAGCAGGGCGTCCTTGCGCTCCATGTTCTGCATCCTTCCAAGATAATTGAAAGTTACCTCAGCAGGCCAGTGGGATGCGAAACGTTCCTGGCCTTCGCCAGTGAGGAGTCGATAGGCAAAGTAGGGTCTGCCCTTCCCAGGAGTCTTCTCTCGGAGGCTCGAGACCCATCGAATGGTGCTGACGATGTCTGTAGGGTCTTCGGAAGATACAGGTAAATGGATGGGCGCCATAGTAGTGCACCATCCTACTGTTCGACTGAGGTCTTGAGAGTCGAACGGCTCACGACCGTGACCTTCGTTATGGATGGTCGCCGTGTGTCGGTCTGGGAACGCCTTGCGGAAGGACTCCAAGAGCGCTGCAATAAATACATCGACAGGCTCGGTGGCTAGTGCGTCATGCGCACCTAGAATCAGCATCGAGTCCTTGGGACTAAGCTCGATCTCCTCGCTGATAACATCGCCGTTGAGATTATCCGATGCATCTAGACCCCAGTAATCGAAGTCGGCGGGCGGAATGCTAGCCAAGGGCATGACCTTCTCAGCAGATTCCTGACGAGCTTGCGCGGCTTGCTGTTGTGTCCAAGCGTGGAATGGGAGACTCTGAGGCGGAGGTGCTGTGCCATTGAGCAAGCTCTCAAGATCCTCTAGAATGACACCCCATGAAACGACGTCAATTACCAGATGATGTGCGACCAGCGCAATCGCCTGGGAGAAGTCGTCATCGATGTCGAAGAGGTCGGCGGAAAAGGTCGGACCGTTCACAATGTCCAGTGTACCTTGGCTTTCGTCGATAATCGGTCGCATAGACTCTTCTTTGGCAGACTTGACTTGATGATGCCGCAACCTGAAGGGGTTGGGAGACTTTACAACGCTTTGCTTCCAGGTTCTTGATTCGTCTTGGGAATAACGAGCTCGCAACATGGGGTGGATGTTGACCAGAGCGTCAAGCGCTTCTTCGATTTCCTTCAGTTCAAAGGACCGAGCAAGCTTAAACACCGAGCTCTGGTTGAAGTGGTGGTAGTTGTCTCCAACAGTGTCGAAGAACAACCTTTGTATAGGGCCGAGGTCGAATGGCAGATTGTAGTCCTGGGGCTGCGATGTCGTGGTTGCATTGTTCCTGGTGACAGACACTCCCGCAGCGAGAGCAGCAATTGACTTCGATTTCACGATGTCTTGAACGGAGATAGCTAAGCCTTGAGCACGGCACATTGACGACACTTGCACTGGAGGTAGTTTATTAGTACTGTCCGATGAATGGAGCGAATTCAACTCACTGGCTGCGATGCTGTCTCCTCCGAGTCGTAGGAAAGACTGGCTCATGCGGATGTCTTCTGGTGCTAGGTTGAGAACCTTCGCGAAGATCGCCTGCAGCTTTCGGTCAACAACATCTGCATCTTCTTGAGGATCCTCCAGTCCCAGAGTCGCGATCGTGCGGTATGTGTCGTTGTCCATGTTCTCGAGCCATTGAACCACCTTCTTGCGATCCATTTTCGCAGATGGCATCAGTGGAAATTTCGATATGGCAATCCACAGCGATGGTACCATGTAAGATGGGAGACGTGTCTCGAGACGCTCTCTAATTGTCGCAATGTTGAAGGAAGCGGTGTCTTTGGGCAGTAATTGCAGCTCTGCCTTCGAAGCGCCAGATACCGCCACATCTCGCAGTGAAACGATGCCGACGAGACGCTTTGCGCATGGCCCGGATTTGGGGACAGATGCGAGTGCATTCTGGACTACAGGGTCCTGAATGAGATGATGTTCTACTTCGGTCAACTCCAGCCTCTGCCCTCTCACTTTCGTCTATAAACCGGTTTGTTAGCGATATATCATATCGTTCATCTCGTGGGGAACATACCTGATTGTCCTTGCGTCCGAGATACAGCAAGGTACCATCCTCGTTGTATCTGACGAGATCTCCCGTCTTGTAGAATTTCCTTGAAGCACCAACTTTCAGGTCATCTCCCATCAACCAATTGACCTGTTCAACATAGGCATCGGCGGTCTTCTCAGGATTGTTTAGGTAGCCAGAGCCAACTCCCCCTCCTTCCAATATCAGCTCACCTACTGCTCCGACAGGAACAAGTTGGTGGATATCATCTCGAGAAACTACCCATCCTCTGGCTGTGACAACCTTACCGAGGTTGTTTGGCTTCGTGGTAGCAGACATGATATTGACAGTCGCGATGGCGCTACATTCGGTAGGTCCATAGCCGTTACACAAGATTACTCGATCGGCCCAAGTAAGCAGATCCTGCTGAGACATGGCCTCCCCGACCAACAATAGTGTCTTCACGGTAGGCACCTGGGAAGGTTGAATCATCCGGACGACCGAGGGTGTGAGACAAGCCAAATTGACCCTCATCCTGTTGATTACACCAGCGAGATCGTTCGTCCTTGAGCTCTGATCAGGCACACAGACGGTACCGCCCATGATCAAGGTGCTGAAGATCTCGATCAGGCATGCATCGAATGTGTAAGAGGAGAACTGCAGAACGCGAGAGGCCTCGGAGATACCAAAAGCGGGAGCAAAGGCTGCGGATGCGGATGAAAATGCACGATGACTGAGCACAGCTCCCTTGGGTTTACCAGTTGAGCCTGATGTAAAGAGTACATAGGCAGTCGTGTCGCTCTGAACAGATGGGAGGCTGTGAGGTTGCTTCGTGTGGTCGTCGGTAGCCTCTCCATCAACAACCAATGCCTTGCAAGGTATAGATCTGCACAAAGCTTCATGTTGCGAGCCACAGAGTATGAGCTTGGCCTTCACGTCATCGACAATCTCACGAAGTCGAAGAAGTGGCGCTTCGAAGTCGAGCGGCACAAAAGCCGCACCGCACTTCATAATAGCGAACATAGCCACGATGGTCCAACCTGACTTGTCGAAGCATATCGGTACGTAGCTATGCGGTGCAACACCAAGGGAGATGAGCCGCGAAGCGAGCCATGTGGTGCGCTGATCAAATTCTTTGTATGACATCTCACCGATGTCCCACGAGTCGATCGCGATCGATGTAGGGCGAAGGATGACTTGGCTCTGGGAGACGCTGTCGTGAATGCATCTATCCACAACGTTGACCGGCCGACTATTCCACGACGAGATCACGTCTTCGTCCGCGGAATTCAGCATGTTCATATCACCAAGTACGCCTTGGAGAGATTCTTCTTTGTTGAGATGGTTGATGAAGAAACCAAACTGCTCAAGCAGGCGTTGAACGAGCCATGGCTGTATAACCTGGCCGTCATAATGAGCTTCAACTTCAATGCCAGTATTGTCGACAGAGCAGTTGAAGATGAGACCGTAGTTGAAGAAGTTGGTCCCAACTGCGCCCGTGCTTTGCAAATCCCACAGTCCACCTTCAGGATCTTTCAAGCCATCCCCACTTGCGATGACCAACAAACTCTGGAATTCGCATGCAGCGGCTGTGTCCGAACTAAGCTTGCGGATATGCTGCAGTCCAGCAAACTGGTGCGGAATCGCAGCGGAGGTTTGGCGTTGCACCTCTCGGAGATAGTCTCCAACGGTAACCTGACGATTTAATTTCAGGCGCATAGGAGATGTCGTAATGGTAGCGCCGATAATGTCTTCGATGCCGGGGACAGGGACTTCGCGTCCACTGTTTGTCTCTCCCCATAACACGTCATCTGAGCCAGAGTATGCTCCTAGCATCAAAGCCCAAGCAGCCCGTATCATAGAAGGCATGGTGATATCTGTTCCGCTTCTGCGAGTGACGGGTACATGGTGATGGAGTTGGCCAGAGGCTTCGACCTTGTACTCGGGGCTCGGTAGTTGTGGAAACTGAGGGGCAACGATGTCTTCGAACATCGAAAGCCAGAAGTCATCTGACTGCTTCGCGTCCAGTGACGTAAGATACTTGATGAACCTCGAATAAGGGACCGGGGCGTGCGATGCTTGGGTGGTGTGCTGATAATAGCTTTCAACTTTGCCGAGGAGATTCGTCAAGCTCCAACCGTCATAGATTGCATGATGCGCAGTCCAAACGAAGAACACAGAGGATGTGTCTTGTCCGACAATGGTATATGAAGCCAATGGACCTCCAGACTTGGCTGGGAGATGACGGTGGGCGCTGCTAATGTCTTCCAAACTGTTCAGTTGTGACCACTCCACACCGTCGCGCAACACTACCTGTACGAAGCCTTGGTCCTCTACATAGATGATGCGTGTGCGCAGTATGGCCTCTTCCGCAACAACCTTGTTCCAAGAAGACTGGAAGCGTTGTACATCGATGTCGATTGGCAACCGGTAGATTGTCTGAGCCACGTAGGAGCCAGGTTCCGTCGCTGAGAGCGCGATAAGTCCTTCCTGAAGTCGACTACACGGATAGACGTCTTCGATAGAGTCTGGAAAGACTCCACACTCGGATGCGGCCAGATCCATTATTTGACGCTTCTTGTGTTCTGGAATGAGCTCGAAAGGAGCCACCTCCGGCTCAGGAGGCGCGGAAAGCTCTTCCGAAGACAAGAGAACGGCAGTCGCCGCCAAGTCTGCCAGTTGCGGGTGTGAGAATATGTTAGAGACAGCAAGCACAATGCCTTCTTTGCGACTCGCTGTGACTAGTCGCATTGCCTAAACGCGCAGGTCAGTATAAGTAAGTAAAAGGGAGTGAGGTACGAGGTGTCTGCATGCAAGACATGCCGACTTCGTACTGGGGCATTACGTACACCTATGGAATCGCCTCCGAGGCGGAAGAAGGAATCATCCGCGCCAACGGAATCGGCGGGCAGATTCAAGACAGAAGCCCAGAGTCGCGCAAGTATCGTTTCCGCAGGACCTGAAGGTGCTCGGCCACTCTTGCCAGCAAGTCGGAAGATATGGAGATCGTCTTCGGGGATTGCTTGAACAAGTTGCCGCAACACTTTTCGGTCGAGCTTCCCAGATGTTGTCATTGGCATATTCGTCATGGGTACGAACATAGAGGGAACATAGTATGATGGAAGAGCGTTCGCAAGCGCGACTTCGGCCTCTTTCACCTTGGTTCGCACGTCTTCCGCCATCTCTCCGACTCCCGGAACGACCCCGGTTGATGATTCAGTCAGGCAAACGAAGCCCACAAGAGCCTTCGTTACTTTGCTGTCTGTGAAATTGACCAACTCAACGGCAGACTGGGCATTGGAGGGAAGGGCGAGCTTCAAATGATGCTCAATCTCGCCAAGTTCGATTCGTTGACCATTCAACTATCTCGTGTCAGCAAACGCAACGTATTGTTTCACATTGTCGACTCACCTTCACTTGGCTGTCTTTCCTGCCCAGATACATGATTTCTCCTGCGCCAGTGTAGTGCACCAAATCACCTGGGAACAATTAGCTGCGTTCGCACACGGCATTGAAGAGGCAATGAAGACTTACCAGTGCAGTAGAACCGGCGGCTGTGCCCATCATTACTACGAGCCCAAGCAGGATCCTGGATGAAAGCTAATTGAGTCTTTTCTGGATCCCGTAGATAGCCACGAGCAATGATTGGTCCTTCAATAAGAAGTTCACCTTTGCATCCAATGGGCACCAAACGGTTGCGATCTGCTGGATCCACGATCCACGACACGCTGCCGACCGCTCTACCAATGTTAGTAGGATCATCACCTTGCTTGAATGTCTTGAAACTCTTGAAGGCGGAGTTGACAGAAGCTTCGCTAGGTCCGTATTGGCCCATGACGTGCACATACGGAGACCACTGCTCCAGTACTGCTTTGGTCAAGGCTTCTCCGCCAAGGGCCAGACCCTTGATTGTGGGTACGTCTTTGGGGTTCAGCAGCGATGCAACTGTGGGCGTCAGGTCCATGAAGTTAGCATCGAGTCGGGCGATTGCGCCCGCAAGATCGTTCATACCTAAGGACAAAGCCCCCGAGTCAGTCAAAGAAAACAAACAGAGTGTATGAATACTTACGATCGTCTTCGGACGGGACGCAGACACAGCCTCCTCTTTGAAGTGTAGTGAACATCTCTTCTAGAGAGTTGTCGAATGTGTAGGACGCAAATTGTAAGAACCGAGTGTCACGCCCTACACCCAACCTACTGCCATGGGCATACGCACTAGTAACGAAAGCTGCGTGTTCCAGCACGACACCCTTTGGTCTTCCAGTACTTCCACTTGTGAAGATGACGAATGCAGGATTATGCGGTTCAACAGCCATGCACGCCGCACCTTCGACGTCTGATAGATCATCAAGTAGTACAGAGTCAACAACAACGACATCCGGAGCGATATCTTCGAAAAGCTCCGAGCGAGCAGCCGTAGTCAAGACTACTTGCGCTTGCGTATCCTCCACTCGCGATTCAAGTGCTGGCTTCGGGTGCTTGGCATCAAGCGGGACTGCTGCTCCACCGGCTTTGAGGACTGCCAGCATGGCAACGACAGCGAAAGTGCTTTTATCGAAACAGGTGGGAACGAACACTTCTGGACCAACCCCAAGGTCAACGAGATAGTGCGCTAAGCGCTCGGTGACTGCGTCGAGCTCAGCATAGGTGTAATCGCCATCGTGACCTCGGATCGCAGGAGCATCGGGTTGTGCCTTCACCCACTCCTCGAACCTGCGATGCACACACTCATGGATGGTATCATGCATGACGTTCCAATCTTGAATCTTCTGCCAGTGCCTCCCGCTGAGATTGTCGAGAGAGCTGAGACTGTGTTCTGCGTTGTGGAGAATGTTCTCCAAAGTACGCACGAATGTACTGGCGACGTTCTCTGCCTGCGCAGTGGACAGGTAATCCGACCAGAAGTCCAGGTCGATCATAGCAGCCTCATCAGAGACCTCGATATTAATCGAGACTGGGTACTCAGTAGGATCGTATATAGGTGCCTTCTCGATATACTTGAGTTTCTCATTGTTGGACGTGTTCTCGGAGGGCAGGCGTCGGTAGGATAATGCAGTATTGAAGAGATTCGCGCCGGCTAGATCCAACATATGCTGAACTTCAGCAAGTGCAATGTGTCGGTGCGGTATGGAATCTATATAGTCGCGCTGGACGTCTCGGATGACATCTAGCAGTGATCGTGTACCGTCGGTCAGTTGCACGCGGCAAACCAGGGTGTTGATGATAGGTCCCACCATATCCTGCACGCGTGGAATGTCATCAGAGTCTCTTGCAGAGGTGAGGTAGCCGAAGGTCACGTCGGGACTATCCACATAGAGACTGAGAGTGACTGCCCATGCTGTGTGGAATATGTTTGCCAGCGTGATGCCGTGAGCATTGCAGAACGCTTGTAGATCGAGAATGCTAATATTGCCACAGTCCACGCGAATATTCTGCAGCTGCTTCTCAGAGGTAATGCCATCGTTGAGCATTGGGAATGAGCAGACTTCGCTCCCTTTAAGGTAGGACCTCCAAAAGTCTTGGCTAGCCTCCTGGGGCTGGTTCATGAGATATGCAATATAGTCGGCATACGGCGGCCCATCCTCGGCAAGGATGTTCTCGTAGGCCTGTCGCAGGTCTCGGAAGAGTACGCTCATGGAATGCCCATCCATGATGGCGTGGCTGATCTCGAGGCAGCAGAATATCCTGCCCTCAGTTGTGCTACAGATGGTGAATCGATGAGGAGGGTTGCTACCGTTTTCATAGCTGACTGAGCGTTGCTCTTCAATAAGCCGAAGTGCTTCTTCTTCGGTCGCACATTGGAGATGTACGATGTTGGGGTCGGCACTTTTCAAGACGACCTGGTCATACAAGCCTTCTTCAGCGCCAATGTTTTCTAGAAAGATTGTGCGCAAGGCAGGATGTCGCGCGACGACCCTTGTCCAGCTATCGGCAATGTCCTCCCATTTCGGGTGTCCGTTCGGTATGGTAAGCTCGTGAATGGTCACGGCCGCATAAAATCCTGCGTCTTTGGATTGGGAAAGCAAGAGTCCCTCTTGCATACTAGAGCATGGGTATGCAGACTCAATCTCATTGGCTGGAACACCCAATTTAGAAAGGCGGTGAAGCATAGCCTGGAAGCGCTCTTCGTTGAGTGTGAGTAATGGGAAATCGCTTAGGGTCGTCCTGGGCGTGATCGAGGGTAAGCTTTGTATCATTCCCGTGAGTACTTGACTGCAGCTCGATACCCATTCTCGGATACGATCCTGGTGTTGCATGTGGCTATTGAACGTAAATGCGAACTTGAGCTGGCCTTTGAACACGATGGCAGAGATCTCGAAAAGGCCAAATCGAGGGGAAGCGTAGCCCACATCAGCCGTGCCACCAGCCCCGCGTGTCTCGCCAGCCATGCTTTCGAGCGGCTGTAGTAACGCATCCTTTCGTTCCAGTTGCTAGCAACTGTTAGAGACTAGCTTACTTTAATGCGGTAGGTATTTATGAACTCACTTGATATTGTCCAAGATAGTTGAAGCTGATCTCCATTGGCCAGTGAGTGTCATAGAGTTCCTTCCCGTCCTCGGTGAGCACCCTTTTGGCAAAGTATGGTCTACCATTGAAGGGTATCTGGCGTCTGAAGTCCTTCACCATGCGAATGGTCTCAATGGGGTCGTCAGAAGGTGTGACGGAGATGGGATAAACAGTGGTGAACCAGCCCACTGTGCGGGTGATGTCAATGTCCGAGTCCCAGGGCTCTCTGCCATGTCCTTCGTTGAAAATAGCTGGAACGGATCTGTCATCGAACACTTTCACCCAGGAGTGAAGGAGTGAAGCCAGCAGAACCTCTACTGGCTCAGTTCTGAGGGTCGCATGGCAGTCACCCAAAAACAACGCAGTGAGGTCTCGGCCCAGCTCGAAGCTTGCGTGGCCGGCATTACCATAGGTGTTATCCGCATGTTGAATACCCCAGTAGTTGAAATCGAGCGCTGGTATATCCGCGGGTGGCAGTATCTTATCCGGTCGCAGCGTCTTAGCGTGGTCACGCTGCAACTGCGCCCACCTCTGGAAAGGTAGAGCTGGTGGCAACAACGATCCACCCGTTAGTAGTTCCTCGAGTTCTTCCAGGATTAGACGCCACGTCACCAAGTCGATAACAAGATGATGAGCTACGAGAAAGGCGTGTTGCTCGTTGCCGAACTCGAACAGATCAGCGGCGAGCAGGGGCCCAGTCGCATGGTCAAGACATTTCTGAGAGTCCTCGATCATGTTATCGACCTGCTCCTTTGTTGTGACTTCCTTATGGCGGAACCGGTAAGAGTCAGAAATATTGTCTGTAACACGCTGCTGCCACACTTGTTCATCCGACAGTGCGAATCGAGCTCGGAGCATAGCTGGCGATGAACAGTAAGCATGAATACGCTGGTATAGACAAAAACGATGTTCACTTACAGTGTCTGCCCACAAGCGTCTCGACAGCTGCGCGGAAGTCTGCTGCATTGACATTACGCTGGACTTTGAGGTAAAACGACTGATTGAAGTGGCCATGTCCCTGGTTAGGAAGCTGGAACCAAAGCGACTGGATCGGCGTCAGATCGAAAGGCACGTTAATTTCCTCAACAGCGCGATCCGCGGAGACCTGGACCTCTTTCACCAAGGTAGCCAGTTCTATGATCGAGCGCGAGCGTAGGATTTCCTGAACACCAACACTAATCCCTTGCTTCCGGCACTGACCCATCATTTGCACTAGATGCACGTTAGTCTTGTACCAACAGGCTATGCGCTTGTACCTACTAGCAGAGATCGAATCACCACCTAGTGACAGGAATGACCGGTTCAAACCAATCTGCTCGACTGGCAGGTTCAGCACACGAGCCCAGATCGACCTCAACAGACTTTCCCGCGAGGAAGCGGCTTCTTCCTGTGAAGACGAGTCTGTAGTGGTTGGAACAGCGTGTTGGTAAGTCTCGTCAGCCATTGCATTGAGCCATTGAGAGGTCCGCTTTCGATCTAGCTTTCCAGATGAGAGGAGAGGAAGGGATGCGACTGCGATCCACACTGTGGGTACCATGTAAAATGGCAGTCGAGTGGAGACCCGAGCACGTATAGCCTCCACAGCAGCATCGGCTGTAGTCTTTTCCTGACCTTCGAAGAGAACGAGTGGCTCCTTCTCCGTTGTGTGTTGTGCGAGAGTCACAACGGCGACCAGCCGTTCCTTACAAGGTCCGGCCTTGGGCAAGAACACAAGATTATGCTTGACCAGTGAGTCAAGGTTCAGATGATGCTCAATTTCCAGGAGCTCGATTCTTTGCCCATGATATTTCTGCGAGCCGGATCAGTAAGGTTCATGGAAGAGCATTGTAGCATTGTCCGCTTACCACTTGATTATCCTTACGTCCTGCGATGGTAAAACCACCGTCGGGTCGCTGGATTACCAGATCTCCAGTGAGGTAGCCTCGGAAAGGCTGACTAGCCCATGCGACGTCTGTGACAAAGGCTTGTGCTGTCTTTTCTTCATCGCCCAGATAGCCTCGACCAGCAATGTGTCCCTCAATCAGGAGTTCGCCGGTGCACCCGATAGGGAGTCTGCGGTGACGATTCTCCGGGTCAACAACCCAGAGGTGACAGCCGACAGGGAAGCCAATATTCTTAGGGTCCGAGGTTGGTTGCATATGCAGGCTAGAGGACGAGCACACCGCGCACTCACTTGGGCCGTAACTGTGAAGTCGGTCAGTGAAGTCACAGTCATCATCACGTTTTGCTTACCCATTGATCAGATTGATTTTGGACCACGTTTCCAGGTTGGCTTGCGACATAGCCTCACCCATGAGGATGATGGTAGCCAGTGTTGGTACCATTGAAGGCTCGAGAAAGCGAACAAAGGTAGGGGTCAAACTGGCCCAGGTAATGTGCATATCATTAATCACTTTAGAGATGTCATTAAGCCTGTCGTTTTCATCTGGGATGCAAATGGTGCCACCAAACATGAGTGGGGACAAGATCTCTAGTACTGATGAATCGAAGGAGTGGGCGGCAAATTGTAATGCGCGCAGAGGCTTTGTATCGAACCCAAGTCCTACAAAATGCGCGCTTGCTCCCGTGCAGTAATTTCCATGCTCAAGCAGGGACAGCTTTGGCTGGCCTGTAGTGCCTGATGTTGGAATGATGTAAGCCGCATTGTGGCTCCCGACACGACTTTGAGGCCGCTCTGCAAATGGCGGAAGGGATTCGATGAATTCCTCGTTAACAGCAAGAAGGTTATCTGCAAGGCCCTCGACAATATGGGACTCGGAAGGAGAGCATAGGACGACTTTGGCACCGACAGCATTGATGAGGTGTTCAAGACGCTCTCTGGGAGCCGCAGGGTCAAGCGGCAAAACTATGAGAAAGTCAGTACATGTTCAATTCACTGTGAGACTTACATGGGCCTCAAATGCCCATGGCCTCGGACCGATGTTGATTGCGGCGTGGGGAAGGCGCGGGGTGCACGATAAGGAAACGACTACTTACATGCGCCTCCCGCAATCAGCACGCCAAGCACGGCAACCACATTCCACCGCGTCCTGATACTCGTCAATATATCGAACGTCAACTCATCCACGAAACTCACTTATGAAAGCACAAAGGGACAATCACATCGGCGCCTACCCCGAGCTCCATCAGTCGCGCTGCGAGTCGACATGCGTGCTCATCAAGCTCGCGATATGTAAAGTTTCCGTCCCATGATGCGACTGCCTCTACATCAGGGATCCGACTTGTCACCGCTGCGATGGTATCGTGGATCGTGCTGTCAACACGAAGCAAAGGCTCGGAATTCCACTTCTCGATCTGATTTCGGTTACGGTCGCTGAGCAGGTCGGCTTCGCGGATGATCAATCTCGGCGAAGAAAGAGCAAGATCTAGCGCTTTGTCGGTGGTACTTGCAATGCTCCTGGCAAATTCGGTCGATATATAAGAATTACGGTACTCAAGAAGAACACTGATACCAGTCTTCAGCACCTTGACGAGGAGGCGGAGGTGGCACTATTCACATATATATTAGCGAGCGCTGCGACTGAAGGAATGGAGTACAGCCTACCGACGCTGCCATGGTCATCGGCGCCGTTTTACTATTTCCTGGGGCTGTGCCTCCATGCACAGCAATACGGAACAACACTGAGGTATTGTATTGAAAGCTCTCATGTCCGGACTGGGCAGATGCGAAGCTATCGTCTTTTGCGCGCTGTATAAGGTCCGCAATTGCAACTTCATCACTGACGTGATAGGCGACGACAGGATCTCTCTGTCCATTATCGTCGGTTGTTTTGTCGCCTCCGACCTCCCCATAGCCGAAGCAAACCTGGTCCAAGCCTGTGTATGTGCGCAGCACCAATGCCCACGCCGCCCTGACAGCTGCAACGAGGGAAGCTTCGCCATTGGCTTCCGCGAAGAGTTGTTGCAGCAATTCTGGGCGTTGGAGCTCCACCCTGACCGACAACGGCCGTTTCTGGTCACTGCCAGAGCCCCTACCGAGGGAAGGGAACTGGCATGAGTGAACCTGGGATTGGTTCAAAGTCATGATGTTTGAAGGAACTAAGAGTTAGATATTACAAATGGGGCTATACGTACAACACTATGTCTCGTCTCCACGCAATCGAGGTACAAAGGCTTTGTGTGAGAAAATGGGAACTTTTTGTGAGCACCCAAGAGCCCGGTCAAATCGATGGAGACAAAGTATACTAGCAGTTTGTTTGGGTCAGAGACGGGCAGCTCTGGCAGTTGGAGAAATTCTGCAGGGGGAGCTACTCACACACACTGCGGTCAAGCGATCCACACCATGTTCGGAAACGATTCGCAGAGGGTCGACGACTTTTCAGGAAACTACAGCAACAAGGGACCACGGCCAGACTCAGGATCGTGCGATTGACGAGCTAGTCCGTCTACACTACTCGTTCCGGGCGCCTCTCAGACCCCCGACCCGCCTCCTGAACATTCTCGTGCAGCGCATCTACTCGACCGTCGGATGAGGTCATTGCCACCTACCGCTGCCCAAAATAGTACAATATAGTACGATACTCAGGTTGCATTCCACTCTCCACCGTTGCTGAGGTCTCCGGGTACGGGTAAACATGGTGGTCTACGAGGGCGTTACGCCAGGTGCTGGGCCAGGGTGTACCATATTGAGCCATGGAAACATCACGAACGATCGGCACTGTCAAAATGATCTGAAGCCCGGGGTATTAACAGAGCTGGAGCGATCGTCACCGGCCTGCGCTGGATGCATCAGTTGGGTGTAGCGCTGCCACGTGACGGCGCAATAACCTAACGCTGCACATTAGCCACGGCGCACCGGAGCAAGCTGGACTGGATGCCGGTCAGATAAATAACAATACGGTGGATTGACATGCATGCGTCCGGACTCGCAGCTAATACGAGCTGTGGTGGAGAAGAGAGGAGCTGACAACGCGTGTGGTGGCAGGCTTTCTGCGCGCCAACGCTGCGTGGCGGCCATAGCGTCCACGTGACTGCAAAGATTTCACCACCACAACTCTCGGTTAGGGAAGCGCTACGGATGAGTGAATTCCCGTTGCGGCGAACGGCGAATCAAGCAGCGCAGACAGCCGCAATGAGCATTCCCTATTCGCGATGGCGGGCCTGAAAAGTCGATTCTGGTTTGTTTCCACCCATACACCCAGTTCAACTCCATGTCACTGATCCACCGTGGCTTGGTGATGTGCAAGGCCAAGCGACCCGACACAGTGGAACGATCTAGCCGTCTAGAAACGGGGACATCGTCTCCGTCAACGTCCACCGGTGTGCCCGCCGTCTTTCTGACCTTCCACACGCCCGTCAGCTGCCAGCCTCACAGCCATCGCAATCACCTCGCCTGTCGCCCATCTCATGTCAAATTGGACATACGATCGTCATCATAGTCTGCCGATCCGGGCTGCGACGATACGCTGTCAATCCTCTCTCGTGGGTCCACGAAAACGCGCTGCACTTTATGTGGACGCCTCGTACGCGTTCCCCTGTCGTGCGACCCACCTGATAGGTGCCCTTGTGTTAGCCACTCAACGGTCACGTCACGCTCTGTTCCAGAAATTCTGCGTCCACGGAGTAGCGTAGCGGAAACCATGGCACGGCGGCTTTCCCGCTCCCATCTCCGACCCGCCCTCGTCAACCCCAGCACGCAGCGGTTGCCTACGGCTTCTTCCGCTCGTATTTTCAATGTATCTGTGTTGGTCTGTTGCTTGGAGCGGGCTACGGGCTTTCCTGCATCGAAGACGAATTCGTACGAAGTTACATTACCATTTGGAATCTGACCCATGTCCGGCATTGCTCAGCTGCTGTTTTCATCGTATGTCCGGACCATGGCTTGACCATGCGGCTTCTGCCTGCACCATTGCGCCAAATTTTCAGTATTAGCTGACACGTGCTCCACCTGCTATGACGATCACCAGCTTGAACAACAAGTATACTGCCAGAAATTACTCTTCTTGTGGGGTACTTGGACCTGTCGGGAGCGGCAGAGCGGCAGTCTAAGGCCTTGGTGCCCGCTCGGGACCCAGTTAATTTAGCCATGCGAGGTTCGTGCACTATATCGTGTCTTCCATCAACATCCGAACAATTGCATTGCCGCGAGGAAAAATGCCGGCAGCGACCAGCATGGAACTTGTGGTGTGACCTAGGTGGACACGTTTTCGAAAACTCTGCCTAATGTTCGAAGTCCATATGATCTACCTTACATCTACCCTGGTCCACAGCGAGGCTAGTACTAAGGATGTGGCGTTCAGATTTCGCTCTTCCAAACCCACTAACTGCAGACTAAGGCATTCAGGGCCTCGAGCTAGACTTTCTCGTGCGTACACCTTCATCTCGCTACCCGCAAGAAATGTCTGCATGGCTTCCACGATTCGCCGCGGAGACTAAGCTCACTTGTCCCCAATACGCCATTCTGCCGGAATTCACAAAACACCAGCGCAGCGCTTAGCTCTTCGGCTGAAAGTGTACAGCTAATACGAGTTACCACTAACCCTTTACGTTTTCTATTCCTTGGTTATAGTGACATCCTTCGTGTCAAAATTGAGCGTACGCAAACGTCTAGAAGCATGACGACGCCCTTTTCGGTGTTCCCGCTACGAACCAGGGGTAGCAGACGTACCTTTCGCAGCGGATAAGTATCTGGGTCACAACAATCGCAGTATTGTGACGCGCAATAGGCGAGAATCTCTTAGTTGGAATGTCTCAGTTCGAACAGCGGATGATGCTTTAAAGATCAGCCCACAAGTGGAATGTGATGTCATCGGCGATTCTCGTCCACCAGGCGGGTTTCGTCGTTGAGATGCAATGCCCCACGGGATAGTATTTTTGTCAAGCAGCATGCTGTGGGACATGGCTCGCGGAAACCTCTACATTTGGACATTGGGTGAACATTCCACCAATCGTTTGTTAAGCTGAAGCGGGTGGCTCCCGTTTGCTCATTGCCTTGGCTTGGTCCCGAATACAACATGTCAGTGGAGGTGAGGCTAACAAGGGATCATGAGACCCACAGCTCCTAGTCTAGTCAGGGCGAAGAGGGTGACGCACCCTCGAGACGAATCCGTAATTTAGTCATCCAAAGTGCTGGAAGGAGTCATGCTACTCATGCAGCTGAGTGTTCGCCGGTGGCCGCGGCCCACAGGGTGTGGCGAGAGTCGGACATTCTACGGTTGCATGAACTCGATGCGATGTCAATTGCACAAGAACAAAGTCAACATGCTAATTGAGGCAGTTATTCTCTTTGGTTCAAGCATTGCACCAATTCAGTGGACAGTCACAAAGTAACGGTGAATCAGCATTGCTTTACGGTCCATCTTCGTGGCGTGTCATTATGGTTCGACCTCGGGTAGCGAATAGTATCACCACACCACCATTAGGCAAGCTGAACCCGAAAACCCGATTTCTTAAGTCATGCTACAGAGCCGTTGGCAGCGGTGAGGTGCATGTTGCTCCTCTGTAGCGAGATGCGAGTTGTACCCAGGGGTCTGTCGTACGGTTTTGGTTGGTACAGCAAGTAGATTGTTCGTACAGTTAGGGTCTGGTTTTACCGCATTTGGAGTAATGATCAGCGCCACATCCATAATCGTGCAGGCGCATGGTACGGCAAAGAGCCGCTCAGGAACACGATTTTTTCATTGTCATGGTGCGATCGCTCGGCGGCTTCCATTGAACTCCACAGATCAGCGCTCGCTCAGCCCCTAGGCTCGAGCTTGTCATCCTTGTACTGATCATACAGCACGCAGCCGATTGAAACAGCAATAGCGCGCGTATTTTGAACCCAGACGTTGCGCCGGAGCCAGGGGTCCAATTCAAGCCGTCCATTCCTTGAACAACCCAAGCAGGATTTTCCGTTGACGCCAAAGAGTTGGCTGTGGGCGTTACGGGGTAGCATTTCTTAGCCCAAATGAGCTGGGTTAGAGCAATTCCGCACCAAGGTCACAACTGTCAAAGATCGGCATGCCTACAGCATGCTCAACTCGGGCCCCATAGTGAATGTCCGGCTTTGCCACGCCCTTGAGCAGTGATTACAGCGTGGATCCGGCTGATGAAATCAGCACTGGCTAGGAGTAGCCCGTGGTTGCATGTCGGCTCCAGACTATGAACCCTCAGACCCCATCAACTCTCCACCTAATGCCCTGAACATTGACCTCGCGAAAGGCAACTGATTTCTTTGCTCCCTTCGATGGCCTCAGACTCCAATCAGCGCTGTGCCGCTGTCGACAATACATTCGGTCCTTACGCTGGCGCACATTGTATGTTGTTTTGTGATACGCAGTACATGCCAAACCTAGACTAACCCGAGGCGCGCTTCAAGGTCGAGGAGGCTTCGATTTCACCCTTCTTTTCGAAGATGCTATCCTATCTATAGCACCTCTCGCATTGCTTCTATGCATTGCGCCCCTCAGAATAGCGTATCTTTGGCGGGAAAACAAAAAGGTTTCGACATCTCTGTTATTACCAACGAAATTAGTAAGTGAATACCTGCTGCCCTCTCTTGTCCATAACATGGCTAACGCTGGGTAATAGCTCGCATGGGCATTGTACGTCTTACCCGGATGGTTCCAAGAGTCAGGACGCTTCGCACGTCTGTCCTGGACCACAACATCAGAGGGCGCATTGCTGACTGGCCTCATATTTTAGTCTTGCTGGCTTTGACCTCGCCCTGTTAGTGCTCTGGGTAAACCACCATGGCTTCAAGAGCGATGCAGCTGTTCCTCAAGCCATTATCAGTGAGTAGTCTTGCGTATTATACAAGAGCCACTGCAGCGATAGCACCCTTCACAACATATGCTAACTAGAGGTTTCCCAGGTTTTATAGGCGCACTCATATTAGGCACGTTGTCTTATTTCGAGCACTCGCGATGCATCCGGACCTCCTTTCTGCTCAACGTATACCTCATCTTCACGGTCGTCTTTGACACCGCCCGCTCGAGAAGCTATTCACTAGACGAACAACTGAATCTGATATCGATCTTGTTCTCAACCCGAGTTGGGGTCAAAGTCTTCCTCGCTGGTTTTGAAGCCAGGGGGAAGAGGAGCCTCCTGCTACCTGGCTATACGAATGATCCCCCCGAAGCTGCTGCTGGTGTTTATAACCGATCGCTCTTCTGGTGGCAGAATGCGCTGTTCAAGAAAGGGTTCAGCAACACTCTATCCATCGATGACTTGTACCAGCTAGACAAGTATCTTCATGCGGAATATCTCCATAGCATCATTGGATCAGCATGGGATAAGGGTAAGCCTCGAGCACATCGACTACCTAGGTACTAAATGCTAACTGGTTGGCATCTATAGTGGCGCATGTCGAGTCGAACTCGCTCCTCATAGTTACCTTTAAGAAGCTCAAACTGCCTATGTTGGCCGTAGTACCACCGCGCCTCTGTCTCACGGCGTTCAATTTCTGTCAACCGTTCCTGATTGAGCGCGCTGTAACATATTCCTCACAGGCGCAAACCGCTCAGACTACAAATATCGGCTATGGATTAATTGGCGCGTACGTGCTCGTGTACGTGGGCATCGCGGTATGTAATCCAGTCACCCACCCGCGCTTGCGCTGATAGCTTCTCAAGGTTTCCACTGGACAGTATCAACATTTCACCTTCCGGTTCATTACCATGATGCGCGGCGGGCTCATTTCAATGCTCTACAATAAAGCTGTAGACATTCCATTAAACGATGTGGATACAGCATCGTCACTCACACTGATGAGCGCTGACATTGAGCGCATTGTCACTGGCATGCAGACGGGTCACGAAAACTGGGCAAACACGATTGAGGTGGCCTTAGCCATCTACCTTCTTCAAAGGCAGCTTGGCGTTGCCTGTGCTATACCCATCGGAGTCGCTGTTTGTAAGTTCCCCTTTCTGCATTCGCAATGTCACTTATTCACTGGTGTCACAGTGTCCTTTGGCGGGTCGCTTGTCGCGACCAGCATGGTGATGCAAAAACAAGCCTTGTGGCTGGAGGGCATCGAGCGCCGGATTGCAGCCACAACTGCGATGTTAAGCTCAATGCGCGGGGTCAAGATGACCGGCCTCACAGATGTGTTGCGAGAAGACTTGCAACGGTTGCGCGTCGAGGAGCTCACCATATCGAGAAGTTTCAGAAAGCTTTTGATCTGGACAATGGGTATCTGTACGTCGCTCCCACGACTACCTCGATGACAGGTGCTAATACTGCATAGCCTTTACTGCTCCACTATTATCGCCAATCCTTACCTTTGCGGTATTCTCTATTCTTGCGCAGAAGAGCAACGGCAATAGCACACTTGATACAGCCAAGGTCTTCACATCCCTATCGCTCTTTACGCTATTGTCGGAGCCACTTAGCTCACTGATAATGTCTCTTTCCTCGTTCATGGGCGGCGTTGGATCCTTCCAAAGAATTCAGAAGTTCCTCGTCACTCCGACACAGGTTGAGCGACGTAGGTCCCCATACACCGTCGGGACCATCGGGTCGGCATCAGACTTGGGCGACGAGTCTGACAAGGATTCCGACAAATCCCAGAAAAGTCGCTTCTCCTTGGATATCCGAGAGATTGGCTCCTCATCCTCAACGGCTGTGCTGATCGAGAATGGGGTTTTCGGGTGGAGCCAGGAAAAGCAACCAACAGGTTGCCTGCAAGCGATAAACATGGCTATCCCACGAGGTAAAGTTACCATGGTCGTGGGTCCGGTAGGGTGCGGCAAATCCACCTTGATCAAGGCTATCCTGGGCGAGCTCCCGGTTATGGGTGGCACTGTCCAACTCTCCTCCCTGCGCATCGCCTTGTGTGACCAAACGCCATGGCACGTGAACGGCACAGTACAACAAAGTATCATCGGCGCATCGGATTTCGATCAGCGATGGTATGCAGCAGTCGTTCGCAGTTGCGCTTTGGACGAGGATCTGCGTCAACTGCCGCAAGGCGACCAGACGCAGGTCGGGAGTAAGGGTATCGCCCTGAGTGGGGGTCAGAGCCAGCGTATTGTATGACACCCAAACACTGACCCCGCCTACATCCCGTGCGCATGACTAACATACGCATCTGATAGGCTCTCGCCAGAGCGGTATATGCTCAGAAGGATATCGTCATCCTCGATGATTGCCTTAGTGGACTGGACGGTCAGACCGAGAATCGTGTCTGGCACAGTCTCTTCGGCCGTAATGGTCTTCTCCGAAGATGCAGGTCCACTGTTCTTGTCGCGTCTTCGTCAGGTACGTACCCTACAGCCTTGCCTAGCACAGTTCACCAATGCTAATGACGCCTCGTTTCTAGCAAAGCGCTTGCCGTATTGCGACCACATCGTCGCGCTCAGCAAGGAAGGCAGCATCGCCGAACAAGGCACCTTTGACAAATTGAACGGAACTGGTGGTTATGTGGCTGACTTTGACTTGCCGCCTCCCGACTGGGACTTCACCCCAGAAAAGCACATCTACGAAGCGCCGCCTAGATACTCCGAGCGTGCGAACAATGGCATGGTCACCGAGCAAGACATACAGGCAGAGACAAATCGTCGCACGGGCGATGTGGCCATTTACTATTACTACATTAAGTCAGTGGGTTGGACTGCCGCCCTCATCTTCATGGTCTCGGTTACGCTGTTCATCTTCGGCCAGTCATTCCCTAGTAAGTGATATTCCATCGATGAATGGTCCATCCACTAAAACATTCGGTCAGCGATCTGGGTGAAGATGTGGGCCGAGTACAACAGTGAGCACCCCAACCAGCGACTTGGTTACTACCTTGGTGTTTATGCCGCCCTTGGTGTCGGAGCGATGATCTTCCTGCTCATCAGCTGCTGGTTAGTAGTGTCTGAATCTCCGTATTGATGTCGCTGACGAGTGTAGGCAACTAATCATCGAAATGGTTCCGCGTTCCGGTATCGCTTTCCATAAGAGACTTCTTGACACCGTGCTTGGGTGAGTTCCGCCAATACATGCATTGTCCAGATGGCATCTGATCATCTCCAGCTCTCCGATGTCGTTCTTTGCATCCACCGACACCGGTGTGACGCTGAACCGCTTCAGCCAGGATCTCATGCTCATTGACATGGAGTTGCCTGTTTCCGCTTTGAACACTTTTGCCAGTGAGTCGATCCTTCATGCTTCTAGCGCAGCGGGCTGACTCAGGCCAGCTTTCATCTTGTGTATCGCCCAGATGATCCTCATCGCGGTTGCTGCCCCATTCGCGACCATTTCTTTCCCCGTGGTTGGTGGAGCTGTTTTTGTCATCCAGAAGTTCTATCTGCACACCTCGCGACAGCTACGGTTCCTCGACTTGGAGGCAAAGTCGCCACTATACACACAGTTTAACGAGATGTTGGAGGGTCTAGCCACTATCCGAGCTTTCGGGTGGCAGAGCTTCCTCGAGGAGAAAGCGAAAGACCTGTTGGATCGCAGCCAACGTCCCTTCTATCTGCTTTTTGCTGTGCAACGTTGGTTGACTCTAGTATTGGATCTCATTGTTGCTGCCGTCGCAACAATCCTCATCATACTCGTGGTCGCGCTGAAAGGCAAGCTCAGTGCCGGCTACGTCGGTGTCGCTCTCCTCAACGTCATCCTCTTCTCTCAGAGCATCAAGTTGCTCATCCATTGGTGGACGCAGCTGGAAACGCACATCGGAAGCGTGGCGCGCATCAAGACCTTCACGACAGATGCTATCAGCGAAGACTTGGAGGAAGAGGACCAGGTGCCACCTCCGAACTGGCCCAGCGATGGCAAGATCGAGTTCAAGGATGTTACCGCATGTTACCGGTCAGTACATTCCACCATCCTAATGCTCCCTGCTGACCAGCTAGGCCCTATGAGCCTGTAATCTCTAAATTCTCCATCTCGATCGCGCCGGGCGAGAAGGTTGCTATTGTTGGCCGCACTGGAAGGTATGTCAATTCCTTACTCTCTAGATCCCCACGCTGACATATTTACAGCGGCAAGTCTTCGCTTGTTCTATCACTTTTCCGTATGATTGAGCTCTCGGCTGGAACCATCACGATCGACGGCCTCCCTCTCCACCGCATCGCTCGCCAGACTGTCCGATCAAGACTGATCGGTCTGCCCCAAGACGCGTATCTTCTACCAGGTTCCATTCGGCTGAATGCCGACCCATTGCAGCAGAGTGACGACAAAGCCATTATGCAGGCGCTCAAGGACGTGCAGCTTTGGGACACCGTCGTAAGTAAAGGCGACGAGACCAAGTACGCGCATCCGCTCGATGTCAATGTCGAAGACTTGCACTTTTCGCATGGGCAACGGCAGCTCTTCTGTCTTGCTCGCGGGCTCTTAAGGAAGGACAAGGGGAGTGTCCTGGTCCTCGACGAAGCCACTAGCAAGTAAGTCACCATCATCCACGATGCTGCTAAGGCACTCCTGACTAACCACTCACAGTCTTGATCACGCTTCCGACTCTCAGGTCCAGCGCTTACTGCGCTCAAAGTTCACAGCCCACACTATCATTGCTGTCGCCCATAAACTCGATACTATTCTCGACTTTGACAAGGTCATCGTCATGAACCAGGGTCAGCTTGTCGAGTACGGCGAGCCGTACAAGCTACTTGATCGCGAAGGTAGCTGGTTCAAGTCACTGTACGAGGATGTATCGCTGAACGTGGGACCCTCGGGTGAGGATGATATCCTGGAGATCGCGCAGTGAGGCGCCTTTTATTTCTTTATACTTACATAATGGCGGTTCTTTCCTTCGAAAAAGTCTTCACATACCGCCACGGCGCTTGCATTCTCGCATGCTTTTTTTTGTTTCTCCGCGGAAATTGGGCGGCCAAAGGCTCTCGCCTCGTTTATTTAGGTAACAAAAATGGCGCGAAGCATAGTCTCTACACAACATTGAATCCACATAACATCTTCCACCTTGGCGCTGCGACTGTGTTTTCGCGACATTGTGCAACTCTCGTTTTCGTGCCTGTGCAGCAATTGTGCGCCCGCACGTTTACGTTTCGGTATTTCCCGTTGGAGGGTGGGACAGTGGGACGGAAGCATAGCGAGCCGCAAAAGCAATTTGCCCCATTCCGATCTTCGTTCTGACCTGCCTCTTTCGCACAATGCCAACGTGTTCTTCGTGCTGGGGGAAGCGGAGTAGACGATCACTGCTGCTTCCATCGACGCTTTATAGGCAACGCACCATCCCGGATAAGCTGAAGGCCGCCGATGGTTGGCGCTTAGTGTCATGTACCACGGCAGATGTGCGTGAGGGAATTCGAGATAAAGTTTGCATGGTGAGGCGGTTCGCATGCGGACCCGCGATGCAGTTGAGATCCTGCTGCTGTGCATAAATCGGGTTGGACTTCGTATTGTGTTACCGGCATGTTGTTTCAGTGTGGGTGGAGCGGAAATGCCGGGAATAATGGCCGGTCTACCCGCACTTCAGCCTGACGGTTAGCAGGTACTCTCAATCATTGAGATAAACAAATGCATTAGTATTGCGATACTATAGTTTGGTGGGTCTTTCCGTCTATGCTAGGATGGTGAACTAATGCTGTGTGACGGTTCACAAAGTCTGTTCAGACGACATCGGACATAGGCGGCTGCGCAGTCATGCTGTCAGGCTGTCAGGCCTGAAGCGCTTTGTCGGGCTCTATCGCCCAGTCAGTGACAAAGAAAGATGATTAGTAGGGTCGTTTAAGCTGAGCATTGCTTTTTCCCAGGAGAATTAATCCGTCCACCAGAATAGTAACACTTGCGTAACAGCAGCTCATTATGCTATCGTGCAAACACTGAAGCTTTATTCCTCATTACATATCTGCGACTAATACTTGTTGTACTTTTCTTATTGAGCTTATTCAAGTCTCATCGCACATCCGGCCAACAGTCTGTGGTATACCATAGATTAGATTTAGAAGCTTCATGATACAGCCTTACAGAACAGTAGATCAATGCAGCATGCTGTGACGCAACGCACTTGCGGCCCGCTGCAGTAGTGGATCCGACGGGAACCGTTTGGTATCTCCGCATTCTTGCTTTGTTTGTACGACAGCTGCCTCCAAGGTTTATCCCTTCACGCACCACGTGCAAACCGTTCGCATCACCTCCCATGCGTGTACCGGGTAGACCCCATGGCACTGCCGCACTTCTATGCTTGGGCACCAGCATACGCCTCATGCCTCCGCCCCGCTCCACCGTCCGTCTGACGTTGGGCCTCCATCTCGCGATCCACTCCGAGCGAATCGTCACCCTACTATACGTGAGACCCGCAACATAGAGTCTCCACTCAGACCCTGCATTATCAAACTTACGCGATATGCTTACCACACTGTATGCCGGGTCATCTGCGCTAGACTGACGGATCTGCTCTGTGCAGAGGATCTGGAATCGCTACCGCCGACGAGGAGTCGGGAAACTGCGCAGAGGGGTTTAGGAAGGTCCCAGTCTTCGCAAAAGCCATGTAGAGCTTTCAGTACGTAACAGCGAGAAGCTGTGTAATGCAGGTGCGCACTGTCATGTGGGTACCAGTAGTGTGGGTGGGTGGGTTGCTGATGCTGTTATAAGGGGCCGCGCCTTCCCCTAAGGCTGCTCTCGTTCTTTACCTTCTACACATCGAGGACAACGACGAGCCCATACTCAGCCGGGTCACAGACCTCTCCAGGGACTTCTCCGACCTACGAAAGAGCCGACGTACGACCGCCTTCACGATACTTACCACGTCATGTGACTTGCAATTCACTTCGGTGTCACTCAAGGGATCCTCCATCGCCACTTGCTCCATACCCATCAGTACTTGCGCATACTATCTCCTCGACTTGGAGGTCTCCACATCGTCTGCAGCGACGAGTTTCTCGACTGTTTCCAGCACCTGGGCTCGCCGGCACCAGAAGTGCCTCCGTCAGCAATCAACCGTGGTCGCACAAAGCATATCCCCAACCTATCCATACACCATCTCGATGCCTCAAGGGCCAGTTTCACCCTCCCGTATTGGCAGGCCACCCTGGGGTTAGGTAGCTTCGACGATTCGCAGGTGTCCACCAGGCAGTCGCGCCTTCGGCTTGCAGAGTCAAAATACGTCCTGTGTATGGAGCATAACTACACTACAGGTTGTTGATAAGCCAGAATATGGTCTAGGAACATTCTCGAAGCTACGTTTGCGCCTCTCCGAGCCGTCGCGGCCAGTCACTACTCGCTTTCGTCGTCTTCACCCATTGGATCCGTTGTTCTCGCATACAAACAAGCAAGGAAAAGTTCTGAGATATGGCACACGGTAGTTCAGAGAGGATAGTAAGAACAAGTCATGTCTTCGAGGCTCGTTGCATTGTGCGCAGCGGAGGGACACACTGTCTAGACTGCAGAAAGTTCTCTCGATCCTCTTCACATACCCACGATCAAGTGATCGCTTGAGACGCAGAACACCATATCTCGAACGGGAAGGGGGCAGCAAAATATGGGTTGAGTGACTCGGCCAGTTTTCGGAGCGGAAGGGCACACTAGCATGGTTGCAGTGGCTTAGTGCGGAGTCTATACACTGGAACTACCCAGCATAATCGGGGGGTCCTTCGTTATGCAGCAACCGGCCTGGAGTACGCAGCGTGGCTCAACAGCCATTGTGCATCTATAGCGTGAGACCTCTTGGTGCTATTTCCGTAATCGGGGTGTAAAGGAGAATGTCTCACTCAAGCACTCGCCATCCAGCCGTACGATGAGGCATGGCCACTTCCTTCACGAGCATCGCGTTGAGAAATCGAACGGTCTGTGCTTGCTACACGATACTTTTCAAAGTTGGGATGATTCATCGTTTCCCCCGCCATGTGGGTTACGATTGGCTTAAGTCATGCACTTCGATAACACTCACGGCGTTCTCGACTCGCTTTTACTTCACACCTGACAGCAGTCATTTATCCATCGGCCTCCTTGTTGAGCTTAGCGCCTGGCCTTCCCCGGATCCAAAAGCGGGCTCCGCCGACAACCCCTCAGCCTGGCAGAATAGATTGGCTGATCAGCACATGCAGCTTTCCTCTACGTTCAAGTCAGGTTGGCGTGTTGGCAGGTTGTTTTGTTACACAAGGCTTCTCTTGAGATCATAACGTTACGATTGGCTTATCAAGCGCGCCAAGCTGACGACGTAGGTTGGTAGTGACGCAGTTCAACACCACGTCGCCTCAACTACAAAACCCTCTCTCGAAATCGTGCTCATCATGGCGTGCATCACGCTATCTGTATCACGCGTCTTCACGCAGAGGGTATCGCGCCTTCAGTGCGTGGTTCGTTCGAACGATGCGTATACATGTGTTAACAGTGTCGGCAGCACAGAGAGCTGAAGAGCTGTCATACGATCGGAGCTCTGCAGAATGATGATTATCTATTCTGCATAGTATGAGGTAAGGTGCTCAACGAGCACGTACGCTATGTAGGCCATATTCATACCTCCGACGCTCTTGCCACAAGAGCTGACTGCTCGTGAGCAAATAGTACAACGCCGAAGGCTCCCCCGGATTCCACGGTTCCACGATAACGCCGTGAACCAGTCCCTTCAATTCGGTTTCCAAATATCTTAGCACGCATCGCCCTCTCCGCTTAGAGACTTGTCCTTCATAGTATCCTCATCGCAAACGCTGATCCCGAGATTACGTTTTCGGAGTGCGACTTCCGCGGTGTAGCAGGAAAATGCAGCGCACAATGGAACCGCCGTAATGATCCGCTCTTGCAAAGCAGTAGCAAAGATGTAGATCAGCGCGCCAGTCAAGATCGAAGAAAAGATGACATAGCTACAATGTCTGTTAGCGCTGTGCTGAAGGACGAATCTATTCGTACTCACGCTGTAAAACGTCTTTTAAGAAGGCGATCCTTTGCTGTCCAGACGTTGACGAGTGTTGCAGTCGCCCAGACGGCGAACGTTCTCTTTGACATCAGCGCAGCCACACACGATGGATTCGACAGACTCACATCCAAGTCACCTCGGCCGCAATATCTTCATCGTTCTTCCACAAAAGGAAAGCGATGCTCGAAGCACCCATTGCTGGGGCGGGTAAACCCCAGCTTCCTCGCCAGTACCTCGCCCCCACTACCAGCGCTACACACATGACGGATCCCGAGCCGAATATGAGTGTGTCAATCAGAGGGTGCTGGCGAGGAGGAGCTGGAGGCTTCGAAGGTTGCGCAGGTATACCTGGCCTGAGCCCACCGGTCGCCGCGGTTCCAGGTGTGGGTATGGTGGCCGTAACACCATATGTCAAAAGCGCCCAGATGAGAACTTTTCCATTCCTCCCGATATCGAACCTTGGAGTCATCCATACAGACAACATCGATGGATCTTCAACGTTAAACTTTGGAAGATCATCGGATTCAGTCTTTACGTTGCCACATGGTACAGATTGCGCTTGAACCTTCAAAATGTTACCAGGGATGTCGCGAGTCCCTGCGAGAATTGTTTCGGGTGGGCGTTTTATTTCGTCCACTTGGTTAGCCATCCTGAGTGGGTTTGTATCCCAGATGGCAAGGGCGTTCTTATAATAAGCCAGCTCCAGCCAAACATTTCCCTTCTCGAAAATTTCCAGAGTTGAAGCTGGAGAGAAGGATTTCAGGGAAGATGTTGTCACAGACATCGCAGCGTGTCGCCAATCGTCGTCTGGTTCAGGTTCAGGGTTGTATAGTGCTGTCCTAGAATTTCAGTAAGTCTGAGAGCACTCAAGGAATGATAGCATACCAGACATTGTCAAGGCGAGGTGCAGGGAAACGGGTCCACAGACTCAATCTAGGTCCGAAGCAAATTTGGGAGAGAGCGACCATCGTTCACATCACTCCGCCCTCTCAGTCAGGGCTGGTCAACCGTTGCCGGTGAATGACACCGCCCTGTGGCACCGCACCTCTCATAAAGGACGTAGGCGCAGCTCTGTACTCGCTGTCGCCTTACCAATCGATGTGTAGTAATTATATTGCTCTCGTTGATCGAAGCGGAATTCGTGCGGCAAGGCTGATACGCTGATGAGTTGTCGCTCGCTGATTCGAGCATCGCGTGTCATGCAAGGCTGAGGACTGTGACTTTGCTTCGCGAGGCACAATGGCGGGCCACTCACCGGAACGATAAGTTCAGCCTGCTTTGTCTCGATTGGTTGGGAGACAGGAGTCTGAGTCTTTCAGTCGGCTGCGCTGACACTCGTCTTCTTCATCCCTTCACTTCCCTACATGAGCTTCCTAGGTTTAAATAGTTTGATGGAGGGACGTCTGGAAATCAGAAAAGCCCTTCGAGCGACCTTCGATTTCCTCACTGTATCCTGCTTGGTTTCCACTACTCGTAACTCGATTAAGTCGATTTGAATATCGACCCTCCACACACACTTACAAGACAATCGCTTCGGTCGCATATTCATCAAAGATACGGCCATACTGGAACGAGCTACGTAAGATAAGAAAATCGACAGACGCTTGAGCATCGATCCTGATGTGCTGATTACTGGCGTAGCCAACGGACCTCTGCCATTCCAAATTATGGGCAAATGTCGGAGAGGCCAACATGCCTTTGTTACTGCTGCAATTGCGAATGCCATAGGACACAATGGCGCAAGCACCGACTGTACGCATTGCTCTGTGTGCCAGCATCGGCCGCGTCTGCGTTTGTAGCGGCTGCTAGACATCTGGACCTTCCTACACCTTATCGCTCCATCATAGCATTATACTGCTTCCCTGATCTCATTACCGACCTAGTTTGTCTCATCACGTTTACTTCTTCCGCGACATTTTATTATCGACTACGGGCCAACGACGAACACCAAGACAGTTTTTTGGTTTGCGGCATACTGGCCTCTGTAGGCATCGGGATGTTTGCGGGGATAAGTCTGGAAGGCTCTTTAGTTGGAATTCTTCCTTGGGGCATTATGTTATCTCTCTTCATCAGTAGCTTCGTACACGCCTTTTCCTTCAAGACACCAAAAGCGACAGCAAAATCAACAAATAAATTCTCAGCAGTTCAGTCGTTTTGACTGACTGTTGCAGGTTGGCTAGTTTTACTCTTGGAAACTAGGTATGGCTCAGCTGGCAGGTGCGCTTGTACCAACCTTGGCTTATGCCAAACGACACTCTTTAGATAGATGAAATATCTCCGTTCGCCGTCTCTTGTGCTCTGTATGGTCACACCTGGCTGACCACTTCCAATTTGGACGGCGTGTCTCTAATCCAAAGCAGAATACAATCGGCAGACTAAAACGTGCAGCGACATGGACATACTACCAATATACTCTTTGTAAGACGCTATTGCACGAATACAGCTTCAACTACGTGTTAGTACCTTGGCTTATAGGGAGATTTTGGAGGATGAGATCTGTGTTTGCAGCAATAGTAGATAGACGGCATAAAGCCTGCCTCACACATTGATCTTGTGAATAAGATGTCTTCCACTGATCTTAATACAAAGTCTGGTCTTCGAAAGACCAGAGCAATGAACAGTAGCCAACACAGATTACTTTCTCCGAGAGCGAAGGGCCGCTCACGCCGTAGGACGACCCACTCGTCCTCGCCAATTAAAATCCTTTTTTTGAAGAACGAATGCGCAGGCTTATATTGTATGTACTGAGATATTTGGGGAGAGAAGTTAGAAGCGCTCAGCTGAGACTTTCTCGGATAGGCTTCCGGGCACACGCCTTCATTTATATATACATGTGTGTTGCTGCTGGTCAACAATGAGCATGGAAAAATCCTGCGATGTATCAATTGACCGGACAAGTCCCAAACCCACATGAACAGCCTCGTGCTCACCAGCAGTAACCTACATAAGTGCGACGCGGACAGCAGACTCTTTCCTGATAGAATAGCCTTGTCTTACACATACGGCTGGAGTCAGCCTTCTAGTTTCTCTAGACGCATACTTCGCACCGTCTTGATCCACGAAACCCCATCCGAGAAGCGCTTCTGCCTTGTTCACATACATACCCAATTACGAATCCCTACGCAACTCGCATCAACCTACATCAACACCCTCCCCAACACCTCCCCAAACCCCTCTCCCCAAGCCACCCCTCCACAGCCCCCATATCCCCCGATTCGCCCTCACCCCCTCCTCTCCCCACCTCATCCGTAATCTCCCGCATATCTTCAAACACCCTCTTCACCCCCTCCCCATCGCCCTCCTCTCGTAGCCTTTCACTAACCTTCTTGTGATGACTCGGGATATCCCCCCAGCTCTCCGTCTTGATGAACTTCATGTAGGAGTCTATATTGGAGGAGGTCCCTTCGAGACAGAGAAGGCCGGGTTTGCCGGCGAAGAGGAAGCCGGTGAGGGAGTAGGAGGGTGCCTAGAGATATAAGCGAAGATTATGGAAGTGGGGTTAGGCAAATGATTTTTTGGATACTATCTAAAGAGGGGGCATGGACGTTACGTACGTTGATAATGAAGTCATCGCGTTTGGAACGGGTTGATATGGAGGGGAAGTAGAACCAGGCGCGAACGAGAGGGGCAGAGGATGCTGCAGAGGTGGGATTGGGTTGCGATGAGATAGCGAGCTGGGATTGAAGGAGGTCGGATGCGGATTGCTTGATGTCGTCGATTGCGGTGAAGAGGTCTTCTTGCCCCGAGACTTGTGCGTTTAGCTGCGTGGTTGCTGCTCGGTTGAGCCATGATGGTTGTCGTATCCTTATTTTGACGTGGGGAGCTTCCTCCGGTGGCTGATCCCCTTCGTATGTGAATGGGGCATTGATGTCCAGTTGTAGGTGGTTGTCCTCCTGGATGGCGAGATTGAGGAGTAATCTTATTGTCGAGGAATTCAAGATATTGTTTTTCGGCAACGACTTATGTTCGACCCCACTCTTAAGTATTTCAAGGGCATCTTGAGAATGCTTCTCCATTGATACTTCCTCTTCCGGGTACATTGCCATCAACAGGTCGATTTGCGCGATTTGATGTTCGATCAGCTCTGAAGGCAGTAGGTACCATGATGCTGTCGCTGCCATTATTCCTGACTTATCTTTTGGTCTCTCAGTATAGAATCGGCCTAAAGATGGATGAGAAGGAGAGTTTCCATCATGGATGAACTTTTGGGGATTGGTGCGCTAATCTATATCAGACTAGCGCGGGGCCAATCTTCGTGAGCCACGTGACACGGCAGCCTCTCAACGATTCTAGAACCTGCAAAACATCGATTTATACCACATATAAACCAGCATCACACCCCACAGTCTTATCTGAAGCTCTACTGATTCAGTATATAATACCGCACGGACAATCAGCGTCTTTCTCACCTCTTATATTATTCATAATATCGAACACGCGCACCAACCTTATATATCGCGACACCTCAAAATAGAAGCAAGAGCAAGGACACAATATAAACCACACATAAAAAAATGGGCTCCGTCGTCCTTCCCCACCTCCGAACAGGCTGGCACGTCGACCAAGCGATCCTCAGCGAAGAAGACCGCCTCGTCGTAATCCGCTTCGGCCGCGACCACGACCCAGATTGCATGCGCCAAGACGAAATGCTTTACAAGATCGCCGACAAAGTCAAGAACTTCGCTGTGCGTCGCCCCTCCTTTTTTCCCCTCCCTTTCTATCGCTTCTCCCACACGTGACCCCCCTCATTCCCTTCTATCTATCAAAAGTCAAGCGGGGAAAGACCGGTATGCTGATATCAGGCGAACAGGTCATCTATCTCTGCGACTTGGACGAAGTGCCCGACTTCAAAGCCATGTACGAGCTGTACGACGCGTGCACTGTCATGTTCTTCTTCCGCAATAAGCACATGATGTGCGATTTCGGGACGGGTAATAACAATAAGCTGAACTGGGTATTGGAGGATAAGCAGGAGTTAATTGACATCATCGAGACGATTTATCGGGGCGCGAAGAAGGGGCGGGGTCTGGTGGTTAGTCCTAAGGATTATTCGACGAGGTATAGGTATTAGACGAGCTGGGGAAAGAGAGGAGGGGTTGGGGCGTTTGTCAATCTTGGGGTTATTGGGTATTATAGTTTGGGTAACGTGAGGAGGTACAGGTCATGGAGAGTTCGGTCGGCTTGAAGCGAGCTACAGGTTTACATCATTGCATAGACATAAACTTTCATTCTCAATCACGATCACGCGTGCCCCCGTCTCTTGTCCTTGGCTTTTCCACCCCCGGTATCTTCCCACAGACACCGCCTACTCCCCTTCCATACAAGCTCCAAAATTTCCCTCCTCGGTAACATCCTCGGAAACACAACCACCACGTCCTCCTCCCCCTTCACCACAACCGCAAGGTAAAACCTGACCTCAAACCCCTTGAACGCCTCATGTATGAAGATATCCTGGATGCTGGTCGTGGGAATGAAGCGCGTAGTAGGGGTGCGGAGGTATATGGAGGATGTGGTGCTCGTTTGGAGACCGAGGCCGCGGAGGACGGTGAGGGATTCTTCTATTGTGTGGAGTCAGATTTTGTGTGGTAAGATGGAGGGCGGGAGGAAGCGTACCAGTGTAGCCCCTGCGAAGGGCGAAGTAGAGCACGCATAGAGACGCGGGGACTAGGTACCTCCATGGTAGAGGCGAGACAAGCTGGAGGAGTTCGTCTGAGCGCGAGTCGTCGAGTGTCCATGCTGAGGCCAGAATGAACTTCTCATGACTGGTACACCATTTCGCCCATACTAGCAACGCTATGGCGCAGCCCAGCAGTATGCGCAGTGCAATGCCCGTGTAGAAGCTCAATTTGGCTGCGATTGTCTTCGCTTCCGGACGCGTAGAAACGGTGTAGGAAACGGTTGCTTGGGTGGGTTGTAGCGTGCGGAGCGTCTGCACAGGCGGCGCACTGAGCCGCTGCAGCGCTGCTATTATCGTAGCCATCCCGTCATGGCATTCGGTCGTAGCTCAAATCAAGCTTGCGCGTGAAAGAGAGGTGGGATGGACTGACGCCGCGGTTCAGCCCTACGACGGGAAGAAGCGAGGGTCATAGCTCCCAAAAGTATCTCGTACTTGCGTGCTGCCTCTCCACCTCTACGCATGCAAACATACCCCTCCCACGCTCTCAACCCGCGATAATGCCTTCGCCTGCCCCCCATCCAGATCGCGCGGCGCTCGTTCCGCGCTCAAAATCCCAGTCCCCCGCACGGAAAGATGACGCGCCCGCCAAAGATTCGTCTCGCGCTCGTTCTCGCTCCCGCTCTCCCAGACGAAGTCCCCCGCGCAAACCTAAAAGCTACTCCGGCCTGAAATGGAAGAAACCAGATCGCTCGGATGCCGGGGATAGAGACGGCCGCGACCGCGACGACAGAAGAGGAGGCTACGACAGAGACGACCGCCGCCGTGACGACGGACACAACGACAGAGGGTTCAGGCGCGACGACCGCGAGCGCCGCGACAGACGTGACGACGACCGGCGGCGAGACTACCGCGACGATCGCGACCGCAGAGGTAAAGACCGCGACTCAGACCGCCGACGTGACCGTGACCGCGACCACTCCGACCGTCCTCCACGCTCCGACCGCGACCGCGACCGCGACTCCAAGCCCCCCCGAGAGAAGAAACCCGCCGCCGCCCCAGCTCCCATCGCATCAGGCGAGCCCATGATCATCGTCACGGTAAACGACCGCCTCGGCACCAAAGCGCAGATCCCCTGCATGGCGTCCGACCCCGTGAAGGTGTTCAAAGCGATGGTTGCGGCCAAGATAGGCCGGCCGGTGCATGAGATTATGCTCAAGAGGCAGGGGGAGAGGCCGTTCCATGATCAGTTGAGTTTGGCGGATTATGGGGTTAGTCATGGGGTGCAAATTGATTTGGAGTTGAATACGGGAGACTGATTAGGTTGGGGAAGGGAAGGGGAGGGAAAGGATCGAAGCGCGAGCGTATATGAAGTACGGAATCGGGGCAGATCTCTTCGCTGGGGTTGGATTATGGTTTTAGGCATCCAGAGTGCGAGGCGTACGCATCAGCGTCCGCCTTAACATCACAAAATGACACGCATGATACCCCTGACGCTACCTTGCACGCAACAACAACGTGAAGTGATTTCACACTGGGTATCATTTCCACTACTTCACTCGTCCGCATCCTCCTCTTTCGGCTTCCTCGCATTCGGATCCAACCCCTTCTTCCTCGCGTACCTTTCATTCACCACCTCCACCGGCTCCTGCCTCTCCCGCTCAAGCACAGGCATATAGTTCCCCTTCGCCCTCCCAACGTCCCCTCCATCGAACACCCTAGGACCCGCCTTAGGCATCCCATTCCCATCCCCACTGCCCTCCCTATCCAGCGTGCTCTCCCCTTGCCCCGCAACCGCATCAAGCAGCAGCGCAGACAACGTCTCATCAATCTTATTCCCGCGCCACAACTCCCACACGTCGTCCATGACGCCTCCTCGCCCCCACTTCCCGCGGCCCATGCTGCTCGGTCCGCCTCCAGCCTTAGCTTTCCCAAGCGACTTGGGCTCGATGCCCCCTTCGTCGCCGACGTATACCCACTGCAGACGGTCTTCGTAGCCGTGCTCGCGCTCCTCCGAGGACTGCACTTCGTGCTCGTAAGGGAAGATGCAGTCCCAGAGGACGAGCGGGGCGTCCGACGCCATCTCGTACTTCGGGCGCGTAGGATTTGCCACGATGTCAAGAAGGTGCGTGATCAGCTCTGGAGCCTCGAGGCGCTGGCCGATGAGGAAAAGAATCGCGACGATGGAGCGGACTTGGTGCCATAGGAAGGCCGAGCCATGTAGCACGAAGGCGTACATTTTGGGCTCCTGCCCTGAGGCAGGGTTCTGGATTGCGATGTGCGAGAGGAAGCTGGGGACGGAGAGGGGGGAGACTTCCTCGATGGAGGCGCGGAAGATGCGCCGGTTGAAGTTTGTGATTTGTTTGCTGGGGTCGATTTTGCAGAAGTTGCGGAAGTCATGGAGACCTTCGAGGTTTTTGCACGCTTGGCGCATGGCGGCGATGTCGAGCCAGCCTTCGCGCATGGGTGGGGAGGTGTTGGTCGTGTCGAGCAAGGGGGAGTAGACGCCCGAGGTGCCGGGGACCGGTGCGAAGCATGGGTTCGTGAAGAAGTATTTGTAGCGGCGCTCTTTGCAGGAGAAGCGGGCGGAGAAGTTAGGCGGGGGTTCGGGACACCAAGCGTAGATGCGGATGTCTGGTGGGAGGACGCGGTTGAGAAGTTGAATGTAGGCGAGCTCGTCTCTTCGGTCATCGAAGGGTTTCGTCGACTCTTCGTTCTCCACCGCCGCCGCTATTTCCATCTCTTGCATAGCATCTTCTGCAGCATCCTGTTCCAACGCAACCGCAGGCTTCGGCCGAGGTCGATTACTCCTGACCCTCACCCCAATGACCTGTCCAAAGGCGCTCACACCTCTGTCCGTCCTACCGCACTTGGAGTACTCGCACCCCTCCCAATTGACATCTGCCCCGTCTCTGTCCCATTTTTCAAATTGCTTCCTGTCTAACCTCTTGAATGTCTCCTCCTCTTTGTCATCCTTTGGCGTCGGGCTTATCAACCTCGTCTTCATCAGCGCTTTCCACAGCTCCTCTTCTATCGTAGGTAGCGGCGTCGTATTATTTGCATGATGCTCCAATCCATTATATTTCTGCCCCAGGTACGCAAACTTCAACGCTATAAGTCGCGTACTGTATCTCGACGCGTCGAAAGCCTTCGGTTGCTGCTTCGCGGGCTTGCGGTACGGTATCTGCGTGTCCGCATCTCCTGGCGACGGTATGGGAAAGTGTCTGAAGGTCGCAGCGTTCGGTTCGGCAAGTTTAGACGCGGAGACTTTATCATTTGGTATAATCTGTGACTCCAGCTCTTTTATGCGCGCGACGAGCTGCTCGTGTGTCCACTGCTCGTAGCCGGGGCTCATTGTGCTGCGGGCGCCAAGCTGGGTGCGGAGGATCTGCTCGCGACGGGGCACGCGCGAGAGCTTGTGGAAGCTGCGGCGGGTACAGAAAAGACGGTGCAGCTGGTGCTCGAACTCGGGGAAGGAGTGCACTGGGAGGTGGGGCACAATTCCCCTCATTATCTTTGTGGTGTATGCAATGACTGGGCTACTTTTTTCCTGCACACTTGCGTCAGGGTCCTGCCCTAGCTATTTCGAGCATGGCTGGATCGTCACCCGACGGGAAGGTACAGTGTGAGCGGGTGTCACCATCTCAAACATTCCACTTGGCATGAAACGCCTAACCTTGGCATGAACCTCCTCCAATATCATGCAGCCATGACCCCATTCATGCGAAGGTGTCCGGCGCAGTGTCACCTCATTTGCAATACAGCGCACTGACGACTTGAGCAGTAAAGGGCCGACTTTCAAGCCTGGCTGCATTCACACATCTAAAGCTATATCGAATACGTGAAGGTCGTGTATTAAATGAGATAAGAATTTACATGTGTATTCCCTCTTCGCATCTGGCTTGCTCCAACGGCTGATAGTAGTAGAGGCATTAGTGGCCTTTCGTCCATTCCTCCTTGAGCCTATTTGTCCAGTCATAGACATGGTACCCCACTGTTGGGTCGTGCTCTCCCTGCCTTCCTTCTCCTGTCGAGTCCTTGAGTAAGGGACTGGATCTGAGTTGGGGTTAAGCTTTGGGCTTCGGGATTACGTGCCCGTCTGTCCCCGCATTGGATCAATGCGATCTGGTTCAGTCTTCGGGTCTGTCTTCGAAGCGTAGCCATATATCTGAAATATATTGTTGCTGAGGTGTGGAAGCCGAACTGCGTCCCCATATTGTCTTCATTGTCCATTTAAATTTGGAGGGCGAATTTTTTGTCTTTAATCCTTTTCAACCGCTTTCTTTTATCCTTCCCGCTTCTCTGGCCGATCGAGTGGGCTTCGTGGGGACAGGGCACCCGATCGGGGGCTCAGAGCACCACCGTTCAGCCTCAGAGCACCGCCGTTCAGCATGGGCCCATCAGACGACCTCTTCATCTTGCCCTCCGCCCAAGCGGTGATCTTTCCAAACGCCGGCTCGAAGTTGTTTGCCCAGAAGTGGCTCGCGCCGAGGGTGACGGCGGTCATGAGAATGATACCGAGAAGAATGCGTACGGTGCCGGGCTGACCGTACCGGTAGATTGTGTCGCGCCCGTTGGCTTTGTCCTCCTCGGTTGCCTTTTCGAGCTTGAACGGTTCCAGAGGCTGACCGGCAAAGACAAACCATGCGAGCACAGTGCGCATGAACGTGCCGTGTAGCAGGTAGATGGGGAAGCTGAGCTTGCCGAGCCATCGGAGCGGTTTGACGGAGAGTGCGCGACGCATTTGAGGGCTGACGAGTATGGCGATGCAGAGTATCAGGGCGCCGGTGCTACCGCTAAGACGAGGGAACGAGAAGTGAAGCGAGCTGGGGAAGAGAATGCTGAGAATGTACTTCAGGTTCGCCGACCATGGTACCGAATCGGCGTTGCCGCCGGGGAAGGACATCATGAGCAGTGCGAGCAGGGCGAGCGCAGGTGATAGCACGGTCGATACAAGCGGGAGGGATGCCAGTTTCGCGGGCAGTGGAGAGACGCTGAACTCGGCCAAGAGTATACCTCCAATGACTGTGTAGCCAACCATAGGATCCCGCATGGCGTTGGACCAGCTCCAGGACCATAGCAAGCAGAGAGTGAGGGTGACGCTCCTCCAGACTGAAGTCAGTTGGACAGTCGCCATAAGAAGGAAAAATGCCATGATACTGCCCATAAGCAGATAGAGCAGCGCCCACTGAGGCTGGTCATATTGGTTGCCAGGGCCAAACCTCCACGTCGCCATCAGTGATTGAACCAGATCGACGAAAGCGCTACACAACCCCTCGGACGGTTGTGGAGTGTTGGTATACAGCCAGTAAGCGTCGCTGTTCCTAGCTAGCTCGTAGACTCCGGTCTGGCACAATGTCCAGGAAATGATGGTGGCAACAGTGGCCGGGAGGACGAGGCGGAAAGAGCGGCGGAAGGAGGCTGTTGAGAGGCCAAGCAGGGCAGATTCCGAGTCGCCATTGCGTGCTTGTTTGATAGGCTTCAAGGCGTTGACGAAACCCAGCAAGACGAAGAAGACGGCGACCCAGCTGTGTCCAGAAGCGATAAGGCGGAAGAAGGGTCGTTGGAAAAGCCATGGTGTCCGTGTCTCGCCTTCAACACAGCAAGGGTTGGTGAACTGTCTGCCAAAGCAGAGGGCAATGTGCGAGGATGCGACATAGAGGGCGGCGATGCCTCGCAGGCCGTCTGCCCAGGTGCTGTCTTGCATGATGCGGTCGTTGGGATCAGTGAGTAGCATCTTGTGAAGACCGAACTGTATGTCGGCCAAGATGTGCGTGCTTGGTCTACCACGACCCAGATTAGGTGTCCAGCGTCCGGCACTGGTATCAGCGAACGAGTGTAAAATATGTCGGACTCTTCTCGAAAAGGAGGAACCCATTGAAGAGAGGAGGGGACCCGGTTAAGACGGCGTTGAATCAAGCCTTGCCGCCGGTGAGCACGCGAGGTGCAAGGTAAGCAGCAGGAAAGAGTTCGCGGCCCTTGACGAGGCTGTTCCTGCCTCAGAGGGTAATCTTAAAGAAAGGAGCACCGAGCAGGGGCTGAGCGCGGGTGTGCCGCTGACTTATGCACGCTCAATATGGGATGGGGTCAGCAACCGCCCAGGATCGGGAGGCGAAGAGGGAATTTTAAAAGACGATGCCACTTCTCGATGGTGAAAAAGGGCAAATACGCGTCGCCAAAACAGTGGAGAACAAGGAGAAAGAACAAAGAACGGGGTCGGCAACGAGTGGGAGGAATGCAAGGCAAGGCTGATGGGAGGCGGCCACAAAACAAGGAAGCGTAGGTATTTCACGTAGATTTGGCCAGCAAGCCACGGACTCCAGTTGGCAGTCCCCTGATTCGCATTGAACCCCATGTCTACGGCTAGTGAGCTCCCGAGGTGTGGGTGGCGGTGGACGCGATCTTCAGCGCTGCGGAAATTTCACCAATGACGGCGGCCGTGGGCCAACCAGACAACGCGCCAGCCCTCGGCAGCGCGCGGGAAGGGGGGCTAAAATGACGAGTTGATCCTCTGGCGGCCATTCCTGGTGGGCAAATTCATGCCAAGGAATGAACGTATTTAGGCGCTTACCATCTGACGAGTGAAACGACGACTCTCGGGGTGATCCATGTAACTTGTTTGACGCAGATAAGGCGAGGGGCGTGCGCAGCATACCAGAGGTAAAAGGTAAATGGTGTCAGACGTCAACCCCATCCTCCTCCCTTTGCACCACCTCCCGCCGATACTGTCTGTCAGAGCCTATGCAGGTCTGATTCCCCATGGGCAGCTGCACGCTAAAGTGGCGTGTGCTAAGTGTTGTCGACCCAGCCAGAGAATCCCATCGGGCCCTGCACATGCTAATTTCAGATACGGCTGGATCTAGACCGCGCGGGTCTCCATCCCTTTATCCCTCACCCTCTCCTGCCCATGATCCTCACATCAAGACGGCTTCGGACCTGAGGCCAATCTCGCATCGAAATTCTTCACGTCGGGGGTTCTGAGGTTCCAAGGTTGGGAATTCCGCACGTGTTACGCGCTAACTGGCCAGGTTACTAAGCATGCGACGCTGCGCCTCCCTCAATGGATTAGGCAACAAGTAGGCCACAGTCCACAGCCTACAGCCGACTACAAAAGAGAGACACCCATCAGCTGTTCAGTTCCACAACTCGCAACTCTCAACCACTTTCTCGCCAACAATTGATACTGGTGCTTAGATCCGTTGACACCGAACAAGTGCCCACGTTGAAGCAGTTCCCAATTCTCCTGCTGTTGCGTGCTTCCTCTCCAGAACGATACGAGAGGCCGCCCAGCTAGGCTGTAGACAAGCTTAAATTGACTTCGAATCTCACTGCCCTTCCTTGATCGAGTACTGTGCAGTTGAACTCCGACGGTATCATCCTTTCACAGGTTCTTGCCCTTGTTGTGGTGACACTTTGACCGCCCTGTCTTTCTTACCCCGACTTTCCCCTTGCCTACATATTTACACCCTGACCATGGTCTTTGGCGGTATACCAAAGCCCGCTGCCGTTTGCGGTTTGTACTACACACATCCGTACCAGCATTCGAAACAAGGCTTATTCTCCAATGTCGTGGATGAGCGGGTGTATCTCCCCCAGGTTCAGCTGGAGGCGCACGCCACCATTCTCCAGACGACGTCCCGTGTCACACTGACTCAGACCTTCATCAATCCCTCACCGGCGAAAGCCATCCGTGAGGTCAAGTATGTCTTTCCGCTGTACGAAGGTGTCAGTGCGGTGGGATTCACCTGCCATGTTGCCGACCGTACTATCGTCGGTGAGGTCAAGGAGAAGAATGAGGCAAAGCAGGACTATACTGCAGCTGTTGAGCGAGGAGAAACCGCCGGTCTCTTTGAGCAGCTGGACGCAGCAGACACGTTCATGACCTCCATCGGCAACGTGCCACCTGGAGTACGAGTCGTCATTGAACTCACCTATCTTGGAGAGCTGAAGCATGACATGGAGGTAGACGGTATTCGGTTCACTATCCCAAACATCATCACACCTCGCTATGGCAGGATAGCACCAGGATCCGACGCCGCTCTGGCCCAACTTCATGGATACGGCCCCTCTCGCGGAGGTCCATCAGGCAGCATCTCAGTCACCGTCGATGCGGAGATGGCAGAGGGCTCATTCATTCAGAAAGTACTCTCCCCCAGCCATCCCATCTCAGTCTCGATGGGAACCACATCTATTGCACCGAACGATGACCCCAAGATGTCCAAAGCATACGCAACTCTCGGCATACAAAGCACGCATCTCGACACGGATTTCATCCTCCAGATTGTCGCGAAAGATACCGGCATCCCGAAGGCTATCCTCGAAACCCACCCCACAATTCCCAACCAGCGAGCCTTGATGGCCACTTTAGTCCCAAAGTTCGCCCTTCCGCGAGAAAATCCGGAGATTGTGTTCATTTGCGACCGCTCCGGATCCATGAGGGGTACCAGGATTGAGCTGGCCAAACAAGCTCTCCAGATCTTCCTCAAGTCGCTGCCTGTGGGCGCCATGTTCAACATTTGCTCGTTCGGCTCGACCTATTCATTCCTATGGCCACGAAGTGTAGCCTATAGCCAGCAGACGCTGGATGAAGCTGTCGAACACGTGACTACTCTTGAGGCCAACTACGGCGGGACGGTAATGCTGGAGCCGCTCAAAGCGACGATACAGCAACGCTATAGGGACGTTCCGCTAGAGGTTATGGTGCTCACTGATGGAGCCATCCAGAACCAGGATGCTCTGTTCGGGTACCTCAACGAACAGGTTCAGGACACTAATGCGCCGATCCGGGTGTACAGTCTAGGCGTCGGAACGGGGGTGTCGCACGCACTAATTGAAGGCATCGCAAGAGCAGGGAACGGGTTCTCGCAGACTGTTGGGGAGGGCGAGAAGATGGACAGTAAGGTTGTGAGGATGCTCAAGGGAGCTTTGTCTCCGCATGTCAATGACTACACGCTTGAGGTGAAGTATGCTGGTAGTATGGAGAGTCTCGAGGAAGACGATGACTTTGAGATTGTGGAGCGTGTCGCAGATAGCCTAACGGTCAAGCTCGATTTGAACGAAAAAGAGGATCCACCTAAAGTTGTAAGTCAACACCTCAACGAACCCCACCTTCCATACCTAACGAACTTTCTACAGACTAAACCAATCTCACTATTCGACCCTTCCGCCGATCCCGACAAAGCCGAATCATCTGCCTCGCGCTTCGCACACCTTCCAGATGTCCCAACTCCCAAGATCATCCAATCGCCTCAAAGGATCCCTCCCCTCTTCGCCTTCAACAGAACAACCGTCTACCTCCTCCTCGGTCCAGACGCCCCACGCCAGACACCCCATTCCGTCATCCTTCGCGGGACCAGCGCCCACGGACCCCTAGAGCTCGAATTCCCCGTACAAGTTCTAGAGAAGACTGGAACGACGATCCACCAGCTCGCCGCCAAGAAAGCCACGTACGAGCTCGAACAAGGAAGAGGCTGGCTCTCAGAGGCCAAGGACGAATCCAAGACGTTGCTAAAGGAGCGCTACGAGGGCAGGTTCAGCAGCATGGTGGAGCGCGAGGCTGTGAGGTTAGGTGTGCAGTTCCAGGTCAGTGGGAAGTGGTGCTCGTTTGTAGCTGTAGAGAAAGAGAAAGAGACAGATAGGAAGAACGAGGATGAAAAGATGCAGGGAGAATGGGAGTATCTCGAAGACGAGACCGCTTCAGAACCTCCTGCAAGGAGCGGTGGACTGCATGGGCCCCCGGGCAACAACTCGCCTTTCGGAAGTTCTACGAACGAGGCTGTACAAGGCGCGTCAGTAATTCTCTTTGGTACGGGTAGGACTTCGGATTCTTCTATCCCGGTACCCCAAGGCATGGGTCACAGGCCCGGTAATGCGAGTACACGTAGGGGACCCTTTGGGTCCCCAATGGGATCATTCATGTCCAGATCTCCTTCCAGAGCTCTGCCTCCGGGTGGGCCTCCGAGGAACAGCTTGTTTGGTTCAAGCCCGAATACGTCTGCTTCTGCTTTTGGCTCAAATGCCGATGCGTCATCTAAACTCTTTGACCCTTCCTCCACGAAGCTTGCGGTCGGTAGTCTTTCTAGCCCCGGTAACCAAGCCCGTTCTCGCGGGTTCGGTCAGAACTCCGCAGGCGGTAGCTTGTTTGGACAGGTGCCCCAAACCTCCAGTGATAGTCTAGCTGGAGGACTGTTTGGACAGCAGAAAGGCAGTGGCTTATTTGGCGCAGTGTCTAGCTCATCCAGCAGCAAAGGCGGAGGTCTTTTCGAAGGACTGCAGCAGAGTCAGAATCAACGTGTAGATCTTTTCGGGCAGCAGAATCATCAACAGCAAAGTGGAGGTCTTTTCGGGCAGCAGCAGGGACCCCTCTTTGACTCACAACATTCTGGGGGTTCCTTCGGGCAGCAGCATCAGCAACAGAATATGGCGAGGGAACAGCAGATGGCTCGGCAACAGCAGATGGCGCGGCAACAGCAGATGGTGCAGCAACAGCAGATGGTGCAGCAACAACAAGGAAGCCTATTCGGCCAAGCGAACGCTGCCAAGCAACCTCTCTCTTCGATCCAGAAAAACCTTGATCAACCCCAGGGAAACCACGCACTGCAGGACTATCAAATGCAAATGATGCTTCTCGAGCAGCAGAACAAGAAACGTCTGCTGATGGCCAGGAAAGAGGAAGATGAGAGCCAGACCAAGGCAAACCCATTTGGTAGCGTTGATAGGAGCATTGCTCCTGGAGGTTTCGGTGCGGCCTCGTCAGCTGGACCTTTCGGTAATACCAACACCAGTGCTCCCTTCGGTGCAAATACCACCGCTGAACCCTTCGGAGCCCCCTCAGTTGATGGACCTCCCTCATTCGATAACCTCGGCTTGGGATTCGACGAACCGATGGCTCTGGAGAACTTTGATTTCGACTCCTTTCTTAACGTAGGCGACGAAGGGAATACCTTTGATGATACCTGCTCATTTAGTTTCGCTGACGGGGTTTCCATTCCACCTCCCGCAAACGCTGCGGTGGAGAAAAGCACCATCCCACCTCCCAAAACCGACGACGAAACTCTCGCCCTTCTGATCTCACTCCAAACCTTCGAAGGAGCGTGGCAATACGGCCCGTCTTTTTTCCTCGCGCTCAAACGTACGGAAGCTACTGTCGATGATGCCAGGACTGTCTTCAACGACGTCTCTCTAGCTACAGCCGGGAACCAAGGGGAGAAGGTGGACGTCAGTAAGGCAGAGTGGGCGACTGCGCTGGCGATCGTGTACTGCGAACAGGAATTGGCGAGTCTGCAGGGAAGTTGGGAGTTGATCGTGGATAAGGCGAAAGGCTGGCTAGGGGAGAGAGTAGGGCAGGACAGGGTGGAGGAACTACTGCGTAGGGTGGAAAGGTTTTACAGAGAAGAGAATGGTGATGGGTCGAAGGCGAGGTTTGGGAAGTAATAGTAAAGCGGTGCAGTTGGGGAGGGCGATGGGATTGTTCTGCCGCGGGACATAGGTAGTTTTAAGATGTTGTGCTAGAATGGATCCAGTATCGACATCGGGATCGTTTGAGGTTTCCGAGAGCGAATTGCAGGTAGTAAAGTATAGATTTTTGAGCAGCAGCAAAAGTGCAATGACCCAGTGCCCAGGTGTATGATCGTGCACGTGGCCCGGGCCTGGTTCTCAAGAATGCTTTGGCGCCTCAAGCTACGAAGGAGCTCGTATTTCGTATGTCACCACCCTCGCTGGTCGTAAGGTAGCCAATGGCAACCCATTAAATACGAGCTCCTTCGTTCTCTAGGACGACACATTGGCCGCTTAATGAACGCATTGAATCCAGAAAATTCGATGAGTTCGCGATGGGGAGACATTTCCTAAACGAGATTTGAGGTGTTGCTGTGGGCCCGGCAAATAGATGAAGTTCGTAAGCGGGCCCGCGTTTCAAACAGACGCGACAACGTTTTCCGCCATTGGGAAGATTAGAGGTCGCGCTACAGTTCTGTCCGTTGCTTGATCGTCATTGACGTTGGCAAACATACGCGGGTCTTGTTCTGACCGTATATAGTTGCCAAGTAACGGCAGTATGGCGCTCATCATCTTCACGTTTCTTCGCATACGGATAGCTGCTGGTCAACTTCCCAGGTTATCTTCCATTCGTTGTTCGAGTCATTCATTTGCACCATTCTCTCGTTGAACCAGCTACTCTTACCATCAACAAATCGTCAAGATGAAGTCTTTCGCCCTTGCACTTTCCGCTACTGCGCTGGCCAACGCCGCTGCTATCCGTCGCCAGAACGACTACGGCTACCAATTCTCGAACGCACTTTCCACCGGTCCTGTCGCAGACAACTCCTTCATCCGCGAAGCAAACACTACCCTGATCCTGCCTGAGACAAACAGCCCCCAGACCGGTAACCTTGCGCTCTGGCCTGGCATGGGCACCAGCGGAGGCGACCTGATCCAAGGTCTTGCCATCTCGGTGTCTGACGGTAGCGCCGGCTGCGAGAAGTCATCTGGAAAGTGGTGCATTGTCGCCAGCACGCTTGAGGACACCCAGCAGATGGGCAAGTACGTCACTGCTTCGCCGGGCTCGTCCGTAACCTTCCACTGTATGCCTACTCTTCTCTTTTCAAAACTTCAAAATCTAGAGCATCACAATTCCCGACTGACTCATTCACAGACAAATACAACGACGACACCGCAAAGTACGACCAAACCGTATCCCTTGACGGTACCGTTGTCTCTGAAATCTCCACCGACAGCGGAAAGGCCCAGGGCTTTGGTACGGCTGTCGAGTGCCAGCAGGCTGCCTGCGGCACGGTGCCGGCGCACAAGTACGTCGACACGACGCTCATCATGGATGTGGCCGATGCAGACTATGACCAGACTAAGGGTACGACTGGCGCGACTGGCGACATGGTTACTGCGGATGGAGGCAAGACTTGGACTATTGAGACTATCAGCATTGAGTCGCACACCTACACTTAGGATTGTTCGCGAGGATGTTGGATGGGCAATGGATGCCTTGTATATACTTCTTACTACTTCATTTTTATATTTGATAGCTGAGTTCAATGGTCTCCGAGGTCTAAAACAACCCCGCTTTCACGTGAGCCAGGCAATGTCCAAAATCTATTTCGCAGTCACATTGGCTTCCAATTTTCTTGAAGTATTTGAGTGTCTCTGAGTATAGGCCGCCCGTCGTGTCGACCAGCTAGTTGATAGCTGAGGTGAAGCGATTCTGCTATTGCAGCAGGTCGCTTTTGGTGCGGAGTAGTCGTGCGCCACCAAGCAGCAACACGTTGAGCCGAGGCAATGCTCGATCACCAAGTGAACGTCGTCCCCGGCCCAAAGATCTATCGTACTCTACTCGTGCGACTCAGATCAAGTCTTACATGTCTCTTCGTAATTGACTACTCACTCGACAATTTGGCAAACAACCTTACCTCACAACATGCCGCACCAGCCCCTCCGCCCTTCCTCATCAACAACCGGCTTTTTCCAAGCCCTCCCGGTTCTCCGCCCCAATATACATCACCAGAATCATTACATTCAAGAGACGGCGTTAACCGTCAAGCGAATTCCGCCACAGAAGCCTCAGACGACAAGATCCTCAGCCGAATCCTCAACCTCTACCTCCCACCCAACACCACAAAGGTAACGCAGCACGCCCACCGCATCGCCCGGCTATCTCTGCACCCTGATGTCCTAGCCCACGCCACAGACGCAGAAACAAACCACCCCGTCCTCCGCCCTCTGACGACGTTCGGAAGTGAAAACAATACCGATCCCCTCTGGACCACTGCAGGATGGCGCAAGTTGAAAGAGATTGGTTGCAAAGAGGGTATCGTGGCTGTGGCGTATGATACGTCGAACGCAGACTTCAATCGACGCGTGCATCAGTTTGTCAATGTGTATCTTTGGACGCCGACGGGGACGATGACGGGGTGTCCGCAGAGTATGACGGATGGAGCGGCGGCGTTGATGAGGGGGCATTTGGGCGATCTGGATGGGGATCAGCCGGGGAGGGGGGAGGTTTTCGCTGAGGTGTGGAGAAGGCTGACGAGTCGGGATGAGAAGATTGCGTGGACGAGTGGGCAGGTAAGACCTTATCGAGGCTTTGTTGGATAGCATACTAAGGCTATCACCAAACAGTGGATGACTGAAAGAACCGGAGGTAGTGATGTCTCTGGCACGGAAACAGTGGCCACGCGGTTGACGCCCCAGGATATCGAACGAGAACTTGGAGACAATGGAGGAAGTAACGCAGACGCTGTGGGTATGCCGCTAGGCCCATGGAAGATCGACGGTTTCAAATGGTTCAGCAGCGCCACTGATTCAGAGATGAGTGTGCTGCTCGCACGCACTGCTAAAGGTGGCCTCTCGGCGTTCTACATGCCTATGCGTCGACTCGTAGGGAACAGAGACACAAGGAACGACGCTATTTATGGAGATGTGACGCCTTCCACTGAGCTCAACGGCGTCCGCATACAGCGCTTAAAGAATAAGCTTGGTACCAAGTCTCTTCCAACAGCCGAACTCGAGCTCAAAGGTGCTCGCGCCTGGCTCATCGGTACCGAAGGACAAGGCGTAAAAGAAATATCCGCTATCCTGAACATCACCCGTCTACATACTGCAGTGAGCAGTGCAGCAAACTGGGCACGCGGTCTCGCTATCTCCCGTGCCTATAGCAAAGTCCGGAAAGTCCGCGGTGGTCTACTACAGGACAACCCTGCACATCTACGGTGGATGGCAGATGAGACGGTCAAATACTGGGCCAGCACGCACTTTGCCTTCCTGGGTGTCGCATTACAAGGTGCGTTGGAGCAGGGCTGGGAGGCTGCGGTACGTAACACGGGGGCCTCACAGCTCATACCGCAAGACAAGGCACAGACTGCAGATCTGCTACGTCTCTTACTTCCAGTCATGAAGGCCCAGGTCAGCGTCGCATCAGTGCATGGACTGAGAAACTGCATGGAGTGTCTGGGTGGCGTCGGGTATTGCGAAAACAACGAAGATGGCGGACTGATGAACGTGGCCAAAGTTTATCGCGATCAGCTTGTCAATCCCATATGGGAGGGTACTATTAGCGTCATGGCGGAAGACTGTGTGCGGGTTATACTCGATAAGCGACTTGGGGATAGTGACGTGTTGGCGAATGTCTTTGCACCTTGGGTCCGACACGTACTGGAAGTCGTCGGTGCAGAATTGCAAATGGAAGCGGAGTTTATCGAGGAGAGACTCCAACGTTTGCTCGACGTGGCCCGCGGAGCCACAAAGGAAGAATTGCTCTACAATGGAAGAGATGTCCTCAAATCGATTGAGACCATTACGAGCGGCTTGGTCTTGCTATACGACGCAACGACAAGTCCCGACCCTATTGCCTTAAAAGCTGCCCAACGCTACATCCGCTCAAAGTCACCCAACGTTACGACGCAGATCTCAAGGGACGGCTTGGAGGGTGCGGTAGCAGATGACAAGAGCATTTTTCTGGGTTCATCCAACCTACAACCCAGCGTCTCGTCAAAACTATGAATTTCCCTCTTCAACGCCTCATTATCCAACTTTCACAACACCGAGGCCCTCCCACCCACCTACCCCTCATCCTCTCTCTTCACCCTCTTAATCGGCGCAGCCTTCCTCGCCGCCTCCACCGCATACGTCCACCTCCTCGCATTCTCCCCATCCACGAACCGCCTCACATGCCCCGGAACTTCTCCCACCCTATTATACGGCCCGCCCACCGGCTCCTCCAGCCTCTCATACATCGGAATCACGCCCGTCCACACCTCAGCCAGCACATCCTCTCTCCTCCTATCCTTCCTCTCGTCCTCCGGCCCGCCTTCCCTCACCTTCCCGCTCGCGCTCTCGATTCTAAATTTGAGAATCCGCGTAGATGCCATCTCGGCATTGTCGGGCGGCACGCGGGTGTGCTCATAGCGCGCCGGAACGACGGAGTTAGTAACGAGCTGCATAGCCCAGAGTTTCTCGCTCTCGTCGTCGACAACAGTGCCGTGTCCGTGCAGGATAGCAGAGCGGTAGTTGTAGTTGTGCGTGTTAGGCGTTAATGTAAGGACGAAGCCGTCAAGTTTGGTGGCTGCGACGCAGAGCGGGATGCCTGGTGGGGACGCGGCGAGGTTCATGAGGCGGCTGGAGACGTAGCCGTGGAGGTAGCAGTGAGGCTGCTGGTCGCTGGGGTAGTGTCCGATTTGGCCGATCATGGGGAGGACGACTGGGACTGGGATGGATGGGTCTGGGACGAAGGAGACGTGGAGCACGGGGTGGTGTTGACAATGGAGTGGATGGTGGCGACATCGTATGTTGCTGGCGGATGGTGTCAGTCATATGACTAGATGCTTGATCTTGAGCAATGAGCTTGTGTACCTTGATGTTTGTAGCGGTTCACGGTGTTGGATGTCTCTTTGGGGTATGTTTCTGCCATGGTGCTGTTGGTTCAATGGTGTTTATGTCGGACGCACCAGGAGCGACTGCGGTGCATATAAGCATTATGCCGTTGCCGTCTATCTCCGTGCCCATCCATCAAAATGAACAGATGCGCTTCAAAGTGTGGTAACGGTCATGATAGGCGCTTTGGAGTACAGTAGCTGGCGCATGGCTATGCTGAAAAAGGAAAGTACATGCGGTGGTGTTGACTGCATCCTATCAAAGTCTGGCTGAAAATCAGTAAACGCAATGAATGTGAAGACTTTAGGAACGATGTATCCACGTACATTCTGTGAGCTGTGAGATGATCGAAGTATAAAGTTGTCAAGCTGATTGCCGTTGACGTTCGGAGCTACCCCGCGTCATCGTCCAAGGGCTGAGGCCGCTTATCCTGAACCCATCCACAGCCCCATGCCACGCAAGCCAGGACATAGCGCAAATGTCTCTACTGTGCTATTCTCGAAAGGCAAAAGGCAAAAGGCAAAAGACAATCCTCCAGCATATCACAATGTTGCATCGATGCATTCGCAGTAATGCCAGTCGAGCCCGTCTGATCAGGCAAGAGAGCATCGACCGGGCCAACTACCCTGCGGCATACTGCCCTCTTCATGCGACTCTTTGAATTCCGTCTATGATTCGCAACTCACCTTCTACTACCTACCTACTTTGGCCGAGGAGCTGTTCATCCGAACGCCTGTTGGGTGCAGGGGCGAACACCGCTGATTGGCAGGGCCTTGCATTAGCCACCTGCACACAGCCTCGTAACCCCCCATCGGACTGCTCCTTCGTAGAGCAGCACCCTACGAGAACCTTCGTATTAGTACCCTCGAGCGTCCATTACGGGTGCATTGCTCCTACGTGCAACACGAGGCACCTATGGTATTCGATGCACCATGCCGTCGCCTCTGGAGGAGCAATACCCAGAATCCAACCCATTATCAGCACGAGACTCGCGGATTTTATCAGAGCTACATGATGCTTATCGGACCTTCTGCGAGTACGGCTGGCATCACCTCACGTGGAAGAACCTGGCCCATACTCTCGTGACGTACCTAAGCGCATATTTCAGACAAGACGCTGATGGACGGCTGGTGTACTCACGACCCTATACAGAACGTATAAAGTATCTTGCCCACCTTAGTGTCGAGGCCTTGGGATATCTGACGAAAGATGCACTTTGGGTACTCTTCAGACGAACCGGCTTTGGCAGCGAATACAAACTGAACCTGGGTGATCATCGCCCTTTCCAGATCCCGGCATGGCTGTATATCTCATCATTGTCGTACAATGACCTAAGGGTACTCACCGTAGATATCGCGAATATTCTTCGAGAACGCACAACTTCACCGCACGCACGTGCTAATATCCTGAGCTTGACCCCTGACTGGAGGCCCACGTTCGGAGCGGAGTACGGCATCTTTCAATACTTAGAGGTGGATCTATCTCCCGATGACGCTGTTTCACTGGGCGAACTCCAGTTCGATAGGCAAGCAGCTCTCCAACCACTTGGACCATCCCGCAAGAGAAACCTTCTCAGGCGAGCTCTGAGCGTAAGAAATGTATCGAACAAGAACAGGCCGCAATCCACGGAACTGGTCAACGAGACTTTTCAACATCGCAAACGATTTTCGTGGCCTCTTACTGAGAAATATCGCCGGCTTTTCCCACGTCGAAGAAGTGCAGAAACTTCTACAGGCTCAAGTGATGCAACGATACGGCCAGAACCTTCACAAGAGACGCTAGTCGCAACGGATGTATCTCACACAGATTCTATCGGCTCACCATGTTTCAGTGTCACCTTCACTCCTACCACGTTCCAGCGCCGTATCGTGGATGATACCGTTGAAGAAGAGGACGCTTCAGATGCAAAAAGCATCAAGAGTACTAATACCATAGACTCTTTGCTGGACTTTTATACCCAAGGCTTGCAATACCCAACCCCTCAGTGCGGGGAGCCCGGAAAGACTGCCGTTACCACCCCAGAAGTGCCGATCGCCGACTCGCCGACTCTTGTGCCGACTCTCGTGCCCGGCGAACCTGTCTTAATCAGTCTAGATATCTCACTGGAATCTACGTTGAGCAATGAGAGGCCAATGTCTCCGAGTTCGGGGCATCAGTCGTTTGTCACAGCCAATACAGACGCCTCCGACGGGACAACCTCTAGAACCAACAGTCGGTTGACGAAACGCTCCAGTCGAGACAGCTTTCTGTCATTCCAGTCTATGTTCTCTGATTCCGCTGATTTGGCTGTTTCGAGCGCATACTACCAGTTGCTGAAGGAACAGAACCTTCTTCCAGAGCCCACAGTTGAGACCGATTGGTCCGGCCGTGGTCAGCATGCAGAATTCGCCCTCGCAGAGCGGGATCTCGTCCCTCTTCAGGCAGAAAAATTTCTTGGAAGGACGAGGACTGCGATCGTGGAAAGTGTCCGATGCAAGCGCGTTCGATTGGTGAGGAAGACCATCAAATGCACCAAGTGGACCGGGGTCAAGCGGGAAGATGCTTTGAGAGAAGTGCAACACCTCTACAGAGCGCAACACGCCCACATCGTCCGCCTAGTGGGAACTTATGTGATTGGCTCAGATCTGGCGATATTGACATATCCACGTGCCGAGTGGAATCTGGAGCAGTTCATGGCCTTTGCGCGGACCGCCCACGATTCCAGCGCCAGATGCGCTTCTGCGCTTCGCCAGTTCTTCACTTGCACGGCTAAGGTGATGGATTTCTTACATTCGTTTCCCATCAAGCATATGGACATCAAACCGCAGAACCTGCTCGTACGAGACACTGCGACCTCTAGCACTGAAGAGTCGAATCGATACAAACTGTATTTTACCGATTTTGGCATCTCTAGGGCTTATGAGTCCGTCGACGATTGCGACACAGAGTCACCTACGTCTTTCACTCGAGCCTACGCTGCGCGAGAAGTCGTTATTCAGGAAACCAGAGGTCTGTCTGCAGATATGTTCTCCCTAGGCTGTGTATACTCAGAGATGCTCGCAACAGTCCTTGACGCGTCCATCGCCGCTTTTGCGCCGCATGGAGAGGCGATCGGGGTCCATTGGACTGCGCTGCGAGCAACTCGTTATACTTCTGATGATGGAATTCGCCCGTATCACGCCGCAATTGAAGACATACGAGCATGGCTTTACGCATTGCCAATCCAAGAAGAAACGGAACTGTTGGCGGTGCGAGACTGGACTGTTGGTCTGCTGAGTAACGAAGCAAGCACACGACCAACCGCACGCCAGATTGCTGACGATCTTCGCTTGCCTTTCGCATGTCCGAGTTGTAATCTGCGGCGAGGGCCGGAGAGTTTCGAGGCTGCGGAGCCACTTGCTCTCACGCCACGTCAAGTATCCCCACATCGGTGGGAGAGACCCACGAGAACCTTGATGGAAGTGCCGGCGCTTGCATAGAGAAGATTGAATGAATAGTAAGCGTCCAATTTGCAGGGGGTCTTGCGTTATTCGCCGAATGTTTTCTACCATATTGAGACCGGCAGATGTGGATCTTTGGCGGATCATCTGCACCCCGCGTTCCAGATCGATGGAACAAGCACTATAGTTGATTTACTATACATCACATCGAACCTTCGCACAAAGCCCGTCAGTCGAACTTCTGGGTTCGAGAATCGTGGCAACAGATTCTCTCCACGATGCTCGGATTCCTCCTCTTCCTGTCGGTCGCTTCGGCGAAGGTGCATCACTTCTACGTCGGACAAATATCGTCCACTGATATCCATGCTATCGAGCTCGACGATGAGCTCCGCACGCTATATGAAATGGGAATCATTCCCACTACAACTGCCTCGCCTTCTTTAGCCATCGATGTTAGTCCAGTCGACGCTTCGAGAACACGAATATACTAACGCGACGTCAGCATTCAAGGAAATTCCTATTCGCGAGCAGCCCACAAGATGGAAGGTTGACCAGATACGCAATCGCAACCGATTACTCGCTTGTGACCGAAGCCAATACGACGATACCAGCTTCATGTGAGCTGTTTGCTTGTTGACCTGCAACACAACGCTAAAATTAGACCAGGCAACGCAACTGCGTTTAGCACCCTCCATCTCACTCCTAGCAGCCAAGCCCCCTTCTCAATCTACGGCTCCGCCTCCACTGGAAACTGCAGCGTCCTCTTCTCCACGTCCGTATCAGGATTCAAATCCCTACGCTCGAAAGAATTCGCAGGCGACATCCGCTCTCTTGCCTGGAGTCCCAATGGCCGCCACCTGCACGCCCTAGACTCGCACTCCCAATCAGCCGCAACGTCCATCTTCAACTTCTACATCTCCCCCTGACGATAGTCTGAACGCCCAGAATCAGACGGACGTCCTCGCCAATGTCACAAACGCCGAGCAGATGGTGACGCATCCCACAGGGGATCTGGTGTACGTGGTGACGAAAGATACTAATGAGCTTGTGACGATACCGCTGCAGGGCGCTGTGACGCCGGCTTCTCCATCGCGCTTCAAGATCCTGCCTAGCTCGATGGATGCATCGCAGTACACGACGCTATCGCTTACCATATCGTCTTCGAAGACTAGTCTCTGGACGTTGTCCCAGTCTCCAGCACAGGTCGTCGTCACTGTCTTCAGTCTGGATCCGACCACTGGGTCTGTCATCAGCGCCGTAGCGCGCGCGGGTTGGACGGGAGACGGGGCGTTCGTCCCAGCGCAGATTTCGCCTGCGCCGTTCGTTGGGAATGATATCGTTGCTGTTACGAACTCGCCACTTGGCTACACTGCGTTTATTGGATTGGACAGAGGGACAACTGCGATGGGCGAGGCAGGTGATGTGAAGGTCGCAAGCGATGACTTTCTCGAGGACGCTTGGATGTTGAACGTCAAGAGCGATGCGGCTGCTGCGCCGAAGCTGAAGAGCTATGGCAGGATCGCGCTCGCCTCCGATAGCTTGGGTGAGGGTGTGTGGGTTGATTGAAGTGACGTACTTGGTAAACACATATTCGGATTCTCGTTCACATCATGAGCAATTGCATCGAAGTTGACGCATTCGAAATCCAACCTAACCTTCACATTAATTGCCCTTATTATGCGTTCATACTTCTAAGTGTGTTTATCTGGGTCAGAGTCTAAATAGCGGACATGCGTAATTATACCTCACGATCGATCATGAATTGTATATTGAGAAAAATCAAAGAGAACGGCATGGCGAGGTGGAGGGGAGGTGGGGAGGTGCAAATGGCCCATCTATGTAAAGCTGAGTCCTGTCGGAGTCTTTCTATACGTCATTCGTACAGTACATGACTCGCGTACTGACAACCTCCCATTAACATCCCGCACCAGCACAAACGTGCATTGCACCGGTCTGCTGTCAAATCAAGCCCCTTAAGAAAAGAAAGAGAATAGAAAATTCAGGCTACCTCGGACCTGACTCTACATACATCACTTCTACCTCCTCTCGCCACGCTACCAAAGCTAATCCCACCCAACGACTCACTCACTCCATGCGTCTCCCTTCCTCTACCCTACACACACAATGCCCCATACCCTCCCCCAAATCCGCGCCTGCATCTTCGACGTCGACGGCACCCTCATAAATACGGAGGACATCTACACATCCATCTACAACAACATCCTCGCCTCCTACGCCAAACCCCCCTACCCCTGGCGCATAAAAGCCACGCAGCAGAGCCGCGGCACAAGCGTACATCCCTCTCCTCTCTTCAGACTCAAGTCCAGGCTAAGTAACCCAGGGCATACGCCGCCTCCTCTCCTGGGCGCACCTCCCCCTCACAGTCCCGCAATGGCAAGCCCTCGAAAAAGAACACACGCATCTTTTCAAAGACAGTGAAATGCTTCCAGGCGTGGACAAACTGCTTGCTGATCTTGGAAAAAGGACGACAGAGCCGGTGTATCTCAGCCTAGCAAGTTCCGCCGGTCGCTCGAAATTCGGCCTCAAGACGGGGCACATTCCCGCTATCTCCGGAGCTTTTCACGACAGGCGGCTGCACGTCTTCGGCGACGATACCGAGATGGAAGAGGGGAGGAAGAAACCTGCGCCTGATATCTTTGTCCTTGCGCTGCGGCGTGTTAATGAAGCTGCGAGGGAGGAAGGCGAGCGCGAGGTCGACGTCACTGAATGTCTAGTCTTTGAAGATTCCATTGCGGGGGTGGAGGCCGCGAGGAGGGCGGGGATGAGAGTCGTGTGGGTACCGCATGAGGGGCTTGCTGGGGTTTGTAAGGGGAGAGAGGAGGATGTGCTTATGGGGAGGACGGAGGTGGATGGGGAGGTGCCCGCGTATGGAGAGGAAGGAGGGTGTGGGGAGATTGTGCCGGCGGAGGATGGGCGGTTGCTTTCTGGGGATGGGATGGCGGAGATGAGGGCGAGTTTGGAGGCGTTTCCGTATGAGGCTTATGGGATGAGGATTGTTGGGTGAAAAGTGCGGAGGCGAGTGAAAGACGGAGTGGGCTAGGGAGTAATGAGGAGCGGAGCTTGTAAGCAGCCTATATACGGCATCATTGCACTAGTATCGCATTAGTAACGAAGCTCCCGCCCGCGCCATAGTCCATGAAAAGGTTGTCCAGCAGAAGGTAAGAACTCAATCCTGATTGAAAAAAACGAGACAGCTTTCACAGACACCAAGACACTCCACAATGTCCACCGGACTGATTCTCGAATTCTTACATTGTATATCCCACCATGTATCTCTACAAGCAAAGAAAAAAGAAGAAGAAAAAAAAGCCCAGATCCATACCCCAGCCCATCGCTAAATCGTAGCACCTAATAAAAATCCCTATATCAAACCCCCTCCACGCGCCAATACCTGCGCACCATACAGCTCGAAAACCCCTTCGTCCTCGCGAAAAGCCTCAGCCGCCGCTCCACCAACCACACATCCAGCCCCCTGCCACGCCCATTAAAACTGTACTTCCTTGGCAAGCAGACAGGCGCAGCTTACATCAGCACGTCCGCCAGCTCGTCCCTCCACTCGTTCATACCCAGTCTTTGACGCTCATCCCGCACCAAGACTTTGCCAACCCACTTCTTGAAATTGAAGCCCAGCCCTCTGCTCAACGCGCCGAGCCGAAGGACGCTCCGCACGCCGTTCTCCCCTGCGGACACGTAGTCCAGCGGCGCACCCTGCTTGAGGATTTCGCGCTTGAGAATCGCGTTCGGGGCGACGCGCTCGTAGGGTGAGGCCCCGGTGACGAGGATGAGGATGCTCATAGCGAGGGCCCAGACGTCGGCTTCGAAGCTAGGGGTCGACGTGGAGGTTAATTGGTCGGGGGCCATGAAGTCCCACGTTGCGCCGCCCATCGGTTTGTTCGTCTTTTTACTACCATCCACAGGTAACGAGGGCAAGATGGCGGCGGAGAAGTCAGCGAAGACGGCGTGCGGTGTGTGGGTGGAGGGATTGACGGCGAGGAGGATGTTAGAGGGCTTGATGTCGCCGTGGATGCAGGACTTGTCTTGTAGCCAGGCGAGGCCGTCGAGCAGGTTGGTCGCGATGTGCGGGAAGATGTCTGCAAGCATGGCGGCGCGGTCGGTTTCGTCGCGTGTGTTGAGGTCGGTGGCGATGAGGCTGTCGAGCGTGGACGGCATGTACCCCATGATGAGGGCGTCGGTGCGTGTGTCTTGGCCGTAGTAGGGGACGAGGTATCTCTCTGCCGCGGGGAAACGGGAGAGGTAGGAGAGGATGCGGCCTTCTTCGGCGAGGACGCGGTGGGCGGTCTTCTCGTAGGGCACTTTTACGGCGTACGCTGAAGGCATGGGAGGGTAGGATCTCGATATGCTCGACATGCTGGAACCACGGGAGCGGACGGGTGAGAGGGGTGGTGTAAATTCAACGGAGGCATATTTGGGCGAGGACGAGATGGCAAATTCCTGCGACATGGAGGGTGCTGGGCTGGCCAAGTAGACGGTGCTCCAGGCACCAGTGCCGATGACCTTCTGCGCGCCGGCAGCGTTCATGTCGATCTCGTAGTCAGAAAACCATATTGGGAACTGACGTGGCTCGTGGCTACCTGGCTTCTCGATGTCATCTACTGAGTAGCCCGACGACGACGCACCTCGTCGTAGGTTTTCCAGCTCTTCCCTGATACTGGTCGACGACACTGAACTCGACTTCGAGTGACTCCTCTTGGTTGGGGTTGAGGGTGGTGTGTATGTCCTTGCCTGGTTGCGTGACCGCGTGTCGATATCCATGTTGGAGGTTGTTCTCCTTGTTGAAGTAGGGGAGGGTGGTGGTGTTGTACAGGTAATTAGGGGCCCGTGATCAGTGGGTTGTGAAGTTAGCTCAGGCACAGGGAGCAACGTTGGTGATGACGAAGCCTTTTCCCGCATGGAATGCGCGGGTAGGGAAATATAAGGGCGTTGCATGGTTGAGCCCACGGAAGCAGTATGGTCGGTCACCGCGGTGTCCGTGGCGGGGGTGAATGTCTGCATGGGAAATACGAGGCGTGGTGTCGCAGCAGACGCAACACCTCTTTCACAATTGACAGTGCGGGATCCCTCTCTTTTGTGTTCTTCCATGTGACACGCACGCCGTGCGAACCCTGGGAGTGGCAACGTGCGCCTCAAGCAACACGCGTTGGTTCTCGCGACCGAAGATTCGAGCAATACCAACAAAAGCTCACCAAAGACCTAGGCGCTATACGACAATGCTCCAGAGGAATCTGCAGCCCGGATGGAATAAAGTTCGATGTTCGTAGGGTCGTATGACAGCAACGGAACGATGGTCAGAAAGTGACTCTGATCTGATGCCCAGACCAACCCCAGATTTGACAGAAGGCGACCCAAGGAAGTCACCCCGATAGCCGAGCCAGAAAACCCCGAAAGATGCAAAGACGCGCTCGAAACGATTGGGTATACAGCGGATGATAGACGTTAATGGTACACAGGTAGTCGTACAAGGGCAGCCGAACAAGCCTCAATAACGGAGATGCATGGTGGAGGAAAGCGGTCGAGGCGTCTGTGGCGGCGCGAGGGCGCAGGCAGCACCGCGGAAGGTGATGCAGAAGAGGTCGCAGAGCAGTGGCGTAGAAAGCGGTTTTCTGTCGCGTCGACGTCAGCTGGTAATGGAGCAGTGTGTGACCATCTTATGGGCCGGGAACGGCGGGAGAGCCGCTCGCATCGTGCAGATAGCACCAACCCAACCCCAACACGCCTGTGCGATAGGGCAGGCTGCCTTCATCCCGTCACAGCAGGCTCTTGCGGCGACACATGGCCATGTGCCGCGGTGCAGCCGATAGGACGCGGCTCTGGTGGTCGTGCGTCGATGAAAGAGTTCTAGAAGATGGTGTCCCTTGGTTGAGAACGTGGTTCCATGATTGGTCAACGCGAGCCCTACCACCCAAAACGTCCCCTTGACGCATTCCTTGGGACGGTGTTCGGGGACCTGTACGTTCCCCCAGAAAGAATTCCCTTTCTTTGTCTTGTTTGTACCTTTCCGCGGTACGCGCCTGTGGTCCTTGCTGGTCCCTGGTGCTGAAGATTTGGCCTGCGGAAGAGCATGACAGCAGCGCCTTCCCCGCCCTCAACCATGCACCCACGGCCCTGCGAACCAAAAAGTGACAAGTCTCTGCATTCTCCCCCATCAGCAATACCAGCCTTGAAGTTCAACAGATGCCTGACCGCAAGGCTATCGATAGCTTACCACCTCTTATCGAGCGCTAGACGCATCATCTGGGGAACACCAACGTAGACCCCAACTAGCTGCAGTAGCCGCATCCTAGCCCCCCAAGACTAATTGACCCGTGTAGACGTACCCCGTCAGTAGATAGCCCAGATGCCTGTTGACACCCTTGAAACCCTTGCGTAGCAATGTTAGTATTCACTCGAGGACCGCAAAGGGCTTTGGTACACTACTCGATTCCTCTACAGTGACCTATACGTATCGTACTGTACTCCCCATGCAAAGCCCTCTAGCTTTCGCACCTCCACTGTGCCTCTCTTCTCACGCGACACGGCTATAGCGCCGCTGCGCGCTGCAGCCTGCATGGCTGATAAATACAAAAGAAAACCCATTCCAATGGTCCAACAGTCGCTAACGCCAAGTCCCAACGAGACACAAAACCCCAAAAAGAACAAGAAAAGACCAGTCAAAGGATAGAGAGCAAGAAATTATGTTTTACGTCTTCAGCTCCACTGACCCGAGGATTTTTCGAAACACGTCAAGTGAAAACGCCCCTGTTCGTGGTCCCAATGCAAGTCGACCGTTCGTGGAATTAAGTATACTGTATCGATGATATGCACACGCGGATTCCATTACATGTTAGGCTAATATCTCCCCTGAGGAACGGTCATACATTTCGATGATCCGCTCATTCGAAACAGACTGCCGCTCCCCTTCCTCGCGTCAATGGTCATAGCCAGCGCCCCGTTGCCATGGGCTGGAGTTATTCGCTGACCTGTACTGCTGCTGTTCGCTCCTGAGACTAGCCGTTCGCCCGTATCCGTTCGACGCAGGTGGGCTAACGTTGTGGTTGTTGTAGTACAATGGCGGTGCCTGCGAGGGTACAGATCCGTTCGAGCCGTATGGCGACGGTCCAGTTGGGTTGATCGGACTTCGCGGAGGGGCGGGTTGGTAGTGCTCAGTGAAGCCACCTTCCTTATTGGCGAGCTGCCGTTGCTGGTCGGCAGAGCTGATCGACATGGCATCGTCGTCGTCGTCGAGACGGGCGTGCGTTCCCTTGCCCTCGCCACGGGCCGTCGCACCTAATGCGTCCAGCTCAGTGGTAAGCTGAGTCTGTGACTTGATGAAGGACCCGCGGTCGTCACGCATAGGCTGGTAGCGTGTGTCGGGGTTCTTCGTGAAGATGGCAAAGCCAGACGAAACAAGAACCATGAGAAGCAAGACGAGAGCGAACACGGCGTTGTAGATGAAGAAGATGACACCCATAACACCTGTAACGATAGCCTACATATGTTAGCTTTGACAACCATATACAGTGCACTCTTGCTTACCGGCTGTTTGAAGACTTCAGTGAAGACCAAAAAGAAGATGGCACTGAGGAAGTTGACAGCTGCGATGGCGATGTTGAAACCGTTGGTCTTCTTGTCCATGTACGGGCGCAGGACGGACACGCCAATGAGGAGACCAGCCTCGATGATGACGAGAGCGATGGCCTGGGCAGTGCCGCTGCCTTGTGCAAAGCCAATGAACATGGCCTTAACGAGCGTGTACCCGAGAACGGGAATGATGAAGTAGTACATGGTCGCCTTAAACTGGACGTAGAGGAAGCCCCACTTGTTGAGAGCAATAGGGTCCGAGTAGAGGATGTAGGCAGGGTTCTTGTGCATGATAATCGACCGCTGAGCGATGCGGACGACCTTGGACGATGCCCAACCAAGAATCGCGATCATGCTGACGATGGTGAAGACGGCCAGGACGACCTCACCGGCCGAGTCGCGCTTGGTCAGCTCCCAGAAGCCGAGCACCATCATCTGGGGGAAACCGATGAGGATAACACGGAACAAGATTCCCTTGAGAACGGTGCGCCAGCCGTTACGGAAGTCAGTGAACTGGTCGTGCTTCATCTTTCCAGCCTTGACAAGTCCCTCACAGATGAACTTGAAGGCAATGACACCAATCGTAACGAAAATAACAAAGATGACGAAGAAGGTGTAGCCGGTAAAGAAGATGTTGGTGGGTTCGATCTTAGCTTTGAAACCAACTCGTTCGATACCGTGGAGGACGACGTTGGTGGAGTGTTGGGTGTTGGTGGAATCGCTGTTGCTGCGAGCTGCGAGGGCTCCAACGGCGTTATTGATACCGTAGACGGCGCGCTTCGTCATGGGGAGACTGTCGAGGCCGCGCTTCATCTTCTTCTGCACTTCGACGGAGATGTAGGCCAGCTGCCTCAGATAGGTGGTAGGTGTACCGCCAGTAGCACGCTGGTACCAGGTAGCCATCCTCTGCAGGAAGCCTACGCGGATGATGCCCATGCTCCACTGAAAGTTCTGTGTCCATGCAGCAACAATTGGGGGAAGCGGCACGGCGCACATGCCGAGGAAAGCCTGCGCCTGGAAATAGCCAAAGAGTGACATGGCGTTGGCGGCAACGTGGGCGGCGGTGTTGGAGTGTCCCAAACCAGAGGTGATGGCGGATGCTACCAGACCAAATACCGCAATGATGGCGGTGACCCAGGCAACAGCCTTCTGATCCACAGAATGGCCATTGGACAGCTCTGCCTCGACGCAACCAATCTGTTCGCCGGTGGCCTGATCCGTCACCTTGATGCGAACAACGGCGTCGAGATCGGGAATGGTGTAGGCGACACCGGGAATTCTGCTCATAATGTCGGCGGAAATGTCGAGGTTCGACTGAACCTTGATGTTACCGGCGCTCATAGGGCACATGCCCTCAATGTTGTTCTTGGTGTCGCAGGGGTTCAGGTCTTCCTTCATGGCGGAATAGCCGTAGACGAGCAGTTCCATCTCGGCGTTGACCTTGGCCGAGACGGTCGACACGAACTCGATGTCGAAGTCCAGACTCCGATTGCTGGGGGTGAATGCGACATTGAAAAGCGTGGCCGAGATACTCGTGTTGGCCTGGCACGGGTTCAACGACCTGGATTCGATCTTGCGGTTGTCGGCGTGAGCGAAGGGCAGCGCTGCCGCCAGCAGCAGCAGCGCCTTCGAGAGCGCCGGGACCATGGTGTGTATCTTAGGGTGGAGTGCAGCACTGGGACCGGTGGTCTAGTGCTGTGATGCGGATGGCGATGATGTTGTGGAAACGCACTCTGGGTGAGTACGGAGGGGAGCGGGAGCCAAACCAGCGGCGAAGGTGCGGGAGCGAGTGTCGAGGGGTAGGAGAGCGTCGTGAACGAGGCGTTGCAGGCTGGGAGCGCTGTGAACGAGTGGCAGGGTCGTGACGTTATGTGGTAGGGAGCGTGGAGAGGGTGTCGAGAGCTGGAAACCGGGCAGGTGCGCAAGCGGGAGAAGGCGGGCCCGGGGATTGGCGCTAAAGAAGGGGTTTAATGGAAGGCGCAAACGACGGTGGCGGGCTGCGATCGGCCAGTTCCAGCGTTCCTGTTCTCGCACCCAAGAAACAAAGAATTTGCAAATCTCGAACCTGGCGTTGTTGTTGGGAGCCTGAAGAATAAGAGCAGCGGAGGGATCTCGCGAGAGGATCCTGGCGGAATCAGCGCGGACGCCGTTGGAGGCCGTCTCACAATAGGGGGCGAGACGGGCAAAGTCACATGTGGTGCTAAAAGCGTACACGCGGCTCTTTGGAAGGCGCCGCGGCGGGTGCGCTTGCGAATACAGCTGCCAGAGAGACGCAACGGCACGGGTGCTGCAGCAGAGTGCAATTGAAGCTTCTGTCACTGCCGTTCCTCGCCGCGACACATGTAAAAACAGCCGTGAAGCTGTCTCTCTCTCGTTGCGCGCGCAGCTGGTGTTCACGTCCGATTGCTGCATTCGGACGCGCGCTGGAGGGTGGAGCAGGTGCTCCGCCACAATGCAGCACATCCGCTGCCAGGCACAGAGCAGCGGGCAGCCAGGTCCAGCCCGCCAACAGCAGCCAATTTGCTCATTCAGCGCCCAGCCTACCGTCCAGTGTCCCAAAGAGGATGCGCGCCCAGCGCTGAGCTTCACGCCAGCCTATCGCAGCCCTGCCAGCGCTGCACCTGCGAGCCATTGCCGTACGCCGCTCCTCCGAGCGCCTCTTGCGAGCACTCTGTCGCCCGACCTCATCTCAGATGGTGGGAAATACGGCTGGCAGGCCTCGTCCTCGAATTTCATTTCTGCCACAGGCAACACGCTGCGGCGCTCTAGGTTTGTGACGCTGGCACCCGCTACAGCGAGGCGACGAGGCCCAATCAAGCCCAGCATCTGTAACCTGCTTGGCGACATGTACGTCTCATCGACATTGAAGAACCCGCTAGCCTGCTCGTCGCTCATGCGCCGCTTCACCGACACGCGAAGACGTCACCCTGACTGCTCGACGAGTCTTCGTTCACATTGTTTTCTTCAACGGACGGTGGTGATGGTCGGGGCCCGGGCGATGCGAACGCTGATCTTGGCCACGGCAGCACGGTTCAAGGCATACTGAGGGATACGAAACAAACGAAAGAGCCAGCAGCTCCCCACATTCACTTTCGCCTGTGCGCCTGCGTGATGCTCGCCATGGTAAAGAACAGCCGAGAAGCAGAGCATACCGCGTGTCAACACGCCTTGATCGACAAGCCTGCTTCCAGCTTCACTGTTCGTGAGCCTCTCCGTATTCATCTAAACTCGTCAAATCAGTAGCTGTCTCACAGCACCACTGCACGCGGCAAGCGCAGCTATGGAACGTGCGTGCTACGTTCAACCCCGGCCCACAATGCACAGCCTCGAAATCCAATTTTCATTCAGCCTCCAGATCTGCCAACGTCCACCAAGAGACCTGGCCATTCGTTGCCCAGCTGTTGGCATCTTGCGTTGAAGATCTCCATTTCGCTACAAAATTTCCATCGTCTGAACTCCCCACAACAAAACTTCAGCCTCCCGTCGTGGGGAACAGGCGTGCACAGCTACAGATCAGAAGGCGTAAATGATGTTCAGGGACTGCGTATCCCCATCTACGCCAGGCCCGAAGCCCGCGCGTCCGTATGACTACTCGCGTGTGCTCTAGCTACATCGGGCAGTTTTCAACATTCGCGTACTCCATCTTGACTGCGGAGATCAGATTGCGCGTCTGAAACACTAGTTATCGATTGTGGTGTGGGTACCGTATGGTAACAGTAACAGTTCGCACTAGCTCGACGGTTTACTCTATTCGTGTTCCTCCCTGGACATCGGTCCTGACTGATCGCGATGACAGCGGCGGACACCCGGGTGCTCAACAATGCTGATGCTGTATATACTGCCGACATACGTTGCCTGCCTTTGTACACGGGTTTGCTCTGCTAGCCGATACTAGAAGCTCCTCGCTCACACGCACTTCCCTCAATGCTTCGTCAAAACCGCGTCGTAACGCCATGTCGCCGCACATCACCATTGCCCACAGACTAGAATCGTAGCACTCATAATCATCGTCACATTATCATTATGCTAACTCTAGAATCACTTTTCTACACTCGCAATTGCAACGTCTTCCATCCATCCTTACTGAGGGATCAAGACACCTCGGTACCGCATCTTGCCATCGCGCAACGTCCCCATGGCTTCTTCAATACCATCTTCCGTCATGGGGAACTTCATGACGATAGGCTTGATGCCGTGTAGCGCAGCAAACGCCAGCATCTGACGGTGTACAGCGCGAGCGGAGACAGCAACACCCTGAATGGTGTGTCCACCAAGGATGAGCGGGTTCTGAGGAATCGAGAAGTCGCCCTCGCTCACGGTGAGCGGGATAATCGTCGCAGTCGGTGCAAGAGCAGGAAGCACAACGTTCCAGTCCGGCATAACGCTGGTCGTCACAACCAACACATCAATCTTCCTCCCCACATCAATCTCCTTCTTGTCCTTGGTAGCAATGAAGTCATGCGCTCCCAGCTTCGTCGCCTCCTCTTTCTTACTATCCGTCCCGCTCAGAACCACTACATCGCACCCCATCTTACTCGCAAATTGAATGGCCAGATGTCCCAGCCCTCCAACCCCCATGATGCCGACTCGATCGGTGGGCTTGACGCCCGTCGCTCTGAGCGCATTGAACACCGTCGCACCACCGCACATCAGGGGCGCAGCCTCAGCATCGCTCAACGCCTCGGGAAGCTTGAAGAGAAACGCCTCGCGCCAGACACCGTGGCTCGCAAAGCTCCCCTGGTCCGTGTCCGCCATGCCGTACATCTTGCGCTCGGGGCAGTACTGCTCGCGCCCAGACAAGCAATACTCGCAGTGGCCGCAGGAGTCGTGCTCGTAGCCCCAGCCTACGCGGTCGCCTTTCTTGAGGGAGGTTACGCCAGGGCCGGTGGCTTCGACGACGCCGGCGCCTTCGTGGCCGAGGGCCATGTCGGCGTGTTTGTAGTGCTCGTCTGTACCGCAGACGCCCGAGGCGGTGACCTTTACGAGGACATCGTCATTCTTCAGGTCGGGGCGGGTGGTTTGCGCCTTTACTATTTTGCCGGAGTCGGAGCCTTTGAAGACGGTGAAGGAGGGCATTTTGAGGGGTTATCGTTCTCGGTTCTTATAATCAAACGGTGCAATCCGAAGCTATGGTACGGAAAAAAGACTTTTGGGTATCTTGTGAAGAGAAGAAACTGTTGACTGTGACGACAGACAGCAGAGACAAGAGCAACCCTCTTATACCCTCCCGCCGTCTCCTAGTACCCACTCCTTCCCACCGCAACCGCCGCCTCCATGCCCCAACGCGCATGTCCGCCGTTAACGACCCGTTGAAAACTTCCCTTGAAGCTGTTCACAAATACATGGCTATGACGTCGCGTCGTTAGTAATTGTCATGCACCAATCATCGAGTCGGGAGGTTAAATCTCCGCTGCCTCGGCCGCCGCTAGTGTCCGTCTTCTCGAGATCGTGCGAGGCTTTCGAGAGGTCGGGAGGCTGCATGCGCTGCGCTGCTCGACGTATCGTGCTGAGCCTGGCGCAGGCAAGGACTGTGAGTGGCCACTTCGTGTACCAGAACAGGAAGTATGGTGGCTCTTGTTAGAGAGATGGGGCGAGATAAGCACACAGGACACTAGATGCAGCACGCAGATATTTTTGCACACATGCAAAATAAGTGTCTACACTGCACAACAGAGAGTCATGCGGTTGACGCCGAGTAGAATGCGATTGACGCCGAGTAGAGAGCATGTGCATTACATTCAGACTCCGCCAGTGCCATTCTCGTTGGCAGACAGCAAAGCGGCCAACGTCGGCGCAAGCCCTACCCAAGAACTCAAATAGCCCTGCGATTCGCACAGCAAAGCGATCCGAATCGCATCGGAGCTCGTGCGAAGACGTCACTTACTTTCCTCGCCGTTTCTGCACCAGTGTGCTGGTTCTGGTGTTGTCGCCACTAGCTCCCGTCCCGCCTGTGCACTACCTCCTACAATGCATGTGGCTTACAGTACATTGAACAACCTGATGTACACATTGTCCATGTTGCCACGGCTTACATACAGATATCTACGCAGATTGTGCCTATTCGGAGGTGCAGGGGCACGCCGGCCCGTGTGTAGACTTTGAGCTTATCTTTTTGGGAGACGGAGATAAGCTCCTGTATCCCCACCCGCGTAGTTATCACCCGGGTACTCGTGCTGCGTCCTGCAATGTCCGGCGATGAGTGAGCCGATTAGTTTCGTAGTTGTTATTGTTTTTGTGCGTGGAGGAAGGGACGTAGGAAGCGGGGGTAGTGTTTGTCATCATACTGCTGGAAGAGGAAAACGGGTGTGTGAGATTATTCTTGTTCGGTACTTTATACATGACGTGCTGTTAGGCAATGGATGTTCGTGGGAATAGATGTGCTCTGGCTTGACTTGTCGTTGGGTCGTTGAGTGGTGATGCCTGGGCTGGAACTGTGGTACGTGATGAGGCTGCTTGCTAGCACTGAGCGCTGCGCAGTTAATTTCTGCATCACCGTTTTTTTGTGAGGTTGTTCCGCGGCGGAATAATCCATTGTATATCTAAGGACTGTCCGGTTAATATAATATCCACATGTGCGTTCAACTTAACCTTGTTTTTTTCAAGTAAGATTTTTGTGTACGATTTATATCGAGAATGCACCTGAAATTCGAAATAAAACATAACAAGCTGTTTAAACTGATCGGGGGCAAAGACGGTGGCTGCCTGTTGGATATTAACATCTGTAAGGATCCCTGATGTACTTGTGTACGAAAAATAATTAGTTGGCTGATTTACCAAACAAGATACTGTGAATCGTGGGAGAACGGTAAAAGACCTCTCTGAGTTGGTCACAAAGCAATCTGATTCGAACACCAAGGTTACAATCAACTGTAACATGCCTCTGGCACACTACCGGAGATGGGCATCTTGAGCGCTCTTTGGGTTGACGAATTTGAAGGGCCAATGCCCAGGTGGGGTTTGACCTAGGCATCGTCTCTCAACAACAGACCACTAATTTACTACATTCCCTAGAGGTACTGCACGGTGTCCCGCGATCTATTCAGCCTAGAATTCATTAGAATAAAGTTGCGGTGTATGTCCTCAGGCAGCGCAACGCGGGCTGAGCCTTGCGAGGCAGGATGCATGGACTGCGCCACCCGCTCCTGCTTCCCTTCATCAGGTTGCCATATAAACCCACACCAACCGTTGCTATCATCATAAAATACAGCACTACACGACGGAAAAGGCTGAAGTTCCTTATGTCGACATCGAGCGGCGAATCAGTGACGCATGTCTCGCCAGGTCTACTAAACCTACCCCTAATCCTCGTCCGTACAATTTTCGAAGTGGTGAGATACTACCTAGGTAGATATCGCTGACCTAAAGCGACTCACTCAAAGTGTAGGTATACGAAGATGGCTCCTCGAAGAAGTCTCTCTCAGCACTCCGTCTGGCCTCGAGAGTATGCCAACGCGAGTCCGAAAGAATATTGTTCCGGAGCATCACTCTCCGCGATGACACTGAGGCATCGACGCAGATGTCGCAGGCGCTTCTTGGTCGGCTCCAGGATCCCTCTGATGCACTAGCGGACCATATTCGTGAGGTGCAACTCGGTCCGTTCGCTGACGAGGGTTACTTTTTGACTGAGGCTTTGCGATACGACGCGGGAGATGGGACGACAGTGCCGTATTCAACTTGGCTCAAAATACTGCAGAGGATCTTGTATGTGCAGGAGGATAAGGGCACTGAGGTGATTCCGCTTGGTCTGGCGCCGAGGTCACTCAGCTATATTCAGCATCTTGTCCAAGACCCAGAAAGCATAACGTCAGAGAACGACCTCTCAGCTATCGTGATGCACGACGAAGGATACATATCGCCACTTCTTGAGCGTGCATTGAAGAATTTGGCCAATCTACGCTCGCTCACGTGGCGTTCACATCTTCCCTTTCCCCGCGACGCCCTCCGAGCCTTGAAGCAAATGTTACCTTCTGCAAAGATCAACATCGTCTTCCCATGGGAATTAAGATCCATGCCCATAGACCGAACCCTACTCGCCTCGCCTCAAATCTACTCGGTGGACATCTACGTCCACAGGAGCTCGCCCTTCATCCCTCAAGATGCCTATAGCGAATACCGGACCCTGAAAGACTGCCTCGTGCGAGGAAATAGTGTCAAGCGACTGTCCATACATGAGTACAAGAACTTCGATGTGCCGCGCCAATTCCGTTCGCAAGAAGCCCCCCAAAACGGCGGCAGCGCTCTGATCAACTGGACCCGAGTCACCCGCGGCCCGTTGAATTTTGACTGGCAAGACGGCGACCATTTCCCCTCCCTTGAGAGTTTGAAGCTTCCAGAAGACGAGTATCACCTCCCAGCAAAGCACTGTGACATGTGGACGCGCTGTATGGATTGGAGTCACCTCTTGCGCCTTGACGTCTCAGAATCCGCGCCCCAGCACCTTCTAAAAGTCCTCACGGGGCGCGTCCCGCAACTTGAACATCTCCGCTTCGGACAGTGGCTTCCCATTTGCAACGATGCGTCATGGAAGTGGGGAAAGCGGCTCGATATAAAACGCTTCTTAAACTCCATCACCGCCCTAAAAGAGCTAACCTTTTGCTGTTGGGACTGTAGCGACTATCTCTCCCTGTTCCAAGCACAGAGACTATCCCTTCGGCGCGTGAAGATTGAGAATAATAAGTCGTTTGACAGTAAGGAGGAAAGGGAGCTCGCTTTGCGCTTGCTGGAAACCTTTCCTCGCCTCACCGACGCGGAGTTCAAGATTCAAAGTCCCGCGCTGAAAGGGTCTTGGGCTTTGACGCAGGCTTTGACGCCACAGCAGAAGCTGAAATCCATGCTAAAGGGCCGGCCAACGCTGCCGCCGCCTTTACCATGGAGTGGACGAGGCATACCTTGGGTACGTACTGTCAAATTGGTGCTTACGTTTTTGGTGTGGATATTGAGGGCTATGCTGACGCAAATGATTACATTTAGGACCACCCATTGGCGTGATCAGTATGAGAGGGTATACTACCCGAGTGAGGATGGAATTGATTTGAGGGGAATGTAGCCACTCAAGTCTTGAGAGAGAGGCATGTACTTCTGTAAAGCGAGCATTGTAACACTCTTGTTTCTTGTTCCTACTCATAGCACCGCGCAATGCACATTCCTGGCAGTTCAGCCTCTGCGGACCATTCTACTTTGACCAGAAAGAAATTAACCAAAGAATAGACTCATGAAATACGCAGCTAGAAAAAGAACTAGCCTGTTAACGTGGCAACCCCAATTGCCGCAGCAAACATAGAAGCGACGGTAACGAAACTCGAGAATGACAAGGATGCCAGTCCACTGAGCCCATGACCTGATGTACAACCCCCCGCGATTCTCGCACCGAACGTCATGACACAACCTCCGATAACTGCCTGGCTGAACGGAATATGGTATAGTTCCATCTGAGATAGCGGTGTCGACTGGCTCGCGAACGCGAAACTACCAGCGAGCACGCCGACGGCAAATACGACCGACATGGGAGAGTCAGCCGAGCTGAATTTGTCCCGGATTCCGGACGCTCGACTAAAGTATCGACCTAGTTGTTCGTATGCTGTTGATACTCCTACTGGCTTGGAAGTCAGAAGGATGGAGGACAATTGCGCGGCGCCGATTAACAGGCCTCCAGTTACTGTAGGTATTATCGCGTAAGACCTGCCAGGAAGTAGCATAGTGGATGCTGCAATCGTTGCAAGGAGCATCGTCTCGAACGGGAGGACAGAAATCATCGGCGTGACGTTGTACTTCGAAGCGATGGTCTGCTGCGGTGAGTCTGAAGGGTTGCTAGAGCATGAGTCTTTTCCCTTCAAGAGCCACCCAAAGCCAGCGTAGAGCACGCCACCGAGGACCGCCCCAAGCGCTGTTGCGCCACTCGAAGGTATGCGGTGAGAAAGCTGAACGAGAACAGTGCCGGGACATGCACCGGTCAAAGTCATGCCCATCCCAACCATAGCGCCGCCAATGATATTGCCGTCGTAAGAAGAGAACCAGTTTAACGTTGAGTTCGATCGAAGAGACCGTTTCGCGATGCCGAGTCGTTCGAGCGCAAGCATGATAAGACTATATTGGTTACTTCGGTGGTCATGTATAACGGGTTCTGGTGCATACTTACGCACTACTGGCGCTTGCAGTCAAGAAAGTCTCGAGCATGTGAAAGTCCTTCAGGCGCATTTGGTTGATAATGACAGACGGAACCCAGACTCGTGATACAGTCAGAGCCGCTCCAAAAGCGACGCCCGAAACTCCCGACCTTGCGATATCTGACAACATGTCTATGGTAATTTTGGAAACTGGAAGGGAACGGATATGAATGAGATCTTTGGATGAATGGCAATGCAGCAGGATGAAATGAGAGTCTGGTCGGAAGCATGGAATGATTTAGCTACATCTACATACCTTAAAGGTCGCCGACTGATAATTCTGGCCAAGCCTTCCGGTGGAGACAGTGCAAAAGAACGGCGACCGGGACCCTGGGGGCAATGCAAAACGGATCGGCGAGGGAACGGCGACCTACCCCAGACCCACTTTTCCCTCACACCACAGGTTTGCTTGTATGTCCTTCTTGCGCATATAAACCGAGATGAAATGACTGACATATTTAATCAACACAATCAAACTCTACCCACCTTCATACAGTTCAAAACTTTCCAAAACTCAATGCTCGACACCATGACCCAGGAACCACAAGTTCACTCCGTGTTTGAGCCAGTCACCGGAACTTGGCAGTACATAGTCGCAGATCCTAACACCAACGAAGCTGTCATTATCGACCCAGTTCTGGACTACGACAAGTCCTCGGGCACTATTTCGACGCGTTCTGCCGACGAGTTGCTGGACTTGGTCACCAACCATGAATACAAGATCCAACGCATTCTTGAGACTCACGCCCATGCCGATCATCTCACAGCATCAAGGTATTTACAAACTGTGCTGTCTCAGAAACAAACAGCAACCATCCGACCTCTAGTTTGCATTGGAAAACGCATCAAAGACGTCCAGCAGACGATGCAACGCAAGTTCAACATTCCAGAGTCGGAACTAGAGGACGCTTTCGACCACCTCTTCGACGACGACGAAACATTCAACATCGGGGGCTTGACAGCGTCTGTTATACATCTTCCGGGACATACCCCAGACCACATTGGCTACGTCATCGGTTCAAACGTCTTCACCGGCGACAGTATATTCAACCCTGACGTCGGATCTGCTCGTTGCGATTTCCCCGGAGGCTCGGCCGTGCAATTATACAATTCCACGCAGAGACTTCTTCAGCTTCCACCACACTTCAGACTGTATACGGGACACGACTACCCTCCTGACTCTCGAGATCCACACCTAGAGCAAGCCGTGGATGGTGCCGTTCCATACACCACGGTGGAAACGCAGAGGAGAGAAAACAAGCACGTCAAAGCGGGGACCAAACTTGAAGAGTTCGTCAACTGGAGAACGGAACGGGATAGTGGCCTTGCGGAGCCCAAGCTGCTTCGGCAAGCAATGCAGGTGAATGTACGCGGCGGGAGGCTTCCTGCGAAAAGTACGGATGATTTCAAAATCGCCAACGTGCCTCTGCATGTTTTTCAGGTGGCTGGCTGATAATATGCATGTAAACGAACCTCTGCCGTTCTTGGAATGCAAGCCATGGACTGCTGAGCTTGGGAACTACGCCGTGTACGGGAGGAACGAAAGGCTGCAATGAATGTGTGAGGGCTGGACCCCTCTAAATTGTTCATTGGTCAATTAAATAAACTTGATGGATAGAGCATCATGATTACGGAGGATATGGCATGGGTATTATTATAACTTGGCCTATCAACGTCTTTGAAGGAGACTATTCCCGACCGGTCAATGATGGTGAGGTGCGCCTCGATCCGGAACACATGGTCTAACATCGACGAACGGCGACTTCTGATGATAGGTTGTTTGTTGCCATTCGTGCAGATCAATGAAGGATTATTGCTGATAGAGAAAATTGAACGAGTCGAGAGACGGGCCCATGAAATTGAACAGGTCCATTGTTGGTGGCATGTACTGGCTAGTGAGCTCATCAAACCATGGTTCATCTGGAACAGCCAGCGTAGCATTGGAAGCCTGGACTGAAGTATATGGTTGGAGGCCTTGCGAAGGAGAATATGCCAAGAGCTCTCGGGAGTATTGTGCGATCTGGCTTTTCACAACCCCTGCAATGGGCCAGATTCTGCCGATAACATTCAATGCACTGAGCTCGAGCTGGATATGGTCCTTATGCTGAGGTTCTGAGCTGCCGTGGTGTAACATTGCGGCGAGATGTACTGCTGCTGCAAAGGCTATAGAACATGAGAAACAGGGTGTGAGAGTCGTCAACGAATATCGTGATGATATAAGTTTTGACAGCCCATTAGCGTAACGGATGGCTGCAGCTCGGTGAAATCGTTCGTCCGGCGATTCGATACTGACACGGTTGTCATTACCACATACTGTTTTGAATCTAGCCCCGCGTGCCAGACTGGACCTCGGAAAATGCAGACATATGCCTGCTAAATTGATGATCATCAAAGCACACGACATGACCTCGTCGTTACCACCATTGTCGGTTATAGGAGTCCGCTTGTCTTCGGGTAGAGAAAATAAAAATCCGGTTATGGAAGCACTGAGTGCTTGCATTTCTGCGTCTGACAACGCTCCATCTGGTTCTCCCCGTTCGAGAATACTATTCAATATGCGCGTAGCTTCAACCTTGTAAGCGAAGGAAGACCACTTGAAGCCGTCTTCTAGTGACATGCGGAAACCCATTGTGCGCAAGTCTTTGCGCTCGGAGACGTGGCACTCGTCATATTCTTGACAATGTCCTGGAAGTGACAGGCCCTCGAGACAGTTTGTTCGAACATTCTTGCCAGTAATGAGTGAGAGCAGCCCGGTAATTGTGTACAGCTCCCAGTAGGTTCTCCGCCAGCTTTCCTGATGAATAGCACTTTGGCCCTCACCGGAGACATTTGTGCTGAGACCGATACTGGACGCCAGCGTGCAGGCTTCGGTCAACGCTTTATTACCACGATCACGCTCGAAGCGGGCAAACGAGGCTAGAGTAAGCAGTAACAAAGCCTGAACCTTGAAAATATCGTCTGGTACATTTGAATTGAACATTTGATCTGCCGCTTCCTCGCAGAGGCCTTCGAAGCTTCCGGACAGGTGACTAGCCATGAAAGCCATGGCTGTCTTCAAATACACAGGCAACACATTCCGGTCTTCCAGGTACATTCTCCGTGGTAGCACAAACGGGTGCGCCGGATGAATATCGCGGTAGTAGAGGTCGATGAGCCAATCATATTTAAATGCGACCGGCTGGACGGAAGGATTCGATGAAGTTTCTTCGGACCGGGTCTGCTGATCCTCAGATATCGTAAAAACAGTCGGAATGTCTATCGTATTGAAGTCCAGTGTTTTAGAAATGGCATCCATGGTTTCGACTAGTTGCGGGAGCTCATACGAAGGTTCTGCTGCTGATATCCTCTTTCTTTTGTGTCCTTGGTAGCCTCTCCGGGACCTGACAAACGTGCATTGCGTGGCTGTTCTTGCGCATCGCCCACATGTGGGCACTTGAGCATCACATTTGAGATGTTTTGATCGGCATGGCAGGCAAGCAATGGAGTTTGGATTATCTCCACCTCGTACTGACATTGGTGCTGAATGGCGGTTTCCTCGAGGTAGGGTAAGATTCGGATCGTGTATGTCACTAACAATGATTTCGTCGCGATTCGCCTGGAGTGTCGATATGCTGCTACCTCGTATGCCTCAGATCTTCTCGGCGTGCTTGGGGGCCACGTGGAAGCTGCTTTCCTTGGTGCGAGTAAAGGTGTCAAACCTTGCAGAAACACAGTATAGGAGAGGAAGTAAAGAATGCCAAGTTTAGTCGCCACGAATGGAAGCAATTGCTGAGAGTGGTCGCCGAAAGTGGTCGCCGAGAATGGTCGCCGAAACTAGTGGTAGCGTTGGTTAGGTAAGCTTGAGGTTTCTCCTTCCACTTTTCGCCCGGGGCTCCTTCCGATCATCAGCACAATCGACGTTTTGTCATGCTTAACAATGCGCGCATTCTTGTTCACACGTAGAGCAGTGAGATTTCCTGTGAAAGCATGATCATTGCTCGTGCAAATGAAAAGTTCGAAAGCGCACGAAATTGTGTGCTCAGTCATGACAATTTAACTTGTTGATGCAACTTCGAGCATTATAAGACAGTACACGGATGGAATAAGTGATTCATTTGAAATAAGCTTTGAATACCGCGTACTCTTCGCATGACGCGTCGAGTGCCAATTAAGCCAGCGTTGTCTATACTAGTGCACGCTGCTAGTGAGGCGCAAGCATTGGTGCCAGATGCTCTGTGGCTGATAGCAAGTAGTCCTGCCTCGACATCCTCCCTGCTAAAGTTATTGATGAAGCTAATGTGATGCTGCAGCCTCGTCAAATCATTCATCTTCCACGCGTGCTACCGCCTAACCGCAAGCGATATGTTCAGTCAACAGAATGTGATGCTGCAAAGTGCCAAAACTCCTCTTCGAACCTCCACCGAAGAATGACCCAGACTCAGACAGCCCCCTACATGATGTCTCCGGGGCCTAGGAGCACTTTCCTCCAAAGCTCATACTTCTCGTCGAAGACAGCAGGATCGTTCGGAATGTTATCATATTCGATCCAGAGCATCATCCACTGCTGCCCGCACCCCTGGAAAGTGATCGACTTTAGCCCAGTCATAGCGGTCTTGTTCTTGAGAATAGCACTTGACTGCCGGAACATCCGGTTGAAAAGCGGCGAAGCTTCATCAGCTTCTATAACGGTCTTGTTCTTGGGAATAGCACTTGACTGCCAGAACATCCGGTTGAAGAGCGGCGAAGCTCCCATAACGTGATGAGTCCTATTGAAAGGGAACTTGAAGTACACTCGAAGTTTGGGGGAAGGATCCGAGGCCATGATCAGACCGGGATTCTTATCGCAGAGAGTCAGTAGCTCTTGGGCATCGATCAGTTCTCCTAAACGTCCGAAGTTCAAGAGAAGAACGATGAGGCTGTGCGGAGGAGGTGTTTGAGGCGACAAGTCGAAAGTTTTGCGGTAGACTAGGAAGCTATACAAGCGTAGATACACGATGAGATGATCGGTTCTACTGCTGCGGCTGCTGCTGCCGCAAGATGGTGCGCTCGCTGGGGGAACATGAATCAGAGCTTGAGATTCGTTTAGTGGGCGGGAGATCATCAAGTTCTGGAAAACCGGTGAGAATTCATTTCGGATCTGCTTGTTGACGTGCGTCAGGGGCATGGAATGTGATTTGATGACGTGAAGGCGGAAGGTCCGGCGCTGCACGCGTTGAATAGGGTTCTCTTCCAAATCGAAGTGGTAGGTGTCTCCAGGCTTGGCGTAATCTTCCGCGGCGCAGAAGTCGTAGACTCGGTTGCGTAGCTCTGCTGGGAGATCGAGGAACCGAAAGTGGACTGATCGGACACATGCGCTCTCGGCGTCTGTCCGTTCAATATCGTTGGTGTTCACAGGATCGCCACTATGGTCCTCCATCTCCACGTCGTGGTCATCTCCAAGCAAGTTATGGCCAACTTGCTTCAACTGAGCGTTGTTATCTCTACTCAAGATATCATCGGCATCGTCCCCCCACAGTATATTGCTGTCTTCTTCAATGTCATGGAAGCCTCCGCTCATGAAAGCATCGTGATACGCGTCCATGAACGTATCGGCGTCATCTTTATCGAACTGATCATTACCAACGCTAAGAGTAGCAGCTTCTTCTTGGTCGTCCATGGATGTATCGCTATCAGCTGTGTATGGGTAGTCGTTAACTAGAACCCCCTCGTCCATGCGCATCGTGCCGAGGGAGGTGATGATGTTGCTGGTCGCCGTGAATGATTCTTTATCCCCCATTGGATCGTACAATTGAGTATATGGGTGAAGTTTCGCGAAAAAGGTGGTTTTGAAGGGTTCGTGTTGGTGCGTTGAGATAGTCAATGTGGAAGAATCGGGTGCCAGGGAGTTTTATATCTGAGGGCTAAAGAAGCAGTGACCGCCTAGCTACTTGCTCTACACATTATCCAAAGTTTCACGGTTAGATTGCATAGTTAAGCCACAAGTTTGAGGCGCCGACTCACTTTCACTTGTGGGGGCACACGCCAGATAAGCCACATTGTCAATGCACCATCAATGCTGCCACCAAGACTTCGAACACTTCTCACCGTGAGGAACTAACATGAGAGACGGATTACAATCCTGCATATAAGGAAACAACTTCATACAATAATGTGAACTCTTCGTTGATTTAGACGCCTAACCATGCTGCCAAAACGCCGTAGTATGTCCCTCGAAACTTACTCCATCGATCTGCCGAATCTCTTCATTCGTCAATCTCCACCCTAGACTTTGACAATTCTGCTGCGCCTGCTCCAGCTTCCTCACACCCACCACCGGTGTGATACCTTTGCAGAGATTATAGTTCAGCGCGACGCTACTAATGCTCTTATTATGCTTCTCCGCAATCCGGCGAAGCACATCAATAACAGGCTCGATATCTTTCATATCATATGACGAGAAGCGATACTCCTTAGGCGGTGGATTTTCGACCGAATACTTGCCAGTCAGGCGACCTTGCGCAAGGGAGCTGTACGATTGGAAGACAATACCGCGCTCTTTGCAGCCTTGCAGGAGTCCTGATATTTCGGGCTGGCGGCGGAGGACGTTGAACTCACACTGGTTGGTGGCGAGCGGAACGTCGTATTTTGCGAGCTCTTGTTGCATCTTGATCATCTCTTCGAGGGAGTAGTTTGCGACGCCGACGCACCGAGTGAGTCCTCGATCTACGCACTCAGCCATGCCTTTTGCGATCATGGAGTACGTCTGCAGGTGGATGGGGCCGTGTACGAGGTAAATATCCACGTAGTCGAGGCCCATGTTCTTTAGACTCCATTCCAGCTTCTTGACCGGTGATGAAATTGGGTGCAAGAGGTCGGATGTCTGGGGGACGACGAAGAACTTGGTTTGCATGACGAAATCTTCTCTCTTTAGCTTGGAGACAAGCTTCCCGCAGATCTCTTCGCTTTTCCCGCTACCGTAAACCTGTGCTGTATCGATGAAGTTGACGCCGTGCGAGAGGCAGTGTTTCCAGCCTTCGTTGACTGCGTCGTACTCTTCGTCTTTCCAGTGGAAGGTCGATGTGTCGCCCCATGACCAGGCACCAATGCTGATTAGTGGAGCTTGGACATCGCCGTGCTTGCCTTTGTATGTAATGCGTCTATCGGCGGAAGGTATCCAGTCCTCAGGCACTACTGTAGCGAGGCCGTCAAAATCTTTCGGCACAGGGTTTGGCTTTTTTTGAACATGGCCACCGGATACAGCGGACATGCCTGAGGCGAGGCCACTTTGGAGGATCTTTTGCATCTTGATGCTTACTTGCCGTATTTGGAATATAATATCGTGGTTTGAGATGGCATCGTGGGGGGCATAGGACAAAGTTATACTTATGTTCAAAGCTAGGTAATTACGATCAACCTGTATGATGCTACCTTAACTCCACTACATGGATGCTTCTTCCTGCTCGGCATGATTTCCCAATTGGGTTCAGAGTGAGAACAGTAAGGTTTGATGTCTTCGGTAAACGGCTCATTGTGAGCGCATAATGACGTCATCCCATGTCGAATGAAACTTTCCAACCATGTAGATGTAGAAGACACCGTAGATATATCAGAAAGAACGAAACGTCTATACCGGATGTTGAGAATGCTAACGGTCAGAGTACACTGTTGTCTCGGCAGGAGGCTCCGCGGGACGGCATCACTAGATCGAAAAGGCCACCGACAAACCTGTACCTCAACGCAACGATCATGTGGCAACCTCGGTATTTGTTTTACGAAGTAAAGTCGTTCCAAACGCTCACGGACATAGGAAGCCTCATGCCAAGAGCTCCCGTTCGCATGCAGTTCACCTTTCACGCCTCGACCGACCCTCTCACCTCAGTCTCAACAATCGGCCCTTTATAAACCCTCCTCCCATGAGCCACCCAAAATACGCCAGCAAACATCACAACCGCAGACCAGAGCACACAACTCCAGTTCATATTCACCTTATTGACCGGCACGGTCGCTGGCCAGAAGCTGAAGAACATGACCAAGGCGCTCCAAGCAATCGCAACCCCGTTAATCCACGGACCCAGCCTACCCAATCGCCAAGGTCCGAATTCCAGCTTCTCTGGATGCTTCAAGCGTGTGTACAGCATCAGACTGAATGGAAGGAGATAACTGCCGAAGAACCCAGCCACACTTAGCGAAACTATGGCGTTGAAGACAGTCGCACTCCCTATGTTGATGAGCGACAGGAGACAGCTCACAGTGCATGTAATCAAGATGCTGGCAAGCGGGATCTTAAGCGTAGGGTGGACGTGGCTGACGAAACGAGCATTAGGCACTGCGTTATCTCGAGCGAAAGCCCAGAGCTGGCGCGAGGTGGAGGCCACGGTGCCCATAGTGCATAACAAGAACATAGTGACCAGGAGAGCGGATAGTGCTGTGCCGCCAGCGGTGGAGGACGTGCCTTGCGTCAAGATCTCGATGAAGGGATAGCCGGTAGGTGTGTTGAGCGCGGCGTCGATGTCGCCTATGCAGTATAGTATTGCAATGAGCATTGCCAAGCCGGTGAGACCGTTGATGGCGATGGAGCCTGGTTGAATGAGCGTCGCAACTTCAAAACGCCGGGAAGAACTCTCAGACCTAGTAAAGCATTCGGTAGATTAGTCGACGCGTGCTTTATCTCTTCGCACATATGGATTGCGCCATCGGCACCAGTGAAGGCGAATACAGGAGTGATCAATCCGACGAAAAAGGATTGACCCTTGCTTTCGTAACCACCTTCGTTTACGAAAAGAGCCCATACGTCGTGATTCGAGCTTTTCTGTGGCGCCAAAACTGTCAATGTGATCAGGACGACAAAGAAAAGAACGATATGCAGCACCAGGATGGCCTGTTCCGCCCTTGGCAGTAGCTTAGCAAGCCAAGTGTTAACGATAAAACAGACCATGATGACGGCAAAAACGAGTAGCGTGCCCTGCCATCTGGTGGGTGTGTAGCTGGACTTTGAGTTTATGACGAGGCCTTGCAGTGCCGTTGCTGTCAGATAGCTTGCTGAGGCTGTCAAAGCTTGCCATGCAATAACAGATTGCCTGCAGGGCTGTTAGCCAAGACAAATAATAGCTATAAGGATCTTACAGACCATCCTGTTACGTAGCTCAATACGTCTTTGAGTCCGTCTGGTGCAAGCTTGTGCGTCCAATGGTACTGGCCGCCAGCTGTTGGCCACATCGATACCAGCTCACCCATTGTCGCTACTACAGTCGCATACCCAATCCAGCAGAAGACGAAACCGTAGAGCAAGCCAGCCGGTCCACCATCCCTGAGCCCGAAGATGAAAACGCTACAAGATTTGTCAATACTGAGTAGAACATAGAATAGAAAACATACGAGCATAGCCCTTCCCAAGTGATCATGAGAGAGCATGAGAAACCGAGGATGCTGAGGAATGCGAAATTGCGCTGCCAGGCTGTCAGAACCTGGCGGCCGGTGCGGAACTGGAAACGTATACTCTGAGGACACTCTTCTTCCCCACTTTGGCCAATTCCCGCTCATCCACGTCGTCAATGGATCCCATCTCCTCAGATGTATTTTCAGTATCTTCTTTTCGCTTCTCTGCGTATTTGTCTGCCATCGCGGAAACGGCAAGTCAAATGTAGAGCCTTCGCTTGGTTATTCAACGGATGTTATTGGACACTATCCAATCGAAGGGCAAAGAGCTATGACAGCGGAACTAACCTATGGGTCGATGAAAATGTGTGGAATTACTTCGAGGCCATGAAAGGACGACTTCAAAGACGTCGATGTGAACAGGAGCAATCGCGAGGACGAGCGTTCGATCTTGTGCTGCAAGACGGTAAGCACCATATTTGATCTGCATGGCCAATACCTGCATGCAGCCTTGGACTATGCTCTTGGTAAGGCTGTTACATGAGCTAGACCATCTGTACCTCTGCGACGCTGCAGACATAGGCACATGGGGCGTTATCTTTTGCCCCGATGTAGCACTCAGCATGGAAGCAGATAGGCTTGTGCAGCCTATCGCACCAATCGGGCAGAACTCCACCTGCAGCTCAATTTAGCCTGGGTGTCCTGCATGCAGATATCCCTCGCTTGGGCCTATGGCAAGGACACCCTCACCTCAAACTCTACGCCCGAGTAGGCATGATAAACGGTGTATTAGCTTTGATACGGGCTTGTGCGTCAAGAAGAAAGTCAAGTTGATGAGCATGGTTTCCGTACTGTCTTGAAATAAAACGAGGAAACCGACAAAAGCAGATAAAGACCGAAAAGACACCAGTTGAGACAATCGAAACATAAGGACCAAGAGCGAACGTGAAAGGAATATGAAAATCTAGAAAACCATGTAGCAGACCAGTCTAAAGTGTAGGCTAGAGTAAAGAAACGAGGACCGAGCAAGGAAACGGTGTCGGAAAGGACTGAAAGCGATGAAAGGTAAGGAACCAGGATACTGCATGACTTGCTGCGTTCACTTACCAAGCTCTCCAGAGATCGATTCAATTGAAGTTCACATCGAGTAGCAGATGGAAGTTTCATCATCGAATAAAGGCCATCGCGATCGCTATCAAAATTAGCTCATTTTCTTATATCATTTTACGCAATCCAGAACTTACCAGCACTTGCAGCGTTGATCTGACCCGCGCCAACCGAGTAACCTGTCGAAGCCGACGAGCCACCTGTACCCCCAGGCGTCACGGACATTACAACGCCTGCAACCGATGGAGCAATGCCAATGTAGACGGATTTACTTTCGTTCAGCATAGTGTTCAATATTCGATCAATTTGAGCTGCTGCTAGGGAAGGTGTGCTGATGGTGATTGCGGCGGCGAAGATTAATCCTGTTGTGAGCTCCGAGGCGCTGGTAGAGTTAGCCAGTTGGGTCTGGGAAGAGCCAGTGTTCGGTAACACTACCTTCTTGACTCAGCAGAGCTGAGTTCCTGAATGAAGACTATAGGTCGTCCGGGGAAGTACTGCCGTCCCGCTTCAAAGCAAGCTGGAAGATCCCCCGCATCAGGAGTCACGACAAAGACACCGATTTCGGTGCTGGACGGTGTTGCGCGGTAGCGCGTGATGTCCACGTGAGTCAAGCGGTTGCGCTGGATTGAGCCGACAAAGAGAGTCCCTGGATAAGATGAGACAATAAACCAGTCTGTGGGCGGGGTTATTACTCTGACCGCGGCCCAAGACTTGACGGGCCCCTATATTGGCCAGCTTCCAGAAAACATAATCTCCAACGGTGGAAGACATCGCGAAGAATTAAACTAGGACCCCTGGACAAGCAGTGAAACAGTATGGGTAAGACAGTTCCGGAAGGAATGTTGGTGCACAACCTGGATAGACGATGATGGAATCATGGTGAGTCTTCATTTTGTTTTGTATGAACAAGCGATTCAACCTGCAATGGAAGCCTTCGCACAATCTGGAATTGCCAGATGGTGTAGGGTGTTGGGGCCTCATCCCGATTTCCAAGACGTAAAGCCTAACATAGCATAGTGGGGCGAGTCAGCGATTGCGGATTAACCTATTAGCCCACTCAGTTCTCTTGAGCACCTACGACTCGGAGTGTCCGTCCTACGCTCCTGTTGTACAAGTTCGCAATGCTGAACTCAATGAAGCTGACAACGCTATTTACGACTTCATAATCAAGCATGTGATGTTCAGCAATTCAGATTGTGGGGGGACATAAAATGGTCTGAGGTTCGCGGATATTGCAAACCACATCTCTGATAGGCAACGCGAGGTCCACAGCTCGAGCCACTTCTGGGGATCCCTACGCTCTGCTTACCGTAGGTTTTCAGCAAGGCATACCACATTAAGTCCAAAAATAATCAGAGATCGCGCGACGTAAGGTGGAAATGAAAGAATAGAGCGGAGGCTCCAAAGCTGAACGTTGGGTTAAAGCTTGATCCGACTTCATATTTGGCGGTGCGTAGCCGATCTACAGTGTGGTGCTGAATAATCTTCGCAGCATGTTCCCTATTCCGTAATCTTTTAATTGAGTAGAGAGTAGGCCCAATTATTTGTTGATATATTTCGGCAGTAAGAAGTGGCTGAGCAAAGCTGAAGATGTAGATGCACGCGCGGGACGAGCCGCAAAACAGTCGAAGATGAACCCTGATTTGAGATTCGCATGCTTGCAGGCAATTTCCTCGTATGCTTAGGATCCGAAATTGAGGCTTGTGCTACTTCATGTTTACAATGCTCTTTCTGGCTCGTGGTAGGTGTCTACTATCTGGCTCATAGCGAGAGCGCAAGTATAGCCGTACAATCAATCTTATTGCCTCCATCAGCATCGCGACATATACCACTCTTTCAGATATGAAACAAATTCATGGTCTGTGATGTATCGTAATGGCAGGATTATGCGAAGTGAAGTGGAGTGAAAAAAGAAGGCTCAGCTAAGCGCCCGACTCTTCTGTCATCCGTGGCTTGGCCGTTGCGTGGCTAGCGATCAGGCGCAGGCTCGTATTATAGTCGTATACCCCTGATGGCCTGAGGCTGAACCGGATCCGGCGAGGACATAATCCGATAGGCGCCAACGTGGCTGTCTGGACTCTTACCGCGGGAATACCAGTATTTGAGATGCATCGATTCGGTGCTTGAGTCGAAAAGAACTCAAATTCCTAGGGAGCTGTTGAAATATAAGGATGGCTAAGGCGAGGAGAATGTCGATCGCACCTGATGCCCACGCTTTCCTCGCGAGCACAAAGCGAGGATGACGTACCTTCTCACCATACGCCTAGCTATGTGTCAAAGTTTGCTGTGTAAGCTAAAAGGTATTCATGATGAGTCCCATCTGGACTTCGAGAAAGCTCGTAACTTGAGCCCCAGACAAGAGCTCAGCACCGCGATTTTCTATCCAACCAGCTGCTGCAGAATACTGTGGGGGCGCGAGAAGCAACTGCAATTGGTTCGCGAGACCTGAGTACCAATAAATAGGTCTGATCGCCTGCAAGAAGGCTGTACAAACACATGTTGTACGTGGGGCGGAGAGAAAAGAGTGCGAGAAGGCGCGTCAGGCGAGATAGACGCAGCAGGTACACGCTAGCCGCTTAGCGTATGATTTTATCATGCTCGACTTCGGAGAGAAATGAAAATAAAGTTAAATCGTAGCTGTTTGAATATTTGATTTGGCCTTAATGAACGGTCTGAATTCACAAGAAAATGTTTTGCGACGTGTGGCTCTGCAAAGGGCAGCCGCCGATCTGGAGGAAAGCGTATGCTTCCTCAAGGCGAAGAAGAGTCCTCGAACACCCCCTTGCCCGATTATTGAATTCATTGCAGCATGAACTAAGTGAATTGAGGTTCCAAGCTTCTCTTCTTGCCGAACTTCTTGCCGAAGGTCAAGAAATGGCATCTGAGAGCGTACCTCAGTTCAAAGCACACTATCGTATGAAGCAAGTTTTATACAATGCTGCCCATTAAACGAAGTTATAGCCTAGTTTCTTGATCATCTCGTCCGAGACAACAGCGCAGAAAATAACATAAAATAGTGCGCATCGCGTTGTCGATATCAAAGATGGATGGCGGAGCAAAAGTGTGCTGCGTTGTAACTCCCCAACCGCCTACCACCACCAGCCAGGATCATACAAACACCCGAGCACGCGATCGCAAACCCACCTAATCTCAATCCAATCTCTTTCCTATTTCTTCAACAGATCCACATGCTTTCCCCATCAAAAATTTAGCACCCTGAGGTCTCTGCTACAACATGAGGTCGTCGTGACGTCAAAACCAAAGACTCCACTCTTTCATCATCATAACACCGTAGCTCTGCCATCTTAGCACGCGAGCATACAAAAAGCTCTGAACCCCGCTACAATATCAATTTTCACACACAAGTTCAAACGTTACGAGTTCCTCCGTCTACTACCATACCACCATCTTCCCTTTTGATACCCCAAACCGAGCAAATCTACCTACCACACAACATGTCCGCCGAATACAAGAACGCCGACCTAAACCAGCTCGCAGCGCAGGCAGAGCGCGACCTCAACTCTGATGCCGCGAAGAAGGGCCATGCAGCCTCGCTCTCAAGTATGCTCCCCTCTTCTTCTTTCATCCTTCCTTCTTTCCTCTCCGATCTCACGTATTCCGCAAAGACTAACTCCCCCCAGCAACCGAATCCGGCGTCGATGAGTCCGTTACGAACAAGTTCCCTGGCGCAGAAGTAACATACGGCTCTGCCGCCTCTGGCGCGGGCAACAACCGCGACATCCCGCTGAGCGAGGGTGGAGACATCAACCCCAAGACCGGCAAGCTGTACAAGGCGGGTGACTTCGCGCACGGCGGCATCGGCGCGCCGGAGGTCAACGATGAGACGTATGCGAAGACGCACGGTGGTGATGACGCTGTGCGCGGGAACGTGCGGAACTAGATTGTGGACTGGAGAGCTGCAGAGGTTGTGAAGGGAAAAGCAATTTGCCATGGTGAAGTGGCTTAATGACTGCATGACAATGTATGATGAGTATAGGTATTCAGACAGCATCTGAATGGTTAGATACCGATATTACGGACTTGGCCTGATTCAAGGTCTTACGCATCGTCTTATGAAAACAAATCAACATCACCCCATGTCACACGCTTACACCACTCACTCACTCAACACCCAATCTTATACAATATGCAATGCACCATTACCCCACACGGTATCTTATCTCATCTGTCTCAAAAGGGAAGAAAAAAAAGTGACGACCCTTCCTCGGGCTGGCTCCAACGCATGTATACAATCCATCCAACCTTCATGTCACTTTCATAACACTCCGCATAGAATTCTACATGTACGCTTCCCGTAGCCCAAAAACGCCGTCATCGTCATGAGAACCCTTCGTCTTTCCGCTAGAAAATCTCGGAATCGAGACTGCTCCTGTAGCTCTCCAAGCTCTCTGTGTCGGCTGTTTGGCATTAGCTTCATGGGCTCACGGTAAAAGGAGCCGAGAGCGGGGAGAAAACGTACAAGCGACAGGCTTCCTCCTGATGACCGTATCGGAATGTTGCAGCTCGGTCTGGCCGTGCTGCGCGCTAGGGCTCCTGCTGCCCATGGGGCGAGGACCTGTGATCTTGCGCTGCGGGCTTGTGACGCCCAGGTTCTGGTGGCTCGGACGGGGCGACGGAGTGGGGGTGTACTAGACGATGTCAGTGGATTGATCGAGGTATACAAGTCTGGGTACTCACCCGATGACCGGTATCCGTCTCGAGCGAGTAGCGCACCTCTTGAATGGGCGCCAACGGCGTCAGCGTCCCCTGGCCGCCATATTCGTTGGGCGAGCTGTACATCTGCCTCGCCTGTCCATGGCCCGCAAGTGGCTGCTGGGGAGGGATCAAAGGACCATCATCCAGAATCTTAGGCGGTCGAGGCGGAGCTTGTTGCTCGGATGCCGAGTGCTGGCTGTAACCGCCTTCAGATGATATTGGCGACAAATTGCCAGCGTTGTAACTAGCACCGCCACCAGACATGCGGTTGCGTGCTAATGAAGGATTGCTTCCCCATTGATCATAGTCTGGAGACTGGATCGGGTCGAAGATCCGGGCTTGCTGATCCAGCTGGTTGGTGTGGCGCCCAGTAGGACCGTGCTTAGGCTGGGGATGCTGCAGGTTCAACGAGTTGCGATGAGCCTGGTACTTGGGATCCTCCATGCCGTACTGCTCGTCATCCTCTGGAATGAGCGGGGAAGGGGACCGAATAGAATCCCGACCATCTCTGGGCAGGGACGCTGTAGATCGGATTCGGTCATCCTCGTCCAGTTCGTACTGCCCGTCGCCATAAGGAATGTTGACTTGAGAGCCAGATCGCGACGCGCTGGAGTACGGACGCCTTTCCCCTGAGCCGCTATTGCGAGGCAAGCTTTCCGAGTCGCGGTTTGTAGAAGCCGTTGTCTTCGACCACCTTGAGATCTTCGGAATGCCGAAGATGGAAGACGAGTTTGACTTGTGCTTACGCTTCGGCGTATTCTCCTGGCTTTGAGATTCTCGGAACGGCTTGGCTGGTTGCGGAGGCGTGTCGTGCGAGAGGCTGTTGTTCCGACGAGCCTCCTGTGTTGGGGTGGTCATACGTTCAGTGTTCTCGTACTGAGGTTCGTCCTCCAGATACTCCTCGTCATCCTCTTCGTGGACGGTACTTATCCGTTGAGTTTGAGGGACATCATATCCGGAGTGCAAGTCTTGTATGCGACGTGAAGACGATGGGTTCGACAGATAGCCAGACTGGTTCGGCGATGAGGCAGTGTTTGCCCGACCTTCAGGCTCATAGCCGGACTCCGGAGCGCCAGCCTCATGGGCCCTCATGTGCTCATAAGATGTCATGCTGTTTGTACGTTGTTGGTCCAACGTCAGTTGGTGCACCTGCTTCAGACTTTCGACCTCTCCCAGGAGCTGGATAAGCATAGCTTCCATATTCTTGATGTCCTTGTCACCCTTGGAGCCCAAACCCTTGAGCGCCCGCTTGAAGACATTCTTCTTCTTGGTTTCGTAATCCAAGTCGTCAGTGGAGGATCGAGGAGCTCGTGGAGAGCCTGCAGGCTGTGGGCGAGGACCGCCAATGATACGCTGCTCAGCCAGATCCACTCGCTTGTCAGTGTTGTTCATAACCATATTATCCTGAACGCGGATGAACTGTTTGAGCTCTTCAAACGTGTTGCGCATCTCAGCTGCACTGCGCACCAAAGTCACAAGGATCTCAGTATCGCGAGCATTGCGTTGTGCATCACGAACAGTCAAATGATCCATCAAAGCCACTACATCCTTGGACTCAATCCGGTCAAGCCCACGGCCGGTCGCTGAATCGTAGAGAGGCGAGGCCATTCCATGAGAATTCCCGCTCAAATGACGGGTGTGCTTAGCATCGGCGGCGCTGAAGGGATCTGCGCCATCCAGAGGCGACTCATCGTATTCGTCGAATCCACCGTCCAATGGCCTCTGATTGCGCATATCAGGAGTGTGGGCTCCAGGCTGATGGGCGGATTGGTAACCTTCGTCTTTCCAAAGCGCTGGACTCCGTGAGGGCGTACGCTCACGCGAGTATGAGGGCTTTGCGTGCAATGTGTCTTGCTGATCGAAGTGCAGTTCATAATTGTCGCTCGCCATGCTATCGCGTTGATCATACACCGCAGGACTCGAGTTCCTTGAATGAGTCGCCGCAGCTGCAGCGAGTCCGGCTGCGGCACCAACTGCTGCAGCCTTGCCATAAGATCGTGACGGTGTCCGTTGCTCGCGCTCCTCCTGCCTGCTGAGGAGTTCTTCTGTGCGATCATCGTAGTGGCCTCCACCGGGACCATTGATGATAGATGGGTTCGTGATGACTTCAGATTCGTCGTCCACCCCATAACCGTATTCAGGCTCCATATGTCCCGATGGTAGTGCGCTGTGATTCATCTGGGGCTCATCCTGCAGTGATACAGAGAGGCTATTATGTGGTGAACTTCCTGCTCCTGACTTTGCAGCGAGCGTCTGCGCTTGGTCGCGGATCGCATTCCACCTTTCACGACTGGGGTGTTCTTGCAGCTCGGAGTCTTCTGTGAAGTGCTGATATTCCGGACCTGGGCTCACGCGTGATAACCGGCTCTTGCCCTTCACTGGACTTGCAGTTGATGACTGAATACTGATGCTAGAGGGTTCAAGCAAAGATGCTACTGCCGACTCTACAGCAAGAGGAGTATGGACATATTCTGGGTTCGAGCCGACCTTGCGAATGTCTTGGCTTAAAGACATTCGTTGCTCATCTCCATCGGGGTATAGCCCTGCTTCGCTGTCTTCAGTGTAGCCGGTCATGCGTCGAGAATCGGCGCCAGGCGAACCATGCAGGCTAGCCTCGTAGTCTCTTCGATACTGCTCGTTCTGCTCATGGTTCTTCTCGAAGAAGTCATCAACGTCGCGTGGAGTATCTGGCTCGCCGAGGACTTCCTTGGGTCGTTCAAGGCTAACGCCTTGAGGGCGTTTCCGCGTTCGCGCAGCTTTTGTGCTTGGTGACGATTCGAAAGACTGGATGGAAAGAGTAGATTGCGGCCGGGCACCCTTTCGCCCTACTGAGGACATGGAGGCACCGCTATGCACCGAGCGCAGCTGTCGCGGAGAGCCAGTCTCGACAATTTCATCTCGATAACTCGCCTCGCTCTGGATGGGACTCAAGCCTCGTGTGGGAGTCGCTTCAGCAATCTCATATTGAGGGCTGTGCGTCGCTGCGCGCTCAATTGCGCGAGCCTTAGCTGCTGCTGCCGCTTCCTGCGCGAGCGTTGAAGTTTCTCTTGTCCGAGAGAAATAGCTTCGGTCACTCTTAGCACTTACTGCACCCTGAGAATGGTTGCTGTGAGCCGTGCCCAGGCCGCGCTGGGTCGAATTGGGGGTACGAGTAGGAGTACGCGGAGATGGTGAAGCGAAACCTCGTGCCACTTCCCTAAGTGGAGTTTCCGCACCGGTGTGCCTAGAAGAGCTCGAGTCTGGACGCTCACGAGTCTCGGTCTCCGCCGACAATATCGAGTCGCGGGTCAGCTCGGAGCCTTGCAGTTCGCTCTGCAGGATTGGAAGCGGTGGTACGGATAGTTCCTGAAACGGTGTCTCGAAAATCTCGTCTTCAATGCTTTCCGAAATGCTCGCTGTCCTACTTCGGCTCTTTGATTGCCGTTTTCTCCTTTCCTTGCGTTCCAATTTCTCTTCCTCGCGTGCGGTGTGGCCTTTCAGGGCTGCAGCAGTCAATCCAGATGCAGCAAGCCCGGCCAGGGCAGCGTCGCGAGTCGAGTGACGGCTGCTATCCCTGCTCTTCTTGTGGCGAATCTTCTCTTCGGTACCCTCAGCATAGCTGCGCTCCGAAACCGAACCTCGGCTTGACCGTCGGTGGCGACTCGAGCCTCCAGAAAGAATCGTACCAGGATCGTTTTCGTCCCGGTTGAGAACAACCTTCGGCTTGCTACCGTGTATGTGCGGCGCGCTTGAAGACTTGGACACTCTCCGACGAGAGCTGTCGCGGGACTTTGTCGATTCTACCGTCTCATAAGTGCTGTCGCGGGACATGGTCTCGAACTTTGCGGCGTTCTTCTGCGTGCGCTGCTCCTCTTTCAGGGCAGTTAGTTCGGGTAGGATAAGACGCTTGATGGCATCCTCAACGGTGGCAAGTAGCTTGGGATTGTTGATTGAAGAAGTTCCAGATACACCCGAGCGCATAGACTGCGTGTCGCCGGAGCGACGGTGGACATTAGAAGACAAGAGGCTGGATTCGGTTCCACTGATGCCACTCATCTCCTCCTCGCGACGTGACCTGCTCGGCTTGCGATGTGACTTGCGACTCGGAGTGACCTCTTCTGTGCTGCCTGTCCTATGTTTCGATTTCGAGGTAACGCTTTCGGTGGGTTTCTGCTGCAACTTCTCCATTACGCGGGCAGTTATCCGTTCTTTACTCAAACTTCTGCTACGTTGTCGTGTAGGTGCCTTCAGCGTATCGGAAACCTCCTTTGACTCTAGGACTTCTTCGCGCTCCAGACTGCGGCTGCGCCGACGGCCCGGAGGCTTGATGTAGGGCTCACCTTCCAGCATGCTGTCCGGTGGCATGGAAGATATGTCTGACGCCATTGGAACGAATCGACCGCCGTTACTGGACAGGTCGCTGGCGTTCTGGAGAACCTCGATTTCGACAGGTGGGAGTGAGGAAACGTTGGACCCCTCTGAGTAGGATGCGTCTGTGTTAGTATGGTGTATAACCTCGTCGCGGGGCTTGCTGCCTAACGATACACGCCTGGTATACAGGGGCTTTCGTGTGTTACGGGTGGTCCTGGTGATCTGGACGTGGTCGTTCGCAGTGGCAGGCTTGTTCTTGCGGGAGGATGGTGTGACTCGCACGCGAACGCTGGGGCGCGAGTTGACCTTGCCTTCCGTCTTGCCGCCCTCGAAGTACTCGATGAGCAGCGAGGTTTGCGACGGGTACTTCTTGTGGAAGCCGCCTTCGCGCTTGGTGGTGTTGATAGTGACGGGGGTGCCGTCCTCGGGGATGGAATAAGAGGTCTTGTCGGTGCGCGACGATACGTTGGTGTCCACGTCGTCGGGGAGACTGGTGTCGTTGTCTACGGAGCTGAGAGTCGAAGGTTCAGTAGGTGCTGGGAGAGGTGGTCGTTGGGTGTCCAAGCCCATGATGAGGCCAGGCGGGTCCTAGAAGATGGAGTCGTAGTCGGGCGACATGGGGAATTGATAGTAGCGAACGATATCTGGGTGAGATAGGTGCGCGGGAATCTATGAGGCGCAAAGTCAGGTCAGCGGTCCGCGTACAGTGCGTTAGCCCAGGATGGACTGTACCGGCCGGACGCACACACAGAGGATAGCGATTGTGATGAGGGCGATTAGTACATGGCCGCCGAAGAGGTGGGGTGTGCCGGAGACTGCTGGGACGTCGGTGTGTCCTTGGGCTCGAGGTGCTGGGTGCGCGCCGACAAGTCCAGCGTCGAGCTGGCGGAGCGAGGTGAGCGGCGGGAAATAGAGGGCGCTGCGATACGGCGAGGCAGCAGCGACGGGCAGCAAACGTACCTGCGCCACGGACAGGCACAATGCTCACTGCGCACAACTAGGGCAGTTCGCACGGAATAGCGGCGACCTCGGTGGTGAGGGAGGGATAGCTGGAGCAGCTGGGCAGAGGTGGGCTGCTGTGGAGAGCAAGCAGGCCGGGTCAAGGTCGAAAAGCAACCCTGTCGGGTCGAACGCTACTGTACGAGTAGCGCCGGCAGCCAATTGTCGACCGTCGACGGAGCACTAGAGTACCAAAGTTGGGAGGCTACAAAAGAAAAGTCATGGAGGATGCGATTCGAGATTCGGAGTGTGAAAAGGCGTCTGCGGCCACGTTCCCACTGCATTCCAGCCACCTTTCTCGCGACGCTGTGCCACGCACACGGCTTTTGCACGGCTTCTCCACCTCGTGGCCTCGACCTCACCATGCACCTCCTGCTGGTCCTCTCCATTCCACAGAGGTACATGGACTAAACGCACCCGAGCCAAGTCTCCGCCAGTCAGCCGCCCGCGTCGCGCCCGCTGCCGCAGCTCGAAAAAGAGAGTGGCTGGTGCCGCTGCATCTCCACGCAAACTACTGTTAACCCGCCCGACCACGCCCAACTCCTCCCACGGTATCCCCATCACGCAACGACAAGCACACTGTCTCTCGCACACCGCTATTGTGCCCGATGCCCGCTCAACGTCATGTCTTTCTCGACTTGCCTGGACTTGTTTTAGCTTGCGACGCCGTGCCCGCCGCTTCATCGCCCCGGAAACCGCACGGTCTTGATCCGCCGCCCTGGTCGTTCCCGCCTTCGCCAAGATGATTGGCCGCCCATTTGGAGACTTGCCAGCGCATCGCCCATTCGACCACCTTTGCTCGTCCCTAGGCGTTCGCAGCAGTCGTGACCCGCATGTATGTATTGTCGAATGACTATGCTTATATTGCGGACTTCCGTGAAAGGCGCTGGGGCCGAGACGCGATGAAGTGGCAGTTGGGGGCAATGGCAATTGTCACATTTAACTGGTTACCCGGTCCGAGGCTAGATTTCTTCACCGGTCTTGTGCGACAGTGACGGGTGGAGTGAACCAGCCACAAGCTTGGTATTGCGTTGCGAGCTGCAGAGTCTACAAACAGGGCATCTCGATCCCCCAAATCTCACACATGCTGGTGTGCTTCGACCAATCAATCGACACGAACACGAATTGTTCTAATTTTCCTTATTGCTCCAGACGCCGTAGATGATGCGAGGTCGTGCTCATAGATTAGAATCGTTTGTTAGGCTTCATTGGCCTCCTGCCCTGCTTCGGCTGGCTGCCATACGATCTTCGTCCTTCGACCTTCTTGTCTCTCGCCAGACTTGCGCCGAGTGTGATATCCACCCTTGGAGGCGTTGAGAATCCAAAGGACTTGGCGACCTTGACCAAATCGAGCTTGTGCACGTCGAAAACAGACCGCAGACTGTGTGACGCGTACGAGTGTAGGTACGCCTTGTAACCTTCCTTTGCCGATTTATTCAGGTAATAGTTTTTTCCAATCAGCGCCTCAAGTTGAGATTGGATGTTCAATCTGGGATATCGTCAGCGATGCTCTTTGACTGTAGGCGCAGGATGTAGTCGAGTGATCCTAACTACATCGCCTGATACATTCATTGGGGGACTGGAGGGCTGAAGTAACTCACATCTTGTTGGCCGGCAGCTCAAATTCTACCAGGGGCACACGCGCTTCCTTGAGCAGCTTGAGGAAGCCTACCTCGCTGGGAAGCAGGAACATCAGGGAACGACCCTTTCCATTGCTTCCACGCGCAGTACGTCCGACGCGGTGGATGTAATCTCTCGGGTCATCCGGCGGGTCAAATTGTATGACCCAATCGACCTCGGGGATGTCAAGTCCACGGGCAGCTACGTCGGTACAGATAAGAGTTCCCGACTGTGCGTTACAGAATTCGAAGAACCGATTGGTTCGAGCTTGTTGCTTGAGCTTACCGTGGAGGTCGAGCACAGGCAAATCGATATAGTTCAATACTAGTGATGTTAGCTACCTTCGTGTATGAAAGGTGCTTCGACGTACATTCTGCATAATACTTGACCGCATTGCAAGATGAGAAGAATACGATGATCTTCTTCTTTTGGTGTTTCTTCAGGAACGAGAAGAGAAGTCGGAACCTTGAGTCGCTGTCACAGATGACGTAGCCCTGTTCTAATCCTGCAACCGTACTATGCTCTTCTCTGTAGTCCACGTTGATGTAGAGAGGTCCTGGTTTCAACGAAATACGCGCGAGGTCTTCGACCTTGGTTGTCTGCGTTGCAGAGAAGAGCATCGTCTGTCTGTCTTTCGGCAGACATTTAATGATACTTCTCATCTCGTCTTCGAAACCAACCTCCAAGATCCTGTCGGCCTCGTCGATAATCAAGCTCTTCAGATTCTTGAAGACGAAGCCTTCGGTGCCTCGCAGATGATCCAGTAATCGACCAGGGGTAGCGATCATCAGGTTTACGCCCTTAACCAACTTCGCGGCCTCTGCGGAACGGTTTGCGCCGCCCATGAATATACCATACTAGAACACAATTAGAGTGGCCCATATCATCCTAAAGGATTCAAGCTTACAGTCTGAGAATGGTGTTCCATGAGTTCTCGCGCGACGCCAAAGATCTGAAGAGCCAATTCTCTTGTTGGTGCAACGACGATCGCGCCTGTACCGTTTCGTGGCTTGAACTTCATCGCCGAAAGCATCTCGATAACAGGGATCAAGAAAGCCAAAGTCTTGCCGGATCCAGTCTTCGCAGCACCGAGCACGTCCTTGCCAGCCAGCAGAGGTGGTATAGCGCGGCGCTGGATCTCTGTCATGCTCTCAAAACCCATTCCTTCGATCGCTTTCATGGATCGGTCGCTCAGTTTGAGGTCGGAAAACTTGACGGGGTCGTCGACGGTGGGCATAGAAGTGCTTGCAACAAGGTCTGCATTCGCGCCGGTAGCAGCCTCAACGTGGTCTGCCTCATCGCCGGACTGATCATCGTCTTCGTCTTCAACTTCAGCGACCTTAGCGTCGGCAGCAATCTTCCTCAGTTCCGCATTGAGCTCCTCCTCGTTCTCCTCTTCGGCGTCGCTAGCCACATCCTCAGCGACCTCGGGCTCGGGCGTGTGCTCCTTCTTCGACTTCTTGCGGGGCTTCTGTTGTTCTGCGACGCCGTTGCTGACGGGCTCTGCGATAGTCGATTCCTCGCGCGTCTTGCTCTTGTGCTTCCTCTTACGCTTCTTCGTCTCAATTTCCTGGGCGGAAGACATGGTGAGAGTATCGGCGTGTTGCGACGTGCGAAAGTGCTGGCTGTTACGGGCCAAAAAAAAGTTTCGAGAAGTCGGCAGGTGTGGAGAAGTTCACCGATCCGCCGTAACCGGATGAAGACTAATGTCTTGGCATCCCACGAGTGGCTACTACTTCGCCCAGCCTACGACTCCGTTAATCGCGAATCTGCAACATGCTCTTTTAATCGTGATGTTCTGTCCAAGAGAGATATTCCTTCTTGAGTCTCCTATGTAATCTGAGTCAAGTTCAAGATATCTAGGCTGATCCAATCGTCCCAAGACACTAAACCAGGCCGCATACACGATATCGTAATCATTCAAACAGTATTTCGATCAAGCCCGGATACGCCATTGTCTATCAGGTTTACAGCAGGGAAGCACATCGTTTTGGATCCTTATAGCGCTGGCTCCCATTGTCATAGTTAAGTCCTTCCGGAGCTCCGCTTGTGCCAATAGAATCTTTGCGATCAACACCCTTACGGCAAGACGCAGGATTCGCACTACAGGAATCCAAAGTGACAAACCTATCTCTTGTACACCGGCCCGAACGCGCATCCGAACGTTGTATCCTACCGTCTAGTCAGGACAACACCTTACCATGAAAGGTCCACCCTGCGGGGCAGATTACCAATCCAAGGATTATCTCATTGCACAACACCACTTTACGTGTTTCGATCTAACAGTTCCCTCAAGTATATATAGCAAATACATTCTGTTAGATCATGATACCATACGTAGACTGAACTCCATTCCCTCTCGTTTACATAGTAACATACTAGCAAACAATACCTCACCCATGGCTCCCAAGATCTTCCTGTACATCCCTCTTTCCATAAATCTCATTCCATAATACTAATCCTCCCCAGCACCGGCGCCACAGGCTACATCGGCGGCTCCGTCCTGCACGCCCTCGTGACCGCCCACCCCGAGTACGACATCACCGTGATGCTGCGCAAAACACCCGAAGCTTTCACCTCTACCTACCCCAACGTCAATATTGTCCAAGGCGACTATGACAGCGCGGAAATATTGGCGGAGCAAGCTCGGAGGGCGGATGTTGTTGTTCGTATGTGTTGATCTTGCTTTCCCTCATCTTCGCCATGGGAAGAAGACAACCTCGGCGAATCTACCTTAACAGGAGATATCTCTAGATACGATGGCAAGGACTCTTAAAGGGACGAGGAAGTGCTAAAGCAAGGCATAGACAACGGCGACTCAGACCACGCCCCCTCCTCACCGCCCTCCTCACCGGCCTCACCTCAACCTCCTCCCCAACCCCACCCACCTCCTGCACCTCTCCGGCACAGGCATCCTCTCAGACTGGTCCTCCCCCTCCCGCCTCGGCGTGCTAAACCCCAAAATCTACTCCGACCTCACCGACCTCCAAACAATGGCTTCCCTCCCGGACGACGCCCTCCACCGCAACACAGAGAAGATCCTCTTCCACGCAGCCGCAGAGCACGGCGAGAAGGTAAAGATCGCAATAATGTGTCCGCCGGATATATACGGGCGGGGACTAGGATTGGGAAATACGCAGAGTGTTTTTGTGAGGCTGTACATCGACGATGTGCAGAAGGCGGGAAATCGTCCGTTTTACTATAATGAAGGGACGAACACGCGCTCGTGGGTGCATATTGAGGACCTCGCGAGGCTGTACGTTAGGGTCGTGGAGGCTGCTGTGGGGAAGGACAAGGGGTTCGCGGGCCCGGGGGAATACCCGGGGTACTACTTTGCGGCTACGCAGGAGCACAACCACATCGATGTGTCCCGTGCCATTGGTAACATCCTGAAGAAAGAGGGCGTGATTGAGGATCCTGAGCCTGTAAGGGTAGGGCTGGAGGTGATTGATCAGATGGCGAAGCATCCGCTGTTCCCGATGCTGGCGCGGTACTTGTATGCTTCGAATTCGCGGTCAAGGGCGGAAAGGGCGGAGAAGATGTTTGGATATAAGGCAGCTGCACCAGGACTGCTGGAGGGTTTGGAGACGGATGTTTTGGCTGCGTTGGGTAGGTGAAAGAGAGACGCATGTGCACGATGAGGGGAAAGTGTTCTGTGTCAAGAACGTGGCACGGCTCATCTATGTGAGTCCTATTCCAGGAAACAACATTGCATATTCAGGCAATTTTATTCAGCACTGTGGTCACGTCGCCATTATTACTGCGGTCAAACTCATAAATTTTATTTTCCTCATAAAGAAAGATAGATCAAACGGGAATTTATCGTCCACTCGTGTCCATCCACAGCCGTATCATCCCAACCTCATAGAATTAATACCTCTCTCAAGTCCGCTTTCCGCCTTGCGGGCCTTCCTACACGCAGCGTCCTATCGCATGCGCGCATCTAGACCCTGCAAATCCCTCTCCAGATCATTGCCCTGCCACCCGCCCTGCGCCATGGCCTCATGTGGTCTGGGATCCTCATACCCACTGCGATCATAGTTGTTCGGTATCGGCACGGTGGGCTGCTGCTGTCCCACCCCACCCTGGCCACCAGGCTGCACACGCACCTGCTGACGGAAGCGATTCACCTCGGCCAGAATCATCTTCTTCATCTCAGCAATATCCTCGACGACCTCGAATTGGAAGTCGAAGGTAGTGGGGCAGTTTGGCTCGTCGGAGGCGTCGTGCCAGATGTGCAAGTAGCGGTGCTCAAGGGCTTCTTCGACGCTGATGCGCGACGAGGGGTCGAAGGCGAGCATGCGGTCGAGGAGGTCCAGCGCGTCGGGATTGGCTTGTCGGAAGAGGGATTGGAAGGAGACTTTTTGCATGTAGGGTAGGTTGCGCACGTAGTCCTGGGCGCGGGGCGAGCCGATGCGCGAGAGGGTTTCCTCGTTGGGGGTGCCGAGATAGTGAAGGATTTGGTTCAGCTGGTCGACGTAGTCTCGGCCCTTGAAGAAGGGCTTGCCGCCCAATAGTTCGGCGAGGATGCAGCCTACCGACCAGACATCGACTGCATGTGGTGGTCAGTAATCGAGATGCAGGATTAGTAAGGGAGGTTTGTGTAAGTGTGGCTAGGTGCTTATCCAAATTTACATGTCGCAGACGGCAAATACCAAAAGCACGGGGGAATATCGACATACTGGCTTTGGTATAGCTCTGGAAGCTCAACATGATCTCGGGTGCTCTGTACCACCTGGTGGCCACGTATTCGGTCATGTAACCCGCATTTTCTTCAGGATCCATCGAGAAACCTCTGGCCAGACCAAAATCGCAGATCTTGAGCTCACAGTCGGCATTGACCAGCAAATTACCGGGCTTCAGGTCTCGATGAAGCACGTTTGCCGAGTGAATGTACTTGAGGCCGCAGAGGATCTGGTAGATGAAGGACTGGAAATGGGCGTCGGTGAGCGGCTGGCCAGACCTGATGATGGCGGCCAAATCGCACTCCATGAGCTCTGTACTCGGTCAGCAGTGACCGGTGCGTGCAGTAAGGCTGACCGCACCCTCGTAGAGGTAGCACTCGTTGAAGTTGTCCGGGCGTGGAATGTCCATATCGTAAAGACATGTTATCTGCGGTGTATGTTCAGCGTCTGTATCGAAGTGGGTATTGCGAGACTCGTACGTTGCGGTGCCCTGGCACGTGTTAGCCGACGTTCCAAGGTTGTATGCCCGTGACTGGCACAAAGAAGACTTGCCTCTGAAGTGCTGCAGCAGCTTGATCTCACGCAGGGCGCGCTTGGCGAGGATCTTCTTGCTGAAGACATTGGTGACCTTCTTGATGGCGACGCCTTCGCCCGTCTGGTTGTTGGTAGCCGCGCTGCGACGGGGTTAGCATGCATACGCTGGGACGGCGCGTTGCCGCGTACCAGACTATGCCGTAGGCTCCCTGGCCCAGCTCCTTGGTGACGTTGTACCGCTCATCGACCACGAACTCCTGGTTGAACACCTTGAAGACCTTCCGGCCTGCGAGGTCAGACATTGTGGCTGTTCACGAGGCTGCTGAACGGGTGGGGTGGAAGAGAGGTTCGGCGGCACGGAGAGGCTGCGTAGGACAAAGAAGGAGAGGCTGCAAAAGAAGGCGGATAGGAGGGGCCTGCTGGAGGGGATATAAGGCGCAGAGCTCTAGGCGCGCGGCGAAGGTGATGACTGCAATTGACTGGCGCTCCAGGCGGGACAATGACAGGGCAGGGCGGCTGTCGCAACCGAAAGCAGGGCCGGCAGGATCTGGGCAAATGACAGAGGCAAGGCGGAATGCAGAATGCAGCGGTGGGACAAGCGATTGACGGGATGGGAGCAAGAACAAAAGGCGGTGGTGTTGCTGCCTTTACATGCGCTCTAGAGGGAGGGCCATGGTGGGGTTCGCAGGACAAGCCACTCAGGCTGCGTGCTCGCGCCGCTAATTCGACCAGGAGGACTGACCAGACCGCCTGCCCCGCCGTCCCTTTGGACGTGGGTACACGCGCCCACACAAGCCACGGAACCCCCGAATTCTTATGTTATCTGACCGCGCACGCCGAAGCCCAGCACCGTCGCCGTAGTGGGCATCCCGACCCACCAGCTGATTCAAGCAGCGCAAGCCTGAGGCTAAGCAAGCGCAGTGCGGGACCTTTGTCGTGGGCTTCTTCTTTGTCGCGCGGCAACCGTGGAACCTGCATCTGCATCTGCATCTTGATTTGAAAATTGCCATGCATCTAACTGCACGTGTGGCAGAGTAGTTCGAGACGCAAGGAAATCTATGTACAGAGATAGCCATCTCTCCTATGCAGTGCTTCCCATCAGCTTTCCATCTTTCCATCCTGTTGCCCAATCCCCAAAGTGCGACAGCGCGCAGGTATCTTCCGTGAACGCCACATAACCAGAAACCGCGAAGCTCCTCCGTCATTATCCAGTGCCTATGCCCAAACGCCGACCCAATGCATTACTTTTTGGTCATGATTCGTAAGAAAAGCGCCGTCGCGACGTGTCTGTTGGCCCATCTAGCGGAGAGACAGGAGAGAGAAGCGCATCCTCCGCTTCCAACGAGCTGCCGTCGCGCGGGGTCCGCCGCTGCAATGGCTGAAAGAACGTATCGTTTGCTTCCAAGCTCGCCCCATCTCTGGTGCGCGGCGTCAAAGGTGTTACTGGAGACACGGGTAATCTCCTGTTTACCATGGCGACATCCAACCCGGTCAACGGTGCAGGTCGGTGCCGCGTGTTTTCTTCTAACCCGGGCGATAGAGTGTCTGGAGTCCCACTCGGGTCCACTCCGTTGTACCTTGCTTCGCGAACCATCATCGTCTCTTTTTCTGAAAGCTGCCGTCCGCCGGCTTCATTCGGGGCAGGCGCATCGCCTTCCATTTCGTAGATGGGTCGCTCCGTGTTCTCCGCTTCGACTACCCTTCCAAACGTAGGCGAGTCCCCGTCCTTTCTGTCTGCATCTGCGTGCTTCGAATCCGCTGGTAACTCGGCCTTTGGAAACACGTGCCCTTGTCCGTTTTCTTTCGCAGGCTCCTCCTTTTCGCTTGAAGATTCTTTTGCGGCAGCCGCAGCTTGTTCCGCATACTCTGCCTTGGCCTTCTCGTCCTCTTGCTTTTGTCGTCGTCGACGGAACCATAAGAAGAATGCACCCGCAGCGAGTATCACAACCAGGCCAACGCCCACCGCGATGCCGATGATAGCTCCCGTCGAAAGGCCACTCGATGAAGCATCATTCTCGCCGGTGTACTTGGGTGAGATGATGGGAACAATGTTCTTGTTTTCATCAAGCACCCAATTGCACGCAGATATAGAGAAATTCTGACGCTCCCAATCCACGGTCAGATACGACTCCTGAAGAAAGGTGCGCCCGAGCGTGAATTGGTTGTCCTTCGTAGCACGCCTTATAGGGAAGTAGTTGGTCGCATTGGTCAAGCCTTTGTACGGCGGACTGGCTTGCAAATCAAATGCGTCGTAAGGAAGCGTTATATTGACAGTTGCATTGGTGGAGTACTTTTGGCCGAGCAGGAAGGTAACGGAAGGATTTTCCGCCTTGAGCCTATCGTGTAGCTGGTCGTCGACAAGATACAGGCCTGTGATATTGTCGTAAACCAATCCAAAGGCATCCTCAAAAGCTTCACACACTTCAACAGGCAGCCAGAGCTCGGCAACAGTAGAGTCGATGTACATGGAAAACGGATCGCGGTTGAGGAGGCTGATGTTTGACTTGGTAGCGCTGGTTGCCGATATGTCCACAATGCCCACGACGATATCCCTCTCGTTATCAGGCGCGAAGCTCCAGGTCAGGTCGTTTTCCATGAACCGCGAAGCGTCGTAGCCACCAAGCGTGAGGCTTCCGAGCACGGAAGCTCCGTCTGACAACGTTAGCGCATTACAAGCTTTTGAGATGGGAGTACACACGGTATTGAGCGCCCGCAGTGTAACCGAACGACACGCTCGGTATCCGGTTTTGCTCGAAGAGAAGTGACATGTAGCTCGGCGAAGGATCGGTAAAGTTGGTGAAATTTGTGGGCTTTGGATTCACGCCAAAGTGTCCAAGCCAGAAGTCGCTCGAGATGACAGTGCCCACGGTCGTGTTTGCCAATGTCGGACCCTCCTCTCCCGGCAGTCCCAGACCCACGGTATCCCATCCATACTGTCCATTGCCTGCTAGATCCAGGTTTTTCTCAATCCATAGCTGGTAGAAGCCGTTGTGTTGCCATGACGAGGAAGTGTTTGAGTCGAAGGTCCACCCACGGGAATCGTAGCAATCAGTGTCCTGCTTTGCGGTGGTGGTGTGTGTCGTAGGGTCGGTCTCAGAGTGCATGCAGGCGTATTTGGCCACGGTCCATGTCTGCTGGCTGGCGGTGGAGACGAAGACGTGCACGGGCTGATAGGGCGTCCCGACGCGCAGACTGAAGGTGTTCCAGCTGCCATCAATGCCCTCCCAGTTCTGGTCAGGCGCAACAGACACTGGGGCGGGCAGGCTCTTGTTATCGGCGAGAGATGGCGTGAAGAGCGTCGCGGCGAGGAGGCAGAGCTGGGCGCATCGTCGATATCGCTGGGGAACGGGCATATTGTCGACTGGGCGCCGCGTGCTGGCGACTCAGGTACGGAAGCCACTCAGCCACGGGAGCAATGGCGGGCATCACCACTCCACATTGCGCTCAGACAGAGCTTCAGAAGGAGGAGGAGAGAGGAGAGAGGCACAGGCAAGGACTAGCCAGCCCGCGCGACGCCGAGAGGAGGCCGCGGGTGGTGTTGAGCCAGATTGCGACCGGGATGTTGACGGCAGCCGAGCCTCTAGCTACGGGCCAGGCGGATATTGCTCTCAGGGCTAACGATGGTTATCACGCCGTCTAGACGCGAAGACGATGATATATCCATCTCTGTTGCCGTTCTGGGGGTAGCTGCGATCGCAATGTTTCACGCAGCATGTGTGTCTGTATTGACAACCGTCGTCAGCCGTCTGTTGTGTTGCCCGCGCGGCGAGTCCGGAGCACACAAGGTCTCGCTGACCAGGTCCCACCTCACGCGTTGCCCATGGGGACTTTCACCCGGCAGTTTTCCCGCATAGATGAGACTGTGTATCCGGGTGCAGCGTTGTACACTGCCCATCCGCTACAACCGCCCGCTCGCTTCTAAGGTCGCGTCTCTGTTTACATGTACGCTGAATCTTGGACAGACAATAGCTCGTTGGAAGAGTCCCCGCCTGCTGCGGAGAGCCCAGCGACTGGCGACATGTCGAGCAGCTGGGAATGCCGAGCCTCTTGTGCATCCCTGGCGGCGAACCATGGTTGTCAGCCCTCCACGGCTGGAATGCTATCCGAGCTGCTGCAGGGCCAGGGCCTCAAGGGCTCGAATTTAGGGCCGCGCATCCACATTGCCGGAGTCGTGAGCGTGCTGATGCTGCATCGCACTCCTGCAGGCCGCAACGTGGCCGTCGAATTCGTGTTGTTCGTGCGCGTTCTGAAAAAAAGGGTCCGAGCATGAACTGTTTCTAAGGCGCATGAATCGCAATCTTGGAAACCTCCGCAAAGCATGGTCCACATCGAGGGGGACTGGACCTTGGGTCCGTTGTGGCACCGCCGGCCACGGGCTGTTCGGCGGCTTGTGGCTTGCGGGCGTCTCCGAGCAAGCTCCTGCCCTATTTCGTGCATGCATGCATGGCGAGGTTCAATTTCTGGGCCATGGGCCATGGAGGCGTTTCACGAGCAGGTTAGCATTGCGACAGTCCTCGAGGGAACCAACCACACAGTGGTCCGCTGCATACTACCCGTGACGGCGCAAAACTTGCTGAGAGGGAAGGCTTCAACCAGTCTGTACAACGTCATGTATCTCTGCAGGGAGCAGTGCGAAGCAGCAAGCGCTGTTAACCAAGTTGTTGGTCGTTAGTTGCGGCCAAAGCTCTGCCGATGCAGTGGAAACGCGGCCTCAGGTGACTAGCGGAGTGGGCAATTGCACCCCAGCCCACTCTGTAGAGTTCCCCTTTCGTCCCCATCTCGTTGGGTATGCCTCTCGCTTTCATCACGCTCGTTATTGCGCAGTAAAGGTGCGCATGGTGGTGGTGTCATGTTCGGTGCTCAGTGGCTGATGCTGCCCTGGATCGCGTCGCTCGCGACAGCTGCTGCTTACCGCCCGCGCGGTACTGGTACGTTCCCACCGCAGCCTCCACTCGTATTGCTCCGCCAAGCACCGTATTTACAGACCTCAGGCCAAGCATCGTATTCAAATGCCACAGTCTCGCTTTCTGATGCTTCGTCGACATGGTCTGCGCTCTCTACGCCTTCGTTGGTTCCTTCGGAGAGCACACAGCATACGCCTGCATATTCCTCGGCGGCCCCGTCAACCGCGTCGACGCCTTCATTGAGTGCTTCCTACAGCACAGACGAGCCTTCCTCGGAGACTCCTTCTAAATCACCGTCGAAAGTACCTGAGCCATCACTACTAGTAGTGAATTCTACCCAGCGGTCCCTTCTTGGGTCGCTTTCTACGCCGTCACATCCCGTGTCTGAGCCCTCATCAAGCGAGCTCAACAGCACACAAACATCGCCTTCGAGTCATCCTCCTAATGCTGTTTCCACACCTCGGCCAGGCACATATCGGAACTATCAGTCTCCACCGTATGCCACATATGGATCAGGTGTCGCCATGAGTGGATATGGATTTCCCAAGCCGACTGGATACCAAGCGCCTTACCCTGTTAACGGATCTGGCCTTGCTACCGTAACAAACGTCTCTGGATACCCTTGGCCTACGGGGAGCGCTCGACCTTCCTTTTCCTCCAACAGCACTAGTAAGAGCAGCAATGCAACCCTGAATACACTATGTACAGTCAACGTGCCAAGCGCAAACATAGAATGGTGGTATGGAGCCACCTTCTATTCGGGCGTGGGAACATATACACAGTTCGCACCTAATGGGACCAACTACGTTGGGCAATACCTGACCATGAAACCAAACACCCAAACTGGCCCATTCGATGTTGCAAGCGCGATTGCAAGCGATTCAGCATGGTCCGAACACGTGACCTACGACTCGGAGTATGGTATGACTTGGACAGACTACATCGCTTACTCAGTGACGCCTGCAGCTGCGGCCACTTCTGTAGTCGAACGTGATTACCTGCCTACGTTGCCTTCTGGAAACATCTTCCCAGCAACGGACATATACACATACTTGACGGCTACTAGCACCGCTGCGACCGTTACCATTGATGCTACGTCTACTATGTAAGTCTCTATTGATTCTATACACTTGATCCGACGCTTTGCTTTCGCACGGCATCGACGCAATTGGAAAGCCTGACATGTGTAGGACCTCCGATACACCATTCATCTATGTTACGGCCTACGAAGTAGAAAATAAAGCGAACGGGACTACCACTACCCAAACGATCAATCTGCCACAGCCCATAGCAGCCACATATGTCGTCGACGGCATCGAAAATTCCGCATCAGCCTCCGGCACCGTGCCAGCGGGCTTTCTTCAACAAATCCCGGAATCCACATGCGTCCCTGGATCCGTTCAAGGCTCACTTACAGTCCTCGTCGTGGTGGACTTACTGTACATCTACCTCCCACACGTGAACCCGTTCATCGTCCACATTGAGTCCACCGTGCTGGGCTGGGATGAAAATCCAGTCAGTGTCCTTGTGGCTACGTCGGAAGGTCTGCCGTTCACGATGGGCGACGACCCTGCGACGACGCAAAATGGGGCTTCACCTGGTTCCACTCCTGCGGCTGGTAATGGTGCGTCGGAGAGCCCTAGACCAGGGAAGCTTGTGCCAATTGAAAGCCAGTCTGGTAGAAGTCAGTCGGGAGGAAGTCAATCTGAAGGGAGCCCATCTGGAGAGAGCCCGTCGGGAGGTAGTCAGTCCAGCAGTGGGCAGTCTGGAAGCGGCTCGTCCAACTCAAATCCTGCGACACCTCCTAGGGAGACTGTTGGCACCATCGGGACGAATCCGGTCGTCTTGGGACCTTCATCCGTCGTCATTGTTGGTTCGCAAACCGTCCAACCGGGTGCCCCCGGTGTAACAATAGGCGGAAGTTCAGTGTCGGTCGCTCCCTCCGCAACAGCAATCGTCGTCAACGGCCACACATCTGCTCTTCCTGTCGTAGCTAATCCCGGTTCACCAATCCAGACCATTGGAACAATCGGTGGTACCCCTATCGTAGTAGGTCCGTCTTCGGTCGTTGTTGGAACGGTCGGCAGCAATCCCATCATTGTCGGACCCGCTTCTGCCGTTGTTGTAGGCACGCAAACTCTTGTGCCCGGTGGCGGTGTCGTCATCGTCAACGGCAGCCCAGTGTCGCTTGTGCCTTCAGGAAACGCTCTCGTCATCGGAAGCACAGCAGCGAACGGTGCAATTATAGGGACTCAAACCACTTCCCTCCCGCACGTCATCTTTCCTGCAGGGTCAGCCCAAGCGCAAGCGGGCGCAGCGCCACCTGTGCTAACTATCGGCTCATCTACTCTGACGGCCAACGCTGCGACGCAGTTCTTCATCGCTCCCGGACAGACACTGACCCCGGGTGGAACAGCAACGGTAGGTGGGCAGGTTGTGAGCCTTGACGCCTCTGCTGCCTTCATTGTTGTTGGAGGATCGACGCAAATACTGCCCACCTCGCCTCCTGCGCTGGCAACCTCACGTCCTGAAATCGTTGTCGATGGCACCACCATCACTGCTCTCCCCAACATCAACAACGCTGCGAACGGCGATCGCGGTCCCACCTTCGTCATATCAGGCCAGACCCTCATTCCAGACCACGCAATCAACGTCGCAGGCACCGTAATCTCCCTTCCCCTCTCAGGCTCCTTCGCAGTAATAAACGGCGTGACATCCACCTTCGCAAATGCAGCATCGTCACTCACCGCCGCCGGCGCCGTCATCACTCCTCTCCCCAACCCGGGCCCTTCTTTCAGCATCGATGGCCAACTCCTTACACCAGGCGGTGTCATCACCGACTCCGGAACCACAATCTCCCTCGCTCCCGGCGGCACAGCCCTCATCGTAAACGGCGTCACCACGCCCCTAGCCCCTGGGCAGTCCGCACCTCTCACCATCGGATCGCACACTTACACCGCCCTCCCCAGCAGCGGGCCTAGCTTCATAATAGACGGCCAGATCCTCACACCCGGCGGCGCCATCACTGTCTCGGGAACCACAATCTCCCTCGCTCCCGGCGCCACAGCCCTCATCGTAAACGGCGTCACCACGCCTCTGGCTCTATCCGCCACCCTCACCATCGGACCGCACACCTACACCGCCCTCCCCAACAGACCTGGCTTCCTAATAGACGGCCAAACCCTCACACCAGGCGGCCTCATCACCGTCTCCGGAACTACAATCTCCCTTTCCCCCGGCGCAACCGCCATCGTCGTAAACGGCGTAACTACGCTCCTCACCCCACAAGCTCAACCAACACTTACACACCCGCCCCTCCTCACCGTCGGATCACACACGTACACCGCGCTCCCCGGCGCGGGAACCGCCTTCGTGATAGACGGGCAGACGCTCACGCCCGGCGGCACAATCGTCGTAAACGGCACGACGATCGTTCTCTCCCCCGGCGCGACGCAGCTCGTTTACGGTAGCGCAGGCAAGAGCACAACAGAGGCGCTTTTCCCCGCGACGACCACAACGGCGAGCGCGCGCCAGACTGACGACGGGGAATGGCCTGCGAGTGCGGGCGCGACGCAGCGCGTGGGACAGGCACAGCCCACGGCGAGTAAGCCCGGGAGTGCGTGGTCTACAAATACTAGCTGGATGCTCGGCATGTCTGCGTTGAGTTTCTGGGGTGGGATGTGGTGCGTCTTTTGAGTGAGGGGACGGACAGACGCCACGGTGCGTGTTTTGTCCCGTTCTGTTCTGCGGGATAATGTAATTGTAGTTTTTGCATCTAATGAGTGACGACATTGGCCCTGGCATGGGATGGGAAAACGGGCTTCGGCGTTGTAATGTACGGGTTTTTGGCATGGCATGGCATGGCATTGCCATTGTCGCTTGGGAGGACATCTAGATTTGATGTTGTACATAAGCATAATGGAACATACATTGCTTTATCAATTGTGGCCACGAATTCTCGAGTTCTGACGAGTACACTGGCGCTTGCGATGTCTGTACTGCATGTTTCTGCGATAGTAATCTTGAGCACGCACGCATTCACATGGTGAACGAGGTGTGCCGAAAGTCAATCATGGCCGTGGTCGCCATACAGTATGCTCGCCCTATGGGATTTATCATTATAACAGTACCGAGATATATCATTATGACAATACCGAAATAGCAGCCTCTCAAACACAAAAACGCCAACCGTCCCGTATACCACGCTGTCCATTCCCAGCTAACAATATCAGGGTATCTATATTCAAAAGCATAAACCGGTACACCGTGAACTCCCGCGAACGGCATCCCCACCTTCCAAAACAACGCCTATCCATCCTTAAACTTACCCCACATCGTATTTCCAAACTCACCTTTCCTCGGACGCTGTCTAAAGAACCCCAGCGGCAGAGCTTTCGCCCTTTGCACTCTTACGCTCAGAAGTAGGCTCTTCGCTCCCGGCGACATCCCGAAGCGGCGTCGCAGGAAATCTTTCTGCCGTTGTCCTAGACAAGTCGGTGCGTTCGACGTTGATCAAGCTGCTGGCATCGGGTGTGTCACTCATGGCAATGATACGTTCGGCCGGGTTGTCGGCTCTCTTGTCGCGTCCTGCGCTCCGAAGTGATTGACGTCCGATATTGATTTCATCCCTACGCAAGCAATCAGCTTCGCCTGTCATGTGCCTCGAACTGGGAGACTCACGTAGTATCTTCTTCAGTGAAGTCAACGTCGTCTGTGGTATCATCTCCATCAAGCTCTGTGGTCCTTTCTCTTGCCGCTGAGGCTCTTGGTTTCGGTCGCGAGACTGTAAGATCAGCATAGGGCCATTCATGGATGAACAATGAAGACGGGGACTCGTTCAAACCGAGTACTGGGAGCGGCTGCAAAGAGAATGCGTGGTATTCGAGTGCGGACGATGGCTGAACGCGCACTACGCGTCTAGCTCTAATTGAGATACAGCATAGAAACAGTGCAGAGATGCAGTATTTTGAAACTTGAGAATCGTGCGTGGGTAGTGCAATAGAAATAGTGGCCAAAGTTTCAAATTACGTACCATGCTGCTGACCATTTCGCTTGAGCTTCTTCCTGTTCTTGGATCCGGAGCATTCATCAAGTGCTCGCTTCTTTGATTTATTCTGTGCGCTTTTGCTCTTGTTTTCCAAATGCTCAGACTCCTCCATGATGTTTTCGCATGCTCTTCTTGCGAACATACACTGGATGTCCTCCGCGGAACCTGGCGAATGGTCGTGTACTTCGTAGAACCGTTGAAGCACGGCCTCAATGCCGCCCTTGGTATATGGATCTCGTATATAGGCCACCCCGTATAGAAATTTGCTGAGAGCCAAGGGGTCGAGATCGACGTTCTTCTCGACAAACTTGTTGTAGTCTCCGCCTTTGACAAGGTCCCAATCGTAGGAGAAGACTATAACAATCCATCGGCACAGCGGGGCATCAACAGGGAGATGCTTAAATGCCCTGATTACGGACTTATCGATTTCGGGTAAGTCCTGTTGCTCGAAGATGGTAACCTGAAACTTGAGAAGTGTGACAAACTCCAGCTTGCGGTTGCCAATGGTTCGAGCCATGATGTTCAGATCCACCAGGTAGATGTAATAATCTTGTAAGTCCATGTGATCGGGTTTAGCACGTATTTCCCCAGTCCTGTCCCACCCGTCGTAAATTGACCAAAGGACGTCAGGTTGCTGAAGGGTCAGACCTAGTTGCCTGCCGAGATCCACAACATCACCTCTCCTATTGAATTTGCCGCTCAAAGGGTGTGAAACGGACGGCAGTCGTTCCTTGCTGGTTCCGTCTGCAAGGCTAGGCTGGCGTGAGGGTCGTGTCGATGCGACAGTTGCCTCCGTGGACAGACCCATCGAGTTTCCTCTTGCTACGCCAGTAGATTCAGTAAATCCCAAATTGTTTCCAGCTGTCGGGAAAATCGAACGTGAACGTGGCTGTAAATCGCATCTTTTCCCCAACAGGCGACAATGCTGGCATCTTTTACTAAGATTGATGCCAACTGTTGACGCAGCTCTTTCTATGAAGTCATTTCGAAAGACTTTACAGGTGAAATTGTGAATCTTGCAATGCCCGCAGCGCGTGGCAGGTTGTCGGACCTCCCCGCAACGACCGACTTGTATCGCTCGAGCGTAGGCAAAACGGAATCGTTGTGTTAGGGGAACTTGTTTCCACATCGGAGTGTGGGGTATATCAACATCGAACACTCCGTCCGGAGGGTAGTCGGCCGTGAACGTCGCAAGATCCTGTAGCAGGATTTCTACGTCATCCAGTTTTCTTGGTCCGGTAGTCACGTCGACACTGGGTGCGATTGTTGCCCAGGGGAACTGCTTGCGTATATTAACCTCCAGTGCGTCATCTTTGGTTGTAGCATCTTTATCGAGTTCGAACACTGCAGTTCTTAGACCGCTTGGTTTTTTGACGGGGTACTCCGGAGCGGCTTGCCGTTTGGGAGCTTGGGGAACTGGTGCTTCTTTGACCATGACACCGGGAAAGCGTTCCGCCAGCTCTTTTCGTCGGTCTTCTGTCAGATCGCTTTTATCGATGGTAAATGTGACATTTTGAACGTAAGAAGGAAGGATTTCCGCCCGAACCTCGTCCCAGGGGTTCTAAAGATACAGAGTCAGCATATGATGATAACATTGCCTTAAAGGGCTGTCATGAGACTTTCAAGTGCTTCACAGCTGCAATCTTGCAATATCTCATGTCCGCATGCGCCGCGCATAGGTCGCTCTAGAGAAATTTCTCGCATTGATCCAATGCATGAACCCACTGTGTCATACTGGGTGCTGTACCTGGGGTGGCACACAGCGGGTTGCGGTAGGCTTTATCTTCCACAATGTTTCCTAACTTACCGTCTCATCGGACAAGTCTCCGGATTCTTCATCGATGTGACCCTGCTCGTCCCCCAGATTCGAGTATTCATCCGCTTGTTCGTTTGCGCCGTCGATCCATTCTTTCGAAAGCAGCTTTTTCTGTATCTGTGCGCCAAATCTGGCATAGCGCTCGATGATTTCAGTTCCATGGACATGTTCCAGGAGGAGAGGACGGTCGCCAACAAGAGCGATCAGCTCCACTGAGCATGATCTGTTCATCAATTAGCAGACGTTCAAGATGTCTTTAGTCAAGGTGGTCCAAACAGCTTTTCAGTTCGCTCGGCAGGAGGGAATTCTTCAGGGTCCAAGTCTCTGACGGAATGTAGCAGGTCCCTCTCTGCATCGGAGAGCATAAAATGGTGACTTGGTCGCTCGCCTTCAGCCATGGCTGTCGCATGGGCATAGACGTGTCCAAGATCAATGGCGGCGAAAGGCGTAGACAGGCTCAAGTGAGGGTGTTAGCGAGCTGCACGGTGGGTCTCGCTTCACAGGCGTGGTTGCGGGCCGTTGCGAATAGCGTTTGCCTTAGTGCAGATCGATTACTTCGACAGCGTTCGCCGACATAGTCCAGCTGTTGATTCTCGCGTCTGCCACTGCTAGAACGTGCTGGGACGGAAGAGCGCTTCAGTGCTGTCTGGCGTTAAGAGATGATGCTGGACGCGAGTTCTCGCTTTCTCACTTTCGGCCGCTAGGGATGTGACCACAGCCGCGCCGTAAGTGCCGCGGAGGTGTTTGTGTTGGGAGACGCTGGCCTTGTGTATGGCGTGAGTGATGATTTTGGTGTGGACGAAAGGAACGGTACACACAGGAAGAGGGCTTGCAAGTTTGCTGGAGTGAGAGAGAAGAGCAATCGTCGCAAGCACTGAAGTGTGGGGCGAGAGCGGCGGCACAGCGAGGCGCGACCCAAACAAACGCCCCTTCCCGCTTCTGCGCGACCTTTCTTTCATCACAGCTCGGGTGCGACCCGCCAATCGGTGACACGCATTGAGTCTGTGTCTCAATTACGTCTCTAAAAGCAGCTCTTATATCACCTTTGTAGAGCTGTCGTCGCGTCGGACCGCGATCCATTTGACGTCGTTCTTCGCCTAAATCTTCGCGGAAGTGTACGCGCTTGATAGACTCTACCGCTACACCTATGGACGCCGGGCAGTCTGTTTTGCGCACGTAGCTATTCTCCTTTGACCTCCTATCCCCTTGCGTAATAGTCCAGTTTCCAAGGCACGCTTATATCCACGTCATAAGGCGTGCACACGGCGATGGAAAGTAGTGAAGGGCCAAGCCGAAAAAGCAAGGAGTGAAGAGCGGTATGCACGTCAATCTAATCTTGCGTAGAAGCGTACAAGTCGGCCAATGCCTTGGTATCAGTACCGCACATTAGCTTGCTTGGGTGAAACTAGTTCCCGGATCCGCGGTCTTGCATTTTCGATTTCGCGACGTGCACGATCCCGGGTTTTCTCTCACGCAGATCTCCCAGTACCTCATCGATTCTACTAACGATATCGACAGAGAAGCAAATTATTTACACCGGAGCCTCCACTCCTAGCGAGAAGACCAACATCAAGCCTTCTACCAACCCCATCATCTCACCCAACAATCTTTCAACCACCGCTTAACCGCTGCAGTACCCAGCCTTAGCCGGCTCGCAGCCACCAGCGCAGCCAGTGTACATCTGGCACGGATGAGCAGTATCGTAGCACGCGTTCTTGATCGTCGCGGTATCGCCGTAGTTGCTGTTAATACCAGCCAACTCGCCACCATCTTGGGCATCCACTCCGTCGATGTAGACGTTGCGCTTGCACTGCTTGCTGCAGTTGCCACAAGAGCGGTAGAGCTTGCCGTAGTCCTCGACGTAGAAGTTGAAGATGTTGACGGTACCTGGTGTACTTAGCTTGATGCTTGTTGACTTAGCCATGGGGAGGGAGGGCACTTACCGCAGCCGTTGTGCTGGACGACCTTGTCTGACGCGTGGTACGCACCTCCACCCACGATGTTGGTCTCCTGTCCAGCCACGTCGTTCTTGATAGTGATAGCATCTTCGCACACATCCTCAAACCAGATATACTCGAGGTTGCATGGGCCGTCACAATGGACTCCTTCGGCCTGGTTCTTGCCGATGATGCAATTGCGGAGAGTGGCGCCTGAGCGGAGGAGGAAGACCGCGTCGGAGTCGCCTGTTCGTTTGTCAACCCCGTGGCTATATATATAGGCGGTTGGGAAAGAGATAGTGAGTTGGGCATGGTATAGGAACACTTACCACCCTCAGCCTGTTCATTGCAAGCACCACTGCCACGATCGTACCTCGCCCATCCACAGTCGAAGACCTGACCAGCCTTGACTTCGATGACAGCGCTGTTCGACTTGGTAGACGTAGCCGCGGGCACACCGCCAGTGTAGGCGTTGCAAGCCAAAGCGGCGGGCAGGAGGGCCAAAAGGCCGGCGAGCTGAGCAGTCTTCATTGTTGGTGGTGTTTGGACTTACCGTTGGATGCGAGGTGAGGAATCAGATCTCTGGAGGACTGTCCCAGCCCTTTATACAACATCCTGCCTCTCTATCGTAGTGTCACCGTTTTCACTGCCCTCATCGCCAAGTTTCCACCCCTAGAGCCCACCCCATTCCGCCGTTCACACGCCCAACCCTCAATTCTCCCATTGGCGGAACGGCACCTAGTAGCAAGACCTCGATATTTGTCCTGCCCAAAGCCAAGGCGCTTTCGGTAATTGAATGCCTTTTTGCGGGGGGCTCCACTCTGCCCAGCTGCTATCTGAATAAGACTTATCGCGCTGGCAGATACGAAGACTTGGCTCAAACGTTCACCCCGGCCTAGACATAAACAAGTACCGAAAAAGTAGGCAGACAAGCGCACTATTACCTAGGTAAGGCTTAGTGGCTTGGCTGGATGTGTAACATTGGTGGTGATGGTACACGGAGGACCGAGCTTCAGCTTCCACCACTAGGAGATCCACTCTTAATGAGGGTTCCTAGCAAGGGTGAGGCGTGCCAGAAGAAGCTTGCAAGTACGAGGAACGGTATGCTGCTCTGCTACGGAATATACAAAGCTTGGAAAAGCGCATCGTCCTTTTCTCTGTTTGGTGGCCAGGATCGCAATATTTCTCCGGGAAATGGCGAATAAGCAGATATTGTTCACAGCTGCATTATTACCCCAAGCCGCAGATACAGTCGCAGTCTACCCCGGATTCCCTGAATAGTCGGAATGCACCGAGCCCGTCCCGGTGCTGAATACTAGGCGGACCTGAAATTTGGGCTTGTGCGAGGTATTCAGCGCTGGAGAGTTGCTGGAATTTAAAGCGGAGGCAGATAACGTCCAGGCGCTTATTAAAGAGGTGTAACAGCGTTGTGAGGTGCTGAGAGTATTCTCAGTGCTCCATTTCAGCGGAGGATATCGGCGGGACCGTACGGACTCTATTGCGAGAGAGCCGAAGCAGTGAGAAGAGAGCGATTTGACAGCATCCGAGTTTAGTAAAGCTCAATGGTAGCTGGTGTCCAAGTTCGCAAAACATACTCCGAGAATCCATCTTGTGGCCACTTCGGATGAGCCGTCTTTGATGCATCATCTTGCAATCTCATCTCAGCTTTGCCGAAGCCGATTCGTACATATTTTCCGGGAATGTCTCCCTTCGCAAGAAGTGCTAGGAAGTTAACCGTCTCCGTGTAGGATCCTAGCGTTCCACTGGCATGATTGTAAGTCGAAGTGCAAAGCAGCATATACGTAATCTTGTCATCCGTCGTGTTGTCGGTCATGAAGATATCGCGGCTGTAGATCAGAGACTCTCGTGCTGACAGTGCTCCGCCTTTCCTCTTCCAAGAATCTATGAAGGGTTGCATAATTATCCTTCGAAAGGTGTCTTTCACTGCAGTGTTTTTTTTGATTGACAGTGGTATCGATAGTCTCGAAAATTCTTGCTCTTACCCGAAGGATACCACCTATAAGCTTGGAAACGTAAGGCTGACCTTGCCATGCAATACACCAATCTTTGAGCTCAAGTCGATGCATGATAGACCTGGTCTCCTTGAGTGGAATTATATGTGCAGCTTCAGAGGAGAGCCAGGTCCAGGTAGGCAGTCCCGGAATCCTGGAGCTTTGCGGCCCAGCAACCGTCCACCCCAGGTCATCGGCGATCGTTTTCTTCCAAAGTCCGAGCAACGCTCCATCCTTCCGCATTGCCGTATGGAAACGTATAACTCCGCCAAATGCTGGTAGCCTATCTCCTGGATATGTAAAGTTCATTCTCGGGTACTGCTCGATTATTTTCTGCCAGATCCGATCGCTTGTGATGGTTGTGCTCCCATGCCAGTGAAATCCAACTGAGCTCAGCTCCATCGGCAGAACCTCGTCTTCTGTTATGAGGACATTAACGTCTTCCTGGTCAAATGTTTTCCGGCATTGCCAGAGCATGTGGCGAGTCGCCATGTGTAAGATCCGTCGAGACAGATATGCTTCTTGCAACACCCACCCTCGAGTATGAAGAGGTGGCCGGCATTCCGATTGCGTCCATGATTCATGAGTACGTTTCAGCTTTATTAGGTAAGGGATACGATTCGGACCATTTTTCGGACCAAATGTTGCCCTTCCTTGGATGATATCTAAGTCCCAAGGCTCAAGATCGCATCCTCCTTCGCAATTCTCGGATGATGTGGCGGCGATCGTCAAAAATGAGTTCTCATAGATGGCGGCCATCATGGCAGCTTCATGTTTCCAGTCTTTGCGATCATCCTGGATTATGCACAAACTATCGATCCAGATAAAGTCATGATTAAGATGATGAGTGATCTTGACAGCGTCCCGAAAAGTCTTTGGAAGGCTTTCGAATTTGATTCCGGCTTTGTGCGCCCCTAGATTTGCTTTCCTCGTCTCAAGCGGGCGCGGGCCATCCAATGGGCCCCAACAATGACTCAGCGTAGTGTATTGGGGCTTTGGTTTGGACAAATATCTCGTATCGACCAGTCGCACGTACCCAGAAGTGTCGAACTCATCTAGGCTCAGCAAACGACTAGGATATCCTTTAACGATGATCTGACGCTTCGAGCAGCGCTTATGTGTGCCATGTCTCTCTGACACGCATTCATCAAGCCATTTGTCAACGCTGGCAAATCTAGTTGTCATGTCCATGGTGTGCGAATTCCAATCAGCACGCTCAAGGAAACGTTTCGAGGCCTCTGCATGATGCACTGGTCGCTGTCAACTCAATGATTTCAATCTCTTGTGACTGACTCAACTTTTACACACGCGATCATCCAGTGGGAAGTCTCGTCTATCCAGTGGTTATTACCGAGGGAAAATGATATCGTCAGTCGTATTAAGCCCTTGCCATTCGACCGCCGAGCAAAATGGCATTCGGTAAACAATCTTGCGTCCGGGCGTTCTGCGAGAAGGCTTCCCAGAAAAGCTTTACAGAGTGGGCATGTTGGTACCGAAGTCAGCTCTCGCAGCTGCCGAATCAGCTTCCTGTACGTAGAAACCCCGTCCGCTGAGAACACAAGTTCGCAGCAAAAGTCACACAGCTCGGCCATGCTAAACGATTTTGCAATGTGTGTCAGACACCAAAGCCCTCAAGCATTGCATTCTTAGTGTATAGTTGAGTCCTAAGAGGTAGATGACGTGTTGAGGATCATACAGTCTGCATATGCAGCTGTGGTGGTTGCCTGCTTTACCGAACGGCCACGGTTCGTTGGAGCATGGGTAAGGACTCCCTTCGAGATAATCTAAATTGGCACCGCGAGTAAATAACGAATTTCTAAAGATTTATATGACACAACCAAACGAATATGAATTACTACGACACATGGAGGAACAGACGTTCATCCAGGGAGCCTTTCCCCACAAAACCCACAGCCCCACACACAGCCAATCACAGCGCATGCTAACTTTAGCGTCTCGACCTCCATCGTCACTACCGAGCCTCACGCCTCAAGCGCTATGTTGTTGAACTTCCGCGAACGACATCACGGAGCGCACACCCAAAACGCCCTACAACCTCGTCCCGCAAAGCCGCTACCATTTCCTGCAGCGCCATCTGGACCGAACACACCACTGAAACCCCTGCGCGCCGCAGCACTCCACCCCCTACGCCCTCACAATGTCCTCACAAGCATGGGAACGGGAACAGTACGCCACCCTCCTTCCCTCTCTATACATGTCCTCCACCTCCGCCTGGCTTTCTAAATCCCATGTTTTTGATCTCGTCCTCTCGGACCTTCCCTCCATCTCTAACTTCCCCCCAGACAGAACAACTCACGGCTCGACGAGCTAGCCAGCAAAGTCTCCGCGCTCCGAGGCGTCACTGTCGACATCTACGACAACGCGCGCGACCACACGCTCATCGACAACACATCCGACACCTTCTCGTCCCTCGGTACAACCCTGAAAGGTTCCGCCGGGCGACTGACGCGCATGGCGCAGAGCGGGAATAAGGTTGCGATACTCAAGTTGAGTGGGATTATCATTGGGACTATACTAGTCCTGTACTGGGGTTTCAGACTTGTCTTTTGAGTGGATTAGGAAGATGGTATGCGAAGCGAATCTTGGAAAAGAGGCAGATGCACGGATGAGGGCCTACTTGAGGCGTGCTGAAGCAGAAGGGGGGTCTTCGCGCGGAGGTAGCGGCGGGGAGAGAGAATGGCCCGGCGGCAGAAGGGTTGATGACTGCTCTGGATACTATGTATATCACTACGCTTTGGCGGCGTACGCATACTCGGCGTTATCGTTTGGGCACAGGGACACAAGCGTTCGGCGTCAAGGCGTTTGCAGCTACGCTACACATCATTACTCTCAATTGCACATATTGTTCCCACCTGCACATACGCAATCTTGGAGAGCATACTTGAACATGAAAAATAACTATATTTTGACGAACCGCCACGAATGAATCGTTCCGTAATGAACAGACACGTAAAGCAACTAGCCCACCGCCCTGAGATCCAAAACACGACTCAAGAAAGTCCACCGAAGCAAAGAATGAACCATCGCCTGACCCCAGTACGCCTCCCGGGGTATAGAAAGTAGTAGCCCGGTCCGTACTCCCATGCGCCGTGACGAAAGCTGAGGGCAATCGCGTGAAATAGAAAACCGTCGCCGAAGACCGTAGAACAGCGGGTCCGAAACAGAGCACCACCTTTTAAAATCAGAAACAATGTCCAAGCAGTTCAAATCAAGCAAGTGGGTACCCGCGATCCCCTTGTATTAGCTCTCACTTACACGTCCGCCAGCAGCCTTAATTGCCATTCCAATTAGCAGCCGCTGCCATAGCATTCTTTTGATACAAACACTGCGACAGCACGTTTATGTCGTATTGTGCCGCAGGCACCTTATCCAGGAGATCCTTGAGGTTATACAGCGTGTCACGCGTGTGCGGATTCTGCAGGAGCTCTTGCACGACAGGGGATGCCATGTAAGGCCCTAGAATGGCGGCCGGGTCGAAAGGTGTTGAATCGGTTGCCTGTGGTGGTGCGGCTTGCGAGGGCGCGGCTTGCGGGGGTGTCGGACTGTAGCCGTTACTTGGCTGCGCGAGGTATGGGTTGGGCGGGAACGACGGTCCCACGGGCGAGTATGAAGGGCCGTGAGGATTCGTCAGCGGGGAAGGGCTAGGTCCACTTGCGCCGTTTGAAGGTTGCGCTGGAGTGGGAGTATGGTTCAACGAGGTGTCGTGCTGTGGGTACTGTACAGGTTGAGGCTGGATATCTGGAAGCTTGGCAACGAGCGCAAGCAGTAGCATATCGTCTTTCCGTGGCGTTTCGATCGTGCAGTACTCCAAGAGATCCATGAACTGGGGAAGGTTGCTGGGCCCTGCTGGTATGGGTATGACGTACAAGTCGCGCATAGCTTCGTTGTCAAGTTTGTCAACTGGTATGACTCCCCATCGGTTACGGTCGTGGAAGTATTTGTATAGAGTATCCATCACTGTGCGTCCCTCAGAAGAGACTGGGCTCAAAGCTAGCACGGCGACATCATGGCTTCCAGTGGTCGCCAGCCCTCTGATATATTCATCGCCTCTGGCTTCCTCAATGCGTCCTGCAATAGGTAGCGTGGATGACAGGAGCTTCGTCCATGGAATGGCTTTGCCAAAATCACCTCCCGCGACGAACCGGGCGACCGATGCGCAGGACTCCATATGCTGCATCTCGATAGACCCTCGCCAGACAATGGTCTCATCGGCATATGCAGGCATGTCTACGTCGCCATCTTCGTCTTTGAGGAGACGGTCAACGTCTGCATCGACTTGTGTACTCTTCTCGGGTTGTTGATTTGAGCTCTGACGCCTTTGAAGAAAGGAGTGCTGGTCGTTCTGCGGCGAGCGAACTTGAGCAAAGACAGAGTTGATGTCAAAATTCGTCGAAGGCCGTCGCGCGCTATCTGCTCCTGCGCTGGTGTCTACAGCGATGGGTTCGCGTCGACCGACATCTTCGGGCAGCTCCACCGCCGTATGGGATTCTTGTGTAGGAGACTCTAACACGGGCTTTTCATCATTCTGTGGCGGCGGTGGCGGTCTGAAGTCGTCTTGTTGAGTAGAAGTAGCAGCGTCGTTCTCTACGAGCTCATCACCTTTGTGCGTTTTGCGGAACCGAGGACCGGTCTCCTCAGTGAGTATCATCTGCTTCTCATTCGCCTCTCTGATAGCGGCATATTCTTTCTGTTTCTCATCACTCGCCATCTCTTCGGACGACATGGAAGCGATGTCGTCTGCCTTCAAGTCTCCCGACAGTAACTGGTCCACCAAGCCGAGATTTCTTTTCGTGTTGATGATGATGGTGCGAAGCTGGATAGTATAGGGCGACTCTATGCCTGCCGGTTCGCCATGGCGTAGAAAAGCGGCATGGTCTATCTCTAACGCGAGTCGAGTGGCGATAGACTGCGCAGATTGACCTTCTGGTATCTGGTATCCGCGAGACTCCGACGCAGTGGTAATTAGTGGAACGAAAGTATCCCGCAACTTTTCGGTCACCTGCTTCTGCTTGGCAGGCAGAGCGTTGATGTCGGATGCGCCTGTCGGGGCTGCAGCGATTTCGCTCTTAGGAGCGCTGGGCTTCCTCCGCTTCTTGCTCGAACTATCCTTCTCTGAGGAATCATGTCGTCGCTTTTCGCCAAGCGGAGACTGCGGCTTGGTCGGCTGGAGCACGTCAGATGAAGTAAACTTTCTACAGGAGGCTCGACTTACCTTAGACTCAGCCTTCACGGTATGGCCATCTATCGACACCTCGGTTGGGACAGCGATGGAAGCAGGCGGGGCAGGACTGGGCGCATTGGATTGGGTAGCGGCAGGGCTTGGAGCAGCCAGCTGCGAAGGCTGAGGTGTAGCTGTTTTAGCCTTCTCCGGTTTGCTGCCTGGCTTCACGTCAATCGGACGCGACTTCGGAGGCTTCGCGCCTTTCTTGTTCCACTTGATCCACGGTTTCTCGCCCTTTTCCATGAGCGCGAGCAGCTCTTGGTGTTCCTCTGGCCTGCATTGCTCGCAGTAATAAGTCCTGTTCTCCCAGTATTCTTCACCCTGGGGTAGGTGCAAGCACTTGTTGTGTTGCCATGCCTGGCAGGTGTCGCAGCATATCATTTCCCGCTTGTCGTTGGGATTGTCTTCGGTCTGGCCACAGACACATCGAATGATCTCCTCACCCCCCTCCTCTTCTTCCTCAGCATCGACGGATGGCACGGATTGTGAGCGCCCTGAAGCGGCATTTGCTCCTTTCGACTTCTTGTCCGCCTTGGGCTTCGTCGACTTTGGCTTGACAGCTACGACTTCGTCGAGGGCATCGGCGTTCTTGGTATGATGGCCTTTGTTGGCGCGTCCGGAGCGGCGCACTTCGTCTATCGCAATCATGTTAGCATCATGGCGAGGCTTCGAGGTGGCGTGACGCGTGGTGCGAAACGTTGACATCCGCAGACGCGATGGAGTGTGCTTACCAGCCATGGTGGGAAAGCGGGCAGATGTGGGCTCAGAAAAACGCGACTGATTGTCAAGTTACGCAAAGAGCAGATAATTCACGGTTCTACAAAAAGGCTGGAGCCTCCGCTGCGGGCTGCTGCGCAAGCACACAGACAACAGAGAGCGGCGTCTAACTAGAAAACAAGCGCGCGGGTTCCCCTTGCCCCCAGAAAAGGCGCAGATACTGCGAGACGTGTCGCGATTGCCACTTCAGGGTCGCAGCTTCCTTGCGACAGGACCTTCGGTGGCTCACCAGGGAGCTGTCGACGCAGTTGTGCGGGCGGGTAGGAGGACGACAACGGAATGGGTCGCGCCGAGAAGCGCGCGACGAAATATGTAGGCGTAAAGAGAAAGGAGCACGGCGTGGGCGCGAATGGCGTTGTCGCTTGGTGTCGTGTGGGCGTGAAGGTGGTGAGGAGAAACGCGGGCGCAAGGTGGAGCTTTGGCCCGAGTTCGCTTGGCAATAACTAGTAACTGCCGCCCGTCCTCCGCTGCTATACGCTGGAAGCTTCCCTAAGCTTTTCCGGTGACGCAGCACGCACTCATATTCTCCCAAACTAAGCACTATCTCTCGGACACTCGATCAAGCAAAATCTCCTCCAATATGGCCGACGTTCGATCTATGCTCAAGCAGCAACGAGCTGCCCGTCAGCAAGCCAAAGCGCCCAAGCAATCCGCGCCGACCTCAAAGAAGCGCAAGGCCGTAGATGAGAGGCCAGAAGAGCGGAAGCGGACGAGGACCGAGGAGCAAGCTGGTGTTCCGGCAGGATTCTTCGACGATGGAGCCGCACAAGAGGCAGAAGCAACCGCGCCAGACGTAGTAGCGGCACCCGCAGCACCGATAGAAGACGCAATACAGCAGCCTGATGTCGCGGAGCCAATCTTACCAGTCGCCGATGCGGAACTGGACGCTTTCATGGCTGAGATGGACCAAGCTGCAGCCGAACAACCCCAGCGCAACCCCATATCATATACTGGCGCTATCATCGAGTCCGCACCTATGACCGCTGCACAATTGGCCGCACAGGCGCGGGAAGAGCAGAGCGCACAACGAGCTCGGAGGGACGAGGAGATGGAGGACGAAAAGGATGAAGCCGCCCGCGCGCTCGAAGATGAGTTCGAGGAGATGGACGGTTTGGAAGAGCGGGTGAAGAAGCTGCGGGAACAGAGAGAGGCTCTTCGCGCGAAACGTACGGCGACGGAGGCTCACGACGATAATCCACCTCTTCCTACCCCTCAGGCTGACGATGAAGACAGCGAGTCAGAGGATGAGGACTGGGACGACTGGCAATTTGGCCCAGCTTGATATGCGAATCACTGCGCGGCGCATTGTAGCTTGTACGCTGTTTGTTTGTAGCATACGATACCACGGGCATGGGACTGGCGTTACAGATGATACCAAATGAATTGATTGAATTGCATGGCATATTCGCATGAAAACATGACCCTACAGTGACACCTCACATTCCAAACAGGAGCACTGCGAACAAGGCAGCTTTGGCCAATCAGAAATCTAGACGTCTGCCAAGCCAAACGTTTGGGCTATCCTCAGCACCAGACCCCTCGGACTTGTGGACTTGTATATAGAAGTCGTCCACGCGAGCGACAGCCTCATTCTTTCGTACCTCTCCACTACCCATTGTCTGCGCTCCCCTCTCCGATCTAGTTACCCTAGCCCCGCGCCCACGACGATACGCCCACAATGTCTCGGCGGCCCAATCCCGCCGCCGATCGCGCGGAGCAGAACCGCCAGACGCTGAAGAGCTTGGTGAAGATTGAAGCAAACAAGAGCTGCGCAGATTGCAAGAGGAACAAGCGTGCGTAGAAATTTCAAAATTGGAGATCTCGGTGCGCTCATACAAAGGACAGACCCCCGATGGGCCAGCTGGAATCTAGGCATCTTCGTGTGCATTCGGTACGCCTTCCGCCACCGCTCTTCTCCTTGCGTGCGTTGACACTCAGTAGATGCTCCGGTATTCACCGTGGTATGGGAACACATATCAGCAAAGTCAAATCAGTGGATCTCGATTCATGGACCGACGAACAACTCCAGAGCGTGCTGAAGTGGGGCAATGCGCGCGCGAACAAGTCAGTCTATTCGCACATGAGAGAAGGTCACACTGACAGGGATAGATATTGGGAAGCCAAATTGGCGTCTGGACATGTACCATCCGAAGCGTATGTTCTCAGCCTTCGCAGCCTTGACCATTCTAATCGCAAAGCAGCAAGATTGAGAACTTCATTCGGACAAAGTACGAGTCGAAGCGATGGGTCATGGACGGTCCTATGCCAGACCCAGCAACGCTGGAAGCTGAAGATGATGATATGGTGAGCCTCGCCAGTCTACCGTTCCTAACGTTAGGCTAACATCGGCAGCCGTTAAAGAAGGTCCAAGAGAAAGTCCAAATCGAACGGTCCGCATCGCAACGCCTCGGCGGCACATCTTCACACACGCCTCCGGCGCCACGAGCCGCGCCCCCACCCCAACCCGCCATTGATCTGTTTGGCGATGAGACACCAGCACCTCCGCGAGCAAGTACAGGGCCTCCGCAAGCACGGTCTGTTCCTCCGAAGGCAGAGCCTGCTCCTCCGAAGCAGACCAAGGCCGGCGATTCTTTGCTGGGGCTTGATTTCCTAGGAAGTGCGCCAGCACAACCTGCTCGGCCTTCAAGCACAGGCCCGGCAGCCGCAGCCGCAGCACCCTCACGACCGGATCTCAAGCAATCTATTTTGTCCTTGTATGCTGCAAAGCCCGCAGCGCCTCCGCAGCCCCAACAACATGCGCGTCAAGACTCCTTCGGTGGTCTTGCTTCTCCATCGCAGCAATCCCCACAACCGCAGCAGTCTGGCTTCGGAGGCATGAATGATGCATTCAGCAGTCTATCCTTTGGCCAAGCGGCAGCACCTGCACCCAAGCCATCTCCATTCTCAGGTCTAGACAGCTTCACAAGCACCAGGTCACCGCCATCCACCTCATCAGGCATGTTCGGCGGCGGCGGTAACTTCTTCGACTCGAAACCAAAGTCGCCACCAGCACAAAAGCCCGCTTCAAGCAATTACTCAGCGTTCTCCTCCGCCCCCGCGCAACCCGCGCCCTCAAACTCGGGCATGAACGACCTCCTCGATCTTTCGATGCCCTCCGCCCCGGCTCCCGCACCCCAGCCTCCCGTCCAGGCAATGGCGTCTCCGCCCTTGAACTCCGCCTTCAATCTCTCCCAACCCGCTGCTCCACAGCCCACTTCTCTCCCAGCAGCTGCACCAGCAGCCACCTTCTCCGGCTTCTCCAACATGGATGCCTGGGGTAGCACCGATGCGTGGGCTTCTCCCGCTCCCGCACAGACGCAGACTACGCAAGCAACCGCGACGCATACGCAGCCGAAGAGTCCAGGGTGGGGTGCGCCTACTGTCACTCAAGATGATGACTTTGGCGGATGGAGCAGCGCTGCGCCCGTCTCAACGAGCACTACCACCACCACGCATCAGACGAGTTCCACGAGTAAGCCTGCAGGTGGCTTTGGCGGTGGTGATGATTTGTTTTCGAATGTTTGGGAGTAGAACGAGGCCTATGTTTTGCGTTTAGAGCGCGGTGAGTCGGATTGGAAAGTACATGATTGGACTCGGATAGCGCTTGTTCATAGACGTGACAACGAGGATGAGCGAGGACGAGAATGAGAATAAGAATCGATAACGACGTAGCGTATCTTGCGGTGGTGTATATGTTGTGAAGTGTCCGGGTGTGGAGTAACGCAGTACAGCGGGGAGATTGGCCTTTAGGCAATCTACTATGACCGTACTAACCGATGCCCTACTTTCATAGCTACCGAAGACTTATCGCGCTATACTTGCAGCACTCTACTCTCGGTGTCTATGATTATTCAGTACATGACGGTGGGTTACGGCCCCATTCAAGCGAACGCCACATTATACGTCGCGCTGGACTGTGTTCACATGATACAACATCGAATCTTGTATAATGCTTGTGTCATTCGGGCGCCCAAGACGAAACGACGAAACATCGCAAAGATTTTGACTTACAGCACCGCTGGACATGCGAGAGTTGATACCTGCGCGAACTGTGTAACCTTCCGTAACAGTTCTCATCGCATTGGGGCTTCGCGATGTGTATTTAGGAGATGGGGAAGATGAAGGGTTTTGCAATCTTTTGTGGAGGAGCAAGGAAGGTAAAGGGAAGAACCTGTGGGACGAGTCTGATGTACAGACATATTTGTGCAAAGGCGATCTATACATATATGAGCATGTATGATGTTCCTCCAAGCATTTTGGGAACTTCAGAATAGACGAGTCGAGTGTTTTCGGGCAGTCTGTGTACGAGGTCTAAAAATAACTTCGAGAGGATACCGGCCTTGTATCTGAAGCTGCTTGCTATGATCCAGCAGTGGCGGTATCAAAAGAATAGCTATACTGTGTCTTGGATTCTCCGATATGATGAGACAATGGCTCGTTGATAAGTAATCGTTGCTTGGATCAAGATCCGGAAACGCTGGACTGGTTTCCGCTTCATTTATTGTAAGATGATGTGATTGCGCAAATTTATCTGAGGCACATATCTTCCACTAAAGCCTGAGAATGGGAGTCTTCCGGTAGAACAGAGGAATTACTATGAAGAGTCATGAATGTGAGACTCGACGTTGCGCCCCTACATGGCAGTCGTACATTCCAAAAGGGCCACGCTGCTATGAAAGATTGCTCGAATATGAATATGTTGAGCTACATCACGGCTGACGGTTCGTCCAATCGATCTATGTCAGTTGAAGAGATGGTGGCGCATGTCGTACCACATCAAGCAAAGTTTCTCCGTGGGGATCCAAATGTTCAGCCTTATCACCTACAGCCAGCAGTCGGTCTTGCTTTTCCCACCGAGATTGAAGAACAGTGCGGAATCGACAGGTAGTTTTGAGCTTAGCTGGGCGCGTCAGCTGTGGTGCGGATTTGTCTTGACAAATTCTGAACGATCGCTCGTGATAGCTCTCAAGACTTCGAAGAGATTGAGCAATGCATGCTTGCCGTAGGGTCGGAAGACTGGGTGGAGGTAGAGGCGCAGTTGAAGCGGCGGGACAGTGAGTCGTTTACTTAGGCTGCTTTATTGCTAAGAATGTATGTCTGAACGGGGTTAACTTGTCGTTGTCTTGCGGTTGAAGAAACGGTGACATTGCCCGTGAGAAGCTCACGGATGCAGAGGTGGAAAGGTAGGCTGTCTCACTTGGATTGGCGTTGTTTTACTCTGGAAATTCGAGAATGCAAGGTTGATTAGATTATATGTTTACTCATCTTGGGAGAGGCGATGTGTAGGACGCTTTTGGTGCGGGAACGGTAAAGTCCGAACATTCGTTGCTGTCTCTCGGCTTTCGTCAAGGGCAAAGCACGTGTTCTCAAAGGCGTTGGAAAGTCAGTGAATCGAAGTGGCGAACTTGCAATCGTGTCTCTGAGGCATTGAGATTGTGAAGTATTTCATCGATTGTCAGACCATGGAGGTAAGTTGTAGTGACCTGTGTTGCTGGAAGAAAGCAAAGATGAGAAATGCAGAGTTTCCGATGCCCCGGAGTGGAATTGGTGGATAGGAATGTCTAGACTTCTGGATTGCGGCGTGTTAATTGGACGCCTATGGTGACTGGGAGCCACCCGTCACTAGTATTCTTCCAGCATTTCCGTCCTTTCAAATAGACGATTCGGCATCATATATTTGATTCTCCCCTATCTCTTTGCCCCCATAATAATGAGCGACGTTCCTGGGGTACGAACCGATTAGTGGTATTGGCGAGTGCCCTACTGCGCCGCAAGAACCTTGACCCGTCCATGGCTGTTCGTGTCTATTACTACCTGTTTCCGGTATCTGACCCCCTAAATACTCGCACGAGCTCTTGAGATGAATCGAGATTGGATGCATCTAATATAGAGAAATCCTCGCTTCCCCTTGAGCATGGTTCGGTTCGGAAGCAGGCATTCACATGTGCTGTGAGTGGCGTGTCGGCAAACCTACCTAGCTGGCGTAGCGTTACCCTCCTTTCCATCGCCGCTGAGGAATGCGCTTTCATAGCGCAATGCATTTGGTCGGATCAGACTTACATCACTATCCAGTTCTTTCGTTGCCCAAGGAGATTTGCATTCTGTGATGCACGAGATTTCACAAACCTGATCTAACACACGACAAGTCCACATGGCGAGTGTCGATCCACATCTTGGGCAACCCTGGTGAAGCCCAAAGGGGGGTCCTCGGTATCATCCCGCCGCACTGGCGATGATTTTAGCGTTTTGGTACCGAGAGGGTTCCTTGGCTTCGTTGTCGCTTGCAGATCACGAGCGTTAGTGGGATTGGCATCGAGCCCGCACCGGAAACGGACGCAACGCCAAGACAGCATTCCCCATCCGTGCCATCTGTGCTCCAGTAATCTGAACCAGGTCTCATCCCCTTCGTTGGGCTCCATGAAGCGCAACCAGCAGGATCCTGTTCGACAAGCCTCCCGAACGCCAGGTCTCTGTGCTTCCCGCGTGGCTATCTGACTTTGTTGCCATCCGATTGGCGGCCATCGCCCGCTACGTTTTTACTGCAACCGCACTGCTACGGGGGGAAACACTTCCACCCGAGCTAAGCAGAGCTTGTTGGGACCATGCATACCGGAGCATGGCGTTAAAAACAAAGCCGCCTGCTCCTCATCAGATCCCAGGTTTTTCACTGTTGTGATCGTTCAACACCCCAGCTGTTTCCACTGGTTCTCGACATCAGTATGGCGGGCGAGTCGGGGCCCTCGTATGTGTCGTTGCCAAAGGCTATGACGATAGCTGCCTTCTACGGAATATCCGTCTACAACTCGATCGAGATTCTCTTCACCATCTTCCACCGGTTCAAAACCCGCAAAGGGCTGTATTTTTGGAGCATGCTTACCGCATGCATTGGCATCCCCGTCCATGCGACCGCTGTGCTGCTGCGCAACTTCGGCCTGGCGCCGAACGTGCCAATGTGTGTCTTTATTGTCCTGGGCTGGTGGGCCATGGTCACTGGTCAGGCTGTAGTCCTTTATTCGCGACTACATCTGGTCAGCGATCAGAAGATCCGCTGGGTGCTGATGATGATCGTATTCAACTTCATCGCCCTCCATCTGCCAGTATCAGGATTGTACCTGGCCATCAACATACGCCCCACCGACTCACTTACCAACATCTTCACCATCTACGAAAAGATACAGCTCACTGGCTTCTCTGTTCAGGAGTGGATCATTGCCGGCCTTTATATCTGGGGGGCATATCGCGCTCTCAACCCGATCCTAAAGTTCAAGGGGCCGCGAGAGCGGAAAGTGATCCGACACCTGATTCTTGTCAACCTCATCGTCATCGCCATGGATGCCAGCCTACTCGCGACCGAGTTCACCAACAACTTCGAAATCCAGACGACCTACAAGACCGTCGTGTACAGCATCAAACTGAAACTCGAGTTTTACGTCCTGAACCAGCTGCTCTTTATCATTCAGAACCCATCATGTACTTGTTCCAATGCCAACACGTCACCCGGATACAACGATATCCGCCTCCTGCCTTCGAGGTCCGCTTCCACGTTAAACAAAAACAAGACCGATCCCGCGGTTTCGGACCAGTCCGCATCGAAGCGCACTCCTAGCCCGTCGAAGGCGACGACAAAGAGCGTTTGAACTTCGAAGTCGCTGGCTACGCCCGACCCCTTAATCCACTAATACCGAAACGCAAAATATGCGCTGGTTGAAATTCTACACGGTCGCCTTTGCTCACGACAGCGCCAAGAAGCACTCGCCATAGGAATTAAACTACCTGGAGACTGTGTTGGCAGGAATGAGTATGGGTCCCTGATACGGTAGGAAACATGGCCTATCAACCACTAAGCGTTGAGCGCCCGTACGCCCTATATCGCCAGTACGGGAAAACCCTCATACGCGGTCAATCCGAGAACGCGGCTCATCTAGCCCTATCTGCACGCTCGCACAATTAGAATGGCCCCTACAACACGAATCTGTGCGGTCTAGCATCTCGCACGCCTCTTTGTCCCCTGCGGACTGCGCCCGCGTCTCGACGAGTCCCGTACGGAGACATCTCCCGCGCACTTGTTCACGCGACAGGGCGACGCTGATGTGCGGTCAGAAACCCTTCTGGCGCTCGATAGGGATCCGTGGGAGGCCAGGATAGGGAAAGAAAGAGGTGGTGGGTGGAAGTAAAATGTAATATGCGCAGGTCATGGTACTGCGTGTAGCACTTCCAGATTGGGATCACGAGGAGAGTAAGATGTTGCTCGAACGACGAGATGTTGTTTTGTGAAAGGATAGATCGTAGGGACGGTGGCAGTCAAGAGGCCGTAACAACCGGACCCCTGCCGGGACATTTTCACCGATGACAATATTGCTCGAGTCCACACGACAGCGAGAACGGGATGCAAACAACTCGAGGCTGAGTTGTAAAAGGAACTGAGAAGGCGGGCCTACGATCTCTCTAGTCTGGGAGTTGATGTTGCGGGATGAGGATGTTGATAGGAAGGGAGGGCTTCGCTATTGCCTGTCTTATTGTGATAGTGTAAGAGAAAGCGGTTAATGGAGTGAAAGGGGTGCTTCGCCATTGCCTGTTTTACTGTAATAATGTAAGAGAAATCGATCGATGAAACGAACACCTGTAGGCTATCATTCTTAAGAGAAAATGATGGTTACAGAAGAAATGAATCTCGATTCATGGCAGTGGTGGAGATGCGTGTCGTTGAGTGACTACGGTCATTGGAAGTTGCGGAGTTGATGATCCCATAGTCAGCAGTCTGACGCTCACGTGTAAATCACTCCATAGCCCTTTCAGCCTATTACGCGGCCGTTTACGCGCAGTCATTGACGGTTTGCGAAAGTTGCCTGTTTGAGTAGGTGTGGTGGTGATCCAGGGTAAGCTCAGCCAAAACCCCGCTGTCTCCTCACTTGATACCAAGCAACGAGATGAGGATCTGGAGAACGTTACCCGTGCTGCGATCGATGGGCTTGGGGAGTTGCCGGATTGAGAGGGTTGTCTGTGTAGATGATTGGGGATGGTTCGATCCAGCCCTGGAGTGGAAGATCGACCGTTGGGCAGCCACGACAGCGGATGCACGCCGGCGCCAACAGCTGATGCGAGCAAAATTTCGGTGTGATGTGGGAAAGCTTTCCAAGATCAGCACATGGGGATGCGGTCCACGGTTATCTTGACGTTGAGTTCGCAAAGAGAAACTGTAATTTAGAAACCGCGTGTGGAAAAGACGCACCTCTATTGCTCTGCACCAGCCTCTATGAGCTCTTTCACTATTGAGGTATGGCCTGCCCTTGCAGCTGCTTGAAGAGCGTTGTAGGTGGACCCACCGTATGCTTTCACATTGGCTCGAGCCTGTAACAGCTTGCGCACAACGTCCAACCAGCCGTTTTGTGCAGCTACATGTAGAGGCGGTCCAAAATCTCCATCTGAAAGATCTACATCAGCACCTTCCTCGATAAGAAACGTGATTGCTTCCAAATGACCTTCAGAGGCGGCCATCCATAGCGATGTACATTTGCTATAGCCCATGACGTCGATCTTGGCGTTATACTGTTTAATGAATCTTCGTATGAGGTGAATGTTTCCAAGCTTTGCTGCATAATGTAACGGCTTCTCCAGTACTGACCCGCGAGGAGCTCACTAAGTCTGAGTTTGTTGTTCGTCAGGCTATATGGAAAACGAAAAACGATACATCGTTGTCTGTAATATAAAGCAAAGGAACAGTAAGGTAACATGACGTGCATAAGAAAGGGGTGTAAGAGATGATCATGGACTGGAAGTAGAGAGAGGCGAAACCAAAAGCCTCAAATGATTGCTCTTTCTTATCCTACCCATAATCCCGACTTGTGGTTTTCCATCGTCTAAATGACATAGCCAGGGGTGATTTATCTTCCGACATATTCCATGCCTACGATGTGCCCAAGAAAGGCAAAGGTCGCGGTCTTCCCCAGTTATCGCACGGATTGAACCTCCAGATGGACCGATGCTTCCTCGTGAACCAAAAGTGGTTCAAGTATGGCATGAAGAATGGAACCGGCGGAAAGTTCTCCGTTCCGGGCGCGGTCTTGTCGCAGCATCCAAATATCATGGGGACGACGACAGCCTGTGATATGTCAATGACCTTCTAACCACGCCTTCATGGGAAACAATACCGGGTCCGCGGAGTTTATCGATTTCTGCGCTGCAGCATCCATAACCTTCTTCAGCGCTACGCCATCGTACTTCTCCATATCAAGAATCATTGTCACCTCGTCATGTAGATGCTCGTTGAGGACTGCTGCGAAGCTCTCCAACATGGCCTTGACTTTCTTGCCGTCATACTCGGCTTTTCCTCCTTGCATTTCTTCAGCATATGTTCTGAAATCCTCGAACCCCACCTCAAAAGCATGGTGTTGCTCGATATTCCTGCTCGTGATGCTTTCCGAGGCTCCTCCTGCTTTGGCGATTTCATCCCATTGGGGGAAAGCCTCCGTTTCTTCCATGGAGTGATGGTGATGGACCATATCGCCCCACGTTTTGATATACAGCACGAAGTCCGCAATGTCTGCCGGCTTCGTTACATGCTCGCACTGGTGATAGATCGAGTTCATTCCCCGTAGGATCAAGTTGTGGACGTGGGCCATCTCGACGGCGATGGTGAGTATATTCTCATCTTTGCTCTTATTTTCGTTAGAAGGCCCATGAATTGTACGATATGACATACAGTGGGTTGTCCTGGTAGTCCAGGCAACGGAAGAAGAGTATAAGGTTGGTCTGCCCACGGTTGGCTCATTTTTGGAGGGGCTCGAACGTAGCAGAGTGAGTTTGGCAAAAACTTTTACGAGGCTGAACTATCGTTTTCGTTAGGTGTCTCCTGGCACTTATGTCTAGCCTTCAGCTTAGCCCCCACGGGGCGATGTCGACAAGGCTCTGCTGTGCATCTGCACGTGGTGGCAGATAACCACAGGATGTGGGCTTCCACCTGCAGCCTTAGAAGCAGCCATAAGCTTTGGGTCGACCCTCCGATATCTAGCCTGATAGGTACAGCTTTTGCTACGAACAACAACTTTCGGGCGGTTGCTGATGGGTGATAGCAGCAAAAGATCGTCCATGCCATCACCAAGCGCCTAATATTTTCAGCTGGACCCATATGGCTGATTTCGTCAGCACGATGACACCCTTTCAAGCTTCTCCTTTACCTAATTGCGGACTCGCACGGACCAAATATTTTAGTGAGAGCACAAGTGCTGACTGGGAAGGGGGCTAAAACCAGGTACAGATATGCAAACCCTTATCGCGAGGCTGATCTCCACACGAACACGAAAGACGTGGTTGCAAAGTCAAATATAGGTTATATCCCGCACGAAGTTCCAAGACGTTCGAACCTCAAGCAGTGTTAGATTCGAAGCGTAGGTTTCGCGGACTCGCATGTCCCTCTTCGCACAATCTGGCCACAACAACCTCCACTAAATTCTGGGGCGTTGCGCACACCGTTGACTGAGCCTATCGCAGGATAACTAGCGCCACTCAGCAAAGCAGAACGAATGAGACTGCAGGCTTTACGTGATGATGTTTTGGGCCCGAGCCGACGAGGCTGTAATGGCCCCGGCAGCCTTGCGGATGTAAAGGTCGGCATCAAGCCAACGCTTATTTGGGGTGATATGACTAAGCGAATAGAGCACGTGATAGTCGGATTGCGGATCTCCCATCTCCTAAGAAGCTTTGCAAACTCTCAAAGACGACCTTGGAACAGGCCACGACTGACGTTCAATAGTACTAGGAATGCTCCGAATGACCTTGAATATATCGATATACATCCTAGCCACCAATCCTTCTAATCGTGTCTCAAGAGGCACGCTTCGTGCTAATCACACTATTTAAATCACTCTTTCCGCAATATAGCCTCTCTTCGTCTTCCCCAATGACTTTTGGGGTGGTTGTATCGCCCTCGACACATGTAAGCGGATATTCGTCATGCTCCAATCCAAGCTTGGTCCTCAGTGGTCTCCTGTTACTAACATCGCCAGAGTATCCTGCGTGATCTGTACTCCCCTTGTTAGAGTTCCACAGATGAGATGGTGAGATTATCTTGAGAAGAGGACGCAACGTTGCAATACAGCAATTGATTATGGCAATAGCAGGCTCGGCAACCGACCAGAAAGCGGCGTTGTGCATGGAGTAAGACAGGTCGGTGAAATCGACATGCCGCAAGACGTTGATGCGAATGATTGTTATTGCAGTCACGCTAGAAGGTTGTGAGCTCGCAATGTCGCATGACACATGTCCATACGTACAAGAGCCCGATGCCAAAGATAGCTGCAAGACCAATTCTCGTTCCGACCGCCATCTGTATGTTCCGGAGGAAGGGAATGGGGAGCAGCATAATGATCAAGTCGGTAATCATGTTGAAGATCCCGATGGTGACAAATGCCACGTTGTAACTCGCGCAGTGTCCGCCAGGAATTGTTGGGTTCCAGTTCATTTCAAATGGCGTGCATATGAGGAATATTTGAAGCATACTCCCCAGCCAGTAGCCGCTTATCATGCCCATACAGATCCATATCCATTTTCGAAACTGTGGCTGTGGAAATATCCGTAGGTAGAACCATAGTTAGGATAGCTTTACGCTGGCCATTGCTGCGTAGTACACGGATTGGTAGACTACCAGTTGCTTGGCGATGAATGTTATATTGGCGATTGGAAGTTCAGTGCTGTGGTACCGCATGCCATGATTGGCATATGTGACGTGCATCGCAAGCATTCCTGCAATTACTGATCAGTGCAATTCCATAAGAGCCACGCTGCCAGTATCCTTCGTTACTACCAACGGTAGAGAGCAAAGCTTGCGCTTACCGAAAGTGAATGCCAACGAAACGACTGCGGCAACATCGTCCCACCTATGTGCCGGTCAGTCCCTACACCGCAATGACATAATGCAACTTCGCAGACACCACTTGCCATATTTTGGTCTTGCGCACTCGTCTCGCAACGAACCGCAGCGCAACCAGCGTGGTTGCAATTCCAACAAGTAGGAAGCTGGCCACCAGCTGTCTGGTCACTATCGAGAACTTGAAGATGTTTGTCTTTGTCACCGGATCAGTGGGTAGCATACTGTATGGTGTCTGTCTCTCAGCCTGCAGCGCCGGATAAGTGTATATGAGTCAAATGGCGCGCCACTTGCATTTTGATGCAAATGTTTGAATGATCTCTCCAATTTCTTCAAGCAATCTTTTTAGCAGGGTCCGTGCCGGATGCCGTTCCATAAAGTACCTCTGGTACTCGAAGCCCTCATCAGATCCAAGGCATGGTTGCGACATTATCAGCAGATGGGCAACTGTGCCACAAGACAAACGTGTGTCCGAGAACAAAAGCCGCAGATCGTGTGCCGTCCCACTTTGACGCCCACCTGTGCAATCTGCTATTGGTGTCATCCCCTGTGCTACTACAATAGGTAGGCACGCCGGTTTGTACCCCTGTTAGAGTTGGACCAATTGCAATTGCTATCTGGCTCGATTTGAGACTGACTATTGGTCAAATTGTAACAGGGTATGAACCGACATTAGTATCTCTTGCGGCACAGCTGTTTCCTGTCGGGTCACAGTAACTGTGCCACCCGCGTTAATTCTCGCCCGTTTCCGCGACTCCGCTGCGGGTCATTTGCGCTCGAATCAGGAACGGTTTGTTGAACGCCCAAGAGACCCGACAAAACTGCGACAGTATTGGCACATGATTCTATGCCACACGCGTGCTGTTTCCCGGCAGACAACGGGGCGGATGGGATGCCACGTTCCGCGGCTGGGACTTCTCGGCTGCAGACCGTTCATGGTATACACCGACGCGCGAATCATTAAACGCCCAATGGTGGACCCAGGAGTGTTGAGCCACTGTCTCCTGATTACAAGCCGCTTATATGTTTGGAACAAGTGCTATGCCTCCCATTGCGTGCGTAGCCGCGACGGGACCTTCCCTTTAACACAATATACACAGCAATTGTGATCTTAAAAGATAATAAAGAGCAGTCAAGATGTCTCCACATACTGGGTGTGTGTCATCTTTTGATAGACTCACCATGAAGGACCCTGACTTCATTGTCATAGGTGGAGGCATTGGTGGTTTAGTAGTCGCGAACCGCCTAAGCGAACATGAAGACAAGAAGGTGTTGCTGATCGAAGCGGGCAAGCATCGTTATGGAGACCCAAAGATCGACACTGTTGGTATGCTGTCAACGCTTTATGGAGATCCTGAATACGATTGGGACTTTATGACCGAGCCTCAAGTAAGTTGGACACGGCAGTATAATCTCACGCTTTATCCGAGGCACGTGTCTGACAATTGCCAACAGACGCACGTACATGGCAGGCAGATCCCGCACCCGCGAGGCAAAGTGCTCGGCGGCTCTAGCGCAATCAACTTCTGTGCAAATGTATATCCTTCCAAGGCCAACTTTGAAGCCTGGAAAGCACTCGGGAACAATGGGTGGGACGCTGATGGGCTTGCGCCGTACTTTCGCAAGTACAGTCGGTTCACGCCACCGAGTCCTGAAACAAAGAAGCTTCTCAGCATTGACTACATCAATGAAGAGTTGCATGGTAAGGAGGGTCCTTTGCCTGTGACCATCCCAGATGTCTATGGACCCTTCCAGGCATCTTGGGTTAAGGCATTCGATAAGCTTGGCTGGTGCAATACCGATGACCCTATTGAAGGCGAGAAGCTGGGTACATTTGTCTGTGGGTTGACCATCGATCCGGGCACCAAAACTCGCGGCTACGCAGCATCAGCCTACTACACGTCAGAGGTTGCCACGAGGGCCAATCTGCAAGTCCTAACCGAGACTTTCGTTGAGAAGATACTGACTAAGATTGTCGATGGCTTGGTTGTGGCTACTGGTGTAAGGGTGCAAACGAACGACGGCGCTCATCACGAGATCTTCGCGAAGAAAGAAGTCATTTTGTCCGCAGGGACCATCCAGTCGCCTCAGATTCTTGAGCTGTCCGGCATCGGCCAAAAAGAACTCCTCGAGAAGCATGGTATTCCCGTGGTCCTCAATAGCCCCGGTGTTGGCGAGAATCTCCAGGACCATGCCATATCGGCTCCATGTTTCGAGATTGCAGACGATCAGATCTCAGCGGACGTCATGCGGGATCCTAACATTGTACAGGCTGCATTGCAGCAATACATGACAACTAAGTCTGGGCCACTCGTTGGCATACCAATCAGTGTCACTATGCTTCCGTTCGTAGACTCGAATGGTCGTGTGAGCCATGATGAGATCGCCAAGCTGATAAATCAGTACGTCGACGGCCCAGATCTTCCTATTTGGCAGAAGAAACAGTATGAACTGCTCCAAAACCAGATCTTGGAACCCAATGAAGCGGCTGGTTACGCGATGATGCTGCCACTTCAGCTCAACATCTCTTCCGGAAAGACGGAAATGAAAGAATTGCTCGCACCAACCAACCCTAAGAATTTCATCACAATCATGGCGGTCAACAACCACCCATTCTCACGCGGGTTTTGCCACATCCGATCTGCGAACCCAAGGGACAAGCCGATCTTGGATCCGAGATATCTCTCTCATCCGCTAGACCTGGAAGTCCTAGCGCGGCAGACGCAGTACATAGAAAAGATCGTTGAGACCCAGCCGTTTGCCTCTTTGCTCAAACCAAGTGGACGATTACCCGAGGGCAAAATGGCAACGGACTTGGACGCAGCAAAGGAGATCGTCAAGGAGCGATTGCTGAGCACTTTCCATCCTGTGGGTACATGCGCAATGATGTCGAAGGAGATCGGAGGTGTGGTGGACAGCAGACTGAAAGTGTATGGGACCAAGAACTTAAGAGTTGTGGATGCATCCGTGTTCCCATTGGAGACGTTGGGAAACATCCAGGCGACGGTGTATGCGGTAGCAGAGAAGGCGGCTGATCTCATCAAGGAAGACTGGGCGTAAGACCTCAAAGAGGCCAATCTATAGCTCAGGTCTCAGCAGAAAAGCTGCTGATGAAGATCGTATTGCACTCGGGCGAAGGCATGACCCAGCCGGTGCGCACTCGCTGCACCTTGCACCACCAACGGAGATTCGCTGACCACCCGCAACAACCAAGATAATTGGCAAAGCACTTTACGGGTACCAAATAGTTAGAATGTAGTTGATCGCAGCCGCTTCAAAGAACATCTGAATAGCGTATTTTTTATACCTCGTGATTTCGTCATTCAACCCAACAGTCCCACCTTCTACCTATCGATAGCATCGCCTTTCTCCACAGCGGAAACGCGCATCTCCCGCATGACCTCATTTCCTTCCATTTTGCAGGGTCCGACATTGTCCTTCATGAAGCAGAGATCGCTCGTTTCAAAACATACCCCAGACGCTCGATCTTCAGGTACAACGATCCCATTGGTCGGTGGTTTCCCACCATCACATGGCCGCTTCCGTCAATCTCCGCATCATCCTCTTCACAGCGCCATGCTTGTAACATTGTTACACCATTCATCTATCTGAGCGCCTGACGATTGCTTAATTTTCACAGGATCGTCACAATTCCTGTCAACAAGGTTGGCGATGCTCACAGCCCCAAGTGACATTACCGCAGGATTGCGCGCACAATTCACATGCAACAACGCGGCCCGAACTTAGCACGGACACGCTGAGGTAATATCGATGACGGCGGCGTGAACCACGGGCTTCGCATATACGTTGGCCTCCTCTCTCTGCTAGCTGTCCTCTAACGCGGTACCTTGACTGTCGGTTTCCTCGGAGCCTAGCCCTTCTTTTGTCGTCACTCCTTGCTTCACTATTCTAGCCACCTCACTTTTAACAAAACTTGGAATACTCGGTGTTTCTTGATGAAAGAATCGTTCTGTCTTTGTGCTACTTCCCAATATACCCAGTGTTGATCACCTCCGCGAGTACGTTTAGCTGCATATGACTTTAGCCGCACTCTAACTTGAGTATAGACACGTTGCTGATCTACCTCATACATCTCCATTATACTTGACGACGACATGTATACTACGATCCTGCTTAACAGCTTGTTGGCCACTGCGCTGGGAGCTCCTCTACTTGCTCGACAGAATGCCACAGAATGGCAACCTGCTGAAGGCACGGCTGCGACGTGCGATGTGACCGCCGACAAGTATATGTCGCTTGTCATCGGTCCGGAGCAAGGCGACGTGATCTTTGATCATGCCTGTGCTGGCATCTTGCCGGCCTGCGCGTACCCCGAAAACTTGCCTGAGGGCACATTTTGCACTCAGACCATCGACTTCAAGTTGAGCGGACCCAAGAACAAGACGCTGAACGCTCTGGTTGAGCAAAAGGATAACCACAACAAGCTGAGTGATTGGGCGGTTAACTGTAAGTCATTCGTATATCAGAGGGGTATTACCGTGTCTTAACAAATTTCAAGTCGCCGTCACTCCAGCAAAGCAGCCCGTGAACTCTGCTGGCGTCTTCTTAACGAAGGCTGACTGCAAGGGTTATTTCCAGGAACTCCTCTTGAAGACAGACCCTGAAGGTTGCAACATGCAAGGCCTTGGCCCCAGCGCTGGCTCGCTCACAGTCGGTGGCACCTCATCGCTGAAAGATGCGGTGTTCAATGTCTCCTTCGTCAAGCGCACGTAGGTGTATATAGCTGCGGCTCTCTGATCGGCGTTAAAATGGAGGCGTATTGGTATCGGAACAGCATGTGACACGGACAAGGCTCCGGGACGGGAGTCAAGGCGTCCATCGCATCGGTTTCCTCATTCGGCAATCAGGTCTCAGGAATTGACCCTCTGGTAGGGCTCTGTTCACTCTATCTGTTCCTTCTAGCTGTTCAATTTCACGCAATCCAGTTGCCATCCATCTCACTTCGTTGATGTGTAATCACAGGTATCTGTCGCAGGAACAGTCCTATCACTAACTGCTATTCGAAAAGCCGACGACCATTCCAATGCAGCGCTGACCATCGTTTCTTTAGCATACTGGCCCCCGAGCCGCGCTCCATAAGAAATGTATTTGCCTCAGGAATGTTGCCGTGAAGATGCTTTCCGCGTACGTTCGTCGACGCGGCTGTCGTGTATGGCGGACATGGTAGACGATTAAAATGTACTGCACTGACTGTGCCTAGGCGATTACTACTGATCCACAGTGTATAATTATGCACGCCCTCGGTTCGGGTCGTTCTTGTCTTTCATGTTGCGGGGGTCGACCAGTGATTACTATTCCCCAATCTATGCCGAGGGCTGCGCAAGGCTGTCCCAAACACACGCTACGCAGGTATGGGCGATGAGTGATCGCACGGAACCAAATCAATCATGCAAATTCAGCGTGCAATGGCGTCAAGCTGCGTGCCTTAGGTATATGGGGAGCGCGACACCAGTTGCAGCTTCTACGCAGGCAGTTGTGGACTTTGAGGCTTTCCTGTCTCATACGGAAAAAGCTACCATTTCCGGTGTGCTCGATACTAAACGTTGTCTGCCTTTATTCTTTGATGGATCCGCGGGACAAGCAAAGGGACGACGACTCGTCTCCTAATATGAGCGATCTCGAGAAAGGCGAATCGACCGAGCTGCAAGGCGATTCTAGAACGCCGCCTCTGTCGCAACAAAAGATTCCACAACGCATACCACCATCATATGTCCCGAAAGAAGAGGCGTCCAGTGCACCACCTTCAGCAGACGACTGGGACAGCCCTGAAGACCCAGATAACCCTCAGAATTGGAACCTCGCATCGAAAATATATCATGTCACGGTGCCAGGCCTATTTGGGTTCGCCGTGTGAGTCGCTCTTACCCTTTCACGTCCTTGTGCCACCCTAACCCTCTACAGAACATTTGGCACTTCCGTCTACACGCCTGCACTTCTCTCGATCACATCGCATTTCCACATTTCGCGGACGGCAGCTATACTCGGCCTGACTTTATATACACTTGGGTTAGCCTTTGGTCCAGTCATCTCTGCGCCCCTTTCAGAGAGATATGGACGAAAGCTAGTATACCTACTCTCAGCTCCGATCTTTATGCTTTTCACGCTGGGTGCAGGCTTTTCCAAGAGCTTTGGAAGTTTTCTGGTGTGTAGACTGTTCGCGGGGATGACAGGAAGCCCGGCTTTGGCTGTTGGTGAGTACTATCAAACAGCCCTACCCTTGCAAGTGTTGCAGGTCGAGTTGCATGGCATCGAGAAAACGGAAAATGCTGACCAGCGATCACAGGTGCGGGTACGACTGCAGATATCTTTCCACCGGCCAAAAGAGCCAAAGTAACTACAATGTTTCTGATGGCCCCTTTCGCTGGACCGTCACTTGGGTACGCTTCTCAAAATCCTATCCTCATTCTTGCTAATTGTTACAGACCTGTCATTGGGGGCTTTGCAGCACAACACAAGGGCTGGCGCTGGACACAATGGTGTATCCTCTTCATCGCTCTCGCCGTGTTTCTGAGCGCGATACCCACGAAAGAGACATACAAAAAGGTCATTCTCAAGCGCAGAGCGAAGGCGCGTGGGATCGAAGCTATAGAACCCGCTGGTGGCGCCGCCGTCAAGAGGACGGTGATCCAAAACTTTCTACGACCGATGCATATGTTGGTCACAGAAGTACGTTCCAATCATTCTATTCCAGAAGATGTTCATACGCTGACATTTCCCCAGCCTGTAGTCTTCTTCCTCTCGCTCTACACTGCATTCACCTTCGCCATTCTCTTCCTCTTCTTCGCTGCCATACCCTACGTCTTCGAACGTCCTCCCTACTCCTTCACCATCTCGCAGACCGGGCTTGTCTTCTTGGCCATCGGCCTGGGCGTGCTTCTTGCCAGTATGACAGGCCTCGTCATCGACATCAAATTCTACCAGGTGCAGCATCGCAAAGCAATAGCCGCCGGCCAGATGCACGCCCAGCCCGAACACCGGCTGTACAATGCTATGATAGGCAGTCTAGGTATTCCCGTTGGGCTGTTTTGGTTCGCCTGGACTGCGAACGCAGGCGTGCATTGGGCCGTTCCCGTTGTGGGAGCCGTGCCCTTCGCGTGGGGAAACTTATGCCTGTTCGTGAGTAACACCCCGACACACGAGCATGTACGCGCTGACAACCAGCGGCTAGATCTCGGCGGCCATGTACATGGTCGATTGCTACGGGCCCTTGAACGGCGCCTCTGCGATGGCTGCGAATGGTATCTTTCGGTATACGCTCGGCGCAGTGTTCCCGCTATTTACCATACAGAGTACGTGTTTGACTATGCGATGACAGGACAGTAGCTAAATTACACAATTCCAGTGTACGAAAGGCTGGGTATCGGCTGGGCGACAAGTCTCCTTGGCTTTTTGTCCATTTTGATGCTTCCCATACCCTGGGTTCTCTTCAAGTATGGCCCTGCTATTCGGAAGCGGAGTCGTTATCCGGCTATGATGTGAGCGTGTGTTGCAATACATTATGACTTGCGGATGCGCGACGAACGCTACTCTAACGCAGCTTCTCCGCATTATCGAGTAGGAAGCTTTTCCGGACGATGTTTCCGGAGATTGGGTTATGGCAAGGATAACGAGTACATACAATGCACGTCATGAGATCCGGGTAAGTGCTGATCGCGGGCCGCGGTGAGACATTCCGGACTAAATTAGTGAGTGATCATTGCGGGGATGATCCTGATGTAGAGAGTTGACATGTAGAGAAAGCGTGAGGCTTACTACGTCGTGCGATAGACTGTATATTAGTTCATGAAGCTGCAATCAAATGTTCAACGAACCTTTCCTTGTCGTACTTAGAGGCTGAATGACCTGAAATCAACGATATGAGCTCTCTGCGTGTAAACAAAACAGGTGTTTGATACTAGGTCAAGGCATGTACGTCTAGGGGAACAAAATCGCCTGCAGGAGTACGTAGCCATGTAAGATATTGAATGCTGTATATTCATGTGTATGCTAAGCTGTTATGTCACTGAACGCTCAAACCTCCAACCCATCATCTCTAGCCTAGAGCTGCTACCATCCTCACCCTCCACCTCGAGCTCCACCTGCCCATTGCGAACACAACCATCAATCCCGTCACCAAGCTCCACAGCCCTAGTATCGTCATAAACCATCCATTTCCAATCGCATGGATAATTGGCTCCGCAACCACCGCCCCAGTAAAACTACATATATTCCTCACGAAATTGTTAATCGCTATCCCAGCCGATGCCCGCTTGGGCATAAACTCCGTCAGCATGGTGGACGAAAGCGAAAAAATCAGCATGGAGCCCACGCCGAAGAAGAAATTCGCGATCATGGGTACAATCCATATAGTCCCGTACTGCACGGTCCAACCATACCACAGCAACGCGCCGGGCCAGAGCACGGCTGCAATCCACGCATTCTCACGCATGCGGTCTTCCGGCCTGAGAATGAGTTTGCCAAACTCGTCATAGCGCCCGGCCTTGCGCGCCTCGCGGTGCATGATCTTGTCGATCCACTTCCCGCCAAAGACGCTCGCAAGGATATAACCCATGGACCCGGGGATGTAGAGCAGGCCGACGATGATGGTTTTGAAGTTGTATGGGTGCGTGGAGAAGGAGGCTTGGATGCTAATGTTGAGGCAGTACAGGGAACCGAAGGTGATGGAGGCATAGTAGACAGTGAGGGCGACGGGCGGGTAGCGGAGCCAGGTGAGGACGATGAGGGGGTCGAGGAAGTAGCGGCGAAGAGTTCTAAGGGTCGATTTTGTTTTGACCTGGACTGATTGGCGGGTCGAGACGCGGGTGAGGTCTGGTCTTGCGGTCGTCTTCTCGGAGGTAGGCTGTTGGATTTGGAGAGCATTTTCCTGATCCTGTCGTCGGAGGGTTTCGGGCATGGCGAAAGTGATGAGGATAAGGGTTAGGCCACCGCAAATAGCGAGGAACCACTGTGTACTCCGCCAGCCTAGGGTTTGCGCAAGGACGCCGCCTATTATGGGAGCGAACAATGGGCCACACAACGGTCCGAGGTAAAACATCCCCATGGCTTTTCCGCGCTCTCTTGGCTCCCAGATATCTGCCACGGTCCCTGCACCTACGGCTTGCACACTCGCGGCGGCGCCACCAGACAACGTCCGCATCACTATCAACATCGCCATGTTGGTAGAAACAGCTGAGAGGATCGCGAAGACAGTGAACATTGTGAAGGAGATCAAGTAGATGGTTCGTCTGCCAGCTGTTTCCGAGAATGAAGACCACCACAATGGGAAGATGGCCATGCTGAGCATATAGACGGCAACGCTCATATTGGCAACCGTTGAAGACGCACCGAAAGCAATGGCTATATCTTGCAAAGCCGGCATGACAATAGCAGATCCCATGGGTGCGCCCATAGCGCAGCCGGCCACAATGGCTGTGATGAACCATTTGGTTCTTCGCGCATAATGATACCCATTTTCCACTTCGGGAATAATGGTCAAGCTGCCAAACAAGCCCCTTCGATTCTTGCGATCCACGATGACTGCCTCAGGATTCACCGATGTCGTTCTCGACAGCGTCGTCGGAGGTTCTGGTCGTTTTTTGGTCTGCTCTTCATCGTGTCCCGATGTGGTGGTAGCCTTGGAATGTGCTATTGATATCGCGTCCTCGTCTGTGATGTCAACCTCTTTTGCAGCTATTCCCGGGTCAATGAAATCCACCGACTCTTCTATGCGATGCTGGTCATTCGACGACTCTGGCACGTCCTTCCCAGAGTCTGGCATGCTTGGAGGAAAATTTGTGGCGAGGAGAGCTGCAACGCTCGAAGCGGGTTTTCCATGCGCTGCGGTGGTTTATCCGGGGGTAGGAAGCAAGCATCCGTCGTACCTTACTCGAATCTATCCCTGCAATTTCGCAAGCAGCTCCGGTCTTCAGTCACAAACAATTTGGCGTGACGTCCACGATCTTGCAAGACCCCTTGCTCGAGAGGTTGAAGAAGGGGGAGTCGGTGAGTAGGATGTGAGTGAAAGCAAGGTTCAGACCTCCAAAGCCAGCATGCTGGCTATCCTACCTGTAGGCCATGCTTGTGCCGATTGCCGAGCATGTCTTTCAATTCGCGAGGGTTTCACGCCGCGGAAAAGCGCCGTCTCCTCGCTTGCAAATCGCATATTGGCGGGGTATCATGGTCCACTCTTCTTTGGGTTTGGCTGCCTCGGTTGTAGCAGCGTCGGCCGCACTATTTCCGGTGACGGCCATTTGTTAGATGCAGAATTCTGGGGATCTCTTGGCACTTTTCTCCCAACTTTTTCCCCCCCCACCTACTTCAGCATCACCAAAACGCGATCAAATCGCCTAAAAATTCACAGAAATGTACTTAATCACGCCCAAAACTAGCCTCTTCTTGAATTTCACTGCTATCTTGTTGCGTTGTTGAGATATAGGGAATAAAAGTACAAAAACTGATTTTTGGTTTTCGTCCAAGTTTGTGAAAATTAAGGTTTGGCCTGTGCGTAGTGCCAAGCCTTTGTTAATCTCGCTCAAAGTCTGCTCAAAATCTGTTCAAATGCCTACATCTTAACAACGCGACGAGATAGCAGTGAAATTCAAGAAGAGACTAGTTTTAGGCGTGATTAAGTACATTTCTATGAATTTTTAGGCGATTTGATCGCGTTTTGGTGATGCTGAAGATAGAAAGGTGGGGGGGGGAAAAGTGGTGAAAACAGGTGCCAAGAGATCCCCAGAATTCTGCATCTAACAAATGTCGAGGCGATGCTGTTGCTGTAGTCGGACTGTTGAAGCGGACTATGCGGCGGTGATAAAACGTAATGGAGTACTGGATGGTTCGGAGTGAGAGAACTGATGTTGGATTTGAGTGATGAGGATGGCATGATGTCATTGGTGAGCTCAATCTCACAACATGCAACACTTGAATGATTGATTATCTATTATAGTCACCGAATGATTAGTCAAGATCGTTCTGCAAAAAGCATTGCACGAAATGTTGTATTCGTTTCAAGTTAACGGGCACTGCCGTGATCGGCCTAGGCTTGTTGCACATCCGAAAGCTTGATGCCATCCCTCGCAGATCAACAACCCCACCATCAACAAGCCATCCCAACCCTTCATAGCTCAATCCATCATCCAATTACCTGCAAACAACCACCACAATGACCTCCGCCGCCCCCACCCAAAAGCAAGACCGCCTAAAAGCCCACTTCAACGACCACGCACCCACCGAACATAGCAAACGCTGGGACGATCTTTGGTCCGCCGGCGACTTCCTCCCCTGGGACCGCGGCTACGCAAACCCCGCGCTCATCGACACGCTCGCCGAACGCAAAGACCTCCTTCCCTCCCCGAAATCTGCAAGCGGAAAGAGGGCACGCGCGCTAGTGCCGGGCTGCGGCAAGGGCTACGACATTGCGCTGTTCGCTGCCCATGGCTATGATAGCTTTGGGCTGGAGGTCAGTGAGAACGCCGTGAGGGTGAGCGAGGACTATCTGAGGGAGCCGGGTGAGGGACCGTTAGAGGGGGAGTATAAAATAAGCGATGAAAAGGTCGGAAGGGGGGCGATGAAGTGTTTGCTGGGGGACTTTTTTGAAGATGGGTGGTTGGAAGGGACGGGTGGACTGGGAGAGGGATTTGATGTCATCTACGATAACACGGTGAGTGGGCTTATGAATGGCAAGATGGATGGATGTGTTGGTTGCTTTGATGGCTAATTGTGAGGATAGTTCCTCTGCGCATTGCATCCGACGATACGCCCACAATGGGCTCAACGCATGGCGCAATTACTTGCTCCGGGAGGCGTGCTCATCTGCTTGGAGTTTCCTACGCACAAGCCACCGAAATCCGGCGGTCCGCCCTTCTCACTACCACCGACCGTACACGAGGAGCTCCTGAAGCGGCCAGGAGAGGAGATACAGTACGGTGAGGATGGAAAGGTCCTTAGCACGGATAGAGCGGAGAGCGACAAAGCCTTGGTTCGTGTTGCTCATTGGAAGCCGAAGCGGACACACCAGGTCGCTATCATCAATGGCGAGATAACAGACTGGGTGAGTGTGTGGCGGCACAAGTAAGGCCTGACCTGTGCAGCTGGCCTGCGTTGGACTGGTGGTCATGTAGAATAGCACGTGTGCTCAACAGACGCTCACGAGACTTTGCGCAAAGAGTTGTAATGCTCGCCCAAACCGTGGCTGTGACGGTAGTATCCCAGCCAGATCTCCTTCGTATCTTCGTCTTTCAGGTCGTCTCCAGGCTCGACCTTGTCCACCCGGCCGTCGCTGTGCAGAACGTTGATCTTAATGCCGTATGATTTCGCCAATGCCATAAGCTCCATATGTCCACCCCATTCACCAGTCTCCCGTATTTTCTGAAGGTACACTTCCAGCGGCTCCTCCATAAAGCCTACAAAATCGTCGGGTTTGCTCTCTATGAGGTCTGCCGCAGCGTATCGAACCCTCTTGTAATCTGGTAACTTGGGCTCCTCCTGGGTCTTGACCTGTATCTTCGGGTTGAGTCCTAAACCCCGTGTCTCCATCTGATCCGCGACAGCAGCATACAAACAATGCCCGTCCGCGCGTATCTCTTTAACCTCAACCCCGTGTTTACCAAAGTGTTGTTCCATCCGCGTACGCTCCTGTTCGCGTAGGTCAGGCATATTAGCAGCCTCCTCTTTCGCTTGTGCAACGAGCGCATCGTGTTCTGCAGCGCGGCGTGCAAGGCGTTCCTTCGCACGATTTTTCTTTTTCTTAGGCTCATTCTGCTCGGGCGTATTCTCTGCTGATTTATTCGGATCTAACGAAAGATTTTCCACCGCTTTCGCTACCCTATTGGCTTGCCCCGCCTGCCCCTCGTCTGCCTCGACCTCATCTTCCTCGATTGTAGGTTCCACGTCTAGACTCTCGCCGCTGAGTATTCCAACCTCGCGCGCTTGTCGCTCTTTCAGGTCTTGCTCTAACCGCTCGCATTCATCGTTCACACCTTTCCGCGTTTTCTTGGAGGCTTGCTTCTTCTTTTGCGTAATGCGGGAGATGAGGTCGCGCTGTTCTTTGCGATGGCGGGCTTGAAGGGTTTCGAGGGTTTCGGGAGCTTCTGGCGCGTCGGCCATGGTGGAGAGGGGGCGATATCTTGAAGTCGAGGTGTCGTGTGGAGCATAAATGTACAGTTATTTGAAGATGCAAATGCTCGACTCGGATCGGCCCAATGTGTTGCCGAGATATAAACCTACTCCACGTGCCAGCTGCTTCTCGTCGACAACACTTTCATCAGCACTTCGAGCATGTCTCTGACTGATGCAGCTTGACTCTTACCTGTTATGATTCCACCTTGGGAGGCGTTAAAGCGACTTCAAGACCCGCACTGCGCAAAGCAGGCATCTGTTTCTACAACTAACCATGGCCTTCCTAAGGCTCGATTGCTCGCGAGCTACTTTTTTTTATGCACCGATTGATCTATACAGTTACAGGCAAGCGGTTCCCTCGACGCCTTCACCACGTAGTATTTGGAGCTGCTCTGCGGTCGACGCTCGAGCTGCACAACTGACGACTAAGGGTCAATATCCACCCGTTTCGAATTATCAGTTATAGACAGACGTTACTGAGAGCCTTATCTGACCGCTCCTTTCATTTTCTTAATTGATGAACCTGTAGCCGTTCTTTGGTCCGTGATTTGGTTGAGAAGTGAAAATTAATTTTGTTTACCTTCACCCCAGTCGCTCTTGCCTCTTCTACTTCAAGCTCCCCTCTCACTCCCTGAACCACAAAACATAACACCTTGATCGACTTTATCTTCTTCAATACGACTATCTTTCTTTACCACCGAGTCAAGATGTCGGCACCGTCCGCCAGGGACATCGAAGAGCTCCAACGCGAGTGTCATCCATTCCCTGATTATATCGACTTCATCCATGGTCGGCCCACATCGTACGATCGACTGATGCAGGTTGGATCTGAAGATGTACACTACGATCAGGCTACCTTGGAGTATAACGCTACGGGAGCCTTCACGGTGCCTACCGGTGGGCCCGGCACGCCCACACCATACCAGCTTCATCGAGCCAATAGCTCTCAGCACAGGTATTCGTCAGACGCTTTCTATTCATGGTAGTTACTAATACCGTTCTCAAAGTGCTCCTCCTGCGCTTCCCCCAACTGAAACCTCGTACCCAAGCCCTCAATCGATGAGTGAAGGACCTCCGTCATCGGACCTTGGAAATGATATGGCATACGATGGTCCGGCATTGCGTGCACGCCTTCAACGAGAGATATCCTTGTGGGTCGCAGGCGGCGACGACTCGCCTTCTTCACTGTTTGCCGATACTGCCGACACAAGAGCAAACCTGCCCAGACAGACGCCGGCAAATTATCCAGCAGGTCAAGCTCGAACGATGCCCCCAAACCTGACACAAAACCAGCCTCAACCAATTCCCACAGGGCCTCCGCAGTCTGGAATCTCGGGTCCATTACGTGCACCGCCTCCAAATCCCGCACAGAACCCTTCCTTGGCACCACCTGTTCCTGGGCCGACTATACGCTTGCTGCAGCGCGATGATCTACTGAAATACCCAAATTTCGACTGGATACCGCAGCAGGTTCGAACTAGCACCAACGCCAAAATCGCTCACCTACGTGACATCTCAGAAAATGTGAACGTCCCCTCAGCCGCCCGCGGTGCAGCTATGCGCGAAATTCATGCCATCTCCATGCGTGTGCAACAAAAACGTCAAGAGGCGTAAGCCGCCCCTCGCACTTCAAGCTCACAAGTCGATGCTAACCCAATCCAGCTTCTACCAGATCCTGTACCAATACATGCCCAAGATCTACGACGCCATCACCTTTCCGAAAGTCTTCCCCAATGGCAACGACGTGCCCAAGTATCGTCAGCAACTCGTTGACTTCGAACAACAGTTCAGGGGACACATGTGGGACTACATGATGCGGCTTGTCTCGGAAATGCAGAAGGCTCGTTTGGCGGGGCAGGTGCCCTACACAGCGATTCCGGGTTGGCTCCATAAATGGAACAAGGAACGTGAAGATCGTGCGGAACTTGCGGGGATAAACACGGCGTGGAAGGCGGCTCGAAGGGGTGAGCCGGAACAGTCTAAAGGTGAAAGCTCACCGTTGCCGCAGTGGAAAGGTTATTGATTGATGCTCGGCGATGAAGAGTTCGGGGAACGAGTGGGTGAGATCTGCATGAGTGGTGGCATGGTTAGGATCTTGCATCCACGCAGGTTTTGATTCTGCGCAGCTACGTAAACGAAGCTGGCGTTCACGATGCCCCATACTTTAGGGCGAGCAACGGCTCAGGAATTAGCGTCATTCCAGGATATGGCTTGGAAGGGCGATCTTGTAGATTACGGCGGCGACGACGTGGCTCAATCACTCATGAACAGCACCATCAAAATTGACATGAGAATCGAAACATGATTTTATACATGTGAGGCATCCCGCCCACACTGATGAAGAAGAAATATATACAAGAATATCCGAGACCGTCCAGGCCTACCCTACCCGTCTATGCAAAGGCCGTTGATCTAATCTATGCGTTGATGCACTGCGAGTACCAGTCGTTCATCTTTGTGCACGTACCCGTCGCACATTGCGTGGGTCCGGTGTAGCTCTGCCCACCGCACTGGCCATACAGCTGTACAGTGCCGCTGGATGCACCGCTTCCAGATGTAGGGGTGGCAGCGGGTGCGGAGGCAGCGGGTGCAGATGTAGGGTTTGATGCTGGCGCTGAGGCAACGCCGGTGCCGATGGGGGCTGTGCTGGATGCTGGGGTTCCGGCGTCAGGGGCACCAGATGAAGGAGTAGTGCCGTTTGTCGCGGCGCTGGAAGATGGGATGGAGGCGGGTGCTGAGGCTACGGCGCTGCTGGCAGATTCAGGAACGGAGGTTGCCGTGCCCGACGCAGGTGCGCTTGATGAAGTGTCGGTCTCGTTGGCCGTGGAGGTACCCTTCAGCGCGAGAATCTTAGCCACAGCGTGCTCGGCGACGACCATGACGGTGGCCTGGGTATTTCCGGTAGGGAGATCAGCGTGGATGGATGCGTCAACAACGAAGAGGTTGTCGGTGCCGTAGACCTGGGCGTTGGTGTCTACGACAACACCGTCATCGCCCTTAGTACCCATCTTAGCAGTGCCCACCCAGTGGGATCCAGTGACGTGCTCCTTGATGAGATCGGCGCCGGTGACGTTGCCGGTAGCGGTGGTGCTGCCTGCGGAAAGGAAGGAAAGAGTCGAGTTCGGTGCGTTGGTCATCTCGAGAAGACGGTCCATGAAAGCGGTGATGGCTTCCTTGTCCTCGTCGGTCTGGAGCCATGGCTCCTTGGTGAGCTCAGTAGCGCCGTCAGCGGTGATGCCTAAGCTACCGACGGAAGTGAGACCGTGGGTAAGGTAGACCTTGATCTGGATGGTGTTGTTGGCGGGACCATTGCAGGTGCCCTGAATGAACATCTCAGAGCCGCTCGTAGTGTTAACAGACGTCCAGAAATTCAATCGCTGGCCTGACTGAGCGAGCACACCAGATGCCTTGGCGAACTGGTCAACGACGGTCAGGTTGGGGGAAGTGAGGTCGGTTGTCGCAACAGCGCTCAAAGCCTCCGAAGTCTTGAACTTGAGGGTGAAGATGACGTGGTCCTTGATCTCAGCACCGACAGGGAGATCAATCCACTCAGACTCCGCTGGGAGAGTCACGCCGCTGGAGCCTGACGCGACTGTCTGCAATTGCTCTGCTGGGCCAATTCCACTGTTGAATAGGATGCGAGGGGTGGACATAGCACCAGACGAGAGGATTACCTTGCCACCAGCGTTGATGTTGTAGATTACACGCTCGCCCGCCTCGCTTTCGGTCTCGACACCGCTGATGGTAGTGCCATTGCGGACAGCACGGACGACCTTGGTGTTGAGCATCAACTCGAAGTTGTCGAGCTTCTGGGCTTCCGGAAGATAATTGCGGACGGGGCCAGCGCGCATACCGTTCTTTAGATCCCACGGAGGGCGTCCGTACACGTCTTGTCGTGCGTTGTTGTCACCGTCGATCAAGTCCGTCTCCGAGAATCCATTTGATCCGAGGAACTTGGACAGCACACCATAGGCCTCGTCGTTATAGCGGACGCCGTCCTCAGAGCCGTAGTTCTGGCCAGGGTTGCGCTCGTAAAGCTTGTCTGCAGATGCGGAAACATCGCTCCACTTCCAGCCAGTGGGCCACTTGTCGTCGAAATCGCGAGATTGGGGCTTGACAAACATCATAGCTGTACTCAGTCAGAACAAATGCCTTCGAATAAGCAAGCGCAGTACATACCGTTGACCATGGTGCCACCACCAAGAAGGCAGCCAGCTTGATCAGCTGTGTCAGTGCAGAGTTTGTTCTCGCCGACCGTGTTGAGGTAATAGTCGAGACCAGGAACATCGTACATAGTGAGTGAGCTGTTCCAGGAAAGGGTGTCGTTGTTTCCAGTGAAAGCAAGCGAGGGGCCACCACGCTCCAACAAGAGGACTGAGGCGCCGCTCTCAGCGATGCGCTCTGCGGCGATGATACCGGCAGGGCCAGCACCGCATACAATGTAGTCGTAGGTCAAGTCCGAAATGGTAGCCGTCGTGTTGGTAGGAGTGGTGGCGTTTGATGAGCCTCCACCAGTGCTAGGGGCGGTCGAGTTACCAGTGGAGTTGCCAGAGCCGGAGCTTCCTGTGGCCATGGCAGCCCACGTCTCGAAATCAGCGCTCTGAGCGTCAGCCACAGTCATACCAAAGGACCCGTAGCCTCCATTGTGCATGTTGAGGGTAGCAGAAGCGGATGAGGAATCGGTGAGAGCGGTGTCTGAGTACGCCCAGCTAAGAACATTCGTGGTGTCGGAGAGGACGAGTCCCGCTGCCGCGGTATCGCCAATGCAGTTCTTGCAAAGAAAGGTGTAGGAGAAAGCGGTGTCATTGACGAAGGTTCCATCAGGAATAGTAGTCATGGAGAAGTCTCCAGTGACCACAGGGGGGTTGGTGTAGCCGGTAGCCTTGCGGAAAGATGAAACGATCTCTCCATCGTGAGGCCATGCAGCGACAAGAACACTGCCAACCATGGTCTGGCCCAGAGGAAATCCTGCCCAACCTCCATCATTGGTGATAGGAGCGACTAGCTGTGCGATAAGGTCGGTTGTGGGGTTCGTAGGTAGCGCATAACCAAGCTTGTAGCCTGAGGAATGTGAGAATCCGTTGAAAGTGATGCCGGTCTTCTCGTCAGTATAGACGGACGCTGTGAGTTGAGCCGTGGCGCGCAACGCCAACAAGGCTGAAGAAAGAATGAATGAACGGGTCATCGTGCTCTTGAGTGTGAATGAGTGTGCGGCACGGCCAAAAAAGAATGAAAATGCCTTCAAGGCAAGAAAAGAATGCAGTTCAAAGAACGAAAGGAATCTGGAAAGTGCTGATAGAGAGCATGCTCAAGGGGCCAAGCCATGTTTTGTAGTCTTGGGCCAGACATTAGTCTCGTGGGTCTTCGCAATCTTGAATTTTGCAGGTACGCAGCCAAACACGTCCACAAGGATGCTGCTGACCTTGCCTAGGCGCTATGCACCCCGAGACCCGCCATTCTGGAGCAGAACGATACAGAAACATGGGCCGGGAACGGTTGACAGAAATGAGGTCCGATGTCAAGTGGGTACATCCCGTGTGACATTGATTAAACGACGACGTAGGCTCTAGGCGCCAATGAAAACGGGTGCACGCTAGTCCGTATACAGGTCGTTGGTGTTGTTTCAAGAGGCTCGGACTGCCTGTAACCGACCGAACGTTTCGAAACTGCCCAAGGCTAGAACGCATGAAAGGTCGAAGCGAAACATCTCGTTTGGTGGTGGGACCAATATGTTCGCATGTCGAGCTGGCAAATGGTGAGACAAACCGGCGCTTTGAAGATGTCATATCTCTTCATCGTCCAAGCAGATGAACGGGCCGAGCGAACAATTTGAACAAGGCGCATTGTCGCGCGCGCCTCAAGTCTCAAATAGCTGTACGTCCCGAGCTCTTGGTACCAGGTAGTGTCTGCGGTTGGAAAAAGCTTTTCCCACAGGGGTTGCTGATTATGTAGGGCTGCTGGTCGCTTGACACTCGTATGCCTGCACTCTGCGGGCCTCTTCACAACATCGTGTCTCCGGATACTCCGTATATGGGCCTGCCCGTGTAGCGTTCATACAGCCCCATACGAGTCTTGCTGTTGAGCATATGCGCTCGGGTGGCTTGTTGATCAGTGAAGAAAGACGAGATCAAGGTACTTCGTTGAGTTAGGTCACCAGGTAGGATGGGATTGAATCCATACCTCGCCGATACAACCGATAATGGGTGTACGATGCAATATCCGATGGCAGCGTTGTGGAGAAGTCGCAGTACGAACGACAGATATCGGAGATAAATGGGTCAGAAGGGGAGGAAGAGTGGGCTACGTTCTAGTTCCCGAAGTGGAGCGACCTCGGCTCGTAGCTCGTCAAGGTCCTTCCGTCTTCCACCAACGACCATCACTTCTTTACACGTCAACGGGCTAAACATCGACAATACGAAAGTACTGCTCAAAAGATTCTTCGCATTCGTTATGAGAGGCAGAACACACACAGCCTGATTTCTGGGTGGAACGCTGCCTACGCCGAAGTCGCTTGAGCGTCTCTTCCGCATAGTCTCTCAAGTCTGGAGGCACCAGGGCTGCTCCTGGGACTGATGAAAGCGGTCACGGTAAGGCAGCCGCGCTTGCTATATTGAATGTCTTGTTATCCAAGGAAAAGTGACACTGTTGCGCAGATATCTGCCACCATTTGCCCTGCATTTCGTCACACATAAGCTTTTCTGGCAGCGGCAGAGGACCGTGGGCCCGCTATGCGTGGCCGTGAATGATTCCGTTCAGGATCATGCGAGTCATGCGGATCGATTTCTAGATTTGAGCTGTACGAGGCCTTGGATGCTCAGGGATGAGCCGCCCATACACTGCCGGATCGTCCTCGTTAAGAACGACGTCACGGTATCCCCACATCAGTGCAAGAGTCTCGAGGAAGGCCACATACTTATCGTTCATGCTTCTTGTCGATTCGATGATCTTGTTCATGGTCAAGTTTCTACCAGCAATTTCTGTGTGGAGATTTCCCACTTCACTCGTATATCTCGTCACGCGGTATATTGGGCGCTTGTCATCGTGTTGCCGAAGAGCCTCAATCTGCAGTTCGGTGATGTCTTGAGGTATTGGCTCTCGCAAGCGAATACTGGTGACAGAGACTATATTCGTTACGTGCGTGAAAAGCTGACGACTGACCTCTGTCTCGAGCTGGGAACTACCGCGAAGCCTAACGAGGGTGAGAGCACCTCGTGTGTGGGATGCCTGCTCGGGCCCAATCATTGTCTCGAAGAGACTCAACAACAGTACCGAAAAATGTGTTGCACCTTGCAACCGGTGGCCGGATTAAATAACGCCAAGTTGGTCTCGGTCAACGCCTTAGCGCATGAGCCGTGTGCTTCTTCCATCACCAGAGGTTCGCCAACTTCCCAAGCGAGCCCCCTCAAAAGCGTCTATGGCCGCTGGGAGCAACACATCAGGTCCAAGTTTAGCATATATACTCAGCAGGTATTCAAAGCGGCTTATAGGACGTAAGACCACATAACATGCACGAGTGCTATATCATTACATGGGAGCACTATCCTCTACCGTGGGGGAACTATCTGTGTGTTGTTAAGGACTAACGGCAAGTCTATCAAGATATCACTTGTCACAGAGAATTTACTTGGAAAGATGTTATTAACATTCTAGTCCTACACTAGAGGGGCTATAGCCCCTTAATTAGATGATCGAGCCAAACTACGAGTACGTTAGCAAACCGTCCTGTCCTTATGGCGCCAAACGACTGACTTGATCGAAGGACTCAGGTCGACGTCGGGGAGCGTGACGCTTGGTAGAGTTACGTCACCTACGTTGATCGAATTGGCATTGCCGGCTTGGTTCCCATTGCCAGCCGAATTTCCATTTCCATTCCCGTTGCCAGCTGAGTTTCCGTTGCCGTTGCCGTTTCCTGTTGATTTGTCAGAGGTTTCTTGAGATACATCGCGATTTGTATTGCAAGCTCGCAAGTAAACATTCAACACTAGGCACATTTGAGACATACCGTTACCAGCACCGTTGCCATCTATAGTGTTGCCGTCACCTGCCGACGGGTTTGTGATGGAGCCCAAGACTGCAGTAAGACCCTCTTCCGAATTACCACGGCGCTCAAAGTTGATGGCGTTCCCGTTTCCACCCTGGTTTCCGTTGCCCGCGCTATTGCCATCACCGTTGCCATTACCGGCCGCGTTCCCGTTGCCATTGCTGTTACCATTGTCCTGTCCGTTGCCGATAATTTTGTTTCCGTCACCCGCAGAAGGGTCGGTGATCGAGCCCAAGATGCCAGTGACTTCCTTCAGGCCATCGCCGCCAGGTGTAGGAGCGGAGATGGAGCTTGCAAAAAGGCAGCTGAGCGCAAGGGCGACGTAGTTGGTGGTCTTCATTATGTTTTTTGAATACTTGTGAATGAATGGAAGGGTAATGATATGAGAATTGAAGAGAAATGTAGGAGATTTGAAGTTGCTGGATGAGAAGCTTTGGGTGAACGAGTGCAGTGCTTTATTTAAATAGCTGAAATGCTCCGTTACGGCTGTCCGATTTCCCGAGCTCGTTCTGTCGCTTCCCCATGGTCATGGCAGCTAACCCCGTCATCCCGCCTCCTGAACGTAGAATAGCTTATAACAGTGTGGGTGTTGTGGAGTGCACATGCACTAGACGTTGTCGATCAGCGTCCGGCGGTATATTATTGCCGTCCAATAAGCTGACGATCGTACTCTTGGACCCGAAGCTGATAGGCTCGTCATTTCCAAGCTTGAACCGGTCGGCGAATGTACAGTGGAGATGTCAGTATAAGGTTGGGTCTGTTCGTCGCGGAGCTGCTGTGTGCGAATGCTCAAGCTGCCAGTAAAGCGCCATCTTCGTCTGTGTAATGTCAGGATGGAATTGAAGTTGAAGCTCGCAATGTGGAATTTACTTGGGCTCGATTCGCCACGAGAACCCGAACATTTTTGCGCTTAGACATCTTCCATCGTGTCTATCAATTGCACCCCTCATCCTTTAGGTTTTGATGCTCATTTCGCAGCTCGGAAAGTGACTGCGATCTCGATGAGCCCGCGGGAGCCATCTCTTAGCTACTAGGACCATGCGGGTCTCCTGTCGATCTCGAAAACAAACATGGACAAGTTTGTACAGATGCTTCATCATGGATTACCCCTTCGAGCAACGCTAGGCTAGTCTTTCGATAGTGCGATGTTTATCTAGATCAATCTCACAGAAATGCAGATCGCCGGCAGGGATGCGCACCGCGTGAAGCAACATGCCAAAATCAAAAATCGCATCGCGTGCAAATCGCATGCAAATCAAGTCTCGCTTGATGTTTGTCGGTCATTGCGCCTTGATCTGCTATTGGTCAACGTTGAAGAGCATTGCTCATTGCGACTCGTCTTTGTATAAGGCTAGTCGTCGGTGACCTGCAGCCGCACAGCGCGTGAGACGTCGCGGAGCGCTGCCGCGAGAGTCTGGTTAAGCCCAATGGCTGGTTAGTCTGCATTGCCTTGGGTAAGCACGTACAGATGCAGTATGCAACTGTGACCAATGCACAAAATTGAGCCCCTGGTGAACAGGTCCCGGAATCCCTTGGGAGAAAGTGTAGAGGTGGACAACCCAAGATGAACCGGGGAGATATTGACGGCCCCATCTTACAACCTGCAATGAACCCATTCTTGGACTACATTGCCATAGCTACAGCACATCCCAAGCTGAAAAGGATGTCGCTATTCATGCTACCCTACGCACTGCCTTCCAATTTCGACCCCGCCTTACTATTCCTTTTCCCTCCACCTGATCCCCCACTCGCCCTTTGCAAAACTACTTTCAACAACCACGCCCTTCATCACGGCCTCACATTTCCTCTTCTCTTCACCGCTGCCAAACCCAAATGCAACACCCCGTCTCGCTGCCCTCTTGACCATCTCTTTCTCTTCAGCTCTTCGTTCACCTTCTTTCCTTTTCGCTTTCATCTCGTCGGTTTCGTGGGTTCGTTCCGCCCAGCCCTTCTCACCCCCAATGCTGCCGTTTATATCTGATTTCTCTTGCGGAGGGCGGATTTTGCCGCCACCAAATCCGAAAACTTGGTTTTCCGTATCCTGTTCGTTCAAAGCGATACCACCCGTGGCGTGCTCAAGTTCTGAATCCGATGTGGGCTTCTCATTACTTGTTGCATCGGGAGCCGCTGGTTGTGCTGCGGGAGGAAGATCATCAACCATATCCACACTTCGCCACTCATCCTCTTTCTCCAACACACCTCTCGCAGCCCTATTCTTCCTCCTTCCAAAAACCTTAGTAGGATCCTTCTCTCTCTGAAAAACTATTTCCTCGACCGTCGCGCACTCGACGATGATCCTTGGATCGCCTTTTACTGCTTTTTTCTTTTTACCGCTAGCCTTCTCGTGGAATTCTTTGCCATGCCCGCTCACAGGGCCACCATCGCCTTGCAAATCGCTCTCCTTATCTTTTAGAGACTCAGGCGTTGCGCCATCTAGTAGTGCGGCGAAGACTGCCTCGATCCTTCGGTCAACAGGGCGAGGTTTATTGTTTCGACACCGTGCGGAACAGTATTTGACTTCCTGTCCCGCGTGTTTCTTTCGCTCTCCTATCACGCGGCCGCAACTGTGGCAGTAGGGGACTGCATCGCCTACAGTCAAGTACAATGGTGGCGGCGTAGCTTGGGATTTGGAGGGACGAGACCAACTGTCCATCCACGACATATTGGAGAAGCCTTTTGATGCTGCTGCTGAGTGCTGATATAATGTACGGCTAAACAATCGATACTCGCGCTGAAATTTGAGAGTGGTAAGTCTGATGTTCAGCCTGAGGTGGGAAGTGTGACGAGTGAGGATACTGCGAGGTGTCGACGTCATTGGTGAGATTCCGAGTGCATGAATCTGGAATTGATCGACTGGAAGCAGAATGTGACGGCACAATCATTAACCAAGAGAAATTAGAGATTGTTACAACACATTTTAATGAGGAGAAGCACGTCGATCATTGTTTTGTGTCGTAAATTGCGGGATGTCCAGAGGTTCAAGTGTTGGCTGCATCGACTAGCCATTATTGGTTTAGCTCACTGCGCAAAAGTGCGTTCAACCATGAAGAATAAATGGAAGTCACAAGTCCGGAACGAGAACACGTGTCAGCAACGCGCTTGGAAATTATAGAACGAGACACACGAAACATTGTAAGAATAGACGGACGCGGTTCGTCTCGATAATCAAAGTACAACATAGGTCACGCAGACCAAGGGGTATCAATCGTGAAGCAAAATCTCACAGCCATCCCAGTTGGTTGCCATAACGCCGAGAAAAACACCTGCTCATCGCTTTAGAGTTAGTGCTACCACTCCCATCCATCATCTCTCAACTGCCTTTCCATGGCAGGGGTGACCACACCATCAAACCCAGGTCGCAAACCTGCACCGGATCTGCCTAGGTCAGCATGTAGTATCGTCGGCAGGATTCTAGGCTTACTTGATCATGTTCTTGGCCATTACCCTGGCCTTATCTTTCAGGTCAATTTGCGAACGTTGTGCAATCCACTGGCCATTCTCCAACGCATGAAAGTATTTGCGAGGGCTTTCTTTATCAATCGCAAGTATTCTGGCATACTGTCGCGGACAGTCTGACATGTACGATATCAGAGCTTCTTCTTCTGCTGTGGTCCACATTTTCTTAGCTCTGCGCGGCTTGTAAATTGTGTTGGCGCGCGCTAGAGCTTTAATGTCGTCAAAAGTCGATTTTGGAGGAACCTCTTCGGTCATATCAGGGGCTTCGGGTTCGGAAGGGTCCTCATTCTCGGGTTGTTGAAAGTCTTCTATTGGCCGGAAGTCATCACCATACCTAGGCCGAGGTTGGTGACTCGTAGGTGCGCCATATGAGCTTGGGTCAGTGCGAACACGTTTGGGAGCATTTGCCCTCTGCCGTTGGACGTTTGCATTGCGAGGGACCGTTTCAAAAGCATCGTCGCCGTTATCATCATCTGACATTTCAGCGGCCTTTCGTTTCTTAGGGCTGGAACGTTGGGGTTCCTTCCCCTTCCGAGATGGATCGCCAGATGGCTCGCTTCTAGAGGGACCAGGTGGAGGCTGGCTATCATCAAATCCATCTCCAAATTCAACGCGCTGCGCATTTGCCTGTCGCTCGAACAGGGACATCCCGCGATTCTCTTTGTTGGACGCACAAGTCTCCTTCAGCAGACTGACGAAGTCGTTCGTTGATTGAGGTGGTCGCGACGATTCTGGAAGAGGTTGTCGTGATGAATCCGGAATTTCTGAATCCTTGATTGAATCCTGGACAGGTCGTGAGAGATCCAATTGTTCCACCGGCCTCGTTACGACCGTTTTCACCAACTCGCCCTCGAAAGCTTGCTCCACAGCGCCCCTCGTGGCATCTTGTTCGCCGTCCTGGTGAGTATGCGAGTCGTCATCGTCTTGTTGCGGCGACCCAATTCCTTGATCATCTCCCGCCGCCACCGGCTCCTCCTGTTCTGCATGTAACTCTTGCGGAGCAACACCCCCAAGAGAATGAGGGCGAGCGCCACCTTCTCTTGCAATCAGCCTGCTAAGAACTTCAGTGTCAACTTCTGCGTTTGGATCAAACTTTCCACTGCTTCGCCTTCGATTGCGTCCAAAAGAAGAACGGTTCTTGCGAGGCGACGACCGCGAACCAATACGACCTGTTTCTGGATCCACGATAGAACGCTCTCTTTCGGCCTTCACTCTTTCTAAAATGCCATGCGCACCTCCTTGTTCTTGAATAGCCGCTACAAGTTCCTCGTTCCGAGCACGTACCCAGCTTACTAAGCGTAGAATGAGCGCAGCCCAGGGGAATGCCGCGCTTAGATCTTCCAGGTTAACACTTTCTTCTTGTCCCTGTGACGTGTCCCCTGTCGTGAAGAACTCTCTTATGGCAGTCATGCGAGCCACAACCCTCTGAACGAATGCCTCGGGCAAAGCGGATTCGTCACCACCTAGCGCAAACGTATCCCAACCACGAACAACGCCTAACTGATGAGCGCTTTCTGAATCAGGATTGAAGAATACTTCTTCGAGCGCAGCGTCGGGATCAAATGACTCATCTGTAATTCCGTGCGAAAGAGAAGATATGGCTAATTGCGTTCGCAATTCGAGTGCCAGCTCAAAGGACTCTTGCAGCAGTGCACTATCCCCAGTGATTGATTCGCTGCCCTTGGTCCCAAGAATAAGGGCTGGAAGGAACAAAGACGGGAAGGAGCTGTCAAGCTTCCGAAGCGCTCCCACCGTGGTCTTGTCGTCTACGTCTAAAGGCATCATGTCTTTGGCAAACACTATTAGATTGGCTTGATATAGTACCAGATCCAGGCCTGTCTGAGCAGCAGTAGCATCGCAGTTGGCGCCAAAAAGTGCGGCATGCACAGCGCGAATGTGAACGTATTGCTGATGGTTTCCACGATAATGAATAAGATGGGTGCTCAGTTGCCGATCGAAGTCGTTATAGTCGGCGAAGAAGTCCGACGTTGAGTCGTGTACTTGCTCGATGCGTCGGTTGTCGTCACGAATGCCGCCATGCGCAGGAACCAGATGGTCCAGGAAATCGCCTACGACCTCTTGAAGCCTGGGTAGGTGGCGGAGTATGAAGCGAGGCTCCAACGTTTCAGCTTCCACCAAGGTGAAGGATGATATAGCGGTCGTACCAGACATCTCGGATACTGCGCCGAGCGAGCGACGGGGTAGGGCGACTTCCGTGTTTGGGAGCGACGGTGATGCGGGCGGGTGCTGGCTGGTGATTTGTGTGTCAACTTCTTCTACAACTGTCAAGTCTGTCGCAATATCAGCTGGCCGTTGAGAATTGTACAACATTCCCGATGCGCATGGCTGCGGGCTATTCGCGCGTGCGCGACCCACCTGCAATGGCTTCCTTTTGCGCCGCTTTTCGCTTTGCCCTTGAAAGTGCTCTGCCCTCGGGTTCACTTTCACTGAACACGCTGTCGACGCTTGCTTGGCGCGCACTGCGGCGCGTCGGCTTCGCGGACTCAATGGGTGCTTCAACGTCGCGGCTTGCGCTTCTCGTCCCTCTTCGGCGCGTCAGCCGCCCGGCTTGTGGAGAGGTTGTTTTGGGCGGCGGTTGCGGGGCTGGAGTTGTGCGCCGGCTCGATGACCGCACGCCTCTGCGATCTGCCATGATGGCGGTGCCTGACCGTAGTTACGGTTGCGTTTATGGTGCATGCAAATGCGCGGGGCGTCGGTGGTGTTTCTGGAGGTTGAGGTGCGCGTACCCACAACACTGAACATGCGCCTACCCACCTTACCTAAGGCAGAAGGCACGACCGGATGCACGTCGTCACATGATCTGCCTCACGCGGGCGGAGGCACTCACCATGGGACGACCACGATGGAATGAAGACTCATTTTCAATCTTCTACAATTTGCTCCAGTTGTTCTATTTCTTTCTCGTGAAAGTAGTCCGGCAAGAACCTTCAAACAAGCGACCAAATCCTCGCCTCGATGTCGAAATGCTCAACGACTTGACGGCATCTGCTGATCGTGCGTTGCGTGCTCGCTATCCTACAGCGGGATAAAGACTCTGGATTGAACTGACAATCAATCCATAATACTAAAAGCGGGTGGATTTCACTCATGACAGAACGCACGCAGACTGCGAGTTGTTCAGAAACATCGACCTCACCATGACGACCAGTTAGACTGTCAGTCAAAGTAGCGCCCTTCGCAAGTTTATTGAAAGCTTGGAGGTGCTGCGTGGTTGAGGGGCTGCTTGCGAGGGAGTGGCTCCTGCAATTGTGGAACAGGCATGGAACACGGCTGCAGAAGGGGCAGCATCAGGAGTGTGCACCGCGTACGCTGGAGACGTTGACGAAACAGGCGACTGGCTGGACACTTGTTTGCCGTCGTTTCCATTGCAGCCCCTGAAAGTATAGTAACTGGTCGGTCTTCTTAGCCAACCCTGGACGCGGACCGCATACGCATACCCCCCTTGCGCTCCTTGCACCCATGGTCCGTTCCGTCTCCTAAACCGACGCCGCGTAAGAACGTCGGCGCTGCGCTGACACCTAGCACTCCACTCGACACTCCAAAAACAGCTCTGTCCCATTCTCTGCACTCGCTACATCGTAATTTTGTACAGCATTGGCGTGCATCACCGCCGCATCGAATCTGGTCCCACGTGTCCACTTACTGCACGCACCTGCACCCCTGCTCGCGTTTTCGTCGACGCTCCACAACCATCATGAGGCTGCGACAGCCTCGCGCGACGGCCCTCCTCCTGCTGCTGCCCGCAGTGCAGGTGCTCTCCGCCCAGGTCCTTGCAGGCGCCGATGACAACAAAGTTGCGCGCGGCGAAACTACTGACATCGCCACCGCAACGGGCGCACCGGCGGCAGCGGCAGCTCTCGGCCCCGGCAACAAAGGCACCAAAGATGCCCCAGTGGACGGATTCGACGGAAAGCCCCACGCCGGGCCTTATATCGATGAGAAGACGGTGGCAACCCAGAAGGGACCCGGCGGGATAGAAGAGTTACGGCCCGGCAGTCGGAAACCAACGACGGCAGAGAAGGAGGAGCTGGAAGCTAAAATCGAGGACGACGACAGCGTCATGAACGACAAGAACAGAGAGTCCCCGAAAGGCAACACCGGCACCGAGGGCGGCGTCTCCGCGAAGGACAAGGAGCGGTTAGCACAAGAGGGCAAGACGGGCGAGAAGATGGAGAAGGTGCCCGAGTCACCCAAGGAGGTCCCGGAATTGCCTACATCGCACGGCGAGCAACAACACATCAAGGACAAGCAGGATGCATCAAAAGAAAAGAATAAGGACACAGACGGCGAGACACGTGTACTGGGCGCGCAGGGGCTCGAGGTGAGCCGCAACCAATGCTTCAGGTCGCTTTATAGCTAAACAGAGACAGAAACCCACAGATCTACCCGACAGCCCACACGACATACCGCATCCCATCCCTCCCTCGTCAGAAAAGACCAACCCGCTCGACACAACGCCCAACACAGGCTCAGGCGTCATACCAGAGGGAGGCGAGGCTGGCGGCGTCATCCAGCCCTTGCACTCGTTCGTTCTTTCCTTCACCATGATCATCTTCTCGGAAATCGGCGACAAGACCTTCCTCGTCGCTGCGCTGATGGCAATGCGCCATCCCCGCATCCTCGTCTTCTCCGCGGCCTTCTCCGCTCTCATTGTCATGACCGTTCTCTCCGCTGTCCTGGGCCACGCCCTCCCTACTCTCATTCCAGAGCGCTTCACGCATCTCGCTGCCGCTGGCCTCTTCCTCGTGTTCGGTGTGAAGCTCCTACGAGAAGGCATGGCCATGAGCCCTGACGAGGGGGTTGGCGAAGAGATGCGCGAAGTGGAACAAGAGCTCGAAGAGAAGGAACACCTGGCTAGGCAACAAAAGGGCGGCCGCAGGAAGTCGTCCATCTCCCCCTATGTCCTTGAGTCCGGGCGAGCTCGTCGCTCGCGGTCCAATTCTCGGCTGCCCGCACCTGCCCGCAGTCCCTCCTCCTCGCCAGATCGTGCTCCTTCACCAACTGGCTCGTCACTCACAGGGGCGCTGAGCGGGCTCAACAACCTCTTTTCTCTTCTCCTCAGCCCTGCTTGGGTGCAGACATTCGTCATGACGTTTTTGGGTGAGTGGGGCGACCGCAGCCAGATTGCTACTGTGGCAATGGCGGCGGGCTCGGACTATTGGTGGGTCACTGGAGGTGCGATTGTTGGTCACGGTCTTTGTACAGCGGGAGCTGTTATTGGTGGCCGTGCAATTGCTGGTAAGGTCAGCATGCGCGTTGGTAAGTGCTCCGACCCCGAATCCAGCAAATTGGCTCTAACATTATACAGTGACTCTGGGAGGCGCCATTGCATTCCTTGCTTTCGGGGTTATTTACTTGTTCGAGGCCATCTACCATGAGTAGAAACGTGCCACAAATTGGATCGAAGCATGCATTCCACGGCGCCTAGAGACATGGGCACACATACTACTATCTGCTATATATTCCTTATAATATTCTGCTCTGCAGAAATGCTCTGATCTTTTGCCCTGTAATTTTAGTACGATACGGTCGGAAAAGTTCAAGGTCGGAGACTGGAGTTCTGGCGGGTTGCATATACATGGACGAGAACATTACGATAGGATCGAGAGCATAACAGCTGCGTTGCAATAGAAGCGTTTTGCACCTGCTAGAGTTTCACTGTATGGTCTTTCGACATTGCCTCAAAGGGTCATTTAACTATACCGCGAGCAATGAAGAGAACTTCGCGTACCACGGCTCCATCCTAGGCATCACCACTCGACAAAACACCAACAAGGCACATCAAAGCTTTTCCCACGAACGTTGCCTGATTGCACGTGATGAAAGTGACGAAAGAGAACATCGTCACGGCGTTCAAAAATGCGAGCTAGGGAAAAGGCCAGTGATTGGCCGATGCCCAAGCCCTGCATATGCACGGCCCACGCGTCGGTGGGGATGTTCATGTCTATCACCAACGTTCACTTCGATCGTATTGTCCTCAGCTCACAATATCTTCACAAGCGCCCCACCAACAGATCATTCCCCATGGTTCCTTCTCCGCCTGCGACTCGCCGCTTCCGAAACTTGCGCTACAGAAGTTCACCGACGACATCCAAGCACAGCAACAATTAATCTGTGTCTTGCGCGCCCATCTTTCCGCCCAAAGTGGCGACACCCACCGCCCTCAACCCCCGAACCTCTCAACTCCAATTGCACAACCCCTAAATCGCCATGGTTTCGGCAACAGTCAATCCTGCGCCGTCGGTGCGCGAACGTCCGCGGCCACCACCGCCTGCCGTCGCGGAAGCAGAAGAGCAATGGATATTCACAGAGGATGAGCTGCTGCAGGCGCCCTCGATTGTCGACGGCATGTCGCCAGAAGAAGAGCGCGCGCTGCGACGCAAAGGAGTCAACTTCATTTTGCAGGTCGGCATGATGCTCAAGCTGCCACAAACGACGCTCAGCACCGCCGCCGTCTTCTTCAATCGCTATCTCATGCGCAACAGCTTGAAACCCCGGCCAGGCTACAAGCCCCTACACCACTACGTAAGCTTTTATACCCACATTCATCAGGAACCTGATCTGACAGATAGCCAGCAAGTTGCCGCTACCGCCTTATTCCTAGCCACAAAGGTCGAAGAGAACGTTAGGAAAATGAAAGAGATAGTCGTAGCGTGCGTGCGAGTAGCACTTAAGGATCCGAACAAGCTGGTCGACGAACAGACAAAGGACTTCTGGAAATGGCGAGATACAATCTTGTACTCGGAAGATGTCCTTCTAGAATCGCTCTCCTTTGACATGAACATCGAACCGCCGTACAAAACCATGTATGACATGCTCAAGTATTACAACGTGGAGCATAACAAGCGCTTGCGTAATGCTGCCTGGGCATTTCTCTCCGACTCCTGCCTCACACAGCTATGCCTGCTCTTCACATCCCGCACTATCGCTGCAGCATCGCTTTATGCCGGTGCACGTATGGTCGAACTGGAACTGCCAGAGGAAGACGGCAAACCTTGGTGGGAGATTCAATACGTCAAGCTGCGCGACATTCGACGTGCGTGCAACCACATGGCCGACATATACGAGACAGTACCCAGCAAAGATGGCGAACCAAACATATACGCTGGCTTGCGATCACCCGAGGATGGCTCCTACTTCGATACACCGACACCGGGTCAGCACCCGATGCCGGAACCAGAGATAGATCCCGAACCCGAGCCCACCAATGGCAACGAGAATGGCAAGGACGACGCTAACGGTGGTGACGAGGTCATGAGTGAAGAGGGCGAACTGGATGGATAGAATTCTCCAAGACCGGGCAATTGCTCGATGGGTCTTCTGGACTGCTCCGGAAAGATCGTGCGGAAATACCTTACTACACCTCGTGAATTCCCGGATGCAGTGGTTCCCAAAAACTACTGCAACTGTCGAAGCAACTGAGTATATCATGAAAAGATAGGTCAGGTGTTAGCCGGCGCAGATCTCCGGAGGCACGATTGATATAGTCTTCATCTGTTCTTGTCCTGCGAAGCGTACACATTATTAGGCGTTTATAGGACGTTCGGTTTTCTATGGGCACAGATAAAAGATACCCTGGGTCAGGGGTGCAGGCTCTCACGTCGCTTGATTAAATTCACAGAATTAGCGTACAGCGTAAAGCAACTGTCCACTATGTGAAAGCTTGGTTTTGATAACATGTTGCGCACTCTGATGTACTCTCTCATTCAATCATTCAATCCTTAGAAACAAGGTTAGCCCAGTCGGGCTAGTCATATGCACTAGCCATCGATATCAAGATGCCGAGGCACGTCACAGATATCCCTGTCATTCAAGTCTTGACCTCAACGGTATTTGCCCCTTCCCAAAGACTGATTTCCCTCTCTTCTTGTACTTCTTTCTCCAGACTGCTTTATTTCCGTATCAGGCGCATCATTTGCTTGGCCAGACACTCAACCACTAGCTATACCCCCTGCTTCAATTTGCACACCACATCGCCACAATGGAGTCTTCCCCCTCCGCAATGTTGAAGTTGTTGCTACCCAAAACACCGTTCATCTTCAAGACTGCACTGGCGCATACCTTCCACTTCTCGGAAACATCTTCCAAATGGGACTTGCGGACCGAAGTGACTATCAAGGTCCTCCGCGACATGCTTGGCCCAAACCACAAACTAACACCAATCACCAAATTGCAACACCTCACGACCAAAGATACCGGCGTCAAGGGCAAGGTGTGGATATGCAAGGTGCATCTCAAGACTCCCGAGGAAGACGACGCTCGGCAGCTGGTCTTCAAGTCCATCCAGGAATTGGGCGATGGATCAGAGAAGTGGACGAAATGCGACATGCACGCCGTAGAAGGAGAATGGACAGGCGGCCGCGCTGGCATCTCAGACACCGAGCCCGAACCTACAGATCTAACCGAAGGAGAGAAATATGCAAAGCTGATGGGCGAAGTAAAGAGCAAAGTCACGCTCTTGTATTTCCACGGCGGCGCAATGTACCTCTTGGACCCGGCGACGTATCGACACTTGACAGGACGTGTAGCGCGCTTGACAGGCGGTCGAGTCTTCAGCGTGAGATATCGTCTGGCGCCGCAGAACGCGTTTCCCGCTGCGCTACTGGATGCTTTCATGGCCTATCTCTCGCTCCTTCACCCTCCGCCGGACGCACCTCACGAACCCGTACCTGCGGCCGAGATAGTGTTCGGAGGCGACTCGGCGGGTGGCATGCTCTGCACCTCGCTCCTCCAGCTTCTCCTGCAAATTCACCGTTCCCATACCGGGCCCGGTCTTCCCACCGTCCGCTGGTACGGGAAGGACGTCGAGATTCCACTGCCAGCCGGCCTCGCCCTGAGCTCTCCCTGGCTCGACGTCACACGCTCGCTACCCTCTCTCGAAGGGCTGGCAAAGTACGACTACCTCCCTCCGCCATCGCTCACACTGGGTATGAACTACCCGCCTGACGCTGCGTGGCCGGCGAGTCCGCCGCGCGCGGACTTGTACTGTGAGGGCGAGGCGCTTATGCACCCGCTCGTATCGCCTGTCGCAGCGTCGGACTGGTCAGGGTCCCCCCCTACATTTTTCGGATTAGGAGAAGAGATGCTCCGTGACGAGGATGCTGTTCTAGCAAAGAGACTTCACAAGCAAGGTGTCATTGTAAGGTGGCGCGAATTCGAAGCCATGCCACACTGTTTTGCCATGATGCTTGACGCGCTGCCCGCATCGACGACGTACTTTGAGGAGTTTGCGAAATTTTGCAGTGAGGTGGTGGAAGGCAAGGTTACGAGCGATGGCGAGAAGCTGCTGGCCAAGACGCTGAAGAGGGAGGCTGTTGATCTGGAGAAGGTGACAGAGCTGACCGATGAGGAGATAGCAAGGCACATGCAGGAAGGGAAGGAGCGGATCATAAAGAAGCATGGAGCTGCGGCCACAGAGGCGCGCCCGATGCTATGATCTGGAGGTGACTGTGAGACAAGACACAAGCGTACATATCATATACCCGTAGAATACATAGAGCACATCATATTATTGTCCAATTAAAAGTCTTACAACAAGTACGAAAGTGGTATTTCCCCGTCATACGTGACCCTAGCCAACCTAGCACGCACTTCTGCTTTTTTTACACTGGAGTTTTCCAGCCGAACTACCTTTCTCTTTGGGATTTCCGCCTGTTCAAACCCATCCGCTCTATACTGCTTTCCATACTTGTTCCGATTCCCGAATCCGTTAAAACGTCCGCCGCGGAGTTGGGTATTGGTTCCTCCAGCAGGAAGTCATCGTCCTCGTCATCGGCTTCGGCCTCTTCTTTGGTAGGTATGTCCTCCAATGCTGGGGTGGCACGCTCTTCCTTGGGCGACGAAGAAGAGTAGTGCAATGGCTGATGCGAAGATAGAGTCGGAAAGGTGCGACTTGCATCGCTCAATGGCGTTGGTGGTTCTGAGTCTGCAGGCTCGGTTTTCGGCGTAACAGCGCCTTGCTCGATTTTGAACTTCTCTCCGCCCCTCGTCGCGTCCTCGTCGTCGAGCTTTCCTAGGAAGAACGCGAAAACCGCCCAGGTGAAAAGCAGAACACCCATTTCGGTCGCCCAGAACACGCTGATGAACACCGCCGCTGAAGTGAATCGATAGGTATACATGACCCACCTCAGGCCCTCCAGTTTCGCTACGAATCCCACACTCACACGATATACCTCGAGCGGGATCTTGGACCGAAGCTCTAACCTGATCGACGTGGGTACATTTCTCCACCCTTTATCGAACTGAACACCTTCCATGACCATCACGCTCACCGTCTCGCTCTCGGTTCCCCAGCCCAGAACGTACAGCGGCAGCCTCAACAAACGATAGCTCAGCTCGGTCAACCAACTCCTGTACGTCAATATAGCAGGGCGTCTACTTCTTGCCAGGACCTCAGTCTTCCCCACGCTTCCTTGCGCAGCCTCGTCTTTAGCAATGCTCTCCTTCGTCGTACCAGAATTGGGACCCTGCGAGTAGTCATCAACTTCCCAGTCGTCCTCCCATCCTAGCATCGACTTAATACCAGGGGTGCGCGTCCCAGGGCCCCGCATATCCAGCCCAATCATCCAGTTTCCCCCCGCAAGATTCTTTTCGCTGCGCGGAAGCACCATGGTGACTTCGACATCGTATTTCTGGCGGGAGACGAGGCCGTCGATATTGGCAATGCCGTAGGGGTGCTTGGGGATCCGCACATCGAGTGTAGGTGCGTCACGCGTAGGAGCTATCGAGAGAGCGTGTTCGTATTGGAGGTAGATGGGCACTTGGAGCCCACGGATAGGAATGTATGCGTAGTAGAAGGAGGTATATGCGATCACGGCGGCGGCGAAAAGGAGCGAAGAAGTAAGCAGGAGGAGTAAGGTGCGGAGGTACGTTCTCAATAGAGGCGGGGAGGTCGCTATGCGAAAGGGCGTGAGGCATATGTCCTTGTGTAGGGTCAGTCGAATTCCCAATGCTGGATCTGTCGCGCTGAGACATGCGAGGGTGCTCTAGCGTCGCAAAACAGCTTGGCACTCACTTTGATAGATTGGAAGAGGGTTCCGGACGCAGTGGATTCGTGTTCGACACGGTCCATTGCTCTACCGGCAACCACGCGACGCGAGTGTTCTGGCTGTGAAGTTGCACATGAGAGAAACGTTCCGCGGCAGCGGGGTGACGTCGGTGGAGCGGGAGCGGGAGCTTGGAGGAGCTTGGGCCGATGCCAAATCGGCAGGGTATGCTCAGACCTTCTACTCCACGCCATCCCACGTCGCGCGGCACAGGTAGCATGTATCCCGCGTCTCGCATTAGTGCATACGTCTATTTGGACAGGTGTGTTATTATTGCCTTGTAGTGAAAATCAATCGCGTCACAAAGATCTCTGTCCGCAAGGGCAGCCTTTTGTTTTTTTTAAAGCTTCATTGCTATCTGGCGAGGAAAGGACGTTCATCAATACTCCTACACATGGGCACTAAAAAGAAACAGAACATGGGAAGAAGATTCCCCCACCCAATCCATACCCCGGGCCCAACAACCAACACCTGCAAGAATCTGCAGGATAAGCGCCGAACCATGATGCACGCAATGAGCTCGTCGGTCCAGACCCCGCCAAGCCACACGCCAGACGAGGAACGCCCAAAATAACGCCAGGAGAAGCGTCGCATTGGCTATTCAGGTCGGAACGAAAGGAAACCACGTAATACTGTTCGGAGGTACTCTTAGTCTAGGAAGAGTCTAGGCAGGAAAACAGTCCATGACAAATCCAACGAGAAACACAAGGAAGGGGAATCGAAACACAAGGAAAGAAAGGTACTTTGAGAATAACCTCGAAACGAGTGTCCTTTGCTTGAACAGTCGCATCCTCGACTTTTGCCGGGCAGTTCGTGTAAACCGCTCAAGAAAAAACTTTTGGTATCCATGCAATGCACAACCAATTGTGTATTAAAGACACAGTCGTAAGATATAACCAGGAAAAGGGCCGTGGGTATCGTAAGTTCGTTCGACATTCGTTTGGAGATTGTCGTCACATCTTCTATGAACCTCCAAATCTCCAAGACGTGTTCGTGACGAAGCTCGCGGAGCAGATGAATATTCGTGACTAAGTGAAAGCGCCCATCCTAGGAGCGCGAGGAGGAGGATTCATGAGTGATTTGTTCAGCCGAGATGAGGCCTTAGTAACACCACTCAGGGGAGAGCTGGCGTTGACCATAGGCGAGCTGGCTTGGAAAGGAGATTTGGCTGTCCTCTTCGCCGATGGTCGCTTGCGAAGCGGCGTCATTAGAGTCTCAGCGGACTTCCCAGAGCGGACAGGACGAGAGACAGAAGCTCGGATAGTTGGGTCAGAGGGTAGCTGAGCAATATCGCGGTAACGATTTTGGTTGTTACGGAAGGCAGTGACAACTCCACGGTCAAAATGTTGGAGCATCGCGTCAGATGTCGTTCTCTTTCGATTGACTGGGGAATCGGCCATGGGGGTAGAATGAGCAGGCGTGGAGCCAGGCATGGCCATCGTAGAGGCGGCTGGGGTAGCGGGCATGTCTGTCTCATCATCCTCCTGTTCCACGTCCGTTGCATCGACGTCGGAGCCGAAGTCCATAAAATCCGTGATGTTGAGATCGTCCTCGTAGTCTTCATCCTCAGCATCATCCTCGTCGTCCATGACCGCGCCATTTGTACCGATGCTAACGAAGGGGTAGAATGCTTCCGGAGGTCCTATACTGTCGGTACCGAAGAAGTAGTCGTTGGAAGGAGCCGATCCAAAGATACCGGTGAGCATGATGTCCGAAGTAGTAAAAGGATTGCTGAAGACCTCATTGCTGACTTCGCTGTCCGAAGCGTTGAGTTGTGCCAAGGAAGTACGAGGGCTATCATTAGCATTGCTGGTGGAGCTACTTTGTGCCCCATTGAGGGGAACCCAAGCAACCAGAGGAGTGCGCGGGCGATAGAAGGTAAGCCTCTTTGTGGTGCGGTTAGTAACTGCGATAGCTTTACTAAAGTCCTCGTGGATAAAAATCCCACGAGTCGGTGGGATAGCACGACCAGTAGGTCTGAAAGATCGCTCGAAAGCTTGTGGACTGTTGAATCTAGAGCCTGGTGCGGAAGAGGGCTGACGCAAGACTGATTTCCTACGCAGCGGCGTTTCAGGAGGAGCATCCGAATCAGATTCATATTCATCAGTAGTATCACCCATATCAGCTAGAGCGGGGAGTTAGTCTATACATAAGTACACAAACTGGAGGTTTCATACTTTCGTAGCCACTGGACCCCGGGTCAGAAGATTCTTCAAACTCTTCGGCTCCTGGATGACTTTGCTGCAGCTCATCTTGACCAAAATCCCAGAAGGACATCTCGGATGCAGGAGAATCATAGTCACCGTAGTCCTCGTCGTGGTCATATTCTAAAAGTTGAGACAGGCTTGCAGGCAGTTTGTCCTGGTCGAGGAATAGATCAGGATAGAGCGAGCTGTCCAATTCATCGGAAGAGGAGCTGGAGCTGTCCGACATCTGGACTTCATCGTCGAAGCGGACGCGCTTAGTAGAGCTGTCTGAAAATTTCCTCTTCGCTGCTACCTCAGGCGACGCTGGTATGGGAGCCGGTTCAAAAAATCGAGCAAACCCCATGTCAGCGTGATTTACATCATAGGTCTGGTCGAGTGAGCCAGCGAAGTCGAAGATGTTGTCGCTCGCGAGGCTGTCGAGGCTCAGTCGACGTGCATCATTGAATTGGCTGATGAGCGCGGAAGTGCTGTGCATCTCATCTTGTATGATAAAGCTCTCTTCTTGCTCCTCAATATATTCTATTTCAGATTCATCCTCGGGAACGAGGTTGACACCGCTGTAATCTTCGTCATCACTCTCAATGGCGTTCTCAATGTCATTCATGTCCTCATTAGCGTTCTCCTTATACTTCAATAGCGGCTTGAAGCTGCTGTTGCTAAGCTTCCGAGCAATCTTGCGTCGGGGAAAGGTGTGATCCGATTCGTCGTCGCCGAACAACACCGAGGTGTTGGAGACGTTGCTGTAGGTACGCTTCTTGTTGCCCGCCAGCAAGCTGCTCGCAAGATTGTGGCTGACACTCAGCCCCGTCTCAGGAAGAGCAGGTTCTTCCTCTGCTTGTGACTCGTCTTCCCCAACAGGCTCGATGCGGATGGCGGGACGCATTCCTTTACCCTTGCCCTTGCCACGGCCATGAGACGGGGCGATCGTGTCTGGTTCTTCTTCGTCGTCTTCCTGTTCATCCTGAGCAGCACTACTGTCTTCGTCATCATCATCGTTGGACGTTTCTTCGGCAGTGGCCTGGCCGCCAGCATGGCCAGTGTCATTCGCGTCGGCATCGTTGGAGGAAGCGGAGCGCTGGTCGGTTCTGTGGATTCCAGCGGGAAGGTCGTGTGTGGCATGGTGTTCATGCAGATGCCGCCCACCCAGCTCAGCCATGACGGCGCGGGATTGGAGTGAGTGCACCATTGAATTGGTTGATTTGCTTTTCTCTTCGTGCGGATTCGTGAGATGCGATGCTGGCTCGCAGAACACTGGAGGAGAGGGAGAGAGGGAGTAGAGGGGGGAGGTTGGACTGCGGTCGGAAGAGTTCAAGATAGCAGCGTTCGGTCGAGTGAATTGTGGTGTACTTGGGGCAAGGCTCTTAACTATGTCGGGCCTTGGATGGAGTCGATTATCTGGTGGGATTGTCCAACAGAAATGACAATAATGGGTTGGCAGCGCAGGGCAGACGACTGATCAATCTTCAAGACGAGTGCGAGCAGAAGTGCTTCACGCAATCGTGGATTGTATCGTCGTAGAGGTGTGAATATTCGTGAGCGGCCGGCTGGAGCGGCCCACATGGATTGCGGGCCGCCCAGAGGGGATTTAGAGCTCAGCGATTGCCTGCGGCATTGTCTCGACGAAGATGGTGTAGTAGATGTTTCTGTGGTCTCTGAGGAGAATATGGCGACTTCGTTGTCTGTAGGTGGTGTGGAGAGTGAGGGAGCGGGATGGGCGCTCTGCTCTTTCCTCAAAATTTCGGGAAATCTTGGCCCGCTTTTCCCTATCGAAACAAGCTCGGGCGCTAGCGCAGTATCGTACCAGCGGCGGTGAGATCGGAGAGTCACAGCACGTATGAGCCAACCTTCAGAGGCAGCCAACAGCAGCGCAAGATGAGCCCTCGATGACTCTTGAAGCTCTGAGTCGATTCAGGCTCCAGCCTAGACGGCCGTCGCCGCTCGCCCTCGGCGAAGTACTACGAGCGGTTTGCTCGTGTCGTGTGCCCTGCCCCTCGCGTTGGACAGGAACACTGGCCAGTTCCCCACCAAACTAGGCCCGAAGACTCAAAACGCATCGATGAGGACAACGGGGCTCAATCCAGCGTCAGGCTGCTCGAGAGGGCCGTGATTGGCCGGTCGTCATACGCCAGCTTGACGAGCCCCGCGCATCCCAGAAGACGTGCATGCATCGCACATGGCCTCGCTCGCACTGCCCTTTCTCTGTCCAGGACGAATTTCTTCCCGCGTCGTCATAGCTAATTTGCTGCACGACAATCATTAGGGCTACGTGAAAACCTCTCCGTGGATCGTCCCGTAGAAGCTGCCCTTGACGTCGCCATGCCTTTCGATGCGCTTTGGCACCGGCAGAGAAAGGGCGGTGAAGCGGTGCAAACGCAACCGTGCCAGAAGTGTACAGTGGCCCGTGCACATGTCGTCTCCAAGCCTACGTGAGACATGGGCTTGTAAATATATAGCCTGACCCCCTCGAGACGCGCGAGTGCGGAGTAGAATTGCTTTTTTGGGTTGGCTACATGGTACGCTCGAGCAACAACGCTTCTCTCCCGGCTGCAAAACGAGACTCAATTCACTTGTCTGGTTGATGCTGCTGGCCAAACTGCGCTGCAGAGGGGGTATCAATAACGTGTCATCGGACCCTGAACTTGACTGATTGGGCAGGTAGCCCTGTGTCACTTCACAATTCCATGAATGGGCCGACGCCTCCCATTCGTTAGCCTCCGCAAAGGCCAGATATATTGCGAGTCCACACATGTCAACGTATTGCAACCTTGGACCAGTGGCGCTCACGTGTACAGGTGGATCAAGAAATTGTTTTCAACTTTTTTTATGGAACTTATACTCCAAGTCCGAGCCAACGCAATTCGCCGAAGCCGGCCCTTTGTCTACAACCCCGGTCCTTCCTTTCATGGCCGTAGCGTCGCCGTAGGCGCCGCCGGAGCCTCAAGGCCAGCTAGTTCTGCAAGGTTGCCCAGATCTCGAATGATATCTTCATAGTCGAATCCCAAGTAGTACAGCATCTTTGCGGCCCACTCGAGCGTCTTGCGTATTTCACCGCGCTTCGCAACCGACGCTTCTTCGCCTCTGCGTTGCATCTCTTCATGCTCTTGTTGCATCTTTCGTAGAATGGCCCAGACCGTTTGCCGATTGGCATGAATGCGCCCTAGCAGAATGAGCTTTGCCCCAGAAGCCTGGTGGAGCTCGATGTTTTCAGGGCGGCTCTCGTACTCCTCTGACTTGGTGGGGCGATACTTCGACATGGTGGGCAACCCTCCAGGGGCTCTATACGGCTCGAATGTGCGAGGAGCTTGGTAGCACCACATCTCCACCACTTCCTTGGCTTTCAGGGTCCCGTACCCATCAAGCACTCCACTTAGTATGATGTTGAAGTCTTCCGTGGACAGCTTGATGCCCTGTTGTGCCGAGAAGGTTAGGAATTGGGAGCAGTAGCCCTTCCACTCAACATGAACAGAAGACAGTATTGCAAGGACGCAGTACAGCTCCTTCCGCATGTCGTTCACGACCAAGCTTTCCCACGTGAAGAGCAGATTCTTAAACGCAGTACGAGCATCTTCCTTGGTCGTTGCACTGCCTTCAGTTGGTGCCGAGAGGCGAAGTAGTTCTGCAGCAAACTGCGCGATGACCTTAGGCTTGACTTGAAAACCCGGGGTCTCCAGCACATAATTCTGCATTCCACGAACGGATGTCCAGCGATGTAACTTGATCTGGCTACACAACAGTGCAGTGAAAAATTCGTGTGGCATGCGATGTTTTACAGGTAATCCTGGAGTATTGTCTGTGGTGCTCGTTTTATTCACGATCTTGAGTACTAGATCATGTTCGCCGGCCATTGTGCCGAATCGTATAATCGATGCGGCCATGACGAAGTTTCCGTACATACCTGGCCGGATCAGTGGTCCGTCCAGATCTTCGGAAAACAGAAACCATCGCCCCAGGTCGTACATATTAGCGTCGGTAATGAGATCAAGAAGTTTGGCCAGCAGCGGCACAGACAACTGATTCTCGAAAGCCGGGAATTCGATAGGGGGAAGTCGGCTCGTGAATGGTTGTTCGTGGCGGAGTGGAATGGTCTTCAATATCTCGAAAAAGTGTGCTAATGACTTCTGCTTGTTCTGATCTGTAAGCTCTTGAAGCTTCTCCAAAGTATGCATGGCGCCAGCAATGTCGCCATTATGGACGTATGATCGCATCGTCCGGTGCAGCAGGCTAATAGGAACTGTCGTAGGTTCGAAAAAGTAAGGTGGTTCAGACTCTATTGCTGCCGGTTTTGGAGACGCATTCACAGCGCTGACTTCTGAGCCGAACTCGGATGCCAGATCCAAAATGCTCAACAACACCTCTGGCCGCTTCTCAGGAACGATGCTTCCCGATTCGAGAAGACGCGACATAATTGAATCCCAGGTTGTGGAACCTAAACTAAGCGAGCTGTTGTCAAGAAACTGCTTGAGCGCTTTGATACGTTCGACAAGATACTCGGGTGTGGTTCCTCGAGCACCTACGCCCAAACGCACGTCATTGACGAGTCCGTCAACGATAGCAGTCACAACTTCACTACTAATCTTCCGCTGCATCCTTGTTCGTTGTTCAGTATGTGGTACCATTCCATCGCGAGTCCCAAACAGACCCCAGCCTTTCTGAGCGGCGTGCTCCTGTTCTTCTGCTTCAGCTTCAAGCAGCTCTTTCCAGCTCGTCAGGACCCACGGACGCTCTCCGCGATGAGAAGCGATGTCTTCCAAGATTGCAGATCCATCCAAAGTCCACCCGCCATGAAGGCAAGACCAGAGTACCAGCTCAAGCCACAGCTCGGGAGCAACTTCTGTCACCTGTATCTTGTATCGTGACCCCGGTATTTCATGTCCGAGAAAGTATGACGCATTAAGACGCTCGGTTGCGATTTTGACAGACGCTTCGTGGGCTCTCCATTGGGCATCCGACAGCGCCGTCAGGATTTTGGACGACAAAACGTGCAGGGTGGGAGGCTGCTGAAGAGCGTAATTGTCTGGATCTGGCTTGTGCGCATAAACAGAGTCTGGTATGAGACCTTTATGATGGAGGTAGGCCAGAATCTCAAGCACACGATGCATGATTAAAGCATGTTCAGGCTGATCGTCTGCAGCAGCCAAAATCATAGTCCCCAATGTGCGCCAGAGCTGTCCCAAGGCTCGTTTGATCAGTCTGTATCTCGGCCCATTAGTATCTGGAATTGAAGTAAGCTCATCCAGACTAGAAGCCGGCTTGGTATCTAGGGAGAAGGCTGAGCGAGGTAACTGAGTTCTGAGAGTATCATTTGTGAGCTGCCAGAGCGACAGGTGTTGCTGCTCGGGTGAAATGGCATGTGCGAACGGCTCGAGCTTTACGGGAGTCCGAGTCGATGACTTTCCGTCGCCGACGAGCTTCTTCGCAATCCAGACCACAGTGTCCCAGCGATGCTCCCTTAGGCCAATATGGCTCATCAGATCATGAGAATAATGTTGAGCAGCGACCAAAAAGTATGCAATGTCTGATGCCGTCACCGATGCATCGTTCGCCAGGTCGACTGCGGGTGTTGCAGGCGCATCGCGCTCGTTTGGTCGACTCCGTCGGAGATGCAGTGGGAGGAAACGGTCAATGGCGAGGAGCCAGTGCTGGATATCGGTGCGCACATGTTGTGCAGGAAGAGGTATGCACGAATCAAGCGGCGGCTTGGTCGATATATGCGGAGCCTGCCAGCCTGTTCTTCTATCGACTGTTTCGAGGGTGGATTCGGAGATCTGGACGGGTTCTGCCTTCACACTGCGGCGTTTTGCGGAGGAGAAGGGGCGACGACGGGGGCGATTGCAGGCAGGCACGAGAAACACTGGAACGGTCCAAGACGCAGCGGCGTCGGCGGTCGAAGGTCGAAATGTCTGTGAGAGCGCGCTGCGGAAGCACGTGTGGACTGCGCTCATTGATGCCCGCTGGCTTGAGATGGAGGTGTTTGCGCAAAGTGGATGATTGGGCTCAAACTTTTTATGAGATGCATGACGTCCGCCGCGTTTGCTTCCGCGACGCGTCCGAGCGTAGGCTACATAGCAGCTTCGCAAACCCAACCCCAATCTCATACTTCACTCAGTGGACACACAACTCTCAACTTGTTCCAACGTCCGTTTAATACCGCGCAAAAGCCGCGGCCTACGGTACTATCTGCTCTTCGCTCGTTTTTCCCGTGACGCGAATCAACTCTGCTTCAAGATCACACCACACTGCATACGCGCGTGCAATCATGCCGTACCGTGTTGGTAAGTACCTGCACGTGCATCACGTACGTCACGACACTCAAGCCTCCACAGACTGATTCTAGGCAGAGGAATCCAAGAATGCTCGCGCTGTATGCAAGAATAAGGAGTGCAAAGACGCAGGCGTCAAGATCCAGAAGGGCGAGCTTCGTTTTGCCACGCAGGTCACCATCCAAGACCACACCAGCTGGGCATACAAGCATTGGTAAGTTACGTCTCATTTCAAAATACACGATCGCCCTAATACCGTTAGGGGATGCGTGACGCCAGCGCAGGTCGCCAACCTCATCGAAGAAAGCGGAGGCGATACGGAGATGGTCGATGGCTACGATGAGCTTCCCGAAGACTTGAAAGAGAAGGTTGATTTCGCTCTACAGAATGCACACGTGCCCGATGAGGACTGGAAAGGCGTAAGTGCAGCAACTATCTCCGCAAGTCCAAAACATTCAAGCTCTACAGGATATCGAGTGCAACCGCCCCGGTCAGAAAGGCTTCCGTGCGAAGGCACCTCCGAAGAAGAAGGGAAAGAAAGGCGACGAGGTAAGGAAAAGTTTCCCCATTGTTATTGAACTTCTAATTAAGTGAAAAAGCAGGACGATGGAGAGGCGGCGGAAGCCCCCAAGCCCAAAGCAAAGCGAGGTCGCGCCGACAAGGAGAACGAAGAGGACGGAGCTCCTGCTCCCAAGAAAGCGCGCGGCAAAGGCAAGAAGGCTGCTGTCAAGGAAGAGGACGACGAAGATGTCGCTGCTGAGGAAGTCGAGGCGCCCAAGCCCAAGCGTGGCAAGAAGGCAGCCGCCAAGAAAGAAGTCGAGGAAGGCGACATGGAAGAGCCCGAACCGCCCAAGGCCAAGCGTGGTCGAAAGGCAGTGCCCAAGCAGGAGGTCGACGAGGACGAAGCGGAAGAGCCCGAACCGCCCAAGGCCAAGGCCAAGCGGGGCAAGAAGGCTGATGCCGATAGCAAGGCGGCCCCACAGAAGAGGTACGATAGCTATGTACCACCTTGTATTCGATGTTGGCTAACACTGTTCAGGAGTAGCAGGAAGAAGGCCACCGTTAACTATGAAGAGGAGTAGTCATTTCAGCCATGTCTAGGATTCAGTGCTTGTCGTTGAGACAGACACAAATCCCATTGCGTATCGTAAGGGGGGTGATTGTAAGGCGTTACGATTCGTAAGCGTGATAGAATGGCGTAACTGCCTCTCATGTGTACATTGTGTACTATATAGATACCCACGCGTATGGATTATTCATGGTAGTCAGTGGAGCGTCTCATGTTCCTTCTACCTCGGACAAAGTCTGTCTGGCGGCAATTTACATCATCATGGATGCACGGCCTAATCCTGCTCCTGCTACTTGTCATGGTCTACCTGCGCAGATGCTCCTACCTTCGCTCTTCGTTTCGAGCTTACCCTATCCGGCTGAAAGACGCGCTCACACACGTCACGATTTTTCGCGTTAGCGCGTCAGCGCGCCATACTCCACATCGACATCATCATAATGCTATCTACTTCCCAGATTAGCGAGTTTGCGAAATCGATCTTATGCAGATCTGCATCTTGTGCCTGATGCTAGGCAAAGCTGGGCCTTTCGTTGACGTCTGCTAACCTACAGTCGCGTTCTAGAGAAACACGATGACAAAAGATTCTAGGCGTTTTTGGATTGGGTTGTATCTAGTAGAGTAGGGAGGCCTTCCATGCGTTATTGAACCTCTGATCGGAGGAATGGGGGTTCTGTTGTACCCTTTTGCGAAAGCGTGACGACGTCTTGTCTGCGTAATGTTGACATTTGTTTGTGCACTGCACAATCGCATCGGTCGCCGTCCCTCGCTGCCATTGTTACCGTCTGAACATTGTACTGTCGTTATCGTTCAGCAATAGTCCCTAATTGCGAGCCGGCTTCATCATTAGACTTGGACGTCAAGACGAGCGTAAACTCTAAGCGTACCCAGGTTCCCTCATCGAATAATCCCAGATATGCACCTCTTTGTTCGGCTGGGCTCCCGCACGTTTCTCTGATCTGCCTCCCGCACGCGAACCTGACTATCTCTGGTCGGACTACCCTATGTCAAGCATGGCGTACCAGCCTGTCAAAGCTTCCATAGCATCCTGTTGTCATGACAAAATCCGATAGAAGGCTTACGGTCCGATTGAACCTTCTCTTGCACGTTGCGTCGTCAGAGGCTTCGGTACAGCACCATACGCATGACGTGCAACTTCCTACCAGCAAGCATATAAGAAGACCTCAAGCCGCCTGCTACATGTCTTTCCAACAAAATCCAGCTCATAATTGAAATACCAGCCTTCGCAAACTCGTCTTTCACACTTTACATACTTCTCCACCAAGATGTCTTCCGATGAACAGATTCCCGTTGGTGATGCCCGCGATAACGACTACGCCAGCCGTACTGGCCAGAGCCAGATCCCCGTCCAGCGCGATGAGGCTCCCATAGAGGACCCCTATAACTCGGTGGACGCCGACTCGGACCAACAGCTCGGTACATAAACTGTATCATTCATTCTTATTGTACGCTTACAAGGTCTAGAACGCGACGAACAGGACGCAATTGACAGCTCCAACATCGTGGACAGCCGCACTCGCGGTGCTACTAAACAATCTGGAACTTACACCGAGCCTGGAGACGATGAGGGTCTTCCAGGTCCAGAGGATGGTACGTCTTCTGGCCGCCAGTAGATGAGAGGTGTGGTAGAGGCAGGTTGGAGGAGTCAATATTGTAGATGTAACTTTAGATACCAACCAACATCCAATTGATGTAATGCTAGCAAAACATTGTTGATGGATAAGGTTGCCTCAGCCTGTTTGACCAACCATAGATATGTTCACGGGGCCATGTCGCCGCCGTGCTAATTCAAAGGCTGATTCAATACAATGGAGCATATTTGTGGGGAAAGGACAGGTGCTGCTGCTGGCGTGAAAGCGAAATGTGAAGATAGTGAAAAATGAGAGATGCGCACCTTGAACACTCACGGGCTTGAAAATGAGGTGCTGCATTCCCATTCCGAATCGCCCCATGTGTATCATATGTTGAGCTAAGAGACATGGTAACAGTTGAGGTTGTGTTTCGGAAAGCTCGTAATGGTAATGTTATACTCCCATGGAAGTCGTTCGATAATATTTTGCTAGACTCCTTCAGCTACGAGAGCAGCGCATTTAGATTCACGCTCTGATGTTCCATACACAACCTCGCCCACACGCACAGATCAGTGAATCATACTGAGGTGTGTCCTGAGGTAACATATTCATCCGACCTTCCGGCGTCATTCACCCCGTTGCCCAAGCAATTCGACTGGCAGGTGCCAAGCTCCCCCGTTTGTCGTGACCTTTCAACTTTTCAACTTTTCAATCTCACTGCGGCTTCTTACCGCGACAACGCACGGCCACCATGAAGTCCCAGAGCGAGCCTCTTGCGCGTAAGTATGTACCCTCAGTTTTCGTCAATCCAGCACTCTCCCACCTCCCTTTACCTGCCTTAACCCTGAACCCAAACACCTCAAACTCGGTCATTATGGCCCCGAACCTACCTCCCGGTGCGAGAAAGGCCAACGGCATGGAGGTCAACATATCTGGTTTCTATGGCATACACCCAATCGAGACTGGAGTCGCCTACTGGTACCGCGGACATTACATTTACTCGACTGCCGGAATCCCCGTGGAGCCAGTTCCGTTTGCAACTAAGAAGGGCGTGCACATCGTCGGTACGACTATCGAGACCGCGCCGCCGTTCCGCCTCGGTGGTGTGCCTGGTGACCGATACGAGATCGAAGTTGCTGCATTGCACAGCAGCATGGTACATGCTTGGAAGGAACAAGAGAAAGAGAAGGAAACTGGCGAGGCTGTTGCTTCTGGAGACCAGACAGATGAGATCCAAGGCTTGAAGCCGGCCGATCAAGAAATGAATCGTGAGTCCGAAGTAGCGAGTGAGCCAGCGAAGTGGAGGCTTGCCAGTGACGAGAGATTGTTTACGATGACCGCACTGACCGTACGAAGCCGCACAGAACCGCTTTCGACTCGAGGTCACCAAGAACGAAGCGGGGGGCTACTACAACGATCGGGCTATGTTTCTTGCTCAGTCCGCACCTGGTTCTCAGCATGGAACACCGACACCGTCGCGATCGAACACGCCAATGCAACATGGTACACGGTCTGCATCGATGGCTCCGTTCCGTGCCGTGGCATCTACCTCGAGAATGCAGACATTGTTGGAGCAGGCACCCGTTATCGAGGGACTTCTTGCGCTGCAGGAGAAACATCCGGGTAAGGCTTTCAAATGTACACATGCTGAAGTAGGGCGACTGACAGCTGTAGAACTTCTGAATCCACTGGCAGTCAATTCGTATATCGGCACCCTCAACAATACCGGCTCGCAGCCGTCGTCTCGCCCTCTCTCGCGTGTTCATAGCGGTCTGTCCCTGGCAGAAGGCAACAGCACGCTCGCTCAGCGGCCCTCTCGTCCTGTTTCGCGTGTCCCCAGCGGTCTCTCCCTGGTTTCCCTAGGAGCTGGCAAGTCCAAGGCCCCCTCGAGTAAGCAAAGTTTTCTCGTATTAGCAAAAACGCAAGCTTACCCTCGTAGGTGTCTCCTCGCGTAACACTTCCATCCATAAGGACATTCCCGGCCCATCCATGTTCGACCTTGTCAAGGCCCGTGAGCAGACCGCCAGCCGAGCTGGTCGCACCCGCTCCGACAGCATGAAAGCTGCCAGCCTTGCTCTGAACGTTGCGTTCAATGACTCCAACAGGGACGTCAGCGGAAAGGTAAACAAGAAGAATGAAGACAGCGTCTTGAAATGCTGCATTCACGGTGGAGATTGTGACGGAGTCACCGTTACAACGGAGCATTTGACCTTGAAGAATTTGAAGATTCGGGGCTTCAAAGAGGCGTACCCTGTAGTGATCAATCAAGGTCGGACAATGATCGATTGGTACACGCTGATGAAGGAGGAGTCACACAACGGGAAGTAACTGTTTGTTGATTTTGTCTGTTTGTCTGTTATGATGTTTTGATGTTTGATGTTGAGATCAAAGCTGTTTTCTCCTCTCTCTCGCTCGGCGTAGTAGGTTAAGCTTTAACTCTGGGCCTCCTGGCCACTGGGTCGTCCTCTCCAGGTATCATACCGTACAATATGAAATCGTCCCAATACTCCTAACATGTGTTATACAAATCACTGTTGTCCCGGCCAGAGTGCGTCCGCGACGCTCCGCACGAGTTGTAGCTTCTTCCGCATGTCTTCATATCCCAATGCATTACCTTCAGCGTGGCTTGCGAAACCGCACTGCGGGCTGACACAAAGCTGCTGTAGTGCGTCCTCGTTCGATTGGCCGGTGCCCTTTGCGACGAAATCGGCTGCTTGCTTCACACGGGCTACCATCTCGTCCTTGTTTTCGAGCTCAGGAAACTTAGAAGTCACGACACCCAAAACGGCATTCTCTGCGGAGGATTTAGTAATCATTCAAACACACGATTGAGAAGATTCTGACGTACTGTTCTTGGGGAGGTGCGACAACGGCTCGAAGCCACCGGCGCGAGGCGTGTCATATTCGAGATAGTAGGTGTCGACATTGAGGTCCTATGCAACGTTAGCAAAGAAATTAGTCGTGAGGATTACGCCCGCATACTTGGAAAAGCTTCTTCGCAATCTTGTCGTAGGCGCCTTCGGAAAAGTGGCGGCTGCCAACGTAGTTTCCACGGCACAAGTGGATACCAATGTGCATATCGTCCGGCCTCTCAAAGGCCTTGTTGTAGAATTTGACGTAAGCATCGAACATCTCATCCGCCGTCTTGTCATTATCCTTGTCCGCTGCCCAGCCTTCCAACATAGCCTCGGAGCAAAAGTATGCCAAGTTCGGGTCGTCGATCTGGACGTTCCTGATTCCCTGGCCGTGCAGGAACTTCAACTCGTCCTGGTATGCCTTCGCTACGTCCTCAAAGTACTCCTCGTCGTTTGCGTACACGTCCTTGGGATAGGCTCGGCCAGCTTTGTATCGGAAATGGTACCATGAGGGCGAAATTAATGTGATCTTGATGTTCTTCCATTCGCTTTCCGGCACTAGCTTCTTCATGATGTCGACCTCGCGTTGATTGCTCGAGTGCCCCGGGTGCGAAATCTTGCCCGTGCATACTGTGACTTGGTTCGGAATTTCTTTCGACTCGAAGAACGATTTGACGTCAGGCGCATACGGCCGGAACATATCCTTGTCGTAGCCCTTCAAAATACCGAGTTGCAGCTCCTTCATGCCATTGAGCTCTTCGAAAAAGGTGCCCCAAAACATGTGTCTTTACCATGCTGGTCAGTTACCGCTTTTGGACTTCGCGCTACAAAGAGCATGCAAAATACCTGGTGTATTCACCACTCGAGACAGCGTGGAGTCCTGCATCCTTCTGCAGCTTGATCACTTGCTCAATGAGCTTGTCTTCCAATGGGACTAGCTCCGATGCCGGGGCCTTGCCTGCAGCAACATCGTACCGCTTCTGCACCAGCTCCTGGGGACGGAGCAACGAGCCGACGTGTTCAGCCCTGAAGGGCGGGTTCCTCTTAGCAGCAGACATGGCAGATTGGACAGATGAACGAGACGATTGAACGAGAGATCGCAATGGAGTTTGCGAAGACCCTTTTGCCCCTCATTTATTGCCCCACCACTTCCACCACATTGCCCCGCCGCAGCTACGGGCAAAGATGGTCAGCCTGGCATTCATCCTATGTGGCATGTCAGCAACGGGGACAAGGTCTTTCGCCTTGTGCTAGGACCTCATGCACGTCAGCGTGGGCTACCCGCGTCCACGGGAGCTCTACAAGCGCGGCTCTGCGCCGTGAAGAAGTTGCCACCCGAGACAGTAGCGGATGCTGACGTATGGTTACCACCACTGGCAATAGGCAGTACGGCGGAGATAGATGTTACAGATGTTTGATAAGCATCGAGGAGTTGGGGCTATATCCGAATGTCGCTTCGGTTGCTCTTGCCCCGCAGCTAGTACATAAGGGATGGCGACATCATGTCTACGCTGTCGTTGACGCCGTCTAGGTTTTCTGTAATCAATCCCTCTTCTCTCAACACCCTACAACTGACACCACTCGTCTATTCCCTTTTGCATTCGCAACAATGACCAGAGTCCTGCTCACTGGCGGAAGCGGCTTCATCGCTGCCCATACTTTGGATGTGCTTCTAAAGCGAGGACATTCCGTCGTTACGACGGTGCGCACTCAGGAAAAGGCCGACAAGATCAAGGCAGACAACAAGAGTGCCGTCGACAGCGGCAAGCTTAGTTTCGCCATTGTGCCAGATATTGCGCAGGAAGGCGCGTTCGACCAGGCCGTGATATCAGAGCCTCCGTTCGAGGCCGTGTTGCATACAGCCAGTCCATTCCACTTCAACGTGACAGACGTACAGAAAGTGAGTGCACCCCAGCAACGAGTTAAGCGTTGCAGCTGACCAATTAGGACCTTATTGACCCTGCAGTCATCGGTACCACAGGTATATTGAAGTCGATCAAGAAGTCGGCACCTTCGGTGAAGCGCGTTGTAATAACCTCATCTTTCGCGGCAATCGTCAATCCCAGCAAGGGCAATTGGCCAGGCCATGTCTATTCCGAGGAAGACTGGAATCCTATCACCCAAGATGAGGCGCAAGAGAGTCCACAGGCAGGATACCGAGCTTCAAAGACCTTCGCTGAGAAGGCGGCATGGGAGTTCCTTGAGAAGGAAAAGCCCAACTTCACAATCGCTACAATCAACCCGCCATTAGTCTTTGGCCCAATTGTAAGTGTCCGCATATCAGGCCGGCAGGCACATTCACTGACGCAATACTACAGATTCACGCTCTCGACAGCTTGGACAACCTCAACACGTCGAACCAGCGTATCTTGGCAGCCGCACAAGGCAAGTGGAAAGACGAGATTGCAGCTACCGGCGTGCATATGTGGGTTGACGTGCGAGACGTCGCTGAAGCCCACGTCGCTGCCGCGGAGAAGGATGATGCAGCCAACAAGCGTTTCTTCACATTAGCCGGTCACTTCTCGAACAAGGAGATCGCACAGATTGTCAAGAAGCACTTCCCGCAGTTCAAGGACCTGCCTAGCGACTCTACGCCGGGAGGAGATTATCCGGAGGGTGGATTGAAGAATTACTTCGGTTTTGACAACAAGCGCAGTATCCAAGTATTGGGACTGAAGTATAAGACGTTCGAAGAAAGTATCGTTGATACGGTCAAGTCATTCCAGGCGAAGGGACTATGATGCCTGCGTTGAGTGCGATATTCGAATAGAGCGCAAGTATAGATGCTGTTTCATGGAATGTCACGGAGACGACTATAATCCGATGATTGTCCTATGCAGTCGTCAGCAAAAGCTCAAACTGAATTGAGATATGTGTATGGAGTGAGATGTCTCAGATTGTTGAGCTTGACATGCTTAATTTAAACTTCATCGAAAACTCAGAAGTTATCGTTTGAATAGTGGATCATCATAGGAAGATGCATGAGACGCAGAGATGTACTTACACTGCATATGGGCATAGCATTGAGCTATTGGCCGCCCGCGACAACACTTTTGGCGGTGGCCGAGCAGTTGTGATGGTTAAGGATGGAAGAAGCTCGAGCTTGGATCGCGAAGAAAATGAGCCGCGGAAAAAAGAACGGGCCGGTCGCAGCTGCCCCACCACGCTGTGCCTCGCATTACACACCCACGCCAGCGCAATAGCCCAACGACAACAGCCCGAGCATTTCTCGAATCTTTGAGCGCACGCTCCTTGCACACCACCTGTCACAAGCAATCTCCCTGAATCTCAGACTTGCATCGTCAACATGGCAGCAGGTAAGACGTCACGCGCATACCCCTCCATCCAGGGGCCCCGCGCCTGTAAACACTCATCGCAGTTCGCTCAGTTGGCTGACAATCACCCAGAGTTCCAGACAATTGCCGGTAACCAAACCCGAGACCTCATCCCATGCTTTATGACCCTCTAGGCCTGCCACGAGGCTTCGATTCCGCTGCGACCGCGACGCTAACAGTGTCTGCTAGAGCAATTCGTTGACTTCTACTATGACACCTTCGACAAGAACCGCCCCGCTCTGAAGGCGCTTTACGTATGAGACTTCGTCTTCGGCGATCAGACGAAATCGCTGACACTATATAGCGTCCGCAGTCGATGCTCACGTTCGAGCAAGTTCCTGTCCAGGGTGCGGATGGCATCGTCGAAAAGCTCACGGTACACAACTCGTTGCTGCATACAAATCTCGAGTGCTGACGCATCCAGAATCTCCCTTTCCAACAGGTCATTCACAAGGTTGCCACCAAAGACGCACAACCTTCTGCCGAAGATGGTATCATGGTCATGGTCACCGGTGCTCTGCAGGTGCGAAGATTCACTTTGAGGATACCCTCCCAGCACATATACTTACAGAGGGTTAGGTCGATGGACAGGAGCAGCCGATGAGCTACACTCAGACTTTCCAGCTCAAGAGCGAAGCCGGCAGCTGGTACGTTCTGAACGACATCTTCCGCCTTGTATACCCCGCCGCTTAGGCACCCAGCGACGAATCTCCGCGCGGAACTCGATCGATAGTTTTTCAAGGATCCGGTTGAGACGGTAAGAGTGGCTATGAGAAATGAATACACGCTGGGCGGCACATTGCATGTGGTGGAAAAGGAGTGAGAGTCGCAGCGCTCTCCTGAGATTGGGCATTCTAGTGCTTTTCTTCGCACATTGATAGATTGGACGAATTGAGCTATCACCTTTTGTCAGTTCACGTCCCTTTTCCATGTACGTTTGTTATCCGAAGCGCAGAGCTGTTTTCCGGGAGCGCCAGGTGCGGAAAACGCCGCTCTCGGCGCTCTTGTCGGCATTTCTCCCCGCACCTCCAGCTGTGGATCAAGTCTTATCCGCGCAACACTGCCGAAGCTCCCTGGAGCTCTGCCCATAGCCGCCATGGATCTTGTGCACGGCTACCACCTGTTTTCTTTCGCTCTCGAACCTTGCCTCCAGCGATTGACTCGCGACATTTTCTCTTGTGTTCCGCTCTATTTTCATTCCTCTCGTTAGCGCAATTGGTTTCATCTTGTTGTAGATACGCGCTCCATAATGGCTGGCTTTGTACAGAAAGGTGTCAAAAACATCTTACAAAAGAATCCCCACGATGTCGTCTTTCTTTCTGCCCTTCGAACGCCTGTCACAAGAGCAAAGAAGGGTGGCTTGCGGGACGCATACGACCATGAGCTGCTCGCTGCCGTACGTACCCTTCCTTGCAAACGCTCTTCGTGGTTTCGACCAAATACTCATACCACTAGGTCCTGAAAGCCACCGTTACCAAGTTCCCCAACCTCGATCCCGCGAAAATCAACGATATCTGCATTGGCACCGTCCTGTCCGAACTTGGCGGCTCGAAGGCAGGCCGCATGGCTGCCAACCACGTCGGCATTCCCACCACCACATCCTTCAGCACTGCGAACCGCGCCTGCGCATCCGGTCTGACTGCCATAACACACATTGCGAATGCGATCGCCGTTGGACAGATTGACGTCGGCATTGGTGGCGGCATGGAGAGCATGACGCGCAACTACGGCAGCAGGGCTATCCCCACAGAGCTATGGCAAGAAATGAAAGAATCTCCAGTAAAGGAGGCAAGAGATTGTATCATGAGCATGGGCATCACTGCTGAGAACGTTGCGGAAAGATATGGCGTGAATCGCGCAGACCAGGACGCGTTCGCCACTGAGTCCCACAAGCGCGCGGCTAAGGCGAGGGAGTCCGGCTTGTTTGAGAAGGAGATTGTGCCGGTCACTACGAGATGGATTGATCCTGAGGTGCCGGAGAGCGAAAAAGCGGTCACGATTACCCAAGACGATGGCATTCGGCCGACGACTACCGTCGAGAAATTGAGCGCGATGAAACCAGCATTCAAGAGTGACGGTACCAGTACGGCGGGAAACAGCAGTCAGGTGTCAGATGGTGCTTCTGCCGCGCTTATGATGCGCCGCTCGACTGCCGCGGAGCTTGGACTTACATCGCACATCATTGGCAAGTTCGCGGGCTCGCAGGTAGTTGGGTGCGCGCCAGATGAGATGGGTGTTGGGCCAGCGCTGGCTATCCCGGCATTGCTGGAGTACACTGGCGTGAAGAAGGAAGAGGTGGATATCTGGGAGATCAATGAGGCGTTTGCGAGCCAAGCGTTGTACTGCATCAGGAAATTGGGACTAGAGAACAACATGGACAGGATAAACCCCAATGGCGGAGCTATTGCGTTGGGACACCCGCTGGGAGCGACCAGCGGAAGGATGTTGGCTACATTGTTACACGAGATGGCGAGGTCGGACAAGCAAGTTGGTGTATTGAGCAAGTGCATTGGAACGGGAATGGGTATGGCGAGCTTGATAGTCCGGGAGTAGAGCTGGCAAATCTGTAAATAAGTTGAATCGAAAGGTATTCATTGGCCAAAGACGATGCACGCCAACAGAGATGTAGCACAGCACGCCGCGGGTGTAAAGGATGTCAAGCGACACACCTATAAAGAGGTATCTTCGGCTACATTGGGTATCATTCTGTCTTGTATGTCTATCCATCACGCACGGGCAAGCAAGGTCAGTCGTCTATCTTCTCATTGGCGTCATTTCGCATTCTTCTTCCTCTTCTTCTTGGCCTTCTCGCCGAGAATCTCATCCAGGTAACTCTTTGGCTTGGCCTTCGGTGGCCGTGAAAGTGGCACATCCTTTTTATTGTTTTCGAAGTTCTCCTCAGCAAGCTCGTCATCGGGCCCGTTCACCTTGGTTACGTCTTTCTCGACTATATCCTGTGGCTGTTCGTTGATCTTCAGTTTCTTTGATCGGACACTCAACGCCCTTGATTCCTCGTCCTCGTCGTCACTTTCTTCTTGCTTAGCCGACAATGGCTTGGCTTGTCTCTGACGCTTAGATCTGAACGAAGATGCTCGTCCCTCCTCTTCGTCGCTTTCCACCTTGGTTGGGTCAGGCTTAACAGGTTTTGGTGGCTTGACCGGCGCAGCGTGTTTCTGTTTCGCAGCCAAGTGCGCCTTGGCAGCTTTCTTGCCTATCAGATTCTCGAGTAACTTCTCGTGTGAGGTTGGTATGCGGTTGGTGAAGCTGCCATCTTGCACGTCCTTGGGCACTATCGCCCCGAGCCCGAACCTACACTTACCGTCAGCCTGATGACATGCAAGCTTTGTTTGACTCGGGATACACACCCTTCGTCATCTCCATCTCCCCTCAGATCCGCAATGCTGGCCTGCTCAACATGTTTATCATCATGTGATTCTGGTACTGCAGACGCACTGCTTCCAAATAGCGATGCAAAGTGCTCTTGCTGGAATTTTGCGAGGCCTACAGCAATCTTATTCGACAAGACTTCGCCTTCATTGTTACGTTTCGACATCTTTGCGCATCGGCGGAGGACTTGATCAATTTCCGGCCGAGAGTTGATGCTCGATATGGAGCGCGACTTTTTCTGGCGGTAACACCCGAAAAGTCTTGGAGCGTCCGTGCGCAGTCCTCCGCAACTGCTGGATAGATCCGAAGCTGCAACTCCATCAGCTTCATCCAACCCCTTTGCCCTTATCCTCACATTCCTTGGTGTTCAGTAAATCGGACGCCATGTATAACCTCGCCCGCTGCCGGCCGCTCACGAGCGCTCTGCGCGCTGCTGCTGTACGTTATTCCAGGGTGCCTGCGGAGCTCTCCAAGCCTGTGACGCGCAGGTGCATCGCAATTGAGGATGGATGCTAACTAGGAGCAGAAGACTTCATCAAGACCGTCGGTTGCACAGCAAAGCAGATTCTTGTCGATACACGAATACAGGTCCGCGAGCCTGCTGGAATCGGTACGGAAACACGGTATATCTGGCAGTAAAGCATGGCGCTAACGGGCGATGCAGTATGGCATTGGCGTACCCAAGGGCGGTGTCGCGACGACGGCAGCGGAAGCTGAGAAGGTCGCGACAGAGATTGGTATGCCGCTACACGGATGCGTTCGATTGCCCAGGACTAATTGAAGGCAGGCGGAGAAGATGCGGTCATTAAGGCACAGGTCCTTGCTGGTGGTCGAGGAAAAGGAACCTTCGACAATGGCTTCAAGGGCGGTGTCAGGGTCGTCTACTCGTACGGAACTTTACCGGCGCGATGCGCAAGAACCAGCGCTGACAGCATTGTACAGGCCTCGCGAAGCCGCCATCCTCGCCGACCAGATGATCGGCCACAAGCTCATCACCAAGCAGACTGGAGCCGCCGGCCGGCTCTGCAACGCCGTCTACATCGTTGAGCGCAAGTTTGCCCGCCGAGAGTTCTACCTCGCCATCCTCATGGATCGCGCCTCGCAAGGCCCCGTAATCGTTGCTTCGTCGCAGGGTGGTATGGACATTGAGACCGTGGCCAAGGAGCACCCCGAGGCTATCATCACCACGAACATCAACATCCACGAGGGTGTCACCGACGACATCGCGCGCAACATTGCTAACGAGCTCGGTTTCTCGGAGCAGTGCATTGAGGAGGCGAAGGACACCATCCAGAACCTGTACAAGGTTTTCATGGAAAAGGATGCGACTCAGATCGAGATCAACCCTCTCTCGGAGACCACCGATCACCGTGTCCTTGCTATGGATGCTAAGCTGAACTTCGACGACAACGCTGATTTCCGCCAGAAGGAGGTCTTCGAGTGGAGAGACGTCACCCAGGAGGACCCTGATGAGGTCAAGGCTGCTACTTCTGGTCTCAACTTTATCAAGCTTGATGGTGACATCGGCTGCCTTGTCAACGGTGCCGGTCTTGCCATGGCCACCATGGACATCATCAAGCTCAACGGTGGTTCGCCAGCCAACTTCCTGGACGTAGGTGGAGGTGCCACTCCTGAGGCCATTAAGGCGGCTTTCGAGCTCATCACCTCCGACCCCAAGGTCACCGCTATCTTTGTCAACATTTTCGGTGGTATTGTGCGCTGCGATGCTATTGCCAAGGGTCTGATCTCCGTCGTCGAGACCATGAACCTGAGGATACCCATCATTGCGCGGTTGCAGGGCACCAACGGCGAGCAGGCACACAAACTGGTAAGTCATCCGTGCATTCTTATGGCCAAGGAACAGCTAGCTAACAATGACTTAGATCAACGAGTCCGGCCTCAAAATCTTCTCCATTGACGACCTCCAAGCCGCTGCTGAGAAGTCTGTTCAATTTTCCAAGGTGGTCAAGATGGCGCGTGACATCGACGTTGGTGTCGAGTTCACCCTCGGTATCTAAGCCCACCTCATTTCACCAGTCTTTTTTCGGTCGAAACTTCCTCCACAGACCGATGCTCGCTGACTTGTGTTTCCTTCGGCTGTGTTATCAGACCAATGACGCCGCCTTGACTCCTCTATGAGGGTAAATAGACATTGGGATGGATAGGAGATGTGACAGTGTTTCAGATGTCACGATTGTATTATTTCTGATACTATAGTACCCATGTGCGCTGTTTTTGTATCTACTGCGTAATGCATGAAGAGCGGGTTCATTGTCGATGCCTCCTTTTGCCGTTCCGGATGTGAAAGTGCTGACGCCCAAAGTGTTTGATGATATAGCAGTGTGTTATTGAAAGTATGTCTTTGAGTCAAATCCAAGATACATAACAAACAAGATGCTCTCGCTCAATCGGAGTGATTATGAAGCAGTGAGGTCATCTGACCTCACGGCTCACGATATCCGCTGCTGTAGACTAATTGGGGTCGCATGCGCCGGAATATACTCCGAAGCAAGCCACAGCCGCGAAGAGGCCGGAATCTACTGTGATCTCGGGCTCGGAAGGCTTTGTTACCGTCTCCGCTGCGTGTCTCCGCTGCAGCAGGAGGTTTTCGTATCTGTTGCTACACGCTATGAGAGTGCAGTCCTCACACAGCCAGGAAGGCGTTGACAGACCGGAGAGTATTCAATTGTCAGACGTAGGAACACTTCTTACTCCAATCAAGACGCGATGTGAGATCAAAATGCTGTACATATTGCTACATGAACGAAGTTCTAAAAGAACAGCTTACACCGCTTCGCCCTCCTTCTCCCTTCCCTCGCCTTGCAGCTCGCCCTTCAAATTCTGTAGCCTCTTCGCCACGTTCATACTCAGATACTTCTCGAAGTTGGGGCTCAGAGCACTGAAGATGATCAACAGCACGCCAAACGGAATCGTCGCATAAAACACAATCCTGAAGCTCTCCAGGTACGCCTTTTGCGTGGCTGCGCCCGTGGCAGCAATGATCTCAGGCGTAATCCCAGGAACGGCGGTGAAGTTACCAGCGGTGATTCCAGCGAAGAGCTGCGGGAGGGAAGAGGTAGGCAGGCCTGCATTCGTGGCGGCAGGAGCGACGAAAGCGGGCAGATAAGTAGCGACCTTGTTCTGCAGGATGGACACGTAGACTGTCTGCGCGACGGCACCGCCAATAGCACGGATAGAACCAAGTACACCGGTCGCAAGACCGATGTCCTGGGATTCCCAGAGGAGCGTCACACCCGGGAAGGAAATGTTGTCGATCCATCCTATGACGAAGGTTGCTAACACGCCGAGCGTAATGAAGGTTGCATACGCATCTGGTTGCAGTCCGGCCTCGCCAGCCAAGAACGCAGTACCCATTATGGAGAGGATAACGAGCTGCCACTTGACCTTGGGGAGGTACGATAGCGCGAAACCTCCAAACATCTGGCCGAGCAAGATACCGCCTCCGACGACCGAAGACGCCCAGCCGATTTTGATGACGTCGGTTGTGTAGATGGTGCCGAGAATGGTCGGCCAGAGAATAGTCAGGGCGTAGTACACCATTGCACCCACACAAGCAACCATGACGATGGCGACATATTCGAGTTTCTTGAAGAGACGTGGCGGCATGATTGCCTGGCCTTTGAAGACGTATTGTTCGTACAGAGCAAAAGCAACGAGCGTAGCAGCTCCTAGAATAATGGTGCAGAGAACGGCAGCTTCAAATTGATTAGCACGGTGGTACTCTAGATCTGAAAATCGAAGGCTTACCGGATTTCCACGGGTACGTGGTTCCTCCCCAGCTCAGGCCAATCAAGAAGAGTACCGTGCCGGCAATGAAGAGGAAGATTCCCACAAAGTCCAGTTCTTTGAACTGCTGCCATTTCGTCTTTCCGGAGACGTGAAGCTGGTCGTAGGACGGAGGGTGATAGAGGAATTGATACAGGATGATGGTGATGCCAGACAGAATGATCCCCAGATAGTACGACCAGCGCCACCCAGCTGCAGTCTTCAAGATGAACGTGCGAGCAATGATCGGTCCGAAAACTGGTTATTGTTAGCACATGTCCCATGGATGTAGCGTGGTCTAGTCCTACCAGCAAACGGCATGGAGGAGAAGAAGACCAATGCGACGATTGGTCCTCTGTGCTTGTTTGGCACCAGCTCTCCGAGAACGATGCCAAAGGAAAGCTGTCCTGCAGCCGCAATTCCATTCATCAGATTCGCGCCGACGAGAGTATCGATGTTCTTTGCGGTGCCGCCAACAATGCATCCAAGAAGTCCTAGTACGTTCGTGCCCACGACCATCCACTTGCGGCCGAAGATGTCTGACAAGCGGCCGACAAGCAGAAAGCCAATCGCCGAACCAATAGTCCAAATGGTTGCGACCCAATTCAAATTTTCGGAAGGGCCGATGTCTTCGTTGATCAGTGCACTGCGATCATGTCAGAATGAGATGTCTTGAGCGTCATAAAGATATGTTGAACGGAAGAACAACGTACAGCGTATTCGCAGGCAACACCCATCCGAGATAGGCGCAAATACTTCCAGAGCACACTGCCTGTCCAAGTGTTAGTAGTTGAACTGTGATCGAACTTGCTGCGAAACATACAATGACGGTGCCAATGAATTGGACACTCCAGAAGTATCCCTTTGGCATCTCTTCGAAAGCTCCTCCGATGGCGTGGGCATCGACAAGATCCACGTGCCCATCAGCGTGTACTTTCTTCACGACATGCACATCTTCGATGTGGTTAGAATCAGACTCATTTTTTCCAATCGATTCTGCCATCACGGCTGCGGCCTTGTCCTCGGCCATGTAACGCGAAGATGGTCTCAAGCCGATAAGAGAATTGCGAGTTGGGGTTTTCGATAAAGGCCCGACTCAGTGCAAAAGCACATGAAATCGACAGAGTTTGCAAACTGCAATACGATTACCTCTCGCTGAACGAGGGCGTATTGGAAGAGGAAAGGTCGTCGTTGCTGCAGACATGATCCTTCTCGGCGACCCGTGGTGTTTATACGGACGATTGATGCTCCGTTTTGCTCGGGACTCGTCAACCGCAAGCGCAGGCGAAGACAAAGCCACCCGGCGATTCCAGGTTCCAGATCGCGGGGTGCTGTCCACCCAGGCCGGAGTGAATCCGGGGCAGGCTGGGGTAATCCGATGCGGGGCGCCCCCTAGTGTCCGTCTCGAGGCACTAGTGCGTAACCTTGGGTGCGGATTAGGATCGCCGAAGACACGCGGTGACGGTAGTTAACTTGTTTGAGCTGTAAGTACGATATGATGCTTACTCTGACAGCTTTACCTGTGGGCGGTCGAGACCGTGACGACTCACGGTTTGCATCTTCCACGTGGTGCACGACTCAGGAGCTCGACGAGACTCAAATCGGATGATCTTTAGCTCCTACACTCAGATTGGCTTGTGTAAGACAATTCATGATTGAACAATGAGATAAATGGTGGTCGGTGGATGGTGCGTGCGAAGATTTTAATCAATGGCGTGGTCCTTGATGTTGAAAGGTCAGGTTGAAAAGTCATACGCATCTCGAATCGATCGACCTCTGCTCATGGAACAGCGATTTCAAACGTATACAAACAAGAAGCAGCCCGCCGTTGCTGTAGCGTACTTAGAGACGGCCAGAGGTGGAAGGCAGCAGCTGTCACTACTGTGGTGAAGTCTGTGCATGGTGCGCCAGATGAGCAGAACTCGAAGGGCCTGAAATGAGTTCGATAGTGTGACCAACAACTAGGGTGGCCATGACCAGCATCTTCAATTGAAGTCCAGACCGTCCCAGGAGACAGGCTACCGGTTCGGTTCCCGCTCGGGAGATATCCTGCTGCAAGCCCCCACATGCGAGTGGCCTTCGTAGGTTACAGCTGGCCCAGTACTGTGCAGGGTGTATATGACTATTGTCGTGTCGAGGAGAATTAGCGCTTCAGTATCGCGATTGATCTTCAATAGCTGTACGTCCGCTTTGCTAGGTCCTACGCTTCTTGCTGCCTAACAATTAGTCCTCGGCCATCACCAGCGAACCGACGACAACAGAACTACGGTCCGTCATAAGAGGGCGATTGAAGGCAGAATACTTCCAACGAGCGGCAGTCATCATCTTGATTGTATGCATGAGTCTGCATGTACGCAAAGCCTTAAAGGGTATCGGTGGTTGGATGAGCAGCGGTAGCGGGAGCGGAAAGTGCAGTTCAGGTTCAAGAATGGCGAGAAATGGCGCGCTCCGGCAGCTCCGATAGATTCGCAAATTCGCAAGCCCGAAGACCGGAATCAATGATGAGTGAACGTTAGATGAAGACAATTGAAGGTGAGTGCGTGTTAAATTCACGAGTCAGACGAAGGCTGGCGAAGCTCCTTCAAGCACGTCGGCTGACACGAGTAGCATTGGCCTGGACCGCTTTCGGCTGACAGCGTAAGTGTTGTAATTCGATCGTCGACGGTATCATCAAAAGCTCGCTTTTGGTGTCGCATGAGAGCAGTGAGCGCACGGGTAACGTTAGCCTATCGAAGCCGAGATTGCTGAGCACAATTTTGTCAATACGAACGGCTCGAATGCATCAGCTCGCACAATAATGAACTTGCATTCTGATAATTAAAGTTATGTTTGAACCGCAATGATGAACGATCATAGAGGCTTAGCTCCCTTCGGAAGCCTCACCTTGAAGACAAGGACTTGCGTATCAATATTGAAGCCTGAAGCATCAACGTACTTGTTCTTCCCCGAGTTGATGTATCCTTGATGATCCAGGTCAGTAACTCATTCGTTATTTGGAAAAGGAGAAGCACTAACCATTCTGCGTGATGAAGTCGTTGTCCGAGACCGAGATCAAGTAGTACTCGTCCCCATCACCTTTCGTTCTGAATTTTCCGTCCACCGGGAGGAGCGCAAAGCTTTCCCACTTCTCATTGAGCAAAGTCGCATCCTGCTCGCCCCCGTTGTGTACTCCGAATCGATTGAGTTGGTCGTTGTTATTGAAGGATAGCCATGGACAATATTGCGCGGGAATAACATCAGCATTGAGCACGCCCTTAGAGCTGGCAATGGCGCCTCCTATGGCATCGTTCGTTGCACTTTTGATGTTCGTGGCTTTTGAGATGTCGAAGACATCCGCATTGCGATAGATGGATTCAGTGCTGTCCTGGCCGCGGCCAGAACCCGAGTCACGAGCGAGCACGAGGAACTGGTCATCAGAGATAAAGTGAATCTCTGACTGCCCAGCGACCTTATCGGTTGGGAGAACAGGCAACGGAACCACGTATTCGGCATCATACTCTGCCTTTTTGCCTTTCAAGCGATACTTGAGTAGGCGAGCATAGCGGCGGTTCTTAGACTTCGAACCTCCCTCCTGGATCCTGGAATACAGTTAGTAATGTTTCTCCATTATTTTTGGGTTCACTAACGCGGCGCTCTGAAGTAGCGAGTACAGGTACTTGCCATCGGGAGATGCAGTCAAACCCTCGAGTCCTTGGTTGTTACCACGACCGCTGTCCGGATCCTCAGGAGTGACGAGGAAATCCGGGTCATAGATTGGTGGTGAAGCGGCATTGAAGCTGCCTGATATTAGAAACGGGACAAAGAGCCAGGGTTTCAAACCAACCTCTCGGTGCCGTTGCGGATAGGAATCAACGCATCATTAGGGCGGATGGCATTGATCATCTTGCCCCGCTTGTCGAACTGATAGATGTACGGTCCTAAGATCAGTTGGTCAAACAGATCGATGATTCCCATTTTAGTGTCACGTACCATACTCGTCGCTGATCCAGAATGACCCGTCGTCACCTAGTACCAGACCCTCCGTATCTATAGCGATGCGTTTGCCACCTGGGCCCGCGCCACCGAAACCATCACCAGTGTCTTCTATTGTTAGCATTGATTTGAACATGCAGGCGCTTGCTTACAAGTTGCGACGGGGAGGTCGGGAAACCCAGGGTACGACCCATGCCCTGTTGGGTCCGCGTCCAGACCTATGAAAGAACTTTAGTGATGACAAGACAACGCAACTGGGTGGGGTAATGCTCGTACCGGTGGTCGGCTTGCCGTCTGGACCAGTGAGCAGCAGAGTATCCAGGTACTTCATGTGGAAGTTTGGGGATGCAGGTTTCTCCTTGGTGGCAGTGACGATGTCGAAAGAGATGCTGAATTTGTGTATCCGCGACTGGGTGTTCTGGGTCCCTTGGGTGTTCCATCCTCTGTCAGGGAGGCCCCAAAGAATGCCTTCGTAGGCTTCCTTCTTTCCCGACTTCTTCTTCCACGATTTCTTGTCCAGCGCAATGGCGCTCCCAATGCCCCCTATAGTATCTCCGAATCTATCACGAGCATCACTAGGCAACGTGCCCCAGCCCGCGAGCTCCTCGTAGATGTACTTGCTTCCATTGCAGTCGGTTTCATTGACAGACGGCGTGGCGTAGCTTGTGGGAGACGCAGCAATGCCGCCCAGCTGCAGCACGGCGAGCAGACCAAGAGATTTGGTCAACATGTCGAAAGCGATGTGGTCGTGTGCTCGCTCGTCGCAAGCAGCAGCTACCTATACTAATACCTTGCAGAAGGGCACCCGAATACCAGGAACACGAACGATCCGTCGCGTGCACGTTACTATTACGGGACAAGCAGGGATACACGTGCTGGGGTGTCTGGCCCTCGAATGGGAAGCTGCAATGTTGCTTTTGCCATCGCCGTCGGCAATTCCGTTGGGGCTGGAATTGGCGGTCTTTCCGGACATTGGAGGCGTTCCCCCGCGCGTGTCGCTGCGCAAAGGGCTGCTGCAAGGTACGAAGAAACACTTGCGCCGGAGCCTCACTGACGTGATGGATGCGAAGATCGGAGCGCACGAGGGTGTGAGGGCGCTTCTGAGTCGCTGAAGGTTGGTTTGCGAGGCGTCCCACTAGCCTCGTGGGGCAGGTCCGCGGACTTCTACCCTTTACACATTACGAACTACCTTTATATTCAGAAACCCCACTCACTTACAGCTGTGGACTAACAGATGGCAATACGAGAGCTTGAAGTACCAGAAGATCCTATGCGATTGACCTGGACCATGCCATCAAGACCAGTGGCACCCCGCATGGTTTCCCTTCGCTCCGACGCCTTCTAAAAACCCGATTTATCATACCGTTGGCGCGATTGTCGGGGTTGGAAAGCTAGGTATGTTGAGACTGTAACGACTCTGATAGCAAGCGGTCGCCTATAAACTCGAAAGCTTTATGCATACGATATCCGAGGCGACGTACCCTGACATGACGGGCTACAATTCACACTACCTGTACCGAGAGCTTAGCTGTTATTTTATCGATCGATCCTAAAGAAGACCAAAGCTCCTCGCAGGTTGTAGCATTCGTAACTGACTCTCTGCATTTGGTCGATGGGCGACTGCCTCTCTTCGCGCTCCGATGATGTGTGACGGGCTAACAACATGTCTTGCTTCTTCCCGAAAAACCTTTCTGCGCCTGCTAAACGACGAGTAGAGCAGGCTTGATTGTAATACGCAACAGGAGCACTTTCCGTCGGTGCGCGGTCCTTCCCAGCCAGCAAAGGCGCTTTTCGGGCAAGAGGCACGCATTTTGCAGATATCGTCCGCTTGGGGTTGTCCCAGACACTTCGACATACCATCTTTCCGTCCTTACTCAACGCAAGACCATCCTTACCTACAACTACCGAGCCGCGTGCTTTCACGACGCTTCGGGGCTTGCCCCTTCCTACACAACTTAGAAAACCTCTGAAACACCGATCCCCGTTCGCTGTACGAGAAGTGTTGCCTTCGGGCCCTCACGATCCATGTTTATCGCTGAACCATCTTGAAGAATATCTACTTCCGTGTTTCGATCCACGAGCACATCAAGACGCGAACCAATCGGACGAGATACGACAAAAGTCATACGAACTGGGCGATTGTCCCACAGACGACTTGGACAGATCGACGAGCGACGTGATGCTAGGCTCTGATGCAGAGACACAGTCAAAAAGCCATGCAGAGGTACAGCGTTCCAGACAAGCCTCACTTCCGACCGTGCTGTCAGCACCGTTTGATTTCAACTCTCATCCTATCTTGTCAGAACAAGTACCAGGAGAAGCCCACTGCGACAGGCAAAAAGCGCCGCTCAAGTCGAGCTTGAAGTATATGTCGAAGAGCGCTGCAGAAACACCTGCCGAACCTGCGACGGACCCCAGCAATGCGGCAGAGCACCATAGAGTATCCCAATCATTGCGGCGTGTCAAGACTGTTGACTTCAAGGAAGCTGAAGCCACGCAAATTCGAACACTTCCATTGTCAAAACCTTGGTTAAGTGACACCATCGTCAACGCTTTCCACGAAGACAAAGACAAGAGCCAGGGCAGTCTAAGTGCCAAAAGTCGATGTGCCATCAGAGGGGAACCTTCATGTTCACGCCTAGGAACCAAAGGGAGACCTGCCGATCCAGCCGTGACAAAGACGGATGTACACGTTGTAACCCGCGCGCCGGCTTGCGAATTCGACGTCCTGCCACACGAACTAGATATTGTCACTGCAACCCCAACTATGCAGATCGTACAGTCGCGCGACAGTTGTTACGAAATCGTATGGGATGACGTTCCAGCTGAGGACAAACAACGAGGGCATCGCAGGAGTTCTGTGGCAAGCTTGGCTCTTCGAACAGCCAGTTCGGCGACTAAAGACGACTTGGAGCGGGTTAATTCGAAGCTCTTCGAATGGGATTGGGGCCGAGGTCCTGATTTAGAATCTTTCGCCCCCCAGATCGTCGTATTCCCCGATGATCAAGGCCACGCTCATGGCTTGACTTCTACGACAGATGGGGATGAAGATGCTTCAATGAGAGCACCGCCAAACAACCAGAGGACGAGCGACGCACTGTCTAGTCTACCTTCAACGCCCGCTACAGCCCGGCCATCGAGACCACCATCACAAGACGAGCCAGGACCGGTAGGGGAGCTGGAAGCTGACGATTTGAACGATAGCGATGAAGGCACTGTAGCAGCGTTGATTGTCCCAGATCCTGAAGCTAGACCAGCAAGCTTGCCTACATTGCACAACGATTCCAAGAAACCGCTGGAGGATCGCCGGTTCTCCAATATTGATGATTCTGAGGTGAGGTTTCGAGGCCATCGCGACTCAGTTACTATGGCCCGCGCTCGACTCCTAGCCAACGGAAGGGTATCTCCCGAAATCCTCGAAGTACGAAAGTACGGTACAATGGCAAAGAGGCGGATGCACGCTATGAACCGTGGCAATTCCGAGGAAGAGACCGCAGAAGCCAACATTGCTACCCGGGAGCCAGCCCGCTCTCACGAACCCGCCTGCTTAGCATCTTCTTCTCCGATAGCCGGGCTAGGCTCTTCCAGCCCGATAATGAGTCGTAACAGCGGTGTGCTTTGGGGTTTTCATGGATAGCTCAGGTCAGTCACAGAGCAATAGCCTTGAATGAAGGGCCGTTATATCCGTATGGAGGATTGAAAAATGACGCCTCTGGCCTGCGAGAACACAAGGCCTTATTCGAATAAATATTGCAGATTGGGAAAATGTAGGCGGGATACCGAAGTTGTGACCGGCTTGCCTCTGATGACATGCCGTACTGTTTCTTCCATGCTCATTCACAGGGCTCTGGTCCCAGTCGGTAGATTATATGCTTTCAAAGATGGGGCCTGTTGCGGAAAGATTTGATGAATGCTTGTTGGGAGGCAATTGCGACGGTTCAGGAAGCAAGGCCTGCATTGTTGATGATGGGATTCGATCAGTCCGTTTCCCCCTGTTCGATGTGGACGGGTTTTAGGATCGAGTGTAGGACAATGCTGTGTCCTTGACGAGCTGTGCGAGCGTTGTGAGACGGAGTCTAGATCATCGGTGGTCGGTGTGAGACTATGGTGAACTGGTATCTATTGTATGAGTGATGAGGCTAACTAGCTAGTGTGCCGGAGCCTCTACATAGGACCCATGCCAAGACCCATGTCCCGTGACAGTCGGTAGCGTGGTTGGTCCGACTCCGACCGTGTCCAACCCCACGAAAGTTGCGCGTGCATGTTCGCCCAGCCTATACCCAATGTCTGAAAGATTTGAATGGCGAAGGTATTGTTCCTCATCTACGCGATGCATTACCGACTGCATGACTGTAGCTCGGCACTAGTTCCAGTATGTTGGTGTACTAAACAAATATGTTGTCTGTAGAGACTGTTGAAGTGGTAGGCCAAAAACGTACAGGAAAACATGAAGTTGAGTGTAAGAGTGATGAATTGGTCAGGCTCGGCAGAGCCTCTATATAGGGCTAGTGCCTAGGGCGGCACCTGCCAGCTGGTACAGAACGCCTTCCGCCAACAGTCCTCCTAGCTAGTAGTGTTAGCGTGAATGTAGATTAAGTATATAGGCATAAGTATATAATCTATAGGTCCACTATAGTCCTTAATTAACACCATAATTACTATAAGAACCGCTAATTAGCGGACTAGTTAGAAAAGTGCTTTTAGGAGTAATTAATTAGTAAGTAAGTAGTTAAAATACGCGGTTTAGACAGCGTCTAATTAAGTAATAATTAATATTAGTAAGTAACCTATAAGGTAATTAATTAATTATAATTAATTAATTAATTAGACAATTAATTAATTAATTTAATTAATTAATTAATTATTAATATTAATTACCATTAGTAATTTATAACTTTAGGTCCATAAGTAGCAGTAACAGCAACGCCTTAGTATAGATATTAGTAAGATTATCTTTAGAGGTAATATATTTAATTATAAACTTACTACTAGTATACCTATAGCGTATAAAGTAATAGTAGACGTTAATATACTTTAACTAGGCACTAATTTTAGAGTCTTAAATAAGTAATAATATAGCCTAGTTATTAACTAAGAGTCTATAGTAATAGTGGTGGTAATTACTTATAACGGGGCCTCTAGGACTCTGTCACTAGCCGTGGCCCTATTAGGGTTCTGGTGAGAGATAAGTAGCGTATAGGGTTATATAGATTACGTAGAGTATAAACGTTAATTAATCACTACTATAAGAGTGTGTTGCTAAAGACTTAAGAGTAATCTTCTATAAGGAAACTAGATATAGAGAACTATATTATAGATTAATAATAAAGGCTTACCCTATAGTAATCCGTTATCTCTATATACTGCTATCTAATAGTGGCTCTGTAGGCTCTACCTATAGATCCTATAGATCCTATAGATCTAGGCTCTGTGGCTCTATTCTACAGATCTACAGATCTAATCACGTGACTTTCTTATATGCCCATATTGTGCTTAGTATCTAACCTATAATCGTATTCTTCCCCTATATAATCCGATTAGTCACTGCTGTTATTAACGTAATACCCGTAATTCTGTTGCGGCGTAGCAGCCGTAATAATATATTACTTATAAAGTTACTACTATACTTTAGATTTATAGATATAGGGAGATAATTACACTTAATATACTAAATAGGTCTAGATATAATATTATATTAGAATTACCCTAGTTAAGAAAGTATAACCTATATATTAATTAGGGTTTAAGAACGCTATTCTTAGAATACTATAAATATATACTATAAGCTAAGCCTATATAATAATAGAGATTAATAGTAGATAAGAGTGTTATTAATAATATAAACTTATAATAGAAAGTTAAAAAATAGAATTTACCCTTAGTAGATACTAGTAGAAACTACTAGGTTATAAAGTATAAAAAGAAGAAAGAAAGTATACTTTTAGAAGTACTAAGAGAGTATAAAGTATAGATATATATATTTATAGAAAAGGAAGAAAAAGTAAACCTACTAGAATATTAACCCTAGAATTATATAATTAACCTAGAAAAAGGGAAGACGCCACCCTTTAGACTACTATATAATAAGATAGGAGAAGAACTCTATAAAGAATATAAATTTATTAAAATAAACCTAGTAAAAGGATATATTAGACTATTAAAGTTACTAGTAGTAAGTCCTTTTATATTTATTAAAAAGAAAGATAGATTAGATAGACTATATATTAACTACTAAGTAATTAATAATATAATAATTAAGAATAGATACCTATTACCTAATATTTTAGAGCTTAGAGATAGACTCTTATAAGTAAAAATCTTTATAATAATATACTTAAGAGACGAATACCACCTAATTAGAATAAAGAAAGGTAAAGAATAAAAGATAGTATTTTAATTATACTATAGACTCTTTAAGTACCTAGTAATACCTTTTAGACTTACTAATATACTAGTAACCTTTTAAGCACTTATTAATAATATACTTTATAAATATTTAGATATATTTATTATTATATATATAGATAATATTTTTATCTTTTTAAGAATAAATCTAACTATACTAAGTATATATAGATAGTACTAAAAGTACTAAATAAGGTATACTTAAGAATTAAACTTAAGAAATACTAATTTAATATTAAATAACTTAAATTTCTTAGATATATTATTACTACTAAAGAAATTAAGATAGCACTAAGTAAAGTAGAGAGTATTAGAAATTAGTCTATACTAAAAATAGTAAAAAATATCTAAGAATTCTTAGAATTCTATAGATTTAATTAATAGTTTATTAAGAATTACGTAAAAGTTATAATACTATTAATAAATTTTACTAGAAAGGATACGCCTTTTAGATAGATAAATAAGTATAGAATATTATTCTAACTTCTTAAAATAGTATATATTATAGAACTAGTTCTTATTTATTTTAGAAGTAATAAACTACTATAATTTAAAACTAACGTAAGTAATCTTATACTAGGAGTATATATAAAGTAAGAATAAAATAGTAAATAGTACCTAATAGCCTACTATTTATGCAAATTTAATAATATAGAAATATAATATAACGTATATAATAAGGAACTCTATACTATTATAAAAGCCTTAAAACACTAGAGAATATACGCTCTTAGCTATTTAATACTAGAAATCTATATAGATTATAAAAACCTACTAAGGTTTATAATAATAAAAGAACTAATATTATAATAATAAAGATAGTTATAGACTACTAGATAGTATAAGTTTAAAATTATCTATATAGTAGGAAAAGAAAATAGGTAAGTAGATATACTTAGTAGATAAAGTAATCTAGTAAAAAGAAAGGTTAAGACCTTCTTAATAATTTTTTATAAGACTAGAGATAGATCTCTTAAATTAATAGTAGAACTTAGTTAACTTTTAGTTATAAACTAAGAAGTACTAAAATAACTATAAATAGAGATTATTAAATAATACTATAATAACCCTATATACGGACACCTAGGTATTACGAAAATAATAAAACTTATATAATAAAATTATATATTTAGAGAAATAAAGGAAGCTATAACTAGATATATCTAAAAGTATATAGAATACTAAAGGAATAAATATAGTATATATCTTAAGTATAGAGAAATATAACTAATTAGAATACTAATAATACCTTTTAAAGATATTACTATAGACTTTATTATAGAAATACTAGACTTAATTAACCTAGCCACGAAAACCTTATATAATAGTATTTTAGTAATTATATATTAATTTATAAGCTATATTAAATTAATCCTATATCTAAAGAATATAATAGCTAAAGAACTAGCTTACCTCTTTTAAGATAAATAGGTTAGATACTATAGTATTCTAAAGATAATTATTAGTAATAGAGATAAGCTCTTTATATTAAACTTCTAGATAATATTTATAGTACTTATTAGAATAAAATAAAAACTATCTATAGTATATTATCTATAGATAGATAGAAAAATAGAAAGAATAAATTAAACTATAGAAATATATCTATAAATATACTATAATAAATAGAAAAATAACTAGGTTTTACTACTACCTATAGCATAATTAGCATATAATAATAAGGTATTAATAGTAATAAAGTAAATACCTTACTATACTATATATAGAAAATATCTAAATCTCTTTAACTAGTAACTACTAATAAATATTAATATAAAAGAAGCCATAGATATAGTAGATAATATAAAAAATATATATAATAAACTCTAAGGAAACCTTAAGAAAGCTTAATAGTAAGCTATTTTCTACTTAAACTAAAAATAAAAAATAGCACCTTAGTTAAAGAAGGGGATAAAGTATATTTACTTATAAAATTTTTAAACTTAGAAGAAAAAATATAAGAAACTAGATTATATTAAGGTTAGACTATTTTATATTTCTAAATAAATATTACTAGTAAACTATAGATTAGAATTACTACTAAATATAAAGATATATCTAGTATTCTATATATTACTATTAGAACTAGTAGACCCTAAGATACTAGTTAAAACTACCTTCTATTACTAGCTAGAGGAAGAAACTAAATTTAAAATTAAAAATATTATATACGTAAGAATCTATAAAAGAATTAGATAGTACCTTATTAAATAGAAAGAATATCTAGATAGT